CGAATGAACGAATGAACGAATGAACGAATGAACGAATGAACGAATGAACGAATGAACGAATGAACGAATGAACGAATGAACGAATGAACGAATGAACGAATGAACGAATGAACGAATGAACGAATGAACGAATGAACGAATGAACGAATGAACGAATGAACGAATGAACGAATGAACGAATGAACGAATGAACGAATGAACGAATGAACGAATGAACGAATGAACGAATGAACGAATGAACGAATGAACGGATAAACGCAACGAATGGACGAGTAACGAGTGAATACATAGACCCGGTAACACAACATACAAGGCAGGCACGACTAGCGCAGGACTTGGGCGTACCTACCAATACGGTGAACGTTTCACTAGCATTCACAGCTATCTATCATCAACAAAAGCGTGCTCATGGCTCGCTCGAGGCTCACTGACCGCATTCTCCGCTCATAGATCTCCGCAATACCACCCATTGGCGTCCTTGCAAGTACGCCCGCCGTCTCTGGACGCCGTTCGCCCCCATGCACCAATCTCCAGCTCCAACCCATCGTAACGGCAGCGCAGGCTCATAGCGCCGAGAAGACGAAGAGCTGTCACTGTGGTCAGCCGCAACTTCCATACTGCAAACATTAGTGGGGGTGCAGTGCAGCAAACTCACATTATTCGTCGCCGCAATGGCAATACTGTCCTCCTGCGGATGCCAACTCATATGCAAAATCTTCTTATTGAAATCAATCTGATCCGCATCCGTCTCCTTGCGCATCCGCTGCGCGCCTCCAGGCACAGGACTATTCGCTCTGCTCCCGTTCGCCGCGCCGCCCTTCTTGGCCGCCGCCGCGCCACCGGCCATGGGCGTAGGCACACCGACCTTCTTCGCCTTGAACGCGCTCTTGTCCGCCTGCAACACCACCTCGGTGTCATCGCCGGGCGTGGATGGGTAGATCATGAAGTTGTTGTTGTAGGATCCGGTCATGACGTTCTTTGCGTCGCCGCTGAAGACGACCTCGAACTTGTCGAAGATGCTGTCGTTCTCGTAGGTATCGCAGAGGCGTGGCCGGAGGTGCTCGTGGATGGGTATGGTCTTGAGCGGTTGTCGCTCCATGTTCACGTCCCAGATCTTGACCGTCAGGTAGTCGCGTGAGAGGATATAGCGGCCGTCAGGCGAGAAGCGAACGTCGGAGATGGATGAGATGATCTCGGAGAAGAAGGAGCGGGTGGTGGGATCTTCTTCTTGTTCGAACTCTGCACGGCCACTGTTAGCAAGCTCAAGATGCATGTTGTGCGTGATTATTGCTTACGCTTCGCATGCTCATCACACAGTGCCTTCTGTCGCATGTCTGCCAGCTTGATGGTGCCCTTACTACTAGCGTACATGAACCAGTTGCAGCTAACCGGATGGAACTCTGCGGCTGTGATGACTTCTGTCAGCTCCTCCATATTCGCTGGCTTGATGTCGACAATGTTGAAGCTCTGGTCCTGGATGTTCAAATTCCAGAGGTTTATCCGCAGATCATCGGAGGATATGAAAGTCTCGCCATCGCTGTTGACGGAGATGCTGTTGATGTGGTATGCATGAGCGTTGGCGTACACACGGCGCGGTACAGCGGCAACCACTGTGTCGTGGTGAGTCATTCGAGGGAACTTGAGGTCCGCGACACTTCGGAAGTGCTGGTTGGGATACCGTACAGGCCCACCCCCATTCGCGTTTCCTGCGCCGGCGGGTGTGAGTTCATTGGAGAGGTTGTTCTCTGCGACGACCTTGAGAGACTTCTCGAACACTTTCCAGAGCTTTATCGTCTTGTCGTTCGTCGAAAGCAGATAATGCGATGCATTCTGTCGCCGGCACCACTTGATCTTGTTGATCTTCTCTTCTATTTCTAGAGACTTTAGGTAGTCGAACTCCGGCTCATGTGACTGAAACTCGGTATGGAACTTGTATTCGCATGTCTTCTTCGTCTCATTCCGCTCGAAGAGCACCACGCGGCCCCCCTTGTCGCCAGTTGCGAGGTAGTTGCCGGTCTGGTCAAACTCGACGGTGGAGATTATGTCCGCTTCGGTGATGTCTTCAACGTCACCTTTGTCTCCGAAGCATCTAAGAAAGTAACTCCTATCAGCTTTTGCTCGATATGGACACCTAATTGTTCAGAAGCCGGGAGACCGCACTGCGCAAGCCGCCACAGTCGGCATGGTGGCAGTGGAGGAGAATCATGTCCTGGCGGAGAGAGGTTCCCGTGGCCACGTGGAGATGCAATCTCATGGCCGGAGGACGGTTGTGCCCATCTCTCCAGATCCAGTGATGGCTGAGGTTCTTGTCGACCTGCGTCGTCCGAACAGTCTTCCAACAGGTCTTGCTTGGCTTCACCTCCTTCCCGACCCTGCTCTCCCTTCCAGGCGCGGTTCGTGCGTTCAACCAGCGTCTTCACCGCCGACAGCATGCTGCCTTAGGAATGCCTTGTCCCGTGATCATGTCCGTGACCGATGATCTGGCGGTGACGGTATGTCCGGGAGCGTGAACACCGAGCAGTTGCAACAAGGCGTGCTACGTTGTAAGGCAAGAAGATGGGGATGACAGCACTTACTGCGTGAACTTCCAAGTGGGAGGCTGCGCGCCATCGCTGGCTTCCACCATCCTCTACTCACCGGCAAGCTGTACCTGCCGTGAGTTTCCTTCGCGCAGCCTGAGCTCCTCCCTCACCTGCGCACCAGTAGTGAAGACTCTGGCGAAGCCACGGCTGCTGCGTCTGTGGAGCGTCGGTTGAACACGTAGGGGCCTTCCGTTACGCTCGGCTTATTGATGCACCGCCTTTCGGGGATCAGCCAAGCTTGTGATCACGCGCGCAAATCGGATGGCAGTGGTATGTCAGATGTAACAGTTCTTTGGTTGAGTAACAATGGCAGGGTGTTGAACTTTGTCGAAAACACACGGCCGGTGACAGAATGTAGCAGGGAGGTTGGAGGTTGAATGGCAGGTGAAGGTAGCTTTGAAGGGTACCTCTCAAGACGCCTTTCAGTGACGTTCTTGCTGCCAAGCCGCGGGCGCGGCGGTCTCTTCCGAGTGCGCCCTTGCAAGGAACAATCATCAGGCATCAAGGCAATTAATTAAGACGTATATAAAACACCTTATGTCAGGGACAGTTTCTATCTTGTCGCCTCTACGCTGTCGAGGCGATAGTACACTGTGACCACCCGCTATACACGCGCACATGACAGCACAAAAAGCACTCCCGGCGTCGCTGCTTAATGCGTGCGCCATGCTAACAACATCCCGAATCATACGCTACTCCTCGTGAGTCTACTAGAGCTAGCTCACTTCCTCCCCTTCTTCTCGAGCCATTTCTCCGGTACGCTCGGCAACTCCCTCACCTCCGGCAAAGCCCACTGGAGGAACTCATCCTCCGCGTACTCTGTCTTCAGCGCCTCGCGGCGCTTCTGGTAGAAGAATCTCGCCCTCTCAAGCTGTGCCATGCGTGCTTTATGGACGGTGTTTGGGTCTTGTCTCCCTTCGCCGTGCGGCGTGGTGAGCGCTTTGAAACAATCCTCGAAGCGCTCGAGTGCGACTTGCGCCTTGCGACGAAGATCCAGCTGCTTAGGATCACCAATAGGATCTCCGTCCGTAGCTGCTGAGCTCAGTATCTGGAAGAACTCGGGCTCGGGCTTGTTGGTCGGGTAGGTAGAAAGACTTGTGGTACTGGAGGCCTGCGGCGGAGCGGTCTCACCGACTCCGACTTCGACTTGCGATTGAAGCGTGCTTGTGCTCTCGGTCTCCCGCTCACGCTCCCGTACGAGTTCGTGTTCGTCAGCCTTACATTCTTGCCCGTACAGACCTGCGTCCATTGGTTCGTCGATGATCAGGTGCGGGGCGACAGCCCCCTTTTCATCCTTGGGCGTGCGTTGGTCGCAAGCAGGGTCTCGCTCTTCCAAATCAAATTCGGCCGCTTGTAGCTTGGCCAATACACGGTTTGAGCGCCCTTGTTTGGTTTCGTCCATGTTGTTCTTGTCCCTGGAAGACGTTTCTGGGCGCTCCATGGAGTGCGCATCTGCTTTTATTGGCGCCATAGCATGATCATTGGCCGGCCGAGGAGCCGTCCATACAGGATCCGTATCTAGACGCAAAAGATCATCAACAAGCATCTCTGTGTGATCGAGCAATGTCTTGCAACGCTGCGATGTCGTCGCCGACGCGAACGGAGAGCCAAACGCCGATGGCGCAGCAGAAGCTGGCAAGGATGAGGCCTCAGTGGCGCACAAGCTGTCTGGTGAGCTTGCTTTCTGCGGATGGGCTGGTACAGCGGGCTCGATGACAGCTGCGTCGTGAGTCTGAACGCAAGCGACATAAGAGCCTGGACGTTGTCCCATCATGCGAGGTGCACAGCCGGAATCAGAACTTGGGTTCTCTCCGGTGTCTGGTGATCTCAAAGCCTTCCTCATGGCTAACAGCTCGTCGACAGAGATCGTGATGCGCACTGGCCGTGGAGATGGAGGAGGCCCCTCGCTTCTCGCCGACTCAACCGTCTCCACCGCATACTCAGCGACCTTTTCTGCAATGACTGTGAATGGTGCATCTTTCTCAATCGTGACCGAGCCAGACAAGTCTGCTGGCGGCTCGGAGGCATGCACTGCGTTGTCTGTGATATCGGTGACATTGACTTGACCGCCGTTCGTGCCGGACATGATAGCATCGCTGGCGACGGTCGTACTGTCCGATTGGACCGGCTCCGTGCAACCTTGGGTACCCGCCGTTTTGGTATCATCACTTCTTGCCGGGCTGGCTAAGACAGTGAACTTGTTCTGCGACGCTCCATTCATTGCATCTGTCATGGTGGTTGCCTTGGGTATGCTTGACTTGATCTCCTTGGCAACCATCTGCTTCCGAAGATGTGGCGCTGGATCTGAGCTGCTGTAGAGTTTCGACAGGCCGACTGTGCTGCGCTTCTCTACGGGCTTGACGGGTTGTATGAGGTTAGAGAAGCCTGAGGTCTGCGCCGCAACGGTGTGCTGATGACCGTCTTTCTTCCGGGCGTGGGAGCCCACCGCCCCTCCGTGCTGAGTGGCCCCAGTACGCTTGGTCGCCGCCTCGATAGGCACTGCAGGGACTGGGACCGCTGCGAAGTCTGGGAAGGGGTTTCTGTCTATTCGACGGACGTTTCTCGGCTGCGAGGTGTATTCTGCAAAGCTAGCTGCTTCGGCGAGCTGTTCTGGTGTAAATGTCCACGTGTTCGCATTAGAAAGCGGCAGAGGTGGCCGAGAAGCTGCTCCGTTTTCAGGAGGTCGTCCATTGCCGAAATGGCGTCCGCTTGAGCTGTCGTTCTGCGGCCGCTTCGCCACGACGTTCGTGTCAAGAATATGCTGAGCATCCTGAAACCTCTGTACGACGTCTGTAACAGTGCTCGGACAACGTGCACACGTGCCGAAGAGCGTGTTGTCGGAGAACGTGAAGCACGACGGAGGTGGCAGGTCGCTGAGCTTCTTACCTGCTGGCAACAGCTCTACCTCCGGAGCCACTGTCTCCTCTCGCATCTGCGCCTGCACGATTCCCGACACTTTTGCCGCATTGCTGACGTTCTCCGGAGCGAATGGTAGGTCTAAGTAGTATTGACGCACAAGCGTAGCAGTAATGTCTAGCACACGGTTGAAGAGCTGGATCCAGGCGATGGCAGCTAGCATGGTGCAGAGTGAGGCAAGGCACAGCCATAGCGCTACTACTAGTACGGCATGCTCGAGCAGGAAGCGCCCCAACAACGCTATGCAGTCTGCGATGCGATCCACCTGCACACCGTGGTCAGTCCCGTGTAATATAAGTAATGCTGTGCTGCTTATGCGTACCACGTTCGCCATGTCGTGGGATATCAATATTAACATAGCTGGATGGAGTGTGCTGAAGGTTTTGTATATCCATGGAGGTCAATCTTCTCTTGGTGATCGGCAAGCAAGGCCAGTGCGCGGCAACTCCCGCACGTCCAGGGAGGGAAAGAACGAAGCCAGCAGAGAGCGAACGCCTGCCCGTGGCCTGAAGATGGAAACGACGCTTTACAGCTCTATACGACGATTACACAGGCTGGCGAGTCTATCCCAGCGGGTTCTCCTTCTCCTGCAGATCCGTAAATACCGGCTCATTCAATGGCTTTCCAAACACCTTCTCTTCCTGTCGAAGATAGTCATGCTCACCATCCCTTTCCCGGCTGACATCAATGTTAGTCTCGTTCGCATCCGCCACAGGCCGTTCGTTCTCGTCGACCTCTCGTATAGTGGCGCCCGCCTTCTTCGCCGCGATAGTCGGGACTTCAGAGATACTGGCCATGCGTAGCCTACCGCCCGAATGCAGCATCGGTACATCCTTGTTCACGTCTGGATCCTCCTCCAACGGCCTTTCGCAGCCTATAGGTACGCGGCAGACCTTTGCGCTCTCCGGCTCTACGGTTCGCCAAATGACCTCTCGTACCTCCTTGCCAACTTTCTCGATCGCGTCCATGGCCCAGATGACATCAAGATGCTCGTAACCTTCAATGATCTTCTTGTGCACAATTCTCACATGAGGCTCCCTTCCACGGTCAAACCTTCGCAGCAACCGTCTACCATCGACCAGATCGTCTGCGCCGCAGACCCACAATGCTAATGGTGGGAACTGGTTATTGTACCACGCGTACTTACCCCGTGTCCGATCATGATGGACATGCGTCGGCGTCGCGCAGTGGAAACTGGTCAGATTACGTTGCAATTTCCGCCGCTGACTGACGTGCGGCTCCCTGTCCACATACAGCTTTCTGATGAGCTCGTCGTCTTCTTCGTCTTCGAGATCTTCCAGCCTGCCCTCTTCGCGTGTCGCGAGTATGCACTTTTGCTTCGCAAAGCATTCTCGTCCAAGCCACCACCGCATACTCTCCGCGGAGACGTATACCGGCGCCCATTGGAACATGCGATCACGCAGCCCGCGATCCCAGCGCGTGTCGGACCAGCTAAAGAGGAACGAGAAGACGTGATATCCAAGCCATCCGTAGAAGTGAGCGGGAATGATATGGTGCGCTTGCATCATGAGCGGGATGAAGGCATGAATACCGAAGATGAGGCGGAACATGGCCGGTGTGACAGTTTGCATTACCTTGAAATACATCTTGCCAATGAGTGGTCCGGCGTAAGCGGCAGGTGCCAAGGCGCAGAAGACGGAGATCTTCTCACCTATGTCTGGACGTTGCTCTTTCGCAAGGGCGACAAAGGTCTGTGTCGTGCCTTGACTGTGGGCGATGAGGGCAAGTTTGGGGAAGCCGGTTTCGGCAAGGACACGGCTGATGAGGGCGGCGAGATCCAGGACGCCCATCTGTCGAATGTTCCACGCCCACATTCTTGGGTCGTCGTAGGTTAGGAGAGTGTGTTTCGGCGTGAAGCCGCATCGGTTGTTGCCAAGCCAGACATCGTAGCCGGACTTGGCGAGGTAGAAGGCCAGTGAATCGTCATCGTTCGTGCAGAATGCGCCAGCACACTGCAACAGGCCATGCATCATGAGCACCGGATACTTTTTCTTCCCATCCGGAAATGGTTGCGTCTCGGCGAATCTTGGATCATCGCGCGAGGTCTTGAAGACATCTGGGCCATGCATCTTGTAACTGGATGGCGCTGGCTTTTGGTAGTCTCGTGGATTGAAGATGTGCCATAGCTCGATGATGAAGCCGTCTTCCGTCTCAACTTCGAACGTCTCCGCGTCCAAACCCACCCGCCTCGCGTAATAACCAACGTCAACAACGAGCGGATCCGGTCCGCCTTCAGTTGGAACAAACGCACCATCTTGTGGAGGCTGCCGTGTCTTCTCATTGTAGAGACCCTTTTCGCCAGACGGCGTGTGCGTGCCTTTGCTGCGCTGGTGAATCCACGCCTTCTCCGCCGCCCGCCTTTCTTGTGCTCGCTGCTTCTCTTCTGTGTAGAATGGACGGTCGTACTCTGGGTTTTGCAGCAGCATTACTCGGCGTGTATAGCGTATTATCCTGGGCACGGCATCCGCAATGCATCCTATTACAATCGCTATCAGGAAGCCTAATGACAGAACAGACGAGACTGAACGGAAGAAGTAGCATTGTACAGTCCTCATGAGGGAAGGCGGTCCGTACATTGGGAGAGGTGGAAACAAGGGGTTGGTCCTCGATACCGGCACTGCTTCAGTCAAGGGCGCATCCGGCGCATGCTTTTGCTCTTCAACATCAGACCTCGACGCTGGTGCCGGCGGCGACTGTAGCCGTGCGCCATATGTCATACCGTCGCGACCCTGTCTAACCGCACCTCTAGGCGGACTCCGCGGGATCTCGTAGCCATCTAGCTGGTCTCTGAGGCGGTTCAGCTCGGCCGCTTCATCGACGGGAACCGCTGGCAGTCGGCCGCCATTCTGTGTCTCCACCACAGGATCGAGAGGCGTGACGAACTTCGCCTGCGCGGCCTGGGTCGAGCCCGTCTCGTCGTTCTCTTGCGAGGGTCTCAAATGCGCGAGTCGCTGTGCCTGACGCGCGTATTCGAGGGCTGCTGAGCTCTTCTCAGGCAGTTTCTGGTAGCCGTTGGAGTAGATCACCTCTTCGAAGTGAGGCATTGTCGCCTTGGCCATGAACTTCGCTCGCCGCTCCTTCAGAGTACCAGGGACGATGTGAAATCAACGCGCATTCGTGTCCGCAGCACCCAAAGCGCTAATAGGGCACCTGAAGCGGGCACCAGTCGCGCCTGTTGAGATTCAGCTTACGGAAGCGACGGCTTGCTTACCGCGGCGTGGACAGAGATGAGATAGTTGTCAGAGTTGAAAGAGTGTGAACTAGGAATGGAAATGTACTACCAAACAAACGTGCGGTCCACAGCACCAACGCTTGAGGATCTACGCTCCGCCATGCGCGTTGAACTTGCCGCTTCCCAGCGGCTGGGCGATGAGCGATTGACAACCAGGGCCACCAGCCCGATTGCCCTGCGTTGTCCCGTGCATGACGTTTAGCCCCGAGTGGCGCGGGAGTCAGTGGCGCGCGTTGCAGGATTTATACATGATTCGTGGATCGTCGCATGGCAGGCGATACACTTGGTGCCTGCCAAGAGAGGCGAACGTGTGTGCAGAGACGAGATGAGGTCAAAGTCGTCTCGGAACGTTCCCTCAGATCGCAATTCTCTGACAGCGCGCGAGATCCTCCGTCTTGACTCGCAAGATGACATCCTTGCCCACTGTGGCTGAGGCACACCATTCTTCAATTTCTCCGCACACTGCCGTGCATGTGAAGGCTCACGTTCGCGACAAGCTCACAGTCTCGCTCCAATCAGCTGATGTGGGAAGAACGCTGTAGGGACGAGCACTTTCGGGTGAGTACTACTCTCATACCGTCCTGATGACCACATTATCGTGCTGCGTCCTGTCCGGCTGCAAAAGCCGCCTTTGAGACGTCCATAGCCATCAACCTCGGCTCACCGTTTTCTTGGCGCTATTCTGATCGCATTGTACCCACGAGGACCTCTCCTTTCTTTCTTGCCTTTCATGCACGTCAGCCTCAGAGGGTGAGGCATTCCGTGATGGCCGCGACATATGCGAATCCGGTACCGGGCTCGCTCAAGCGTAAGCGGAGAAGGCGCGAGGACAAACCAGCAATATCGGCGCGAGTAGTCCTTGACAGCAGCTTGCAAGGCGAAGAGGGAGTACTATCAGACGACCTTGTCAGTGATCTGTATCCGTCCTACGACAAAGATCAACCACAACGACTATACGCCGCCGTCACGCCTTGGACTCCAACGACATCCGTCTCCGAGGTCAGCTGGGCTATTTTACCTTTGCGGCCGTGCAACAAGCAGGAGAAGTCTCTGCCAGCATCAACTGTACGCTGCCCGGCTTCAGCATTCAGTACGCAGAGCTTCGTCAACCTGTTACAAGTGGTCTCGCCGAACCGCGTAATAAGGCAGAATGCGGTGGTAGAGGTTAGAATCAGCGATGTCGTGCCGCTACCGCTGCAGACAGTGTTTGTATCCGTGGACACAGACGCGATAGAAAGGCTCGAGGAAGTGCAAAAGAGGTATGGTGGAGGCTTTTCGGGCACGAATGGGTCGTTGGGCAAGCGCACAGGAAGGGCAGCGGTAGAGAATGTGGACGATGCAGGCCCTGCGTCTTCCGACGACGGGCAGAAACGACTCGTTCGTGAAACCCTCGAGCGTGTCATGCTCCTTCATACTGGTGATATGTTACCCTTAGCTCTCACCCACCCGGTCACGCACACCTCTGCCCCTCCGGCTCGGGTTTTAGGCTGCGAACCCGTATCCCAAGGCATACTCACTGCTGACACGAAAATTGTCATGACAAGTGCCTCGGACCGGCGGCAGCATACCCTTAGCAATCGTGCTTTCATGTCTCCACGGCTAGACGAAGAGACAGAAGACGACACCTCAAACGAAGCTTTCTTTTCCGCCACAGAGGGAAATTCGCCCATGAAACCCATCGTCACCTCCAAGTCAACAACGGATCTCTCCAACACGGACGATCTCTTCGACTCCAATACCGAGGACAGCAACCTATCGGACGACTCCGACGACATGATTTCGCTGGCCAAACCGGGATTGACCGACCAACCTTCAGGACTCAGCTCTGCGGCCAGCGCGTCCACGCGAAGGGCGTTCGGTAGCAAAGCCGGGGGAATTAGCACGCCCGGCTCGGTCTTCTCAAACATGACTGCAAGTACCATCCGCGGAGGACAGTCAACGAGAAGCAAAGTGTTCCGGACTCAAGGTCTGCTCGAGCGGATAGCGGAGGATCTACTTCACCCGAAGCCGCCGCAAGACGAAGACGAGGAAGCACGCGTCTACGTGGAGGCCACCGCACTGGCCAGGCTCGGGTGCTTCTCTGGCGACTGGGTGAAGTTGGAGGCTGTGGAAAGTCTAGGATTGCCACAGCTGAGCGCATTCGACACATCGGAGGACGCTAATTCGCACGGCTGGCGACCAGTCAAAGTTTACAGTCTGCCAGAAAGTATGTCAAAACGCCCGCAAAAGTATCAGATCAATACGAGAAATGGCAGGCGGGACAGTATCTCCTCACTCGCTACGACTTCCGGCGCTGTGGCGACATTGTACGCTTCGCCGATTCTGCTAGCTAATATGCAGCAGCCGGAGAACGTCAGCTTATCGCCGTTAACGAGCAACAAGCGTACAGCGGCAAGACGACCACTTTCGCAACGACCAACCTCGTCTGCCCCGCGCCAGCCTCCTATGGCGTCGGAGGTGACACTGCGAAAGATCGTGACACCGACCTCGAGCGAGAGGGCTCTCAATAACGCGCTTTTCGCAAATCTGAAGGAGCATTTCGAAGGCAAGCTGCGGGTTCTTAAAGCTGGTGATCTCATCGCGATTCCTGTGGACGAGAGTCTAGGCCGTGCGTTGTACGAAGGCAGTACCGAGCAGGAAGAGGGTAACAGCAATACGTTACTCGCGCAGTGGCACTCCGGCTCTAGCAAGTCTGAAGCTGGCCGACGGACTGTGGCTTGGTTCAGTATCGAATCCGTGAACGTCACTCAAGAGAACGGAGCGGGGCTGGACATCGGCGAAGGATGGGGCGGTGCAGCCTCCATTGATCCAACTAGAATGACAATGCGGCAGTCTGGTGATGAGCGGCGCAGGCTGCCGTCAGTCGCTGGCAGCACCTGGCCATACTACCTGGGCGTTCGACACTCCGCTCCCAAGCTCACTGGCGCTGGGCTTTCTGGCGTACCAGAAGTACCTGTCTCCTACGTCTCTGCGCTCCAGCGCCGGCTTCGTGAGCTCATCTCAGTCTCTACTAGCCCACGCGCAGTCCATCTAGGCCTTCCGCCACTGGCTGTGCTACTTACCTCGACCCACCGCAGCATTGGTAAAGCGCACACGGTCCAGCGTGCCTGCGCAGGTCTCGGGGTCCACTACTTTCCTATCGACGCTTATGATGTTGTTTCCGAAGGCGGAGCAGGAGTAGATACGCAGACGCAAGGTCTACTTGAGGCGCGCTGTGAGCGAGCATTGGACTGTGGGTCCGAGTTTACTGCAATATGCCTCAAGCATATCGAGGTGCTTAACTCTGACCGTGTCGGGGCTTCTCTGAAGGAGGTGCTGAGGAGGGCGAGAGTGCTTGTGGCGACGACCACCGATGTGGATAAGATCCCGGACAGTGTACGAGGGCTGTTCACGCACGAACTAGAAATGGCAGCACCTGACGAGGGTGAAAGGGAGGGAATACTACGAGATATACTCACAGAGTCCGGATTGCCACTCTCGTCGGAGATCGACTTGGCGGCTATCGCTGTGAAGACCGCCGCGCTCGTTGCTGGAGATTTGGCTGACGTGGTTGAGCGTGCAATGGCTGCGAGGATTGAGCGGCTGGATTCACTGGCGAGGCTGTCATCGGATAAGGCGCCTCAAACGGTAACCGTCAAGGACATTCAGCTGGCTGGCGGCGCTGCTGCGACCTCATTGATTCCTGCCGACTTCGACGCTGCCGTTGACTTGGCACGCAAGAACTTCGCAGACTCTATCGGTGCGCCAAAGATACCGAACGTGCAGTGGTCGGACGTGGGTGGTTTGTCGCACGTGAAGGATGCCGTGGTCGAAACCATCCAGCTCCCATTATCAAGACCCGAACTCTTCGCCAAAGGGCTCAAAAAGCGCAGCGGCATACTGTTCTATGGGCCACCAGGTACCGGCAAGACGCTGCTTGCGAAAGCTATAGCGACCGAATTCAGCCTGAATTTCTTCTCAGTCAAAGGCCCGGAGCTGCTCAACATGTACATAGGCGAGTCTGAAGCAAATGTCCGACGCGTCTTTCAGCGTGCTCGTGACGCCAGGCCGTGCGTGGTCTTCTTCGATGAACTTGATTCTGTTGCGCCGAAGCGTGGCAATCAGGGCGACAGTGGCGGCGTAATGGATCGCATCGTCTCGCAGCTGCTGGCTGAGCTCGACGGCATGGGCGATGCCGAGGAAAGCGGAGGCGGCGTCTTTGTTATTGGCGCGACGAATCGGCCAGATTTGCTTGATCAAGCGCTGCTGCGTCCTGGGCGTTTCGAGAAGATGCTGTATCTGGGCATCAGTGATACGCATGAGAAGCAGGCGACCATCTTACACGCTTTGACAAGGAAGTATGTTGCGTTCACTCTGCGAGCTCACCTAGCAAAGACTAATATCGTTGCAGGTTTAACGTTGACCCTTCGCTGTCGCTTGCTCGCGTTGCTGAGACCCTACCATTCACCTTTACTGGTGCTGACCTGTACGCTCTATGCTCGGATGCCATGCTCAAGGCTGTGACGCGGTCCGCTCGTCTAGTCGATCAGAAATTGGCCGCTATCAACACCGATCGAGCTGCGCGAGGCCAAATCAAAGCTTCTGTCGCATACTATTTCGACCACTTCGCCACAGATTCAGACACAGATGTGCAGGTTACGGAGCAGGACTTTGTCAACGCCAAAAGAGAGCTTGTTCCGAGCGTCAGCCTTGACGAGCTGCAACACTACGAACGTGTCAGAGACACATTTGAAGGCGCCACTAGAAAGCCGAACGGAGTGGAGCCGGCTTCACGTCCGCCGACCGCGAGATCTGCGGGTAGTGAGAGCCATATGCCCTCGCGGAAGCGTTTGACGGAGATGCTCAAGCGCGGCCCTTCTGGTGTTGGTAAGCCTTCCATGCCCAATGGCAGACACGAAGCCACTCCTCCCGCTGCCGGAGGAGCGTCAGATGGCGATGACGAAGATTATATTGTTCGGACAGACAAGATGTCACTGCGCTCGGGAGCATCCGAAATGCCGCCGAACTATATCAATGGCAAAGGCAAGAACGCGGAGGTGAATAGCTCTCCAGCAGACCTGTATGACTGAGAGGTCTCCATTGGCAACGTTGCCTTTTCCGAAGACTTGGCATGTCTCGTGACAGAGCCCCCACCGCAACTGGAGCGTCTGGTCCTCAATGCAAGCGTGCCCCTATCGACGGCGTTTTGGAGCACCTCTAGTGCCAGCTCCATCAACCCGAGTTTCGTCCGATCAACAAGGCTACCAATGTCCTCGGCAAGTCAGCGTCGGAAGAGCTCGTTAGGACTGCTTGCTTCTAATCAGACATGGACATGTCTCGCGCTCCGACGCGATGTCCGACACGCTCGGCCTTACACGTAAGTGGTAGCTGTCACAGCGCGGCGCGGCACTGTGCCACGAAGTTTTATATCAGTCTAGTGATGTAGTGGTCCCACGTAGGAGCTGCAGTCCTGGGCAGACTCGTCGCTAAAAGCGTCGAGTTCAACGCCCGCATAAGATTGTGGACGAGCAGCAACTTAAATGCGCTGCCGTCGGTGACTGCCAGCAATATCTGCGAGAGTTTGCCGAAAACTCCAGGTCTTCTCCGAGGTACAAGCGCTGCAAGGCTGAAAATCTCGACGTCACATGACCAATCCCACGTGGACTCCGCTGGGGGTGCCCCATTTTCGATCATGCAGTATTGCTTTAACCTTGTCGGGTCTCTGCGGGGTACAACGCTGTGGGCGCCACATTCTCAGGTCTCACGGTGTTCGCAACTGACCGGACCTGCTCTCCTTGGCCATGACAAGATGTCACGGTCTATCGGGTCTGGCCTGCGCTTACTGATTAGTAGCGTGATGTCTGCTTTCACATGGTGCGTGCTACGGTCCGTCACGGAACTCTACCACAGCAAGCTTGTCTTATAAGTACGACGGTTTCCCCTCGATGATGGTTAAGAGTAGGTTCGCTACTGTTCTTCCAGCATACTACGCTCTTCAAGATGTTTCTCTCCTTTCTCTTCACACCATGGATCCTCCTCGCAATACCGCCCTTGTTATTCATCCTACCTTTCGTCCGAAATTGGAAGATTGCAGACATTCCAGGTCCACTCTTAGCGAAGTTTACTGATTTCTGGTACTTGTATGAGTGCCGCCGTTGTCGACGATACCTCACAGTCTTCAACCTTCACCAGAGACTTGGCAAGTTTGTAAGGCTGCAACCGAACCATGTCTCCATTGCAGACCCAGACGCAATCCCGATTGTCTATGGACATGGCACCGGCTTTCTCAAATCGTACGCAACCACGCGATTTGCCAAGGCTATACTCGACATCGATCGCTGACTCTTTAACAGCGACTACTACGATGCATTTGTTTCCATCCACCGCGGACTCTTCAACACGCGCGACCGCGCAGAGCACACGCGCAAACGGAAGACTGTTTCGCACACCTTCAGCGTAAGGTCGATCGGGCAATTCGAGCAGTACATCCACCACAACCTGGAGGAGCTGGCCAACCAATGGGATATCAAGAGCAAACTTGCTCAAGGAGGCTTCTATAAGTTCGATGCGCTACACTGGTTCAACTACGTCGCGTTCGACATAATTGGCGATCTGGCCTTTGGCGCTCCTTTTGGGATGCTGGAGAAGGGTGCTGATGTCGCAGAGGTGCGGTTGACGCCTGACGCACCCATGACCACTGCGCCCGCGATCGAAGTTCTCAATCGGAGAGGTGAGGTCTCGAATGCTGTTGGAATCATTCCTTGGATTAAGCCATATGCCAAGTACCTCCCTGATCCGTTCTTCTACAAAGGAATGGAGGCTATCCAGAATCTGGCGGGTATCGCTACCGCGCGGGTCAACGAGCGTTTGGCGGCTGCCGAGCGGGGCGAGATCACTCGAGTGGATCTTTTGGCGCGTTTAATGGAGGGCAAGGACGAGAATGGCAACCCTCTCGGGCGTGCCGAGCTAACGGCGGAGGCGCTGACGCAACTCATTGCCGGCTCGGATACGACCTCGAACACTTCCTGCGCCCTCCTCTACCACTGCTTGATGCATCCGGAGGTGGTGAGGAAGCTGCAAGCGGAGCTCGACGAAGCTTTGCCCAGCAATGATGTTCCAAGCTATGAGCAAGTCAAGGACCTTCCGTACCTCGACCAGGTCATTCAGGAGACTCTGCGAATCCACAGCACCTCAAGCCAGGGTCTGCCACGCCAGGTGCCAGTTGGTGGAGCCGAGGTCTGCGGCAGATTCTTCCCACAAGGTCTTGTCCTCAGCGTGCCGGCGTATGTCATGCACCACAGTACGGAGATCTGGGGTCCGGATGCGGAGGAGTTCCGTCCGGAGCGGTGGGAGAAGGTCACGGAGAGGTGAGTGTCATAGATTGGTATGAGCTGCGGCTGCAGGTGGCTGACTTCGTCGCTTACAGGCAAAAGGGAGCATTTATCCCCTTTTCCTACGGTCCTCGCTCGTGTGTTGGCCGGAATGTGGCGGAGATGGAGCTTTCGCTTATTGTAGCTACGGTCTTCCGGCGCTATGAGTTCGAGCTGTATCAGAAGCACTTGGAGACCAGAGAAGGCTTCCTGCGTAAGCCTTTGGGATTGCTTGTTGGAATGCGCAAAAGGCAGAAGTAAGATGTGGTTTTGCAAACTTGAGACCTTTGGTATGAGACGCGTTCAGGATTTGAAGTTGTACATACGCTGCTATCAAGCCAACGTTTATGAATCTTCTTGTTGAAATCAACGCGTTCGTGGCGAGCGAAACTCCTTCGAACTTGCAATGGAAAGCAAGTCGGACCTATACTCTTTGGACTGCGCATACTGCTAGAATTGCGCGTCTACTCTCCATCCTCATCCACCGCTTCCATCCCAGCACCACCGCCAATACCACCATCCATTCCATCCTCTTCCTCCTCAAACGTATCCCTCGGAACCTGATACAGCCGGATAGTAGGCTTATTCGGATCCTTAACCATGACATACTTCGCATCACTACTCTCTTCCCTCATAACCATATCAACAAACGTGCGCACTATAGCCCACCCATTGTTCAGATTGAGGTTCATCTGGCCCGCGAACTCCCGCGGCTTGTAGCCCAGCACACCCAAGATAACGTGCTCAGACGTACTCTTATAATTTGCGCGGGACACGAAGCCAAGCTTCATCAAGTCGGCCTTCGCGAGGATGGCTTGTGTCGTCCAGCGAGCCAGCTTGCAGGAGTTGTTCTTCATCTCCGTTGCAACGACTGCACCACGGGCGGAGGCGAGCTTGCTGCGCCAGTCCAGCGCTCCTGAGGCTCCCTGGGCACGAGGGTCGAACTCGTTGAGAGCATGGATGGTCAGGAACTGGTCCTCGCCCGAGATGGTGTTCTTGACTACTGCATCCAGCTCAGTCCGGACTATGAGATGCAAAGGCTCCGCATCTGCTTCAAGACTTAAGTCGAAGCGGCGGTACTTGTAGGCTTTCGAGGCCGGAGGGTCGGTCTCTTCGGCGGCGTTGTAGAATGGGTGCGGGTTGTTCATTTCGTGCTTGCCCGTTTCTGACTCCTGGACGACTTGACACGGGAAGACGTTGTTGATGTGCGTGGCTTCTTCCTTGAGCGCGATAGGATTGTTGAGAGTGTCTTTGTTGCCTTCGGAGAGTTCCAAGGGCGCGTCGGCGGCATTCTCGTTGACAGTCACCATGTCTAGGGCGCTACCATCGCGCTTATCAATGAAGATCTTGTTGTTCTGCTTGACAATGACAAGATCCCAGCTGTAAACGCTGCGGGGCGCACACATGAGCATGGAGAGAATATTGTCGGTTGCGAAGATGGTGGCTTCATCCTTCTCAGCCATTTCTTGGATGATGGGATCGGCGGAGGTGCTGACGTTGTAGGCGGCACGGTCCAGGACCTGCAGTTTACGCACAGAAGTGGGCGCGCCTGGCTGCTTATCATAGCTGCGGTCATAGTAGTAGAGGAATCCGTAGTCGTCCAGGTCTTCGCCTTCGCCCGTGTCGAGGTTCAGCTTGGACAGGCGGTTGAAGTCGATCTCCTCGAGCATGCGCCACGTATCCTTGGGCTGGATGGAGGCTTCACGATTGCGTTGTGGCTTGTCGTAATCCTTCCAGCCGAACCGACGGCCACCTCTGCCACCGCGTCCCCCGCGCTGATCGAACTGCTGCTGTCCGCCTCGTCCGCCTACTCGCTGGAACGTGCCTCTGCCGCCACGTTGGTCTCGGCCACCGCGCTGCCCTCTGCCACGGCCGAATATGGCATTGCCCCTGCCACCAAAGCCTCGTCCGCGAGTGTTGGTAGCTGAGCGATCCACTATCGAGAAGCTGCCTTCTTCGCTCTGCTGCTCCAGGTTGAACACCGTCTGCAGCCCGCCCGGCCCACCAGCACCATAGACTTGGTCACGGTACCTTTGATTGTACTGCTGCCGGCCACCTCGTCCCTCGCGATCTTTGCCCTCCGACGTCCAGTCCGCCATCCGGCCGAGCTTGTCGCCCTTGGAAAAGGGTGCGTATGGAACGCCATCGAGCGTTGTCTCTGTGGTGGTGGGTGGTCCCCAAGTGTCGGTACTTGGCAGCGAGTTGATAATTTGCGAGAGGTCGAGTCCGGGAGCCATGATGATCCTTGTCTGGTAGTCTCGAGTCCCGTAGTGTGACGGTCGTGGTTCTGCGGATAACGCTGGATGGATGGAGAGAGTGTGCGAAATCTTGGCGGGGCAGATGGTGCGCAATGCCGAAGATTGGCCGGCGCAGTCGCGACCTTCAAGCCTTCACTTTCACAACCATCTATCCTTACTGCAGGCTTGACCCAACATAATAACGCGAGTAAGAACAGCTTGATCGTCATCGACAGCTCCATCTGGATACACCTCCGGAATAGTCTTGTGTCTCAACCACCTTCTCTTGATCATGGCCGCATATCGACACCTGGAGGCATGGTCCAGAGAACCGAGCTACGGGTCCATGCAGGCGCAACATCAAGCCGACGAGACGATGATAGGTACCGCGCAATGGCTTCTACTTACTCCGAGTTCAGGGGACGCAGGGTAGATCATGCCGATGGAGGAGCGCCAACCCACGCTGCAAGCAGAGTGCTGGATGGTGATGCTACCGTGCTGCCACATGAGGACACGACATACGTAGACGATACCCAACTAGCGTACCAAGCGCTAGAGAGTCAGCTGATCACCTCTTCTCTGACCGACCCGGCCAAGACGCCGCCGAGACATCGCGGCAGTGAGCTGGAGCCTGACTCGCCGTGGCCTGATGACCTTGATATAGCGAGCCCGGAGCGTAGCGATTGGATTGTATCCGTACACGATCAAGCGTCTGTCGTACCGCGGGTTACATTGGACGCGCTTCGGCCTACAAAGCGTCCGCGCCGACAAACGAGTCGTGAAGCTCTACCAACACCTGTATTCAAGCCATTTCGGATGCCTTTGAAACGTGCGGCATCTGACGCCGCCACTTCCTTTCGCCCACCGCAATCCAACGCCGCATTTCCTGACCCGGGATCTCGTACTCCGCCACAGCCGTCTGTCAGCCAGTCGTCATACCTCAAGACGCCGAATCTCGTGTCGCCTGAACTCAGGAAGGACAAGTCACCGTTCAAACACACTCTTGCCAGTCCCTTCAACCACATAGGTGCCGTAAAGCAACCTGGGCGTGAAGTTTCGGACGGTCCAGGTGGCTCAAAGCTCCCAGATTACCGTGAGCGCACGCCTCAGCAGCGACAATATGTTCCTTATGTGCCGCTTGCCGAGGGCAGTCAGGTTGGCTTGGCTTTTGTTGGGGACCACAGTGGCACTCAAAACCACCTCCACATATCTCAGGCCGCAGAAAGCGACGCGCAAACGACGTCCGAGCTGCCAACCACGTACTCGTTGAGTGACATTACGTCTGAAAGCTCGCGAGGCCGGAAGCGGCTGTCCCAACGTTCCGACAGCGACCCAGGTCCGAAGATCACAAGCCAGGACTCTACTGAGGCACCCAGCGTTCGGAGATCGAACAGTGAGCCCATCGGGCTCCGTCAAAGCCCGGCCAAGAAGGAAGTTCCGGTCAAACTGCGCATACAGGACGTTACTGCTTTCAAAACGATCCCAGCTACCAGAGAGGATCAGACAAGCACCGGCCAGACGCGGCAGAGACCAATCTTAATCAGTCCGGATCATAGCCTGAAGACCGCAGTAGCTCCGGCTGTCATCAAGCAGTCTATCAGCCAGCGATCCAATACCACTGTTAAGCCATCCGGCTGCAAGCACTCGGACAATGTCGATGAGCTACGAGTGACAATGCAAGACCTACCATTCTCGATCTTTCCACCATCACCACCTGTCTCCTGCTCAGGTTTCACTACGCACGTGACTAGAAGCCTGCAATGGCTGGTGGAGAACTCCCAGATCTCTGACCACTTTCAACCAGTCCGTGTCACACGCAATGTCGATCTGCTAGAGCGAGGTTACTGGCTCTTTCGCACCGACGCTCTCCCGCTCGAATTGCAAGTCACTACATGGCAGTTCCTGCAGAAGATGATTGCATCGGGCAATGCTGGATGGGGAATTTGGTGCGTTCGCGAGCTGGGTCGAGAGGATGAGGGAGAAGCTGCTGTGGAGACGGTTGGGACTCTTGGCAATCTGAAGATCTTCTGCTGGGGTGAGGTGATCAAGCATATATATCTGATGCTGTATGTGGCCAGCAAGAGTAAAGTGAGAAGGCTGGGTCTGCAGTGGTGTGACGCCGAAGAGAAGGTGGTCGTGCAAATGAGATGCGCAGAAGAGCGGAGCCGGGTTGCCTAATCGTCCAAAAGAATGCCTGAGTGATGATACATGCAGATCAAGCGGACCCGACATACAATGTGACTCACGGCACGTTACATGTATTGTGGGAAAGGAAGCAGAAGAATATCGCTCACGGTGGCTCAGGATGGCTTACGGGCGAAGCTGGGTAATTCAGCCAATGACAGCGCGGCAGGGTTCGTTAAGCCATTTACCAAGTACCCAACTGCACCCACCACGTTTGCGGACGCAAGTGAGGCATTCGACCAATGGAGTGTGTTGCACTCAACTGTCTGTCGCCACGACATAATCATTCGCGGCCTTTGCGGACTGGCTCCCGACACCCTGAGCCTGTCCGACACGAGGCGGAATGCCTGGTTATTTACTTTGATGCTCGTTCGATTGCGAACCGAATGATATAAAGCTACCGGCGACCCTCCATCGCTCGGACAAATTCCTCATCACTGCCGCATTTCTACCTTACAAGTCTACCATCTCACCTTTGCATAAAGCTCTCTCTAACCTGCTTTCACCACGGCCTTCTCTTGCAACGACTTACACGCCGTTGCTTTCCAGTCGTGAGGAAAGCAGAACAAGATGTTGCTGTCAACTGAGGACTTGCTGAAGACATCCAGGATGCACCCGGAGATCAAAGAGGTAAGCTTTCGTCTGCTACCACCAACAACACTGTCAAAGCTCGCTCATACAATAGTGCTTTACAGTACCTCGACAAGAATCCACTAAATCTCCCACCGTTTGGAGACATCCCAGCACAACGAGCGCTCATTGCCCACGTCGAAGCCGAAGGCCTGAAGCTGGCCGGAGATGCGGAACCTACGCTCATCGAAGAGGAGCGTCAGATACGCATGCGTGACGGCTATCTTAGCACGATCAAGATTCACAGACCTGCTTTCATACCAGCAGCAGGCAGTCCGCTGGTCGTGCTGTATTTCGGCGGCGGTTGGGTGTCTGGCTCTCGCCACCAACTGACACCGACTGCGAGGGCATTCGTGAGGCTGTTTGGTGCCGTTGTGACAACCGTCGACTACCGGCTCGCACCGGAGAGTCCGTTTCCCACCGCCCAAGAAGACTGCTGGGACAGCACCAAGTGGATTGCCATGCATGCCCGGGAACTGCACGCCGATCCCAGCAAAGGGTTTGTCGTTGGTGGGATCTCGGTGCGTATTCCATCCTCGCTATCTAACACAACGCTAAAGGTCTCCCCCCTTTCAATTGTAGGCTGGTGGCTGTAGTGCGCTCGTAGTGGCGAACCTAGCGCAAACTGAACGGCTCGGGCCAAAGATAACAGGGATGTGGATCAGCGCCGCACCGATCATGGAGCAGGAGCATGTACCGGAGGAGTTCCAGGCGCACTTTATCTCTCGAGAGCACAATCGACGTGCGCCGATCATTACGACGGAAGGCTTGGAGGCTATGCAACAGAAAGGAATTTGGGACCTGCGGTCGCCTATGCGCTGCCCTATTCTGTTTCAAGACCGTGTCCCGCTGTCAAGCCTGCCACCTGCATACTTTCAGGTCTGCGGACTAGACCCGCTCAGAGACGATGGCTTGATCTACGAGGATATGTTGAAGCGGGCTGGCGTCGACACGATGCTCAGCTTTTATCCTGGTTGCCCGCACGCGCATTTTGCGTTCTTCCCAGGCTTGGCGGTCAGCATAGAGGCGGTGGCAGATATCGCGATTGGAGTGGGTTGGCTGCTAGGAACGAAGATTGCGGCGGCGGATGGGTTGCGTGCACTTGCGCTACCTTCGTAGCCGTGAACTGCTCGGCAATACGTGCCGGGTAAACCGCCTTAGCAACGAATGCTTATCGGTCACTCAGTGTCCTTTACCGCGGCTCAACTGATGGACATTGCAATATAGTACACCGATACCGCCTCAGCTGCCAATCTTTCCTCGGACCCACTTACCGATTTCATCAATCGACTGATCCGCTTCCGGGGCGCGACCTGCCATGAACTCGAAGACGTGTTGTTGAGCATCATGGACTTTGAGAATAACCTCGACGCCAGCTTGCTTCAACTTGTTCGCCATACGCGTCGAATCCGAGCGTAACATGTCATATCCTGCTGCACTTATCCAGTGCGGTGGCAATCCGCTTAGCTCATTGTCGGCCGCATATAGCGCGCTGATTAAGGGGTCATTGGGATCGGCGCCATTCTTTGTGTACCGCTCACGGAGCTTAGCCATATTCTCAACGGTGTTCAACACATCATTGTCGGCATTGGTCTTGAGGCTCTCGCTGGTTTGACCGACGGTATCGTACCACGGCGACAGCGATACAGCAGCCCCTGGCGCTGGAAGTCCATCCCGTGCGATCTTCAACGGCACACTAGTCGCCAAGCCGCCGCCACAGGAATCACCTGCTGTGACGATATGCTTACCCTCGAAGCCTTGATCCAGCAGCCATCTGTAAGCATTGACGCAATCATCAATAGCTGCCGGAAAGGGCGACTCCGGTGCGAGTCGGTAGTCGACCATGAGCGCCCAGGTGTTGCATGCTTTAGCCAGGTGAGCGGCGAGCTTGCGATGACTTGTGAGGGATCCAAAGGTATAGCCTCCGCCGTGCATGAAGAGAATGGCGTGCTTCGAAGAGGCAGACAATGGCATGATCCATTTGGCGGGGCGATGATGCTCGCCAGGAAGCGTGATATCCTCATATGAGGTATCTGGAACCTCTGTGGCTACCGACTCCACTTGATCGTACAAAACTCTTTCTAGATAAATGTTCTCAGTTGTTGGAGAGTGAGCACTAATCCGTCGAAAGAGGTCGGTCAGAACGCCTGACTCCTTGCTTGGGGTCATTGTAGTCATCGAAATTAATATGATGTTCGAAGACCGTCGTAAACATGTCTCGCTGTTGCAAGGGTGAGTACGCTGGCTGGTAGCTGCCTGCAATGATGTCAGTCAAAAGCTTACATGTGCTCTTGTCACATCGGCACGCCATTCTATTTCCGATCCGAAAAGCATTCTCTTCCCAACTCCATATATGGCATACAACCATATGAGTGAGCGACAGGCCGCCCAAACCTAGCGAAAACATCCGGGGACGACAACATCTCCGGATCGCGGAGGGCAGTCACCTAGTCTACGCCGATGAGGCTGCTAGATTGACCTGTGCTGCGTTCAATTGCACGCGTATGGTCAAAGAAAGTAGGTAAACAAAGTGAGCAGTCTTCTGTCTGCAGTAAGCCGCATCCTTGCAAGTGCACTCGCGCTGCATGGAAACATGACCGACTCTATCGAACCGTATACCCTCCGTCTAACTTTACGTCGACTCCATTAATGTTGAGCGCTTCATCCTGGCACAGGAAGTAGATTATGCGTGCGACTTCAGACGGTTCGGCGAACCTCCCTGTAGGAATAGCAGCTTGATACTCTTCCCTCATCTTTGCGTCCGCCCAAGCTTTCTTACCCAGCTCCGTCTGCCATGGTCTCATCAGCTGCTGACAATAGAACACCGGAACTTGAGAAAGAGCTACTCACCCAAACAGGTCCCGGACTTATGGAGTTTGCAGTTATCCCAATCGGTCCCCATTCGCTCGCCATACACTTTGTCAACCCAATCAGACCAGCCTTGCTCGCGCAATAAGCCCCATGGTGGTGGAGAGCGACATGTGCAGCTTGACTGGCTATATTGACGATGCGTCCGCCGAGTGCTGGAGAAGCCGTAGCACTCTTCTTAGCGGCCATGTACAGTCTCGCAAAGCTCTGACCAACGATGGTTGGTCCGAACAGATTTATGTTGTAATGCCGCAGCACATCTTCGGGGGTTGTATCCTCGAGCGGACTCAAGTTCACATAGCCTGCTGCGTTGACCAAGATGCTGGGGAAGGCCGCATCGTCCTCTGCAATCGCGGCGAATGCCCGGCTCACAGACTCGGGCGAGGTAATGTCACATTCGTAGGTGGCAATGTTGCCGGTAGCAGCGGCCTCGCCGTCGTGATCGAAGACATCTGAAAGCGTCTGTTTCACTCTATGGGCCTCGAAAGGCGCATAGAGTAGCGCAAGCTTGGCGCCATTGGACCTGAGAAGCTTGCCCGTAGCACTGCCAATGCCGCCTAAGTACACGTTCAGTGAACAGAGCAGCAGTCATAATCAAGCAGCCTACCATACCTATTCCGCCCGCTATGATGGCGAGTCGTGATGAGAGCGCCATTGCAGTAGATAGAGGGCATAGTTGGAGAGCGACATTCGCCGCTTCAAAATGCGGGGAATCTTCGCTGCAATGGTCGTTCGAAAACGGCCATTGCATCGTACTAAATGGGTACGATTCCACGCTCAGGTCGAGGCGCAATCCCCCACTACAATCACTTTGCAGCCTTCGTATGGCGTACCTGGACATTGATGCTAACCGTAGGCGTTCTGGGGACTGGATGCCCGTCAAGAGACTTGATCGCACCATCTCTGTACGGCTTCAGCTCCGGGTTACGGTCAACGACGTCTCGAACAGATGTGGCGGCTATTGCTGATAGTCTGTTGAGCTGGCGTATCAGAGTCAGCCGTACCTCGTCTGCCGTTGCGCCCTTGTTCGCCACGCGGTTAAGCTCATCGTGCGTCTCCCGCAATGCCCTGTTAACGTCGGCACCTCTGCATCTCCGTACAAGAGCAAGCTCTTGAAAGACCCGCTCCACGTATTGCGTTCCTCGTGGTATCGTGCTGGCATAGGCTAAGCACGTGCGACGTAGCATGTCAATTGCTTCATCTGTATTGTAGGTTCCGGCTTCAAGGCTCGCAATGAGTTCCTCAGCAAGGTTATCTAGACAAAGCTTCGCAGATTTAGCAGCTAACACAGCGGACTCTGTGCCAGCATAGCCATGCCATATCCCAACGCTCGCAAGCACTGCTGCACTAGCTATGCAGCCGAATAGGCCGCCCGTGACTAAGGCAGCAGGCACGAGAGCAGCGGCCTTCGCCATGTTGTCTTGTGTCTGCTCGGGCACTTTAACGGCCTTCGTAATCCGATGCTCGGGTTGGGATGTCGAGGCATTGGCTACCGGTGCGTTCCCGGATGATTCTCCTCTGTCTGTCGTAATGGGGGTACATTTCGACAACGACAACGATCTGCTGTTCAGAAGCGGCCTCGGTGTAGGCTTACTTCCAGCCACACATGTATCCAGGGAACCAATAGCGGCTTTAGCTTGGCTGGACCTCCTACGCTGCGGATTCCTCCTGGCTCTCTTCGGGCCTGCAGAAGAGGCTGCTTCTCCTGTGCTCTCCGACGCAGCCATTGAACGACTTGCGTTCCTAGCGACAGCCGCTCTTCAGGGATATGCGATGTCTTACCCTCTGTGCAAGCTTGCCAAATCAGATTCGTAGGCCCGGAAGGTCCCGCACCTTACGCTCGCCACCCTGCTGTGGCTGGGTCTGCATAGATCAAACGGGCGTTCGGAGCAATGTGCCTTCGTCACTGACACAAGAGCCTGCCATCTCCCGCATTGAATTAGTCACGCGGGGTTGGACAGCCTGCAGTTACCCCCGGGTTCTCGCTCATTGAGCCAACATGAATACATGTGCTTCTCGCGTGCTCAGGACGCCAGACTCTGCTCCGACTTAGCATGTCCAGCAAGTGGTCGCTCATCCTGAAGACGTTCACGGCATATGCAGTAGTAAGCGAAGTCTACAGAAGCAGCAAAGGCCGACCCGAACGCACATTGAGGGAGCGTGCCGTCAACGCGACCAAAGTGTGGCGCAGCATCTGGTTTAACGCCACTTGCCCCAGTCTGACGACACATTCAGCCTGTGACCAACCTCACCCGTCTCCGATCCGACCTCTTTCGCGCAACAACAACATGCACGCATTGCATGAAGGCGCAGAACTTAGAGGCGAGTCTGGAAAGACTTACCTGGCCGTAAGTGCTCTGGGCCAGGAGAATGTATGGACCGCCGTCGACAAGGATGACGTGAGCACCATTGTTGTGCTGAAAGGTCCGGCTTCCACGGACATTGGCACATCATGGCCTCGCTTTCAGCACGAGATGATCATGCATGAGCTTTTCAAGGAATGTAAGCATGTACGCAAACAAGTTGACCGGATTCCGCCCGTGCAGGGTAGCACCAGCCCGCCGATCCTGGTCCTGGAGATGATGGAGACGACGTTATGGGACGCGCGGAAGATGCGATCCTTCACCACCGAGGAGGTCAAACTGGTCGCGACCTACATCTTACTTGGGCTGGCTGAGATACATCAGCGTGGGTTGGTCTTTGCCGACTTGAAGATGCAAAACGTCATGATCAATGGCTTTAGTGCATCCGAGTCTAACAGCGGCAAGCTTTTGGCCAAGCTTGGAGATCTTGGCATTGTGATGTCTCCCTCACGTGGTAAGGTGCAACCGGTTACATACCGAGCACCGGAGGTCTACTTCAAGGGCGAAATCACCCAGGCCGCGGATATCTGGGCCTTCGGCTTGGTATACTGTCACTTGCTGGAAGCCCAGAAGCGCTTCACACGACCTGGCTTGTACGATGATCTTTACACTGGAACGGGAACGATGCCCGAACGAGAGCAAGCAATGCGCTATGCGCTATCCGACGATTATGACGTTGGCCACGTCGACTACTTCAAAGGTTGTCCGCTGCCGTACCGGGATGAGCGCAAAGAGATTGGCCATCAATGGGAGGAGCTTCGCAAGCGTGGCCTCGAGGAAGACGACATTTCCTTCCTGAAGAAAGTCCTTGTGCCAGATCCCAGAGAGCGGCCAACTGCCCAAGCTATCTTGATGTCTCGTTGGTTTGGGGGCGACGGTGATCTAGAACCCACGAAATCGTCCTCTCACGTTGACGATCCACCTGACAGCAGTGAAGTTGGTGTCACTAACGGCTCAGCTCCACCTGCAAGACATAGACGCGACGCTAGTAGCAGCGGACCAGCCGGACCAGGATCCATAGCGATGCCAACGCCACGACCAGAGGCGTTGCTCAGAGGTCAAAGCCAAGCACTGTATACGCCATCCGTAACAACACCAGCTGCAGTCCAGGCAGGTCCTTGGATTCCACCTGGAACTGCAGGTGGAACCCAAGTGTTCAACACACTAGCGCAAAAGCACAGCGAAAGCACGAACCCTCTCCGCAGTCACCCACTAATGGCAAGTGTCCTCTCTCCGCCCGCGGAGGAGCCGGCCGCTGAAGATAAGGCCATGATGGCTAGCGATGATGCTATGGACGGCGTGGAGAAGGAGCATGCAGGCGCAAACGGCCAGACTAACCCAGTGTCACCACCTACGTCGCCGCCTCCAATGTACAGAGGCACAACCCAGCCCAACGTACTGTCCCCTGACCGCCGTCCGCAGCCCTATAGCAGGTCGTCGACTTCAGGAGGGACGTGGCTCAATTACCGGTAACGCACCGCTACCTATAACTATGATTTAAAGGGAGGCCGGAGAACGATTAGCGCACTTTTGGTTGCACCTTTTACACCATGTGGCGGTCCTGAGGGGAAGGGCTCCACTGTAAGGGTTATGTACAATACCTGACGAGTGTACGATGCGCAACAGGTTCACTTTCTGTTGTAGGCTATGCATGGTTATAGGAGCTTTCTGGGAGGAATGAATGACGGTTCGGTTGACGACGGGAAAGCAGGTTCATGGCGGTTAGTGCGGCAAAAGGTTTGCTGCAGGGTGAAGGTACCTTTATGAGATATAGATATAGACTCACGATCACATACCAATCGAAAGTGTACCTCACACGTACGTGTTGGAGAAGCTCACCTCATGCATAATCTTGTCTACCACGGGACTCTTACACGCGTCACGAGCGGCAATGCACCACTTCTGATGACCACGGCGAGAAGCGGCTCGGCAGGAAAGTCTGGTCTTAACGAGCGAATATGTACACGTTCCACAGCCCGTGCCACTCGCATGATGCTCCGCACCACACAGAGCTGACGCTGTCGCTGCGATTTCACAGCACGTATACTTCACCATCAAAGTCGTAGCACTCCTCAAAAGCCAAAGGGGTTCTGCGGTGCTACAACAAGTCACGTCAGCATCCGTCACCACGCACGGACACCTTCTCGGCAGGTTGCGATACTTACTAGCTTTAGCCAAATTCGCCCGCCCCGTTGGCTGCGGCATCAACGGATTCGCTACGGGAGTCCCGAACCTGACCGGTGGTGCAGGGCCAGTCTTCTGCGGCACAAGTGGTGTGACGGGCTGACTCGGACCGAACACGCCGCCCGTTTGTTGAGGCGGTAGTTGCGGTGGCGGAGCTTGTTGTGGGAACCCGCTCGGGAATCCTGTGGGTTGTGACAAATTGAAGGAGGGTTGCTGCTGCTGCTGTTGTGGAAAGGCCATGGGCTGCTGTGGGAAGCCGGTCTGCTGCGGTGGAAAGCCGGTCTGCTGGGGTTGGAAGCCTGGTTGTTGTTGCTGGAAGCCGGTCTGTTGCGGTAGGTAGCCGGTCTGCTGAGGTTGGAACCCCGTCTGCTGCGGCACGAAGCTGTTCGACAATCCGGAAGGTACAGGCTGGAAAGGTTGCCGTGGTGGATCAGCAAATGGACTACCCGTCTGCTGCCCGTTAACCAGAGCTTGCTGGTAGCTTGGCTGAGCGAAGCCAGGCTGCTGTGCTTGCATATAGCCGGTCTGTTGCGGATACTGTTGCATCGCCTGTGCTTGTCCGAACTGACTTTGCGGCTGGAACGCCATACCCGTTGGTTGCGGCTGTAGGGCGGGGAAGTTCTGCTGCATGGCTTGAATGCCGTTAGTTTGCGGTCTCTGCTGAGCGAAGCCGGTGGGCTGCTGATAGAGTGGTTGCGGCTGGAAGCCCGTCTGCTGGTAGCTCAGCTGCTGCTGTTGCGGGTAGCCTGTGAGCTGCGGCTGCAGAGGCGGCGGGCCGAACTGCTGCTGCGGGTTGAAGCCTGGCGCACTCGCTGCCCTAGGAGGAGGAGCTAGGCCTGTAGGCGTAGGCTGTTGCATGGTAGCGGGTGGCTGAGGCCGTTGCCTCGGCGGTGCGAGCGCGGCGATCTTGTCGAACAGCGCTTGGTCCGCTAGTGGTGGTTGCTGCTGTGCCGTCTGTTGTGGTTGTACAGAGACTTCAGCTTGTGCTGGTGCTGGTTGCGGTGCTGGTGCTGGGGCAGCTGTAGGCTGCAATGGCATTGCCAACAACGACAGATCATCATTCAGCTTCGGGGTCTGCGCTTGTGGCCGTGGTGGCTCCGCAGGCTTTGGCGTCTCTTGCACCGGCGCCGGTGCCGTCCTTGCAGGCTTGACATCCCAAGCGTCATCGTCAAACCCGCCTGCGGCCTGCCGCTCCGGTGCACTAGTAAGAGGCGTAGCCCTCGCATCAGCAGGAGCTTCTCTTCTCGCCGGTGCTTCACCCTGCTTGAAAGCTGCCTCATCGATCGTATCATTCGTCTGCACTGCTGGTGCAGGTCTACCTTTCCTCGTGTTGTTCCTCAACGCGCCTCCGGGGCCCGAGAACAGACCACCGCTGCCGCCAGTCGCAGCTCCATTGACAGGGCGAATTTCATCGTCCGGGTGCACAGTTGGAGACGCGGGCGCGCCACCGCTCTTCGTACTTGTCCGACCGTACTTGGCATCAAGGAACTTCATAACGCGTAAAATGTCGCCTTCTTTCAATCCCAGCGTGCGCAGAAGTTGCTCGTTGACTTCCGGCAGGATCTCCGGAGTCATCTGGTCACGACTGAACGCGCTCGCGTACCTCCCACAGATCTGATAATTGACGCCACATTGCAGGAAGAAGTCAAACCAGTAATCTTCATCCTCGCCCCTCTTCTTCCTCTCCGCTGCAGTATCACCGCTACTCGCTGGTCTCTGCACGCTAGCTCCAGCAGAACCATTAGTATGCGGCGCAGCAGATTCAGCATCCTTCTTCTTGATAGTGGACTGGCGCTTGATCTCCGATAGTGGCTTATCGTCGTCTAGACTAACGCCAGTTGCTTTCTCAGTATATTCGATATCTTCGATCGACATTTTCGCGACCGCGACAGCAATCTTGACGCCGTTCATCTTGTGCAGGTGGATCTTGCCTTCACGAAGGCCGATGAACTCGGCTTCAACTTTGAAGGTTCCGGAGCGGTCAGTCCAGGTGCGAACGCGGGCTGGGTTGGGTTTGCTTCGTGAAGATGATTGGTCCTTGGTAGCGTGGTTAGAATCTGAGCTTCGATGAGCGCGAGAGGAGCCTCGCTCGGGTATGCCACCGGTGGAGTCACGACTCGTGCCGTTCTTGGCTGCCTGCTTTGCGAGCCGCTCTTCCTCCATGCGATTCTGCTCGATTGTACTGCGTGCTGCATTCAGGCCCGTCACCGCTTCCGAACCTCTTGGGACGGTGCCGGTGATCTCGACGTAGCTGGCGGGTACCACGCCTTCCTTTCCGTTCCGCAAGCGTCGCACCATCCACCACTCCTCACTCTTCGTGTCGTCCAACACAATCACCTCATCGTCTACCGCCACGCTGACTTCGTCTTCGCCTTGCGCCATGAATTCGTACAGCATCTTTCCCTTTTTCCATCCTTCTGCCCCGGTGCCTTTCGTTGCAGCGTCCAGTATCTCTCTAAATCCTTCAGCTCTCGACGCACCTGCGAGCTCACCAAGCAACTGCACGATCTCTTTCGCTGTATCTTTCGCACCTGCGTGAAAGTCGATGCTCTTGCTAGGCCGCACTAGTTCCACGAACACATGTTTGCCCTCGATCGAGTAATGTGTAAGCTTCTCAGCAGTCCACTCCTGGCTCGGTCCGTCTCGAGTCTTCTCAGGACTGATCATTATGATGCCTTTCGCAAGGTTGAGACCCAGGGTGGTTGGCATCTTCTTGTTCTTACCCATGTGGGACACCATCTCGTGGATGTTGTAAAGGCGGAAACCTCCGGGACTTCGGAGATTGGTGTCGTCAAACTCGTCTTCCGCAGGAGTGAAGCCTGCAGGGGAATATGTAGAGCTGGATACTTGGCGGTTATATGGCGGCGACGGTTGGACACCAGCTGGTTCGAAAGATCGTGAGGAAGCGTATTGCGTTGGTGGAGGCGATGATAAGTGTTGTGATTGAGGACGTCGAGGCATAGGTGGCGGAGCATCATCTTCTTCGCTTTCTTCGGGGGTGTACTGTGGCCTTGAGGGTAGGGGTGGAGACGCCACCTCACGCTCAATGCTGGCACCGCCAGTCCTTTGCGCAATGATGCCTGCCAAAGCCGCCGCTGGGTTGTTGGTAGCCGGTTCGGGCGACGGTGTCGGTCCTAGTCCGGGGTCGGGATAGTCCGCTTCGCCCGGTATAGGTTCATCTACAGCCGTCGATCTTGAAGGCATAGGTGGCGGCGCAAGGTCTCGCTGCATTGGTGGTGGGGAGAGAACGCGAGCTGCTGCTGGGGCGGATGGAGCACTCGCCGCCGCCGCACCATTCCCGCTCGCCTTCTCAATATAGATGGCTGGCGCGAAGCCATACTCGCCATTCAACCCTACCAACGTCCAGTCCGGATCGGTGTCATCGTATACCTGCAGCCTCGCCTCTTCGCGGAAGCTCAGCTCTTCGTCCGTCTGCTTGCTGTAATCATACAATGCCTTGGCTTGAAAGGCAGGCTGCGCTTTCTCCACATAGTTATTGGGCACCAGTCCCTCCGGCTCGTCATCCTCATCACTTGTGGCCTTCTTCTTACACTTCCACCAATCGTCATCGGCGCTCTTCTCGAGCACGAAAAGCAAGTCGCCTTCCTTGATCTCGAGTTCTTCGTCGGATTGCGGGGCGTAGTCGTAGAGAGCGCGACAAACGTCGAGGAAGACCATTGTGAAGAAGCGTGCCTGCCTCTTCGGGGATTGAATGAATAGATATGCAAGTGTTGAACTGCCGCGCCGTGAGACTTCACACGAGGGTTGGCTGTCTGGTGTGGCTGGCCGGCCTTCGGAGATTTGATGACGAGGGTGACGGAGTCGCGACCAGTGCCATTCGATGCTGTAGAAGGGAGAACTTGGAGAGTGAGATCGTTAAGACGACGGTGTGCAGAACGCGTGGAGATGTGTCTTTGATCGTTTGCTACAGGAATCTGTTTCCGTCTCGAACATTGGCAGCTTGGCTGCTGCACCAAGCGTCATCCCCGTATATGCACGTGCCCGGGCCGATGAGGCTCCGCCTTTAACCCCCGAGTACCGCAGAACAATTGCACCTAACGTGTACTTCTCATCCCACCGTTCTGCGTATCTCTGACACGTCATCACCAGGTGCGACAATAACGTGGTACTTCCTCAACTTCACGGCTTTGTGGTCGCTACGCGCAGGCTGCCTACATGATTCTTGAGGATAGTACGGAAGCAGCGCCGGCCACGTGGTCATGGTTGATCATCATTGCCAGCTCGTGGCAATGATGGTACATGTTTGGATGCTCACGAAGTCACGATCTGACCATATGTACATCACCTTGCCTTCGAGAATTAGTAGTACGGACTATCTCATTGACCAGTGAATGGAAATGACCGCACCTCCGGCCCCTATCATCCGACGTGCGGTATGCTAATGAACCAACTCGGTGTCCGAAACACTGCAGGTGGTAGGAACAACAGTGTGCGTATCATCTCCCCGAGCAACATGAGTCGAGCGATGATACACATGCACGGCCTCAGGACTGAACTCGAAGTTGCGAACAAGCCTCCCCCCGGTTGGTTATCCCCAAGTATTCCATCGCTACCAGGAGCGGGGGCACGCCAGTTGCGAGCAAGGCTGAAGCTCTCCATAGCCATATGACAGCGGCGGAAGGTAAGAGCAGATTCCATCCTGCCACATTAACTGCGCCGCAAGCCGCCGCGGCACCGGTCACGATGGAGAGAAACGAGTCCGCGTCGGCCGGGTGTTCGCCGAAGCATGGTATCATGGAAACGTCGCGCTTCGTCATTGCCACTTTTCAGTAAGTACAGAGGGCCGTATGATCCCGAGTATGAGAGATTCCAAGCAACTCCTGAAGCTTGCCTTCTGGCGGCTCGGCCAGATCGATGATTACAAGTAGAGTAGCGACCGATTTTTGTTTGATCGAACGATAGAATGTAGGTTGGTATAAAGCACACATCTCACCTGTGATTTCGTATCCCCTTCGCTTCTTGTCGTGGCGGCGAGGCTTGCTCGATGCTCATGCTCGACTCATTCATGTTTCAGCAACCATTGCTTCTGCGGCGCAGAACCTGTTGCAATCCCAACTGCACGTACGTGGCTTGGGTTCAAATGACGGCATTTAGCAGTATACCACGACAAGAAGAGGTATTTCGCCGAGATGGTGTGCTGGAAACACTAGCCGCGAGCATTCACAGAGTAGGCAACTGCAAGAGCCTTGCTCCTGCCCTTTCGGTCATTCACGTTGCCACGCAACGAGACTTTCACCTACCCCAACAACGACTCCATACAATCCTACATCATATTATTCACATTGTCAGCTTACGCAAGACTAAAACCGATATCGTCATTTCCTTCCCATCCTAGGTTTCTGTGCTCAGGCGTCGCACCGCTATGCAACGAACATGGCAAATTCGCCCCTCCTAACCCACCAAATCAACTCCCGCGCCGTTAAGCTGCGATGCGGTGAGGATCAGCTCAACGGCTCCCTCAACCTTATCAGCAACGACGAGTACTTTAACAGAGTCTTTCCAAACTTCTTCCATATCTCGGCGTCTGAGACACCGCCATTCCACCGAGTGACAGCACCGTACATCATCCTCCACGCAGTCCAAGGGATCTCATGGATCCAGAGCCATTTACTACCTGGGCAGCTGTCTGGAGCTTTTGTTGCCGTTACCGACTCGGAGGAGGTGTGGGAAGCCGTTGAAATGGGCGACAATAGCGCGTTGATAGGCGACATTGACCTCCAATCTAGCGAGTTTTCTCCGGTAAGGTTCTCGTCTTCAAGCATACAGCTTCCGCAAGTAAGCGAGTCTAGCTGACAGCACCATCAGCGTATCAAAGTCTTCAAAGATACCGTCATCGCTCTGCCCAAGAATATTCTTCTCGGCACTCACGAGAAGGTTCATGCCTTCCCACCCATTCCCGTCAAACCAGAGACCGCCTGGCTCATCAACAAAATCATAACCGAAGCTGCCCGCCCGCTAAACAAGACCATGAGCGGCCAACTTACTAGGAAGTCTGTGATAGTCCAACTGCCGGCGAAGCTTGTCACCGCTAATGTATTGCTGCAGGTACATGCACGACCACCTAGGTCGCTTTACGGACAACAACAAGCTTCTTAGGCAGGGTCACGAGCTATACAGCCTAAGAGGTAAGCGTGGTCGCCGCTACATACATGTTGCGTAGCGTTGAGTGAGTTGCTAACCTGGGGAATGCAGGCAATCTAGCCATCTTCACGAAACCTGTGTGGAACAGCTTATGCTACTCAAATAGCGATAGCGGGTGGAAGGTAACGCCAACGTATTGGCGCCCATGGTTCGTCGATCTGCGTGAGGTGGCGCCTGCGCCTATTCGTACGGTAGTCGCCAAGGCGGACAAGACAGAGAGCTTGGCTGGAGATTGTTACGATGGTTGTGATCTGTGCAACGAAGCCAGAGAAGGGCGGTATTATTACGGCGATATTGATACCGAGGTGTGGACGAAGCCGCTGGAGGTGTTTGACTGGCCGTGAGCGCAGTAGCAGCCTCTGATGGCATCAATCGGAGGTATCACCCGCCCATGTATATAGTCAGCTCGCCTGAAGAGCGCAGAAGTTATCCCGTAGACAGTCATGATACCACAAAACAACACTCTCATGCCGCCGCCTTCTTCTTCTTATCCTCGATCAACTCGATGTTGTCCTCAGGGATCTCCTCGTGATTCTCCAACAACCAGTCGTAGATATCATCGCTCACGTCTCCCTGAACGGTGATCTCTTCCCCAGTGCCACCCGCATTTTTCGTCACACTACTCCCTGTCGCGAACTTCTTCCCAAACTCCTTCGCGATCTTCTTCAAATCTAGCCCGAACTGCTCCAGCCCTGAGACTTCGGTAACGAACTTCCGCTTGTTCCGCTCAACACGCTTGATGTAGATCTTACTCGCCGCCCGCTTCTCGCTCTCCCGCGCTTCGGCTGCTTCGGCCTTTGCGGCTTTCTTCTGTGCATCCTTCTCTGCGCGCTTTTGGGCGTCCACCGAGAGGGTGCTTAGGCTATTGGCTGTAGCATCGGCGGAGTATAACCGGTCATGCAGGTCTGGATGGGCTTTGGATAACCATTCTTCGCATTTCTTGAGCGTGCCGCCGTATTCACAGTACTGCGAAGCGATCTGTTAGCGAGGGGAGATGGATGATGGTGGGGGGGTGGGGTGGCGGTGCGTACCTACTTCTGGTGGCAGCGTACAGACGCCGCAGTAGATGACTTGCTTTGGAGGGCGGACTTCTGCAGCTGTAGGCGCTTCGGATGAAGCCTCCGCCATGTCGTCGTGTGATTGCGTAACAAAGATCGCGTGAGGGCTACACTACACACGGCTGCTGCGACGTCGCAGGTGAAGTTGGAGCAGTTATGACGGGCCTAAGGCATCAACTCGCCTCCTCCTTTGACGACTGATGCCCGAATGCTGGAGTACAAGCACTGGATGAGTGTGATGGATGTCAACCCGAAAGCTCGTATCTCAAATGTCAGATGCCGCAAGAGCCATGTCGCGTTCGGGGAGTGGTTGCAGAAGTTGGAGCCATGTAATGATATGAGCGATATGAGGTGATACCACTCGCTCGCTCGCTGAAGCGAAGCAGAGCCGTTACGGCCAAAGCTAAGCCTACACACCACCCGCCTGCGCCTCCCTCACCTTCATGATAAAGGTCTTCGGCCACCCCAAGACCTCCGCCTCGGTCGGAAACGGTGCATTCTTACATCTTGCCACCACCTTCTCTATCACCGTCAACAGCATGCCTTCATGCATTGCCACCGCGCCATCCTTCCGCTCCGTCTCCGGGTTAAGAAATGGATCGGCATCGCCTAATAGCTCAGTGATCTTCGGACGCATCTCCGGATCTCGGTTCAGGCACCTCCTTAATGTTAGTCGGAGAGCAGGCGGGAGGTAGGAGTTGTTAAAACCTGTGGCCGGAAACTCAATCACGTGTTTCGGGTTCGTAATGGCCATGATTCGGCTGATCTGGTTCTGAATGTGAGCGAAGGGTGGACGCCCGTAAGACATCTGGTATAGGATGCAGCCAAGACTCCAAACGTCGGAGGCTTTGCCTATACGCATGTCCTTCAACGGTCGGCCTGCTTCGTCCCTTTCACCAGACGCGTTAGTGTCGGTGATGCTTTCGGGGGACATGTAGTTCGGCGTTCCAACATGACTGTCACGATGTACGTTGCAGGTGTTGTCCGTGTCAATGGCATTGGCGATGCCGAAGTCGATGAGCTTGAGCCGACCTTGCACGAGCAGGAAGTTGGCAGGCTTTAGGTCAGAGTGAACGATGTCGTGATCATGCACTGCTTGCACGCATTCGAGCATCTCTCTCCAGTGGTAGCGGGTGAAGGCACCATCGAACTTGGCGTCTGTGCCGTTGAGACGAAGGGTAAGAATGCGATTGAGGTCCGTATCACCCTTCTCCATCAGCACGCACAATTCTTGCTTCTCCTCATTCAGCTCCCAATCAAACAGTCGGACGACACGTTCGACTTCCGTCAGCTTCTTGAGGAGGTCTATCTCGCCTTTGTAGCCGCGAACGGCACTCTCATCGCAGTCCGAGAGCTTGACACGCTTGAGGGCGAACGTTTTGTAATTTTCAGCCATCACACAATACACATCGCTGGAGCCACCCTTGCCAATTTTGCCCATCTGAGTGAAAATCTTACCATTGACAACGATATGCGTACGCTTCTTCTTCGACTTGGTGACGCTAGCGCCGGCTGTTGTTGTTGCGGTCTCGAGAACAGACATCTTCGGGGGTGGAGCTGGTGCTGGACGATGCGGAGTGTTACCGCTTATCGTACCGAGAGCCTTACGTTCCTGTGGTGGTACCGGAACAGGCGTCTCGTCGACGAGGTGTGGTTTAGGCTTCTCACCATCTGACAGAACGACAACCTGGCGCTGACCTAGATACTTGAAATCCTGGTCCTTGTTTCGCTTGAAAGTTGGTGGTGGCATATTCTCCTGGTCCTCAGATGCATCGGTGTGTATCTTCGGTGCAACATATCGATACGGGGCTCTACTCAAGCTAGGTACAGGTTGTGGTAGTCTATGCTCGAGCACGGCCTTTGGCTGCTCATGCTGTGCTTCGGAAGGATGTTGCACTTCATCGTAGGTTGACGCCGCAGCATCGGAGGCCGGTATGCTTCGCCGTCGCACCTCCTGATGTCGTTCGACGGTGGATTGTCTCCCTTGAAAACTCTCATAGCTTGGTTGCCGCAAAGGCGGTCTCGGTGCTTCAACGGCCTGACTGCGCGACGAGTGTGAGCCGCCTTGCCTTTGATCGTGGAAGTCATGGCCTGTTCGGGCGTAGTCGTGCACAGCAAGTGGATCAGCCGACGTAGCTCGAGTGTTGATGCTGCCACTCCTGCTGCGAGCCCCTTCTGTACCGGATAGGCTTCGGTCCTGCGGCGTGTAACTTGTTGCGCTAGCTTTAAAAGCGGACCGATTCGGCGCTTCATCTGTAGGTGATACTTCGTCGCCGCTGTTTCGACGCTTGAAACGTCTTGCTGGCATGCTGCGCAGGTATGTTCCCGTCGTTGTCAAAGGCCCTCGCTTGGTACGCTGTGAGCTTGGTAAAGGCGCGGCATCTGCAGAAGTTTCTCGCGTGCGAGCTGCTGTGATGCTACCATACAGCGGTGCAGTGTCCGGCGCAGCCTGGAACGGAGTATTTCTATCAACATCGGATGCATACCGTCCTTGGATATTTAAATCTGTAGGTGCGCTACTATCATTGCGCGATCCAGACATACCGTGTGAGGAGGGCGCATGAGCGCGTTCGTCTTGGGATGCGTTGCTTCCTGCCCTGGTTCGCGCGACCCGCAATGCTCGTGAGACGGGCGCAGGAGTGACAAGTGCTTGATCCGCGGACACATTCGGTGTTAGCTGACGTGCAGCTACATGACGTTGCGGATATGGACCCGCGATGCTAACACTGCGCGAACCAGATCCAGAGCCCTTTCCAATTTGCACAATCCTTGGCGGAGTGCTTCCTCTCCGTTGTCCAAGCACAGACGGCGAGCTCTGTCGTAGGATCTTTATACCAGAAGCTCTACTGGGCGTATTCAATCCGGGCTTTGTCCCGCCGACAGACCGAGCAAAACGAGACGCTTCACCAGTCTGCTCCTGCCGTGGCGGAGATGTAGGTGCGGGCGCATCGTCCAACAGCGCCTGCGTCACCTTTGAGAACTTGATGGCCGGAGGCGGCTCGGAATCAGAGTCACTGTCATCAAACTCCACCCGTCTCCAGGGCTGCGCATCCGCGTTGGGCTTCACAGGCTGCCGGTAAATCTGAAGCGGAGAGTTCCTCCGGATGTGCGGACGGTTGGGATGCGCAACAGCAGCCATTATCCGCCTAAACCTCGCTCCAATAACACTGCGCTTCCTGCAAATCTGCTTTCTGTCTTCGTATCCAAGTCTTGGGTTATTCGTCAATGAAAGTTGGTGATTTCCAGGCGGCCTGTTGCTGTGCGGTTGTGCTTGTCCGTATTCTGCGCCATCCGTTCGATATAAGTATACTGGCGTGTCCAAGAAGCGCGGTGGTGAAGCAATCGCTACTCAGTCGAATGGCTATCAGTCCAGCATGCCGTCGTAAAAAGTGAGCCGAATCTAGGATTTGCGCATTGAAGATGAGTGCGTTGCGATGCGCCAGGGTGAAGTCGCGTTGTTGACGCGCCGGGCCGTAAGCCGGTTGCGAAGGACGACTCGGATCGTTCTCCATTCGGGACATCCACCTCCATCCATACTGCGATTTGCAAAAGCATTGCAAAACATACAGCAGCGGGTATTCTCGCGTCGTCACCGACCGCAATACTAATCCACCAGTCGCCAGCTTAAGTACACGAGAGCGGACGGGATCGTCTGTATTCTAGCGCTTGTGGCCATATGTGAAAGATTCATGACCTCTTCTTCATTATGTATGGAAAATTTGGCAATCATTGACCGCCCATACCACTTGTACAAAGAGCGCCCAGAAATCACGCACGTAAATATCCAGTCTGTGCAATGGGCAGTGATCATCGATTGGAAACTCCGCCAGAAGCTGGATTATTTTTGCGCTCACCGGAGAGATTCCGGTTCGTGTCATGCGATGGCTGCCGGCTTGGATATATCATGCATCAAGTTCACGTATGGGACACAAGTCGACGGCGGAGCGACGCCCCAGACCCGACAAGATGTAGGTCTGCTATACAAACATACTGACAAGCTGGACCGGTCCTGTGTCGTCCAGTCTCACATCTGCGCTGTACCTGCCCACATAGTCGCCCTTGACCAACAGACGAATGGGCGCATCCACATACGACTCATTCCGTATCGAGATCGTGTTCTGTTCGTTCTGATTCACCTGCACGTCCAGCGCAATGAGCACCTCAGTCAGTATGGACCTATTTCACAGAGCACTAAGGGTTTTGTCTGAGACAGCACTGTTCAGTCAACGAAAGGCTTAAGTGCTACAAAGTATGGTTAATATTTCCTGGGCAATAACTCCCGCCTTCCGTCTACAGAAGATATTACGGGCTAGCAAGAACACTCTTCGGCCGCAACAATGAGCATCCTCTCCAGCAGATCCTCTTCCAACATTGGTAGCCCAATTACCGGGCTTAGCATCCACGATCCCTTCGCAATTGCAGGCTTCGTCTTCCTTGTCATTGTCGTCATAGTGGCTATGATTATGCTCACGGTCACTGCACGACGATCCGCAGAATCAATCTGGGACGGCATACACTACGATGCTCGGTTCCGCTCGCTGCGGCAGGCGAGACAGTCCGCCATTCTAGCCACCAGCAACACTGTAAGGCAATCTCTACGTACAGACGAGTCGGTTGCCGGCACACCGAAGCGCGTGAGCTTCATGCTACGGCAGTCGCCTCGCAAGTCCCAAACACCGGCAGCACCAATGACACCAGCATCGCCATATACGCCAAATACACCGTCAAGCCTCAGGATAGCCATGTTTGCGGAGAGCGTGCCGTTTCTTCCTGCGTCACCGATTCGGAAGCAGCGCGTCCGCATGCGAGGTGAGGCAACTTCCACGCTGGATATGGAAGTCGAAGACGCTTGCCGCCGGTGGTCTGCTCTTGGTACTCCGCCGCGCGACTGTTTCACTAGTGTTGGAATTGCAAGTGTCGAATGCTGAGGGAGATAGAGCAGGTAGGCGTGGTCGAAGAAGGTATCCAGACGTGGTGCGAGACTTTTGTGCGGTGGAGATCTAGGTCGCAGTCACTGTCTCTTGAATGCCACCGACTTGCATACAATTTCGCCGCAATCTCTACGATCAAGGTCTTGCCTGATCGATCACAAGTAGCGAGGAGTTGGAAAGACGCCCGTGGACACATCGCGTTCGTTGTTGGCTAGCATCGCAGATCGATAATGTTCGCGTTAGCATTTGTACTAGCTGGTCTCTGCAACTTGCGTGCCTATGGAGCAGCCACGATGTCAACACGGAGCAACCTCCTTTACGGCCTCTGGAGAGTCCCATTTCCCGTAGCGTAGGGCCTTCATGTCTTCTTCGCAAGATCCTGCAATATGTGCAAAGTCCTTTCGTAGGTCCACATTGTCACGGCGCTTGCCGGAGCTGCCTTGATCAAGCTGACACCCAAACCACGGTACAAGCCTCTCCAGCCTTCGCGCTTCAAGATCATCCTGAGCGTGTGAACAACACCGCCTCCGTACACGGGCATTCTTGAGCCGCCAACATACCGATCGCGATTTGGACCTTGTATTTGCAATCGTTTCCGTACCGTATCTAGTGGGAAGACCGCGGACTTGCTCAACATGCTCGCTGTGATGCCCGCTACTGCATCTCCAGAGCCAAATGGGAGATGGACGGCTGCGAGTGGCGCCTTTAAGCCTTCGTATAGCGCGAAGAATAAACCCATGTATGGCACAACCTGCCCTATCCCTGCGGAAAGACCGCGGAAGAAGCCGGCTGGACCTTCATGACGAGTGATGTCTCTTATGCTGGCTAGCAGGCCATCGTAGACTCTATCAGTGCCTTGAGCAGCGAATCGAGTACGTAGTAGGTCTAGTGGATACGTTGCTGTGGTCGCAGCGGTTCCGGCAACTGCCCCTGCAATGAAGCTTCGGAGAGCACCCGGGATCTGCACACCTTGTGTTTCCTCCAGAGCGTCAAACGTTTGGTTGGTAGTTCTGTATGCCAGGAATTGGACCGCTCCGTAGCTCAGGTACAACCCTTCGGCAGGGACATTGCCCTTCCAAAACCCGGTAATTCCTTCATGCCGCAGAATGTCGCGTGCTACTTGAAGAACGCCAGCAGATGGCCGAAGCGGCGTGGACAGAGGGTCGGCAAGTGAGTGGTATTGCAGCTGAAGGCGAATCTTCAAGACGTCCAAGGGAGCAATGCAGAAGCGCGAGATGAGCCCTGCGATAGCGCCTGCAAGCACGACTTGCGTTCGTGTGCCCTTATCAATGTCAGCCATCGTTCCTCGCTTCATTGTTGGTTAACACATACCTCATCCCGAAGAGGCTGCTCAGCCGAAGACATGCATCAGGAACGCTTGCTGCCCCAGTGAATGCTGCATGAAGCGATTAAGAAGGAGGGAATGAATGTGGTCGTTGATACTGGAGTTCCTGACGGGGCGAGGGTTAGGGTTGGACACGTTCACCTGGTCTCGGGTAAGGTATAGATTGACCTCCCCTCTCCGCCTATTGATGCAGTCACAATGTCAACGACAAGCCGCAGCTGCAGAGCAGCTGCTCGTAACTGTGCCACGAAGAAGCTACTCATCGGAAGGGCACCTGAGCATCTTCGTCTGCATCTTCCTTGTCCTGGACGGCGAAGCTATGCCGTTGGATGCACAGCCAATGGTCTCGATAGGCACAGTTCAAGACGAACAGATATTGTGCAAACAAATGTTCGACGAGAGCCAACATGTGAAGTAGCAACCCGTAGCCAGAAGCCTGATGTCCTACGCTTTCTTAATCAAAGCTCACATCCCAGTGGTCTCTCACGGCTGCGGGTCCCACGCCTACGCGCACAATCTTATGCGACCTCTCCATGGACTCATTGGTCCGCACGGAACACCGCAAAGCATGGATCCAAGAACGAAGTCACCATTAAAATCGATGGCGAGGAGCATCACTTCTCCCCAGTGCTTCTGCGTGACCTTTGCGAAAGCCCTGAAAGTGTGGATGTCTCCACCAGGCAGAAGCTGTTCTCTACAGCCGATATACCCTCCGATATTGCGGCGCGCGTGTCTTACGAAGACGGCGGGGAGACCGTTCGGCTCCGCTGGATCAATAACGTGCCCGACATGCCCGTAGATCAGCAGACAACTCTCCAACTCGACGTACTGAGACGCCTCATCCAGTCTGGTGACGTTCGAGCTTCGACAGCACTGCCACAGCGCGTACCATGGACCACCACTCGGTTCGTGCAGGACGTTGACGACATTGACTACGAAGCTTACCTCTCCGACGACGTTGTGCTTCTTCAAGCCTTGCATCACCTCCATACTCACGGGTTGCTCTTCCTCACCGGCGTACCTGATTCAGGTGCCGCTGTCGTTGACATTGTTGAGCGTATCGGCCCGTTGAAGAACACCTTCTACGGCTCAACGTGGGACGTTCGTTCGGTGCCGGAAGCAAAGAATGTCGCCTACACGGCGCAAGATCTGGGCTTTCATATGGATCTCATGTACATGCACCAGCCTCCGCACCTGCAATTTCTGCACTGTATCCGCTCGTCTGCGTCTGGTGGGGCGAGTTTGTTTACCGACAGTTTCCGAGCCGCTAAGGAGCTGTTTGTGGAAGACGTACAGGCCTTCCAAACGCTTTGCTTCGAGTGGGTTAACTTTCATTACAATCATCCAGAATCTCATTACTACTACCAGCCTCGTCACGTTATCGAGCTCCAGCCCCTCATCTTTGGCGATCTGAAGGATAGCAGTGGCAACCTTGAGGCGCTCTTGGAACGGGCACAGCAGTCCGCTTCTGCTGATGTCGCGGAAAGCACTCCGCCTCACCTTGACATTGCCAATTGGCTTCAAGCCATTGCGTGGGCCCCTCCGTTTCAGGCACCGTTCTCGTACAAACAATTGCTATCCAACTTGTCCTCCACCGAGCTGGGTGGACAGCCGTCACTCTTGCAGCGTTTCAACATGCACGTCGAGAGATGGCACAAAGCAGCGAGCACCTTCAACACCCTCATTCAAAAGCATGAAGGCATCTATGAGCGTATGATGAAGCCTGGCGAGTGCGTCATATTCGACAATCGGAGAGTATTGCATGCGCGTAGAGCGTTTGAGGTGGGCGATGCGGGCAAAGAAAGGTGGCTGAAGGGCGCATACTTAGACTGGGATCCGTATATGAGCAAGCTGAAGGTGCTGCAACGCCGTGTGACAGGCGCCAGCTGAGAGGCTCGAGGCGCAACGCATGCGCAGCGTACTATTCTGTACAGAGAACATACATAGGCTGAAGTAACTTCAGCCAAGGCAAGCTTGTGCAAAACCAACCACAACAAATGCGAGCGTGGTCGTAAAAGATGCCACACCAAATGCGCCCTGGATGTCGTGCATCTTGATTGTCCAGACAATCGCGAATACCAAAGAGAAGAGAATCATGCTCAGCATGATGCACAGCCAGACACGCTCGGGCAGGAAGCCTTCGGTCAGCACAATACCCCACCCGATGCCGTAGTCCAGACGCTCAGTCTTCTTGGGAATGTTGGCGTAGGCCACTCGTTCCCCATCATATTCGTGCGGATGCTTGAAAAGGTGCAGCAAGTAGCGGCCGCCGACAGGAGGGAGCAAGTCGCTTGGTTCGAACTCGTAGCCATCGGTGTGAGCGCCTTTGGGCACATCTGGACACATTCTGATGTCTGCGAAGCGGTTCTTGTGCATGTAGAACTGGACGAACTCAATAGACGTCAGGCCGCGGAGCCTCAAGCGCCGGTACCATTGCTTGTTAACCTTGGCGTAGCGTTCTTGGAGCGCGTCGGCTAGCTGGTCATCTGGGCAGAGCATTCACTGTCAGCACGATAAACTATACGCTTACGGGTTTCGACTAGAACATATGATTGAGCATCTCCGAAGACACCGTCATCTAAGGTGGATTAGGCCGGCTGGGTCTGCAGAGATACACGCACCCTAAAGTACTATCAGCCATCTTCTCGACGTTGCGACAGCTTTTGCAAGCATACTTACTGTTTGGACTGGTTTGTCGTGCAGGGGTATATTGAACACTTTGGGCGTATTGCGACTCTCGTTAATGCACGTCAGTAGATATTGCTGAGGTTCCGGTGGGAAGTGTTGCCACGAAGTCGTCCGGGACCGACTTCGGCTCTTATATGGTTGGCCCGAGGGAGGTCCGTACGTTCCGCTTATTGAGGACCACGAGCTGCCAGCGGAAGAAGGGTGCGAACTATTAGGTGTCTGTGACTGCGAAAAGCTGCCACGGGTGCTGTATGACCCAGATCTGGGATTACTGTAAGGTTGGGGCCGCTCCTTGTTCAGTACGGCTTCGAGCTCTGCCGCAGCACCCGCACGCAATTCGATGAAGTCGTCGTACAAGTGCTCTCCGCAGTTGCACGTCCATCTGACGCGGACGTGGCCGCCTGGGACTGGTGGCTCTTGACCAACGTGCCGTTGCAGCCACATGGCGCTGCGAATGACACTATCCGTGATGCCAGAGACGAGCAGCCCGGCAATGTCTCGCATGAGCCCAATGGTCTGTGGTTGCGCCCTACCCGTCGACACGATCAGATGGGACGTTCCGTACTGGTGATCCTTCTCCTCGACAAGTTGCGGGACATCGGATGGCTCGTTGATGTCGGTGTTGAGCCGTTGGAGATGCGCTTTACGCCCGACATATGCTGTATGCTGACTCTCCGCCATGAAGCGGGCACGTTTCATCAGTATTTTGTCATCTTTCGAGATACCCGTTGGCGGATCGAGAAGGGATGCCTTCGGAGGAGTTGAACTTTGGTACTCAACAAGATCAGCGAGATGCTTGACGCCGAAGTCAGGAAACTGGACATCTTGCTGTTGGGTTGCTGGCATCAGCGGAGAACTCGAAGTATCTGTCGGCGAGACCGATTCCTCATCACGTTGTTCGTACAACGTGCCATCCTTGCGCAGCGGGTATTGCGTACTGCCGCTTTGCCCATCTTTCAGCGGCTTCGCGTCCAGTGCATTGCTGGCGATGTCAGCAGCGGAGACTACTGAAGATGCGACTGGCGTCGCTGGTATATGGTCGCAGTACGCTGTCGCATTATGTGGCGTCAAGGGCGTAATTGGCACGAAGCGGGACTCTCTAACAGGCTCCGACTTCTCTCTGGTTGTGAGAGGCGACACGGGCGAGAGCACTTGTTCCAGCGCTAAAGGCTGCTGTGGAGGCTTCGCTTCGATGACGTATGGGTGTATGGCCTTTGATGCATATATCCCTCCCTCATCTGGTTCTGCTTCCGTTGGCGGACAGTGTGCGGCCGCCAGTGCAGTATGCGGAGCTTCGTGCTTGACCTTGTCGGAAGCTCCATCATCAACCGGTTGCTTAGTCGCACATAGCTTGGCAACTAGGTCACGCAGTAGTTGTGGGTCTGGCGTCCCGGGTGAAAATAGCTTCGGAGGAGAATCCGGTGATGTATGGTCTTTGGCAATCGCTCCAGGAGCATGCAGGTCCTGCTGGTAGACAAGAGCCGAAAGAGTGATACCGTAGACTGCTTGGACGGTTGACGACAGTGCAATAGGATTAGCTGTTTCGACATGACGGCCAGGAATCCAAGGCGTGGTTTGTTGGACATTGCTCGCTTGCTGCTTCTCCTCAGCTCCGGCCTCTCTGATCGTCAACACGCCCGTGCCGGAGACTCTTGGATGTTGCTGAGAAGGGTTGATCACTCCACTAGTATTGACCCGTGGTAAGATCCTGCCCTTGTTTGCATCGGCTCCGTCTCCCTTATCGCGGTTGCCAAGAAGGTCAACCATTTGTGGGGATCGGTGTCTATGCTTAACAACGCGTGAGACGGTGAGAGCCCTAACAATTGGCTCTGGCGACAGACAGACGATGTCCATGTCATGGGTCAATTCAGAACCGGCGCACCCAACTAATGTGTCGGCGCCGCTCAATCGCGAGTCTATGGTGCCTGCTCGACTGGGAAGTGCAGTCCTCTCAGACTTCTCACTTGCTGCCGTTCGATCCACCTCAGACTCGGCGATACAATGGGTGTTGTTGACAAAACTGGCATCTGTGGCCCCGACTTCGAACGGAGCGTCAAGCTCGACCACACGCTGAGACGCAGGGAGCTCAGAGGATACTTCGCTTCCACGAAGCTCGCTAGCGCCGCCCTGGTACGATGTGAGATCGTTGTCAGTATGTTGGCTGCCAGATTGTGACCTAGGGAGCTCAATGATCGGTGAGCTGCAGATCTCGGTTATGGGTGAGCCATCGAGTTCGCTCAATGGTGACTGTATAGGGTCTTGATCTCTCCAGTCGTCCGAGATCAAGTGCAGGTCGGTGAACCCGTCGTTCTGTCCGCGCAGACGAAGTATGATACCACGTCCTGACCGCTTGACCCAGGCGGCCAAACGGGCAATTCCTCTACGCTGCGGCGTAATACGACCAAGGACTTCGTCGCTTCTATTAGTGTCGGAAGAAGGCGAATGTTGCGACTCGACAAGATCGCGCGTAACCCAATCCACTGAGCGCCAATCTCTAAGGCTCAGTGCGGATGCCGAATGAGCACCAGCGATGCGCTGGATCTGGTAATATCCGAGCTTGTCATCCCTTTGCAGCAACAGTCTTGGGTGCGATCGTGTCGCCGGCTCTTCCGGTATCTGAAGTGTTGGTCGTGGTCGTGAAGCTTCAAAAGGCGAGAGATTGTTACAGAAGGCCATAGCATAATGGAAACTAGCTGGCCATTGGTCGATGCCCGTACGATAAAAGCGTAAGAGTGCGACGGAGTATAGCAAGAGGGAGAATAGATGAAATATAAGATGTTACCTCTACGTATCTGCTCGTTATAGGCGCTCCCTCGGTGCCGCCAAATCATGCCATTAAACGGATCTGCGGTGGCAAAGGACATTGGAGTTGAGGGGATAGAGCGCGGCACAGCTGCAGGAACTAAACAATTGTGTCAGGAACAGGGTTTGCAGTGGTTTGGTGCCGTTTGCCTTGATTGACGTGCAACGCGCGAACTCCTTTCGGCCGCGCACCAGCGTACCACGATTGGAGGTGACGGTCGGGGAAGGCAGACACGAACCCACACGGTCGATGATGACCGATAATTGGAGTATAGCAAGGCGACGTGTCCTGACTTTGCAGATGCAGAGGCCGCCTGGAAGAGGCCGCCTGCTCGCGCCAAGGCTTTGCCGTGTGGCTGCGAGATGTGTTGGACACGCCAGACCGGGAACTTCTTAGATTAAGAGTAAAGCCAACACTTTCAGCCGTGCGTCGTCATCACTGAGAAACTGTACGCGTGGAGTGTGTGGAGATGTGCATGAAGACAAGAGCTGATGTGAGCTGAGCAGAAGGCAACATGTAAGTTGAAACAGTGGCTGCAATCGCCTGAGGCCGCCGTGGCGCAGCCGCTGCAGGCTACGTGTACGTAGACGACATGGAACCAATTGCTGTGCTTAAGCGGATAGTTTGGGCGGGCCGTCCACTGCGAACCGCTCGCACTGAACGTGTTCGCGACAGCTATGCGCGCGAACAATCTGGTCCGTGATGAGACCGGACTCTCCAAGCCATGTGGGTACCATCGTGCCCGCTTATGTTTCGTTAGCAACAGACGTATCAGCTGTCCCGGTCGTGTTATCCTGCACAGTACTGGCCGAAGCGATCTGCAGTCTTTGCTTGCTTATGTGACGAGATGTGATAAACAAGGAGCGCCTGCTTGGGTTGGCAAGGCTGAAGCAGCCATGCACAGCAGCGTCATATGCTTTTGTGACGGACCAACGCCTCCTCCAGCCTTGCCCGACGCTCATATGACTGAGATACAGGATGCTCCTATAGATTCACTACATACCACGTTCTTGTGGCGCGCCCATCCATGTCTCGTATCATAGGGTGTTCTGGCGAGCGATATCAATATGCCGCCTCGAGCGCCGACGCTTGAATCCGGCCGTGGTCAAGAGTCAACAGGAGGGAGAACGATGCTTAATGAGTTGGCCGCCGTCTTCATCCAACGGCGCATACGCGTAAGTACAATTGATCTCAGATCCTAACCGCTGTGAACCGATTGTGACTGAATTCGCAGCACAAAAGCGGGCTCTGAAGACAGATTCAGATCCCCTTGAGCAAGTGCTTCCGAGTACACTACTACGGAAATGCTATCATAAGCTCGCTCACAAGCAGTGCGGAGACAAGTTAGCCTCAAATCTAGCCTTTTGGACTGCAGCTACGAGCCAATGGCGGTTCATGAAGAGTCACACCCTATCTTCGTGTTTCCTGACCATCGAGACAGACTTGGCCTCCTCTGCTCAGCCTGGATTGTCCGTGTGTTGGTTGACAGCGTCTGATTGGTACGTTTGGTCAGCGTTCGATTTCAAGGATCAGATGATATTCGCTCTGCGAGGACGCGAGCAATTTGCTCGTAGTACCGTCCGAAACGTTATGGACTTCCTTCTAAGAAGACATTGGGTAAAGGAGCCGTCAGAACTGCGAGCATATGAGCAATATCATAGTCTGTGTACCGCTGACGACTCCCAACCACTGGAGTGGCAACCCAGCTATCCTACGAGACAACCCATGGTAACGAGAGACAACACACGACATTGCATGAGTGGCGAGCCTGCGGTCTTGTCCTTTCGATGGCTACGAGAACCACCAACGTATGGCGGCGGCATTCATACGTTCGTGTGGCAGCCCCTCTCGCAAAGGCCGACCACGGACTGGGCACAGATGGTCGTGCTCAAGAAGCACGACAGTCCCTTTTCCCACAGGAAGATCGTATGCACTCTAAGCTCCGCTAACGTACAGCAAAGAGTGCGAGAGGCTCAGGTTGCAACATGGGGGTATCCTGGAGGTGATCAATCAGCGGCAGCCCAGTTCTTATGGCTTCTTTGCGGCCTGACCCGGGCAATAAGGGATGACAGCGCCGAATGCATGAGGCGCGCGTCTCGAATTGTGAACGACATGGTACGAGCTCCCGAACGTGCCCGTATGTATTGCTGCTGACTGAAGTGCTGGCGCTATCTGGCCGCGACCATCCCTCGGGGTGGAAGATCAAGTATCTCATACATTTACAGGAGAACTTGTCAAGTGCCTCGGGAGGATTGACAGCAGCAGCTGAGACAGGTCTTAGCGTGCTATCCGAGCAGTTGCAAAGTCCCGAGCTTATTGAGCCATCTTCGGTCTTGCGGCAGCACATGCTCGACATGAGGTACTTGGCAGAAGAAATTCAGCAGCTCGCCTCAAGGATAGACCCTGTGCGACACACTATCAAGGAACAATCCGAGCTGGCATCGGCTTTTTGGAGCTCAATCCTGGCGTTTTTGCTTGGCATCTGGGTACCGCTGTCCTTTACCACTGTACGCTTCTGACCATATCTACGATTGGGTGACCTAGCTGACGATATAGTCTGTCTTTGGTATGAACATCCAGGCCAGTGGGAACACCACTTTCTGGACCAACACTTCGACGTTTCCAAGCCCGCCGTTTCCGACGGACACTAGTGGCAACTCTTCGAATGGCAGAGTGACGTGGCAGCTGACCACCACCGACAACGCAGGCACGGAGGCATGGACCTGGAATACTTTCTTCGTGGTAGCCATACCACTTGTATTCGGTACGCTTGTAATGCCATTCGTTGCCGGCACGACCGTGCGATGGACGCTGCAGTACGCACACTCGCACCGTTTCGTCGGTCGTCTGCTTATAGTACCTATCCTAGCTCTGGGGCCTCTCGGGTATGTGTCGTCCTTGCTGAGGTCTCGTGAACAGGTGCCATACTATACGCAAGAGCTAATGACATGTGTGCAGTGTACTTATACTGCTCGACCGCTTCCTTCCAGAGCTTGAAGCAGTGATCACAACCCTGCTACAAATTTGGCACATCGTTGTGGCGGTCTATATGAAGAGATGGACGATGCTGATCGCTTGGATACTGGTAGTGGTTTGTATGATCATCGTGGATCTACTCGGGTTCTGGTTGTTCGTCGCCCCAATGTTAGATGTGGTCATATTCTCGGGCCTTTGGCTGGGCTGGCCGCATTACTATGTCGGATGGCGTACGGTTCACGAAGAATGGAACGAGCGGAGGAAAGCGAAGGCAAGGTTGCACTAATCGCCGCCGCCGCCGCCCTTACAGTACAACGCAGATACTGCCCCTGATTGAACGGAGCCAAACGCTACAATTCGAGTGAGCATTTCCGTCATCTGCTTGTGGCGAACAGTATCGATCCGATGAGCTGTCACCGTGCATCTGTTCATCGCCCGAACGTGCGAATGATAAGGAACGAGCATGAGCTCCGACCTCTTTGCTCATGGCATAACTCATCAAGACCGTGAGTATCTCTCTTTATTTGTGTCCTTCTGCTTGGTCGATTTCAGTGAAAACCCGGCGCGAAGAAGCAACAGCTTAAAGAGCGTGAAGGCGGCGAACAGGACATAAAAGGACGAGAGAGCCCGTACAGAAGCACCCAACAGTTCCCACAACCTTAAACTTGGCATCAGTCGTTATGAACAATCGCCAGCATTTTCTGCTTCAAGCTATCGACCGCACCGAGCAACAACATCTCACCTGAGTTTGGGTGTTTTGCCCGTTCGGAAAATTTTGCCGACAGCACTAAGCGTCACTGTTACCGCCAGAGTGATCACGATTCCCAATGACCGTGCCGGAGACATTTCACTCAGTCTCCGGTGGAGCTTCGACAAGACGGAGGCCCACTGCCATAGACTTTAGGCGGCCTAGCCCTGTAAGCCTGGCCGTGAGATAACCCACATGAACCGCTGCATAACCCTCCAGACTCCTGAGCCCGTTCAAGCCTTTCGAGAGGAGTCTCCGGACTTCGCGGGACAGTACACCAGAGGAGGAAACTTCCCACAGCCATAGAGGGAGTCTTGGAGTGATCAATAAGCGCCTTACATTGTGAACTGGACGACCATATGGCACTCAAAGCGGCAACTGAGATGTATGATGTACTTATCATTGGTGGCGGCCCAGCCGGACTTTCGATAGCACTCGCTATTTGCCGTCAGCTCTACAGCGAACTCATATCCAATTCGCAAGAATACCGAAGCTCCGCTACAACACACATGCACAACGTCCTTACACGGAACCACGCGAAGCCTTCGGACTTCCGGGCTAAAGCGACCGCCAACATGCTGGACCGGCATAGCACAGTTCAGATTGCAAGAATCACAGTCGAAAGCGTTACGAGCCTACAGCATGGTAATGGATTCGAGGCACGCTCTAGTGATGGACAGGTCTATCTTGTGAATGGTGTGGAGGATGTCCTGGTGCCATTTCCAGGATGGAAGTATTGCTGGAGTTGAAGCATCGTTCACTGCCTGTTCTGTCACGGCTACGAAGAGAGAGGTGGCAAGTCGGCTGGCATCCTTACGGTCGGCATGCTTGGTGCACCACAATTGGTAGTACACGTTGTGGGCATGGCTTTGAGATTGGTCGAGTCGGTAACGGTCTACACGCATGGCGATGACGCATCGGCGAGCTCACTGTCGGAGGCTTCAAATAGCGCATCCGTCATTGTTGAGGGACGCAGAATCGCGAGATTTGAGAATCTTATGCTGGATCATGACCATCGCGGCAATGCCGGAGCAAATGTGACCGTCCACTTCAACGATGGGAGTGAGAAAGGCAAGGCATTCGTCGTGAGCGTGCCGGATGCAATGATCAGGGGTCCATTTGCCCAGCAACTTGGCTGCATGTAGAGTCTGACCGGCAAGAGTACATCAAGACAAACTCGCCGTTCTACGAGTCGTCAGTACCAGGCGTGTTCGCTGCTGGGGACGCTGGCTGTCTCTTCAAGGCCGTTATCATCGGTATGGCATCGGGCATGGCTGCTGCTGGAATTGCTGGACAGCTTGGCACAGAAGCGTTGGCAGCGGAGATGTAAGGCCGAAGATCAGGCTCGACTTTTGTGAGCTACTCGAGCTTAGTCAATGTATCATGTCCATCACCTCCCAGCCATCAAGAAGCGCCTGCACACATCATTCCAAAGGACATCACATCCATCTTCACCCGCTTCCTTCTCCGCATATTTGAGCAACCTGCCCCTTTGTGTACCGGTACCCATGTAGTCGTCCTTTCGCACAACGCGTACACCATCGTTACCCACCCAAAGCGCAAACCCGTCTTCCGGCGTCCACGCAGGCCACGGCTCCTTTCCAGCAACGGCATAAGCGAGGATCTTGCCACGAGACTCCGTAATGACTGATCGATACTGGTCATCAACCCTACCTTCGTAGGCTCCCAGCAGCGCAACCACATCCCACGTATGCGTTGCGCACTCGCGAGGTGGCAGAGGACCGTCGAACGGATTCCCGAGGTCAAAGATCATCAGGTATGTCTTGCCGGGGAAGCCTTGGGCTTGTGCTAGCGAGGCGGCGAAGAAGCCGATGTCGCTTTCGAATTGACATATCTTCCTCAGTGCGGTCTTGTCATCGTCGGAAGGCTTGATGTCGTAGAGATCGAGCACTTCTCGGGGATGCTTGAGCACAGACTCTGCTATGTCGATGAAGACCTTGGCGTGGGTTTTGCGCTCTTTGTTGCCAAGCATGAGGTTGTAAGAGATGCCGCCGTCGTAGGTTGTCGAAGAGACGATCTGGCTCTGGAGGTTAGGTGACGGTGGTGCTCTGCGTCGCATCAAGGCCATGCTGGCGGTTTCATAAGGCAGCAGCTCGCTTTGGCTGCAAGCCATGCCGACATACTCCAGGTTTCGGATCTTGTCAACAGGAGCAGATATCATATTGCGGGCAATCGCGTCGCTTGTTCGCTCCTTCGTGGCGATCCCGAGCTTCTTGGCTTGCGATATGAAGTTTTCTTGATGCTCGCTGGGCGACTTCACCGGCATCGTAACAAGCGAGCCGCTGAACTGTATGCTTCTTCTCCAAAGGTTCTCCTTGCCAGACATGTTGTGTATGGTGACACTCATGCCTCCCGCCGACTGGCCCATCGCCACGACATTGTTCGGATCGCCACCAAATCCTGCAATATACCTGCTGATCCAAGTAAACGCCACCAACTGATCATGAAGCCCGCTGTTCTCGGGCATGAGATTGGAGGCACTGGGAGAATGGAAGAAGCCTAGGGCGCCTAGGCGATAATTGACAGAGACAAAGACATGAGGAAGACCTGCCTGCAGAGCCTGCTCGCAGAAGTTGGTAGGGTTATAGTAGGGACGGGTGCCAGAGCCGAGGAAGAAGGCTCCGCCATGTAAGAAAACGAGAACGGGGAGGGATGAGCCTTGGGTAGTTGATGATGGTATGGCAATGTTGAGTCGTAGACAGTCCTCTGACTGCGGCTCTTCGTAGTCTTGCAACACATCTGATGGAAATTGGTTGCCCTTACAATCGATTTCAGCTGCCTTCAGTGGTTGGATGCTCGCAGGCGGAATGTCCGCTGCATCGTATGGCTGTCCCTCTGATGTCTTCGGGAGCGCTGTGATGAGCTTAGCTCGCCCAAATCGCTGCGAGATGGAGCCGTATGGGACGTTGGTGAACTGAAGGAAGCTGTCGTTCAAGGTACGGCCTTTCAATTGGCCTAAGAGAGGGTGGCGAAACAGCGCAGTTGTCTTCATGGCGGCAACAATGGAGCAGACGTGCTCGAGGAGCAGCCAACTTCAGCCCCCTCGTCGCTCATCGGTACAGGAAGCTAGCATTGCGCACGTCGCCGATGCATGCAAGACGAAAACGTGTAGTATGTGAACAATGAATAGGAATCGGAACGCATGTAGCTGACTCAGCTCGCTTACTACCCCTTTTCCCTTAGTATGCGAAGGATGCTGTCCTCAGGAGAGCTCCATCCATCTCATCTAACCATATCCGAGCATCCCGTAGTCCTCCGCAAGACACTGTAAATTCCTGGGTAAGCTTTCACCCGTTTTCTACACTTTCCAACAACCACAACCCCAATCAAATCAGATCACGAGACGAACATCCTCACCAACAACCAATACCGTCCCCAACTTCAATCAAGATGGACACCACCACCATGATCCAAACCGCCAAACTCCTCACCCTCCCCCTCTCCTTCCTCCTGGCCGGCTACGGCTTCCACGCCTCCCACTCCAGCGTTCCTGTCCTCTACGACATGCCCGCCGAGCACTCCACGCCCGCCTTCACGCGCATCTTCCACAACGGCGCCTACTTCGTCGTGCCCAGCTCGCTCATCTGCTCAATCTCCACCGCCTACCTCGCCTACACGCTCCCCTCCCAACGGACACTCTGGAGCATAGCATGCGGGGCGCAGCTGTTGACGTTGCCCTGGACGGCGGTCGTCATGCTACCCGGGATCAACAAGTTGATTGCGATTAGTCAGAGCAAGGTGAAGCAGGAGAAGGCGACGGCGAGTTTGGAGGCGAGGCAGTTGCTTACGAGGTGGAATGCGCAGAATGCTGTGAGGGCGTCGTTGTTTTTGGTGGCCGGGCTTGCGGCGTTGAGGGCGATGGCGGGGTCGATCTAGATGCGGCAGGTTTGGGGCCAGTGATGGGGAGGAGGGATGTTGAAGTGTACGATGTTGGGCGGTCTTGTTCATTGTCACCAGTTCTAGATCACTAGCGTTCGTTGACATTGTAGCACTACACTCTGGTGCATGGCAGTCCATCGACCTGCGGGAGCAGCACGGCCAACGGTCGGAATAAGCTATGCCTCTGCCGGCGACTCCTTTTTCTCCCTTTGACCTACGTATCGAAGATTGATCGGTATCCAGGTCGAAAAATGTAAGGCTTATCATTGAGTGGTCACCAATATACTGAGGCCTGAGAGCGAACATAAGCAATCAAATCTCTGGCCAGTGAGACTAGCTACTCTACGAGTCCATCGTCAATATATCTGACCCACTGATTCCAACCAGAACCTCTTTCAATCGCGCCAACCAGCCATCACATTCCGAAGTTGGCTCAATCCCGCCCCTTCCCGAGTCGAGTAGCCAACTTCCTCACCCCCACCCACCTCTCCGCCCTCGTCTCCACACCCCCCAACTCCGCCCCAACCTCAAACACACTCGTCACCCCATCCAACCCCCCCACCGCCACCTGCCTTCCAGCCCCCTTCTCCCACGCCACCTTATTCAAACTCCGCAACCCGAACAAATCCCTCTCCTGCCCACTCGGCCGCGCACTCCCCACCGGCACCTCCGTACTGACATTCAAGTCCCACACATCCAAACTCCCGCCCCCGTCCACCGACGCAAAGACCCCCGGTTTCGTAGGCGACCACCGGACATCGTAGACGGTGTCTTCGCGTTGGATGTCGAGGAGCGGGCGCACTTGCTCCGCTTGGCCGGAGATGGTGCCGGAGCCGGAGGAGGAAGGGGGTTTGGCGCGCCAGAGCTTGATGGTCCAGTCCATGCCGCTGCTGACGAAGAGGTCGCCCAGGTCGATTTTGCCGCGTGAGGGATGGAAGTCGAGGGCGGTGACGGGGGCGGCGTGGCCGAGGTAGCTGGTTCGGGCGTCGATGCCGGCTTTCGCTCCCGCGCGGTCGTAGCGGTGCACCGGGTGGATGGCGCCTTGTTCCGTCCCCGCGAGGAAGTGGGTCGGGTCGCTGGCGGGGAAGGAGATGCAGGTCGGGGCTACGTCGTCGGTTTTGTAGGCGGAAGGGTTGGGGGAGTGCAGTTCGAGGAATTCTTGCGGGGTGGTGAGCATGTCGGTGCTCCAGGCGCAGACGACGCCGTCGGTGCTGACGGAGATGATGGAGGAGGCGTTTTGGGTGCCGACGACGGCGAGGGAGTAGATGGGATGGGCGTGGCCTGTTCGACCGCCGGTGAGGGGGGTTTTCTGGACGGGTTCGCCGGTGCGCGTGTGTCGGACGCGGGTGTCCCAGAGGCAGAGTTGGCCGGAGTAGGTTCCGCCGAGGATGAGGGAGGGGTGGTGAGGGTGGAAGAGGCAGGAGAGGATGTCAGAGGTGGCGTGGAGGCTGTATTCGGGGCGGCCTTTGAGGTGGAGGTTCCAGACGTTGAGGAGGCCGGGTGGGGTGTGAGGGGAGGCTTGGGATTTGGTGTAGGCGGTGCAGAGGAGCTCGGGAAACTTGGGAGAGAAGTCGAGGCTGCTGATCATGCGTTTGAGACCCAAGGTGTCCGCGAGTGGGAAGGAGGCGACTTCTTTGATGCGCCGGCCGCGGCGGCCGATGTATTCGTCTTCGTCTTCTTCTGCGGTGCGTGAATGAAGGGCGTAGTCCGCTAAGACGTCGTATTCTTCGTCCAATGCGCGCTCGATGACCTTACTGCTGCGTTCGATGAAGTCGAGGAAGTCGTTGCTGCTGGTGACCGCGTTGAGTTCCTCTGGCGCAAGCTCTCGGACTGGAGAGCGATCCTTTTCGAGGTCCGAATTGTCGCCTAGTTGCACCGCTCGGAGTTCTTCTTCGATCTCCACCCGTAGCCGCTGTCGGATCTCTTCCTCCTCCAACTCCCGTTCCCTCTGGCTAAGCTTGCGTCTTCGCCTTCTCGTCGGAGTCTGTGCGACTTCGTCCACTTCCTCGTCGTCTGCGCGTTCATCTTCAATAACTAGATCTGTCTGCACGCCCTTACTATACGTGATGACTTCCGGCTTGCTCTCCACCGGAATCTCATAGACTGTCTGAAACTCGGCAAAGCCCAGTGTCTGCGTGTCGGTGGAAGCGTCCTGATACTGTCGATTTACTGCCTGGTCAGAGCCACCCTCAGGCGCCTGCTCAACAGCATTACCACGTTGGTCACGTGTCTTGCCAGATGGAGTGCGAGGCTGGTCCGGGATCAACAAAGATATCAGCTGGTCAATGTCGTCCCTCGAAGTGGTCGTCCGACTGCGCAGGGGAGATGATGCGGCCAGCTACACAGTCATTCAGTCAGTGCTGTGGTGTATCACGTGGACGAACAGCCGTGCCTACCTACTTCGGCCACATCGCCTACGCTCTGCCTCGTACTACTCAGGTCTCGTGCGCGCAATTCACGTTGTCGCTTGAGCTCCGCCAACTTGGCCCGTTTCGCCGCGATCTCATCCTTGCGACTCTGTAACGAAGACATCCCGATCCTCTTCCGTATGCGTCAATGGACTCCTCGACACTTCAATCCATACAAAATCATGGGAACATTGAAGTGTGAATGAAACGCGCTGATGTCTCGCAGTCACGTGTGCAGATCTCGGGGAATTTCCGCCAAAAGTCCCGAGCAAGCATCGCATCCCAGGAACGGGAAAGTCGAGAAGGTCTTACTCGCGCCTATCGCCATCTCTTGCGCTGCACATCCTTTCCACCCGCGCCGTCACTCATTCAACAGGCCGACTGCGAACCATTGGCCTCACACCACACCTTCCGCCTTAGCGACAGCTCTCCCCCTAGCCCGCAATGACCTCCACGGGGGTGAACGTATGCCGCCTACCCCCCACCCCATTGCCCGCTTCCTACCTGTCTCACCACGGAATGGAACAGTAGAATAGGTGCTGAGAGTCCATGATATAGATGCTCCGCTGGAGCGCCCTCTTCGGCGGCATCCTCTATGGCTTCTCCCACCAATCCGCCATCACCGCGCGCGAGAAAGCGGCCGCCGCACAGCACGAGTACGAGCGGAAACAGAAGCTCATAGAGGAGGCGAAGACGGAGTACGCGAAGAAGAAGAACCCGCAGCAGTTCAGTCAGAAGTCGGGTGGAGGTGCGTTTTTACCCCATCCATTTATTGCGGTGGAAGGGAGGAAAGGACGGGACTTGCCTGGTCATATTGCAACGACCGGGGTGGGGAAGGCTGAGGGATCCTCAAGGCGGTACGGTATACGGAGTGATGCGAGGGCTGACTGGTTTGTGTGAGCAGTGATATTGAATCCCGAAGACCCAAAGTTCGATTTGGAAGCGTACATCAAAAGCGTGGAGAAGATGTCGTAGCGCGACGCTCAAACAATCAGAGGCCAAGAGATGCAGCAGACGCCGCAGCTGGCTGGCCCGAGCCAAAAAGCTATGTTGAAGTGATTGAGCAGTCATGCTTCGCAAGCTCAATCCAAGGAGGAGAAACTAGCCGCCGGTTTGCCCAAGTATCGAAGCGCGGCATACGGCTGTCCTGCCGGAACCCCAATCTGTACATACATTTGTATACTACATGAGCGCATGTTGACCCCGACAAGATCCGTCTAAAGTTACCATACTGCCTCCCAATGGCAGTCTCCGGACTCAGCATCAAGGAGCTTTGAATCCCGGAGCCTCCGGTTCAAAGACAAGTCACGCCAAGACTTTCCAATACGCTTCGTCTTCGTCAGCGACATACTTCTGCAGTCTTCTGCAGTTTGTTTTTCTCCAATCTATCAACCTTGCGATCTCATTCACAGGATGGGAAGGACAGGTCATCAGCTCGCTACAGCACTGCTCTCCCCAGCACTCGACCTCTACGCTTCGTACGTCCCCAGACCCGCCAGATCCCGCTCGCGAGTTCAAAGATGTAATCCTAAAGTGACCCAGTGGCAAGCATTAAGTTCACACGAGCGTAGCCTTCCCCACGGCTCCTTATATTTACGGACACGCCCAGCGCAGCCACGCCTCCGTGCCACTCTAGGAAAAACGTCAATATATCGTTATCGTGTACCGTACCGTTCAACCCAACCGAACACCATCGCTGTGCTCCAAAACCCCATTCCCCGAAATAGCATCCACGCATGCCCATCCATATTACTTACTCCGCAAGCACCTTCCGCAACATCCCCACAAACCCGGGCATCATCTTCCCACACTCCTGCACCATCGGCTTGACCGGCTCCCCCGCGCTCCGCCTGAGCACATCCGCATTCGTCCCCCTCCTCCGCCTCCTCCTCTCCGCTTCAAACGGATCCCGATCCTCCTCCTCATCCTCACTACTATCCCCATCCTCGCCATCCACATCGTCCTCCTCGCCACCCCCCAACTCCTGCAAATCAAGCGGATGCAACCCGAAATCCCCCGGCTTAAACGCCGCCGCCAAATTCCCCATCTGTTGTTGTTGTTGTTGTGGTGGTTGTTGTGAGCCCGACGTAGCATCGGCAGACGCCATCTTCAACCGCGTCTTATCCTGATGCCACCGCTTCCGCGCCATCTGCCACTTGATCAGCGCATTCACCTCCCTGACCACCACCTCCCCCTCCACCACGCCCCCCTCCACACTCTGCACGAACAAGCGGTTCAGATCCAACCTGCCCCTCTCTCCCCTTCGATTAACCGGTCCGTTCCGTAAGAAATCCAGGATCCCCTCAATCCACACCATCAGCTTATCAAACAACCCGTCATCATGAATATGCACCTCATGAATGAATTTGTACAAATCCTCCTCATGCCGCTCACACAAATCGATAAACGACTGCACCGTCTGATTCGGGTCGGCGGAGATGTCGGCCCGTTGGGCTCGCTCGATGGTGGCGATGGCGTCGGTGGCGAAGGCGGCGAAGTCGGTGACGGAGTTGTAGACGTTGGCGGATTTGTAGACGCGCACGAGCGGCTCGTAGAAGATGGTGAAGAGGTCGCGGAAGAGGCGGAGGGTGTTGGGCTCCTCCACCATCTCCAGCATCATCTTCTTATCCCTCTGTCGGGTGTGCAACTTCAGGAGTTGCTTGAGGGAGGCGTAGAGTTCCGCGCCGCGCTGCATCGGATCGTCTTCCCCTTCCGCTTCCTGTACGCCGGCATGGCCATCCGCGGAGGAAGTCGTGGGTGCAGTGGCGTCAGTGTTACTCCGCTCCTCCACCGCCCGATCCCACGCCACATACGCATTGAACGCGCGCCCGACCTGCTCATCCGACAACTCCGGCTGAATCTCGCTCGACTGCAAAATCCGCACCAACAAATCCACCCCTTCCTCCGCCGCCTCCCGTCGCACCCTCTGCTTCACCTCCTCCGCCGCGGCAGCGTACCGCGCAATCTTCTCGCACATCGCCGCCTCCCCGATCCGCGGCGCGAGCGCATCAATACTCTTCTGCAAGCTCCTGATCCCATCGCCCAACGCAAAGCCAAAGATCCGCTGCAACAGACTCTTCGCCCCCAACGGCTGCGCCATGAAAATATCCAATATAGCGGCCATGACCGCCGCCGGGTTCGTGAACCGAATCACCTGCTTCAGCGCGCCGTAGGGAACCAGACTGTGTATCCGTTTCGCCTGCGCAAAAAGTTCCGGACTATTATCCTCGGCCAGGAATAGATGATACAGTGTCGCCGCCACTTCGATCCTCAGCCATTCCGCAAACTTCTTGTACTCAGGATCCAACTCCGCGATCCGGTCTTTCTTTCGGATTTCGGCGAATAGATCGCGTAGCCCGTTGCGTTCGATGACTTTCCGCCGGAACTTCTCCATGTGCACGTCCAGCTCTCTCGCTCTCTCGCGGGCGACTTCGAAGAAACGGCGTTGTTCTTCCAGTCGCTTTTCGTCCATGGCCTTGCGGCGGGCAATGTCGGTTCGTTCTTCCGCGGTTGGTATGATTGGGTTACGCGTGAGGAAGTCGGTCATGGCGGTTGAATTGGCGATGGCTTCGTTTTGGAGGAAGTTGCGCAAGAAGGCGCGCAGGGAGACGCGTTGGTCTTCTCTGTGTAAAAGCTGAGGTTCTGGGGGAGGGTGTTGGGAGGGGGTCGCTCTTCGCTCGGGCGAGCCGGGGATGGTGGTCGAGTCGACGGAGGGGCGGGGGGAGTTGCCGCTGGCGGAGAGGTTGGAGGAGCGGGATTGGTTGCGCGAGTGGCGGCCGCTGGGGGTGCCGCCGCCGCCGACCCATGAGCCTAGGTAGGCGCGGAAGCCGCCGGCTGCTGTGCTGGGTTCGGGGTCGCCTGCGTCGCTGGGACGAGAGTGTCGTTCTTCTTTTGTGGAGAAGGAGGAGGCGTCCTCGTCGTCATCGTCATCGTTGTCGCCGCTGTAGATGGAATGTGCCCGGTTTTTGCGTGGTAGTGGTGGGAGGACTTTGCCCGGCAGCTCCGCGCGTAGTCTCTTGTGCATGCGTCCGAAGTCTCCAAAGCGTCGTGCGACGTAGATTTCGTGCTCGTCCTTCCTCTTCACCCGCAGAATGAACTCGGCGTGTTGGTGGTGACGGATGTGCCTCTTCGCGCTCACCATCCTGACGCCCGCCACATTGACATCCCAGCCATTGATCTCATGCCCTTCGGGCCTATTAACCACCAAGCCTTGCTCATTGGCGCCCCGATCCACCACCTCCATCTCACTAAAACGGATGCGTTCCTCGTAGCCGCTCGCAGTCGGTATGCCCGACACCATCATCAGCTCGACCAGTTTCGTCGCCTTCAATGCCAGCTTCGCGCGCTTCGTCTGCTCCAGCCGGTCCTCACTACTACTGATATGTTTGTTGGCAAAGCTCTCCAAGAAGCTCTGCAGCTTGTCCTGCCAGAACTCCTTCTCCTTCGCCTGGTTCAGGAAGGGAAAGTTGCGCACAAAGTGCACGAAGATGTACCGCAGCAAGGGCAGCTCGGAGTCCTCGGGCGCGACCTCGCCGGCGTCGGACTTGAAGGGCGCACCGAAGCGTTGCAGCGCGGTGGGGTGGGAAAGCTCATGCACCTCCCATGCGGTTTGTTGGGAGAGAAGCTCGCGCTTGAGGTAGTGCTCTTGCTTGCCCGTCAATACCGACCCGGGAGGTGGTATGGAGAGGGTGGAGGAGTAGGTCGAGGGCGCCGATCGGTCTAGGTGTTGTCGTTGGGTGGCGGCCTGGGTGGGTTGGTCGCTGGGCGCTTCGGGCGCATCGACGAAGACCTGACTGTCCATTGTGTCCGCCCGACGGATGGTGGCACCGTTCACGTTGTCGCTCTTGGTGGGAGTGAGTTGGACGTGGAAGCCGTTCGCTTTCGAGGCGACTCGAGGCGCGCCGTTGCCTTGGGGCGAAGCGGTGGCCATGTTGGATGGGAGGGAAGGGCGAGGGAGGATATATAGAAGGCGGCATGTAATAACGTGGACCACTCGCTCTCACTTTCAAGGGCAGAAGACGTACAGTTGAGCTACATACAACACAGCACAATACAATACAGTACAGCACAGTACAGTACAGTACATGTCCACTCCGCCCTCTGCTCCGCCGCGGGACGTTACGCGTTGATCACCGAACTCGTGCATGTGGATGACGTGGTTGCTGTCGCCGAGGCGCAGTTGGAGTCGACGACTATGTACTGGAGGGACAGCGTGGCCACGCGTATACAAATCAAAGCGACCATCGTTCTTGACTGCCGTGAAAAAAATACACCTATACAGTGCTGCCATTCGAGTCCACCATCACTTGGTCGATACAGAAGATGCGGTTCTCAAGGTCACGCAATGCAAGCCACTCCGCCAGAGATGCGCAGGAACCCCTCGCCTTCGCCAAAGCTTGGCCGTCGATCATCCCCTCGTGGCGTCGGTTAACACCTCCCATTAGCCCTACGCCAGCGATGAACACTCCTTTCACTCTCCTCATCCACCCTGCTATGGATCCCGTGTTGACACAATGTATACGACGTTAGATGCTAGATATGCGTGATCATCGCTATGGCAACATGTACGGCATAAACGCAAGGAGCGAGGTAATTTATCAGGAGCAAACCATCCGTCATCCCAGTCATCGCTCCTTTACCGCTACCCTCTCTCAGCACACCCGCCGGCCACCCCGTTTTCTCCGCCGGTCACCCCGCTACATATCGGTTGTCGAGTTTACAAACGAGCTTGACATTGTTGGCGAACCGGGTAATGTATGGGAAACCGGCTCGGTGCTTGAAGGTAGCGTACAGTTCAAGCGGTTGGCCGGGAGGATACCTGACCTTCACCGTCTAGATCTTGCCCGACCTTGCCATTAACGCTTCCTCCCATGCACACCCCAATGGCTCCACATGCGCTTGCCATGCCGCAATGTAGGCAACCCGGCCTCTGTCAACACCATCGCTATGCGTCCGTCAAATGTCATTCCCCAATGCTATGCATGTTGAGCACCTCTGCTGCAAGCCACCGTTCAGCGACTTTGGTATCGTTAGGCGGTCATTTCATCATCCAAACGCCTGCTTCAACCTCTCAACGATAGTGAAGATCAACGCCGAAGAAGGCGCGCTCCTGGCCACCGTGATGCCGCACCCACGATACAGCCCTCTGAACCCATGCGTGCGCCACAAAGCCTTGCCGACCGACAGGAACGTTTGCCGCGCGCCATGCTGAGACAGTTCTCCAGTTTGTATCTTAGACTTGATAGTATCCGCCGGATAGAACAGGAAGTTGTACGCCATGCCTGCTATAGCTCCAGCGAGCATTTGCTGCGAGAGCGGTAGCTGCACATCTGCCACGGCGGTGCTTGTACGTTGGGCGATGCGGGACTTGAGGTAGAGTGAGCTCGCTTCCCAGCCTCCGAACCACGCGGCTGTGCCTCCCGTCTCGCGGAGAAAGGTTCCTAGCTGTCCGCGCCAGAACCCGCTGATGCCTTCTCGGCGGAAGACGTCGCGTATTACGGCGAAAGGAGACAGCGACTTGGAGGAGAGTGGAATCCCGGCGTGCAAGGTGGGATCCACAGGGGACTGTAGAGGCACCTGCATCCGACATTTGACCAGCTCGATGGGCGTCAACAGGAACGAAGTGATGCCTCCTGACATAGCACCAGCGGTGATGAGTCCTGCTAACGGCAAGTCTTCGCCTCCGCTCGTGGTACGCTTGAAGAGACTCGTTGTCTGCAGAAGGTCTTTGGCAAGACTATAACTCCAAAACAAGCACGCCGTCTCCGCCGCAGCGCCAGCAAGCGGAGCACTGACTCCACGATACAGTCCACGAAAGCCGTCTTGTCGGATGCTTTGCTTAAAACAGTCCAACGGACCGCTATATCGCAACGGCAGGTGGTCCGGTTGCGACTGGAGGCGGACTTTGACCGTGTCGAACGGGTACTCGACGATCTTGCCCACGAGGCCCGCGATGCTGCCGAACGCTATATCGTGAAGTGCTTCGTTTGTATGACTTTTCGTCGCGTTAGTCACAGTCGCCGGTGCTGAGTCGGTCAAGGTGGCGTCATTGCCGAACGCTGCGGGCTGGGTATCCATGAGTGCTCCTGTAGCGACTTGTTCGATTGCGGTCCACGTTCGTGAGGTATCTCAAAGGAGAATCGTTCTTGTTCTCATGGGTGACAAATTGAAGAGGCGAGCCTCGTGCTCTTTCACATTCGCCGTTCAGAGCGCTGTGAAAGGTCGAGGTGAATGCTATCGTGGTAGCATGGCAGGCTGTTGACTCAACAGCACATCGATTTCCGGCCGCACAGGACACATTTATAGGGCGCAGCTGGCCAAGATATGGTGCCAGCAGAGCTACGCGTATAGCGTCCGATGTCGTTCACTCGCAAAATGCCTGCGTGGAAAATCTCTGTGGGTCCTGCAGCGGGGGCTCCCGAAGCGCAGGTACCGCAAACAACTGCCCCAAGAACCTCTACGCCTTGCGCTCATTTCCACTCGAGGCACGGTAAAAAACATCTTGCCCTTAGCTTGTAGCAAGCACGTAGCGACTGGTCGACTGTCCGATATGTCTACGGTCGTCGCCTCTACCTCCACGGCGGCGCCGCACGCCCGGGTTCCGCCAACGACGGGCCTTCGCAAAAACGGCAAGCAGTGGCACGAGCCTCGCAAACCATTCCGGCCTACGGCAGGTCAGACGTCGTATGCGAAGCGGGCGGCGAAGCAGGCGCAAGAGGCCGAGGTGAAGAAGCTCGAGCGGGAGATGAAGGCGGAGAAGGAGGAGCAGCGGCAGCAGAAAGTGCAGTCGATCAAGGACAAGCGGGAGCGGAAGGAGGAGAAGGAGCGGTTTGAGAGGATGGCGCAGAAGATGCACGCGAAGCGGGTGGAGCGGCTGAAGCGGCGGGAGAAGAGGAATAAGATGTTGAAGTCTTGATGGGAGCTTTTACTCCCTGACGGGACATGACTGTCGCGATCCGCCATGAGACTAGAAGGGAACAAGACGTTATCGTCTATCGGAAGACTCTTTCGAAGAATAGAAGATGTTCGTCGGCGGCTACACCACAGCTAAGATACACATTTCGAAAGCTAGCATGGCCTTGCAAGCAAAGCGAAAGCCCACAGCAATGTCAGACAACGCCGCGGCCGTCTCAGTGCACATCATCCTCACCACCAACAAGCTCCTCAACACAATCCGGCAGCGTCCTATTGCGGAAATGGGGTATCAGTTCAGAATTGAAATCCGCGGTCATCGTACAAAATGCTGGAGTCGAACGCGGTACGTAGCGCAGGCGGTGCGCTGACGGCGTGCGCCATTGCCGGGGCGTGGAGATAGTGATCCTGGATGCCATCCTCATGGTGGTTGGTATCGATCGGTGTTGGTAGACCGAAGCTGAAGTCGAGAGTCGACGGCGGGCAGGCAGGGAAGATCTTCAAGCCCAATGTACCGGCGGCAAGATCGGCGTTGTGCAATTCCTCTACCTCGTCATCCTCTTCTTCCTCGAGATCCTGGGTGTCCAAAGTGGCGGCGGCGGCGGCCATGTCATGTTCATTCGGCACCATCACCTGGGCTTGTGCTGTGGGCAGCTCAATCTCTTGCAGCCACCCATTCGCCTTCAGCCATTCAATCGGCGGCCAATCACCGCCTGCTTTCCCCGCCCGACTCTCCCGCTCCTCACCTCTTGCCTTGCGTCCACGCTTACGCGGGCAGAAATGGCTCCGCCGCAGATGAGCTGCCGCATTGTAGTATACATTGTACGTCTTGTGGTGCTTGCACTGCTTGCAAATAGCCAACGGACGAGTGGGCCACCATCCCTCTTTCGTCGCTGATGCACCAGCTGCGGGCTCAACGCAAATCCAGACGCGTTTGGTCTCGGCGTGGGCGCGATCATAGTGTCGTCGGAGCTCATGCTCACCGCGGAAACCGCCGGGGTGTTCGCTGCAGAGCGTACAGCGAAGCTTGGGTGGTTGGCGTCGGACGTAAGGTGTTCTGCTGATTGCTGCCTTGCGCCGCTGGTATTCGTACAGTCTGGTTGTTTGCAAGGGAACCGACGACCCGAGCGTCGAGGTCGATCTTGGTCCTTGCGGTATGGTCTTGGGGGCAATGCTTTGTCTGCCGTTCTCGATATGCTTGCGGCGCCGTTCGACCGCCTTGGCAGTCATCGGGTCCGCAAACAGTGGCGATGTGGCTGAATCGCTTTGGTCGGACAGGCTGCATTTCATGTCATGTGCCTGCTCGGTTGGTTCGTCTGCCTTTTGAGCATAATCGCTTCGACCACAACTCGCACTAGGAAAAGACTCAAAGACAGAAGGATGTTGACCAACAAACCCAGCACCCATGCTGCTCACCATCTGCACGCCACTACTGCATTCATACATACCATCATCAAAGCCAGGCAGAGTCTGCACGAGACTACTACAAGGCTTCTCGGTAGGTGCTTCTGAAACAAATGAAGCATCCAAGCCAAAGAAATCTTCTTCATTGTAGAGAGGGAAGGGAACGAAATCAGACTGCTGAGAGCGAGTGGTGGAAGACGACTCAACGCGCATCATGTCGAAAGCGTCAGCCACCGATGTCGAGGTGACACTACTCTGCCGCGACATGGCCTCGCTCGAAGTGAGTGACTGCAGCGACGGCTGACTCGACATGCTGGTACTCGGTGACACCATTGCGATTGCCGCGGTGTCGAATGGCGGCAGAGGCGGTAAGTGGGCGTTGCTTACTGCAAGATGCGAGGCGCCTAAGAGCAGTTCTTGGCTTACATTAGAGCCACCGACTCGTTGCCGCTTTGCTGCGATTGGCAAGGCAACCTGATGACTTGATTCCAGTCGGGAGACAAAAGTGGCCGGATCGTACACTAGGGCTTCGACGTGCTGCGTTGATCGTTTCGAGGGTGCGGCGCGACAGGGTAGACCGGCGCTTGTAGACATGCTGGGAGCTCGCGGATGACTTGGCTGTACACTGGGTGCATCATTAAGTGGCGTTGTAGTCGTAAAGGATGCGGTCGTCGACCGCGCCATGTTCGTGGCGGCATTGCTATGTGAGGTTGATGGGGCGAGTTCGTTTGTCTTTTGCTTGTTCGCTGACTGGCGATTGTTAGATGGATACTGGCACGCCGTAGTCGACAAGACTTACCGATGTCGCCGTCGGTGCCACTGGGCTTGAACCTGGCGAACATACCTGGGTGGGAGGCGCTGACGATGAGGAGTCTCTTGCAAGGTATGAAAGCAATTGAGCCTTCCGCTCAAGCCACGCTCGCTGACGACTTTGCTCGGATGGATGTGCGCTCCATATTGCTCGTTTCTCTTGCTCTAGCTGCTGCAGGAGAACGTCGCTGGAGTACATAGTAGAAGTCCACAGAAGCAGTGTCAAGAGCAACAGCTCTGCCAATCGCAAGCTGTATCGACGATGCTGATCTTACCACGCAGCTGTCACACTATTCGTTGGTAGAGCTGAACTTCAGAATGTTGAAGTGAGGCGAGCAAAGACGGCACAGGGAGGAGGCGACTCTTCTTGTATACAATGGCAGCTCGCAAAAGGCGTATTCAGGAGTATCAGGTGAGAGGCCATGCTCACAGCTGTCACATCCCACGCCATGCACAGTTTCCACGCACGCCGTACGCTTCGCAAGGCAAACCTGAAGCCGGGCCAGCTCCAGGAGCCCACCAGTAGGGGCGCTGCTCGGTACACAAACAAAGCATGGAAGCTTGCATGTAGACCCGCTCGCCCTGGCGCATACCGCCGCTGTTGGTCGCCTCACCTTTTCCTTCCCGCCCATGCAAGATAATCCTGGTGGCGCAGATGTTCGTTAGTCCATTCACGAATTGATTTTATCCGATCACTCTGCGATCCACGGCATGTGGTCATACGGCCTGCCGATACCCACGTGGAGCCGTGCATGTCTTTGCCGTATTCCAAGCCTCCTGCATGCGTTGGCGTCGAAGCCGAGGAAGGATCGTCTCGATCATCCTCAGGCACAGCAGCATGATCGTCGCAATGGTGTTTCACGTACCTCCGGAGAAGGATGTTTGGCTTCAACCATGCGGCTAGAGATCGTGACGCCTTATCGTAGTTCAGCGCCTTCACAGGTGACACGGCTTGCGTGAGAACGCTGCCGTTTGCATATGAGGGTCGTCCGAAGGGCCTTTGGACAGTCGGGACGATGCAGTCGCTGCTCCTCTGTGCAAGAAACATAGAAAGGTCTCGAGCTGGCCCTCGTCATCCAAAGGCCATCTTATGTGGTACAAGTGATGGCATGGCTTGATCTACTGACGGACAAGAACGTGGAAGCAACGTGTTGAGTACGCTATGCATTGAGATCTACCACAGACGCTCCTCGTACCGTCTATCATCAAAACTACACCGCCGACATAAGCCACCGCATACTTCCTACCGGACCCCGGGACTCTTTGCTCGGAACTCTCTTGTGCACTGGATGCCTACGGATGAACGCTGATGCTACCCATGCTGAGTGCTCGTCAATCTCTGCAATATCGTCAGCCCACTCCATGCCGCCTTGATTGCCGGACATCTTTCGTGCTATACTGGCTGCACTCGCCAAGGGTACAGTTGGACTTGCTGGTACTAACATGCTGATCTCCGGAAGCGGTGTGAACGACGCAATGGCTTCTGCTTTACCTAATGTAAGGGACTCTTTCCGCGACGATGTACTGCCACGTGACCCTTGGGACAAACGGGCAATGCCTCTTGCGCGTAGAGTCTCTTCGGTCTCAACGGGCGGTATTGGTGGCTGTGGAGGCATTGGTGACTTCAACGCCGCCACTACTTCCCTGGCCATGCCCTTCTGTAGCGGGCTTGCGGTCGGCTCAGATGACGGCGTGCTGTAGCCCTTGTCTGTTGGGCCAATCACGTTTCCCAGGTCATCCACTTCACCAATATCATTGTAATCTAGCATGCGCACATCGCCTCTATAAGCGATATCTTCGAAGCCAAAAGCGTCGAACCACTCGCAGATATCTTCGACTACGGCATCGTCGCTTCGCCTTCGTGGTACGTGCAAGGCGTGCTGGTAGACGTGCTCGATCACATCCTGAAACGGCTCGAGACTTGCAATAGAGTTCTTCCGCGGCATGATAGCAGGCTTGGGAAGTCGTATAGCACCCTGAATGTATACGTGCCGCTCCCAAGCCGTTAGTTCAGGTGGCGTGACCGTCAAGACCGAGCCTCCCTTCAGGTGGAGTTGCGTGGCTACCAGAGTTGTCACACCGGAAGAGGCAGACGGAGGTGGTGAGTTCTCCGTCACGCTCATTGACTCCGGGATTGATGACAAGCGTACAGTGGGGTCCACTAACGGACCCGCGCTGCCATTTGCTCTGCCGCTTGTTGTCACAACCGGTGCAAGTGGACTTCTTCTTGGCTTGACGGTCTTGCGCACCTTGGGGATAGGTGGGAGCACTCTTTGCTTCTCTCCAGGGTACACTTCAGTCGGCGTGGCAGCAATGCTATCAGGCGTGTCCGGCAGCTCCTTGTCCAAGTACGGCGACGGTGATGGTGGCGGTGGCTTGACGTGAAGGTTGGCAAATGCACGTTTGCGCACACTGCTGCTATCTAGTGGAAAAAATCCGGCATCAAGCAGCATGCTCATGGTCTCCCCTTTGGCTCTTCGTTTCCATGGTATATGCGCCTCTGCAAAAGGCGCGGCGGGCGAGAGCACACTTGCCGCTTTGCTGGAACTCTCTGTTGCACGTCGAGGCTGACTCTGCAAGCCAGGATACTCAAGCTCGAGCAGTGTCGCTTCCAGTGCATCAGCTGCGCTTGCTCGCTTCCGTGGTATCTTCTCCACCTTGCCGCTCTGCACCGCTGGCCGATGGTTGACATGTTCACTCTTGGAAGCTGGCTCTGTGAACGCGAGCTTCTTTGCCGGCTTCGGGCTCAACTTGCCATTCGCAGCAGAGATGACGACGCCTGCCTTCGAAGAATGCAATACTTCTGGTGACCGTACATCTTCCACGCCACTATGCGCGTCCTGGATGCTAAGCTGCACAATGGACCGTCTCAACACCACTTCTTGGGAAGCTGCTGGTCCAGGGCTTGGCTGCACTTGCTGCGATAGCTGTGTACTACTATCCTGCCTCCGTGGCGACTTTTCTGGTACTGGAGGTGGGCTTCTCTCAGGTGTCAAGTCCGACGGGCCGTCTGACAGAGGGAAAGATCCGAGCACTGAGGGCGTGAACAACGGGCTGGAAGGTCGAGGCGGTCGCCTTGGTGGCACGGGCGCTTTGCGCGGCGAACCAGCACGCCTCTCGGCACGGACACCAGGATGACTGGGTGAAGTGACAGCAGTAGAAGTCTTCTCAACGTCTGGTTGACTGGGTCGCTTTACGGTGTCCCTCTCCTCAGCTCCGGGTCTGCGCGCTGGCGGTGGTAGCGCAGAGGTTGGGGGTGCGGTTATCGGCTTCGAGACTTTACGCATGCCGCCTAGTCCAAGGCGTCCCTTTCGTGGAGTGCCTCCATTAGGCGAATTCGGTATTGATCGCGGTTTCTGTTCGCTCGAGTCCTTGCTCTCGGTACTTGCTCTCTTTGCTGCTTGCCTGGTTGCCGCTTCCTGCTTCAACTTCTCGATCTGTGCTCTGGTGAGTTGTATTGGTGGTGGAGCGTACATCTTCGCGGGCGGCCTTGCCGACGATGGAGATCATGATGTTGTGCATCTTCTATACAGTCTTTGCAAAGGAGCGATCGCACCAAGTGGCGCTCTTTGTTCTCTCTACGGCAGGCTCTGGCGATCTACAAAGCCTTGTTCCGGTCAACTGGTAGCCAAGCATTCCTCGATTCTTCCGCTTTCAGCAGGTCAAATGGCGGCCGGCGCTGCCTTTCTACCCCACCGCTACTGATGCCATCGCCGTGCTGTTGGAACGGTCCACGAACCTTCGCTCATCGCCGCTGTAAGCAGGTACTGATTCAATAAGGTAGCTCATTACAATGATACTGCCGACAGACTTTGCAATACACCATATCTCTGCTCACATTCGTCCTGACCTTGGGCCACGAGGCGTCCGTCTCTGCCGGCAGCTCATGGAGGCTTCTTGTCTTTACAGTAGTGACAGTGACCGTCACTACGGCAGGCTTAACGCTGGCGCTGACAGTGCCATCTTCTGCAACGGGCTTCGCCCAGTCCTGATATCGTACAGCTGGCGATGTTTCAGGCTCTGGTCTGAAATGGCTGTTGCTTCCGTCGGACTTCCGGTCAAGGTGGTAGTCGAAGACCCATTCCGGCACTTGTGTCCCAAACTTCGCTGCCAACCGGTACATAGGCACGAATTGGTATCGATCCACCTCTGGACCAACCTGTCTGGCTAACAGAGCCCAGCTTAGTAGCAGCGAGAGTAATACTGCCTTCCGCCAATTGCGCCTGATCAAGCGCATAGTGTTGTCGGGCAGGAAGTATAGATCTCGAATAGCTGCTTTGACGCGGTCGGTGATGGCGTTGTATCTCAGCCGCAGGTACTGATCGTAACTTGCCTGCTTGAAGTTGGCCCAGCCATGCTCGACACTCAGCAAGATGTTGTTGTTGAGCGCAAACTCGTCATATCTGTCCCTCGCCATCCCTCCAAGGATTTCGAACCATTCCGGCCCGTCCAACAGGCACGCAATCGCTACCCAAAGCACGAAAGCTATAGCCGCAGACCACAGAAAGAGCCGGAACGTCGGCCACAAGTAGCTGTGAACAGTTGAGGCGGAGACGTCGAAAACAAACGAAAAGACGACTCGTATCGGCCAGGTGAGTTGCAGGAAGAGCAAGACCAGCAGTTTCCAGGCAAATTGCGCCATTGTGAGGTTGGAGGCTGTGTCCGAGATCGGATCAGTAGCTGTGCTTGTAGCCTTGCTAGCTATGCCATCTAGCATTGTTTTCCGGGCAATGCTGTCTGCTGTACTGGTTGTCGGGCTGAAGTCTGGTGGATAAAGGGCCCCATCTGGTATCCTCCTCCGTTCGAGGGCCTCGATATAGGCCCGAACACGCTCGGCGTCCATACTGCTCTTGCGTGAATACATGTGTGCGGTACTGTCTTACCTTCTGGATGACGATGCGATGTTGTGCGGTCGGCAATGCTTGCTGCTGTGGAGTGGCTTTGTTGTAGTCCAGCTTCGAGTCTTCTTTCAGCACATGACGAATGCGGCACCGGAACGATATGCTCAACCATTGGCCGGTCGCCATTCTAGATCTGACAATAAGATGCAAGCGATTGTTATAGCATGGATGGTAGAAACAAAAGCCAGTGCTTGTTAAAGTGAGGTTCAAGCTCCATAATTAGAAATTAGAAAGCTCACCTCTGAAGCATATGCAGTCCTCTGGGTGCACTTTCCCAATGGCATGACAATGCGTGTATGCTCATGGGAGGGCCGCAAACTTCGTGTCGCTGCGAACTTGCCTCCTGGAGAGCGTGCGTGCGAAGACGGGTTTCTCAGCATCATGTCAAGACCAAACAGTCTGGAAGCGCCAATGGTCCAGATACTTGCAGTGATGCTTTTGGGTTTCTCTAGTAGTCCAAGTTTCTCCTGGATATGGCGTTCTGCTATGCCTCTCAGTGATCGTACGTAGGTTAGTCTGCCTTTCTGCTTGGTGTGCAGTAACGATGCATCTCAGGCCTGGGTAACATCCCAACGTAGTTTCACGTCAACAAGCTGCTGCCATGGGCCTAAACAATACCATAAAGGCACGCCATCGTCTTAGGATGGTGACACAGATACGGGACTTTACCTACTCTTACTTGAAGGCAGGGGCCTGCAGCGTGCTGCCACCGTCGGGGTACAATATCTGCTCGTTGTCTGTGAGGTATGATTAGCCATGCATGCCAGATCAGAGAACGGGCACTTACAGAACAGTCCGCCCTTCCCAGCCAGGAACAATATACTAGCGGCCATATCGCTGTCGTGCCCTCCTCTGCCTGCAGGATTGCCTGGCTTGCTGCTAAGCTGGCTCTTGTTATCGTCGCCGCTCTCGTTCGTCGTCATCTCACTCGGGAAGATTCCAGGTGCTATTACGTTTACACGAACCTTACAGTCCTGTTTCGAATATCAGCGTACCGATCGTGGCCATGACGGCAAATGCACTGGAAGGGCATGTGAAGCCGTACCTTGAAAGTGGTGGCGAGCATCCTGCTCATATGCGTGAAGGCTGCCTTCGAACTGGCGTACGCAAATTGGCCGTTGGAGGAGCCCTTCATTTGGCCAGAGATGGAAGAGACGTTGACGACCGAGGTGGTATAGCCGGGCGTGACCTCGCGGCCTTTGGCAAGCAAGGGCAGGAAGGCCATGCTCATGAAGTACTGACCTATGACATTCGTCTGGAAGGTTTCTTGGAATTGCTGCTCTTCACTCTTGAGGAAGTGTTGAGAGATGGCATTAGGATCTTCCATGTTGGGTTGGCCATTTGTGGCTGGACCATGTCAGCTCATACCACGACCGTAGAGCTCAAGGTCGCTAACAGAATTTGGTGTTGTCGTCTCGCGCAATGCCAGCGTTGTTGACAAGCAGATGGATGCCCTTTGGCTCCTTCTGCTCCATTTCCTTTGCGAGCTTGATAGCGCCTTCTTTCGTGCTCACATCTCCTGGCAGAGCGTGGAGGCTACCAGGCCCAGTGTTATACTGCTTTACGGTTGATTCGAGCACTTCCTCTCTTCTGCCGGTGATGTAGACCTTCGCTCCGTTCGTAACAAGCGCCTGAGCTATCATTAATCCAATACCTGTGCCGCCGCCGGTCACTACGGCTGTGACAAAGTCGACATTGAAGAGATCACTCGTCTTGAGCTGATCGTTCGTCCTCTTGCCTACCCGACATCAGACAAAATGGCTTTGCAAGTCCGCATCGGTTTGATACTTACTAGGATTGTCTGATGCCATGGTTGCCCGTTGTTGTATAGCTGGAAACGCAGGTCTTGACACTGAAGTGGCTAATGTAGGTCTTACCGAAGCTACAGTGGAGCGTGCAAACAATCGAAGCATTGTTTATTGACAGCAACAGAAACGAGCCGATGAGCTACCTTACCTGCAGAGCATTGTGCCATTACACGTCCATGACGTCCTGCGAGGCTTGTTCGTCATCAATTTCCCAAACGCCCCCGGTCGGCCAGAAGCCTAAAGTTTAGAGAGATGCTCAGGCTCTGTTCTCACAGAAAGGAGCCCTTACAGCTTCTTACAACCGTCCGGGGCGTGTCCCTGCGAAGGCAGAGTGCAGCAATGTTCGCGCGAGACGCGTTGCCGGACGATGAGCGTCTCACAAAGGAAAGTCGTGGGACGATTGCTTGGTTTTCTTGACGCGGACGAATGTCTTACTCAGATATCTGACCATCACAGAACCAGCTCTAGGGATATGCTGTGCTTAGCCTCTAGGCACCGCTCGTGGCCTCTTAGCATGTGCGCGTCCGCCACACGTCCTTGAGAATATCTAGTATCGTTCCGTCATCTCAGTCATCATCCTCGTCAGTCTCCAAGCCAGCCTCCGCCTCCGGAATTGTCTCCTTCGTTTCCACCGGAGACGCCGCATCTCCTCCAAAGCGCTCAAGAGGCGCAGAGCCTAGGCTCCCGATGCTACCTTGCATCCCGTCCTCCCCACCCAATGCTCCGCCAGCGCTGCCGACGCTAAGGTTGCCGGTTGAGTCTCGCTGGCTAATGAGCAAACTCGAGCGTCTCCGCTGCCTGCTAACTACGCCTGGAAACATTCTAGGCTCGACCAGATCGCTCCCACCAGACGCGCTGTACGATGATCGCAGTGCAGAAGGCGCAGACAATTGGGGCGTAAGGTTCGCCGTTTGCGTAAGTGCTGAGGCGGGCTCGGGCGGTTGAGGCGGGAAATTGGGATGCCCGGTAAGTGTTGAGGGAGATGAGAATATCATGCTGCCACTACCATGCCCGCCGTCACGGCCAGGTGGTGGAGGATGTACTCGAGGTACTGAGTCATGATAGTGCGGCGTAGAATTGCTGTTTGGCTGAGTATACTGACTACCCCCTGCGCGGTATGAGCTGGTGTTGATACCGAGAGGGTTGGTCGCGCTCGGGTTGGTCATCATGCTCGCCGTCGGGCTCGGCGGGCCCTGCTTGGCGGCTTCCGGCAAAGAGACGTTCGTGAGGTCTTGCGCCTCTCGCGGTCGGGTATATTTATCGATCATTTGCAGCTCCAGCTCCAATGTCTCATGTCGGAACGCTTCTCGGATGTTGGGCACATTGACTTTAGCCATATTGTTTCCTGCCACACCAGGCAGATGGTAATTCTCACCCAGCCACCGCTGCTTGACCGCATGCTCGAACCCGCTCTGCATCACCGAATGCTTCGCCAACTCGCACATGTCCACCGCACTAAGCTTGTAGATCTGCGCCGCGACAGCATATTCCTCGATGAGCGGCTCTTTCGTGAATGCGAATTGCAGTGGGTCATCGGTGGACAAGCTCACGTTGAGTCCGCGCCGGAAGTACTGCAGAAACGGGTTACGCTCGTAAGCGAGGAACAAGGCGTTGTTGCTCAGCGGACTCATCGCCACCCCAATCTGCTCGAGGTAGAAGATGTACTGCAGCAGTGGCACTTTCCGCAGCAGGAGACCATGCGAGATACTATGACAGCACAGCACTGCTGCAGCCAAGTGATCGGTATCGCCCGCTTCACCACAATGGGGTCGGAGCACGAAGGTGTTGAAGCCGCGGTGCTTTCGCCAGACGTTGAGTGAGGCGATGTTGGCGAACAAATAGTAGATCCAGTAGCTGTAAGGCGGGTTTTGCATGGTGTCCCAATTTCGGGGCAAAGGGAACTTGCGGTAGATGCGGCGTTCGGTTTTGCTCTCATCGTCCACGCTGTCAAAGCCGATGACGCGTTGCAGGAAGATGTGTAGCTTAGGGTGCTTTTGCGGGTTCTGTGTAGCTTCGAAGAGCGGCTGGAAGACATTGGCGATGACTTCTTCGAAGCGATTCATCAAGCCGGAGGACTTGTAGACGTCGTACAAGCGCGGGATTTGAATTAGCCAGCGGACATTGGGCGAGAACAGCTTGTTGTCTACTACCCACGCTGCAAGCTTGTCCCACTCGTCCAGCGTGCGGCCGTAGATGCTGATGCGCCATTCCACCATCTGATACTTGCTGCTCTCCAGGTCACTTATTACTTCCTTCGTGATCTCAGCCAGATAGCGGCCGTGGATGAAATTGTCAGTTTTGAGGAAGATGGTCCGCAGTCTGCTCTCTCCGACGGGGTTGTACTTGAGATTAAACTTATCGAACCGGTGGAAGGAGTCGGTGTGAGCATGCATGTCCAGCGTGTCGATGCTCAGATCGTAGGCCGTAAGGTTGATGGACTCGAAGACTTCGCGGAGCGTGAGGTGCTTGTTGTCCCTAAACAGCACAACTTCGTCCGGCGACTTCTTCATCTTGCTCTTAATGAAGCGGAGTAGATGCTTCTGGTTCATGCACGCTGAATGATGAACATGAGTATCGACCTTTCGCACGTTGTAGAAATCACGATGAGGCACTGCTTTCGTGTCCGCTACCTCTTGATACTCGTTAAGCAGCACGTATAGATTGAACTTGCCTTCGAGATACTGCAGCCGCCGAAAAGCGAAGCTTTTGCTCGGCCCATCCGATGAGATGCCTAGGATAGCGTCCAGATCCATGTAGAACTCACGTATTGTAGGTATGTGTAGTATCGGTTCGCCAAGCTCAGCAGACGATGCGTTCTCGTACACTTGATATACGCCAGCTTCGTCAAGCTTGTACATCAGTTCCGAAGGCTCAGGAACGGGCAAACAATCTTCCAGCACGAAGTCCTCGCCAATGTCTTGACCCATCTTTCGCGGTCTTCTCGTCGGAGGAGGCTTGACTACAGGCCGCTTTGGCGTCGCGTTAGGCGAGCCATTCACAGCTCCGTCGTGAAATACTTCTTCGCTTGGCCTCGCATTTGAACGCTCTCTATTCTCCTGCCAGACTGGCTCAGGCATCGGCGGGTATATATCCCATCCTGGTTCATCTCGTGGATTGTCGGTCGGGCCTTGCAGCGAAAGCCGCATGTACTTGTGTCGAATATCGAGAATCTTCTGGATGTTGCTGTAGATGGCTTGTAGCTCGGCAGTCACACTCGAATCGCTAGGTGCGCCTAGCCCTATACCAGCTCCCGCACCGTGTATGCCTTCCTTCTCAAGGAGCGGTTTACGCTCGTGCGGTAGGCCTGGATGGAGATCATGTGCTCTCGCTGCTCGATCTGCGGCTATGTACGGATCGTCGTACCCATTGTCACCGGCATGATGAGCGGCTTTGCCATTGACTGCTCCCCTATCGCTGACGCCGACTGGAAGTGCACTTTGATACAAGCCTACAGGAGGCACACTAGGATCTTTAGTGCCTGACACACCGAGTTTGCTCCTAGCTGATGCGCTCCGCGAGAACATGCTAGCATCACCGCCTGCATGGCTTGAGTACGCTCGCGCCTTCAATGTCGGGCTCCGCCCTATTACTGGACTTCCACTGGTAGAGCCTTGCTCCGCCCGCTGGTTTTGGTAGAATTGCTTGGCCTCTACGTGTGACATCTGCTTCTCCAGATGGTAATTGTAGTGCGTGGTCCGTCTCTGTTTATCACGCGGTAGCAAGCCCTTCAGCTCGGGCTCTGCGCCATCCTCGGAATCGCCTGTCTCATCTTCTGCGCCCTCTCGTACACCAGTAGGCTTATTGGCGCCGTCTGAAAGATCTTGCGCCGCTATACGCGCTATGCTCGTTGATTCATGCAACTCGTCATGGTCCTCCTCAGTGTGACCATCGCCTTCAGAAGATACGGCAAACTCCTCCGCTTCGCTATCGTCTGAGTCTTCGCCGTGCTGATGATTGATATGATGCGGCGCAAAAGAAGGCGGCATGGGCGATCGCTGCATCATATTGCCGGTGTCGTGTCGCCGCTACCCAAGAATGGTCGTACAGATACAGCTCAGGTAGCGCAGGGCGATTCTTAAGAATGAGAATGTTTCACGACATCGGTAGCATGGTGTTCAAGTAGTTGTGGTCTGACATCCACCGAGCTTCTCAATGGATCCGTACATAGCAAGGGAGGAGGCTATGGCTTGACATACAAGGAAATAGTGATTGAAAGGACAGCATGACCGAGTCAACATGCCCCAGTAACAGCGTGGAGTCAAAAAGCGCGTCCCACCTGTCTAGGCTCTTGTACGTGATACGACGACGCCAAAAAGCTTTGTGGTGATACTGCCATCTGAAACGCAATTGATGGCACGATAACTTCAATACTGAGATGGCTAAAACTACTATGTACAGAGCTCATCAACCACACCCCATCTACTCCATGGCCATACCAGTCATCGGGATGTTTACGACTTCTGGCTGACAATGCGTTCGATATCAGACACGCTCTGCTTCAGGATCTGGTCAAGCACCTTCGGATTCTCGAGCTCCTTCTCAATCTTGGCGATGATACTGGCGGCCAGCTCTTGCTGTTGTCGCTGCTTGACCTGACCCTCGTAGCGGACCCAGCTGTCAAGTACGGTCTTCGCTTCGTGCGCAAGCGCAGTACGCTGCTCGAGCTCGTAGGCTTGGGCCTCTAGTTGGGCAGTTTCCTGTGACAGGTGTCAGTATGCCACTCGGGTGAACCTGGCGGAGAATTCGACGAGTGTATGCAGGCGCACCTTCGAGACCGCGAACAGGTCCTTCGTGATGTCAATCACCCCGCTCAGGTCCTTCACATTGTTGATCCTAGCCTTGACGGCGTCGGTGTGGTCCTTCCTTGCCGCATTCAGAATGCCAGCGTACTTGTCCGCTAGCGAGTCCGCCCACTGCTTGTACATAGGACCGGCATATTGGTAGATAGACCAGTAGATAGTGAGGATACTGAAAGCGACAATGGACTCCTCGTTTACAACGTAGATCTCATTGGAGATCGCGGCAATGGAGATACCGGCACCGGCGGAGAGAATGGCGGTTTTGGAGACGAGGTTGTTGCCGGGGAGTGCGTCAAGAATGGACTGTGCGGTCTCTTTGGGATCTCTCTGCGGCACGTTGTCGGCGCGGCGGGGGATGCTTGTGGTGAAGGCAGTGGTGCAGGCCGGGATCGTGGAGCGGAGGGTTGGGCGGGCCAGGGCGGCGCCTACAGACCGTTAGCGATGGCTGCAGAGCTGAATGCTGGACGAGTACATACTCAGGCCGCGTCTGGCGATAAGCGACGCCATAGTTAAGAGTTACTGGATCACAGAGCTTCTCAATGCTCGTCGCCAGTGATGCGAACTCCTCAAAGTCGGCTCTTCCTCGCTTCCGCAGCTTCATCGTCTTGGCACGCTACGTTTTCTGCCTAAGGCATCACGGGCAACACTCTCCTAAGGTACCAATGAATTTTTGATGCGACAACTTCATGTCGAGAGCCGAATAACGACCATGCCGGGGTTGGTTGCGGAGCCCACAGGGGTGCGCAAGAGAAAGCTAGATGATACTGCTGCACGCGATGTGGCCTTGAAGTCGCGCAAAGCACCCAAGACGGCAGCAGCTGGCGAGAGCACTGAAGAGAAGGTCTTGCGCCTTGAGGAACAGGTTCTCCATGGCCGGGAGCACTACAATAACATCGTCGAGCTTCAACGGCTCCAGCGCAACTATGAGACCAAGCCGAGAGCTGCTTCGCTTGCAGCAGTCTCGCTCTGTAGAGTCTTCTGCCGTCTTATTGCAGCAGACGAGTTGCGAAAGCGAGGCGGCGCCTCTGATGCCGACATTCAGATTGTTCGGTGGCTGAAAGCGCGGCTGAGAGAGTACGTTCAGAGTTCGACGGAGTGGATTGGTGTTCCAGACCCAGCGCAAGAAAGCACGGCGCTGACACTGCTCATGCGAATCGTTAAGGTGGAAATTGCGCAGGATGTCAAACAGGCTGAGCAGGCGTGGAAGACCGAGAGCTCAACATTCTGGCGGGTGCTGAAGGCATTGCTGGAGAAGACGGAAGCTGAGGGAGCGAGACAGGAGTTCGTCGAGCGGTATGTGGAAGAGCACGATGATGTGCGCTTCTACACTCTCTTCGTGGTCAAGCAAATTCTAGCCACTTCCCACTTGGATCGAGAGGCGGCTACACGCAATGCTATCGAGCTTCTGACACAGATCGAAGACGTGCCAAAGTCAGACGATGACCTGCAACACTGGTACGGGCAGCCGCCATCCGAAGGACACAAGCAGTTGCGCTCTCTCAACGCACACCGTAAGGTCGCGCAAGAAGCATGGCTTACCATATTTCGCTCAAAGCTCACGCCGGACCAACGCAAGCGCATAATCAGCGTTGCAACGACACATCTCCTTCCATGGTTCTCTACTCGGTCAGAGTTGCTTACGGACTTCCTCACAGACACCTTTAATGCAAGTGGGTCACTCGCGCTACTCGCTCTGAACAGCATCTTTTACCTCATAACCGAGAAGAACATTGACTACCCGGAGTTCTATACGAAGCTGTACAGCCTGTTGGATGAGGACATCATGCACAGCAAGCACCGTAGTCGCTTCTTCCGGCTGCTTGAAACCTTCATGAGCTCGTCGCATTTACCTGCAGCCATGGTGGCGAGCTTCATGAAGAGGCTCGCGCGGCTTAGCTTGCAAGCACCGCCGGCAGCGATCGTCTGGGTGGTACCATGGGTCTACAATATGATGAGGCAGCATCCGTCATGTACGTTCATGCTGCATCGTCCTTATCATCCTGCACATGCGATCTGGTCTGCCAAGTCGGAGCCTGCAGAAGATGGCATGAATGATCCGTTCAACCCATCAGAAGGAGACCCGAACCTCACTGGGGCGATAGATAGCTCGCTGTGGGAGCTCGAGAGCCTGCAGTCGCACTACCATCCTAATGTGGCCACTTTGGCGAAGATCCTCGGCCAGCAGTTCACGAAGGACAAGTATAACCTAGAGGATTTCCTCGATCATTCGTATGGTACCCTGGTTGAGGCTGAGCTCAAGAAGGAGATGAAGAAGGAGCCGGTCGTTGAGTGGGAGATTCCGAAGAGGATTATCACAACCGAAGATGGCGGGCTTGACAGGATCGGCGGGCTCCTACGGGATGCACTGAGCGTTGCCTGAAAGCATTTGCTGCCTTAGTTACAAGATGCTGTCTGCTTTAGTGTCGTCCGTCTACCACACAGAGAACACATTCGCCCTGCCGTCCACAGCTGAGAAGAGGCCCTTTCGGTCTTCGGAAGCGAGCCCTTCGGGCCCCGAGCTCCGAGACGAGCCATCAGCCATGTCCATTTTCCATATCCATAACAACCTCCCCATCCTCTTCTGCGTTCTGGTATTGTAGTCTTGCCAGCGAGACGACTGCGCCCCGTCCCTCCTTTAGTAATACAGCATACGCAGATAGCAGCTTGCGGTTCCGCTCCCACGTGTCTATTAGAAAATAGGACCTGCGTCGTCTCGCGCTCTACTAAGCCGACAACATGCCCGTCCTGCGAACCACTCTTGCCGTTGCTGGCTGGGGCGGTCTAGCTGGTGTAGCAGGATGGATCGCATTGACACGGGACTGCACAATGAAACCTGTCCCTCCTTCCGACTATCTGTTCAACCATACACTATATGCCCGGTACAATCCCAACAATGCGCCAGTAACGGAAGACATCTGCATACGACAAGTGCCACTGAACAAGATAAAGCCAGAGTTATTAGAAGGGAAGGATGACGGGAGGCTGGTGGAGGCTTTCTGTCAAGGTGTATGGGGTGGAATCGGTATGGAAGAGAAGATGCCGGACGGTACGCTCGACGACTGATTAGTGGTCCAGGCTTCGCATATCAACGTCAATTCCTCGAGCGCAAATACCGCGGTGCAGATACCGCATCACAACTCTGGGACCGTAAGGAGCTCAAGACCAGCAGATACCCGGTCGGCACGCAGATCACGGATCACTTCGAGGTTGTCTCGAAGACGCCGACGAGTATAATCGTGCGCGCCGGCGACACACCTAGGAGACTTGAGGTCCGGGAAAGCGATGGACTATTTGAGATGCTTGCGGAAGTCAAGGAGAAGGAGGGCGTGGCAGAGTTCGGGCTGAAGAGCGTGTTCTACAATGGTCTTGCAGCACCAGACAAGGAAGGCAAGCCGCCTGGCCCGCCCATGAGCCCATGGATCCAATGGTTACATGCGCAGTATGACAAGTTGCTCATGGAGACAGCGCTGAGAGGGAACGTTATGAAGTGATTGTTGGCAGCTCGACTGGACGGCTGAGGTGCGCTAGATGGTCTCCCCGTCAGCGCGAGACAGAAGTTGCGCGCTACAAGTGCTACATTTGTTACTAACACCACGCACAGGAAATATCCAATGCACCAACAGCTCCGGTCCATCTCTCTTCATGATGTCCATTCCAGTCGAGAGCACGGGCCACCCGTCTGCTTGAGCATGGAGCTCTAGAGCACAAAGAAAGCTACATCCTTATCTGGCGCAAGCGGAAAGCACGGCTTTTGTTTTGTCTCGAAGACAGCTTATGCGCAACGAGTCATGCTCCGAAAGCGGAAGTGCAGGATCCGCCAACAACGTGACATCTCGGGGCGCTGGCCCTGCCATGTAGTTGGACCGTGATTGATCCGTTATGCACGGCAGCTGTCTTCCAACCGCGGCGATGGAGACCCTTTGCGACCATTTCGTCAATCTGCCAATCTTCATAACTAATTACGAAGTCATCCTTGCAAGCAGCCCTCCTTCGCTCGCCAACAGCGGCAACGTAGCTTATCCAGCACCGCAGGGTCTTGCGGCTCCAACGTCTTCGACTGACCCTTCACCCGTCTCTCAGACACACAAATGGCAGACGGGCTTCTCTGACTTCGCAGACGGTCTCTGGTCCACCATGACCGCCGACTTGAAGCAGAAACTCCGCCAAGCATGCGTCGAAGTGCTCAGGCGGACTGACGATGCAAGCGAGGAGGAGAGGCTTGCGTACATTTGTGAAGACGACGCACGCCTTCTCGACTGATCAAGCTTGAGCTATGATGGGTGGCGGACGGTACGCACTATGCCATGCATTCGCATCCCGGAGGTAGTAGAAGAGAAATGAAGCAACACCGCTAGCTTGGACCATCATCCAGCCAAAGTCAGCATCCTCGCCGAGTTCTTCTTCATACTCTGGCCGTGTAGCGCCAAAGCCGGGCATCCAGTTTTTGGAGACAATCTTCACGAAGGCGGTATCTGTGAGCGTACCTCTATCGAGGATGGGCACATTGTCTACGATAGAATCCTGAGTTTCTTTATCGATGAAGATGCAGTATCGGTAACGGACACTCAAGCCAAAGCCGGTTTTGTCCTCGACGCCTTGTTCGCGTTCGGGCGCTGTGGCAGCCCAGTCGCTAAAGTGCTCGCGGATATCCCACGGCTGTTGACTGTCGTAGTGCGCTCGATCTTCCATGACGGTCAGCCGGAACTTGTCCATCAGATCCATGCCATTGTAGAACTGCATCGTGTTATCGATCTGTCGACGTAGTCTGGCAATGCACTCAGCCCACCTTGCATCGTCATCATAAACGCAACGGTAGACGACTAAGCCCCATAGATGGTGGCCGTCGCTTGCCAGGTCTCGCTCAATGTTGTCAGCTGTGTTAGAGTATGTTGCCATGTCAGGCGTGCGTAGTGAAATGGATGCAGGATCTCGACGTCGACGTTCCTCTTGCCGTTGACGAATCCGGGCCATAAGGTCGGCGCCAACATCCTCAGTCGACTCAGAGGCCATCAACCTTGACAACGATAATGCTTGCTGTTGGTCACGGCTTGTATGAGTGCGCCGTGAATCGTGGGTTGAGAACGTCGACGATGAGAAGATTTCCAAGCGCCAACCTTTAACCGCGCGAGTGGCAGTTTTCAAGCCGCGTTCACTGCTCAGGCCCAACGCAATTACTCGAGCGCCTCATAGTAGCAAGATAGGTCTGGAATTTCATTCTTGTAACATCAGTGTGCTCTCATGGTGTCTGACTCACGGCCTTCTACCCATACACTTGTTGGCAAAATGAAGCAAGTAGGAAGCGGAGTGGGCGCGAGCATCGTCGGCTCGACGGAGATTAGAGGAGTACTATAAACAGCATGTGTGGACAGAGTAGCAGACAGTCCCAGAGACGGCGGAAGAACTAATTCCATGTTTGTTATGGTGATTGTACAGTAATGATAATCGCAGAAAAGAGTACCGGCAGCAACATCGAATACCCAGCCCTGAAACTTCAGTCAATGTGTTGCCCTGTCCTAACTCCCCCGCCTGTGGCCGTCTCATTTGTTCCTTTAATGCGCATCAGGAGTAGCGTGCTACCCGTTCAGTGCCTCGTAATCGCTCACCCACATCGTACCTGCTGTGATCGCCAGTTGCATCCTCGGAAATGCTGAGGTCAAGTCCGTATGGTAGCTCGTCGTAAGAGACGCCGATAATCATGTTACGGCAGAACTCACGCTCATGAGTGACTTTGAGCGGCGGAGCAGTAAAGTGGTGCGGAGTAGCACACGATTTGACCGTCTCGCCGTGAAAATGCTGACCTACGTAGGGCAGGATACCGCTCGAACTGGTGCAGGTGTCCCACTGGCTCAATGCAAAAAGTGTATAGGCATCGAGACCGTGCTCATCGCCACTTGACTCCACCTTCATTGAGGCATTCGCGAGGGAACCAGAAGCCGAGGGGGAGCCGAACGGATAGTCATTGCTCTCTGGAAGGACGCCATTGTGGCAAGTGCACAGTTCGTGCTTTGACTGAGCTGTGTTGAAGGCGCGAATGCTGATCCAGCCATGTTCCGGGACCCAGAGATGGTGGTCTGCTACCCCTTCCTCGCCTTCGACAGAGTTGCCATCCTCAGATGCCGTATCCGAGCGGACATAACTAAGCGCCGGGGTCGAGTTGGTGAGGCTCCCGCCGCCGCCTGCGCCGTCAGACTGACCTTCACCGCGGCAACTGGTGCAAGTGCAGCCGATGCGAGAGCGGCAATTAACCGTGTCAAACTGGGGAGGCCGTGCTCCATCAGTTGTAGCAGGCGTATCAGGCTGATGTTCGAAGTGGTGCTGATAACGGTCTTTGCCCATCTTTTCGGCACGACTTGATGAAGAAAGAAGAAATATATCCTATTGTGACAAACGCAATGAGTAACGTTGCTGGGCAAATAGCTCCACCAGCGCCTTGCAAGTAGTGTAAGAGAGATGAAGAACTTGTGTAAAGAAGCTGTAATGGAAATGGCGATTTAGAACGGTTGTGAAGTCAGAGGGTAGAGTGATGGAAAAGATCGAGGAACTCTGTAGATATGGACCGTTCACCAACACGAGCTGTCGTGCATCCAGCGGCGGGGCGACAGCTGCACATCAATGTGTGCGTACGATGTGCGCCGGCGACGCAGCGAGGTTGCAGTGGCATGCGACCTTTGACCGGTCAGCGCAACGCATGCCCGAGCTACCTTGAGCGGCATAATGCAGCCAAGAGGTCGAGTACGCCGGCAGTTGGTAGGCTAGCACGCGGGGTGCAGGAGTCACCACGTCCAACCTGCAGCCTCTTGAGTAGCGAACAGACACCCTCTACTAGATCAGCAAGGACATCTGGATCCCGGACTCTTCGTCCATATATTGACGGATGGCTGCAATCTCACCAGCATGATCAGCGCACACACAGAGAAGTGAGAACAGTGGGCGGGGCACGACCCGCAGATGTCAGGTATGTTTTGGTGAACATTGCGACACCGTACACATCAACAATCTCCAGGGCGATGATGAGCATGGTTGTTAACAATGATGTCGTGTTCGCATGGAAGGATTATGGCTGGGCGTAAAGCCGTGGATTGCCGAACCCATTTCGGATTGCTAGCGTCAGGCAACGGGCGGACCTTGTAGCGCCTGAGGCATCTATGCTGGATGGGACAGCAGAGGAGAATGCATATGACCAGCTCTGTCCCTGTCGCATCTCGCCGCTTTCCGAGAGCTGCTGAGAATATGATAGACTGTGTCTAGATAGGATCAAGGTAACGGTCATTCATCAAGAGACAAAGGTGGAAGGGTATTGCTCACTTTAGTGGATCACTCGATTACATATGCAAAAGTGCGGCATTGACCAGCACAACGTATGTAGAAAGTTGCATTAAGGCTGTACACGTCGCTGAGAACGCAACACACACAATGCGCATGGCAATATCATTCATCTTCGATGTCATCATCTTCGATGACAAGGCTTTCCGTCTGGTGGATGACTGGTGCTGGCATTCGACTGTCGCTCTTCGTAGTGTAGTCTTTGTTGCGGTTGGCCAGCCGTTGCTTGGGTGTTGTTTTAGCCGGTTCGGGTAGGTCCGTTGACCAGTACTCTGTCTGCTTAGCGAAATCGTCGCCGTCCTCTGCATCTTCTTCTTCGTCGCCATGCGAAACCGGGATCCTCACCCGACCGACTTCTGTAAGTTGGCAAACCTGCTCATAGAGTGCCGACATATGTGCAGAGTCGGGCCTTCGAGGCAAGACTTGATGGAGATATGGGAGCCGGTAAAGCAGCATATCCATCCTCGATTCCATAGAGGACAGAAGGCAGCCTTGCACAGTCTCAGCAACTTCGTGATCGGACTGTGGAAAGGTGTTGATGCGTCTCCAGGACTCGACGCCGTCCATTTTGGACCAGGTGGTGTACTCTTTGGCATAAGCTTCCAAACCGTCCTTCTGCAGCCGCGCAGCCACTAGCTCTAAGGTGTTTTCTGCTTCTTCTCTAGCCTTCCATAGCCTTGATGAGGTAGGGTACCGCATGCGGTGGGCATCAACTTTGGACCCTCCTGGCAATGCAATCCTGTGCACTGGTGAGGGTAGTCCGAAGATCGTACCTCTTACCGCAGCTTGAAAAGACATCTCGTCTTGCCGTAGGCTATCAAGTGCAGAACCGGAAAAAGCCCGAGTACCGAATGCGAAGCGGTCGATCGACAGTAAGTCAGCATCAGAAAAGCCTTCAGCACACCCAGTCAGGCTGTCCAACGTGTCTTCACACCTCCCGGATGAGCACGACTGGAGGTAGTTTTCATGCAAGGCTGCGATGTATGTGGAAATATCTGTTCCGAGCTCGTCAACAAGCGTGTTAATATCGTAGTCGGGAATCTTATTTCGACGATTGTGAGGTTGCCAGGCTGGTGGCTGCGGGAGCTCTTGTCCTACTGGGGGGTCGATGCGATTGTTGTAAATAACGCGGCCGACAGCGTGAAAGATGCCAAGACTGCTCTCGCGGTTGCTGATGAGCTTTAGTGCCTCCTTCTCTGCTTCGGTCATTGGCGGCTCGGACTTCTTCTTCGGTTTGGTGAACTGCACCTTACTCGACCAGGTATCATCGTTGCCTTCCCGCAAGCATAGAAACTCAAGAGCAGATACAGCACTTCGGACATCACCTGTCTCCGCAAGGCGCTTTAGCACGGCCGGTCCGGGAGTCCTCCGCCTACCAGACTTCCGGGCCTCTTTGACGACCACAGTTTCCAATGCCTTGATCAGAATTGTTGGAGCCACCGGGTTGAATTCAATTGTGTTGATCAATGGATTGTTCATGAGCTCCGGCCCAAGTAGGCGGTGTGCGGTGAAGCTATCGGCGGCGGCGGTATTGGTAGATAATAGAGTTTCTGAGATAATCATGACAATGGGAACTGGCTCATTGCCGGAGGTCGAGGAGACATATTGCGACAGCGTAGACCGAAACGACTGTAAGGTGATGGAAGTGCGGGAAAAGGTGTTCGGGAACTCTTCGACCAGCAACAGCCGCTTGCCATTGGTTAGACCTTCCAAATCGCCGTCTTTATTGGATTCTGAATCGGGAATACGAGTAGTATAATCGGGTCTGAGCTGCAGCCCTGTTAACCTTCCAGCTCGACTGATAAAGTCCTCAAACAATGCTGCAGTAGAGGGATGAGCATCAGAGCTACTATCGACGCCGATGGGATTGTGCCATTCGGAGACCTTCACACCCATGCCGCGGGCAATTAAGTGGACTGCAGTGGTTTTGCCAGTGCCTGCGCAGCCTTTGAGCACCAGGATCTTGCGACGCTTGCCACTGAATGCGCCTTCCAGCCACTGCCGCACATCAGCTACCTTCCGCTTGTGCACAGCCAGCTCAGGCAGATCGGTTGGAGCATACTGCTCGACCCATGGTCGGTCATCATCGTTTACGATATGGAAAGATGGTGCCCGATCACCGTCACTTGTCTTTCGGAATTTCTGAGACGTTGGAAGAGGTAGGTCCAACGCCTCATCAACCGGTCTAGCAGACTGAACTTTGCGCTTGCGCAGAGCCAACGCGGTATTCGAACCCTTCGATAAGTTGATTAGGAGGCTGCTGCCATCGTCATCTTCGATGGCTTCTGGATGGTCAGCATCCGGAGCTTTTTCGGGACTTGCGGACGGCGAGCCTTGGGACAGACGTTGCGTTGCCGCGTTGAAGAACGAGTAGATGGGTTTGCGATTGGTCGTGAACGCCTCGGAGGGGGCGAGTTTCTTAGCCTTCGAGGCGCCGTGCTTGCTCCGTGATCGCTGAGAGCTCGTCTGTTGCGTTGCGGGAGCAAGTTTTGGCTGCTGAACTTTGCGACTGTTTGTGATCCTTTCGGCTGCTGCTGACCCTGGTTGTGGCACTGAAGGTCGGTCATCTCCGCTGCGCTGAGATACTACTGGGCTTGCACTATCCTCATCGTCGGAAACGACCACCACCTTCCGTCTCGCGACCCGCGGCTCCCTCATACCGCACGACTGGCCCCCGTCTAATAGGTCGTTGCATTGGTACGACCAGCAGCCTGTCGCCAAGCCAGTTCCCGAATATTGGTAAGAAATGCTTGCGGTGTCTGATGGATATGCAGGAAGCCGCACCGGAGGCGACGTTGCTGCCTAAGGCGCAAGACGCTTCTTTCGTCGATGGCCAATTGGGAACGCGCAATTTGATGGCCCTACACTTCACCCTATCCTGCGGTACTTCCCCATCAACGCATCATTCACGCGCATGTCAGACTAGCAGAATATATATAGTCACCAGTAATCTGGACTGCTCCGAGCATGATGTCGAAGCGCCCCAGAACTCTAGAAACTTTCTTCGCGCAGCCATCGAAGCGTGCACGCGCAGTACCTGACGATGCGGCGAGCAACATGGAGCGGAACACTACAGCCAGTGCGGTCTCCAACCATCCAAGCTACCCATTTGCAGTGCCGCATCTTCCGCCGGAGTTACAAGAACTCTTGAATTTCGCTCCCTCTGCTGAAGGACAGATCATCAATGATCGACCCGACCTTGATCTACTGTACTACCAGCCTTATGTCCCGAAGGAGGCATCGCGTGATCTTTCCGAGTTTCTGCGGCGCGAGCTGTTCTTCTACCGTGTTGGATACAAGATCAAGCGAGGCTCCATCGAGACCGACATTGATACGCCGCGCTTTACAACAGTCTTCGGGATTGATGAAACTGCCCGATTCGACGCCGACGGTCGCCCTGTAGATGCAACAACCGGCAAGGCGACATCAAATACCTACAAGTGCAAACCTAGGCCTATGCCGCAGTGCCTAGACGCCCTTCGTCAATTGACAGAAAACAGCACGGGCTGTACATTCAACTTTGCGCTGGTCAATTATTACGCCTCTGGCAACGACAGCATAAGCTACCACTCTGACGATGAGCGGTTCTTGGGTACCGAGCCAGCAATAGCTTCGTTCACACTTGGCGCAAAGCGTGATTTTCTGATGAAGCATAAGCCCACTCCGGCAAATGATGCCTCGGAAACGAAGCCTATGAAGCTGCCACTCGCGTCTGGCGATATGGTACTGATGAGAGGACTGACGCAAAGCAGATGGCTACATTCCATTCCAAAGCGGAAAGGTGGCGAGGCCGACAAGGGACGCATCAACATCACCTTTAGGCGGGCGATGGTCAAAGGAGGAACCGAGAACTATTACCACTATAATGTTGGCAACGGCGAGGTTTACAAGTGGGATGATTCGAAACGCGAAATGGTGCAGTGGCGTAATCCCTTGAGCAATTAGGATACAAACATGCTTTGGGTGGCCTTTGTTATGCGGCTGAGCCGGAGACAGCTTGGCCTCTCCGCCGTTGTGCCGACGGTATGCAGCATTCTCCAGCAAGTCGCTAGCTTCGATGACCCTATTCCATCATCATAGTTCAATGCCTAAGCAACTTTCTCAAGCAAATGCTTCAACTTGTCAACACGACCGGCAGAAGACCTTGTGCGGCCTCTTCTTCCTGTACCTTTCTGATTGCCCATCTCGCCAGCCGCCGGTGTCTGGGCAGGTGCGCCGTCCAGAAAGCCATTATTGCCATTGAACGGATGTTCCGCATTACTTGAGGCCTCCATACGGCTTCCTCTGAAGCTGCTTCCACCGCCCGGAGCATCTGCACCGCCCAGCTCGCTCTGACGCGCCGGCGTTCGCACCTCTTGATATGTCTGCGTCTGGGTAGCGAAGTCGTGCACTTTGGGCATTGGTGCGGCCGCGGCCTGGTCCCGCATGCGGTACAAAAGCTTGTTAAACTCCGACATGTTCGGTCCTTCGTTTGCAGTCTGCTGCACTTGAGCAGCATGCGCGCCCGCTTCACGCTGGGCTACCTGCTGAGCCTGGAATCGGGCTATGCGATCGCTAGGTTTGTGTGTTATCATGGGTTGTGAGGCGGTTTGCGGCGCATGCGCGGTGCCGAGCCGGCCGACTGGAGTAGGCGTGGAAAGGAAACGGTCCGCGAAAGACACGGAGTGGTGTGCCTGCTCACCACCGCCATGCAAAGCACCGCGATGAGAAGGTGCCGATTCCCAGCCCTTGGTGCCCGACGGAGGGCGATCACTGACACTATCGCAGAAGCCACCGCCTTCGTTTTTTATAGGCTGTCCGTCCCAGCCAGTAGCGCCCACAACGTGCTTACTCCGGCCGTCGCGAACAGAACCTGGTTGACTCTTGCCTCGAGTATTGCCAGGAGCTCCCCTATTGGCACCATCATTCTCCGCATTGAACCAAGGTGAGACGACGTTGCCGCCGTTCTGGTCGTTGACCGCATAGCTGTTGGCCTTGCCACTACCACTGTTATCACCACCGTCCCACTGCCATGCAGCGTTGTTGCCACTGTCTGCTTGAAAACCGCCCCTCGAAGCATTGTCATTGCCGCCGCTGTCTGGACAAGCCCAGCCACCGCCGGTCTGAGAACCATTGCCTGTATTCCACCCACCGTCCGCAGCCTTAGCCGCAGATGTAGGCTTGGCCCAGCTAGACGACTGTGCCGGTGCAGGCTTGACACTCCCAAACCTCGGCGTTTTTGTCTTCATAATCTCGTCCACAAGCTTGTCGCGTGGCATCCTGTCCAGCTTCACCCTCTCAGTATTAGCCACCAGTTGCTCCACCTCTCCGCGGATGCTGCGGCCTAGAATCTCTTCCAGCTTCTCCACAGAGCGATACCTGAACGAGAAAACCGCATACGGACGTTTCATACTGTCGAGGTACTCTGGGCGGTGGCATCGGTGTGCATATGAGGCGCCTTTGCCAGCCTGGAGCCCATGGCTTACGCTACCGCTAACACGGCCTTCAGGAACCGATGGAAGTGTAGTCGCGGGGAACTGGTAAGGTGAACGAACGAACTCGCGCTTCTTTTTTATGTTCGCGTCCGCGCTGGCTTGCTGGCCGGAGGCATCGCGCCAGTCAGTCCAGTACGGCTTGATTGGTGGGCCTCCAACATCGGAAGGGGAGTTTTGTGAGCGAGTGATGTTCGCAGTCTTTCTCTGGGATCCAGTTGCCCAGCCGCCATCGCCTTGAGGTTGGGCCGTCGCCATCCATGCATCAGTGGCGCCCTGAGCGCCGTTATCGTTGTCGTCATTCCAACCAGAGGCCTTTGGAGAAGACTCTCGGCCGCCTTGTCGAGGAGTGGTCTTATCCCAATCCTTAGCGTAACCTGCTGCGTTGCTGCCTTGTGCGGACTGGCGGCCCCACTCGTTCTTCCGTGAACTGCGACTGTCTGACCGATGGCTTCGATGACTGTTGCTGCGGTTGTCGTAAGTGTTCCCTTGAGGCTCCTCGGGCCAATGATCAGCACCATCTCCGCCTCGCTCCGCCAGGGCCCAAGGTTGATTGGTATGCTGCTTCCGCTGACCGTGGGGTTCCTTGCCTTGGTTGAAAGAGCCGCCAATCACCCCTTCGCCGACCTGCTTGATACCGGCGTCCCATCCAGATGCCGCACCTTGAGATGGCTGCGCCTGTTGGTATGACTCCCGCCAACGGCTTGCAGCCGCTGCGCCACCCCGGTCCTGTGCTGCATTGTGGGCACTGTGTTGCGGCCATTGGGCGGTTCCTTTACGGCGCGGTTGCTGAGATTGCTGTGCTGGGCCATCATTATTCAGCACAGTCGTGACCATGCCGTCAGCTGGTTTGTAGCCTGCGGCCACCACAGTGTCAATCCAAAGCTGCAGACTTTGGCCACCTCTTTTCAGATTGAACTCTTGCTCGTAGGCCACGGTGATCTTCGCCAGAAGCTCTGTTCTCTCCGCAGAACCAATCTTAGCGGAATTGTACAGCTCGCTCAATCTGCTAATGACCTCCTTGTTGCGCTGCATAGCAGCGTTCCACTGTGCCAGGTACGCCATAGCCTCATCACCGTTTGCTTTAAGTGTCTCGGCTTCCGTCTGTCTCGCTGCGTCATCGGCTCGCTTGGCTTGATCATACTTTTGTTGCTGTTCTTGGTTAAACGTGTGGATATTCTGTTCTTCCTGCTGCTGTTGTTGTTGTTGTTCAGAGGGCGGCCTTGGTTGATCGGGCAGAGGCAGATGCGGTGCCATTTGCTCTGGATACTGCTGAGGGGCTGCACGGTGGGGTAGCACCTCGCCTAGCTGCCAAGGTAGGCCCAGCGTAAACGATTGATCTTGTTGTTCAATGTTCGCATCGCCGAAGTCGTAGCGGGTGTCATCTGCGCGAGGCTGTTGAGAGAGCCTTTGGGCTTCGGTGACCGGCATACCTTGATATAACGCCCGATCCCTGATCATGTCTCTCTGCGTACTCCCAGCGCCATGATACCTGTCTTGCACGCTGTTAGCTTCGCTGTGTCTGGCTCCGTACTGATTGATCACGATTGCAGGTTGTGAGCCAGGTCCATCAAATTGGGTTCTAGTGTCCTCGATAGGGGCTTTTCCGGCTGATTCTGGCTGAGTCTGGCCCCTGAGGATATCCACTGGTTTGGCAGGCGTGGCTTGTGCAGCTGAGCTCGGCGACAATTGTTGACTGTCACCAACAGTGTACACTTGTGCCCGACGGGTGCCGCCCTTGTGAATGCCGGAACGATCATCACGGTAATTTTTGCGGTCCATGCACTCATGCATCTTGTCCGACAGACGGTCGTAGTGGCCTGGAGAGTGATAGTGCTCTCCATTGCGCTCGACAAGCGGTACGAACTCGCCGTACGTTGCGTCCCACGTCATTCCTTCTGGTGGCCGTGGAATTACACGGCCACCTGGTAGCACTGGCTGTCCATGATTGCCGTCGTCGGCACCGTCTAGACTAGGAACATAGATAGGCTCGTCATTAGCGCCGTCGAAGATGTTTGCGAAACCCACGCTTGAAGCAGGATCAGGGGCTTTTGCCGCTTTCTGCTTCGGCTTCTTCTCGCTTGAAGGAGGTACAGTACCGGCAAGCGCGGGTGTCGGCACATATTCTCCTTCGGCCTTGCACCGCAAGATAACGATCTCGATCGTGCCGACGTTGGCAAGGAAGTTCGGATTTGTATCCTTGGCGTCATCTGCATGAGCTGCGGGATGTTAGTATATCAGATCAGCATGTGGCTTGGGGCTGCTCACTCTTACTGAGCTCCGCGAAGCTCCATTCGCGCCCAATGAAGGTGCCTGTGGCGGTCTTTTCCTCTTTCTGACGTAGCCGAAAGTCGACCTCGTACTGATCGGGGCTGATGCCCTCATTCGGCATCACAAGCTTGAGCCGATTACGGTTGCAGTGATACTGGCCATCGATGAAGGCAAACACTGCCAAGCCTGGCGCGATGTATCCTTCGGATTGTATGTGAATCGAGAACCGTAGCTGGGACTGAGGGATAGGGATGAAGCAATCGACCTGGCCATCTTTGTAACGCAGACCATACTCCTGGAGTGGCGTGTTGCCTGGATGAAGCTCGATAGAGCAGCGAATCTGCTTGAGAATTGGCATCCTGTCTGCTGTGCACTGTCAGCAATCTTCTCCGCAAACACCTCCAGAGACAGTGAGACAGCAGCAGGTCGGCAGCAGGTGGGGATGGCAAGGTTGCGGATGTCGAAGTGAAAGAGCACTGAAGAAATCGCTCAGATTGAAGGTAGAGATTTGCGTGAGCTGACGTTGCCGGCGCAATTTGACAACAAAGCGGAAGACCCACTTTGGTGCACATCGTTCCTTCCTTGCAATTCTGGTTAGCGTAAAGACATGCGGCGGTGGTCAAGGACTTGTGTTCAGGGCAAGAAGACTTTGGATAGTTGAAAGGCCTATGGCAGGTCAAGCGCGATTGCAACACACGGCATGTAGACTGTGGTCAGTTTACGTGAAACTGAAGTGTGACGCAACAGCGTCGACATCATGTGCGATCGAAGTCGGCAGGGTGGTATCAGAACAGGGCCCATCGCCAGCGAGATGGTTGCCCGAATCGGCGTTAATACGCGTAAGAACCTTCTGTATCTTGCATTGATGGTCTCCTACATGGTACGAAGTGCCAGTGTCCAAGGCTCGTCTACCCTTTCGCATCGGCTACGGCTATATCTTGTCTGTCCGATATCCGCTGGATGGTCTCTTGATGCATGCGAGGGCTGTGGCAGGGAGCTTGCACATTGTGCCCAGGTTTCGTAGTCAAGTAACTGTCTCCGCCGCAGCTGGCCAGGCACCATCACTTCTCATGTTGTGTGTCCACCGATGGATCGCAAGCCGCAGAACTATCCTGTTAATCCACAGAGTGTACTGTGCAGATCCCCTAAGCCTCCTTAAGTGGCTTGACTGGACAAGTCAGCATTGAGCCCATTTTGAGACTATAGTGGGTGACAATGGCGTCCGTAATGCAGCCATATATGAGCTTATTGTAAGGATTGCCTACGTCCGAGAGTTACACGACGAGCTTTTCAGTCGCAAATGCACAGCAGCGCACGGACTAAAAGTGCAGATGAAGTCCGATGGGAGGGGCAGCAATTCCGCCATTGGGTCAGAATTGAAGCAGGCAACCCTCCTGTGCTTAGTCATGCATTACTGGCAACCATTGGAGTATAGGACGAAACGAAAAGTAGACATTTGCGGATTCTCGCGATGGAGACCTGTTCGGTTCGCTAACGGTCTTTAGTGAATGGTACTTCAAACTACTAGTATGCCCGCCCAACCTGACTCGCACCACTCAGTCGCTTCCATGCAACATCTCTCCAGCCGCTATAGTACCGGCTCTGACGCTGCTTAGCACGCACATACTCTGGAGCCACCGGTGTCGCAGCATCTTCATCCACAATGACTAGATCGCCCGGATGGACGTCCTTGCGCGAGCCTCGGCGTTCCACATCGTCCATAGCACCGGCTGGCTTCACGGCAACGCGCGAAAGTGGTGTCATGTCCACAGCTGAGCTGCCCGCGGCTGCGTTCTCCCCTTCACCGAGAGCATCCGGATTCCAGCCTGGGGAATCATTGCGATTGTCCAGCGGTTCCTTGCTCTGCGGTCTTTTGCGTCGGTTCTTGCCGCAATGACAGCTGCAGAGAAGGCAAAGGACGGTGACGAAAGTTGCGATGACAATGACGGACACCAGTGTTAGCCATATGATGGCTGTGTGAGTAAGTGTGGCGGGCCGTACTTGTACGTCGGAAATGTCTGACGGGAAAGGTGCCGATGTCTGCTGCTCATCCGCCATCTTCGCTGCCGTGCCTGAAAGGCCGTCTTGTCGACCTTCTCGGAAACGAGGCGTGAAAGAAGTAGAGTGCGAGCTTCGAGAGGTGACAAGGATACCACGATATATTTAGGCTCTTTTCTGAACGTAAAAGCCTTGCGAAGTGCTGGGGTCGTGATATTCTGCGTCAAAGTCCATCGTAACGCAGGGTCGTTAATCACCTATCCGGCAGAACAAAGGCCTGAATGACTGCCGAGCAAGACCTACGCGACAAAGGTCTGAGAGATGGTCAATCGCTAAAACAAAGACCAGATGACTGCAAGCTGGTTGGTTCGTCTATCCCTGGTCATGTGATGTGCCGTCGAGCGTTCCTCGATGATGGCTGTCCTTAGCACCGGGATGCACGCAATTCTTCTTCTCCAATGTGATGAACGTGGTATGGCGAGAGGCTAGTCTAGCTCATCTGCGATTGCAGTGTGGGTCCTTTGATGGAGTCCATTATTCATGCGGAGAAGCCATGTTTGATATAAGAAGAGAATTCTTAGATGGGAGCGAAGAAGCCACAATCGGCAGAGATTCTGGCGAGGGAGCAAAAGAAGGGCGAAGGCTACATACTTACCTGCTCTACTTACCTGCGAAAACACACAGCAAAGTCAAGGTACTCTTTCATGGACTTTGCATGCGGGATTCGGAACCACATATAGATCATGGCCTCCGCTGACGTCGTCAACAATGTCGTCCTGCCCGTGTCGCCGTAGCCAAGCGTAGATTTGACGACTCTATAGGACAGTAAGTACTGCGGCTTTGCTTCCGGGCCAGCGTAAGCGCAGTGCATTCAGCTCGCTGCTCACGTGCCGTCACACTCGTTCCGAGGGCATTCTCATGCGGCCATGGAATAGTGCATGCGCGGCTAACGATGGCAACGTTCATCCACTTCTCCTGTGTGAATTCAGAGCTGGACCAGTGCCATTGACCGAGCTATACGGCTGAGATCTCAGCTCCTGCCATGCGTCAGAAATTTGAAACAGATCGGCCACCACCCTCTCCGGAACCTCCTGTTTGGCGCTGCCCGGCAGAGAACAAACATGCAACACGGCTCTCGGAAAAAGCCGGGAAGCTTTGCCAGAGAAGTCATGCTGCTGGACAAGTAGCTGCCCGAATAGTCTGTTTGACAGCGAGGATGGCAAGGGCAATAAGAAGACGGCACAGGACTCTGAGGCTGATCTGGTGTTCCGGAGTAAGCCTTGCAGATTTTGGAAGAGTGCCGTTGATCGAGCAGGAGACATTGGCAGTGAAGTTCTGGTCGTTGCGTGAAATTTGAGCCTGGGACGATGAGCTTGGTATCTACTTCTTTCTAAACGCACGGAGGGTATGTGGCGCGAATGGCGCATGCGGCAAGATCACAGTGATGGCCGGTCGTGGAGTTCGAACAAAGGGAGCCAAATGCGGACAGCATTGATCTTCCAAGCCTTGGCCGTAAACCTAAGGAAGAGTCTCACTCATGTCGCTGTACTATTGTCATGTAGGCGATGTGCTGTCACCGGCTCTTCGTTTATTCAGTTTGCGGTCACAGTGCCTTCTCAATAACGCCGCTTATACTGTGTCAAGATGCCGCAATCGCGCCCGACGCAGAGCACTCCAGTAGATGCGAACTGGTCGCACACCCGTACAGATCGTTGAAACTGGACATGTTATGTCCGTCCTGCCAGCAGCGACGGGATGCAATCCTCGGCCGCGTCGAGCAATGCCAGGTTGTGACGTACGATGAGTACAAATGGAAGGTCAGCTACGCGATGCCGGCGCATGGCAAAGACTTTTGGACACGAAAAATGGAGGAAAAGGAGGCAAAGGAGACAGAAGAGCGCAAACAGCAGAAGGACATGGAGAAACGGAAGAGGTTCAGCTGGAAACGGGCCAGCAAGAAGAGCGTGCGGAGCGGGTGATGGGGCCCAAGGCTTAGTCACCCAACACGTCTTCAATGGCACGAGCTCCACATCAACCACAGCAGTCAAACAAGCGATTGGAGGTTGAGAACACTTTGCGCCTCTCACGAAACAGCACTGTGTGACGATCCAGTACTTGGTGCGGCGGTCGGTTGGATCACCTCATCTCTGACTTAACCACCCACCACGACCTCCCTACCGCGGCTGCGAAACCATGCCAACTCCGGAATCTGAAGCATTCAAGGCCGCTAAGCCCAAGGTTCCGCCGACGTTCGATGGTGTGAACTACGACGACAACAAGGCGCTAAAGGCTGCGCAAGATGCGATCATCCGGGAGCAGTGGGTTCAAAGCATGATGGCAAGGCTTATCAGAGAGGAGATGGGCAAATGCTACTACCGGGAAGGCATGAATCATTTGGAGAAGTGTGGACACCTACGAGGTACGTTACATCTCTGGCTCCGAGCAAGGGCTAGCATGGCCTTTCGCCACATGGTCTGCGTAGAGTAGCGTGCTAAACTCCTTCCTAGAACGATACCTGCAGCAACTGCAGCATGCGAAGGTCCGAGGCTACCTCTTCGACCAACAGAACTACATCTCGGAGCAATAGTGATTCGGCGAAACCACAAGGTGCCAACGTCAGGAATTGTGGAGTGTACAGGTGCGAGCTGTATAGAGCGCTTGCGCTCTGCCAGGAAGCATTTTTAAGATTTTGCTACTGCGTATCGCATTGACGGCCATGTACTACCCCTTTGCGCACAACACAGATCGAATGGACACACCACTTTCCACTATACGAACGGGTCGCAATAGGAGTTACTAGCTTTCAACGAAGGATAGCAGAGCCACGAAGGGCGCCACAACTGCGCAACTGTGTGGATAGTTCCGTGTATATACTTAAAGCGACTCTGCTTTCACAAATACATGTGCGCCTCATCAGCGGAGAGCATATGTCACTGCAATTGCTTTCTCGTGCTCTACTCCTACTCCTGCACTGAATGCCAAGGAACTCGGCATGAAGTCGCTGGTGGCTGATCTTTCGCCCCACTCCCGCTCCAACCATCAACAATGCCTTTCCCGTTCGCCCTGCCAACAACAAGCTCGGTACTGCTATCAGACTTCTTCGAGAGTGCGACGCATCCTTCGTTACCGCTTACTGCGACGACGAAGCGGAGTCTGCTCAAGGATACCTTGAAGAAGCACAAACGCCTTGCTCCGCGCGAGCAAGCTTCACATCTCTCAACCGTTCAGAATGCTCTGACGGAATTCATACCATACCTACTGACTCTGAATGCGGCCGTTGCTTTCAGTGACGTGGATACGGAACGAGTGGATGTAGGGATAAGGAGGCCGCTGGAGGTAGAATGGCGGACTACGCTTTCTGCAACTCTTCCAGGACGCGATCCCCCACGACTGAAATTGGTCGGCCTGCATCATGAGCTCGCTTTCACGTTGTCCACGCTGGCTTACGTGCACTCATTACTGGCGCGCTCGCAGCTGCGAATCTTGCATGATGCAGTCGTGCTACCAGCCGAGCAACGCTCGGGCGCTGTGACTGCGGCAATGAAACATCTACTGGAGGCGCACGGTATTCACAAGTACGTTCTCTCTCTGCCGACAGTCGCGGCTGCAAGGGATGCTCCTGCGGACATACAGCCGTCGACTGTCTCTGCTCTAGCGTCACTGGCATTGGCCGAAGCCAGCCTCATCTTTGTGTCAAAAGATGATCCGTACGCAGCAGCGGTAGCCGACAACCGCAATGAAACTAACAAAGATTGGATGTTCAAAGCGCCTAGTATTCCTAAGGTCAGAGCACACCTTTTTGCGCGCATATGTCTCGCTGCAGCAGAGCATGCGGGCCAGGCTCAAGGTCTGCTCAGTTCTGGCAAAATTGATGACGACCTCGTCAAGTATGCCACGGATTTGCGGAGGACGGCAAAATGCAAAGCGATCCGCTTCCTTGCCATTGATGCCGACCTTGGTGGTAAGACAGGTGAAGCTCTAGCGTGGCTCAAGGGCGCACGGAAGCAGCTTGGCCTAACCGTGGAGCTCGAAGACGGCAAGCGGAAAGGTTTCAAGGGTTTCAAGCAGAGCTGGCAAGAACGCCGTGAAGACAGGAAGATTGAGAAGGGCGTCGAATGGGGCATGGATGCAGGCAGGTATGAGGAAGCTCGGGTGCTTGAGTCCCTGGAGGCGAAGTGGGACCGCGAGAACAGCACGATAAATGTGCAAGTTGTGCCGCCTTACGAGCCTCTGCTAGCCAGCATGCCGACCGGAAGAGAGTGTCATTCGCCGCAATTATGGCAACCTCGTCTGCTGGATACCGGTACGCTGAGTCAGATGCGAGGTCCTCCAGATTCGCAAGAAGTGTTTCGAGGAGAGGAGGAAGATAGTGGTGGTGAGGAAGGAGGGTATGGTACGCCAAGACCTGACGCTGTCGGCGCCTTCCCAGGGACTGAGCAACACTATGCAGGGAGTGGTACAAGCAGTAGCTACTATTGAGGAAGCCGGATGCCATACGTGCTTGGTGGCCTAAAGTCAGTGATAGCTAGCGAGCGGTTGAGATTGATTCCAGCCAACTCTTGCAATCTTGGAAAACTCCATGTGAATTTTTCAACTCCCTCGTTCAGACCTCGTATCCTCTGCCTCCGTTTCGCTTGATAGTAGTACAATGCCAGCGATAGTGTCGAAGAAGCTGCGCCTTAAAAGCGGAATTACACGTGACTCGCCTGTGCTTGCCTGGTTCAGATTAGTTCCAGCGCCCATCTTTGTGCGAGCAATCAAGGCTTATCTCTACCAACCGCACGTTCCCCGCCAGGAGCGTCCTGTGCATCAGGCCTCAAGCAGTATTGTATGCGTGAGAGCCACGGATTGTACAGGGTGTAGACGCCTTCCACGGGTCCCCATACTTCTTCGAGCATGGCGTGTGGTCCCTCCCTTGATGACCGCGCGGTAAGCAGACTGAGTAGCCAGTAAAGCAGCGACAGGGCTGCGTATCCGCCTTATCTAGCACATGACAGAGGTGATGCATGGGGCGTCCTACGTACCTGTACTTGGCCGGGGCCACGCTCTCTTCTCGTTGAGCCATCAGATGCGACGATTTCTTTTCCTTCCGTTCTCTCCTCGATTATGTACGGCGTCTAGCCTTGGGGACTGCTTCTGGCACGTGTGGAGACAGCGCGCGTTTTCGCGCTCTCAAACTCGCAAACTCAAGGGCCAGACTGAGAGGAGAAGCGGCCAACGGAGACAGCATCACTTAGGATCCAATCAAAGCAGTCCTCACCATGGAAGACCGCAAGCTTAGCACTGTGTCAGCCAGCGGGCGGAAGAGGAGTGTTGCCGAAGAGCCGGTCACCTCTGTTCTTAAGGGCGGTGACATTCCTATCAACGACTCAGGCGAAGAGTGGTCGGCAGACGAGGAAGTATTGGCCGCGTTGGGATACAAGCCCGAGTTCAAGGTACACCCCGGGGAATCCTATGTACCTTGAGAGAACTACCTGTCAGAATACTGACACAACATCAGAGAGAATTTAGCTTGTGGACCACCTTCTGCGTTAGCTTTGCCGTGCTCGGACTACTACCCAGCTTCGCCACGACGCTTTACTATGGCATGGGCTACGCTGGCACGGGCGGAATGACCTGGGGCTGGTTGATTGCTATGATCGGCATCCAATCGGTGGCGGCATCAATGGCGGAACTGTGCAGCTCGATGCCGACGAGTGGTGGGCTGTACTACGCGGCCGCTGTACTGGCACCACCAGGCTGGGGCCCATTCGCCGCATGGATGACGGGCTGGAGCAACTGGATGGGCCAGGTGACTGGCGCGCCGTCCGTCAACTACGGAACAGCGTCGATGATTCTGGCTGCGGCGAGCATTCAGAATCCAAGCTACGTCCCGACCGACTGGCACGTATTCCTGCTGACGATATTCCTGATGCTCATCCACGGATGCATGGCCTCTCTACCGACTCGCTGGATCGCACGTGTGAATAGTGCCGGCTCCACGTTCAACATCATTGCTCTTGTGGCAGTGATTATTATCATTCCGGCCGCTTGTAATCGTACAGCACAAGGACTCTCGAAGTTTACACCGTCAAGCGAAGTATGGGGAACCATATATCAGGGCACCGACTATCCACCAGGCGTGTCAGTACTGATGTCCTTCATCGGTGTGGTAAGTTACACCGATCACGGGTAAACGTTGCGAATTAAGTGCCACAGGCTGACAACGGCCTTCTTAGATTTGGACTATGTCTGGTTATGATAGCCCATTCCATTTGGCGGAAGAGTGCAGTAACGCCAACATTGCGAGTCCCCGAGCTATCTTCCTTACGAGCGCCGTCGGTGGTGTCTTCGGCTGGTTCCTGCAACTCGTAGTGGCTTATACAGTCGTCGATATCGGCGCAGCGCTCACAAGCGATCTCGGCCAGCCTTTCGCTGCCTATCTGATCCAGGTACTTCCGCAAAAGACGGTACTTGCTGTGCTCTCCCTCACCATTATTGCCGGCTTTGCTATGGGACAAGGTTGCATGATCGCTGCGTCAAGAGTGACATTTGCCTATGCTCGCGTAAGTTTACATTATTTCCGCACGTAAGCATGCTAAATGCAGGCTGACATCGCGAAGGACGGATGCTTCCCTCTCTCCAAATACTGGAAGCATGTCAACACTGTCACACGAACGCCTGTCAATGCCGTTTGGTTCAATAATCTTATTGGCGATTTGTTACTACTACTTATCTTCGGTGGCACACTTACGATCGGTGCCATCTTCAGCATCGGAGCTTGTGCCGCTTTCGTTGCATTCACAACGCCCATCTTTATCCGTGTTTTCTTCGTTGGCAACCGCTTCCGTCCTGGGCCTTGGAACCTGGGCCGGCTCAGCATACCTATTGGCGCGATTGCCAGCGCGTTCGTAGCGCTGATGGTCCCTATACTCTGTCTGCCGAGCGTGACTGGAAGCGATTTGACAGTTTCGACGATGAATTGGACGGTTGTCGTGTACGGAGGGCCGATGGTACGTTTGCTCATAATTGCTATTCCATACAAGGCTGACAAAGCCTAGCTCGTCGTGCTCATCTGGTGGTTCGTGGATGCTCGCAAGTGGTTTAAAGGGCCAAAGGTCAACCTTGAGCATCTTATGCACGGTCGCGAAGAACAAGCAGCGCAGCTAGCGGCGGAATCGGAAGTTCTCGAAGGAAAGGAACTTGATCGGTCGAGCAGCAGCAGTCAAGTGCCTGGCGAGCTCCCTCCGGGAAAGCAAGTGGGCGACGTGAAGCCGAACGGATTGTAGACATTTCGATTGCCGTAATTAGTTTGGCAGTGGACAGTGTCCACAAGCAGACAGATCCGCGTCAAGCTCTGGTAGTACATCTGGTGCCTACACCGGAGTCTTCTCAAATGACAACGTGGTGACTAACGAGGCTCTTAGTATTTGGACGAAGAATACGTGTGCATCTGTCGATGTTCCAATTGGTCAATCTGACACCCTTCTTCCTTGAAGACCATACGGCAGCGCATTACGAGGCTCTGGCAGTGATTCTGCAAACAACTGTACTTGGCGATAACCTCGCCATGCCAATTTGTGAGAGAGTCCATGCAGAAAGATCATGCCGCAGTCCTCCGCAAACGCTGACCTCGGCTCGATTATGTGGGGCTATCAGAATATGGGCCCTTTCAGGACGTTCATTTACTGTCGCATATAATACCAACTCAGTGGTGCCTCGTGGCAAGGAGTTGCCAACGAAAGCCATTTGACATCTTCAGATTGCAAGCGTCGCTGAGACACCATGATCTTACTCTAACTCAAGTGCATCCTTGGAAAGCAGAAGATTGTTCCCAACCTAGTCATGGTCCAGACTCGCCAATGGCTCTTGGCCAACAAGCCCACCGATCTCCCAGAACTCGACGGGCCTAATGCAACTTTCAAGCTGACGACCACCGATCTGCCGGGAGCCAAGGACGACGAAGTGCTAGTCAAGGCCCTGTACCTTTCGAACGATCCTGCGCAGCGAGGATGGATCTCCAGAGACATCAAACCGGAGCGTCTGTACACGCAACCTGTAAAGGAAGGCACAGCAATGCACGCCCGCGCACTGTGCGAGATCGTCGAAAGTAAGTCTCAAAGGTACAAAAAGGGTGATTGGTGTCTTGCCAGCACCGGGTGGAGTGAGTATGCCGTTGTGCCTGCCAACCAAGTGCAACCGGCTCCGGAACTGCCTGGTGGCATGTCTCGAACGCACTACCTTGGTGCCCTCGGCTTTACTGGATTGACCGCTTGGTTTGGGTTGACGGAGGTGGCGAAGATCACGAAAGATGACATCGTCGTTGTCAGCGGCGCTGCTGGAGCGACGGGCAGTATGTGCGTGCAGATTGCTAAGAAGATCGTTGGGTGTAAGAAGGTGATTGGCTTCGCGGGCTCTGAAGGAAAGTGCAAGTATGTAGAGAAAATAGGTGCGGACGTGTGCTTAAACTACAAGAACTCGAGTTTCGCCCGGGATGTCGAAAAAGCTACACCCGGTCCTGATGGTTTTGCGACTGTCTTTTTCGATAACGTGGGAGGCGAGCAGCTGGACCTCATGCTGACACGCATGGCGAGGGATGGCCGGATCGCCGCCTGTGGAGCGATAAGTGCGTACAATACTGCCCCGGAGAGGACGACTGGTCTGAAGAACTGGTTCGAAGTAATCACCATGAGGCTGCACATCTCCGGGTTTATTGTTCTAGATTACATCTCACAGTTCCCGAAGGCACGAGAGGTCTTCACGCAAGCGCTGAAAGAAGGGAAGCTGCAGATTGATGAGGGCGAGCACATAGTAAATGGTGGGTTTGACGACATACCGAAAATATGGATGCAATTATTCTCGGGTCGTAACATTGGCAAGCTCGTGACTGCTCTACAGTGAGTTTTGTGGACGACAGACCGCAACGTGGGGCGTGTGGATGCCTGACAAAGCATAACAGTTCAGCACAAGCGAAGCTCTAGTGTTGTCTAAAGAACGTAGCTTCACAAAAACTCGTCAACCACGGTGCGGCAGCTACCAGTGTTGGTACGGCGAGGTTGAGCAACCTCGGCTGGGCGCTCTCACGCCTCCTTCAGAAAGCGTGAGTCAAGTTCTTCGCCCTGCCTCAGTCCGTTTCCCTCAACCAGACTTATTTACGACGTCGCTGTTTCTCACTTCCAGTTGCAGGCATCGCTCCGTTCTCGCCTTTGCGTGCGCTTCGGCCACCTCAGGAGCTTTGTACAACACTTGCCCATATCTGGTACCAGTCTACCAGGGTCCGAGAATTGCCAGTCAGCGCGGGTTTCACATCCTGTCAGCTTCTTCGCATAACGCCATGGTTCTCTCGTGCATCCTTGCCGCCTCCCTGTGAGCCCTCTGTTTCTCCTGGTTGAGCTACCCGACTTGGCTCCACGACCGCTTAATGGCCTCTTGTTCCGTCGGCCTGAGATTTCTGCGTCGGAAACGAGACGCTCGTCGATTGCGACAGCCCTATAGTTGACGTGCCTTGTGCGCCGTTGGGGTTTCTGCACGGGACGCTTGAACATTGGTTGCTGAACCACAGACGGTGACTTCGCCTGCGTAGCTGATGTTTCTTACTGCTCGCGGCGTTGTTACTCATCCTCCCAGTCTACATGCGGGTTGTGAGGGTCGGTTCTGAGCGTGCGATGGCACGATTGTGGTCTGTGAATGACGTCTGCAGGCTTCCTGTGCTAAGTAAGGCATGAGTGGCAATTGTGCTGTCAAATCTCTTGAGAGCGAATGATCGCGATCCATAACACTCACCCTCATCGAGATGCAGCCGTGGCTCACAACTGTGCTACATCGCCTTCTTCGTCGCTAGCATATTACAAGCCGTCGACCAGGCATCTTTGCTGAATGCTTGATGGCCTCCATAGGACGTCAGACCCTGCACCAGACTCGCAGCATTGGACATGAGCCAGTCCGCAACCGTATTACTGCCCGCCGTATCTGCATCTGAGCGTTGAGCTTGCAGCTCAGCACTTACTGTTGTTATCAGATCAACCTATTTGGCCAGTAGAGGCGCAGCAGTGCCCTCCATGCGCTTCAACGCCAACGGGCGTGTTTGAATGAAGCCGGGAATGGATCTGTCAAATCCCAGAATCGTTCGTCATGGCTAAGTGTACCGAAAACACCAAACGGGCAGTCACGAGATAGCCTTTGCTCGGATGCTATGGTTCTGTGAAGGTAGCTCGTTAGGATGTATGGCCCTGCCATGGCATTGTCTGGGAACAAGTCGTAGCTTAAAACTTCCAGCAGCAGATGTTCGTCTTCACCCTGCGACTATACTTTAGCTGGAATGGACAAGGCTTACCGAGCGTGCTCGATATCGCTTTGTCCTTATACCTAGAGGTAGTTCAAGGTTGCCAGCTCGACCTCCAAGCCTTCTCGAGCTGGTAAGGCTTCACGGCTGCCGAAGAACTCCTGCGATTCTGGCAGACGGAGGCGCGCAATCCAGTTCACGCCGTCAGCGAAAATAATTCTTCGGGCAAGATTACAGCGGCCCAAGGGGAACTTGGGGCTGACATGACACGATGTGCCGTCGCGCATCTGGGAGGCAAGGTCCACCAAAGCGTCTCATTTAACAGCACCGACAAACCGCGTCGGCCGGGGATGCAGCTCGTCACCAGATTCATAGCCGCTCGCATCGAGCCAGCAGTCAGTTCCCAAGCGGACCATTGATTGGGTATGTGAGAGTGCGTCGTGGTAGTGCGACCGAGGTGATATATATGAAAGGCTTCAGGCCGCTCAGGGAACGTTGACCGGACGACGGAGACTGCGCACATTCCTCATCAACGCAATAGCGTCAGCTTCTGGTTGCTGAGGTTCGACCTAGTGAGACCCATTGCGCTGACAGTCGTCGCGGATCTGTTGTATAGCTCTGCGCAATTTACTAATCGACTTTACGGCATACAGATGCAGTGCTCGTGCTACGTTGGTAAGACCTCATGCAGCCGTCGATCGTACTCTGACCGGTCTGTTCCAATGGTACATTATTGCAATGGACGAGCTGTGTAGTGCCGTGCCATGACAGTCTGGGATGACAGGCCTTTGCGGCATGAATAGATCAAGTCGTCGGCATGATGATCTCGGCGGCGAAGGAAATGGCGTCGTGGCATGACTCGTGCACCACACGCGCTTGCCCCGCGATAGGGCTTCGTGGCGGCTTTCCTGTGTCATCCCTGCAGGAACAGAAGTAAACACTGAAAGGCTCGCTTTCTTCCTCATCATCACTGCAAACACCTAACGAGTCCAACCGCGCAGACGATGCAAGAGAACCGGTAACTGGCTATAGGAGAGCTAAAGCGACGTGCAAGCATCGAAACCTAGGAGCAAGCTGCAAAAGATTGCTCAAGCGACAAGCGATCAACAACAGCATTCTACAATGGCGAACCAATACACGTCTTTCCTGCAGTCTCCGACCACTTCTCTTCTGGCTGCTGATGCGACCCTCGTATACGTAACGACGACCACGGAAATTCAAGAGCCGACAGCGATCCTCAAGCACATCCAGTCGCAGCAGAAGCAAGTCGTGAAGAAGGATGAGAAGGTCCTCAATGCCATTGAAGGACAGGATGGTCTTTGTCTAGAGACGGAGACTACGCTGCTCTTCAAGACTGGTGGTGGCGCATACCTACCTGGCGTAGATGAGAACTTCCTCGACGAGCGAACGGTCACGTTTCCGTTGACGCACGTGGTCCGCTTCGACGCGGAGAAGAAGATCAAGCAGATGCGCTTGTATTGGGATCAAGGCACCTTGCTAAAACAGGTCGAGGTCATTGGACGGACTGGACGTAATTGGCCGATCAAGGATGGAAAGGCGCAAATCCAGGCAGTCACTAAGAGCCTCAATGCTGGTGGCCGCACAATCGAGATCAATGGCACCTCCTCGCAGCAAGCTCACAAAGGACCGCACAATGGCGTGGCGAGCCAGCAGCAGAAGCGAGGAAGCATGAGTGCTACGCGTGACCCGCATGCTAGCCTCAACCTCTTTGGGCCTCGTGATCCTACCGAAGAGTCTGAGCCGCGTTTTGACGGACCTGGACATGCTATCCGCGAGTCAATGGCTCCTCAGTCTCGTGACCTCAACCAGATTCTCGCCGGCAACGATGAGGATACACCAATGGGATCGAACGTACGTAGTCCGTCTCCAGTGAAGGGAGACGGCGTCATCTTGAAGTCTGGCGCGGGCAAGCACCACAAACCGAACCGGCTCTTCGACGAGAACGAACCGCCTGCAGAGCCCCGCTCACCAGAGAAGAAAAAGACTTACGCCGACAAGCACAGCCATTTTGAGTTTGGTGACAACGGAGATGCACCGGCGCAGCAGAGGCCGGCAAGCAGCAGAGCCAGCAGGAACAATCAGACGCAGATCAAATTCGAGGACTTCTCTTCGCCACTGCAGGTCAGAGAAAAGACGAGGCCAGACTACGAGAGGCACTGGGGTGCAGGAGTCGACGCGGTATGCATATATACCTCGCTTGCACGCCACACAATGTATGCTAACAGATCGTAGGACGACCCGCAATCTCCAGTCAAGCGTCCTGTCGTGCACGCTGCCCGTCCCGACGCCGACACTCACTTCGAGTTCACCGACGAGTCGCCAGCCCCGGCGGAAAAGGGCAAGTCATTTCAACGCCAGAAAGGCATGGGACTCTACCAAGATCCGCTGTACGCCGACGACCGCACTGCTCTGAAGGGCAACAGCCGCGCCGCCTACGATTTTGGCCCGCAATACAGCATCGCCGACTCCTCGCCCGTTGGCCAGCAGGCCACTAAAGCCAGCGGCAAGGCTCGCGGTGACATGGATTCCCACTGGAGCCACGAGAGTCCGGTGAAGGAGAAGCAAATATACAAGACTGCTGGGGATGGTATGGGCGGACGTAAGGCCATGACGAGATCTTGGGGCTTTGGAGACGAGTCAGATCCTGAAGTCGATAACGCTAACGTGCGACCCAGTACTAGGAGTAAAGGCGGGCGTCAGCGAGACATGCAGTATCACACGGAAGCGGGAGCGGGTCAGTTCTGAGAATCTTGGAGTCGGTGATAACGTATTGAAAGCGGGCGGTGTGTCAAGAAGCGCAAGTCCGGAGAAAAAGGTGAAGAGTGCGGATGAGTGACCGCCGTCTCTGCAAGTTGGGTCCTTGCATCCAATGACATGCGCTCGATGGTGGTTTCGTGATCTGGGTAGGAAACCCTCGGCAAATGCCGGGCTGTCAAACTTCGGCATCAATCTTGCAGTAGGCTCACTTCGGCAAAGGATAGCATAGTTAGCGATTGAGGGGCCGAAGGGGCGAGGCGCGGTATTGGAAGCATCACGACGACCGAAACATGCATCAGTCGGCGGATTTTCGGGGCACGGAATAGTTTCCACGCTGGGATATGTAGCATCACCACTATTGTAATGCGGTCAGACGCGGATTCGAATCAAAGCTTGCAATTGGAGCCGCCGACGCAGGATCTGCGTGGCGAATTTGCTTCGCCTCTGACACCTGGGTTTGCTGAAGATAGTGGTCTGTTCGCCGCGCCAAGCGTTTCATCTACAATCTCGCCCGCACCGAGGGGCCCTGAACCTCCTCATCCCATACAAGCTGTGTGTTCAGTAGAGACCTGGCCCCTTTCGAGCCTTCCATCAACACGTTGGCAGGCACTGCGCCTTTCTCCAGAGTGCGCCATCTCCATGCCTTGATGCAAGGCCGGCTTAGCTCCTTGCCTTCAACAATATCAACGACGTACTTTCCAATGACAGGGAAGTACTTGAATGCGTGGCCGCAACCAGCCGTTGCCACCATCAAACCCGCGGTCTCCGGGACGAAGTCGATGACGAGGTGATTATCGAAGCTGTCGTTATACCAACATATACGGGTCTTCACAATGTCCAGGCCTTCTTCTACCAGCTCCGGCATGTTCTCCGCCATGAATCGTCGGATCACCTTTTCGGCTTGCTGCGGGATCGCGGTGAGCTGTCGGCCATTGAGCGTCGTGGGCGACCATCGAGTTGCGGGTACGCTTCTTTCGACGCCGTCTGGCTGTGTGATAGGGTTCGTGTATTTGGTGCCTCTGTAACCGATCTTCAACCAGCCGTCCTCGTCGCGTGCAAAGCCATAGAGACCACCTTCGGCACCATCGCGCATCTTCCAGACCCATGATGGAAAGTTCTCAGGTGCGAAACGGTCCCATAGCGGTGAGGTTCTCGGAACCTTGATCATGGCGACCGAGCCCGCTGTGGCTTCGCAAAGCCCGTCAAGCTGTGGAAGTAGCGCCGGTGTCTACAGAGCAATAGGTAGGAGAGTCAGCTGTGTCACAGATAATTACAAGGCGATCTACACAACGGTCTGCTTACCCAGCCGCCGCAGGCAACAATCGTCAGCGCAGCAAGATGGGCTTTGCCGTCTCGAGTTTTGATGCCAATCACTTTGCGAGGATTTTGGGGTGAGTGAGCCAGCGAGTCTACTGCGCCAGTCTCAGGGTGCAGAATACATCGCACGCCTAGTGTGCGAGCCTTGTGTAACGCAAAACGACAAGCTTTTCCGGCCAGTGCGGTACCTCCAGTCGTGTCTAGTACTGCCACATTCGACTTGCCACGCTGCTCTCGCCTGAAAGCATCGATTGCAAATCCGAGCCCTTTCGCGTGAGCGACTTGTCGGTGCCTTGCATCTGTCGTCACAAGCTGCGTGTCGTGATGTCCGGCATTCTCCATGGATGTTACTGTGGCCTGGTCGAAATCCGGTAACTCATCACCATCGGTCATGATGAGGTTACCATTATTAATGAAGACACGGTCGTTTCTGGACATCCCAGGCGGCCGCACTACTCCGCTAGCTAAGTCCTTGTTCCATCGCTTCCAACCTTCGATGGCCTCAAGCGTAAGATCTTGGTAGATGCTGACGCCGCCGTATGCCGATCTGATTATCTTGTTAATGTCTGCTGAGGCGGCGTCGGCACCTTTGAAATACGAATACTGGCTATCGTCATAAGCATGCTTGTCGAATACCGTGACACCGGTGTAGCCTCGTTGGGCGAGATGAATCGCAGTGCTAAGGCCGAAAACTCCGGCGCCCACAATATTGATAGGATCACTCTTGGACAGACTGGGTTGTGCCATTGTTGAGGATTAAAACGAGGGAATTTCAAAACGTGGTAAGCATCTCATACCTGCAAGTCTACAGGGTGAGCATAGATATGTGGCACGGTATTGCCGCTAGACTAAGTCATGGGACACGCAAGAAGGCTGGCACCGAATCCCTCGGGAACGCATGCAGTGCTCTGTGTCTGCCCACTGTGTCAAGAAGCATTGTCGCTCGTTCCGTTGCCGATGTAGAAAGCTATCTCTTCGCCAAGTGGAGTGGAGTGGAGTGGAGTGAACCGATCAAAACACGCTAGCCGTATTGGTTCGTCGGCATGGTTTAGCGTGATTGACTTAACCTCACCAGATGTTCGGTCGGGAGAATCCGAGCATGAGTGGGAGGGTCCTCGCAGATTCTGAGCTTAATCACTTCTTGACAACAACCTTGATAGGCCGACGTGCTGTGACTGCCGCAAACCTCTCGCCTACTCACGAGACGCAGTTTAGGATTGTTCCCTGACCATGTGCTCGCCACGCGGTCTTAGCTTGCGCAAGAGAGCGCCTTCTTCCGATTGACCTCTCGACCGTAAGCTAGCAGTCGCAAGCTGCCCGGACGTTCGAAGAGGTCGTGTTGGCATGATAAGAGTTCACTATATGGTGGCGAGTTGGCTCATAAATTCTCAACGCTTCTTCAAGTCTTGATCTCACAATCTTGTTCCCTTCCTCATTCATCATTCTTCCGCTTCGTCCTGCTGCTATGGCGCCCAAGATCCTTGCAGAGACAGCCATGGGCCGGTATGTGCGCGCGATTCGTGCCTCGCCAAGGGCACTTATCGCCAACCCACGCCTCCTTACCACCGCCGCCCTCTATGCAATGACTGGCATCCCGTTATGTGCGTCTAAGTTGAATGCTACTGCCCCCCAGAGAAGGCACTTCTGACCCTTACCCAACAGGCTGGGACCAGGGTTCGTCAGCGACGATACCGTCTCTGCCAGGCTTTCAGCGCGACTTTGGCTTCTCCTCTGCCACCAATGCGCAGCAAGTCTCCAACTTCGTATCCATCGTCTACATCGGCTGCGGCGTCGGTTCGATACTATCTTTCTTCATCAATGACCGGGTCGGTCGCCTCTGGTCAATGCGACTATACTCGTTCGTCTGGATCATCGGACAACTCATCGCGACCGGAAGCAGCGGTCACCTTGGTGCTTTGTACGCGTCACGCATTATAGCCGGCTTAGGTATCGGAGGTTGCTGCGTCACTGGTCCTGTCAGCCTAGTCGAAATTGCTCCTACGGAGATCCGTGGTCTGATCGCGGCTTGGTTCACTGTGACACTGCTCCTGAGCTTGTTCGTGGCCACCTTCTGCACCTATGGAGTCTTTCTGCACATCCCCACGGGCTCACTGCAATACCAGGTCGTCTTCTTTGGACCATGCATATTCATGGCACTCGTGATTCTGGTCAGCTTCTTCTGCTACGAATCGCCAAGATGGCTCTTCCTGGTTGGCCGCAACGCGGACGCTGAGCGAACACTTGTCGCACTTCGAGGACTTGGCTCAGATCATCCTCGTGTGGCAAGCGAGCTAGAGGCGATTCGTACCGAGATCGCGAACGAGCAGGAACACTTTGGCAAAGGTGTCAAGACTTATTCGTGGACGGGTCTAAAGGCTGTCTGCAAGGAGACCTTCTTAGTAAAGAAGAATCTCCGCCGTGCGCAGCAAGCCATGATCTGGTGAGCGCAGCGATGTGTAGTCCTACCGTATGGTTTGAGACATAGCTGACTCTCCTACCCATCAACCTGCAGTTACGCTCTCGCCCAACTATCCGGTGCCAACAGTGTCACGACCTATTTTGTCCCTATCCTGAAGATCATTGGGGCAGCAGGCAACAGCAAGACCGAGTCGCTCTTCCTCGCTGGCATGTATAGCTTTGCCAAGTTCTGCTTCACGATCATGGCCAGCTTCTTCTTTATTGACGCTCTTGGCCGTCGTAAAAGCCTGTTCATTGGCATCACCATCCAGATGATCTCGGACATCTACCTGGGTGTGTTCATCAAGTATAGGCAGTTAGGCGACGTCTCGCACAGTGCTTCACAAGCAGCCATTGCAATGATCTTCTTCCACGGATTTGGCTACGCAATCGGTATGTTTTCTTTGCCTCACGTGACATCGCGAATGCTGACAGTCAGAAGGCCTCCTTGTTCTACCCTATGTCTTCGGCGCTGAAGTCTGGCCGAACCAGATTCGATCCTTCGGCTCGGCTCTCTGCAACGCTTGGCATTGGTTCTTCTTCTTCGGCGTCAACAAAGGCGTGCCTTCATTGCTTGCAAGGACGAACAATTGGGGAGCTTTCCTCTTCTTTGCCGGCTGGTGCTTCATAGCGTGGGTCTACGTTTACCTGACGGTGCCGGAGCTCGCAGGCGAAAACCTTGAGGACTTCGACGCATTGTACGAAGGACCTTGGTATACTGCATTCCGCCGCAGTACAAAGTCAATGCCTGTTAGCGCGGAAAACGTGATTGAGGGGCAGCCAGTGCGGTGAGTCGCCAGCCTGGACGTACGTGAGCTTCTACTGACTCCACCGGAACAGAAAGGAGCATAGCGACATTGCGATGGACACGAAAACAGCGCAGTCTACGGCTGTAAGCCTCTAGATGGGTGACAAGTCACGCTGGGTGGACGAATGTTGAGTTTGTTTGACGCCTGCGGGCAGAACAACGATTGTGCGTCCGTACGGATATCAGTGCATTGTGATAGCTTTCAATTGGCAAATCCTAGATTACCGCAACCGTACACAGAGATGGACACATGATTGCGGACGATGCCTGAGCTCTACATTGCCCCTGACTAGATACGCACGTTGGACCCGAAGCTCAGCACCAGCACGTCTGACCATGTAAGGTGAAGTGGCGGACGGTTGTCAGCTGCTTGCGATGACTGCGACGACCAATATTTCAGCCACGATTCCACATTTGACAGATCTGCGAACCCTGGCCCAACATTATGCAGCCAACTGACTCGGTGTTACTGCAAAGTTGTTTCTGTAGTACTCAAGCTCTAGCGCCAAGTCGCATACCGAGCTCTACTTGGCTTTGCTCAGTCTAAGCTGCCTGACAGGCGAGTTCGGCACACCCTTCTCGAAGTATGCTCTCACGTTCTCGAAGCACTCCCTCTCCGCCTTCTGAAATGCCACATCCGTTAAGCCGCCCAGATGTGGCTGAATGATCACTCTATCATGGTTGAGAAAGTACGGATCGACATTTGGCTCGTTGCAGAGCACATCAAGTCCAGCGCGAGCCACTTTGCCGGAATCTAACGCTCTCTTGAACGCAGCCTCGTCAATAACGGCTCCGCGAGCGGTGTTGATGATGTAGACTCCGTCTTTCATAGCGGTGAACTCAGCATCCGAGATCAGATTGGTGGTGTTTGCGTTGAGCGGGCAGTTAAGCGTGACAACATCGGAGCAGCCGAGTAGCTCATGCAGAGACGGACAGTATGTGGCACCGTAATGCGCCTCGATATCTGCCGGAAGCTGTGTGCGGTTGTAATACTTAATCTTCATGTTGAATGCCCGGGCTTTCTGCGCCAAGTACTAGCGCTGAATCAGTAGTGGCATAAGTGTATAGGTTGACAATGACACGACGTACCTTGCCGATAGCACCCATGCCGACTATGCCCAAAGTCAGGCCTGAAGGATCACGAGCTGGTGAGAGACCCGGTGCGCTTCTCCAAGTGCCAGCTCTCGCACTTCGCTCAGCCATAGTTGTGTTCCGGAGTGTGGCAAGCAGAAGGAAGGCTGCCATGTCCGCCGTGGCTTCGGCGACAGCATCTACAGTGTTGCAGAAGTAGATGCCTTCCTCCGCCAACCAGTCGACTGGAAACTCATTGTAGCCGGCACTCGCGGAGCAGACAAGCTTGCACCCACGGAGGGGCCCTAGCATGTTCTGGTCGAAGGGCTCATATGGTGGCGTACCCATTCGGATAATGAACGCGTCAATCGGCCCGTTGATGGACACATCTTGGGGCAACAACAACTTCGTTTGCTCATGCGTGTAGGCTTCAAGGACGGAGAGGTCGTAATCATGGCCGAATTGTGCGAGATACTCCTCGCCGGCATACTTGGGCTGTCCAAGCACCACCACACGTGGCTTGTGACGTTCGTCTATCCGGCCAGGAGACATACTCTGTAGCTTCGAACGAGGTTCGAGAAAATGGATACAAAACTGTGAAAGGAGTTCAACTTACAGGTCGAGACACAGGGAGCCTCAGAGGCTGCAAGCTTCAAGAGCACACTAGCCTATGCAGCAACGGACCTCGACACAATCAGCACGCGTCGGCCAACGGCGCGATGTTGCAGTGCTTGTAACGCCGAGCTCGCACGCAGATACTGTCCTGTAATAGAGACGAGGGTGCATTGAGCGAAGTTGCTCGGATTCCTCCGGACCCACTCGGCGCCATTCTGCATACTGCAGTCCGGCTTCGACCGAATGCACCTGGAGAACTGAGCGAGCTTGTCAGCTGCTCGGTGTTCTCAATCGCGAAGAGAAGAGCACTCACGCACGCCGAAATGAGGCGTATTACTATGTTGGCGCGCTTGTCGTGTCTGCGTGATACAACGCGCACAGCTGTAGCATCCTGACGAGTAGTTGACCGCAGTTCTGAACGACATTTTCACGATCGTTATGGCACACAACGGTTTGACTCAGACGCTGCCACCGATGGGTTTTATTGCGGTCCAGTGCTACTTCCACAGGCCGCCAGGCGATGCCTGGAACGAGCAGACTTGGCCATTCCCACTCATTCGCGAGACCGCTGAAGGATCGAAGGAGTCGCAACTCGTCATTGGGGAGAAGTACGATGATACGTTCATCAACAACTTCGTGGAAGCTGGCAAGAGGCTGGCTGATCGAGGCGCTGTCGGCATCTTGACAAGTTGCGGTTTTCTCGCAATGGCCCAGCCCTTGTAAGTAATGGCAGATCGTCTACATGACACAGTGCTTACGGTCCATGTATTTAGGCTTGCCGAGCGCTTGCCAATCCCAATCTCAACGTCCGCATTGGTACAAGTGCCGTCCATTCTAGCCTTTATGCCGCAATCTGCGTCAGTAGGCATTCTCACGTATAACGGCGAGAAGTTGAACTTCGGCCATCTGCAGCAGCTTGGCGTGCCGGACTCTGCAAGGACTCGCGTCCACATCGTGGGTGCTCCTTCGGATGGCTACTTGCAGAACCTGGTTCGAGAAAAGGGTCCGTTTGATCGCGAAGGGATCGAAAGTGAATTGGTGAGGGCGGCCACAGCTCTGGTCACGAAAGTGCCGAGCATACAAGCCCTTGTTCTGGAATGCACCCAAATGCCGCCGTATGCAGAGGCGATCCAAGCGGCTTTGAACGGCAAGGTGCGAGTCTACGACGTGCATACTATGGGCTGCTGGTTCTACAGTGGGCTTGTCAACCGAACACCACGCGAGTGGCTATCAAACTACTAATGATATAATTCCTCAACGACGCAGCATATTGCGTACACTTTCTATCTATTTCAGAAAGTCACCGTTGGTCTCCTTCAAGATCATATCGTACTCCGGCTTGAACTGCATGTACATGACCTCCGGGTTGCCCGTTCCCTCCTTCGTGTACGAAGCCTCTTCGCCGCCAACAATGGTCTTCCGCAACCCCGACTGGCCTCCGATTGAGCTTGGCGCAATGGCAGCTTCAGTCAACAGCTGTGCGTGGCAAGCTCGTTCTAGAGCGATGAAGAATGCAGCCGCTTCTGCGACGGTACCGCCGCATGTGAGTAGACCATGGTTCTGCAGTATAATGTTCTTATGTCTCGGTCCAAGAGCGGTAGCTATGCGCTTGCCTTCCTCTGCGGCGAAGACAACGCCTCCAAAATTGTTATAGATGGCAAGGTCATCATAGAACATGCAGGAGTCCTGGTTGAGCATATCGATACCACGGCCAAAGTTGCTCCATGCACGGCCGTACGGGCTATGAACGTGGCAAGCGGCGTTGATATCTGGACGACGGTGGATGGCGGCATGTATAGTGAAGCCCGCCGTATTGACCAGCATATCCGCACCTCCCACGCGCCTACCGTTCTCATCAACACGAACCATGTCGGAGACGTTAAGAAGTCCGAAGTGAACACCGTATGGGTTGATCCAGAATGTCTTCGGATCAATCGGATCTGTAGGAGTGTCAGACACTGATTGGCCCACCTAGAGTACTTGAGGCAGACCTCGGAGGCTGATGTGTCCGCTTCCCCCATCAGCGAAACCTAGCTTTGCAAAGATGCGGAAAGCTGCTGCCATCTGTTCCAGCTGCCATCGCTGGTGAACTTCCTTGGTTGTTGGCCAGGGTATACGTGACTTCAATTGAGCAGTACTCTGTTTCTCTGTGACAGCGCCGGCAGCTGTAACATCGGGCCGTATCTGGAAGAGCGGAACAGCTGCACTTGCCGTATGGGTGACAGTGTTGGACATGGTGTTCTCTGAGAGGAGTTCATCGAATCCGCTGACCTGCGTATCAAATCAAGCGTTCAAGTAATTACTGTATTCCATAACCGTGAAGCTCACTCGGGAGAAGCCGAGCTTTTACGTACCTGCATTAGTGATGCATTAGGTCGTTTTAAACCATCAGGAAAGTTGCCGACAATGGGAGCTGTGAACGGTCGTAATAGATTCGGTATAAGCCGACCTAATGCTTCGAAGCGTTGTGGAAGCCGTCTCGACTACGGCGTTCATGACCGGAGCCGCCGGAAGCATGGATCCGGACAATCACCAACCAGACACGAACAGTCAACGAGGCTTAAGAAAGCTGTTCGAGCAGCACATCGGTTGCAAATAAATTCTCGGGGCCATACCATAGACTTCGTCCGCCGTGCCGAGCAAGCATCAGTCTACCGAAGGTACGAAAAGCCAACCTACCTTTCACTTTAACTATCAAGCAGTAACCGCTGGTTCGTCAGCCAATAAGTCCCCACAAGGATGGTGTCCTCGTGCAGCAAACCGCCAGAGCAGTAGATATGGACCCAATAGAGTACAACGGCTCTTGCTCGGCAGTGGTCGAGCAGGACCATCTCCGGACAATTTTCGCACTGGCGCTGTCATCGATGTACCGGAAGGAAGTACCTTTGTATGGCGACCTTGTTAGCATCGTGCGTGACATAAACAGCCAGGTGCTGTTCCGAACGAGGCTGGGGTTGGGCAGTGACAGCTCCGAACGCCTGGACGTGGAGAGACATGGCGCGATTCGACTTGGTACCCCAGCGGAGCTGCAAACTGTGCGGCGCATATTCGCTTTGCTTGGAATGCGGGCTGTTGACTATTACGATCTGTCTGTAGCCGGTCTGCCGATGCACGCAACAGCATTCCGATCCGTCGACAGAGAGTCTCTTGCACGAAACCCCTTCAGAGTATTCACAACGCTTCTTCGACCGGAACTTCTGGACTCTGACGAGGCCCGCATGCTAGCTCTGAAACTTCTTGAGCGCCGGCAAATCTTCACCGAAAAGCTTTTAGAATGGCTTGACATTGCAGATAGCCAAGGTGGAAGACTGAAGGCTGATCAAATAGAGCATTTCATCCCACAAGCGCTGCTAACGTTCAGTTGGAGGCCAACAGCGGCTGCAACTTATGCCGAGTATGAGGAGCTGCGCGAAGAACACCCCATTCTTGCCGACGTTGCCTGCTTCCAGTCGGCGCACATCAACCATTTGACACCACGAGTGCTCGACATCGAAGCAGCGCATCGTGCTATGCAGGCTGCAGGCATGGCGGTGAAGAGCGCTATTGAAGGTCCCCCTCAGCGGCAACACCCAATCTTGCTGCGCCAGACCAGCTTTCTTGCGCTTGAGGAGCCCGTGCGATTCCCGTATAACGATAGCATCGTCGCGTCGGACTTGGTATCAGGCTCTCACAAAGCAAGATTCGGCGAGATCGAGGAACGAGGCGCCGCCTTGACCGCGAAAGGCCGACAGCTCTATGATGAGCTACAGAGCGCAGCCCTGTGCGCCGGGCAGTCTATCATCGAACAGAGTCGACGTGACGCCATCGTAGCTGCGGTGTTTGATCGCTTTCCAGATGACTGGAGCGCACTGAGATCGCAGGGCTTGCTGTTCTGCGAGTATTCTTGCGACACAACTCGAATCAAGACGGCCATGTCTTTGGAAAAGAAGTCACACTTCACACCGGAACTGCTTGAGGCTCTCATCACTGAAGGCGTGATACAGGCTCGCCCAATCACTTACGAAGACTTCTTGCCGTTCTCCGCAGCTGGTATCTTCCGGTCGAACCTGCAGTCCAACTTCAAACAAGCAGCAATACAGTCATTGGCACGTTACGATCGAAGCGGACTCGAGTGCGCGCTTGGCTGCAAAGTACTGTCTTCGGAGACGCTATACGCGGGAATCGAGGAGGAGAGCCTGGAAAGATGCGCAGTTGCATTGGGACTTGTTCGTTAGTCACACAACGCAGTGTGACAGTTCGGGACTTGTGATTCTGCATCAGATAGCACGGCGCTCACTGCCAGATTTGCGAAGCTGGAAACCCCCGGCTACTCAGGTCATTCGGTTCAGGGAATATAGCTCTCAAATTGGCATCGCTGTCCAGTATTGGCTCATTTGTCATCAGTTGCTGCAACATCCATTGCGATTCGGGATTCCCAAGACCGTCGATTGAAGCCAGCCACTCTTCCATAGGATCTTGCTCGTTTACAGCTGCCTGCCAGACCAGATTGTCGTCGCGTGCAACAGTGTTACCTGTCGGCTGTGGCACTTCACCGCACATCATGCTTATTGTTCTCTCGGACAGCACACCGAAGATATCACGGTATGACGTTGCCATCTTCCACCTCTCGCCGATGATGATGAGGACGGTGCTGCAGGCCATGCATGTGTTGACGACGTCAGACTGCCGAGCGTTCTGGCGCACGCTATTAGACCGCCAGAGGCAGTAGAGATAGGTAAGACCGCCAAGGAAGAGGATGTGCAGGCTGCCCCAGGTGAACTGAATGGAAGGACTCTGGTACAGTCGCCTGTAGTGCAAGCACATGTCTCGAGCCTTGGCGAAGCATTCCTCGAAAGCCCTTTCCACAATTCCCCCGTCCGCAGAATCTTGTAACCAGTGATCGTGGAAAACGCTAGCAGGGGCCAGTATGTACGGTCGATACAGTAGCAGAATGGAGTGATAGTATGCAAGCAGAAACCACTCTCGTGATGCGAACACTGATAGGGGCTGAGGCCTGCCGTCGTGCGGTGGCGTCGGTATGGTTGCGTGCCAGTCCTCGAGCTCTTTTCTCAATGACTCGACGGATAGATTAGCCATTGAATCACTGTGCTGGCGCCATGCTGTGGGAAGGTATATCTGTGCACTGAACTTCGACCACAAGCGCCGTAGCTTGATGCCATGGATAGCTCCAGACATGCTCGTCAATGGCTCATTAGCTGCAGTTCGGGGGCGTTCGAGGAAGCCAGACGTTGTGACGTGTTCATCGTCGATATCAGCCGGGAGCTGCAATCCAAACCCTGTCAGTAGGATGCGGAAAAGAGTGGCATGAAATTACCGCATCACTAACCTCTGCATCGATCATATGATCAGGAATACCGGCCGGCCGGCCGAGAACACAGGCTGCGACTCTGTCGATATCGTAAGCCACCCAGAAGCAGCGCTTGGACATCTCCTTCATGAGCGGATCTGCAGTCCTGCGGTACTTTTCTGCGCTCCGGTGGTAGCCGAGCTCCACGCAGTGACGGATAGCCATACCTGATACCTTCCAGAGGCTTGCACCTACCGGCGATCTGATCGAGTACACTGCACAGCAGAGGATGCTCTGTATCGATTCGATGCCGTCCACGTCCAGTACAGGTGCAATGTGCTCAAGTGCCGTTGCATAGTACTCATCTGCAGCGTCGTACTGACCAGGCCCGAAAGCAAGCGAACCAATTGCGTACACCATCAGCACGAAAAACAGGGACACCTGGCTAACGGACGTAAAGTCGTTGTTCTGTTGTGCAGCTACGCATTCCTCTTCCCAATGTTGGAAGGTAGGGGCATGCAGGAACGGGTACTGAGGGTGGATGTTATCAAAGTACGCCCTTGAGAGCTTCGCCGCAGTCTCCTGGGGCGGAAAGCGTAGTTGAGAGGGGCGTCTGGGACGAGTGACCGGCTCAGCCAAGCTTGAAGGTGCACTTGATCGGAAGCTCGCACTCCGCTGGCGAAGGCCCATCGTTTGGCTGGCGATGCGGGAGAAGGAAAGCGCAGACGAGGGCCCGAAATAGTGTGGTTCACGTCCGGCGGCGGATATGCAGAGCAAGGCTACCTCAGAGGAGAGGTCGTCAACGCTCGATTCCACGCCTGTCGCAGGCGGTGCTTGAGTGACTTCGGCGGGCTCTTTGTGAAAACCAAGTGTGCTGCCAAGTGGAGCAGGTGGTTGCGCTGGAGGCGATGCAGACGGATGGCGTGATTCTTGTACATTTGCGAGGTGATCCAGCGCAACATCCGGACGCACTTCTTGCAGCAGACGCTCCAAGTACGCAACATGAGCCTCCAGAGACTGGATGTAGTTACGAGGCCTGTGTATGCCAGTCGCTGGGTCTTCGACTAAGCAGTCTCGGTCCGTTCTGATACAGTTCTGGCATTTGGGTGTCTGACCGTCGCACTTTGGCGGAAGACCGTAAGCTCCTGTACCAAATATGCAACCAAGTACTCGGGCACATACTTTGAGTTTCCGCTGCTTGCACCCTATACAAGCGAGTAGAGTACGCTCACCGACACGGACACGCTTCGTGACACCACCTCCGCCAGTTTGTTGCTCCACGACGACGGACATCTGTCGATTGGAGGAAGCTGCTACCGTTCTAGGGTCTTGCGCATATTGAACATAGTCACATCAGGTAGCTATACTCTCCGCCAAGCAGCGCGGTTGGTCTGAAGTCTCGACTCTGGCGGTACTGCTCCGGCAAAGACGGATGCGATACCGGCGATAAGGGCAATGGAAACCGCCGACGCGACCCAACGTGGCCATTTCGGACCGGCGACTGCACCTGTGTAATTCGCGCCCCTACGGTCGTTGTATACGGAAGAACAAGTCGCACGTGAGATGGATTCTGAGTCGTGCTAATGAAGAGGCAATTGCTGCACGCTCGACGCCGCCAGAGTCGCGTCGGGACTTCCCGCAGTGTCGGCGAATGAGTCTATATTACATGCACAATGCCCGCTTGCCCAACGCTTCGATAACCCGCAAGAACATGGGCAAGTAGGATTTTTGTGCTGCAACATGCTGTACATCGCAGATACGTCAGCAGCACTGACCACGAACCCTTGCCCATTCCCGTGCCAGCGTCTCAACAGCTCCGCCGGGTTCAGCTTGACCCGTGAAACTAATGCTATCATACAATCTCAAGCAATGGTCTTGCCTGCCATGATCGGCACATTCTCCTTCTCTTTTTGCCGCTCTTCTTTCTTCTCTTTGCGCTTTGGCCTACTCAGCTTGCTCCCTGCACCCTCCGTCTCGATGATAAAGCCCGGGCTGCCTTCCGGGCGCTTTTGCTTGGCCTCACCATGGTAGAATTCGCATGTGAACTTAAGCCCTGGCTTCCTGTCAGAGCCGGGTTTGCAGACAGTGACCTCGTCACCCGTGTAGACACGTCCGAACTGTCGCTTTCCAGAGTCGCCAATCCTGAGCTCGATCCCGTTAACGAGTATACCGACGCTGCTATCTGTAGTAATAATACAGTGGAGATCTGGCAGCTTTACCCACACACCTGGCTCCGCGTGCTCCTCAATGTCAACAGCATGGAACCAGAAGGTGAAGGCCACTTTCGGAACGCGAACATCTGCTCCATAAGGATAACGGAAGGTGTTCGTCGGTGCTCGACCCCATGACGACATCTTCTGCGTGAGATCCAAGGTAATCTTCGTGAACGAGTCTGCGGTTGAGGTCACTTTACCAAGTCGAGGCGGTGGCTTCAGGAAATGCTCATTGTCGGGCAAGGCATGCTGCAGGCTAATGTGTGGTTCCGCCTCAGTGTCGCGACCATGTTCATCCAGGTCGTGATCTGTGGCAGACCCGCTGGCCGTTGTCGGCAAAGAGTTGTCCATAATGAGGATGCTGTTTGGCTTCGACAGATAGTCAATGCCGCTGACTTTGGATGCATACTCAGCGGTATGGGTGCTTGGGTCGTTCGGGTCAAAGAAGAACGAGGGCGGCTTGCTCATGATGATCTCTCTCCGGAACGTAGGTATTGGCCTTGCCTTGGGCGTTTCCTCTTCCACTCCATCTACCGATGTCACTGTCGCGCCGTTGTTGTTTCTTTCACCAACTTCAGGTGTATGTGGTTCATGCGACTCTTCAGCACATTGGAGATCTGCGACATCCGGCGAACCTAGGTCCACATCTCGCATCAATGACTCTGCACCGAGCAGACTCGGATCGGCAAAGGCCCCTATGGCTCGGTGCGCCTGTAATTGCGCTTGCTGTGCGCTATCAGTGGAGCTGCCACTGACACGGTCCAACGATGCCTCGCTAACGGTGTTACCTACTGCCTCGTTTGCTCGTGCGCCTAGCACTGCAGAACTGTTCAGCGCGGAGAGACTGATCTCGCCGAAAAGCTTCGCCCGCGGTAATTGCTGTTGTTGCGTAAGGGGTCCGTCCGGCTGAAGGATCACAGGAATAGACTGATGTAGGAGCTCGGGACTAGAATCCATCGCTTCATCCTGCTCTCTGTATGCGAAGTGCTCCGACTTGAACCGTTTAGATTGACGTGGATCGAGGAAATTGATGGACCCTGAATGAATGCTGACTTCGTCATAGTGGCTGTCAGCACTCCTTGGGTCGCTACTCTGCTCATCTAAACTCAATTGCGAGAGGTCCGGCTCAGCATTATGCAAAATTTCTTCCTCTTCATGAATCGCAAACATCCCCTGTTGAAAGGCAGGAGAAGGCCGCTCGTTGCCATTGGCCTGCTGGAAAACGGCTTGGAACCATTCGCTTTGCAAGCACAAACGTGGCGAGGGCCGACTTGCTGGATCTGTGTTCAGCATAGCTACCAGTAAAGCGATGGCCTCTTCAGGCACATTCGCCTGCACCAGGTCGCTTGTGTTGAGTGGCGTCATCATGATCTTGTCGAACATTCCACGTCCCGTAGTATCCGAGACGCCCTCAAACGGCGGCTTGCAACACAAGGAATACCACAAGACCGCTCCAAAGGACCAGATGTCGACTGATTGGCTGTAGCTGTGGAATCTCGTTGGAGGCTGCGCCGAGCTTTTCCGGGTGCGCTTCTGCCCTCGACCTGTAGCCCGCTCGTCATACATTGGGAACACCTCCGGTGCGCAGTAGAGCAGCGTGCCACAGAAAGTCTTCAGAAAGGTTTCGTTGTCCGACACCATCTTTGAAAGGCCAAAATCGGACAGCTTGACCGAGAAGTTCGAAAGCTCCAAGTTAGCTAGCAGTATGTTGTCAGGTTTGATGTCACGATGCGTGATTTTCTTCGCGTGCAGATAATCCAGTGAGTCAAAGACCTGGTGCGCCATTTGCAGACCAGCATGCTCGGGCAGCGGACCCTTCAGGTTGAGATATCGTTGCAAATCGCCACACGGCACGAACTCCATAATGATATAGAGATGGTTTGCGTGGTCTTGATAGTCAACGTAACGCACAATATTGGGGTGGCTTATTGACTTCATGATTTGCATCTCGTTGTCGAGCTTGCGGTCGAGGACGCCGTTCTTCATGAACTTGCGCTTCTCAAGCTCTTTGGCCGCAAACAGTTGGCCCTCGCTCTTCGTGGCGAGCTGATAAACGGTCGCAAACGCGCCTTTGCCGATGAGACCTACGACGTTGTACTTCTCTCCACCGCTCCAGTGCATGCCATACTGGTTCTGAACAAGCGGCGCCTTGTACGAAGCTACTGACTGCGTTGTAGCGTCGGCCACAGTGAGGCGCCGTATGTGCATGTCATTCGGTCTTGCACGTGCGGCTTTGGCAGACTCAAGCCGCCGCATGTGATTCTGAAAGTTGGCCTCGTACTGCTGAACATGTCCTTCCCGTGTAGGTATGCGGACAACAAACTTCACCAGCTCATCTGGCTTGGGTGACAGGATCTGAATGATCGACCCAGAATTGAGCATCCTCGTGTGCGGTGCTTGAGCGTTCTTGCCTTTCAACACGACATCATCTACTATTGTGCCGTTGGTCGACATATCCTGCAGCATCAATACTCCGGAGTTGTTCATGAAAATGCTGAAGTGCATGTTACTGATACGCTTTGAGGTGTCGCCGGCGAGGACAATGTCGCACATTTTGAGATTGCGTCCAAAAACAAAGCCGAGCTGGAAATCAATCACCTCTGTCGAGAAGCGCAAAGCAAGGTCCATCGCCTGGTTTGCACCCTCCGGGCCGAGAATGAACGTCTCCTGCTCCTCAAGGACACTTTGCGTAAGCTCATCGTCGTAATTTTCGAAGCCGTTATTCTGCAAAACGTTGTGAGGTGTCCTTTCAGCCGCGAATGAGACGACATTGTACGCTGCCGGCGAGCAAGGATGAAGTATGCACAGCACGTCCGAGATGTCCGCTTCGCTAAGGCCGGAGTTATTGCGGCCAAGTCTTCGTGGGTCCATAGCTCCTTGTGTGCATGGCTGAGTTAGATCCTGAGTGTTCGGAGGCTCCATCCTTGCTCCGAGCTGACACAGTGAGGTGTCGTAGAAGACTGCTGAGTCAGACGTGGGCTGTACAGGGTCGCTAGGCAACAAGGCAACGCTAGCACCGATCTGTCTCGAATCAACCGAGGCTGCGTACACCTTGGGAAAGGGTGTAGCGTCGATGCCGCTGGAGTCCTACGGCGTTGCCAGTGTTGTAGCAGTCTCAACTTGGTGTGCTTAGATAGGTAGGCGGCCAGGGAACGAATACGAAACCCAGCCCCGGCCAGGGCGTTTTGCGACAAGTGGCCGGGGCAGGTGAATCGCTATATATCCTCCAGCGCGAATATGTCCCCACCGGGTCCCTGTTCTTCGTTACTTGCCTACTTTCTGTGCTGGCTCTTCGGAACAGTCGCCGTCGGAGTCGGTACGGTTCTGTAGCGTCACACGCTGATAGTGTTTTGATTGGTCACTACGCCCGGTTTGGGATAGACCCACGAGAGGTGTCGATCGTGTGCTCCTGCGTTCAGAGTTCGGTTGTGCTGGGTATGGTCGGTGGTGGTATCGTGTGAAGCGAGCTATTCTCGTCGATGCTTGGACGCTGGAAGTACACTACGCAGGCGAATATGTCCTCCGATCTTGCAACGAAGCAAACCGCCGCCCTGATCTGTTACTGCCGGGAAGAAAAGGTCGAAGTGAGGTGTGGGAAAGAAAGGTAGGCGTACAACGGAATGGCTCACAATGTCGAGGTCTAAACCTCGAGGGTCTAGTTTCAAAGCTCGGGCCATGCCGCCCTACGTTGCGCATCCGTGTAGCGGATTCTGTACAGGTACATACGAGAAGCTAGACACGTTGACAGCTTTAACCACTTGTCTACCATATTATGCTCGCCATGTGTGCATGACCATCAACCTCCGGGATTTCGGGATCATGGACGATGGAGAGAACGAAGTGCGACCTGGCTGTGTACGAAGGATGAATAGCCGACAACCTGCGACGACGGGAGCCTGGATGCAACCATTATTGCTGCAATATTGGAATCCTTCGAAACCATAGAGCACAAGTGGTCGTAATGCTGCTGCCAAGGCTGTTCCCCTCCGCTATATGCTCGCCAAGTCTCTGAAAGATGTTCATCGGCAAAGCGCTGTCCGTGAGCTATAGCTGTTGTTGGACCCATGGGCAGAATGCTCGTTGACCAGGAGTCTCGCGTCAATGAGTACCGCTCACACAGTTTCACAGGTCGCTCACGGCTACACCGCCGCGCACACTGTACCACCTCATCAAATGTCAGACACCGCCAGCTCTCTCGACTCATGCATACATACAATCTCAGGTCATCTGACTCGTCTTGAATTTAATGTCTCCAGAGCTTCTCCGCTTTGTGGCGCCTCCCACGAGCCGAGGACTGCACGACTGATCAACGCCTGAACAAGGGCAAGGAGCTCAAGATTTATGGATCTGGTATGCCTTACGTCCGTTCCGTAAGACTCAAAGACGGTAGGGGAGCTCTTGTGTTTTCCCAACTTTCAGCTCTTTCATTATCTAATCTTGGTTGCCGGGACGACCGACACCATGCAACGCAGCCTTGGTCAGCATCGTCAAGCGACCGGTGAAGATGGTACAGGTGGCGCCGACGGCCCCGCGTCCTCGGATGTTGTTCACCTTGAGCTAGACGCTCTGATAGTGGGTGCTGGCTTCGCAGGTGTCTATCTGCTGCATCGCCTGCGGCAGGAAGGCTTCAACGTCAAGATCGCTGAAGCAGGTACTGGCCTCGGCGGCATCTGGCACTGGAATAGCTACCCAGGGGCCAGAGTAGATAGTCAGTATCCAGTGTATGCGTATGGCATACCTCAAGTCTACGAGACATGGGCTTGGAGTGAACAATATCCCGGCGAGAAGGAGCTTAAACGCTACTTTCAACATGTCGACAACGTACTTGACATTAGCAAAGACGTGCTTTTTGAGCATACGGTGGTCGCCGCCGGGTTTGACCCATCGGTTAGAAAGTGGAATATTGTGTGCGGAAATGGCACCCGTTTCACGGCGCGCTTCTTTCTTGCCTGTCTCGGCTTTGCGGCGAAGCGTTACTTCCCGGATCGGCCTGGTGTCGACGAATACAAAGGCTATATCTGTCATTCTTCCTTCTGGCCAACCGGAGGCGTGGATGTGAAAGGCAAAAGGGCGGCGGTTGTTGGAACCGGCGCGACAGGCATACAAATCGCTCAGGAGATGGCAAGGGAAGCTGAGCATCTCACCTGCTTCGTTCGGACGCCTAACATATGCATACCAATGAATCAGGGTCCGGTTGATCCTGAACAAGCAAAGAAGGATTTAGAGAGCTTGCACGGAAGACTCAATGCAGATCGTTACGACAACGTTGCCGGATTCCTCTATGCCAACCCCACAAAGGGTGTTTTCGATGACCCGCCTGACGTTCGTGAGGCAGTCTTCGAAGAGGCATGGAGACTTGGCGGGTTTCGGATTCTCTTCAGCTACACGGATCTGCTAACAGACCAAAAAGCAAACGACAAGGTCTACGAATTCTGGGCCAAGAAGAGGCGTGCACAGATGAAGGACCCTGTCAAGCGCGATATACTCGCACCGGAGATTCAGCCGCATGCTTTTGGTGGCAAGCGGCCAAGTCTGGAGCAAGATTACTATGAGCAGATGGACAAGCCGCATATCACTTTGGTCAATGCCAAACAGAACCCGATCACTCATTTCGTGGAGAACGGCATTGTGACCGAAGACGGCACGTTGTACGAGGTAGACGTCGTTGCTCTTGCAACGGGCTTTGATAGTGTTACAGGAGGTTTGAAGGACCTCGACTTGGTGGGCTTGAACGGTGAGAGACTGGCGGATAAGTGGGAGATGGGTACCTATACGTACCTTGGGATGACAACCGCGAACTGTGCGTATAGTCACACGTCAGGTCTGTGCCGTGTGGGATACTGCTGATCTCCGTTGCCTTCATCTGTAGTTCCGAACTTCCTCTATACGTATGGCCCGCAATCTCCCACAGCGTACGCCAACGGGCCCACTATTGTGGAAAAGCAGGATGAATGGATCGTGACTGTGCTGAAGAAGATGCGCGAGGAGGGCAAGACGATGATTAACCCAACTCAAAACGCCGAGATGGAGTGGAAGGAGACGATTAATTCATTGCATAAGCTAAGCTTGCGCGATAAAACAGAGGGCTGGTACATGGGGACCAATATACCTGGGAAGCCAAGGGAGGCGCTCAACTACGCCGGAGGGATTCCGCTGTATACTAAGACCATCTTTGAGGTATTGGATCAAGACTTCAAAGGGTTTACGGTGATGTGAAGTGGCGACGGCAGCTCAAGTTTGTTTTCCGGCGGGAGGACTGCAGCGGTAGCAACACGCGGGGGTTACGTCTGTAAGGTACTCAGAAGGTGCTGAAGGCAGTGAGGTCGAAGCGACCAATCAAGCTTCCACAACTGGCCGGCTCCACGCGCCAATGTTGCAACGCCCTAACCAAGGATAGCAAGTGCTCGGTGTTTTGAAAGCCCTGTTGCAAGACTTCTACGTCCATTCTTGGCCACGTAAGATGTGTGTCATCGCGGTGGGGAGTGTCTTGGAGCAGCTGACGGCGGGCCTTCTCCTCGCACTTGACATGCCAAGAGAGCGTGCGGGTGGCGCAAGGATATATTGGCGCACGCGCTAAATCGCTACAATGCGCAAATCGAACTACCGGATAGTCGTTCATAGATCGTTTTGCTTAGCGGTGTGAAGCTTCGTGAGTCTGAAGTTGAAATGATGGATGTTGGGTTTGCTGTCTCATATCCAGCTGAGCTTTGGCCGCAGCTCTCCATTCCCAAGCTACGTCGACCAACAGCCTTAATTACAGAACTTAGCGACAGTACCGTATGGCCCGCGAGACCAGGTGCGCCACGCTCATCAAAAAATATGAGCTCGCAATCGTAGCGGTCCTTGACAACTCAGCCGCAGGTCAATTGCCATCGGAAGTTACTGGGAGAAGTGACCGTATGCAGAAGGATGATAAAGCATAAGGCCTATAATGTGAGCGGAGCAGGCACCGCACCAAAAGAGCTGTCACCACTCGGATTCGCGTCCTCCGTCTTCATCGTACCGTTGAGCATCGGACACAGCCTTGGACCACAAAGTCAGCATGTCGTTCCTGTAAAGAAGAGCAAGAGGAGATTGATAACTATTGGAGGGTCTTCGAGGCTTTCCTGTCCGGGAAGCCGGCAGGCTGAGGCAGTGTTGAAGCGCCCAGAAAATCGCTGTCTCACAGCTGAAACGCAGAGTACGTCTGCTCCGCAAACGACTTCTTCACATTCTTCGGCACAGCAGAGTTCGCAGCACGACGGTTGACGGCGCTGCGACCCCCACCATTGCCATCAGATTTAACAGGCGCTTTCGAGTCGATCCTCTCGACCGTCCCGCAAGCGCTACAAATGAGAGTGGCGACTGACTTTCTGTTGGTCTTGATATGACCGACTTGTCCGCAGTTGGCACACTTGCGTGCTGTACCGTCCTTCTGCCCACGGCGGCCTTTCTGTGGCGTGCCGTTCGCGCTGGTGCCGACGGCACCAGTAATGGTAGACTCGTTCTCGGACGGGCCGGGACTACCGGCAGCAGACTCCGACGGCGAGCCTGCAGCACCACCAGTGACGCGCTTCTTGAGGTTTTCGCGGGCTTCGCGGCGGTCGATGTTGCGCTGGACACGGTCGCGTTCTTGCTCGATGTGCTTGGCGACGAGGTTGTCCAGCTCGCGGTCTTCGCCAGTAAACTCATATTTGCTCACACTGCAAGATTAATGTCAGCAACTGCTCAAACGATAAGAAAAGTACCTCTGGGAACACAGACTCGATGGCTGCCAACCTCTTCTCCGCTTTGCGCTTAAGGTACTCCTTGATGACCCTCGAGTTCCGTATCTCGACAGGCTCACTCATCTCCTGGCCGTAAGCATCCCTGGCACCGACCCGATTGATGACCAGCACGCTCTTGCCGTCGCGACCGGCACTCTGTCTGCTAAACTGGGTACCAGTCTCGTCATCTCCTCGGCGGCCGTACGCGGGAGTGCCGGGAAAAGACGAACGGGGCGTGCCAGATCGACCGTAAGCTTGCGCACTCTCCGCCTCCGCTTCCGGGTCATCGTCCATGTCAACGTCCGAGATCTCGATGTTACTTGACAAGCTGTTCTTCTGCTTCTCCCAGATCATGCGAATGTAGCCGTCGTACGCCTTCTGCTGCTTGGCAACGTTGTAGGTATGCCCGCCGTTCTCACGGCGCCTCTTCGCGTCAAGCTTGTCTTCGACGCTCTCACCAAGCGGTTGGAAGCCTCCTTTCATGTTGATCTTCACGAAGCTGAACGCCTCGCCACGACCGGTTGGATCACCGTCACCATGCAGCTTAAGCATGGCCTTGCCTTGCGTTGCTTGGAGGAATGTCTTCGTCGCACGCCACGGTGCAAGATGCTTCTCAATGTCGGCATTCTCATCGATCTCCTTTTCATCATCTTTCTCGGTCTCCCCCTTCTGGTTGATGCCAAGGTCATTCAATCGCTGTACGCCGGCCTGCATCGAGTCAAGCAAGCAGACTTCCTCAGGCTTGATTTCGCCACGCAGAGTTTCGAGATCCGGCACCGCCGTACCGGCAGGCGGAACCCATACGCCGCCCTCGCGATTCGCATTTCGCTGATAAGTCATAAATTCGCGCATCTTACTCCTGGTCTGCGGCATATCATGCCCCTTCAAATGCTTCATGATCGTGATGTTGTCCAAAGTCTTATCACGGCGTGTAGGATCTTGGCTCTTCAGGTACACGCGGTAGGCCAAAGTCCTTAGCCTCTTTTTGGCGGCTTCTGTCACTTTCCTAGAGTGCGCGGTTGGGACCTCAGCCATCGGTAACTGCTGACCCACAGTATGCAAATTCTCCATGTTTCGCAGCCACATGCGCGTGCCGTACTGGTGAGTAGTGCTGACCGCAATGAAGAAGTCCGTGGGCCTTGTCTGGTGTTGAAACACTGGCGCTCTGTACAGACCGTTCTGCAACGTTGGGACGGTCTCACCTTGGTCCACGTGGCCGAAGTTGGCAAATGGGCTCTTGTCCTGGGTAAGGAGGACGTGCGTCTCGCCAATATCACGTTTTGGGCGCTCTTGATCGTCGGCATTGCGCTTTCGGTAATAGTTGACCAGCCGATTGCCCATGCCAAAATTAGACATCATCATGGGAGCTTCTTCAGAGTACTCGAGAAGTAGCAATTTGGAGTTATCGTTGAGTGACAAGCTGTCGGCGGTCGAGAACAGGTCCTTAATTTCCTGGCCCTTGCGCTCCTTGTTCTTAACTTTCTTGAGCTTGCCGAAACGGAACTCCTTTTGCTGCGGTCGAATCTCCCAGTCTTTGAGACTGAGCGCAGGACGATGAAACGAGCGCTTCGCCTTCGCGTCCAAGATGATTTTGTAGAACGGAAACTGTAATTTCTTCGCCGGCAGGCTGTGCTCCAGTGCAGTGGTGCCAAGTGTATTGCGGATTTTGTGCTGGTGGTTCTCCTTAAGCAGATCGTAGGCCTCATCGTTGCTAACGTTGTAGCGCCGGACGAGATCACGACTCAAGGCCTGGTCTTGGTGCAGATCGCCCGGTACACGCTTCATTCTGCGAGCTGGTTGGGGAGCATGTTCGTCGATGAGCAAATTAGAATCATTCAGGTCCAGCGTGACTCGCTTGGCAAGCTTTGCAGCTACATGCTCTGGGTCTTCGAATGCAGCTTGCGGGATGTCGATTTGCACTGACAGGTCGAAAGCGGTACCATCCATCTTCTGCTTCTTTGTCGGGCGGGCGTGCTCTTCAGCCTGCCATTCACCGTCTAGCAGACTATCTCCATCTCCGAGAGAAGACGTAGAGTCAATGCTTGGCGTGTCCCAGCTTTGACAGATTACTGCGAGGTCAGCTAAACTTTTGCCACCAACTACTGCCTTCTCATCCACGTCGCTGAAGGCCATGTCGTCGTCGCTCCCTTCATCCTCAGTTAAGCCACTGTGAACAGTCACCAGGTTTGTAGCGAGTCCTGGATCTTGACCAGCGCGGTTTGCACCCGCCAAGCTCTTGAAGCTCTTCTCTTGGTCTGGCAGGACATCAAGCGACAACTTTGTAGGCTGAACCGGCCTTGGCGGCTTTGCTGGAACCTTCCCACGATACTGCACTGGCCGCTGTGGGAACAGATCGAGAAAGCGAGGCGCAAAATCTGCCTCATACCGTGGGAAGAACTCCCAAAACTCCTCAGGATTCACGTCTTGGCGCTCCTCTGCAACAGCTTGTCCAGCCTGGCGCCGCTTACTTTGCGAGAACAGCATGCGTTGCATTCTCGTTTCTTCATCCATGTCGGCGTCGTCCTCCTCCTCTTCCTCTTGGGTTATAAGCATGCTGTCCGAAGCGGCCGGAGAGTAAGTGTCACTGGCGAACGACGGTGGGCTCATGGACGAGTACGTTGGCTGTGGTGGCCGCGAGTATGACTGCTGCTGTTGCCGGATCTGAGGCAGAGCCAGGCCAGACTTGCTAGGCAGAGCAAGCCCACCCGGTCGGGGCTGTTGCTGAGGGAGAGCATGCTGCCGATACTGCTCCGGTGATGAGCCACGGTCACCGAAAAGCTCATTAATCTCATCGTCATGTGGCTCATGGGAGGTATGATGGCCGTTACTGTAGGTTGCGCCGTTCGCATTGTCACCCAGGAAGCCGTCAAGCCCGCCATCCTCGTCATCGCCTGGCATGTGGCTCGCATCCTCCTCGTCTGGCAAGTCATCGTCACTACCGATATCTTCAAAGTCTTGAGCGTCTGCGTGCTTGTTGCTCTGATCGATCTGACGGTCGAAGAAATCCTGCAATCCTGCCTCCAAGCCACCTTGCTCGTTCAGGTACCGCTGCGCCGCCTCGGTCTCATCGCCGTCTTCCATCATGACAGGATCGACTGCGTGCGGCATCTCGTTGCTGTTTGTCTGTACGCGCTGACCTCACCTCCCAAGAGGTGCATGCCGCATTCACCGGCGTGTAACGACTTCAGTGAAACCAGCTCCGCCACTCATGTCTGTCCTTGGAGCGTGACTCTATGTATTGCACAGAGACGACTATTCTGGCTGTAGACGCCACTTTTTGATGTGATGGTAGTACAGAATGTCATGCACTACGCAATAGAAGGCTCCGTCACAGGCAGATACTGATGTTCGAGTGCAAGGACTAAACCGAAGTGCAGGCGTGCGGAACTATCCGGCGCTCGCTTCACAAGTCTTAAGTCAAGACACCACATCGTATTAGTCACGTGCGTCAAATGACGACGCTTGCCTTCCTGCGGGGCCGAGTAGGCGCAGCAAACGGGCCGCCTCCCTCCACCACTCCTACCACACCTCGTCAACTCGCGACTGAATCTCTCACGCATCACCAACGTATATCATTCAGTGTAACATCCTAGCACAGTCATCATGGTGGACTGGAACCGAGAACTGGAAGTCACGGGCTGGCAAGCCGGATGGCTGTCGCGCGACACGCCCGCCTTCGACATGTACGTCGGAGTCTTCTCGGCAACCATACTAGTCTTCACCCTGGGATCCGTCTTTCTTATTAGTCGACGTCAGCGTCAAGTGCTCGGACGACTCGAGTCCAAGCTCGGCAAGGAAGCGGCTACCGCACAAGCAGTGCGATACGGCATGAGGCATGGAGACCGCCGCAACTGGATCTACGCTGTGGTCCTCTTGATGCAGGTGCCTGCCATTGCCAGTGTCGATGCATACATCGCCATCGTCGCGGCCAAGGAAGTGGTCGAAGATGGCTCGCAGGTCTTCGATGTGAGCGCCATCGTTGAGATTGTAACCTACTGCATCTATACCCTTGCGGCCTTCACCGGCGCATTTGTCCTGGCGCCTGTGTTGCAGATCGCCGCGACGAATTGGCTTCTCTCACGTTGGGCGCGAAAGCGAGGCATCACCGATCTCTCAGAGTATCGACCCCAGGCTCGCCTGTACAGTACACAGCTCGCAATGCTATGGAGTTTGCTTTGCTTTGCAGTGACCATGGTCTGGTCCCCTATAGTACGTGGATCTTGCACATCGCTTAGCCGGAACATTGCTGACTTTGAATATTAGGAAGGGCCGACATTCATCAGGTGGATTATCATTGAGGCAGCTTTCGGCTCCGCTTTGGCGTGGCTGGACGTGAGCTTCGCGTTCAACTTCAGCTCCACGACTCTTCAAACCATCAGTTTTGCCCCTGTCGTAGCTGGAGCATTGCATAAGTTCCTACCGTCAGATACGACAGCTTACGCCACTTCCGACACTAATGCGTTATTGCCATGCTACGAGGAGAAGGAAGTTGCCTACTGCGACGAGAAGACCCCACTAGACCCCAGCAAGGCAAGCCTGGCCACCGATTAAGTAGTGCTGCTGTTCTTGCACAGAGTGTTTGACGCGAATCGGAGACAGCAAGGGCTGCGCTGCTCGGGCAATAAGCCGCGCCGCAAGACAATCGACACCGACTGGAGGCACAGAGCAAACAGATAATCAAGTCTAGCGATATGTACGAATATCACGAACATCCACCGCCCTGTGCAAGACAATGCACCTTCCACTCGTGCATCCACTCCTTCACAAAAATCAGCTCCATTCTCTGCGTGTCAGCCACTGGCAACGGTGGCAGCGTGCTCGTCGTCTGGTTTGGAAACACCCCGTTCTCATCCCAATGGTGCACCGCACCTGCAATCAGCATGAACGGCTGACTCGCAGTGCTAGGTCTATCCACCGCGCCATAGCCGAACGCATGCGGTGTTGCTGGCCTCCAGGGATCCCATTCGCCGTCTACTATCGCGAGACGTGGGTAGGAGATGTTGTAGCCACCGTACTTGTTGATTGCGTTGGTGTTGGGCGGATTGTGGATGCCGAAGGCCTCCCTGCAGACGATGCTCTCGTATTCGAGGTCAATGGTCCGCGAAACCATCGGCAGCTCGTTGGCAGGTACACCACTGCCGGTCTGGAGATAACCCCATTGGGTACAGTACTGATATGGCCACGAGCGCCAAGTCTGGGTCACGTCGTCCTGCTGATAGACTGTAGGATTGCGTCAATTTGGTGTACGGCGAAGTATGTAGGGGAACTTACAGGTACTGTTGTGGTTACCGAAGCACTGATCTTGCGTTTCGTTACTGGCGGCACATGATGCCACTGCGGTGAGATTGATGTAACCGACGTAGTTCAGCATTTGGTTGACGAGGCTGGTGTTGGCGGTATACCCAGCCTCCGAGATCAGGTCAGAGACCGTCGTACTGATCGCTTTCGTCGAGGGATACAGTACGGAGGTATTGCTTATGTTCGCGCAGTAACTGTAGCTGCAGAAAGTGCGACTCGTCAGTCTCTGCTCTCACACACCAGGCGTTGGAAAATGATAGCAGACTTACAACTCCGGATTGCTGATCGAGGGATCCCAGTTGAGTGCCTGCAAGCCGAGACCGCGAGTCAAGACGTCGGCGAAGTCGTTGTTGTACGTCACATTTGGCAAGCCGAAAGCGGACTTTAGCTGCGTCACAAAGCCGCTGTTGGTATGATTACTGCCGTCCTCACCGATGAGGATATTGTCAACAATGTGCGTCAGGGTCTGCTGCGTAGCGACGCAGAGGGGTGATTGGTAGCGAGCAATAGCATCGAAGTACTGCCAGTAGTCATATATGGCTTTTGTTACTCCGGAGGACGAGATCGTGCCCCAGAAGACATCGGGATACTGTACGCGCAAGAAGGCGTTGAAAGCTCCAGAGTAGGAGCCACCGTACCCAATGTAAGCGGTTGTGTTGCTCGTCAAATCACCATACTTCTCGAGGCCGGCAAACTCTACGTGTCGGGCAAAGTAAGCAGCGTCCGCCAAAGCTTGCTCTGTCGTTAAGAACCGCAAGCTCTCCGTAGACAGATCGGGAGTGGGAAAGCTCGTTCCGTAGTATCGGTGCTCCATCACCACCCCGATACCGTTCGTGGCCTGGATCAGCTGCGCCAGTATACCCTTCTGCAGAATCGGCAAGCGTGCGCTCGCGTCGCCCTCGCCGCACTGCAGGACAATCACAGGGCCTCCGGGCTTGTAGTAGGATGCATCATACCAGTAGCGCATGGGATAGGTGCCGTTGCTGTGCGGTTCATACTTCGTCTCATTGTGAAAGTGGTCGATTGGGGTCGAGAAGTTGTGCGCAGGGTAGAGTAAGGCGGGATTGACGTCTCGCCTCGCCAGCTGATGTCGCTGGGCTTCGATCTGCCGTCGTACTTGGCCAATAGTTTGCCTACCTGCATCAAGTGAGGTCGACAGAGCGTCACCAGCACTGGCAAACAGCAGGAGCCCGAGAAACCGGAGTAAAGGAGACATGAAGGCGTGGGGATATGCCAACCTTGTCTGCTGTAAGACGCGAAATAGTAACACTATGTTCCATCAAAGGTTGGCCGCGCTGCCGATCGACTCATTGCCAACTCTTTCCGGAAGGTCGCGCGCTATTATCGGAGCGGTAGGCAGGAGCACGATATGTTCTTGCAAATATTGGCGGGCTCAACTGGCATGACGTCTACGTAGAGCTAAAGGTCCATGGCGTCGACGCCGATAGTGCGCTACATAAGGAGCGGAAGATTCGATTCCAGCGACGCTTGCGCTCACATGAAGCTTACAGCCAACGCGTAGCAACTCAACATGCGAAGTACGGGCAAGTAACAATTCACGACATTCGTTTCGGTTACGGCGCATGCTCACCAGCATGCTGATGCTCGATACTCATACACGATGTAACCATCTTACATCGCGTTCAAGGCTGCTTGGACGCCAACGGTCCCGCTATCTTCCCTCCTTAGCACATACGGCCGTAGGTCTCCCTTATCCACTCCCTGCAGTCCTACGCCAAAGTTCCTCAAGCGATCTCTAAGCGCTTCAGGACTGATGACGAAGAGGTTCGCCACCTCAGTCAGAACCTCTAGACTAGGATCGAAGCTGCTGGGAAGCTCCCACGATCGCAGCATTTCGATGTACTTCGTGATGTCTTTCGAAACAACCAGTGCGCCAGTGAGAGACACTGGGTAAGCCTTGAAATGTACGAGCAGTAGCCCTCGGAGGCCGACAGCCAGCTCCAAGCAGAAGGATTCGAGGACTCGACCTGATAATGCAGCCGCAGCACGGGAGTGCAGACGAGACAAGAACGCTGAGATTGCTTGACAGGTCGGCGTCTGCAGGTGATCGAGTTGCAAGTTAGTGTCGTCACGTGGCCTGAAGTCAGTCTTCTTCTGCTGAGACAATAACCGAGACGTCCAGGCTAGCGCGCTGTCGATGACCTTTTGCAAGATCAGATCAATCTTCCCTTCCATATGCTCCACAAAGTTGTTGGTTTGTTTGTCCAAGTCACGCCTGATTGTTAGATTCCCTGACGCCAATGGCAACAGCAGCAACTGTATGGTTGTAAGCATAAGGTGCAGCACACTGATGGTCGGTCGCAGATCGGCGATGAAACTGAGGTCGGGCTCTGTTGACCGAGAACTCTCCACAGTGGTTGCTGTCTCGGTGATCGCATCAAGCGCCGTTTCTAGATATATCTCGCCAACATGACTGATCAGTAGATGGAGTAGCTCTCGAATCTCTCTTGGCGTCTCATTGCCGCCACCGGCCAACTCCAAGCCACGACCTACGCCTTCTGCCAGCCACTTAAGCATGCGCTTCGTGAAGGGTAGGCTGAGCTGACCATCCTCATCCGTGACATCGAGCTGTTTTGGCTGATCAGACGAAGTAGGGTGCTCCTTGTCACCTAAGCCCGCGATGCGCAGCAGCATCGCTTTCTGGCTTGCGGGCAATTCCGCCGTGTTGAGACGTTGTAAGTACGCTTCGCGCGCATTGCTCAAGTACTCATTGCCTCGAGCAGCTAACTGACCAAGATAGGTAGATGGCTGCATCTTCCGCCTTCGCGAATGGTAGATCGTGTATTTGAATAGGAGGCCCTCGAAAAGTTCGCTTAGGTTTTGCTTCTCACGCTCAATATAGGATGAGCCAGTGAAGTATGGTATGAAGAGTTCGTCAAGCTGTTGATCAAGCACCGCAGCTGTGGCGCTGCTCGCTGGATCTGGGTGCTCGGTTAGACCATGCGCTTTGAGATCCTCCACTAGAGAAGCAATGTACGATCTGCTGGCCTGCAGCGACCGCAGAAACGCTAACGATGAGATAGAGTCGGCTTTGTTTAGTACCATCTCAAGCCGTTGTTGGATTGATTGTTGGAAGACGCGTTGAACGAAGCGCGCCAACACCTCTTCGTAGTACGGGAAGGCGCGCTTGATGATGAAGCTCTCTTCCTGACAGACAATCTTAACTTCATCAATCAGGCTCTGCAAGCTGGGCTCGACGCCTGGGGGGTCTGTGTCCGGGTCAGCCAAGCGATCCAAGGTGTCTGTATCTGTCACCAGGTCCTCGGTGACAAGCTGTGCCCGGTCAATGAAGAACTGATGCTGATTTACGAACAACGAGATAACTGAAGAGCCGTCGCCGAAGTCGCGCAATGCTAATGCGCACTCACGCATGCCTTCGAAGTTCTGTCTCCGGTAGAAGTCGTCGAAAGACCTGAGCAGGTCCTTCTCGAGCATCTCAAGAAACTTCTCAATGAGCTCACGCGGCTGCTGCCCGTCTCGTGTCCGGTTGCGCAGACTACCGCTTGGCGAGTCTGTGCCGTCCGTATCACCATTGACACCGTTCGCAAAGTGCACCCCATTCGTTTTGGGCGTGCCGTTGGCTACTAGATCTAGTCGTTGCGAGATCTTCAGAAGCTGTCGCGCGATATGTGCACACCTCACCTTGCCTTCACCACCACCCATCCGCCTCACGTCATCCAGCGCTGAGAGATCGCCCCGCTCACTGACCTCAAGCCAGCATTGCAGGATGAACTTCGCATCCTGCGCGCGCTGTCGTTGCCGATCCAACTCTTCCAGCCGTTCGCCTATCTGCATGGCGGCGTTGCCGCCGATATCTGCGTCTCCATCGAGCGTTCTCTCGAGCTTGTGGAATGCTTCAACGGCTCTTTCTAGTTCCTGCTCTCTCGATCTGATGTTGGCGTTGTGCTGTGCCTCAGCCCTCCGCACCGAGCCGCCCAGCTCATTCTCCCGTGTCTCGAGCTCCTCTGACAGAACCTTTAGGCGGGATAAGGCGTGCTCGAATGTACGAATTAATGGCTTAGGATCGAATGCGTGCGACGCAGGCTGGGTTGCGCCTGTCTGAGTGCTGCGTCTGATGGGAACAGCGGACTCAGAGAGCGTCTCGACGAAATCCTTAACAATGAAGTCTTTAGAGGAGAAGGTGTCAAGAGTGTAGGTCTGAAGGCCTGCGCGAGACTGGAAGGTAGTCGGCCGGCTTGAGGACTGCGAAAAGATGGAAGCGGTATCGGCTGCGCGACCGGCCATTTCAGCCTGGCAAGCTCATGGGCACATTGCGCGTCGACGTTCGAGCAGTTACAGCCCTTGCGCATCGACGGTCATTGCTATCTATGTCGTATCATGTTACCATGGCTCCACGACGTCGCATACCGTTTCTGCCTGAGGCCTCAGAATTCGACGTGTCGTTCATCGGTTAAGTCTCGTTTAAATGCCCATCAATATCCGAATGACATGACCATATATGGTTGTGAATCCGGCTGTTGCTCCTCGTGACTACTAGTGACCTGATCGATGGCGACACAATGGCGACGGTCAGTGGGAGAACGAAAGCACCACATACAGGCCATTGGCTAGGGAGCAATCATAGCGTCGTCCCGCTCGAAAGGGAAAGAGTGAACTTGCAATGCAGGTCTGTGCACAAATTGGCGCCAGCGGCAACCTCACGCAAACGCTGCTTGTTTGACGCCGCACGCCTGCATGACTCCGGGCAGTGTGCTGTTGTTGTCGTCTGGGGCTATTGTGCAACTTACGAGCAGGCACCGTAACGGACATTGCTATCCACTCACTCACCAAATAGTCCTTCCTTTGTTCAGACTCGTCGATCGTACCGCATCCATCTGGCATCATACCGACCTCGCGTAAACAGATACAGCTGCACCCTGCAATAATGGATTCGGCACAAGACGGACCACAAGCTTCGACCAGACATGCTAAAGACCGCCGCCCATCGCACATCCCTGCGAAATTGCCGCCCCCAAGCTACAACAGTAAGACTGCTGGTGCCATTGCATCACTTGAACATCGCCTGGCAGCACTGGAATCCAAGCGTTCATCAACTTCGCAGGAGGCCCATCAGAGACACTCTAACGCAGCTCAGGTTGTAGACGATGACCTCAAGGAGTTTGGGCGGGAGTATGAGGATCTCGATGCCCGAATCGAGACGCTCGAGAGTGCTGGATTTAGTGCTTTCAAGACCGATGTCGAGGCCAGGCTGGCACTTATGGAGCAGCGCATGAAGCCTTACGAAGTCTACCAGCAGGAGCTTCTCGGTGCGAATGCGCAGCTTCTCAAGCTACAGGAAACCCTGCGAACGGCTAGTCCTCCAAAGTCAAATTCGCCACCGTCAAAGCTGCTCAAAGATTACGACTCCATTCTCCGCGAGCTCTCTGCTCGGCTGCTGGCCGTCGAAAGCCCAGTGGAAATTGCCAAGGCGGACGTGATGTCTACTCGTGATCTGGCTCTTGCTCTTACACAGCGTCTGAGGCGAGGCGACCTACTGGATGCGAAGGTGGCGCTTGAGCTCAAACAGGTACTGGAAAGCAACAGAAGTACACTGTCAGGTTTGTCTCTGCTTCCCAAGCCAGCCTTGCGGCAACAAGACACGCCTAGTACCGAAGAGTCTGACCCAGAGCGTCGTAACACCGTGGAGCAGTCTATAGAACAGACGGAAAAGCGACCTACGGAGAAGCGTCAGCGGAAGTCCACGACGTCACCCGACAAGCCGGCAAAGGCACGGAGAAAGCACATTTCGGAGTCTGCCACCACGCCGCAGATTGAGGAGGCGCTATCGGACTCGAAGTCCGGCGCTTTGTCTGGCGGGCAGCAGGACAACGGCAGCAACACGCCCGTAGACACTTCGAGTGTGGAGGTTTCGCCTGAGGTGCGACGTACAGGCCGCAAGTTAGTACCGACCAAGCATAAGAACATGGTCCACTGGTGTGATGCGAACAAGACAGTCGGCTCACTTCGGCCCAGTGTACCGGCCGCCTTAAGGTAAAGCTTCGAGTAGCAACCGTCGCCTTAGGTCCTTTGAATGCAGGACGTGGAGCAGGATCTTGCACCGTTCGGAAAAGCGCTCGCCAAGCACCTGAGTTGACATCAAAGTGCATCTCTCATGTGGACCACGACGCAACGGCCTGATGCTTGACGCACGATCTTCTAGTCTTTCACTGCCTGGCATGCCTACGTACAGATGATTCTCGCGTTCGGCTGCGTTCAAGCAAGGCATGCAACGGCGTTACAGCGTGGGTTTTTTTGACGTTATTTCACGACAAAGCGGATGATGTGTAAGGGCGCAAAATGTCCGCGCAACATGATGGCGTCTTCTTGGTGTCGCTGTACAAAGCCTGCGAGTCGTCTATATAGGCACTGTCAGCGGATTCATTACGCTCGCCCCACCGTCTACCACCATATTATGTCCAGTGATATACGAGCTGAAGCCACTTGCTAAGAAGCCTGCCACCCTCGCCACCTCCATCGGCAGACCGGCTCGCTCCAGGCCGACAATCTCATGCTGCACTTTCTTCGATTGTAAACTGCTGGGTGGGAATTGCGCGCTCAGGCCGCGCATGTCGAAGCCTTTGAGATCTACACCAATATCAATCTGCCCAGGGGATATACAGTTTATGCGCACTCCGGTGCCTTTGAGTGTGGCAACGCCCGCTTTGACGACGCCGAGAGCCGCATGCGAACCTAATGCGAGTCAGCCGCCCTTCACCCGACAAACAGTCAAGGCAGCGCATACTCATAGTCAGTCCGGGTCCCCAGCAACCACCGTATGTACTAGCCACACTGCTGACAACTATTATGCTACCATATGCTTGGTCCTTTGGTGCGGCGTTGGGATAGTTGCCTTTCGGCGTCGTCTTGCCCATCGCAGCTGGGGCGTACTTGAGCGCGAAGAACGGTGCCATGCTATTGGCTTCGAAGAGCTTGTACAAGTCCGCCGGAGTGGTCTCGGTTATTGACGGCGGACCCAAGAGACCGGAAGAGGTGACATAGACGTCCAGGCTATATGCCCAACAATCAGAGGATACTCGCAAGCTCTTTCACGCTTGTCTTGACGACGTACCGTCCCCACGCGTTGAGCACATCGTCTATCAAAGCCAGAGTATCCTCTTCGTTGGCAAGCTTGAATGGATACCCTATGACTTTCGTGCTCGGGTACTCCTTGTTGACTTGGTCTGCCAGGCCCGCATAGTCATCGCTTGGCGAGGAGGAGCAGGCATAGATGCATGCTGCACCGTGGGCTGCGAGCTCTTTTACAATGGCTTTGCCTACAGGCTGTGTCGCGCCCGTGACTACGCAGACGAAGCCATACTAAGAAGTCATCGTTAGACTTCTGTGGTTACGGCGAGTGCAGGCAGGCGAGTGCAACCCACCAGCTTCCCGTCGGTTCTGTACGGTGAGAAGTGCTCCGACTCAGACTCTTGGTGCCCGTTCACCGCTGCCATCGTACGCAGTCGTATTTTCCACACACACCACACTTATGGTTTGCAGAAGGAGCGCCATGGCTGTCAAGACACACGACCTGCGGCTCTGCGAGCGATGCTTAGCCATTGCTTTCTCCTAAGGACTCCGGTCATTGGCTCGAGCATCCTCCTCGGAGATCGATAGAAGATAAGGCTGCAGGTACCGCACGCACTTGCGGTAGCGCGCATACTGCCATGTATAGTTCAGCATGGAACCCATTCGGCAACCGCCTCAAGAAGAGGAGGGGAAAGCAAAAGATTCCATCGTGTCGTGCAAATGTCCCTCTTCTCCCACGTCTTCTTTCGCAGTGAGTTCTTCGCTAACAACTTCGTACGCTTCACGGATAATTGAGGTCCTCGAACGTTTCCGATGTTCACCGGTTGATGAACGTGACGCAAATCTGAGCAAGTGCTTTGGTCCCGCCTGATAACATCGGTCTCAGGGTTGCGCCAGAGTGCGTTACACACCCAGATCGGACAAGTCAGGAGAGTTTGCCTTGCGCCAGTCGGACGTTATGGCGTCCGACCGCAGCAAAGGGAGTGTACGCGTGTTGCAGGGCGGGTTTCAACCCCTACCGTGCGCCGCTCATTGCGTAGCTGACCCCACGGAGTAAGGGCTGTGTCCAGATGTTTTTGCTCCAAGCTCAGGGCGTCGCTCTCTTTCACCTAACCTCACTATATCAAGCTGCAGGCTACAACGATGACAGACGTTAAGCTGTACGACAAGTTTGCTGATACAGCTACAAGCTTCGTACTCGCAACGTCGCCAAAAGAGGCCGGCACCAACAAACCAGATCCTGAACGGTTTCTTTCGCTATGCGCCCCCAACTTTTCACAATCATGGGGCCATAGGTTCTTCATTGCGCACAAGCCAGGTCTACAAGGCAGTGTCGACGCGCAGGCATTCCTCGACCACCAAGCCAAGATGTCGGCAAAGCTGCGAACCTGGAAGATCGACATTACCGATGTTATCGTCGATGTGAGGAAACACTGTGCCATGGTCCGAGGGAGCTTCAATATGTTTGCGAAGGGTCATGATGAGCCGGTAGTAAACGACATAGTGTACAAGGTCACAATGGATGAGACGGGCGACAAAGTCACTGCGGCGATTGAATTCATCGACGCGGCTGCGACCAATGAATTGGCGAGTCAACTGGGCATTGGAGGCTAGATATCGTGGAACCAGGTGCGGCTCGCTCTAGTGTTCCTATGTGGTCGCGCAGCAAAGCTAATCCCTTGCCCATATAACAGGATGTACTATAGCTGTCGCATGCCTATGAGGCTAGAGAGAGCTCTCCATAGGCGGATATCCGCCAGTATGGATCAATCTCAACGCCCCAGGCCGCAGCCTGCTCGCCAGAGGTGCGGTTCGTTGGTAAGTTGTTCTGCCTCAGTGTTACGCTATTGCAGAAAGCCGCAGCGCTATCTTCTCATTCCGCCTCATCCCATCATGTCTATCGTAATTGAGGCTTGGATTCATAAGAATTGACAAATGGGTGTGCGCGAGATTGTGTTGAATACACGGATGTCGCTCACTGTGACGACAAGTCGCCCAGGATAGCCAGATGTGCAACTCGGAATGGATGCCCTATGCTTTGCAACCCGGCTCGCACATAACGGTAAGCCTCTGTTCTTCGTCAGAAGGTCGGCAAGGCTTGGGCGGTTTGGTATCTCGTCTTCGACGACTGCACTGTTTTAGGCCACTTCGCAAATGATCGGCACCATCACCTCTGAGGTCTAGCAGGTTGCAGGTTAGAGGTCGTCTACTTCGAGCGATGCAGACAGTTCCAAACATTCGTTAACCTTGGCAGGGGTCACGAACTTGACCAGATACCTGGCATTTTCGCGCAATCTATTGAAACGGGAGGGCTCACGGAGCTCAGTACGATACGAACAGAACATCAACAAGTCGTTAGAGTCTGGCCGGACATGCGGATACAAGTCTTTTCACAGTCATGGCTCGAGTCTCATTCTCCGCATTCCAATCCTTACCACCTCAGCTTGGCGCGGCGCGCACCTGCATACACTGTCCACGGTTTTAGCACCTTGCGTGGCGAGCTTCCTGCCCCTTAACTTCAAGAGTTCCAACCTTGATCACTCGTGCACGATCACGATTAACGCCGCGAACATGCGCACCCACTTTCTCGCTATCGCCGCCTTTGCAGTGCTCACATTTGCGCAACACCCTGTTGGACAGATCTCCGACGGTAGGCGTAGCACACAATGCCAAGTCAATACGCACTGACCCGTATCCCAGGCCAAATTCAGGCCTCAATACCGCCAGCTCCTTCGACGGGCACCACAGCTGCAGTCGCCAGTACTTCACGGTTGTCAACAACAGCGATATCCGTGGCAGCGCCTGTCTTCAGTTCTGCTTTGACCAATGACTCTTCCACTTATACAACCTCTGCGTCACCAGTGACCTCAGTCCCTGCCCCAAGCGCCAGGTCTTCCTCTTCCGTGCAGTCTTCTCACAACTCTATATCAATCTCAGCAGCTACCTCGAACAGCGTAGGGGCAGTGGCAGTCGCAGTCAGCAGCGCCAGCCCTTCGCCGATCGCTCCAAGCTCCACGACCTTCGCCGTTATCGTCTCGCGGCCCGCGAACGGTACATACATCGTCAGCACAAGCCAGACGGTCCCTAACTCTTCCAAGAGCGTTGCGACAAGCAGCGTTGCTCCGTCCACCGCTGCCAGTTCGCCAGTCATTCCTGCGGTGAGCGCCTCCGTGGCACCAATAATTAGCTCACCCACGGTTACAACCTCTGCGCGACCGACAAACGCTGCCGGTACTTTTGGCGTGCAGACTGGTGTCACTCTTGCTGTCTTAGTCCTTGCGCTGCTGGCTTAAGCTGGCGATCTGCTATAACATCAAACGGTTTGGTACTACAACGTGTTCGCGCGTCGGTGGTCAAGAGCTATGCGCAGAATAAAAGACAGACTTGAGTATATGTGATCACATAACGGAGCGCTCATATATCACGACGTGCATATATCATGTCTTACAGGTGCGCCACGTGGCGCCCTCCCGTACCATGCCGAGCCTGTATGCCTCTCTTACCTTGTGAATGCACCAATACCTTCTGCTCCCGTGCTCGACGCGTGTTACGCCATCGGAATCCCACCACACATTTGGAATGCCGCTAGGGTTGGTAACACACTTTTGCTGCCCTGCAGAGCACAACGTTCGATTGCAACTGCCATTGGAAATGAGTGACTCCTCTAGAACTGTACGTGTGCCGATGGCTCTGCGACCCCGACCATAGCTGGGAGTACTTAAAGTAGGGATCCCGCGAATGCATTTACAGGCTCCGAACGAATAGATCGGCAGGCACCCATCTAAAGACCGCAATCATGCCAAGCACGGTGCATAGTAACAACTTCCAAGAGAAGTCGCAACACAACATGAAGTCGACAGCTCTAGGAGGGTGGGCCCACCACATCAATGTCTGATGAACATGCCATTGCACCGTTGGTGTTGTCACTTCAACACGTCGAGCCACGCAAACCAAGGCTTCACAGTGGCGGCAGCTTGTGTACAGCCGGGAAAGGTCAGTCTCTATCAATGGGAGAGTAGATAGGTGCTAAGAAGCTGGTTTTGAGAAACGTGGCGATGGCGCCTATGTGAAGCTTTGCTAGGCGGTAACGGTTAAATGCTTAACTAAAGTGGCTGAGAGATGGCTTTCCGGGCCGGCATTGCCATCCACAATACTAAATAGCTTATGAGGCGTCTTCGAGCCTTCCACTTTCGAACAGTTGAGGTTGTCCATGACTGATGAGATCTCACTCAATATCAGCCTTACCACGGCGAATTGCTGTTATCTCGCTATTTGCCTAGCAATCGCGAAGCTCGGCTGCAAAGCCTCGTCATCAAGCGAAAGATGGTTGGGTGAGAGCATCGTCGCGCCTCCACTCTTGCCGGATATCGGGTTCGTTTCGCAAGGATATGAGCGGAACGCAGGCCGTAAGCCGAGTTAGACGAAGCACGTGTGATCAAAGACTACCCTTCCCTACGTGCTATCGGGACCCATTTCGCCATCAAGCAGCTCATCAAACCCGCAAAAAAGTGTTGCTTCTGGGCAGTACACGGAGAACCAGCGAAGTCCAGTATGTGATACTAGCGACATCTGCGATACCTCATGCTCCACACATTCAATGTTGAAGCTCTGCCGTTGTGGCTTGCAGAAGCTTGGCTTCAGCGTCATACCAAGAGACAGCGGCATTCGAGTGAGTTATATGCGGTGCCTAAATTAAATCCTACAACAATGTGAATCGATGAAGGCGCCGGGTGGCCTCAATCGCAGGAGCTACTCAGTATCAGATGCAAACGCATCCTTAAGAAATCAAGCACGTTCTCGCACCCGCAACTGTTTCGTTTGATTGAAGCGTAGCTCAAGTGACGCAGCTCTCCATTGCACAAGCCGTGCAACCTCCACTCTGTTCCTCTTTGCCACTGGCTTACTCCGGCGAATTCCTTCTGGGAGTGGTCAGCGCATATGTATACCTTAGGTCAGAGACCCATCACGATGGTCCGCGAGTAAGCTGTAGTGGACAAGCTTCGCCTATCAAAGCCAAGCCATTCAGCCACGAGGACTGCCGGAACGGCAAGCTCGGGATGACTCTCGCGTGCATTTGGGCGATCGATTCGTTGCATTGCTCTGTCGCGGCCACTCAAACTTGAATCCCACGCAACGTGCTCTTCACGTACGGCACAATTGCTCTGATCGGCTGCCATAAATTTTCTTAGCGGCACCATCGATGTGCTTAGGTCCATTGTAGCAGCATGGCGAACGCCATCAGGTCCAAGTATGTCTTTAAGGCTTGTGCTCTCGTCTTTGACTTTCTGTCGAACGTTAATCGTCACCTTTGAGACGAACACCTCACATTTACTCTCGCAGTATGGCTGACCAGTCGATGCGAGACTACGGTCTTGCGGCGCCTCATGGCCCCAACATGAACGGCCAGCATGTCGCGACTGACAATATTGCCAACCACATGGGCGGCGACATGAGCGCCAACGAGAGCTCGGTCTTCCGCACTCTCCTCCTCCCAGACGACAATTACGATGAGAACGGCGTCTACTGGGCTGATATGCCCATCATGAAGCGTATTGGTTTCGTCAACAAGATCAACAATGCAGAGGCTGCGAAGGAGCTTCGCACAATTGGCCGCATGATTGCGTCTGATCCTCTCAGCCCGGTGAGCTTTTACATTCGCAACATGGTCATTCCAGGTGCTGGTTTGCTTCTCGAAGGGTGAGCTTGTCCACTCAATCATGAGGTTGTTTGTGCCTGACAGCGCTCAGTTACGTGCTCTTCTCTATCGGCAACGTCAAGCCACTCCTTCAGGCATCTTTCCCTGGCTGCTGGACTCACTACACAGTTTGCAACAAGACTTGGACTCAGGCCATCGATTACCTTGAAATCTGCGGTATCATTGTCGGTCAGATTCTGGTTGGTATCATCGGTGACTGGCTTGGTCGCCGCTGGGGTCTGATCCAGGATGCCGCTATCATGTTCATCGGTCTTGTTATGCTTACAGCTGCGTGGGGAACTACGCTCAATGGCTGGGTCATCTGCTATGTCTGGTCGCTATTCTTCTACGGTATCGGTGTCGGTGGTGAATACCCGATGACGGCCACTGCTGGTATGGAGAACGCTGTTGGCTCAGGCAAGATCTCCACCCGCGATGACCGTCTGCACCGTGGCCGCAAGGTCACCTCCGCCTTCTTGATGCAGGGCTGGGGCCAGTTCCTCAACCAAGCCATCCTGATTCTCCTGCTTCTCATCTTCCACCGTGGCAATGGCCGACCGCCATACGGCCGCGTCGTTACTCAGTGGACATACCGTGTGTCCTTCGCCATTCCGGCAGTTGGCACCTTGTGGCTCGTTTACTATCGTATCTATAAGATGCGGTCGGCATCCAAGCAACTCCAGCTTGCGAAGAAGAAGCAGCATGTCACAGGCTACGACGTACAGTCTCTGAAGATGACGTTCAGCTACTTCGGTGGCCGCCTTATTGCTACTGCCGGTGGCTGGTACGCAAACGACGTCTTCTTTTACGGCAACAAGCTGTTCCAGGGTGAATTCATCGCCGCTCTCAACCCAGGCACAAAGTCCGTCATGGTCAACTGGCTCTGGAACCTGGTAAACGTTGGCGTTGAACTCGTCGGCTACTACCTGGCATCATTCCTTATTGACAACAAGCTGTACGGCCGCAAGTGGATGCAGATCATTGGCTTTATCGGCTGCTTCATCTGCTTCGTCATCCCTCGTTTTGGTGGTTTCGAATACTTCTCAGAAGGTGCCGGCATTCACCGTTTCATGGCTATGTACTTCCTGTCCTCGTTCTTCAACCAGTTTGGCCCGAATTCTGTCTCCTTCCTTGTCGCCGCGGAGGTTTTCCCCACGCCAGTCCGTGCAACGGCTCACGGCTTCTCTGCTGCGTGCGGTAAACTCGGTGCTCTGACGGCGGCCGTTCTGTACAACTACATCGGCACTGAGGAGCGTTTCCTGGTCGTACCTTGGTTCGGTCTTGGCGGCGCTATCCTCACTTACCTTTTCCTACCGGATACCACCGGCCTTGATCTCAAGGAACAGGAACGTCGCTGGGCATTTATCAAAGCGGGCCGCGAGCACGACTACCACGGCATTGCCATTCACCCAAAGCATCTGTCCCTCTGGGAGCGCCTCCGTGGTGTCGGCAAGCACTACAACGCCGAAGAGGACTACAAGCAGCGCGTTGAGGAGATGCGTGCCGATTGGGAGTCCGCTATGGCCCGGCGCGCAATGGAGAAGGATGCCAACGAGCCGGAGGAGGACGACGACTGGAGCTCGGAGGTTAGCACTTTCTTCGAACGTACCCGTGGTCAGAAGGCTGGCCTCAATGGCTTCAACGGCGAGAAGCTACGCGAGGATATGTAAAAGCTGTTCGTTACATTGAGGTATCGTGCGGAATAACCGAAACGTGTTCGCCGTGATATTGCGCACTGAGCTTGTATAACAGAAGCTTTACGAGGGTACGGCAGCGTCTTTTGCTTGCTGTATCTAACAGGATGTTGAATAGATTGTGTAATGATGGATAGCGAAAGGATCACATCTTACTTTCCACTTCTTACAGTTCATGCTAGACTGTTGATTGTACTGCCGCGTTAAGGCCCACATCGTGTTTTAATGACATAGGTTACTTGACGCTACAATGCTTTGCAAAAACACCGCCTATCTGTGGGGTCTTTCACAACCCGCAAAGTTACGACGAGTATTACATCGCGCAGTAATATTATCCGATTTATGTAATAGACTTTAACCTAATCAGATTGTTGTAACGTTCAGAATGTTCTTCGAGTAAATAGTAGCTACATTCGACGTATGCTACCTTTGATAGTCGCCGAGCAAAAGTTAAGTAACCCGAATCCTAACCCTATCATCACGTGATCAATATATACCTAGCCTTTACGCACTATATGCAGGTTAAAACAATCCAGCTGTAGTATAGGTTGGGCAAACGAGTATTAAATTTAGTCTATTACTATAAACCGATGTTTAAGCTAATATCTTGCGAATCGTCGGACTACCCAGCCTTTTCGCGGATTGTGAGAGGCCCCACAGATGGGCGGTTTTTCTGCAAAGCATTGTAAAGGCGGAGCGTTTTAGCCTCGCAACAGCGTTGAACCAAACAAGACCTGTGTGAGTTGAAATGGACAGCGCAATAGCTCCTCATCGAACTGTCTTACGAGTATCTTGCAGCCTCCGCACACATCAACTAACCAGTAGCCTGATATGGTGAGGGTGCGAACTCCTACGGCGATATGATCAGCGTCAATAAACGCCGAGCCATGAAGTCCTAGACAGAGCGCTCTAGCCTGCTGGGATAGCACGAAACGCCGTGTAGTACCTTTACGAGGCGGTCGCTCGCTGCCATACGCCTTCGCCATGCAGCATGGAGCTCATACACAACATGTCGTGTTCGAAAGACTTCCAAGGTCCGTAGGCGCAGGCGCCGAAGACAAGAACTCCACCAGTCTCGGCATGATCACGCCCGTCATTCAGGGTCACAGTTTCCCTCGGTGCAAGTCATTGCGGACAGACCTAGAGGTTGCGTAGCGGAACTTCGAATCTCCCAGGTGTGGAAACGCCCCCGATTAGATCGAGGAGGAGGAGCGCCAGATCAAGGCTCCAGGGGTGGACTCTCGGTCTGCCTACAATAAACAACGTTACCGAGCCACGGGTCGTCCGGAAGCAATATATGCAGGCACTAACAACGAAGAGAGTACACGCAATGACGGCCAGCATTGTGCACGAATGAACGTAAGTCTCGAATCGGAAAGCTTCGAGAGAAAAAGCGCTGACGGTAGAAAGAGCGGTGCGATCCAGGCCGATGTCTCGAGGGCCACTAACGCATGTAGTGGCAAAATGCAGCGAGCGGAGGACGCAGGCCCCGCGACGAGAACGAGACAGAAGCGCAGAAGTTTCGCTACGTTTCTCGAGACGAATCAGCCATGGGAGCACGCGCAGAATCTCTGGGCCCGTGCGCTCCACCAATAACTAAGCGAAGAGGGTCTGGAGGCTGCAAGAGCGGCATATCGGAACGATAATGAGGAGGATGAGGATAGTGAAGGCCGAGTCCGGCGAACGACATCAGTGATGTAGCAAACCACCTCCTCTGCCCTTCTCCCATCCATGGATACTTTCCTCAATGTTCTTCCAATACCGTAAGCGTATTGCTTCTTGCGCTGCGTTGTCCAGATCTCCACTGCCAAACAGGTTGTCAAGTCTCTCGACGCTTTCGGCAATCCTGACATCGTTCTCTTGCCGCAAGCTTACAAGCTCCTCTTCGCTCTCCACCTCATCGACTGCTTCTCGCGCCTCCATGACCTCCATCAGCAACGCATTCTCCGACAACTTTGCCGACTCGTCCTCTACGTCTATACCTTGAAGGGCCAGTAGGTACTGTGCGCGCTTCAATGGGTCCTGCAATGTTTTGTATGCCTCGTTGATCCGGCTGCTTAGTGCTTCAGCTTGCCGCTTTTGTTCTGCTGGTGCCAGGTCCGGGTGCGCCTTGCTTTGTAATTGTAAAAATTCCTTCCGAAGCTGCTTCAGATCAGGCGTAAATGGTGTCCTGGGTGGCGGGCCGGACGGAAACGTCTGCGGGAAGAAGTCGTAGTGGGTTTGTGGTGTTACAGTCTCCCGCTGGGGATGCTGTGGATTCGTGTCTTCCCCTCTATGTATACTTGACGCAAATGAGCGTCTCAGCTTTATTGGATCGGGTGCCCTTCGGCGTCCAGCTGCTGCTTGTCGACAGGCGGCGCATACAAAAGGAATACTTTGGGGGACGTTGAGCGTAAGAAGCCTTGTAGGGTGCAGCACGCTTGGGACGCTCTGTACGATTCCTCGCTTCATTGCAGATAGAGCAACTCAAGTTGCATGTATCTGTATGCAAGACACGATGCGATTTGGGTTACGAGTGGTCTCTGAGTGAACTTCACGTTGCACGCTTGGCGGTGACGTCAAAACGTAGCCCCCACGTGAGCTGCACCCATGTATGGATTTTACTGCTAAAAGCTTACGCATCTATGTCTTGAATCTATACCTCAGCCAAAGGCTTCCACGATTAGTGAAGACGTCGCATCACTGCGACAGACCGATCTGCAACTCCTCGGTTGTCAGGAGCTTCTCCGGCCCAAATGACATGGGCAGTAACTGCTCGAGAGTCAAGACCACCAATTTGCCGTCTTTGTCGTACATCAGCACAGGCATGCTGAGCTGTAGCTGCCTGATCAGCACTGTATGTGATTGCTGGGGAAGGGGAGTATACTTCGCAGAACTCCCGCATGAATTGCCTACACATTCCGCAAGGGCTCGCTGGGGGCGAGATGTCGGTCGCAACGGCCACTGCACGGATGTCGCCCTTCTTTGCTCCCTGCATGGCGTCAGAAGAAGCTTCTTGTGGCCTATCGATGTGGGATACTGACACTGACGACAGCCGTTGCGATGGTCACTCGTTCCGCGCAGGTGCCGACCGGGTAGGCAGCATTCTCCACGTTAGCGCCTTGCACAATACTGCCATTGTTGAGCAGTACTGAGCAGCCGACTCGAAAGTGGGAGTACGGGCCTTTGAATGGTGTTAGTGAGAGTGTTCCACATCGGGCTACCAATGGGGACGTGCAGTACGCTTTTCTCTTTGCTTCAATGCAGGCTTCGGACAGGCTCTGCACCTCACTCGAGGTCAAGGAGTGTATCAATGCCGTATCATGTCGAGCATGCCCTTTGCCGGACGCTGACATGTTGAAAAGGGAAGTGTATGCTATGGAGTTCAACGTTAGATGCTAGCGCATTGTCTGCCGTGCGTACAGTGCAGCATGTCTGTGTATAACCCCACACACTCCCCATATGGCATCCACGTCAAGCACCTCCCAGCAACACTCATCGAACTCAAGCGCAGTCAACGGAACTCACAGAATGGGCAGTCATGTGACGGTTGAACTTGCAGCGGATGCAGCTGGGGTGCGTCGTCATGTTGTATGCTGACAGCGCTGTCCACAATGGGAGATCAGAGCTCCTATCGGCCCCTACCTGCCCGCGCCGGCACTGGGCTCGCTAATAACAAGCCGACTCGCTCCAACACCGATCCGTCTGAGGCAGCACAGCGTCCAAAGAGAGGTCATACGCATAGTCGCTTGCACGCGAATACAGTAACCACGCGAACATCGCATAACAACCACCTTCACCAAAACCGCAACCGAGCCAGGGATACCGTGCAGTCTGCCATTGAGCTCAAGCCGCCAGTCAGCTTCGACCACTTCCTACGTCGAGAAAGGAAGAGCCCAGCCTCGAGTCGACGAGGTAGCGCAACTCAGCTGCAGCGCGATGAGGACGAACGAAAGGCTCAGGAGCAGGCTCAGGCGGAGAGGGAGGTAAGGCGCAAGGTGACGGCTACGGAAGTCGCCCAGGCAAAGGCAGACAATGTCAGGCGGGAGGATGAGCTGCGCCAGACTCTGAAGCATGTGGAGGAGTTGGGTATGCGAAGCACACGGCAACTCGATGACACATACTATGCAATCTTGGAGAAGGCGTCTTTACTGCGGTCGACGGTTGCTGGACTCCAACAGCTCGCCGAGGAGAGCAAGCGCATGCAGAAACATTTCGAGGAGGAAACTCGGGACTTGATTGCTACGACGCATGGTAGCATCGAGGCATTCGGTGACTTCCAGGATCAGCAGCGTAGCATTGACTTATTTGTGAAGAAGCTGAATGAGTGTAAGCGAGAGACTGTTCAACTGGACGAGCGTCTCGAGCAGGCGAGACAGAGGACCGAGGCCTTCGACCAGCGGAGAAAGGAGAAGCTGGCGACGCGTAGGAAGCAGTGGACTGCTACATGGGGCGCGTTCGTCGGCGTGCTGGTGCTCGTCATTGCGATTGTGTTGCTCCGGAATCACCGACAAGTCGCAGAGAGCTGGGACGGAGCGGGACAAGCACTGTCAAAAGTAGAAGGCATGGCGGAAGACATGCTGTCCTATTTGCCGTCCAGATTGCGACCGGCGCCCAGTCTAGGCGAAGACCCTTACTTGCGAAAGCTCTTCGACGACCTTTAGTACGCGGACTGCAGCAGTACATCAACCCGAAGTCTCGTACGAAGATAATCCTTAGCAGGCCAGAGCGAAATACACAGGCAAGCCGTCCACGTGACCACTTCGACAGAATCCGCAACCTCTGCGCCGTCGACGTAGCAGGCAAATATGCACCATCCACCCACTTTGGCGGCCATGTCTCCGAGATGATTCTCGTTGCTGCTCATTGATTCCTCGGCCACAAACTACAGATGTGAAGTGCTACCGGTGGTGTGGGAACGTCTAGCAATGCTGCATATTCCTGAGCGTGTGGCTGCCTGTTCGATCAGACTCGCCTGAATGTCTGGAATATGCGACCGTCGAACATACCCACAGTATGCAAGAGCAAAGGTACTCAGCAGGGTAACCGTGAAAATTCTGCCGTTTCAGGGCGTTGCCAGAGATGCGTCGTTCCAGACTGCCCGGGATCTGGGATCTGGGATCTGCTAGCTTCAGAAGCATGGGGCTAGGACAACGAGACAAGTGTCGATTCTCATGGTTCTAGGCCGTTGGCATGCGGCTGATTTTGAACAAGCCGCACCAGGTTACGAAGCAATATGATCGTTGTAACCTTGCCGATCGACGGAACATATATCGACGCGCGCTCTTTGACATCAGGATTGAAGTTCTGCTTAGGTTAGAAGCAGGCTGAACCTCAGCGACTTGGGAAGACTTACCTTCTCGGTCGAGAAATTGATACACACCGATCCTTCTTTGATTAGGTGAGTGGGCACTTTGTACGTTTCACCCGGAACGCCGCTGACGACGACATCGCTTACAGGCAGGCACTGCTCCAGACCCCACCCATCCATCTCACGCACCTCGTGTTTCTGCCGCTTGAGCCCGCTGCCTCTGCTAAACAGCTGCACGCCAGTAACGTCGACGCTATACACCTCTGCGCCGTCATTGGCCAGCAACGCGGCCAGTGGTCTCCCGACGACTTCACTACGATTGATGACTGTGATACGGCGGCCGAAAAGGCGCTTGCCGTAGTCCAGAAAGGTGTTGTATATCTGCAGGTATTCGAGAATCTTCACGATTGCGAGGGGTGTACATGGCAGAATCGATTTCTGAGTGTTGAAGGGAGGATCCAGAAAGCGGATGTTCTGATACATGTTGCTGATGAGTTGTGGCGACAAGCCTTCGACGTCCTTGAACATGCTCACGGTCCATTGGAGCGTTAGGTCTCGTTTGGAGTCGAAAACCGGATAGTAGACAATCATGCCGTCGATACTTTCGTCGGTGTTGGCGTGCCTCAGCACGTCCTCGAGATCTTCGCGATCGACCTCATGCAGATGGAATTCAAAGCCGTTTTCCTTACACGTGCGCGCCGTCCAGTCCGCATATGATCGAGCCGCCGGGTCTGAGTTGGCTAGGTAGGCGTGCAGTTTGGGACTCCTGCCCAGCTGCTGGAGGTTTGCTTTCACTTCTGCGAGCAAGCCTTGAGCGATGGCGCCTCCGAGGACGACTTTACAAGAACCAAGCTTCGGCGCTGGAGCTTGAGAGCCAGTCAAAACTTCGTTAGATGCCATGCCTATCGTTCAGAAGTTGTAATGAGGAAGTACTCTTGTCTTGCACAGAAAACATTGAGTCTTCAAAAAGTTGGCGCTATCGTGGGTTGTGCAGCGGGCAATCCCGGAGCTTGTAGACGCCACATCAATTACCAAGAAGGTTTATGTAGATGAGGCACGAAATATATATGCGCCACCGTGATCGTTATCGATATTGGGAAACACAGTAAGCAGTTAGCCCAGAACAACCTACGCCGATAAGTTGCATCCAACAAAGTTGTGAAAGAGGACGGCCAAGACCACGACTAGAACGCCACATTTACACAAAACTCACCTTGTTTGGTCCAGGAGTTGCTCGTCTTCGCTATCTGATTTGACGCACTCTCCAATCAGTTCGAAAGGCTTGAAGGCTTGCGAGGGCCATGTCCGATGTGCAACTCTATCTTCTCGAAGTCGACAAGCATAAGGCTGAAGCTTCAAAGATCGCATCTCAGAGCGCGAGTCGGTTGGAGACGAAGCAGCTCAAGCTTATCGATTTAGTGACAAGTCTCGAACCTTACATCAACAACCGAGACGATGCGAGCCTCCGCGCAAAATCTGTGGCCTATCTGGCCGAAGTGTTGTCACATATTGCACACAAAGTGCTTTCGCTTCAGGAGAGAAGACTGCTTGTTGACTTCATCCTTGGCCGTTTAGAGGGCGATCACGAGGGTCTGGGTGCTTCAGCACGGGCTCTCATCTCTCTGGAGGCTCTAGGCAACTGGGATACCGACACGGCGCAGAAAGTAATGCGGACTTTCATTGACTACACGAGCCCGTTGAGGCAGTTCAAGTTACAAACGGAACGGTATGCCGTCGCTCAGCTCATCGATCTGCTTCTGGCAAAGTATCGAACGGTAATCCGTCAACTACACGATGATGACCATGAGTTCTTGCCAGCGTTCATCTCATACTTCGAAGGCGAGAAGGACCCGCGCAACCTTATGATCATCTTCTCCATGCTGCAAGTGCCAATGGCTGAATGGGATGTCCGTGCGCATGCACAGGACTTGTTCGAATCAGTTTTTAACTACTTCCCTATTACCTTCAAACCTCCGCCCGATGATCCGTACGGCATTAGCGCACAAGATCTCAAGGATAGACTGCGAGATTGTATAGCAGCAAACTCCGACTTTGCGCCGTATGCCTTCCCGCAACTACTTGACAAGCTTGACTCGACATCAATCAACACCAAGAGAGACGTTCTGCAAGCGATTCAGGAATGTGTTGTCGGCTATGAAGTACAAACGATCAACCTTTATTCAGTAACGTTGTGGGATGCTCTCAAATTCGAGATCTTGAATGTCCAGGAGGAAGACCTGGCACAGGAAGCATTACGCGCGTTGTCGCTTATTGCAGCCAAGTTTGCCCAGACGTCGGAAGGACCACTTAACGCCTTTCTTAGGCCCATCATTAAGGAATGTAATGAGCACCTGGAAGATGCTCCGACGAAGCAGTCGGAAGCAGCCAGCAGAATCTTGCACGCAATCTCCATTACTGCTCCGATCATTGCCGACACTGTCATACAAGGAGCCTTCCCATTATTGTTCAAAATGTATCATGGCACCGAATCGATTACAAAGCGAAGAGGCTTACTGGAGGCGGCCAACCAGGTGATCGGAGCATATAGCAAGCTCGATAAAGTCGAATTTGGTATGAATGTCGAAGCCTTGGCAGCATTCTCGGAGACCGCCGTGGCCGCCATGGTACGGGCACTGGTGGCCGCTCCAAAGCACGAAGTCTCCTTCCGACTCAGTGCGTTGACTGGTCTGGCGCAACTCATCTCCGTACAGAAAGCGCTACCTTCGAGTCAGATCGAGCTGGCAGTCACGACCGTCACGGATATAATCATACATGAGCACATCGAGGGCCATGGCAACATTCGTCCGCAAGCTATCAAGACCTTGGTGGATATGGCGCACGCTGTTCCTCAAGTTTTACAAGAGAGAGCGATACCCGCATTTATGGTTGAGTTACCGGACGTACCGGATGATCTGAGTCGCTCCGAGCATGTTCTCGAGGCATTCGCTCAACTTGCCACTGAGAAACAGCTCTTCCATACGACCATCTTGCGCCTTAAAGGTAAGCTAGAAGCGGCTCGTCGGCAGGATGCTCCGGCCACATATCAGCGCAGCTTGTTGCTGGCCTTGCTGTACGGCTTCACGTTCGGCGAGCCGATACCGGCGCGAGCGGACTGCTACCGACCGTACGCTATACCGTTGGTGGATGAGTTTGTCCGATGCCACCTGGCTAGGCGAGATCCGGCAATGTGCGAGATCGTTGGACGAATATGCAATTCGATACTGCGCCCACAAGGTGTACACTTCCAGAGCGGCGTCTACCACAAAGACCTGTCATGGATGTCGCAGGAGACTGCAACCCAAACATCCGTTGAGAACCTTCGTTCGATCACACCTTATCTGCTGTTCTACTACGCGGCGCTCAGAGTGGAGGTGGTTGAGGCTGAAGATATCGTCGCACTGCTGCAGAAGACATCGGCGGCAGCGCTTGATGCTGGAGTCGGTACGAATGGTCACGGCATGACGCTGCGCCTGCTGTCCTTACTGGTCAATAAGTTCGTCAATCCGAAGACGATGCAGGTCACGCTCGAGGCCGCTAAGCTTGACGTTGATGCTCTGCTAACGAAAGATTGCTCGGTTAACGCTATTGGAGTTGGCTGCGCGATCGTGAAGGGACTGCTACTACAAGGCAAGAGTGCCGCGCTGACCACGAAATACCTACAAGCCTTACTCGATCAGCTCACCGCTGGAAACCGAGAAGTCGCCATGCGCTTTACCACCCTGCTCGCACCGGATGACGTGCTAACCAAGGAGAACCATTGCCTGATCTCTAACCTGTACAAGCAGAAAGTCTTCACTCAAGCGGTGCCCTTCATTACGAACTCGGTGCGCAACCCCGACGCCCAGAAGAAGTCCAACTATCTAGTCGCTCTGTCCGGGATCCTGCGGTGGCTGCCGTACTCCATCATGGAACCGTCTCTGCCCATCCTCCTTCCACCGTTACTACAGACACTCGACCTCGACACGAGTGCCGATCAAGAAGTCAAGGCTTCTGGGCTCACGATCTTTGAGTCCATGCTTATGCATGACCCAAGTGTTGTGGCAGAGCACACCGCTTCGCTTGTCACACGCCTGCTTAACTGTACAACTGCGGAAGCGGGCAATCATGCGAACGTGCGTGCGAAAGCATTGCAGTGTCTCGCCCTCATTCCGCGGCAGCTGAAGAGGGAGGCTGTGGTGCCGTATAGGCGACAAGTGGTGAAGCGGCTGCTTGCTTGTCTAGACGATGCGAAGAGAATTGTAAGGGCAGAGGCGGTGAAGTGTCGGACTGCGTGGCTTGCGCTTGACGAGGGCACTGATGACGCAGATTAAAATCACATAGTACGCAAGTCTCTTGTGCGAATCAGTGCTCAACCTTTTGTACAATGCTTTTAGTTTCGTGAGATGCCTTTTCGGCTCTAACTAGCTTCTGCCGTACACCAGCTGTCGCACGCACGTCAGATGGCATCGCATATGGCACGGCGGTGCCATATGCCTACTCGTCGAGCGTGACATAGTTGGCTGGGAAAAGCCCGGTCTTGCCCCCGTAGTGCCCGAACCACCAATCGTCGTCCGGAAACTCCTGTCCGTCGTTAGTATGCACTGTTCACAGGACAGGGTAGAATAGGGGTCCGCTTACAATGTTCGTAATCTTTGCTCCGTCGGGGAAGCTGAGCTCATTTTCTTCGGCTGCTTCATAGTCATACTGTGCGGTAGCAGTCTTGGCTCCAGCGTCCCCGGTTGAAGGTGCCGCAGGAGCAGCTGGCGCAGGTTCGGATTCGGCTGGAGCAGGCGGTGGAGCATGTCCTCCTGAGCCGCCACCGCCTTGAACAAGCTGAACATAGTTGCTAGGGAAGAGCCCGCGCTCGCCACGGCTATTGGTACCCATCCACCAATCCTCGTCTACCATGTCGATGTTAGTGATACGCTCATCCTCTCTCATCTCGAGCTCGTTCTCCTCCGCTTTCTCATAGTCATACTGTGCGATAGCTTCCTTGCCGCCCTCCATCGTGGCACGCACGTCTTCGGCCTGTTGACCGAACGTACTGCTCGCCGCTGCCTGTCCGGCGGCACGTGCAGGATCGTCTTCTTCGACCTGCGGCTCCGGTTCAGGCTCTTTGCGGGCCGCGACTGCCTCGGCAAGGGAGTCGGTAGGCATTGCACGAGGTGGCAGCGGTTCAGACTTTTCGAGCTCCGGCTGTGCGGAACGTGCCACAGGCATAGCGATACGGACCGGAGATGATTGCGGCATGGGTTCTTCGTCCTCATCATCTTCCTCGTCTGCAGGCATGGGCCGCGGTGGCGGAGGTGGTAGATCCTGATGCTCTTCGGCTGGACGGCCGGCTTGTTCGGGACGTTGTGGCAAGCCTGGGATAGGCACGCCACGAGCGCCGGCGTTTGGTTTGCTTGTTGTGTCAAGAGGCGGAGGCTCCGGTGCGCCGCCAGTGTGCTCACGTGCGGCACCCATGGGTGCAGTATCCTTGAAGCGGTCTCTTATCGAACTAATACCACCACTCGTCGGCTCCTCGGACTCCTCTTCCCGGACCGGCTCCTCGCCCGTAGGTTGCGCACTGACGCCGCTTCCACCGGTTCGACTCGGAGCTTGCACGTCCCACTTCTTACCTCCATAGCTGCTCTGATAGCCACCGCTCGTCTGGCTGGCAATAGGGGATGCCGCAGGCTGATTGTCCGCAGCCCCACTAAGGCCTCGCGCCCGCCGTCTCTCCTCCCACTCCTGAGCTGGCGTCTTCTTGGCCGACTCCGCAAAGGACCGTCCCGCTGCACCGACTTGTGGCTGCACCGGCTTCGCGTCAAAGCCACTCGGTGCTGGTGCCTTCGTGCCCGCAAAGTTCCCCGCTGAGGAGCCAAAGCGGTTGGCTACTTGCGGTTTGGGTAGCGTGGAGAGGCGCTCGCCCGACTGCTGGAAAGCGGCAGACCGATCAGCAAGCGACTTGGGCCTATCATCTTCAGTCGCAGCTGGCTGCGAAGGGGGGGGAGCTTGGGTCGGAGGAGGTGCGCCTTGCGCTTTTCGTCTTATCTCCGCAATGTCCACCTTGCCTATCGGCTCGTATGCGCCTTTCACAGTCGTCGGCCGCTCATCTTTCGCAGTGCCACGTTCTTGAGCTTGCCGTCTGATTGCTGCAATGTCCACCTTGCCAATGGGTTGATAGTCGCTCCGCACCACATCCGAGTTGCCGTTCTCTGCCCGCTGCGGCGCCTGATACCGTGATGGCTCTTGCTGTGATTGTAGTGATGCCATGTCAACCTTGGTGGGCTTGTATGCAGACTCAACCTTCTCGAGCTGTGACCGCGTGACAGGCGGTGCATCCTGACCCCAGCCGTCATTGTCGATGGGTCCGGTTGATGTAGGTGCCTGCCGAGTCCTCTGTCCTAGTGGCTGAAAGCTACCCGTCGCGCCAAAGCTCTTGGTGGGCATCACCGGCTTTGATGCGACTGGTGGAGGCAAGCCACCGCCAGTAGCACTTGCAGGCGCTCCTCCTCCACTGTACTTTGAGCCAGACGAGTCGGCCACTTTCTGCACGATGAGATCAGGACTTAGATCGCGCTCGGAGCGTGCTGTAATCTGCACGTGGTAGCCATGTAGCATCTTGGTCACGGCATTCTGATGGCTCGTGAAGTAGCCCTTGGTCCTCTCTGGCACACCCTCTCCGCACCATCCGATGAGCACGTTCTTCGGCAGCGTTGTATTCGGATCCCGAACCTTGAGAAACGCAAACTGTACCCGACCATCGGAGAACTCGTCAATCAAGTCCTGAAGCTCACCCTCGCCAGTGCTCTGCACCTTCAGTACGCTCGTCTGACCTGCTGCCGCACCGTAGCCTTGGAAGCCCAACGGCGCCTGCACCTGAAAGACGGCCCATATGCCCTGGCCGGCGGATGGTAGTTCCGAGTGAACGACTTTGTTGTAACTGCTGTTTATGGACACGCCATTCTGTGAAGTGTCCAGCGTCGCCATGATTGGGGGCTTCCAGCGCTACAGATTCATACGACTTCAACCGTGCTGCTTTTCATTCGACGAGTCACGAGACTCGCCACCTCCGTGCACTGTCTCTTGCAAAGCAATGCGGTAGCAAAGCTGGGCAAGCTGTTTCCTGCAGCTCCGTTCTCGCCTGAGTGAACCGGCTGACGTCGAGTGGAAGCGAGTGGCCCTATTGCGGCCTAGCTTCAGCGGTCCCGCCCGCGAGACACACTCCGCTCCTGGCTCCTTTGCTGTAAGCTCGCCTCGTAATTTCCTCGCTGCTGACTCGCTCTTTGGCCTTTCGCTTCCCATTACCATCATCTAACGCGGTCTTTCCATCAACCGCCTCATCGCGAGCAACGGTATTGTGCACGGCTGCTTAAGTACTTCCTCACTGCTTTTACTCTTCCTCCAGCATCTGTCTCCCGCTCTTTCACGCGCGTTGCTAATCCCGCAGGTGCTTGCGCGGCGTCGCGAGACGCGCCATGTGCCACTGAGTCCCGGCCAGCATGGATTCGAAGGAGGTACACGTGACTGGACTCGGCCATAGCATGGAGGACATCCACAGTACTCCTACCAGCGACGACCCGGATTTCTACGACGATGAGGATGCGCCGGCCCATCACGAGAGCGCGGTAGTGCCGCTTAGCGAGGAGGAGTCCGTGATGGCCCGTCCCCAGGAACCGTCTACCGGGTCGCTGCTTGCTACTGCCATTGTGTCTGATGTGCCGCAACCTGAAATGGTTGCACATGTAGCGGGCGTCAATGGCACCGCTGACATGGATGGTGCAGATTCCTCCTCGGAGATGGATGTGTCAGCTCCGAGCACAGCTCCCAGCAGAGCTCCCTCGCTGAGCGCAGACGTCCAAGAGCCATCGACCAACCGTACCAAGCGTAAACTGAGTGCCGTCGGTGGCGATCAAAACATGCCGGGGGCAGGATTCGAAACTAGCGCCAAAAAGGTCAAGGTGTTTGAGTCTTTGGATATCCCGGCTGTGCCATCTCCGCCTGCCCGGCGGTGGCCTCCAGAGATGTGGCAACAGGTCTTCCTTCGGTTATCTCCTGCGGAGCTGGGGCGTTGCTTAAGGGTCTCCAAGGAGTTCAACCGGATACTAACCCAGATAAAGCCGCAACCTGCAGCCAGGAAGGGTATGAAGAAGCTCCTTGCCAATGACAGTGAAACCATCTGGACCGAAGCTCGGAAGAATGCCTATCCTAACATGCCTAGGCCGCTGTTCGGTCAGCCAGAGCTCTGGATGTTTCAACTGCTTGGCAATCGCGTCTGCATGTTTTGCAGGAAGGAACCCGTCCCAGCACCTTCTTCCACACCCTTCAACACTGGACCTGGCATGGATGGAGTGCGTATCATCTGGCCTTTCGGTATCCGCACCTGCGGTCAATGCTGGGAACTGGACACGCTCAAGGTGTGGCTTCGTAGATCGTGTCCGTGCGCAGACCATGGGTTGACACAGTCTAGGATGTTCAAATCCTCGTTTCGCCTGCCGCAAAGCTCCGCTTTGGCCTTGCCTATGCATTCCAAACGCCTGATCTCCATTTCGTGCCGGACCTTCAGCGTCAGCAGCCCGGTGCCATCCCGTCTCACCTTCGTGTCCAAAAAGTATACTACAAACCAGACATTGAAGCCATACAGGCAGAGTATGACGAAGTCAAAGGGTACGGCGAAGGCACGGCAGACGAGTGGCAGAAAGGCCTGGTAACACGCGGTAAGGAGAAGATGGCTGATGCCGCCCGCTGGGAGCGGTGGGAACAGCAACTCCGTTTTGGCACCGACAACGCCCACATCCTGAGGGAGTATGATCTGTCTTCGTTCCCGCGTTATGCTCAGGCGGTGAAGGGTAAGTCTGCCGCAGTAAGCACCACGCAGCCTGCATCTATGACGAACGGTAAGCCCGCGCAATCTCCTTCCTCCGTTCATCTACTTTCTATGCTGGTCTGCAGCTCAAACTCCGTCCTTTATGTATGAGAAATGTGGCGAAGTGCTTTGTACCTTCGATCCATGTCATGTCTCCGAGCGAACCTAATACCTTCAAGTAGGAACCTATGCACTGCCGCAACCCATGCACCAAGTGCTCCCGAACGGCTATGGCCCTCCGTTCCAGACCCATCATCTGCCCTTCATGCACGCCCCGAGACCGCCTAGGAACCCGATGGAAGTCGAGGAAGCCCGCGCTGCCCGGAAAGCCGACATTGAGCGCAGGTGCCTTCAGCTTGCGCCACCCTTGACACCTAGCGTCCTGCAGCATATTGACTCGTTCCAAGCTGCGATGCAAATTACCACGCCGATGAACGACGCCCAATGGGACATGCTCAGACCTAGACTACAGGCACAGCGGGAACCTGCCGAGCTCATCGAGCACCTAAGGGCCGAACAATTAGCCGCTCTGCAGGCTGCAATTCCGTCCGCGAACGCAGATGACAATTACCTCCGGCCGGCGAAGGAAGTATATGATCGCGATTACGAGTTGTGGCAGGACCCGCTGCGCAAGCGGCTTGCCCAATACGCGGATGAGCTCATTAACGGTCAGTGGCACGGTGGTAAAGGTCTCGACCATGACAGCGCTCCAAGCCTTGCCACTCAGGTCATGCTCCATGTCCGCAAACGGTATGTGGAAGAGAAACAAGCGGGCACTCTACCGCCAGTCCCGGAGAAGGAGACCAAGAGCGCTGGCTCTAAGCAGGGGACACCGGCACCGGACCCTTTCCTATCACTCGATAACATGAAGTGGGTTCACGACAACAAGATTAGGCCGTTGACGGATCCGCACCGGCGCGAACTGTTCCTATGCGCGGGATGTACAATGGAGAGGAGGCCAAAATGGTTCGCTTTTGAGGGCCTGATCCAGCATTGTGGCGCGAAGCACACCACTGCCTTCAGCAAGGGCAATATCGTCGTCCATTGGCAGACTTCGGAATGGCCTGAGGAGTCGCCGTTTGTCACCAACCCCGCGCCATACGTCAAGCTGGACCGGAAGATGTCCGACGTCACTGTCAGACGTTTACCTCGAGCGCCACAACAGGATTCTCAAGCCAACGGAGTATCTGTCAATCATGATTCGGGCATCATGCTGTCTGACAACCCTCTTTTCACGCAGTCAGGGCAGATGTACTCGCCCTCATCGAACGGTTACCACGGCGCACCGATGCGCTCGCCGCATCCGCAACAGAACCAAGGGCAGTACGGTTCGCAGAGGAGCAACCCTAACCACTCTCCAGCAGTGCCCCAGCCTACCGCGAGCATGGGCTATGATGCTCAGCTCAACCAGTTCGCCGCGGATGCTCGGAACGCCTGGGATACGCTGGACGGTGTTAAGGATCTTCATGATTGCATTCGGGTTCACAGCATGATCCACCACGCCGTTGTCCGCTTCACGGAGCGTTTTCAGCAGAGACCGAAGGTCGACATGCTGACAGACTCCCTGGCTACGCACACTGCCATGCGTCCGATTAAGAATGCACACGGCTTGGCTTGTAAGATATGCGTCGGTGCGCAAACCGATGGATCAGCCAACAGCCAGTCATATTTCGCTCGGATCAAAAATGTCAAGCTGTATAATCTCTCGGCGTTGGTCACTCATTTCAAAATTATCCACCAACCACGACAGCAGGCCACACATGTCGATTGGACGAGGGATATGGTGGAGCTGCCAGATATGCAGCTCGTGGGTGACTTGGTACGCACGCCAGGCATGGACGATGACAAGCTTGCTATCATCGCGGCAGCGTTCCCTACGGCTTATGCGGACCCGCTCCCGAAGATCGGCCAGGTGAAGGAGGCTCTGCCAGACGTGGGACCTGACAGCGGGCTTGCTAGCAGACTTCTGCAGCGCTTGGAGAAGAAAGGCAAGCAAGGGGCCAAGAAGAAGGCTCAGCATGGTAATGGCACTCCTGGGCGTGAAGGTTCGCAAGACCTGCCGGAACCAGGAGAGGATGAGTATGACCCGCGGAAGCCGATGGTGGCGCAAACCAAGGAGCAGGCTGCCGATCCGGCGCGCTTCGATACGGATATCGCACGAAAGCCGTCTGCGCCGGCAGCGAGTGTCACGAATGGGACGCCGTTCTCGCTTGCACCGGAGACGCTGGCAGCGTTGACTGGCTTGAGCGCAATCTTGCCGCAGACTGCGCAGCCAGCGCCAGCAATGCCGGAGATATCGGAGAGGAGTCCATCTGTGGGAAGAGTAGAACCGACGCAAACACCCGACATCTCTGCTATACTGGCTTCATTGACGGGCGTTCTGACTCCAGCGCGGCCTGCGACGACGTCAACTGCGCCCACGAGGCAAGTGGCAAGCGCGCCAAGAGCACACCACGGTCATCCACAAGCCCAGGCTGAGCAACGAACGCATGTCTATCGACCGGAGAGTAGACGCGCGAGCGGAAGATACGTCCCAGAGACTGCTCCACGTGCGTCCGTCTCTCCACCGCGCTCAGCACATCACGACTTACAGGCTACACTTGCTCGTAACACTAGCCAATATCAGCAGAACCAAAAGCTGCAGGCTTACACCGCAGCTCCGAGTCAGTCGTATCATCAACCTCAGCGATCACCACCTCGCTATCGGGTCATGTATGAAGATGAGCATGCCTATGGGCAGCCACGCCAGCAGCCAAAAGCCCCTGCCTATTGCGAAGCGCCCGTACAGTATGTCCAGCTGCCCGAGCATCAGCCTCCGTCGCAGTATGTACAGTACGGTTACGAGCGCCCGGCACCATCGAAGCCGGTCTATGTGGATCAATACGGGAGGCCGCTCGAGCTGATACCCATCGATGCCGCTCCGGCGCCGGTACAGTACGCGCCTCATCCGTATGACCAGCAGCAACAGCAGGCACAGCAGCAGTACGGTCATCGGCCGGAGCCTGCTAAACTCCCATATGGCCAGCCGCAGAGCGCGGGCATGCAGTATCAGCCTGCTTATCCTGCTGATGGGAGGGCTATGTACTATGGGCAGGCTTCTCCGACGGCTGCTACCCCGGGTGGCCATGCTTTGCGGTATGTATACGATGATGGAGCTCGGTCGTCTGTGCCCAGATCGTAGGGTATGGTTGCGTGGCGTCAACTTGTACGAGTAGTTTCAGGGAGTTCCTGGGCCTTTGATAACATAATAACAAGAAAGGGGGGCTCGAGAAAGCGTCGGCTTTCACCATGCCACTTTTTGAAGGCCGTTATAGCAGCTTCAGAATGTATTGCACAACGCTACAGCTCTGCTTCGACCATATGTCACAATGCGCCTTGTAGTATAGGCCAGCTCAGAACTCTACCACCGACATACACCTGATCTCGTTCCGATCGAGTTTCTCCCTACGGTATGCAATACATTAATGCGGATGTCGGTGATTGGCCGCCAAATACCAGCAGGCTGTGTATACGTACAGTGAGCTCAACCGTCACCAACGGTGTGGTCATTGGCACCCTCCACAAGATCTCGCACACCGCGTTTTGCGCGAGGCTCATAAGCGGACAGTAACCTGGATTGGCTTCATTCCGTAGAGATCACGAAGACACTCGCCACAGTGTGTTATCGTCCGAGCTGGCAAGAGCAGCAGACTAATTGTTCACTTCGTCATATAGCAAGGTTCGACTGGGTAGACGATGTTCCATTCATCACATCTGCGAACTGGGATCCCATCCTGAACTGCTGTCAGAGCTGCACGCGATACGCTACTCTCTCTGGGAATTAGACTCAAAGGCCAGCGTAATGTAGCCTAATGCGTTGGCATTGGTGGCTGCAGCTTACTGGCGAGCCCTGCTTGTCTGCCTTCTCCGGGACAACAGCGGTGTTGGGCTGCCTATACATACCTTTCTAGCCTCACTATTATGACTTGAAACTGTGGCAGGAGCCATCTGCGGCAGTATCGACTTAGCAGGCGATGCTGATGGATCGCAAAAAGCATTCCCGGACGGATGCGAGCGCGGACGAAATCTGGATGCTATTGATCGGTGATCACCTTGTTCTTCCTCTTCACTAAGCATCTGCACGCGAGTCTTCGACTATTTGCGAGGCCGGGGTCATCGGTGCTTCAGTCTGGGACAGGGTGCAGCAAGAGTTTTCCAGTGGAGGTGGAGGTTCAAAATGTATTCGCTGGCAGCGCGCCGTCCCTCCGCCGTTCTACGCCGCAAGCAACGTGCGTTCAGCTGCATCGGCCAATCAGTGGCTGCGGCGTCGATCCGCACTTCGATGGTGTGCAGAGGGTTTGCTGGGGCAACCTTGGTGTTGGTCGGGCCAGTCTGAGTGAGCTTCATGCGTCCGGACCGTGCCTCGAGCCTGTTCGTGCGACATCTTCACGTCTCCTCGTCCTGGACGCCCCGAGAGTCTCGCACCGGTGTCTACATGTACGTCGCCTTTGAGCTGGTGCATCTAACGCCGTTGTTGCAAATATGGAGGGCCAATGCTCCAGCCCTTCGCTCTAAAGTAGGAATTACTTTGTAGCAACGAGTCCGTCTCGCAAGAGCATAAGCAAGCCACTTCCACAACAGTGTTGTAAGAGAGAAAAGAGCTGCGCCCAGGCTAAATACGTGCGACCGATCTGTGCAGCCGCTGGCAGTGGTGTCTCATACCCTACGTTATACAACAGTTCTAGGTGCATGAACCGGCTTACAAGCCTCGGCCATCAATAAGAGATAACAGAGCAGGGTTGACACCGGGAGCCGGCAACACAGCAACGGCTTCAGGATGGCACTGCATCATCGCGCACACTTTGACGACATGCGTCATGCCTACGATATCGACAGAAATTCGAGACACAGTGGAGACTCAATCAGCGAGCGTTCGCATGGCAACAGCAGCACCAGATCGCGCTCAACGCAACCTACAGATTACTCTACTAGTCCGGCAAACAGAACGCCGCAAATTCACCAGCACTGGTCGAAGGCCAGACAGGAGAACACACCGCAACGCTTCTTTGCTGATAGGCCTCCTCAAGAAAGCCCTCGAGCATCCGTAGAGTCCTATACATCCACAGTACAAAGCGAAGGCGAGGTCGACGACCGCCTACCAGAGTATGATCCACCTGTGTATGAAGCACGGCTCGGCGAGCATACTGTGCTCGCCGCGACTCCTGCAGACTTCGCCGAACTGTTTCCGTCACGAAGACGACTGACAGTGCATCACGATGACTCCACATTGGATGGCAACATGAACCTTCGTATTGACACCGAGGTCTGCTGTGGAGGCCGCAAAACCGACATGACTCTCTTCCACCTGCGAATGCATGATCTTCGCAACCGAGAGTTCTCCCTTCGACGCTACTGTCGAGACTCCGGTCGAGAGGTATGTCACAGCGAATGGAAACAACACAAGCACGCTGTGCCTGTACGACCTGGCTTTCAGCGTTCTTTGAGCAACATCCTCAATAATATGCGACCAAAGTCAGACTCACGAACGCCAACGTTGGAGAGCTTAAAGCGTCATGATTCCGGATACGGCTCGATGCATTCGGTCAGCTTCGTCGATGACGAGCGCCCACGCTCAGCTGGACACGGTGCGGCGGGCCAGCATCCTCCATCTGACGACACTATCAGACTGGAATTTTCGAACTACGCCCATGTTGATGTCAAGCGAACCGGGTTGAAAGGGAGTAAACGCTACGAGTTCGAATACTGGGGCGTACCATATGCGTGGCGGCGCATTGTGGAGAAGGATTCATCTTCGAAGAAATCTTCCTACCATCTCACGAGACACGGTAGCGAACAAATCCTAGCGTACATCGTTCCCGTTCCACTGTCGTCTACAAAAAATGATGAAGAGCGGTCCAAGGGCGGGTGGGTGCCCCCATCGAAAATGTGGCTCGCCGACGAAAGCCTCATCCACGGACTTACGGATGCCGTCGAGTAAGCAAACCATGGCCCCCGGCATTGGCAGGCGGATGCTAACTGGACCTTAGCGTCGTCGTTGCGTCTGGCTTGATCGTCATCGTTGACGATGCGATCAAGGCACGCTTCCACTCAAGGACGAACAAGCAGTTGCTGATACCCAAAATGCAAGTGGGCGTGGAGTACGTCGGACCAAAGCGTCTAATCACCGAGATGTTCAGGCGCGACTCGGATTCGAGCCAGCAAAGCCGTCCAACGACAAGTCATCGCCGTACCAACAGCGGTTACAGCACCACAAGCCCGAGGGTGCCGGCCGGTGCGTTTAGACAGCCCGGCCGTGAGCGGTGAGGGTTTTGCGAGGCCAGCGCACGTTCAACAAGGCAAACTTCACATCACGTCTTGGAACAAAGTAGTGCGCCCCTTGCAATAGGGCGTGTAGAAGTCTACAGCACGTTACACGACATGTCGCACGATGAATGACTGACTACGGGCAAAGTCTCATAACCAGCCGATGTATGGTAGCGCACTCAATGATGCCGCCTGCCGCTCGTTCGACCACGGTAGCCTCGCTGCATAGCTCGTTCGCAGCCCAGCACCGTTCAAACGGTCAGCGTGCCTCGCTTCTTCTCCCCGCCCAGCAGCGCAGCGCCTTGTAATTGCGGGGCCATGGGTCGACTTGTTTGTCCCAATCGAACTTCAGAGGGGGCCATGTCATCTTTCTTCTCATGATGATGCTATGATCCAACACGGACAGCGTAGAATTGCGTCATGCAAAGTTACCACGTCAGATGATCAACTGATTTCAGCTATCCTTCTTGAAGCCTCTGTTTCCGGCCTGATAACGCCGTGACTCCGCTGGTTCCGTTTGCATATAAAGCGATTGGTGTTTTGGGCTGCAGCTGTCCGCAACCGCCTGCGGCTGCGGCGCGAGTGCCAACATGTGTCAAACCGCAGGAACCCGACATTCTTGCAGGTCTTACGATTACCCCGTTACGTCCTGCTACAACCCTGTGCGACTATAGCGTATTGATTGTCTCCACTGCATCAACCCTTGATTTATATGCCAACAGTGCCACGGGACAAGGAAGGCGGACATGATTGCTCCTGCACTTACACGTCATAGGTCCGGTCATCATGCAGCGACACGGCCGAGATATCCCACGGCTGCAACGTGTCACCGTTCACGCATCTCTCTGCAGCCGCTAACCCTCTTATCGGTAGTCTGGCTTCATGCACGCTGCGATGGTCTGCGTACCCTTCCTGCAAACAGTCCTCCCAACGGTGGCTTCGGCGGCAAAAGCGGCCTTTCAAGCCCTCAAGCCCTTCTATAACCGTTCCAGCGGCGTTCAATGCCATGCGTATGGCGGTGATACTTGGTTCGGTACGGCCCAAGGCAAGCGTCCCGTGCCAACGGCGAGGGTCGGCCAGGACCCACGTTGTTTGCGTCTGCATATCTGCAAACCCTTCGTGGGTAGCTTATGCGTTCTAAACGCAGCCCTTTGGCTCCCCTTGGGCTTCCGACTCGAAAAAGGGCTTATGACCAGTTGGCTCTGCATCGTGCCAGCACCTCAGCACATCCTGTACACCCTCCATGACGGGAGCCGTCTTCGTCAAACGGATACTCAGCAATTGCTGGACGGGTGGCCGCACCATCAACGAACGGTCTAATGTTGTCCTTCAAACAGAGGCCAAGGGGCAGCAAACAGACGCGAATCCGTCTATAAGAGGGTGTTCTGAAGGCCAGCTTAGCCTTCTCACCTGCCGCTAATCTGAGCGCTTGAATCGTGGATAGCCTACTGATTAAGCTACTGCCTTAAGGCGCTTATACCTGCTCGAATACGCCTGTTAGCTTCCGTTTCCGAACTACTAATCAGCATCAGGAGCTATCGGTGTGCAATCGCCATGGCTCAGACCCCAGGCTCGCCTACACCAGCCGCAGAGAGTTCCTCGAAGCAAGATCTGCTGATCCGTAAGACATGGCACACACCTACGGATGACGACTGCTGACGAAAAGTCGTCTCAGACTACTGCCGCAATCGTGGCTTGCGCGCACCGTCGTGGCAGGTCCTGTCGGATAGAAGAGGTGACTAAGCTACCAACACCGAATGAACACCTATAGCGCCCAGGCTAACGTTCTAGCAGGCGGCCGCACTGCGTGGAGTTGCACGGTGATCGTTAATGGCCAGCATGTACCAGCAAGGTACTGGTACGACGGGCAATACGTCAACAATGCCCGTGAGGACGCTGCCGAGAGAGCTCTCCAGATGCTAGGCCAGCTCCCAGCTCCCAACGGGCCTCAGCCGACGCATTATCACCAGCAACAGCGCACCACTTACGGTGCTGGGACGGTCGGCAGCTGAGCGTTGCCTGGCGCTTGATGCTTCGAGGAGACATGTAGGATGACCCACTTCGGCACGCTTTGGCGAAGTCGGTGGCATTGCGATGCCTGCTCGTAGTGGTGTAGGCTGTGTTTCGGGCTTGGAGACCGTATGCCATCTCTGGCAGAGTGGTGACTGAGGAGGAAGGCTGTCATTCCTCTGTTTAGGCCGGTGGCATTGACTTTCTGCCAGCACTGTTCTTTGGAGTAGCGGTGACTGAACAGATGCTTGGATTATATCTGCCCATTCCTTTCGCCGTTTCTAACAAACCCACCTTTGTCACTGTGACGGGATGCAATAACCTCGCACGACTGCCTGGCACTCCAGTGGCACTCCAGTTTCACTGGAATAATGCGATTCTGTGGAAGCAGGCATACTAACTCACTGTCACTCGACACTTTGATGGTTATTGCTCCTTCGCTGGAGGGAAGCGTGCCATCTGGGCCATGCCGGCCAGCTCCGACAAGAGCGCACGGATCAAGACAAGAATTTGCGCCGCCGAAACCACGACCAACATCGTTCCTCCGTGGCTAGAGCACACGGTGTGGGCCTTCAATCGATAAGCGCTCGCAGGGCTCCGCAAGCCTTGCTTCGATATCTTGCATGATGGCGGCGGTCTCCAGAGCTGTGTATATCGAGATCGTAGTTATAAGGTTGGTTTGCGCGACAACTGAGTGTTCTGTCTTCAGCGACGAACTTCCCCTCTCGTAGCCAGCATCGCTATCTCGTATCTCCCTAAATCAGGAACCTCCAAACGTCGATCTCAAAAGCAAGCGACATCAGCCAAGATATACCTGGAGAACCTCGTGTATATCTAATCTAGCCGACGCTTTGATATATCTCATGCGCTACAGCCTCAATCAGCCCCAGGACTGGCGACCAAGACAAGCCAGCAATTGACGACTACCAGCACGATTATATCCCAAAAGTCCTCGCCAACATGTCTGCTACCAGCGACGTCAAAGACGACCATCCAGATCGGATCGGTCCGGATACAACACCCAAGAAGAGCTTCGCAGAGCGAGCCAAAGGCCTTGCAAAGGCCTTTACCACCAAGGATGGCTTAGTTGGCAGCTACGATTACGCTTTCCTCTTCACCCCGAACATCCCCTTCGTCAAGCGGCAACGACGCGCAGCGCCTTTCTTCGGGCTTAATGACTCGATGCCGGTCTTCCTTGCGCTGCTTCTGGGCTTCCAGCATGCTCTTTCCATGCTTGCTGGCATCATCACACCGCCCATCATTTTGGCTAGCGCGGCAAACCTCGATGCTCAGTTACAGTCATATCTTGTCAGCACGTATGTAAGCTCCGAGGGCTGATGTAGTCGGTTATCGGGTTGCTTCTCCGTCGACATGGCTTGACGACTCCTGAATTTCATCACGGAAGACGCTCGTCAGCTGTCAAGCATGCCTTGAACATGCTGCTGAACGAGGCTTCCGGTGGAAAAAGGATGCTGCAAGCAACGTCCCGAGAAGACTGCCTGGGAACCTGACCTGCCCCGCGTCACAAGTTACAAGATGCTCGCGTGCTGACCCTCATTTCAGGTCACTTATCGTCTGCGGCATCCTCAGTGCTGTACAAATCACACGCTTCCGTATCTACCGATCCCCATATTTTATCGGCACTGGGCTGATCTCGGTCGTTGGTACATCATTTGCGGTCATTCCCGTTGCGACAGGAGCTTTCGCCCAGATGTATGCGACCGGTTTCTGCCCGACTGACGCTAATGGCAACAAACTGCCCTGTCCAGAAGGTTACGGAGCCTTGATTGGCACTGCCTGCATCTGCGGGCTTATCGAAGTTGCTATGTCCTTCACCCCTCCGCGCATATTGAGGAAGATCTTCCCGCCTCTGGTTACCGGCCCTACTGTGCTCCTTATCGGAGTGTCTTTGATCGCATCCGGCTTTGAGGACTGGGCTGGGGGAGCTGGCAACTGCATGGCACGACCAACCTCTGGCATCTTCGAGCTCTGTCCGACCATCTACGCACCGCACCCGCTCCAGTGGGGTTCAGCTGAGTTTATCGGGCTTGGATTCCTGGTCTTCGTCACGATCATCATCTGTGAACGTTTCGGCTCTCCAATCATGAAGAGTTGCGCGGTTGTTCTAGGCTTACTGGTCGGTTGCATTGTCGCAGCGGCATGCAACTATTTCGATCGCTCTGGGATCGATTCAGCACCGGTCGCTAGCTTCATCTGGGTCCACACCTTTAGGCTCAGTTTATATGGTCCCATTGTTCTACCATTGCTGGCCGTCTACATCGTGCTAGCTATGGAGGCTATCGGTGACATTACTGCCACCTGCGACGTGTCCCGTTTGCAAGTTGATGGCGCCCTCTTCGACAGCCGCATCCAGGGAGGCGTGCTAGCCGATGGCCTCAACGGTATTATTGCTGGGCTATGCACGATCACGCCAATGTCGACATTCGCGCAGAACAACGGTGTCATCGCATTGACTCGGTGCGCGAACAGGAAGGCGGGTTACGCGTGCTGCTTCTGGCTGCTTATCATGGGCATCTTCGCCAAATTTGCTGCGGCCTTAGTAGCCATTCCGAGCCCTGTTCTTGGTGGCATGACAACATTTCTCTTCTCGGCCGTTGCCACATCTGGCATACGCATCATCTCGACAATTCCGTTCACAAGGCGCAACAGGTTCATCTTAACGGCATCGCTCTCAGTGGGCTTCGGAGCGACGCTCGTGCCAAGTTGGTTCTCTTACGTCTTTACCTACGCGGGCAACAACAAAGGCCTGCTTGGCTTCTTCAATGCCATTGAACTCGTAATGGAGACCGGTTTCGCGGTGACGGCGTTCCTCGCCTTGTTCTTGAATCTGATTCTCCCGGAGGAAATCGAGGATGAGGAGACGCCAGAGCTCACAGCCAACAATGTCGACGACCAGCAAGATGCTGAGGAATGGGCTCGTATTCAACACGGGAAGGAGGGAAAAGTTGAGCCAGGGATGGAGGCGAAGATCTAGATCACTCACCTGTCCGCTACCTGTTAGCCGTGGAAGACATGGTATGTGTGTTCAGCATTCCGCACGGCTTTTGAACCAAAGCTGAGTGTATCCTCCAGAAGCATCAATCGTCACGACTTTGGGCCAGCAGCTTGTACGATTTGCTGCAGCTTTGGGAATATAGCGTTTTGCATGTGCCTTCCAAAGCAGTGCCGGTGGATCCATGCGATCCATTGGCCGTGAACCACCGTCTTGACAAGCGTCCACGTTACCTTCGTCTCCAAAAGCGTCCACGGCACTACTGCAATTGGAAACCCGCCCGCCGGTCCCTCCACCTTCTTTCTACTCGCTTTCAAACAAGCGGGGTAGGATGCTTCTCTGCCCACATCTCCCTAAGTCTGTGGTATGAATCCACGAATCGCAAGTTTATGGGTACACAATCGCCGCCGGTAAGTGCTGGGCTCATACTATAGGTTGTCTCGTTACTCTCCCTCGTCGCAGCCTCGATGGTCCACTCTCTACTCATGTCTCACACAATGACAGCAGCACCCCTAAGCAAGCCGAAAGAGACCTTTCATTTCATTAACGAGCCCGAGAATGCTATTCATGATGCCTTAACCGGCCTCACCCACCTCAACCCTTCTCTCTCCTACCACGCTGAATACAAGATTATCTACCGTAACGACCTTACGATTTTCAGCCGCGATCATGTAACAACCATTGGCTTCGCTGGCGGTGGGCACGAGCCCATGTTTGGCGGCTTCGTAGGGCACAATTACCTCTCCTGCTATGTTTCGGGCAACATCTTTGCTTCGCCGACCGCCGCGCAGATTCTCGAGGCGATCAGAATGTGTCAGCCAGAGGGCGGGGACAAGAGTAAAGGCACATTGATCGTATGCGGAAACTATACAGGCGATATACTGAATGCGGGTCTGGCGATCACAAGGGCGCAAGCAGCTGGTTACAAGGTTCACTTCACGCCCGTCGGAGACGACGTGGCAGTGGGGAGGAAGAAGGGAGGGAAAGTCGGGCGGAGAGGGTTGAGCGGGCATTTGGTTGCGCTGAAGAGTGCCTGCGCGCTGGCGGAGAGAGGAGAAGAGTTGAAGCTGGTTGCGGAGGTCATGGAGTATGTTGCCGCCAACGTGGGTACCATTGGAGTTGCGTTCGATCGGTGAGCTTTCCCACCAGTTACTGTGCTTTGAGAAACAGGGATGCTGATTCTGTGAACGTGAAGTGTCGCCTTACCAAATGCGACAATTACCGATCTGCAGACGTTGCCACCCGCGACAGTTGAGCTCGGCATGGGTGCTCATGGTGAACCTGGCTTACAGCAGATCTCCCCAATACCGTCGCCGGAGAGCTTGACGTCCCAGATGCTGGATCTCTTGCTTGACGTGTCGGACCGTGATCGGGCCTTCATTCCTTTCTCAGCCTCAACACACCCAAAGAAGGACAATGAGGTTGTAATGCTACTCAACTCGCTTGGCAGCACGTCAGATGAAGTCCTGGCCCGCTTTGCCGAGCTGGCAAAGGCTGAGCTGGAACAACGTGGCTTCACGGTGAGCAGACTGACACTGGGGCCGCTAGTCACTAGTCTAAAGATGAGCGGTTTTGGTATCACTGTCTGGCGACTGCCTCCTGAGACTGGTGAGACAATGGAGAGAAAGACCGCACTGGAGCTCTGGGATGAGCCCGTCAATGTGGTTGCGTGGAGACAGTAGCATGGAAGCTTCCAGTGGCGCCGGCGGCATGTCTTCAACGAATGCGATGCGCTAGCGGAGTATACCGACATGAATGGCGAAACCGCTCCCACCGCCCAGATCCTTGCTGATCATGCCATCGGGCACTCTCCAGACACGGAAAGGCTTCATGAATGCGTTCAGAAACTGCTCGAAGACTTCTGACTGCCGCAATTGCTGTGCGACAAGGCACACCGTCGGGCGCCATTCGGAGTCGCCATGGTCGCGGTCGTGCTTGCGAAGACTGCAAACCTCAACGCAGGCTTGTACAAAAGGCGGGATGAGGGCGTAATTGAAGATGCAGTCGCTGGCCAGAACAACATCTACACCCTCACCCAGGCCATAAACAGACAGGTGCTTGGGCACATCGTCCTCTTCCCAATCAAGAGCGAGGACTTTGATGTTCTGATTTGCGCAGCGCTCCGTGCTGGGTCTGCGTCCGTTCCGGGGTGTTACTCGGGGGACGCGCGCAGTGTTCTGGTCGATGTTGGCTTGGAGTAGCTTCAGCAGATGCTGCTGGTCAGTGGCCACATATGAGCGGACCTTCGGTGCAACGAACATGGCGACCAAGCCTGCAATGCCGGCACCCAGCTCGAGCACGACGCTTTCTGGCCCGAGAATGCTGTCCTTGAACAGGACGTTCTTCGGCAATGCCAGCCAGCTGGCAAGCCTGATCGAAGTCTGCCAAACGGCTGCTCCGGTGGTGCCCTGCTGCCGTCCTGACTGAAGGATGCCCGGGGACTGGGTGATGGTATAGTCACGGTCAGCTATACAGACTTCCAGAACTTCAGCTTTCGCATCGAGCATCCCGAGGTTCGAAAGAGCGGCACCTTGAGAGAAGAGATCAAACGTCTCTGCAGGCTGCGGTTACTTTGTGCGCCTCTGGCTAGGTTACAGCAGACTAACCATCGTCTGCATCCGTTACTTCGTCACCTAATGCAATCGAGAACGCGTCCATCGCCACCTTTCTCAGCGTTGGCGGCAATGCTCACCTCAAGCCCAGAGCTTCGCTCATGGTGGTTGTCTGGTCGACAAGATGCATCGAAACTCGCTGTCGGAGCTGTGTCGAGCGAATGCGGTTTCCGAACGGTAGCCAATTGCAAGGGCAAAACGAGGGAACGTGAGCAGCCCACGCATCGCTGAAATGCGAGGCGAGATCGAGCTCAGTCGTTGCCGCTCGGCCCGCTCAGGTCGGCACAACAAGCTTTAGCGACAGTCATCAATTCCAATCAAAACACGTTCTTTACCAAACGCCGTCTTCATTTTCAGCCATGTCTACCACCGATCTCCCACCGTGGAAGAGCTCACTCATCTCCCTTGCCGTATCCTCCGGTATCCTCACCTTTGGCTCGTATACGCTTAAATCACATCGTGTCTCCCCGTACTTTGTCAACTGCGGTCTCTTCAGCCGAGCCAAGCTCATCCGTGCGATCAGCGAAGCTTACGCTCAGTCCCTCAATAGCTATGCGCAAGAACACTCAGGCTGGGACTTCGATGTCCTTTTCGGTCCGGCATACAAGGGCATCCCGCTGTGTGCGACCACGGTAGAGAAGCTGGCCGGCCTGGACGAGAGCAAATGGGGAGACGTAGGCTACTCTTTCAACCGGAAGGAGGTAAAGGATCACGGCGAGGGTGGGTTGATGGTCGGCGAAAGCTTGAAAGGGAAGCGAGTGTGCATCATCGACGATGTCATGACGGCGGGGACTGCCATTCGAGAAGCGATTTCCATCATTGAGAGCCAGGGCGGCAAGCTCGTAGGCATTATTGTGGCGGTTGACCGGCAAGAGAAGATGCCAAGTCAAAGCGAGAAGGATGGCAAAGGGGATGATGGTAGTCCTAGAGGTAGCACCATTGGCGAGGTTCGCCGAGAGACTGGGGTGCCGGTCATGGCCGTGCTCACGCTGGACGATCTTATTGTCGGCATGCGGCAGCTGCGAAGAGAAGATGAGGTCAAGCAGATGGAGGCGTACCGAGAACAGTATAAGCCGAGCGACTAACGGACGAACATATTGATTCCCGATCTACGCTAAAAGCGAGGTCGTGCGCCTCACATGCTGAACTCACAGCGGGCCTGAAGCTGAGCATTGCATGATATATTGTAGAGTACAAGACCCGCAGCAGAACTGAGGGTCAGAGTGGGTGGGCTTGTCCCGATGAGGCAGTATTGGCGTAGTGGAAGAACTTATGATGGAAACGTCCTGGGGAGTCCACAGCTGTTGAGCGGTTGCACAGCTCTGTACTTCCTACAACTGGTCGGTGGACAAACATGGGCTTTGAGAAGGTATGACGGTCGCGGAAGGTAAGACAGCCACACATGACAGCATTGCATCGCAGAACGCAGCTAACTCACTACCATTACAACAAGCGTACGGATATAGATGCCTGCCTTGCCCACACAACGCCGACATTCTGCAGTTCTCATACCATCATGAAGCGCCCGTACATATCGTGCGCATGCGACCAGAGCAAGGCCGTCTCAGCTGGCTTGAAGCCTGAAGAGCCTTTCCAGTCTTACGATGACGCTCCGTAGGCCTTCTCAATCTCCTTCTTGTACTTCTCCACCAACCCCTTGCGGTTCAGCTTCTGAGCAGACGTTACCAGGCCGTTCTGCGGCGTCCACTCCTCATCGCTCAACACGACGCCATCGATCATCTCGATACCAGTCAAACCACCGTTCTTGCCAACACTCTGCATCTCCTTCAACACCGCCTGGTTCATCTTCTCATTGCTACACAATTCCTCAAGACCATGGCCCTGGATGTTGTTCTGCTCCGCCAAGTGCTTCAGTGCGGCTTCGTTCGGGACCACGATTGCAATAGGCTTGTTCTTGTCCTGCTGAGCATACACACAGATGTTGCCAACGACAGGACATGAGCGGTACACCGACTCCAGCTTTTCGAGCGCGATGTACTCGCCGTGGGCCATCTTGACAAGGTTCTTCTTGCGATCGATGATGCGAAGTTCGCCCGCAGCGTTGAACTCACCGATGTCGCCCGTCTTGAACCAACCGTCTTCAGTGAAAGACTCTTTGGTCTCCTTTTCGAGGTTCAGGTAACCTTTGGCGATGGAGGCGCCGCGGATCCAGATCTCGCCCTGCGCCGGGTTGTTGGTGGAGTAATAACCTGCGTCTGGGAAGTCGACAAGCTTGACTTCGGCGGAGCCTGGAATTTCGCCGAGAACACTATCACTCCAGGCTAAGGGATCCATGATCGCACCCATGGCCGCGGTCTCCGTAAGCCCATAACCGCTGATCATGGGCGCAATGCACATGGAAATGAAGCGCTGGGTCTCCTTTGCGATGGGGCCACCGCCGTTCATGCAGATCCGGAGACGGCCGCCGGTTGCTTCGGAGATTTTCTTGAAGACTACGCTGTCGAGCACGCTTGTACCAAAGCCCGAGAGTGGTAGATAGCTCGAGTTCTGCATCAGGAACCCTTTGGTATGCATGGCGCCCCAGAACAGCCTTTGCGCGAGAGCGCTCTGCTTGCTCACCCGAGCCATGATGCCTTTCTTGACTGTCTCCCACACTGCCGGAACGCCGATGAGGATGGTAGGCTTGAACTCGGCAATGTCGCCGCGGCAATTGCGCATGCTAGCGTCAGAGATAGTCTTGGGGTTGCCATAGCCCATGGTGCCGCCCCAGTAAAGACAGGCTGTCTCGAAGACGTACTCGAGGATGTGCGCCAAGGGGAGGTAAGTGAGCAGACCGTCGCCGGGACCCAGATACTGGCCAACGATCGTGTCAACGCCGGCGATGGAGGCCACAACATTGCGATGCGTAAGCAAGACACCCTTGGGCGCGCCGGTGCTGCCGGATGTGTACATGATGCAGCACAGGTCTTCAGGCTTGGGCGGAGTGGGCTCGACGGGCTTCTCCTCACCCATCTTGATCAACTCACTGAAACTGACGACCTTCAAATGAGGGTGTGCATCCGTCAGCTTCTTGATGTTTGCCTGCACCTTCTCCGGTTCCATCTTGCTGGTTGCTGCGTCGTCATCGTTGTAGACCACATACTGGATGTCCTTGGCTTCTTGCATCGGCGTGATGAGCTTGGTAAGTAAATGCGGATCCAAGAAGATAGCCTTTGCGTTTGTCTGTAGCAGACTGTGCTTCAGACCCTCCTCGCCGAGCGTGTCGTACGCGGTCACGATGGGCATGTTCTGACTACCCGCACCGTGAGCAACAGCAAGCCAGTACGGATGCGTCGCGGCGAAGATGTGCACTCGGTCCAGCGTCTGCATGCCGAGCGCTCGGAAGCCACATCCCACCTTCAGCGCGAGCTGCTCGTACTCGACGAATGACATGTACTCGTATGGACTGAGCTCGAAGTACGTCCACTTTTTGTCCACTTCCTGCTCCTTGCCGTCGATCGTCTTCTTTACCTTCTTCGTCTCCTCGTGCATTTTGATCAACTTTCTCTTGCCCAGCGCCTTCGCATTGCCATACTTTTGGCTGCTTCGCCGCAGTATGTCGTACAACGTCTTGGTATCCGGGTCAGGTGTGTTCTTCAGCTCGTTGACTGTCCGGTGATTCCGTCGTGTCACAGTCTCACCCTCGACTTTCTTCGCCCCCGGCACCTCGACAGTGTACGGTGGTCGCTTGTACACTTTCGGCTGCGGCACCATCGACTTCAAATCCTGACGAGCCATGATGTCGCCCATGTTGTCCGAGTTGTACTGTTGATTGGAGACACTCGGAGACAGAAGGTTGAAGTACTGCAGCCAAGAGTCCAGAGACATGTAACCGCTGACGTGTTCTTGGTAGCGGGGCGCAGTAGGATCTGGTGGTTGTTAGCCAAGCTTCCCAGGTGAGCGCGTGCAAGGTGTGCTCACTGTTGCGGAGCAAGCTTGTCTGATGTCACAGGTGCGGCTTGGAAAGAAGGGACAGAGCATGGAAATCTTCCGGGTGTTACCGCCGCTCACTCACTGGCGCTACCTCGTTAACCACGGCCGAATACGAGGGCGGTGACGAAATGCTCATCGAGGGAGGATATCTTTCGTACACTCATCTAATTACATAGCTCAGTATCTTTTCCGAGCCTGGCGCTCACGCGAACAGCATCGGCTCGACTCGACGAACTTGCTTCCGGCGAGCAATGACCCCATAACACCAAGCTAGAACGCAGCAAGCAACACAAAGGACGTTCGCTCAAATGCCTACGCCTTCTTCGCACGCTTGGGTGTGCCTTGCAGTAGTTGCGCACCGCTCGTCTTCATCTCTGACAGCGCATCTTCCATGATGGTGCGCTTCCTTGCCACAGCGTGATGACGCCGCTCCACTTCACTCTCAAAGACAAGCGCAGCCTTACGCCGCTCCCGGCGGCTAGACTTCAGCTTGTCCATGATATCACCGTAGCGGTCGAGGAACCAGTCTCCACATTCCTCCCACTGCTTGATCGTAAGCGACTTGAAAAATTCAAGCTGTAACTTCTGTGTTTTATGCAGTCCAGCCTCAAGGCTGTCACTCAATGCATCGCCAAACGTCAGAGACGACTCGATACCCGGCGGGAAGTCGAAGGTGCCTGCGCGCAGCTCGTTGAACTGCATTTGGTAAAGCGATGATGGCTCGTACTCGAGGTCTCGCTCCATCTGCGCCTCTACCGGGTTGTTGGTATGCACAAGTGGGTCTGATGGATAGTCGTGTTCAGCCACTTCCACGAGATTCTGCTCTTGGGTATGCGAGCTCACATGGGCGGTAATGGCTGGTCTTGGCCCCACGGGCTGGTGGTGACCCGGGATCGACCCGACTTGTGCGTCCCCATGATTACGACGTTCATGATCAGCTCCATCCGCTCCTGATGGTGGGTACGCCGTATTTGTGGAAGGGCTAATCTGCGACCGCATGCTCTCTGGCGCAAACGCTTGGTCATCGGAGGGTTGTAATCTTGCCGGCACTGACTTCATGGAGGCCACCGGAATTGCAAAAGAGAAACCTCTATTGACCTCGTCTGTCATAGAACCTGTGAGCTCTTCGGGCTTCGCGAACAGCACTTGATCTGCTTCACGATGCTGAGTCTCAGTCTTCGGTGGTCCGTTGGAAACCGGTAGTTGCTTTTGCTCGGATCCTCGGCGCCTCTGGGAGCCAGTATCAGTTTCAACGAGCCTTGATGTTGGCTTTACATCGCTCTGCTGATTGTTGCGATAGCTTATTTCTGCGAGGCTCGCTGCGGATAATCGTCCGTCCGTAGTGCTTGGATATGAATCACCTTGCATTCTTGGCAGCCCGTGACCGGGTTGCTTGGCACTGTCGACATCCTGTAGTATTCGATATGCGCGCGCGTTGAGCTTGCCATCGACTGGCCGATGCGACTGCTTGGTCCTGTTGTCAGCCACGAGATCATCGTAACGGTCATCCGGTAGCGTGGAGACGTCATCTATACTTCCTGCGTCGGTATCGAGCAGAGTCTTGTGACTTGGGCTTAATGGTCGTGATTGATTCGCCGTGGACTGAGCATATCTAGTCCGCTTCGTCCCATTTTGCTGAGGTGGATCACGTCGATGACTGGCGCCAGGATTTGGCACGTAAACCTTCAGATCTTCGTTTGGGGTATGGTTCTGCATTGCGCCTGCTTGGTCGTGAGGAAGTACATGATCATCGACTCCGTTCTTTGTGTAGACGTAGTCTTTGACCTTGTTCTGTGTCTTCGCCGCCATGACTGAGCATCCACACAACTGTTGAAGCCGTGCAGACCGGCCTGTGTAGGGAGGTGAAACCTGCTCGTCTCGAAGTGAAACGTGAAGTCGAGATCAGAACTGAGGCCGGGACGATCAGCTGGGAAGGCGCGCTCGTGGCGCGACGTCACGTGCGCACTACGATCGGCATTGCGATGTGATTGAACTCTCCATGCTCTGATCTGATCATTCGGCGTCAGGACCTAACAAGCGTAATTTGTGAAGCGACAAGGGCAGACACAATGGAGCTCGAGATCATGTCGCGCGGCATCTTCGTGCTACCGAATGAGGTGGGTGAGCCATCAAGCAGTTGTTGAACCATAACTAACACGACCGTAACAGATACTGTTATCGATCTTTAATCTCTTCCCGACCAAATCTCTATTACCGTTCATGCCAACATGTCAGCCCTTCCACTCGCTCATTCTCCGCGTGCTCCATCATAGACTGCAGGTCGCAGCAAGCTTGGCCGGGCATACTCTCTACCTCGAGTGTTATCATCCGTCAGCTCAGCTGACAGCAGCGGAGTTCTTCTGTACCTCGCTCGGGACAGATGGCCTTCAGGATCTTGGCGCAGACATCGCCAATGGCTCTACTTCCATCGGAGACGTTAGAAGAGCGGGCTCTCTCTACTCTCGCTTCCGCCCTCAGCGCAAAGAGCCAGATACCTTGGGTCCGCCTAAACATCCGGCAGGTGATATACCCGGCTCACGCACGTACCGGGACCCTTCAGCGGCACTGTCACCTGAGGACGCGGTCTCCGAGACTGTCACAGTAGACGCTCACGAGCTCTTCTCACAGTTGACAACGTTCGCATACCTGGGCAAGCGACACTCGTCTCGAGGCCTACTATTCAGTATGCAGGAGGTCTGCGAAGGTACAATCCGAGTATGGCGGGAATGGCTGTCGCGCCAATGCGAGAGCAAGAAATGGTCGGACGGTGAGAATGTTGTGATTCATCATGACCCACCAAGCGACGCGATAGCCGGAAAAGGGAAGCAACGATCGGACAGCGTTACTGGTTACCCTGATCCGACTAAAGATCCAAGAATTCTTTGGGTTAACACACGAGACGACAACGTAGGCATACGCTTTCGGGTGAAAGAGCGCAAATGGCGACGAGCAGCGCCGGTCCTCTTTACGAGCGATGTTGAAGTTCCCGTCAGTTACGAAATCGACTTCGAAGGTATCGTTCCGTCACGATGAGATCCATGTGGGAGACCGCTAACACTGGCCTACAGAGGTATTTGTGCGAACCACACATTTACTGTTGAAGCTTGAAGAAGCCGAGCAGCAGATGGACAATCACAGCGGCAAAGCCATCGTCTTTGGTTCTCACGCAGGTTTACAGGAGTACGACACTGCTGGATCGCTTCGACGTCGATGAGATGTGGCATTACCTCTTGGTAGCAAGAGCGACATGTCCGTTACTCGTGAGCGTGAAGTTCAGCGGGTCTCGGCTTCCATTGCACCGAGCTTCATCACTTCGAAGCATTCAACTTGCCCTGCAAACACTGAGTGCGCAGAACTACGACATCGTGTCATCTTACACCGCGCTCCACTACACTTCGCACTGTGCATGCTCCATAACATCAAAGCAGCTCAGCATGTCGTCAGAACCAAAAAGGATCGGCCAGATCGTGCGCCTCAAGCGAGAGAGCCTACAAGCATACAAAGACTGCCATGCCGCAGTTTGGCCAACAGTGTTGAAACAGATCAAAGACTGCAACATCTCGGATTATTCCATCTTCCTCGATGAGCAGTCTATGACACTGTTTGCTTCCATGAAGTACACAGGCAGTGATTTCGACGCGGACATGAATAAGATGAAAGCCAACGCTGAGGTGCAGCGGTGGTGGCAGATGACAGATGGTATGCAGGAGAGTTTAGTGGATGGAAGTACAGGAAGCATGGATCCCAAGGGTGTATGTTGTCCCGTGACTGAAACCCTTGACTTTGGGTCCAGGTTGATGCTGACGATTGTTCTCAATACTCCCAGTGGTGGAGAGGAGTGGAGGAAGTGTTCTACCTGGCCTAGGCTGCTTCGCCATCTCACTGGCGGATGCGGTGCTCGTTGGGAGGATGTGGGATGGTGCAATTGCAGTTGCTGCGGCGCCCGGGTTGACACGGTTATACATCACGTTATCGCATGGAAGAGAGTGTAGTGAACCCGACGTACGAGGCATGTCTGCATGAGTGTTCGGAACACGTAAACGAGTAGTCAAGCCACAACTTCCCCATTGGAGCCGGTGTCAAAGCCCATATCCGAAGCTGCCCCGGCTACATCGTCGGATACCTGCACGCATGCCGCGGTAGTCGGATGCGGGACGTGAACGCATGGAGATGGTCGGCTCATACCCCACGCTTCTAGACCTCGAGCAAATAGCGTAGGTGCTGACTCCGAGCCCCAGACGGATGTCACAAACGAAGCGATAGGATAAACCTGGTCAGACACCACACAACCGCTATCATTGCCATGAAGTACGTCTTCAAGCGGGAACATGTGAAGCTGGGATGATGCGTCGCTGACGTCGCACGGCCTTATCTACCACTCGTGTGGACACCGGACGGGCGCAGCTCCGGTTAAATCAAGAAGGTGGTAGTCCCATTCGTCCACAAGCTGCGCAGCTCTAAAGCGTTGAGGAGGATGGCAGTAGTCTTGCAGACTGTTGAGATCGCGATGAGAGTCGATGATTCGTGCCGCTGTTCAAACGGCGCAAAAGCATTGATTGGGTATAAGGAAGCGACGAAGCAAGAGTCCTATCTACTCCACGTTTCGAGGTACTTGATAGTAGGTACCTTCGTAGCGTTGTCTATAGGCCGAGAGGAAGAAGGTTAATCTCCAGCCTCTGCGTCTGGGGTGCAGTCCGGGGTGATGCCATATCTTCGGCTTCATGCACGCCAGTGAATTGGACATTTAGAGTTCGACCGTACAGGTCTTATCTAGCAGTGTGCCGAAGGAGCGGCGGATGCTTTTGTACAACCCCTAGCCATGCTGACAGTCGAGGCATATCGCGTATGACTCACCGCTTACCATGCCTCGAGTCGAGGAGGTAGCCTCGGCGATCAATAGTGTTCCGGGCGTCGCCTTGGTGAGCAGAAACAATAGAGTTTCGGTCAGTCTCTGCGGGGATACCGCGGTACCAAGGAAAGGGCAAACGGAAACTGTTCGGCAAACACGCAGCGTGAAGGTGGTTAGCATTCTGCGGCTGGTGTGTCGATCACGTAGATCATCGTGGAGTTGGTTGTGGAGCACAACAAAAGTAGGCCAGACGATCTCGCGATCGGTGGACGGCAAAGACGAACGGTAGTGTGGTGATGCAGTTACCATGGGATAGTATGCTGCAGAAGCAGAAGGCTGCGAAGTTCTGTTGTGTAATGATGACATCTCTAACAAAGTTTCGACACTGTCGGCCGCGAAACCTAGCTATTATGAGCTGAGCTGTGTAGCAAACTAGCAACTCCAGTGACATAGCAAAAGTGCCAGTCGCGCGCAACTGCTGGTATCATAGGCGGCAAGCAGACTCCCTCTATCCCGTTCAATGTTGCCGACGAGACCCAGCGTTAGCAACCCATTCCTAGCGACGTCCGTGTCTGCACCCAGTCTGACCGGTCACATCCCGCTGCGCCGTCCAATCTATCGCTAAAACTCCGCGCCACCATAAAAGTAAACATGCTGTCAATTGGTCAAAGACGGAGGCCGTAAGGCGGCCTTGTAGGCCGCCGTCTTGGGTGTATCTCGTCCGTATTAGTCGTACCGTGAACGCCATGTCAAACCGCCGTGGAATGGGACTATCAATGGCGTTGCGACCGCTACATGCGATCTTGCAAGTCATTGCCAGCTTCGCTGACTCTACTGCTACTTTGACCGCTGCTCATACCGCTTCCTGGGTCTTTGAGCTCGCTAATCTTCGTGTAGCTGTTGTCTTTAACCGGCACCATGGGAATAGGAAGCTTCCTCTGCGCACCGTCACCGGCTTCCATGATCTCGCTGATACGCAGACCACTATGGTGAGTTGGCACGTAAGGCTGCTGCCCATCAGCTGAAGGCTCAACAGGCGCAAGCGCAGGTGGCGGCTGGTGGTGCAGTGAGAGATGATGTAAAGTCGGAAGCTGCACACCGTTGTGGAAGTACTGAGGTCGCAGACGCGGCGAATGTGACGGTGTCGCGAGCGGTGTGTGGTCAGGCGTAGGAGAAGTGGACTCATGCGGGAACTCCGGAGATGGTGGCGCGGTCGACTGAGGGGAGCCTGGCCGCGATTTCTTCGCCGCACGATGCGCAGCTTCGTCATCTTCTTGAGAGTGAGAGCGTGACATTGGTTGTGATGTCGGGTTCGATGAGTAGTGGTAGGATGAAAGTGATGGCATGCGGCCTGTGTGATAAGGATGACGGTACGATTGAGTCGAGTACGCTCCGGTGGGCAGCGAAAGATGCTGGTTGGGTAGATGCGCGTGGTTTTCGCGTTCAACTTCGGAAGCTGCGGTGGCTAGAAGATTGATGTCCATCGGTCGGTGGAACGGCCCAGCAGCCGGACTAATGTCTCCACTGACGTTGCGAGTGATGTACGACCCGGGATTGCTGGTGTATGTCGCAGCATAAGAATGCGGCGGAGACACATTTGGTGAGCTAAGTTGGGAGTTAGGTGCAGAATGCGTGTTTCTTTGCGGTGGTGGGGGCATCATCTGATTTGGCTGTGGAAGCCCACCCGTCTGTTGCACTTGCGGCACCTGCGGCACTTGACCCATGCTGTTGAACTGACCGAGCGCATTCATCTGGTTAAGCTGGTTCAATTGATTGACCTGGTTCATTTGGTTCATCTGGTTGAGTTGGTTGAGCTGATTGAGCTGAGTGATCTGGCTCAGCTGGCTTAATTGCTGAATCGTTGCGTTGTCGTACATCCCGTTCGTCAGACCATTCTGGATCGCGGCAGCTGCAGCCGCTGCCGTGGCGCTGTGCTGCTTTTGCCCTCTTCTCGAGTTTGGGTTGTTGTGTATCCGCGAGTGGCGAGTCAACTCATCGGACCTACTGAACCGCTTTGTGCAGCCCGGGAACTGACACGCATGTGGTTTCTCGCCCGTGTGCGTCCGAATGTGGCGCGTTTGATGTTCAAGACGGTGAAACGCCTTGTCACACAAAGGACACTTGTAGGGCCGCGGGAGGTCTGGTCGATGCTCATCGTTGTTCATGTTGACGCCGACCGCCTGCATGGTCATTGCAGAAGCGGCCATAGGCGAGTTGCTGTCAGTAGGCGAAGTTGGTGTTGTGTTATAATGGAGCGTCGGCGACCTGGATGATGCTGGCGTGGATGTGCCGGTGTCGATGTGTTGTTGCTGGACCTGTGCGTGTTGCTGCGGGTTGAGCAGCTGCGAAAGCATGTGAAAGAGGGCAGCCTGGGGAGGCTGAGGCTTAAAGTAAGCCTTCCGGTAGGATAATGCTGCGTGACGCGGAGGCGATCCGGGGGTGGGAGGAGTTGCGACCGCAAGGGATGCGGAGCAAGTTTGCGCGGCGTTTGATCGCAAAAGGGCGAACGGGTTGCGATTGCAGGCAGGGGCAGAAAAATGTCGAAACGGAAGGAGGCACCACCGTCGGCGTGGGGAAACCAAAGGCCCACTATTTTGGGGGATGACGATGCAGTTAGCGCGCAGCTGTGCGCAGCCAGAGGTTTACCCGAAGAGAGTGGGCGATAAGCGGAGGGCGGGCGGGACTGCGACTTGGAACTCACGGGCAAGCCGGGCTGGTTCCTGCGTCCAAGCACCAGAGGCTCGCCAAGCACCCTCTAGGTTTTGCCTCGGGGCGTGTTTGCTGCGAGTCGTGGCGGTTGCAAGGCGTTTATTAGACGTTTGCCCCAGATCGCAAAGTCGGAGGCGAAAAGGGCGATTTGCGGAGAGCAGCGCGTATTAATCAGGAAACGTGTCGCTCCTTGTTTCGGACGATCGTTCCTCGTCTGAAACTCTGCAGCCCTTGCCCCAAAGAAATGAGGTGAGTCGTACGACACGTCTGATGTGGGAAGGGGACGCTGTTGGCGGCTCTCGAGCGGTGCCCGGCGGAAGAGTGGGCCCGTTGTTGTCCTTGAACGGGCAGGTGTGGAGCTGAAAAGGGTGTCGCCGGTCAGCCCAAGGCTCCAGAAAGTGGATGGAGACAGCTGAGAGGTCTGGATACCGCCACCTAATCGCAAGGCGCTGCAGCGCCACACACTTGTCGCGAAGGTTCAATGTTGTGCCGGAGTCGGCCCTGAGTCATCTCAAAATAATGCGTACCCCCCGGTGTTAACACGTTGCAGCATTGGATGAAGGTCTGGCAATGAATGAACAACATCTTCGAAGCCGCGATTATACGTCTTCACATGCTACAGATAAGGCGGTCTTGCCGTGGCATGGGCATGGTGAGTCGATGACGTTCGGCAGACGCAGCTCAAGACCACTCAAGACGTTCACGTTGCTTCTGCGGCAGTTCAATTCTGTGGGCACATCTTCAGTCTCACTATCATATTCCGTGGGTATTGATACGTTCCCCATACAGAACCAACCCCCTGCCCACTCCCCACGAAATGTCAAATGATCGATGGAGAGCGCGCGGACAGCGGTGACACAACGCCTAGGTAGTGCATCGAGGCGAGCTTACTCCGTATTGCTACAGCCCACGTTCATAACAGCCGAGTAAGATTCAGCCTGCTGTCTCCTGGAGGCGTAATGAGTTTCATCATCACCCTACCCTGACCATAGATGCAAACACTCGGCCGTTCCTAGCAAATCTTGCGGTGAGTGCGCCGAAAGCCAGCTATCTACGCCGAGCACACCATGGGAGCGCGCCTTGACACCATAATCTAGATCGCCGACATCCGGGTCCGACGTCTTTCGCCCATGTAGTCTTACAATTGTGGCTTCTGTAGGAGCATCCCACGCATACCGACCCGTGGTCAACTGCGGGCCGTCCATAGGCTAATTACCCCATACATAGAGAACATTCCTCCACGCTGAAAGCAGCATCCCTTTCAGCGTATTGTTCTTCAGCCTGAAGAGAGCGACATGTGCAGGGGACGGTCTTGCCAATGAAAGCGATACGATCGCGGCAGTGACTCCCCCGTGTGTTAGCCGTGCAGCTGCCGTAAGACATCGGTCATCTGCGCTGCGTCCACCGAATTAGGTCTCGAAAACCGAGGCCGAAGCGACCTTCTCGAAGCACCACTGCCGCTCCGCATTTGCGGCTGGGTCGATCTGTGGGGAGTGCGCTTTAGCCGTGCGCATACGTGACTCGTGCAATGCGGAGAGAACGGCTTGGGCTTAAGGATTAACAGTCTAGCAGAGCTCATGTGCCCTTCCAAAATGAATCCAGGCGGTCGAGACTCGGTTATACCACTCACATGACCGAGTTGAAAGAGGCAGGACTGATGGAGGGCGGTACCCTCCGACTTCGCCCGACTGTGGAGCACAGAATGGTCCTCAACGACCTAGACCGCAGTACCTGGTACCCGCTCCTACACCAATTTTGGCCGGGAAGCGAGGTACCTGTACGCGGAGATCGAGTGCGGATGAGTGGAGGGAGACGTGCTCACGTGTCGGCTGGTTCTTTGTTGGCTTTGCGACACTCCTGTTGATCGCAGCGATCGCGATGCGATATGCGCACAGACTGATGCCACCATCATCACGAGCAGCCTTCGCAGCAATGCAGCAATTGACGCGTTGGGAAAACACAATCTTCACATGCCAGAGCCAGGTCGTCCGTTCTCCACATCGCAATCTCAGCGCCGCAACACGTGCGCTTCTCCAACTGACTCGGCTCCGACCCTTTTCCGACCATCTCCGCAATATCGCCATCAAGTTTCTCTCTATCAGCGATACCCACCAAACACGTCCGGAGATGTCTGAATCCAGTAAGATACTGCTCTTCACTCTCCACTCATCTACGCTGTAAACCTAGTCAAGTACGCTATACGAGCATTGCTCGGATGCAATCCGGCCGAGAGCCTTACGGTGTCTCCTGTTCATACCAGCGCGCATTCGATAATAGAATCGCCGTCCTCGCTCATACTAATGATATCCATAATGCGCATCCCAGCCCCAGCCAATAACCTCTCCCACTGGCTTCGGGTCCGCTCCATACCGCCCACATTGCACATCATCAACGCTGACAGACAGGCCGGGAACAACGCAGTCTTCGCCTCTGGCAGCACAAAGTCGTTGATCAGAAGCCTAGATCCAGTCGCCATCGCACCAGCCTGATTCTTCAAAATGGTCGTGGCCTCTTCGTCCGACCAATCGTGCAGAATCCGACTCATGTAATAGTTCCCCGCCCCTTTGACCGGCTGCGGCGTGAAGAAATCGTACGCCATAGCCTCAATGCCCGCATTGAGCGTGGCATCGACAGCTTCTACATTCCCGGGCAGGTCTTGCAGCACGAGCTCACCCGGGAGCCCGAATCGACGGTCTCGGAACATACGCAGGTGCAGGCCTGTGTTGCCGCCGATGTCGACAAGCAGGACTTCTGGTGATGGTGAGCTTCGCATCATGCGCTCTTTGCATGGGTAGATGAGAGTCCAGTCCGGTCGCACCGATTGCTCCGCCGCCATCACTTTGCTGAACACCGCGCGACTATCTGAATGTTCTTCCATCCACTCCCACATCGTCTTCCCGCCCGTCCACAACGGCATTGCCGTGTCGCTGACGCCCCTGGGCGGTTGGTAGTCCTTTCTGGCAAGCCAGGTGGGTGTAGCCTGCGCTGTTCTGACGAAATTATCCGTCGTCAAAGCGATAAGGCTTACGCCGAGCTCGCTAGCGAGCGTTCGCGTCTTCTCGTTCGCGACAAATGCGCCGGAGTCGTTCTGGCCTACATACCCGAGTCCAGTCAAGACGCGGACGAATTGCAGTACTACGGTTGGCGTGCCTTTGGTCTTCGCGGCAATTTCTTCAACAGTCAGTGGTCTGTCGCTTGAGGCCAGGAGCTGTAACCATCCTGCGTCCGCAGCCACTTTCAGGGCGGTAGGGTGCCATGGCTACATGTGAAATTCGGTCAGCTCGGTTCGGCCATGGTCGAGCGGTCGAGGGATCTAGGAGATTCACCGCACACCATAACGCCCGGTGAGTTTCATGTGGCGACTCTAAAGCTGACGCGATTTCGAGTGCTATGTTACGGAGTCGGCTGCGTAAGGCATCGCTGAACGATGTGACATTCGTCCTGATCTGGTGCAACGCTTGCTCTAGCGCGGCTTGAAGGAGTGACATGTGTCCCCAGTCACCAGCGACTCAAAGCAGGGGAGGCCTTGGTCGTAACTCCTCCCTTCGCGAAACCACAGCTGTCTCGTAACCTAAGCGTATATGCCTACTGACGCCGTATCTTGACCAAACGATTTAGGTATCGTAGAAGGTGCTGTATAGGTTAACCTGGCTATGACACAGCACTTCAGGTGCGTAATACCAGTTTGTAGAACCGACGTTGGGCGCGCAAAGAAAATGGTTCACTTCAGGTTAACAGAGACGCCTCGGACACGGCACGAACGAGCTCACAAGAAGCGGGGGTGCGGCACTGTCCACGGGTCAGAGCTGATGTGCGTTTCCAAAACGCGTACCGACTCTGTTGCTGTATCGTAGGCCAACAGTGTATGCAAGCAGGGCACCTCGCACATCCTCCAAGCTCACAACCCCCATCACAACATCTACCCAAGGTAGCACCTGTGCCCAAACCAAGATCTGTCACGCACACCTCACCCTCCCCTACCTCCTCCCAGGCGTCTCAGGCACATCCCAAATTCCCTCCTCATCCATCTCATCCAGACCCGGCGTGACATCCAGAACAACGGCGTCCTGCTGGTCGCCCAGCATAGTCCTCGACACCCCATTCCCGTCGCTCACGCTTTCGATGCGCCAAGCGTTTATGTCTTGCTGGATTTTCGGCGGGCTTCTAGCCGTATTGAGGTTGTTCATCTTGAACGCCGTCGGCGGAGCAGACACCGCTGGTTCTGATGCTGATGCTGATGCTGACGTTGCGAAGGGGATACGGCCCGTGCTGCTCCAGACGGGCAGCTTTTGACCGCTCGGGGAGCGCACGGTAGGTGGTGAAAGGATCTGGGCGGCGGCTTGAGGTGGCTGCATGCGTTCGTCGGTGTCGTTGTCGGAGTGCGTGACGTCTCGTGTTGTACCGTTCAACAACCCGGTAGGCGAGACCTGAACGGGCTGGGCGGGTGCCACATCGTACGTACTGGGCTCTTGAGCTGGTGTTACGGCCCCGTGCTGCTGGTTGTCCGGGCATGGATCCATCTGCGAGGTGTGCAGTGCTGATGCTATCTGAGACGCTTGCATTTCCAGAGCAACACTCGCATCGTCTCGCGGCCGGAAACCGCCAGTAGGCTGACTTCCGAACCCAGGTATTTCTCCAGCGGCACCCGTCGCCGCCGCACCTTCGCCCCTGCTTACGACATCGTTAGCGGACACAGGCCCCGCAGCGTTGATGCCCCTGCTCGCCAGATCCATCTCAGAAGGCGACGGAGCTGCAGTAGGAAAGCCCGTCACTGGGGGTGCTGGTGTTGGCACAACGCCACCACCCGCCGCAGCCTTCCTAGCCGCCGCATTCACCCTCCTCGTCTCCGCCGCCCTTTTGGCCCTCGCACTGCGCTCCGCAGCCGCAGCAGCCGCCACATCTCGCTCCTTCTCCTTCAGCTTCCGGTCATGCTCCTCGCGCGAGCCGACTTTGAGCGAGATACGCTTCAGGCCGGATGTCAGCTCGTGTAAGTCATTAACCACAGTGCCGCCATTTGCGGCCGGGGACGGCTCCGGGGCGCTCGTCGGCACAGGTACGTGCTGTGCTTGCCCGGCTGGCTTCTTCGGCTTCGCTGCAGCGGGCGGCGCCCGCGTTTTCTTGACTTGCATTGCGCCACCATTTCCTGTCAGAGCGGGGACAGCTGGTGGTCTCATGTTTCCGTTTGTCATTGCCGCTGGCGCGAAAGTGGGGACAGGTACAGCAGGAATGGGCGGCGGATCGGCGTCAATACTCACCAAACCGTCCGACACGCCACTCAACGCACTCCCGCCACTGAGCCGTCTACTCACCCTTCGCACCAGTGGCTGCTGCTCTTCGTTAACCCCGCCGTTCGTGGTCAACGGCAGCTCATGCATCGTCTGCCTCCGACTACTGCTACCCCGACTAACACTCCTCACACTCTCCACCCCATCACTATACGCACTCTCCACATACGCACCCGCACCCGCACCCAAAACCTTCCCCTTCCTCTCCCGCAACTGCCGCGGCTTCCCAACAGCATCGTCCACACTCGCACTCGCACCCGTACCCTCAAGCACAGGCGCAGCGCTCTGCCGTTCCTTCTTCGTCCTCCCTGCCCCCAATTCCTCCGCCGTCCAACTCCTCGTTCGTCGATCAGTAGGTATGAGCAGTCGACTTAACTCCTGCGTCGCAACGACCCAATCAACCTCCGGAGGCGGCGGGGTGCGTGGTCGAGGCGGAGGCGGCGGCATTTCGCGCATGGTGCCGGAGATTGAGCGGGCGAATTTATTCGGGTCGACGACTTTGTAGGCGAAGGATTCGGTGGGTGTGGCGTAGGTTGGTTGGGGGCCTGTGCGGACTCGTTTGGGTTGAAGAGGAGGTAGGGGTGGGTTGATTTTGAGTTCTAGGGCGGTTAGGTTGGCAGGGGACCACCAGGTTTTGTCGTAGGAGAGGGTGGTTGGGGAGGATGATGTTTGGCCGTGAATGCGCAGGCCGTTCATCATCTCGTCCAGGCTTGCGCTGTCCTTCGTGTTCATGCCGTGGGTGGGTAGGGGTGGGGAGGCGCAGAGGCCGGAGAGATGGCTCAGTACGCCGCTGCAGAGCGCTCGATCGCTGTAGCCGCCTTCTAGCACACTGATCACCCTCCCCTCACAGCTCGTGCCTTCTTCCTGTGCAAGCTCCACGACATCACGTGTGAAGCGCGCATAGAACTCGCTGGGCACGTTGACCTTGTGCCTCTGCATACCCGCCCCTTCCCACTCACTTGCGTCGAATCCTGCACTGATGAACACCGTCGCTTTCGGTGGTACTCTGCCTTCTCCGTGTAGCCGCAGGGTGTGATGGCGCAAGAAATCCCTCGCTTTCTCAAGCAACATACGATACCGGCCTTCATACAATCTCCAAAACTCCTCCTCCGTCTTCCACTCCTGTAAATGCACATTCCAGATGCTCTGCCCATGCGCGTTCTCAATGCACAAACTGGCTGCTTGGACTTTGTCATCATCGCCCATCTCGCAGGGGTAGCTATTTATATCATGCAAGCTGTAGTACCCGATATCCGGACCTAGTCTGGCTTTGCTGTTGGGTTTGGGATACAAACGTTTCTGATTGTTCTTGCTGTTGCGCTCCCAGGTGATGGCTTGGCTGCCGTCGCCGTGATGCAAGTCGAAGTCCAAGATTGCGGCATGAGTGAGGCCGTGCGTCTGCGCCGCATATTCGATGCCGACATGCACGTTATTGAGCCAGCAGAATCCAGAAGGGTAGTCGGCGGAACAGTGATGACCCGGCGGACGAATGGCGACGAAAGCACGCTTGGTCGGCGTTGCGGGTTCGAAGACAGCGTCGACGGCATCTGCCACACCTCCCAGTGCGCCCTGAAATGCATCTAACGACTCGGGAGCGAGGTAGAGGTCCCCTTCGTGGAGCTTGCGCTTGTCCTGACCGTTTGGGGTGGCAGCTCGTTCCAGCTCCTTCGCGCCCGTTGCCAGTCGATCGCCTGCCGCGTTGCACAGTTCCCGCAGCTCCGACATCCATGCCGTGCCGTGCACGTTCGTTACATACGTGCTGCCAATGTCAACGGAGCGCGTCGTTCGCCTGATTTTGAAGGGTGGTGGAGATGCTTGCTGTCGGTGCGGGTGTGGTGCGTTTCGTGCTCCCGCATAATGCTCGCCGAGCCTCACATACGCTGCCGACGCACCCAATACGCTCGCATGGATGCGCTCCGGCCGCTCTACGATCATCGATAATGTGGACTTTGTCGCTTTCAGGCGGGAGTATCGGTGGGCGTAGCATGCGTCGTGTAAGATCACCACCGTTTCCGCATGGACATCAGGTTGAGTGTGCGCCAAGAGCTCTTGCGTGAAGTGGGCGGTGGCTAGCTGGGCGGCGGTGAGCGGGACGGGCTCATCGATCGACTCCATCGTCGCTTGCGCCTCCCTAAGATTCGCAATGAGGTTGGAGATGGATCGCTTCGGTGTCGGCCGCTTCTCCGACTCCTCAGTCTGACCGGTCATTGACTGTCTCGAGCTTTTGCGGACCAGCTTGGGTGAAGGGGTTGGTCGCTGTCCGAGGCTCATGTTGCTGGAAGCTCTTCGGAGAGTGGGCGGTTGCGGGAAGGTGCTGGTTTGTTGGAGCGGAGAGGTCGCTGGGTGAGACGGTCGGCGAGGCGTAGTCATGTGAGGTGTTGGGGGTGCGGGCGACACGGGCGAAGACATGGCCGAGGCGGTGCCCGTATGTCTCGCTTGCGCTGAGATGTCGGGGATGGCGAGAGGTGCCACATGCGCCTGCCTTGCTTCACCTATACCTCCTGCCCCTCGCTCCTCCCCGAGACTGTTCATCTTGCGGTTTACTTCCTTCGTGTCGTCATGCGATCACGTTACCAACACATTCACCATGGGAAAGCGCATGTTGTCGCAATGCGATGGAAGGTGCATGACGTCGAAGAAAGTCGCGTCGATGGATGTAACGCGACAGCCAATCGGAAGCGGCCAATCTGTGTGCCGAAGCATATATTCCGTCTGCTACTTCCTATTCGAGCTGCTCTTTAAATTCATACAAGCAAAGCGTGTTGGTTGAAGATGGGTGCGGAGGTAAGGAAAGAAGCAATGGCAGGAGACACCTCAACACCACCACCACCACCGCCCACCACATCATCCACCACATCATCCACCGCAAAATCCGCCCTCGGCCACGACCCAATCTACTACACCTGGTCCACCGCCTTCACCCTCCTCTCCGCCAAATACTTCAACACCCCCACTCCCCCGGACCTGGCCCGCAACTACTTCCGCGAACGCGACATCCTGCGCGAGGAGAAAGACTGCGCCAAATGCACCGCCGACGTGAAATACCTCCTCGCCTACTCCCCCATCATCCGCTTCATGAAACATAACATCGACCTCCTCGGTCCCGCCGACGGCTCCGCCTCGATAAACGAGACCAACGTCCGCTGTAAACGCTGCGAGGGCGGGCAATCGGGCGGGTGGGACGCGGAGTACGGGATCCTGTTGTGTGCGAATGAGTTTCGGAATCAGGGACACCTGGAGGACACGCTCGCGCATGAGATGGTGCACGCGTATGATCATTTGCGGTTTAAGGTGGACGGGGTCAATGATCTGAGGCATGCGGCGTGCATGGAGATTCGCGCGAGCACGTTGAGTGGCGAGTGTCGGTGGGCGCGGGAGTTCTTCACGCGCGGCCAGTGGAATTTGACGCAGCAGTTGCAGGAGTGTGTGCGGCGCCGGGCGACGTTGAGTGTGAGTAAACGGCCCGGGTGTGTGGATGATGTGCAGGCGGCGAGGGTGGTGAATGAGGTTTGGGATAAGTGTTTTACGGATACGAGGCCGTTTGATGAGATATATCGATGAAGATGTAGCGATGATGCGGAACTTGCGCGGGACGGCGTAACGGATGGCTCATTTACATGTCTTCTCCGGCTTGTGCAATGGCATAGCGGTGGCGTTCTGGTGATACGCTTAGTGGAGTCAGGAACATGGAGTCTGGTATCGATCATTATTGAAGGGGAATTGGTGCATGGTGCGAGGTTTCGCACGAGGCGCTGCATATCCCATTCCGATGCATATCAACGGAACACCGTCAACCCCCTTATACGCCGCAGTCATGTGCGCGCACGCTATGCTCCTCTCCAAACGAACAGTCCAACCCAACAAAATACGAGAGTCGTCACAACATCCACCCACCAGCAACCACTTACACCCCACCCCTCTCCTTCTTAAGCTCCCCACTCGCCCTCTGATACGCCCGCTCGCCCTTCACGCAATGCTTCACAATCCACGGATGCACCTCCACCTCCTCCAACGGAATCCTCCTCTCCGGATCCAACACCAACAACCGCCTGATCAAATCCCTCGCCTCCGCACTCACAAACGCCGGAATCGTCATCTCACCCCTCGCAATCCTCCGTTGAGTCATAACAGGCGTATCCTCAAACGGCGCCTCGCCAACCAAGAACTCATACGTCAATACGCCCAGACTCCACAAATCGACCTTCTCACTGTACCAGTTCTCCTCCCTGCCCGGTTTGATCATCTCGGGGGGCAGGTAGTCGAGCGTCCCACACATGGTATTCCGCCGATTATTCGGCGCATGCACACTCCACCCGAAATCGGAGATTTTAATCTCCCCATGTATCCCCACCAATATATTCTCCGGCTTGATATCCCGATGCATCACATGCTTGCCATGCAAATAGCGCAACGCACTCGCCATCTGCGCCACATACTGCGCCGCCTGCCACTCGGGAAACTTGCCCGCCTTGCGCAGGTGTTTATACAACTCCCCCCGCCCCGCGAACTCGAGGATGAGGAAAATCCGCTTCGTGTCGTGGAAGTGGCCGTACAGGCGCAGAATGTTGGGGTGCGCGAGGTTGGATTGGATCTCGATTTCCCGCCGGACTTGCTTCTCCACTTTGCCCTGCGTCAGTTCCGATTTGTGCAGGACTTTGAGGGCGCAGATGAAGTTGTTGCTGCGTTCGCGCGCGAGGTACACGCGGCCGAATTTGCCTTTGCCCAGGGGTTTGCCGATTTCGAAGAGGCCGAGGTGGAATTGTTTGGGTAGTTGAGGTTGGGGTATGATTCGGGGTGCAAGGGTGAGGGTGTCGGTTTCGGAGGGGCGCGAGTCGGCGGTGCTGGATCGTTGTTGTTGGGCGGCTTGGGAGGGGAGGGTGATTTTTGTAACGGTTGTGGTTGTGTTGCTGCTAGTTGGGGGAGGTGGCGCTGCTTTGCCTGCTGCGGCGTTGGGCGGTAATTTTTGGAGGGGGAGTTTGAGGCGGCTTTGCTGCGCTGATGTCGTTGTTGCGGAAAGGTTGGAGAGGGAGATGGTTGTGCTGGGCGCACCCTGCTGGAGTGTATTGTCAGTGCTCACTGCGTCGTAGATGATATACACTGTTGTGGGTTGGAGCTCACCTTCGCCTTGTGCTGCGCTGTTGGCGCTGGGTTGTTGTAGTTCTCATCCTGCACCGAGATGCTTTCGAAGCGCTGTTCGAGTGCTTGGATGTCTGCCATGGTTGTTGCTTTTCTCGTCAATGAATGTGCTGGAGCAATGCTGGCTACCACACGCCGTACTTCTTGTCGCTGACAGTCTAGTATCAATGTCGTTCACTAGCCGGGCGCATTTGAAGTTTAGCCTTCCCCGCAAACAGAGACGGTCGTACTGGACAACCGTTCGCGCAGCCAATCACACTTACGTCTTGGCGGGGAGCTTCAGGCCTCCACCTACACATGAGCCGCCTTCTCACTGCAACCATTCAGCATCATCGACGTTCCGCCGATTTTGTAGTATTAAGACTCTGGTTGGATCACCAAATGCAAGAGAGCGAGACCATAACTCCACTCACGTGTTAAGTATGAGTGCAACGCTTCCCAAGCATCTCAAACATCTGTGCGAGAAGGCGTGAGAAACGTCCCGGTAGGTCGTCTCATGCTACTGTCCGTCCAGCATACAGTAGACGCTTGAGCACTAGAGCTTCCGCTTCCAAGCACAACAGCCCCATATGTCACGCAACAGGAAGATCGTCAGGTTCTCTATCCTTGGCACAGGATTGGAGCTCCCATCTCTTGTGCGAAATGGCTACCTAACAACCCCACCTTCTAGTCGTTGGAATTACAGCAATGCGCAATGCACATGCATTTCGTGAGGCATTGCTTGGACATTGTCAAATCAAGCAGACTTTTATGTGAAGGGCGAGAAGGATCGGCGAATGTATGCCACGCAGCACGTTCAAATCATGATGGTGGCGGATGAGGCGATGCTTGGAGAGCCGGCCGGAGACAGCGAACTGACAGCAATGACCGAGGGAGTCCAGTTGACGAGGAGGAACGAACGATCTCGGACACCAGTTATGCCCGCTTCTTATATAGATATACACCTATCAAGTGTTTGTGTTCCAATCTCCCCAGCAACACGTCGAAGCGCCCGTGAGCCCGAGGTCGGCCCGCGTGTCTGAGGAAGGAAGTCACGAGCCCACCTTCCTTCGGAGTGAGACATACACACATGTCCCATTGTCACCGCCATTAGCATTCCACTCGCGTGATTGATCTACTTCCACTTCTACACGAATCGGGTCGTCGCTAGAGTCACGGCCATTCTGGCTCCCCGCGGCGCCTTCACCTCTCCCTTCCGCCGTCCGCTCCTCCTCTTCCTCCTCGCCCTCGTCGCCATTCTGGCTCTCTACCAGGTCGTTCCCCGCCTGCGCACCTTCGTCTCTCAGATCACCATCCCGAAGGCGCCCTTCTCAGTCACCACAGGACAACGGCCCATCACCACATCCACCATGGCGAGCGCGAAGTACAGAAAGCCGCCTCAAGCGCCGCCGCTCTTCACGCATACACCCGAGAGGCTTCTGCAAGATACTGATCGCATCATCGAGCGGAGCAAGAGTCTACAGGACCGAGTGGTCAAGGATGTGTCGCAGGACAAGGCGACGTTCGATAGTGTACTGCTACCATTTGCGCAAGATGACGATCAGATGAGTCTTTCCACACACATCATTGGCTTCTATCAAGCCGTGTCTACAGATGCCAAGCTGCGAGATGCGTCGACGGAGGCGGAGAAGAAGATGGACGACTTCTCCATCGAGGCGTCGATGCGCGAGGACATCTTCCAGCTGGTGGATTCGGTCTTCAAGAAGCAGAAGGATGACCAGAAGTTGGATGCGGAAAGTAGGCGGCTGCTGGAGAAGGACCACAAGGGTTATATTCGGATGGGCCTAGGGATACCCGCCGGACCGAAGAGGGATCGTTTCAAGGCGATCAAGAAGCGGTTGTCTGAGCTTAGCATTACCTTTCAGAAGAACCTGAACGAGGAGCAAGGCGGCTTGTGGTTCACACCTCAGGAGCTAGACGGCGTGCCGGAGGATGTGACGAGCAATTTGAAGAAGGGCGAGAAAGGCACGGAACACGAGGGCAAGCTGTGGTTGACTTTCAAGTACCCGGATCTCTTCCCAACGCAAAAGTACTGCCGGAACGCGGAGACGAGGCGGAAGGTGTTTGTTGCGAATGAGAACAAATGCAATGAGAACGTGCAGCTGTTCAAGGAGGCGATCGTCTTGCGAGACGAGGCTGCGCGGTTGCTGGGCTACCCCAACCATGCCACATTCCGCATAGAGGACAAGATGGCTAAGACACCGAAGACAGTGGATGATTTCCTAGGCGACCTTCGGAAACGTTTAGCACCTGGTGGAGAGTCAGAGATCGCGAAGCTGAAGGAGCTGAAGAAGGCCGAGACTGGAAATGCAGACAAGTACTTCCTTTGGGATCATCGCTTTTACGATACTTTGATGCTGGAAAGGGACTACAAGCTCGACCAGAATCGGATAGCGGAGTACTTCCCGCTTCAATCCTCCATCGACGGCATGCTCAAGATCTTCGAAGAGCTGTTTGGGCTCGTCTTCGTTAAGCTGGAAGCGGAGGACCGCAACGCCATTTCCGAGACTGGCAAGGGTGAGGACATCGTCTGGCACCCAGACGTTCACGTTTTCTCCGTCTGGGACGATGAAGGCGAGGGCAGTGGGTTCGTAGGGTATTTGTACCTCGACTTGCACCCGCGAGACGGCAAGTACGGCCACGCTGCCAACTTTAACATCCAACCCGGTTTCATCACCAGCAACGGCACGAGACGGTATCCCGCAACCGCATTAGTGTGCAACTTCAGCAAGCCCACGCCGAAGAAGCCAAGCTTACTCAAGCACGACGAAGTGGTCACCCTCTTTCACGAGCTAGGCCACGGCATCCACGACCTCGTCTCGCGCACCACCTACTCTCGCTTCCACGGCACCTCCACCGTCCGCGACTTCGTCGAGGCCCCATCCCAAATGCTAGAAAACTGGTGCTGGACACCCTCCCAAATCAAAGCATTAAGCAAGCACTGGAGCTACCTCAGCGATGAATACAAACAGTCATATCTAGAGAGCGCGACAAACGGCGACAAGCCGCCCGCGGAGAGTATGCCAGACGACCTGATCGAAAGCATCGTAAGCACGCGCCACGTCAACGACGCCCTCTTCAACCTCCGCCAACTCCACTTCGGCATCTTCGACATGACCGTGCACGAACCCTCCTCCCGCTCCGCCGTTGAATCCCTCGACGCAAGCGGGCTGTACAACAGACTGCGGTACGAGATCTCCGGGCTCGATGGCCCTGAAGCCCTCAACACCTCCTCCACAGACACAAACTCCACACCAGACGACGCAAAATGGGACTGGGCCAACGGCCAAGCAACCTTCGCACATCTGATCGGTGGCTACGACGCCGGGTATTATGGCTACCTGTCCAGCCAAGTCTACTCGGCGGATATGTTCTATTCGGTTTTCAAGCGGGATCCGATGGATGGGAAGGAAGGGAGGAGGTATCGGCATACGGTGTTGGAGAGGGGAGGGAGTCAGGATGAGATGGAGACGTTGAGGCAGTTTTTGGGGCGGGAGCCGAGTACGGAGGCTTTCTACAGGGAGCTGGGGCTTTCGTGAGGGGAGCCAAAGTAAGGTACGCCTGAGCTGGGAGACGGCTTGCGAGCTTTGTTGAGGAGGATGATGAGTCCTCTGTGAGGTGATATGCATGCATTTTTAACGTTGTATATATTGCCAAGCGTACTGACTAACAACGTGCTCGTGGTGACGGCCGTTGGGCCTTGTTCAAGAAGCGGCGGAGCTTGCCGGCTTGTCTGACCTCACACTACTCTTCCGCTTTTCCAAGGGCTGTCTACAATGAGCGAGTCCATGTTCGTGCAGCGAAACATCACCAAGGTTATTCGCAGTGTCAAATGGCCGGGTTCTTATAGCGGAGATAGGACTTGTCCTCGTTCTGATTGACCATTTGAGCTGCCTTTGCCACCCACAAGGTTTGACCAGCTACCTTTTCTGCAAGGCAGTTACGCATCAGTTCCACGGCTTCGCTCGATTCACTGGAGTCGTCTTATGTCCAGTACTAGAGTCAAACAGTCTAGCGTACTGGAAACTGTGAACAGCCAATCATTCCATATACAAGCCCTTACCCGCCGGAACAAATGACTCCCGAAGAAGCATCAATCCGGCACACAACCTCACCGAACGGTCAGGACACAAACCCCCGAAACCCAACAGATTCCAACATGACCACCCCAACCATAGCAACCCTCCCCCGCATCAGCAAAGAAAACCTCGCCGAGCTCCTCCGCGCCAAAACGGCCGGCGTGACCGTCGTCGACGTGCGCGACAGCGACTACATCGGCGGCCACATCCGCGGGTGCCAGAACGTGCCGACCTCCACCCACGACCACCGCATGCCGGAGCTCGTGCGCACGCTCAAGAACCAGGATACCGTCGTCTTCCACTGCGCGCTGTCGCAGCAGCGCGGGCCGAAGAGCGCGCTGGCTTATGTGCGCAAGCGCGCGGAGATGGCGGAAAGGGGCGAGGTCGGGGTGAGGGGGGATGGGGAGGATGTGGAGAGGGCGCAGAGGGTGGTGGTGTTGGAGGGGGGGTTTGTGGGGTGGCAGGAAGTGTAGGTTTGGTTTTCCCCGGGTCTTCGCGATCTTGTGGTTGTTTTGCTGACGCTAGGGTTTAGGTATGGTGAGGATAAGGAGCTTACGGAGGGGTATGTTAAGGATCTCTGGGATGAGAAATAGTGATGTAGGAGTTGGCCTAGCGGCTCCGGATTAGCATGGCGTCTGGGCGCTGCTTGGAGAAGCTCATGTTTGGCACGCGCCCTCGGTCTTCTCGGTCGTTCAAGAGTGTCATTCATCATGGTTGTAGCTACCTTGTGAAGGCCGGGAGTGTCCCATGCCTTGACGTGCCTGCTAGTTACCTCGGTGAGGAGCGCACATGTCGTGCTGTCGAACGTGGTGTTGCCCCATAAGCGTGGGCCAAGACAGTCTGTTGATCCTCCGGGAAACATCCACGGCGGCGGTAGTGCGCCTACTATGACAAACAACAGCGCCCAGCAGGCTCTGGCGTAAAAAGAGCCGTTCGCCTCCCTCTACCCGCACATCGTCCAGATTGGTGAGAAGTACTATGAGCTACGTTGGCCCCACTGCGAGGGTAACGCTCGTAATGCATCGTCCAACACTTTCCTTGTGGCGCCTCGTTGGTTTGTACAGCGTATGAAGAACACCCACAGCGAATACTGCACGACCGTCGTGGACTTTCCCCTTAACAGCACGGAACGTCTGCTCACAGTCTCTGGAGTCCAGAAGATCCGCACTGGGGAGGGCAACGATTTCATCCAGAAGAACCCGGTCGGAAAGCAGCATGAAGACAATGCTCGATGCAAGCCCGGAAAGCCGCATCCAGTCCCGCAATTGCCGACTGTTGCGCAGGAGGCGGACGGCACGTTCGTCAAGCTCGCACGTAATTATTGCGGTGGCAACGCCTGGGCCTTGAAAGGTGCGCCGCCGAGCGCGGCGTACAAGCTCGCCTTCATACACGGAGTCAGGGGCGTTGCAGCGCACATTGCTGAGTATCATGCGGAGCTGAGTGAGAAGGTGCCCAAGATTGACGTGCACGTTCAAGTTCTCGACAGTTGCAGGACGCCAACCGACTAAGCAACACTCCAGGCACTCAAGCTGGACAGGACTGCAACCATGATGAAGAAGTGGAGGTGAGTGGGAAAAGGAGTCATGGAAAGAGGCAAGAGTGGAAGGGCCGAAGGCAGAGTCCCGCGGGCAGAATGTGTTTATGGATACCGATAATTGCAGCACAGGAGCTTGAGGAGAAGCGTACGAACAGCGTCAATACTGACCTTTGTGCATACACCAATTCCGGCAAGGCGACGCCGACCCGTTTCGTGGGACTTATCCCGAGCATCCCAGAAAGTGCAGAGCAGCGCATGAACAGCGCCAGTGGTGGTGAGACGCTCTTCAAGCTCTCTGTCGTATTTCAGGACTCATTCTGACACAGATGCTGAGGAGCCCACAGGTCAGTACGGACCGTACGCGCAACAGGTCGATTTTATGGGCACATTCAGGGAGTCTTCGACAATAAACAAGTACTGGGGACGTTCGGCGGCTCTGGGGTCTTCTGGACATTATTGATCACCCTGATGTATTCTACCGCAAGGCACATTTCGTCTCAAGCGTGTGATGGCGCGAACGTATTCTGACTGAAGCAGAACGCGTGCGGGTTGCCGCTGGCAAGAGGACTCGCTTGCGCTCTTGCAACGTACAATACCTCTAGAGCCTTACGATGTTGCAGCGGTTGGTATGGAGGCTTGCTGGCGTGTTGCTTATGACTCTGACAGTCTTCGTGATGTCGATGTTTGTGGTAGAATCTGTCGGATGGCGTGGTGAGCTTGATTGACGGCAATCGCCGCGGCTTGAGGCCCTAGTCACCATCGGCATATGGCTAAAGATTTTCCACCAATGCATGCTCGCTACAACTCGTCGCGGACCATTATGTATCGCGTGGCAGCCTCCGAACGAACGGAACCATTCAACGGGTACCTGACCAGCTGCATGACATACTCGGAGCTATAAAAGATTCGAGCCATCCCAGTAGGGTCTCACGTGTAAGTTGAAATCAGCCAGCTTTCCGCTTCTTCCTACGTCTTCACACCATTTTTCCATTGCAAGAACCATCTTCTCATATCAGATATCAATCTGTTGCTCAGAATGGTGACTATCACAAGAGCCACGACGCGCGATGTACGCTTTCCAGTAAGTGATGCCCTGGTCAGTACCTCGTCATCTGCATTTCTAACCTGGCGATAGACCTCCCTAGACAAGACGGGCAGCGATGCCATGAACGCTGCCGGCGACTACTCGGCCGCCTATGTCATTCTTCATACGGACTCGGAACATAGTGGCCATGGCATGACCTTTACCATTGGCCGTGGCAACGAGATTGTCTGCTCAGCGATTGCCGTGCTTTCTGAACGTGTCAAGGGCAAGAAGCTCGAAGAGCTCGTAGCAGACTGGGGCAAGACCTGGCGGTATCTAGTCTCAGACTCGCATCTCAGATGGATTGGGCCAGAAAAAGGAGTAATTCATCTCGCACTAGGCTCTCTTGTCAACGCTATCTGGGACCTCTGGGCCAAAGTGCTGGGTAAGCCTGTGTGGCGTATCGTGGCGGACATGAGCCCAGAGGATTTCGTCAAGTGTATCGACTTCCGATATATCACCGACGCCATTACACCTGAGGAGGCCATCGCTATGCTGAAGAAGGAGGAGCCGGGCAAAGCGCAGCGTATGAAAGACGCCGAGGCTAATCGAGCAGTACCCGCATACACAACTTCCGCTGGTTGGCTCGGTTACGGCGAGGATAAGATGAAAGGCTTACTGCAAGAAACTTTGTCGAAGGGTTACAGGCACTTCAAGCTGAAGGTCGGCACCTCAGTCGAGCAGGATCGTAAGCGATTGACAATCGCTCGAGATGTGATTGGGTACGATAAGGGTAATATTCTCATGGTTGATGCCAACCAGGTGTGGTCAGTACCGGAAGCGATCGAGTACATGAAGCAGCTTGCGGACTTCAAACCTTGGTTCATTGAGGAGCCAACATCGCCTGACGATGTTTTTGGGCACAAGGCGATCCGTGAGGCGCTGAAGCCATACGGTATTGGTGTCGCGACGGGCGAGATGTGTCAGAACCGAGTCATCTTCAAGCAGTTGATTGCACAAGGGGCGATCGATATCTGCCAGATTGATGCATGCCGAATGGGTGGCGTGAACGAGGTCTTAGCGGTCCTCCTCATCGCGAAAAAGTACGGTGTCCCTATCGTGCCGCATAGCGGTGGCGTAGGTCTGCCGGAGTACACCCAGCATCTCAGCACCATCGACTACGTAGTCGTGTCCGGGAAGCTGTCGGTATTAGAATACGTTGACCATCTGCACGAGCACTTCTTCCACCCAGCTGTGATTAAAGATGGCTACTACACGACACCCACCGACGCCGGCTACTCGGTTGAGATGCGGCCGGAAAGCATGGATCGATATGAGTTCCCAGGCAAAGAGGGAGTTAGCTGGTGGCGGAGCGAGGAAGCCAAACCAATATTGGAGGGTGATAGAATATAGCACACAGAAAGCGGAAGTCCGTACGGCTCAATTGACCATTACAAACCTTACGTCCGTAACGACATCTATCCGTGATGCTAGCTTGGCTGGCTTGTTGATTTATTGACGGATGTGGAAAAGAGGATGGTAACGCTACTAGCAATCATCAGCTTGTCGAGGATTCAATATCCGATTCCGAGCTGAGAGCGTACCGTTGAGCCGCAAGGGCCACCCAGAACGCCTAAAAGAGGCGAGCATTATAAACAGTGCCGTGCTCGCAAGCAGCAGCATGTTACGCTCGTAAATTGTTAGAGATCTGATTGAATTAATAAGCATACAGAGGTTGTCAAACACGCTAACAAGATGCCTACTGGATCGTGCCTATGTGGTGACATCAAGGTATCTTACACGGGCGATCCTCCGTATACGGTAAAGGCTGCGAGCTGCCCTGGAACATATGCTCTGGCTAACATCGTTGGGATCAGTCTATCTGCTACTGTGACGACTGCAGAAAGATAGGCCTCGCCCAACTCTTCCCCATCCCCGAAGACAGCTTCACCTTCGACTTCGGCAAAGACAAGGTGAAGGTACATACCAAGGTGGCCGACTCTGGCTTCGATGTCAGCACGCATTTCTGTCCGTCTTGCAGCGTCGCGCTGTACCGCACCTCCACGAAACCTTCTTTTCAAGGCATCATTGGTCTCAGGGCCGGCGTGATTGATGATCAGAGTATCGTCAATGCCGCAACACCCAAACTCGAGATCTTTGCTGAAAGGCGACCGATTTATATCGATCCTATTCCAGGTACTCAGAGGGTGAATTGCAGGTTCGAGAAGATAGACTAGTTGCTAGCGCGTACGGCGCCGACTTGCTGTGGACACCGTCGAGCTCTGTGCAAGGTTAGGGTGCTGAACGCTGAACTTGGTCTTATTGTCTGGATCAGCTCAGCATCATTGCGACTCTCTATATGTACATACATGGAGTGGAGTATCCATGCGGAGCCTTCTTGTACAACGCAGCCAGAACGCGCAAGTCCATGCCGAAGAATGGCAGACACCTTTCCTGCTAGTTGTGATCAAACGCGGATGTCCTAGCCAGACTCCAATCAACTCCGCGAAATAAAGATCATGCTACACCCAGATCTAGTTGCTCTCGAATCCACTGTCCTCTTCATCCTTTTCTCGCTCCTCCTTAGGTGGCCGTCTCAGCTCCTTCTTCCACAATCGGTTCGCTGCCGATTCGTCCACGTTCGTGAACACCAGGTTGAAGACATCTTGATACCAATCAACGGGTTTACCTTCTATGCCTTCCTTAATGTTCTATAACAGTCAATGTCAGCTTACACGCGCGAGCTCTTCTTGGAAGGCATGACTCGACTCACCTCAGGCAGCTCCAGCCAATCCGAAGTGTTGTCGCGCGGGAAAATGATCATGCTCGCACCGGCCCTCCGTGCAGCAACAGTCTTCTCTCTCAGTCCACCTATCCTAAGCACCTTACCAGTGACTGTGAGCTCGCCAGTCATCGCAATCGTGGGATCTAAAGGTTGATTCAATGCCAGTGACAGCAAGGACGTTGCCATGGTTATACCTGCTGAGGGCCCGTCCTTTTGCACCGCGCCCTCGGGACAATGCAGATGTATCCGGGCCTTTTCGAAGAACTTGTTGCCTGGGTAGTGTCTGGCCACAAGCCCTTTTGCGAAAGAGTACGCAATCTGCGTACTCTCCTTCATCACGGGCTTGAGGTTGCCGGTCCGCTCTAGTCCGGGCCTTGAGCTGTACGAGAGCGCGGTTTCTAGTATGCTCTCAACGTAGAGCGCCGCGCCACCCATCTGCGTCCATGCCAGGCCCATAGCGACACCAGGCGGCGTTGTGTCGTACAAACGATCGCTCGTGAATACTGGCGGTCCTACGTAGTCCTTCAGGTTGTCCTTGTCGATCTTAACATGCACGTTCTCCGGAACCTTCAATGCCACTCGCGGCTTCTCAGACGTTTCCTTTTCCATCTGCTCCTCGCTTGGAGTGTCTTTGACATCCGTCTGGTCTTTCTTCGCTTCGTCTTGTGCCTGCTTGCCTTCTTCCGTCAATGCCTTGTCTTCGGCGAAAACCTCCTCGCCCAGATCCTGAATGATCTTGAGCGCAGACTTCCGGTACACCTTCTCGATTTGCTTTTTCAGGTTGCGGACACCAGACTCGCGACAGTATTTGTTGATGAGCTCGACGATGGCGTCCTTCTCAAGCTGCACGTCAACGTCCTTAAGGCCAGACATCTCCTTGGCCTGAGGCGCAAGATAGCGGTCTGCGATGGCCATCTTTTCATCGGAAACGTAGCCCGACAATTCGATCATCTCCATACGGTCAAGCAGCGGCCGCGGAATGGTATCGGTCATGTTCGCCGTACACACGAAAAGTACCTTTGATAAATCGACGGGTACATCCATATAATGATCGAGGAAGCTGCTGTTCTGTTCCGGATCAAGCAGCTCCAGAAGCGCACTCGAAGGATCGCCTTGATGTCCTCGTCCAATCTTATCTACTTCATCGATGAGTATCAGAGGATTCTCAGTCTGGCATTTCTTCAGTGCTTGGATTATGCGGCCCGGCAGCGCGCCGACGTAAGTCCTCCTATGACCCTTGATCTCTGCCACGTCGGTAAGCCCACCGACAGAGAAGCGGTAGTACTGCCTGTTGAGTGCGCGTGCAATGGACTTGCCAATACTGGTCTTGCCAACACCGGGCGGACCAACCATGCACAGAATCTTGCCTTCCACGGTGCCTCGTAGCTTTCCAACAGCGATGAACTCCAGAATGCGGTCCTTGACGTCCTTCAAACCGTAGTGGTCGTCGTCCAATACTTCACGCGCATGCTTAATGCCAAAGTTTTCCGCACTGCGCTGGCCCCATGGAATCTGCGTAAGCCAGTCAAGGTAGTTTCGCGTCACGTTAAACTCGCTTGCTGCCGGCTCAAGATGCGCAAGCTTGTTGATTTCTTCATCGAAAACCTTCTTCACCGCCTCCGGCATTGCAAGCTTGGTGGCTTTCTCTTTGAACTTCTCCACCAGCTTGTCCTTGCCATCGGACTCCAAGCCTAGCTCTCTCCTAATGCCCTTCATCTGCTCCATAAGCCAGTATTCTCGCTGCCGCTTTTGAATCTTGCTTTCTACGTCTTTAGAGATCTTGTTACTAAGCTGGGCATTCATGTGCTCCTTCTTAATCACTTCCAGCGCCTTGCTGAGCCTCTGCTCAATGTTCAGCGCGCTAAGCACCGCTTGGGTCTCTTCCATGTCGCCGCCGGAAACGGCTGCGGCGAAGTCGGCAAGCTTGGCAGGCTCCTCAGCGATGTTGGCAGCAGACTGCGACATGGCAAACGCAGAGACATGGTCACGGAAGAGGTGGTTGACGTTACCGATCTCTTTGCAGACATTGACAATCTCGGAGATCAGCGCGCGGATGGTAGGAGACCGCTTGTCGAAGGGCTCATCCACCAAGTTCTCCACCTTCACCAAGCTGACAGGCCACGTTCTGAGAAAGGCCGTTGGGGAAGCCACTTCAAGCGCTTTCGGCTGCTGCTCGGCAGACTCCTTGTTCTCATCCTTCTGCTGCTCTTCGAAACTCGCCGTCACACCACCCTTCTGCTCATTCGTCTCGGGCTTCTCGCCGTGCTCTTCAGAAGAGGGCGCATCAATTGTGGCTTGAGCGGCCTGCTCCGGGACCGGCGCTGCAGGCGGAGCACGGTGAGGTGGCAAAAGCTCGCTCAGTCGTATTCGTCGATGCGGATATAGCACAGCTTGCAGCGCCTTGTCGTCTCCGTGTCCGGCTGGAAATGCGCCGGTAATCTGGCAAAACGTGCCGACATCGTATACCTCACTGGGATCGTTGATCACGTCCTGGCTGCTTTCTTGATCTTTCAGCAGGAACGCACCAACATAACTCTGGCCCATTTTCAGCAGCTGTTGCACAGCTGCAACGACATTCGGATCTCGGATTGTGATCGCTTTATAGAAGCCTGGGAACAGTGGCCGTTGCGCAATAGGTATAGCCATCACCTGAGGGTACACATCGGGAACAGATGGCTTTGCCAGCTCACGGCCTTGAGCCTTGCGCTTGCGGCTACCGCCATCGCCACTACCTGCGCCTGAGTCGCTGCCACCTGATCCTCCTGCACTGGATGCTTTGCCGTCTACTGCAGGCGTGATGGGCGAAGGTTCTGGCGCTTTACTCTTGGCTTCAATGTTCTCCTCATCCTGCCTCGATCGGTCTGTCCCCTCATCCGTGGTCTCCTTAGCAGCATCGCTGCCTTCATCGCCGGGAGCCTTGTCTTTCCGCCGTGCTGTTGATAACGAGAAGTCGCGTGACGCAGACGACGCAGGTCGGAGGAGGTGTGGGTGACCAGCTGTTGGTCTTCTGAGTAACGGTAGAGAAGGCGGCGATCGGACTCGGGCCTGACATGCCCTACACAGTGGCGGCGCTGCGCTATATGATCTCTGACCGGCGTGATGTAGCGACTGTCGCCGCAGCAAGTTCCTCCCGTGTATCATGCTCTCCTGACCTCTTCAGTTTGAACTCCCTGGGCCGGATGAAACTTGAGTTAGAGCAGAGGATAAACTAGAGCAGAGGATTAGTTAGAGCAGAGGAGACGGGTCGGTAGGGGACACTGTAGAAGAGAAGGTGGATTGCCTCCCACAAGCTTAACTCCGCATGATTAGCAGATGCTCCCGCTGTTTGCGTCACCAACGCCGCCGCCTTCGAGCCTTCATTCAGCCTTAACAATACACCACGAAGCAAGACGAAGTGCCAAACGAAGATTGTCAATGTCTTTAGCAGTATTACCCTTGTGCGTACAAGCCATTGTCTCCGTACATAGTTGGGTTCAAGTTGGTACTCCGCTGCTACAGTCGCTTTAAATGGCGCTGTGATTATATGCATACTATCTAGCCACGTGCTATCTACAGACGCCGATTATTCATCGCCATTCAGCCTGCAGGAGCCATGAGACGGGCAGGCTAGTCTTGGGATTGTCGCAAATGATGGACGCGAACTAAGTGGCCTTCTTCGCAAACTCCACCTTCAAGATCAAGTGGCCAAATCCGTAGCCGTCCACTTTCTCACATGCTCGTGCCGCATCCGAACGATCAGCGTAAGAAACGAATGCAAAGCCCTTCGCACGACCAGTCTCTCGGTCCTTTGCAAGGAAGACACGGGTAACGCGACCCCACCTCTCAAAGATTTCGCGAAGATCTTGCTCTTCGGCGAACTCTGAAACCTAGGGAAACCGTCAGCATGCCGTAGATGATGCTCTTGCGCGCTTCACAACTTACATTAGTAACTCTTAGCGTCGCCAGATCATCCCTCTCGAATTTACCACCGCCCATCCTCTCACCGCTGCCAGCAGCGCCTTTCCGCAAATGTGGCGGAACGTAGCTCCCTCCCACACCACCACCCCCACCCCCAGCGCCTCCCGTATCGCCACCCATTCGATCATCCAGATCCGACGGTGCTCCCGCAGCCTCACCTTCTGGCGCCATGGTGTCTTTGAACGGACACTTCGTGGTGAAGTGATCGCCCTGACAGATACGGCACTTGATTTGCATCTTCTTCTGCAGCTCCGCCTTCCGCTCCTCGTCCGGCGCCTTCTCCTGCACCTGTCCAGACTTGAAGCCCATTTGCGGCCGGAAGATGATATTCTCGCCCAGCGTAGTAGTATCCGGTCGTGGCCCAACCGGCTTGCCCGCCTCCGGTCCCATTTTGGGCCATGCTCTCCGCTCCGCCACTCGCGGGTTTTCCTTCTTCTTGACTACGGTACGGCGAATCCTTTGCGTTCGCTTCACGCGTTTGCCTTCTTCGTTGATGAAGACTGTGACGACTGTTTCCGTACCATCCTTGTTCTTCGTAATCTGTGGTGGAGGCAGGGCGGTGGCAAGATCCGGCTCGTCGTCCTCCGCCCAGTCGGTCCGCCCTGGCGTGTTCTGTACGTTGGCTGCCATGGTTGTTATTCGAATGGCTTCCCTTCGTTCATCGATTAATGTAACAACTCCAACAGATAATTGTTCATTGTGGGGTTAGTCATAAGCTTGGCTATTGTGTGTGGCGTTGAGGTAGGGCTACTCGGCTACTGCCGTTCGTCACGTGTTCGCTCTGCGAACGGTTTGTCGAACCCAGAAAGTGCCGCAATGAGCCTGAGCCCCAAAAAGATGCAGCATGCAAAACTCACTGGTCTTGATGCTCAAAGTGAGTCATGACTCTGGTGTCCTCGCCACCTGAGGTTATTTTGAGCGTGTGTAATGATGAGCAAAGCGCATGCTGGCCTGGTGCGACATACTGAAAACCACAAGGCTGGTATCGGAGACAGAGCCGTTGCACTCTGATAGCAGCCGTTGCACTGTTTCCCTCTAGAAGCCGGCTGGCGGCAGTACATGTTAACATTGCGTGACCGAACCTCTGTACACTTGGCCGAGACAACAATACAGCTTGTTGCATAACGGCTCGCCTTACTTTGTCTAGCTTGTGCAGCACTCAATGGGCACGAGCATCGGGCAGCCTCCGGTCATGCGAGAGCGGTGACCACACAACGGAACAGAACTTGCCAACATGAACCTTCTCGGACCACAGGGTTCGCCCATCTCGGAAGGGAACAACTAGGCAAGGCTCATCAGTGTGATGCCTAGATGGTCTACACTACCTTTTGCCACATCCGTAAGCAGGAACCAAGACAGAGGGGTTAGGAAGACACTGATCGAAATCGATAAAGCTTCCACACGAGGCGCGTGAACTTGCTGACTGAATCTATTGTGTTGCCGTGCCGCGGCTGGGACATGCCTCGCGAACATCTCAAACTTGGGCTTGTAGTATGAACAGATATGGAGGCGGGCCTAGCCACCCCTAAACCTCTTTCCTAGTCATTGCAGTGGTGTATACAATACGCAGAGACCATGGCAATCAGTGCTTCCGATGGCCACTCACTGCCATGAACTACCGATGACGCTGGAGTGAGACCTCGCCATTCTGGAGGCTAGATGATATTTCATCCCGTCCAAAGCTAGCTTACTTCACGATGCGTGATGAAAACGTTGCCGTGACTGTGAGACCTTCATTCAAACATAACTTGTGCGGACTTGGTGGATGGGTTCTTTTCGCCGAAAATTTCGTGATCGCCGCTGGCACCGCCAGAGTCAGAGATCTTGGAAGGTGGGAAGGCTCCTCGCTGGTGTATCTGCTGCCGCCACAATTCTGCACTCTACCAAGGTGAAATATACGCCTGAAGTTGTACGATAAGCTTGAAGCCAAAGTCCCGGGTTAGTTCCAGTAACAGTGTCAGCGAAACACTGCACCTTCTTCCAGACCTCGCCGCAAGCATGCGTGATTGAGCTTCGAAGAGCGGAAGGTCGCACCGACATCCCAGGTATTGGTTGAGCATCACAGAGAGCTCGTGCGAAGTGCCTCCGAGACCACACTCCGCAGCGAGTGTCGCTTCATGCCGATCTATGCCTTCACGGGGTATGTCGCAGCGAGGGCACTGATGGGGTAGGTTGAGGGTCTTGGAGGGGTTGTTTTTGCGGTGGTGCTAAGGAAGACTTTCAATCTGCCGTAGTCACCTACCACGTTATGATCTGCTATTGATGGACGCTGTCGGTGCTGGTGCTTGACGAACGCCAAGCATCATCATCGGCGCAGGCGCTAGCCGCGCTGTGTCGATCACGGAAGATGCCGCTAACGGGAGAAATGCTGCCATTACAAACTGACGTGTGCATGGGTGGTGTTGAGGGGGTGTGAAATCCACGAAGAGCTGCAAGGCTACGACAAGTACGGAAATTTTGGCTAGAGTCGAAAACTTCTGATCAGCGGTCGAGACACTTCAGGCGCAAACTTCGGAGTCGGGTCAGCTCTGCTTGTATGTGCTGGTCTCACACGTACTCTGTACTGTACGAAGTATGCGGCGTACGAAGTACGACGTGCTGCTGACTCGGAACCGTTCGATTCTGCGCAGATGCAGTATGGGCATGCTGCTCTCCTACTATCGACATTCGCGTGCTATGGCTTGCGCCACAGGTCCGCTGGCGATGGAATGCCGTGTGCCTTACAAGGGGAAAGCTTGTAACACAACGTGGAGTGCGGCCAAAGCGCTGGTAGTGGCAGATGTGGGTAGCTACAGAGCAACCACCCGGTTCCAATCCGAGCGTCGTGTCACTAGATCTGTTACTGTCAACTTGGCGGATGATAGGGTAATACGCTGGTTGGCATCGCTCTGATTGTGTAGATTTCCAGGCCGTCAGTCGCCATTTGACCGCCGGCTGAAGAGAGTCTGGCATGGGTTTTGCCTGAGCTCCACACTTCACGGATCCGCTATTCCAGGTTCTTCCACATGCCGAGCATCTCCCCAAATGGGAAGAGATAGGCCCTTTCACAACTGGGCCCGACTGCCCCAGGTCTGAGACGGCAAGGCGATCATTGTTACGGTCGTTAGCAATCAGTATCGGAGAGTCGTACAGCCAGTGGCGTGAGCGTGCATCTGCAAGAGAGATCCAGCCTGGCGGCAGGCACGTCGGAAGTTGGCCTTGTGGACTGCAGTTTAGTGCCCCAGACCCTGATGCGTGCTGTACGACGATCTTGCGTCTAAAACGAAAGGTAAACCATGACAGGTATCTAAGTATATACTCTCCGCTGGCAACAACCGTCGGCAAAATACGTAGAGCTTTGCGCAAGGTTCATCTCCATTGGATTATGCTGCCGTATCGATGTCTGGACCGCTGGTCGCGACGGTCAATGTTTTGAGCTATGGCCAGTGCACCGCGATCCCTACAATGCTGCATCACCGTGCAGCTCTCGCTGGGCATGAAACCAGGGCAGGGCAGCGATGGGTACCGGGGTGGAGAGTTTCCGCCCGCCGTAACATCAGCCACGCATGCGGGCCGCCGAACCGCACATACAGCGCCCTGTTCGTCCGAAATTACAACTTAGCCATTGCCATGATGCGGACGGACTGAGGATTAAAGACATGGTAGGTTGCAGCCCGAAGAGGGTGCTCCTGTGCATAGGATCATCCCGGGCCTCCATCCCGGCACTCAAGGAGTTAGGACGCACGTTATGATCAATACCTTCCTGGTGCCGATCGCTGCCAACGTCCTGAAGCAGGTAGAACTCCGATTGAGTACCAGTGAAGGCCCTAGCCTGATAATGCAGGCTTGTCAACTTAAACAGCTCGACCTGGTGGAGCATCTCATTGTCTTACATACCGCAGATTCATGACGTTACGGAGAGTGCCGAGCTACAATGACATGAAGCCTGAGCTCCCAGCAGCCATGTCTGTTCGTGAATCTCGGACATATGTACGTGATCCTGCCGTGTACCTGAACCTCGTTCTCGTCGCAGCTTTCGAGACTGAGCGGTACCACCTCGCACCTCAGTGCCTTCTGGACTTCTCCAAGCCTTCATCTATTGTCTTACGGTGCCCCTCGCCACCGTACTCTTCACCATAGCCGATTGGTAGTCGCTCGCGCCATTACCTGGCTACGAACGTCTACCGGGATTGCCGCACCTGTCGGTGTTAATTCAGACTTGGCCATTGATTTGATCAATGTCGACGTGCAGCCTCTGTAACAGTTTTTCGATGCTCTAGCGTCGTCAGAGGTGTCTCCCACGGATTGGATCACTTGATCAACCCTGCGACTAGCTTTATTGGACGTTGTGGTATCTGAAAAGGTGCGCTATTGGCTACAGTGACAACACTTGTTGCTTGGCAGTCACCATGGATGGACAATTTCCTCCACCAATACCGCCATATGGTGCTTATTATCAGGCCGGACCCCCACCGTTGTATCCTCCAGAACCGTTCCAGCCAGCTCTGCCACCCTTGAAAGGGTTTCCTATGGAAGATCTTGGCACGTATCCCGAGATTGCTGACCCCAGTCGCGCCGTGCTTCCATCTGGGTCGGAGCAGCAACAGCAGCCATTAGCCCAACGCCAACGCAGAAGACAGCCACAGGGTTCCGAGCATGTAAAGCACAGGCGAACCAGGAGTGGTTGTTACACCTGCAGACAGCGCCGTGTGAAGGCAAGTCGCAACGACAGTATTCCGGGATCATCTCGCTGACTAGCATACTTGAACAGTGTGACGAAGCACATCCCATATGTGAGCGTACGTGTCAAGAAGCTATTATCGTTGTGCTCGTAGATATCCTAATAGACGGACAGGTTGTCGTAAGGGCAAACGGGAGTGCAGTTGGCCGGGTTCCGCGTCCTCTACCTCACCATCGTCAGCCAAACCAACAGAGAGCGGAAGCAGAGACCGCGCGTCACAGGAGACTGGCTCATCTGGTGACGAGGAAGGTGACGAAGAGGGCTCGGGGCTTCCTGCTATTCCCGACGATGAATACGAAGACGATGATCAAAGCGAACCGCAATCTGCAACGTCGGACGTGCGCAGGCCGTCAGACGCTGCTTTTGCTGGTCAGACCATACCGTCTCCGATTATCGACCGAACCCAGCCTGATCAACGCTCATCGTCGCGGCCGCAAGTTGTGCGGACGTCGTCCAGACATACGGTTGGGCAGGACATAACGCAGAGCAGGAAATGGAAGACACTCACCCCCGACGTGAGGTCATTCCTGAAATACCATCGCGACTACCTGTCGTATCATCATTATGCCTTCAAGTACGACGCTGGAAGCTTTCTGAAAACCACGTTTCTCGAGATCGCGATGGAGGACGAAAGTGAAGCTCTGCTGTACGGCATTGTTGCGTTCGCAGCCTACCACTACGCGTTCGCAAGACGACTGGACGGCATCCGCAGGTTTCTGCAGTTCTACAATCAATCAATCACGCTCTTACAGAAGTCTGTCGTGAAAAAGCGTCACAACGTTGCTACGCTTCTGACAATCCTTCAACTGGCGGCAATCGAGGTAAGTATAGCGGAATGTAAGCATCAGTACACGGACTGACTCGATGAAAGGAGTTTTTGGGCGATTGGGTCAACCTGATGGGCCACCAAAGAGCCGCATACCAGTTGATGACAGAGCTGTTCACGCCTCAGACCATAATGCAGGACGAGACGCGTCGTAGAATCCTCAGCTGGTATATTCGGTTCGACCTCTTTGCATCGTCGATGTCTGGAGGCGATCCGATGCTTGGTCGGGAGTGGTTCGCTGTGCATGCACAGCATTATAAGCGGCAAACACGGGATCGTCCAAACGACTTGGGCGCAAGGTTGGAAGATTTCTTCTCAACGTCTCGGTTGCTGGCGACCGATCGGACGCTGTTGCTCGCCGCGAGGAAGCAGAACACGATCGGGAACGAGCAGTTCTTGCGCGAAGCAACGAGCTTACTGACTCAGTCCGAACAATTGAAAAACAAGCTCACTGCCACCTTCACCGACCCGTCCTATTTCGTCCACACCTTCACAAAAGGCCCTCCGCCCGGCGAAGCTGCGCTCACTGATTACCGGGACCCACATTTCCTCTACAAGGGCGACCTTTTCCCGATGAACTACGTCTTGATCGACTTCTGGGCGGTAGAACTGATGTTTAAGGCTCAGATGGCAGCAGTGATGCAACAGCTGCCTCCTCCAGAGGTTGCAGAGTTGGCCATGAAGTCATGCAAGATGTTCGAAGCAATCCAGTACACAGACGACGGTCCTCCAGGCGCCATACTCGGCTGCCAGGCAAGCCTCGGCATCTCTGCCATGTTCCTGCCAAAGGAGAGGAAGTACGTTGACTGGTCCCGCCGGAAATTCGCACTCATTGAGCAGACAGGGTAGGTCATGCCATTCTCTTGGTCGGTTCATTCGCACGCTAATCGAGTTTCAGGTACATCTGGCCGGCCAAACTCCGCGAACATTTCAGTGGGATATGGAATGAGGACGTCAAGCACTGGTGGCTGCCCAACCAAGAGGGCTATCCAAAGCTTGTTCGAACGTTAAGGGAGTTCGTGAAAGTGAGAGATGAAATGCCGAGAGATCCGACTGGTGAGAACATCAAGGACATGAGTGGATTATTCGCAACCATGAACATCTCCGACAGTCAAAGTCCACCAAACGAGTACTTGAAGGGTGGTATGGAGACCGACCCGGTTGCTTTCGATGCTGGACTTGACATCTCGCTCGCAATGGACGATGATAGTCCGAGGAATTACTGGCAGTAGGCCGCACCCGTCTGTGCGTGAGAGTCTTGTTGTTAGCCTCGCCATAGACGGAGCATGCATGTAGCCCGTCAGGCACTTGCAGCTCGTAAGCCTGTCTCATTGCTCAACATCGCAGGCGCTCCCAGTCCCAGCGCCTGCTGTTTGATCGTGATCTCCCACCCATGTGCTCACTGTGCGACCACAATCTTTCTTGACCATCCGACGGCGGTGACCACGAAAGCACGATATCACCTTGCTGACAAACTCTGCTGACCCGGCAACCAACCCCATACTGCAACCCTCTTCGACCCTTCATCTCTACTGCCTACATGTGGCAACCGCGCCTTGCAAAAATGTCTCCGGTCCCGACGGCACGTTGCAATGACCTGCCTCTGGAGAAGCGCCCCGGTGAAAGCGCGCATCTCATAGGTCGCCGCTCAGTGTAAATGCATCTTACATCATGATCCACCCGCGTTCAATGTCCGCCCATGTTCTTGGCGCGCTTTGCGCCGTCCTGAGTTGTTACAAATCGAAGTGGAGTCTCAGAATACTGCAGAAGTCAGAAAGATCTGAGGTTCCGATTTAAACAATATATGTAGGATTTCTATTTTCTATCAAAGTAACTCGGATCAAAACCAGTTTCGTCACCCTCCTAAATATTAAAATCTTTCTCGACCAATCGACGCAAGATGGCAAGCAACCAAGGAGCATGGCTTGACGGGAAGGGACACAAGCTTCGCGTCGCCGAGGCCGACATGCCCAAAGCTGGGCCAGACCACATCGTCGTGCGCAACCATGCAGTGGCTGTCAACCCCGTAGATTGTAGAACAACTTCCGTTCCTATGGTGTGTCAACAGAAACACTGACTAACGAGCGAATCAGGGAAGATACAGGACTCGGGCTACTTCGTCAAGACCTGGCCCCTCATCCTCGGCGTCGATGTCGCCGGCGAAGTCCACGAAGTCGGCTCCAATGTCACGCGGTTCAAGAAGGGTGACAGAGTCGCTGGGTGAGCAACACTCATACACACATTAATATAGATCATGGCCACTAACGATCCGAATAGTCACACCATCTCCCTCATGACCCAAACCCCCCAAGATGGCGGTTTCCAACTCTACTCCCGCCTCGTAGCGGGCAAAGCCGCCCATCTGCCCCAAAACATCACCTTCACCTCCGGCGCCGTCCTGCCGCTCGCCCTGGACACAGCAGCCGTGGGTCTCTACTCGACCGGGGGAGCAGGTCTGGGCCTTCCCTTTCCCTCCCTAACCCCGAAACCAAGCAACAAAGTAATCGTAGTCTGGGGCGGCAGTTCCTCCGTCGGCGCCCTCGCGATCCAACTCGCCGTCGCTTCCGGAGCGAAAGTCGTCACGACCAGTAGCAGCCACAACTTTGATTTCTGCAAGTCCTGTGGCGCGAGCGAGACGGTTGACTACAAGTCCTCCTCCGTCGTGGAGGACGTCGTGAGCGCGGTCGAAAAGCTCGGCGGCGAGTTCGCGGGCTGCTACGACGCCATCTCCCTCCCGGATCAGTCGTACAAGTACACCATTCCGATCATTGAGAAGCTCGGTGGCGGTGTGCTGGCGGTCGTTCTGGGACCGCCGGAGAACCCGCCGAGCAGCGTGAAGGCGGCGAGTGTGTTTGGGATTAACGAGATGACGCATAAAATTTGGGAGGAGTACGTCACGCCGGCGCTGGAGCAGGGGAAGTTGAAGTGCTTGCCTGAGCCGCTCGTGGTTGGCAAAGGGTTAGAGTCAGTGCAGGCGGGCTTTGACAAGAACAAGGCCGGTGTCTCGGCCAGGAAAGTTGTCATTGAGCTACAGTGAGCGGGGTGATAGAGTATTAGTTTGATTGGGAGCTCTGCTTGCAGGCAGACTATTGATATGCTACCACTGCATATAAGGAAGCAAGGACCATTGGTAAAATGAACCATGTAGTTGAACGATAGAGAAAATGTTATTGTTGGTCGGGCTAGCTATAATGATAGCATAGATCAAATCTTGAAACGCTCATCTACGAGCACAAGCGAGCGTAAGAATTAGCCGCTCAAGACAGCCTCCAAACACCACCTCGGCCGTCTATAGTCGCTAGAACGCGCGGAAGTAAACAAACTCGCCGTTCTCGATCCAGTCACACGATCATGCCGCGCCAGCGCTGGCCGGAGGGTCGTAGACCTTCGTCACTTGCTCACCAGCACGCACCACTCGGCTGCCGTTGCTGTCCTTGATGACCATGGAATCGGCACCCTTGTTCTCGGTGTGCGCCCGCTTCCAAATCTCGACCTCCATACCACCACGAATCACGCCGACTCTCATGGTCGAGAGCAGGTTGTGTGCGGCGTTGCTGTGGTTGTAGACACCGCCGTTGAACATGGCGGTGGCGTCCTTGCCGAGACCGCTCTTGATCATGGCTTTCCCACCTGGGTGGTCGTTGATGAAGTCGGTGACATCGTGCACAATTCCGGCGACAGCAATCAGTCCGCGGCCGTTGTTGGCTTGGTCGATAAATTCGTCCCACTCCATGACTGGTAGTTGCTCGAGCGGGACGCCCCAGTCAAGCTTGGAGCGCTTTTGGTCGAGCTTCTTCTGCTGTTGCTGAATGCGGCCCTTCTCGATTTCGTTGGAGCGGAACTGCTTGAGATCGTAGGCGAGACCCATCTGCTTCCAGGCCCAGATGGACCACTTGGTCGGGTCGTACTGGTGCCATTCGATGGCGTTGCGGTAGTCAGATGGGAACTCGTGGTGGAAGTTGTGGTAGCCTTCGCCCAGAGTGACAAGGGCAGTGATGACGTGGTCACGCGGGCTGTTGCGGTCGTCGAAGGGTTGGTCGCCGAGCCAGTGAGCGAGTGAGTTAACACAGAAGGTGGCCTGCTGGACGAAGAAGATGCGGAGGATGCCGGCGTAGATGAACCCGCCCATCCAGTCGCCCCAGCAGAGACCGGCGACGAGCGATGGGAAGATCAGACCCATGAAGAGCACGACCTTGAGGTAGTTCTTGTGCTGCCACTGCACGACCTTGTCGTCGTTGAGGTCGGAGATGTCCGTGCGGCCAATGCGCTTCGGGTTCTGCTTCATGATCATCCAGCCAAGGTGAGAGTAGAGCAAGCCCTTGCGGACGCTGTACGGGTCCTTGTCGGTGTCGGTGTAGCGATGGTGCGCACGGTGGTCCCGCGCCCACCATCTGATTGAGCCCTCGACGGCACCGCCACCCACGGCAGCCAGGAAGATCTTGAGCGGCAGAGTAGCAGAGTAGGACGTGTGAGCCCATAGCCTGTGGTATCCAGCCGTAATGCCGAGGCCAGTGGCGAAATAGTAAAGCACGGCAAAGATTGCAGTGGGAAGAGTGAGTGGCGTCCAGAGAGCAGCAATGCAGCCGGAGATGGGTATGCCAACGATCAGGACCACGTTCAGCCAGTTGACGTGCTTGTACCAGTTCTTCCTCGTCAAAGGAGTCTCGGTGATGTGAGGCTTCTTCGGGTCATACTTCTGGTTCCTCACTGGCTCTTCAGGTGCGGGCTTGGATGCTGCCGACGGCATGCTGGAGAGCTTGGTGGGGTCGACGGCCATCATGCCGGCGGTGGGTTGATGCGAAGGCATCGTGACGGATGTGTAGTTGTCGTCCGCAGTAAGAGTCCTTTTGATATGGATGGTGGCTTGGGTGGGTTTGGTAAACGCTGATGTTGGTGTGTAGGATGACACTGCACAGGAGCGAGTGTCTTTAGGGTAGATAGTATACAGGTGTCCTCTCACAAGCGAAAGTGGGCAGGAACAATGGTGAATGAAGGGAAGGGAGTGGCGGTGTTTGATGCCTTTTTGTTCTCTGGCAACATTCACCCACTGCCAAAAATGTTGTGGGGAAAGGGCTGATGGCTGATGGCGATTTCGCCCGCAGCTCAACGCTACGAAGCTACCGCTGAGCTATCGGCGACACCAGCCGAGTCCGGCCAGGAGCTTGCTGCGGGCGGTGTGAGTGGACAGTTCAGGGCGACACTGTCTGGGCGACGGCCGAAAGAGGGACGATGCGACGCTGTGAGTGGCCGATGGCTGGATACTGCCGCTTGGGAGGGACAAAAAGCCGTTGGGGGCGCTCACTGCGTCATGGGTCTCCGCCAAGACCACTCATCGTACGACCTGGTCCACGCGAGCAGATGCCGCATCTACTGCAGGCACAATATCATGCATACATGCCCATGCCCATGCCCATGCGCCAATACAGCACCACGATTGTGTGTAGATGGCCACTACTGCCTCTCCTACTCCCTACTCTACCAGTAGCGAAGAGACGAACTCATCGTCGCAAAAACCTTCCCTCCGACTGAAAGCGCCACTCAATGCCGATCTGGGGTTTCAGGGTCCGTGGTTCGAGATGCTTCTCAGCCCTACCATTCGCGGCGAGAACACCCGCTGCCTGCCATCGGCCGTAAAGAGCATGGCTGATAGCCCTCGGCTGTTCTCGTTCGCTGCTGCGGACAGACGGTGCGGAGTAGTGAACGCATGTCATGGGCAAGCTGTCTCCTAATTCTACGCGGTATGAGCTTACTATCACTCTCAGCAGCCTCTGCTACGAGTACTGGCATTGACGGCTACCTCTCCGGTGGTATAGGGGTACATTGGGAAGTACTTCGCAGCCCGTCGATTGTGAGTACAGTACCATGCATTAGCTATGTGTGACCGCCTGAACAGTGCCCTGAGTCGGAAGACTCAGAGCATCATTAGCGCCATAGCAACGTGAAGCTATTGCATTGCTAACGCCCATTGGTCTGCCGAACGCTGCATGCCGTGCGGTGATGTCTATTGACCTCGATACCGCCATGCAAGTCTTGCACGGCTTATCCTTCGTAGGCCTTCGTTGCGTGCGCCTCATCGTGCCATCCTAGCAGTCAATCCTGTATTACCCCGGGAGCACTAAATTCCCCGTCATCTTCAAGATCCTTCGTAAAAGAGGTGTGTCTTCCCAACCCGGTCGAGCTCACCCTTGTACCGAGTGATTCCATTCAGAACATTGCCATGGGGATCGCGCTCGCCTCGCTCAAACATCTCCAAGAGCGTGCGCGCAGAGTATGAACGATGCTCACCCTTCACCTTCATGCCCATTCTGCCGCCCAGGACCCATAACACCTCTTTGGCTCGAGTCAGAGCAACGTTGCAGCGGCCTTTGTCGTCCATGAAGCCGATTGCATCGCCGAATTGAAACGAGCCGTCGAGGACCACCATTGTCGACTCCTCGCCTTGACTGGCCTCAACGGTCAGGATACGTGGCATGTCTGCCAATGTCAAGCTCGCATCACGCTTGAGGAGCTCATCTCTCTTGGTGCAGTAGCGTAAGAGCTTGCCCGTCAGTCAGCCTTGTACTTTGGTCACGAGCATTCGAGCAGTAAGACTTACAGCTTCCTTGTACGCGCATATGATCATCATGTGGCCTTCCACGGTCTTGCCTTCCTGCTGAGGCTGCTTGAAGTACCCCAGTAGGTCAGGATAGACCTTTTCGAAAAACTCACTGGTGTGCTTGTCAACGTATGCTGAATCGTTCCTGTACTCTCGCCTCGCAACGATCTCGATCCACGCCAGGCGGACGTGCTCATTAGTAATAATGTTGTTGCAGAGCTTCTTCTGCAGGATCCCTTTCAGAACGGCGTGAAGGCCGAGCATGACAGGTTCAAGTGGTCGCAATGCTTTTGGTCCGTCGCGTAACAGCCCGTCGTAGAAGGCACGATTCGGAAAGGCAGCGATCGCCGCATTCATACGCCGCTGCTCCAGAAGGCGAAAGTGTGGGAACCCCTGCCTGACGAGCCGACACGGTAGTGAGATGTCGAGCCGATCACTGAACGCGTTGTATCGATCGTTCTTCTTCGAGCTGGTGTTTGTTGGTTTGAGCTGCTTGTCGTCACCGAACAAGAACACGCCGTGGACCTTGTCCGCCCATGTCTGGTTGACGATGCCAGCCCAGACGTTGATCTCCAGATCCTTCGCTGCTTCATCCACGAAGATGACGACCTTGTGACACGGCACGCCAAATTCTGCGCCCTTGGTAAACGCATCTAGCTCAGTCGCGCAAACGTTGCCGGTGGTCGTGACGAAGTATTGAGTGACTGCAGCGATATAACGCTTACATGCCTGGTAAGACATTCGATATCTTTCGGAAGCTGCGGTGTCTTTCCGGTCAAAGGTGTCAGTGAGGTAGGCGTCAAAGAATTCGTGCAAGATCAGCCACGCGTTACCGCCAGCCACGCTTGGGACGTTCAGAATGTTGTTCGCCGGCTGCTGTTGTGTCCTCGCTGACGCCTGCCTGATAGCAGTGGTGACGATCTTCTCGACAAGGCCATACTCTCTTGCAAGCTTACCGTGGGCCTTCAGCTCCTCAAGTGCAACAATGAGCTCGGAGTACGCGAGTACGCCACCGTCTTCGTGCTCGTAGTTCCGAAATGCGGCTTGACGAAATCCAGCCTGCTCAATATCCACGTCCCGCGAACCTGGATACAGGCGTACGTAATCAACCTCGCATAAGCCGGCGTCGTTTCCCGTAGCAAACCTTGCACGCTTCCTCTTCGCTAAGTGATCTGCGTTGCTATTGGCCGGCGTTAGTACAAGGATGTGAAGGCCGTTTTCGTAGGGTAGTCCGCAAGGGCTTCATGTAACAAGGTCTTTCCGGTGCCGGCAGGACCCGTTATCAGCACTAGGTCGCCTCTGGCTCGTTCCAGCCCATTAATGACTCTCAGTTGCTCCGCATTGCATTCCACTCGAAGCTTCAGTCGACGTTCAGCTGTCGCTTTGACATTGGGCCGAACCCATGGCATGTCAACGAGGTTGATGCAATCGATGAGGTCGTGCCCTTGGTTGAGCAGAACCGGATGCCATCGCTTGTTCTTCGACCGACTGAGCTGATACCCGGTTGCGAGTTGGGAGGTGTGTGTGAAAGAGTTGTAATGGGGTTCGAACGTGACATTGTAGTAAGCCTCGCTGAAGGTGAGCTCAGCCGCTTTTGCGTCCAACGCGAGCCATACCAAGCTCTCGGAGGTGATAATGAAGTAGGCATCATGGGCTAGGATACCCGTAGTGTTCTCCGTAAGGAAGCCGCTCACTTCGAGCTCGCGGGCGCCGCGTACAATCAACGTCATCTTTGAGTGTAGTTGATTCGGCAAGCGGTAGCGTGCGTCTTGGTCGGATCCCAATCGCCTAAATCTGGAGAATTTCACTCCCAGCACTTGGAAGTCGCCCTTCGCAAACAATCGATACCTGTGTGGTTGAACAGGTTTAGCCCACAATTGAAGCGCCACTTTTGCTTCAGCTTCAGCTATATGGACCGAGTAGCTGAGTTGCAGCACAGCTTCGGAAATTGTGCGAAAGCTGTCGGCGCATTCAAGGGTGACCCAGGGGTGCTTGACAGAGCCAGTAGTCAGAGCATAGGGCTTCTGCATGTCCTCTTTGGTAGAAGCGTACACCAGACCGCGTGGGAGGAAGGGTGCAAATGCCAGCTTGGCTCCGAACGAAGGCAGGGGCGGCCCACTGCCACCAGGCAGCAGAGACCAGACCTTGCGAAGCTTTGTTATGTCGGTGATAGACATTCGTTTTAGCCTCAGCTCAAAACCATAGAGCCGCCTTACGTCTGTGGTACAAATAGTCCTCAAAGTTTCTACGAGGTCGGCTTCTGCTGGACTTAATCTTGGCATTGTGTGTCCAACCCACCCAAACCCCTCGGATGGTGTGGGCGGGCCAGCGTAGAACTCGACCACTGATTCGTCCTCCGCATGCTGGCCGTAATTTTTGATGCTGCATGATTGCCCGTTGTAGTCATGCCAATGCCACTCGAGGGCCAGAGTAAGGTAGCTCGCATGGGGCGGGTCTCTTGACTGAAATGTGCATTCTAAACGTACCGTTGGCGCGAGAAGCTACATATGTCAGCGTATCGTTGAAACAAAGTGTAAGAACCAACATACAAGGGTGTTGTGAGTGAGCCGCAACTCATAGAAACTGTCCCGAGAGCCTATCGTAAGTGGAAACCGCCTGCCGTCCTCCAGCAACAGACTGCATGGAACGGCCGGCTGCACCTTACCGGCCAAATTTCGGATGAGTGCGTTGTCATTCCTGCCATCATTGTACTCGTAGAGGACTGCGAGATCTCGGGCAGGCCTGATACCCGGATTTCTGGTGATGCCATCTTTGATTGTTGCGAGATGCTTGTAGTACGGAGGTGGGTCACCGACAGACGTAGCAGAGGTCCCGTCGGTGCTGGTGGTGGTACTAGACATGTCGGTAGCCTTGGAATCCTGGCACACCGTCTTCTTGTGAAGCTTGTTGTGGACACAATGGTAGTGTTTCTACATGGCTGAATACTAGCTCAACAGGAATTGCGACTCAGAGCTATGACCAAGTGACTCGTTTGGTAGGCAACTGAGGCAGGAGCGGCATGTTCCGGTGGAAGGCACGAGCGGGCGACACGGCTCCAGTACCTCAGTACACCCCACTGTACTGGTGAAGTTGAGATCGCTGGTGACGCTCGCGGAAGGCTTCGCCATGGGCTTGCAGCGAGGTGTGAACGAGGGTAGTTGCTCCGAAGCCTCGAGGGAGGTAAGTCGACAGCTCGTTGTCAAGTTGCAACATATGGGAAGCCCAGCAGAAATCCAGTAGCGGAAACCCCTTGAACGGTGTTGGGCCGATGTTGAGGGCGGTCATCGCGCGTGGATTGTCTCGAACGACCCATTACGGTGGCACACCTCTAGCCCGCAGGAGTGTCCTTATGGCTGGCAGCTCGGATTTCCAAGTCATTGTACATCAGTGATGGAGAACCAAGTCGCTCACGGCAGCTTCATGGTTTTCACGCCACAGCACATGTGCGTAAGCATGGCCCGCTCAAACGAGGAATAGCGCGTGTTTTTTGCAGTGACAACATGTCAGATATCGTTGATATGGCATGTCCAGTGTCGTGCATGCTGCTAAGTCTGAGATGTAGCCTACCTGTTGTTACGTCGCCATCACAGCACCTACAGTGGCACTGCGGCAGTACAGAAAGGGTGCCAATACATGCCCCATGGTGCAAACATGCGTTGGGCGAGCCATCACAGTTTATGTTGTGAAGTGTGTAGAACGAAGGTGAGAGCTGAGGTTCTGATAGTTGAGCTGTCACGTGCCAGCCGACGTCATCGTGTGGTGGTGTTAGATCGCTCTGCTTGGTTCCTAAGTGTTGCTGCCCAACTTCAAGTCGTGCAGAGAGGCCATTCACTCTGGCGTGAACCTCCTCATAAGTGTATAGCTAAGCGCCATATAGAGAGCTTGGTCTATAACAGCCATACCCGCAAAGAGGCTTCCTCTGACAGACATTCTCTGTGCTTCCTTCACGTTTCCAACCACATCTTAGATCCTCGGGAAAATAAATACTTTACCGACCACTCTACAACACCCACCATGTCTCGCTTCCGGTCCTCTGCGGATGACCTGGCTTACGGTGACATACCACAACGATGGGATCGTGACCGCTTCGAACGATTCAACGCACGTGATGCACCTCCGAGACGGTTTGAGGAAGACTACCGCTATGAAGAGCGCGACCGACCCGGCCGGCGCGATGTCGCCGTCACTGACCGCATCGATGAGCGTGGACCTGGCGGAAGCTACCACGAGCGAGACCGCTATGTGGAAGAAGACCGCTTTGGTCCCGCTCGGCCGCGCAGACGCACTGACAAGGAGCTCTTTGGCGATGTGGATCCGCGTGAGCTTGCCAGTATGGCTCTCACGCCGTATAGACGTAAAAGCATTGGCCGGCAGGAGATGGACATCGATATTGAGCGCCGTGGCCCTCCTCGACCGGGCTTGCTACGCCGGCAGAGCAGTCTGGATACATTTGACCGACGGCCGGCACGTTACGCTCGAGATGACCCTCGCGTTCCACCCTATGTGCCAGTGCCGTTACCAATTCGCAAGTACGAGGAGCCCTTCGAAGAGCGCATACGGTACCGAGACTTTATCCCTGAGGACTACCGCGAGGTAGAGATACAGCGCGAACGGTCCGTGCACCGTCATCGTGAGAGCGATGCGCGTAGTGAAGCTCGCTCGCGGAAAAGCAAGGCCAAGTCTGTCTCGACTCGACGGACGTCGATCAGCAGTAGCAGCAGCGAGACAGTCGAAGAGAGCGAGAAGGCGGAAAGCATCCGTGAGAGCATCGCGGAGACCGAGCGCAAGATCAAGCGTGGCAAGACTCGCATGCCTAAGCGGCTGGTACGCAGAGAGGCGATTATGGATTTGGGCTATCCCTTTGACGAGGAGGAGAATTTCTTCGTTCTCCGGATTGCGTTGGAGAAAGACCAGATAGATGAGGTGATCAAGATTAGCGAAACCTACAAAGACGGTGGTACGCTACTCTCTGCCAGCGAGAATCACGATGACGCAGAGCTAACAATATCACAGAGAAGAAAAAGATCTACCGCTTCGAGGAGAAGGCGGAAGATTCTGAGTCCGACTTGACAGAAGTACCAGCCCGCGTCGAGCACGAAGAGGTGACTCGTACCGAGTGGATCAATCCACCCACCGAGATTATGGCTAGGGCACCGGCAGTACCACGTACCGAACGTGCCCGCTCAGTTCGAGCCTCTTCACCAAGCGCTCAGAGCTCCATCTCACGACGCACCTCGCCCCCGCGTCGTACTTCACCATCGCGCACGGTCCGTTCGCACCGCGCTCAATCTCGCCGGCCGCCGTCACCAGGGACGTTCGTGGAAGAGCGTCGGACAATCATCGAAGATCGATCGGCCTACCCGCCGCCTCCCCCGCCAGGTGCCATCCCCATGCCTGCCGAGCCTTACATTGACCATCGAACCTATATCTCCGAGCATGTTGTCGTCCCGCCACCTCCTCCACCGGGCGCGCTTGTTCTAAGGGAGCGCGAGGTACGTTCTGACCGCGACGTTCAGGCCGAGATCCGTGCTCTTGAAGCAGAGCGTCGTGCGCTACGGCTCGAACGCGAGGCAGAGGAGAAGCGTGGCATGGCGCTCCCACTGCGCCAGCATCCAGATGAGGACTTCCAGCTGGTGGAGTATCGTGAAAGGAGGCCTAGGGAGGTGGTGGAAGTGGTGGAGCGCGAAAAGAGTCCGCCACGCAATGTCATCCGTGTGGAGAAGGACCGGAAAGGTAGGATGGCTCTGGTTCGATCTGCGCACTAGGGTCGTCCTGGTGTAGGGTGGGTGTCTGCGCGATATTGTGTAGCATGCCTATGCGTTCATTCGCGCCATCCAGTGCATTGGCTGACATGTGCTTGGTTTGCAGAGAAACGTGGACCAAATCCCAGGCTTGTCGCAGCTGCGCTCGCAACACTTACATGACAGGACGACTACTTAACCGTGCAGAGTCCGGAGGGTTCACTACAACGATAGACTGCTTGTCCGTTTCACGCCGCTAAGGCATATCGAAATATGACGCGTGGGTTTATGAGTCCTGGGACGGATTCACTGTCATTTCGATGGCACAGAATGAGATACGAACCTGCATGACGGATAAATTACTTATGACAAAGCGCGGAGACTGGGAGCAATCTGTCATGATGAGGCTACGAACAGCGATATATGAGCATCCGAGGTAATCTCCCGCTCTATATCGATTCATTACCGTGGATGTAGCATTGTTCCTGTCCCACCAATTTTGACACAGACAGCCAGCTTGTGCAATATCCCTTTCCGGTAACAGTCCCTAGTAGAAAAACCGTAGACTGGCTGTTTTATACAGAGTCTGCAAAATCACCATCAAGGCGGCTGCTCTGGGATTAGCACATACGAGAGCCTCAATACCAGACCGTAATCTTCGTGAGCGAACTTGTCTCAAATCTACGTGCTATTGTCAGACATGGTGACGGGTGCCCAAGCCAAAAAGCTACGTTCGGCTAGCTACGGACGCCTGCAGCGGTGCTGGAACGCCTTTGCCGCTGCCACGAATCCGACGATCGGTGTTGCAGCCTAGGTTTCTCGATTCCTACCGACGAAGCTCGACGGACATGGCCGCTTCGAGCGCTAACACGGCCGTACTGGAGCTGGACATTGTTCACTCTCTGATCACGCAGAGTTGCCGACGTGAGCGGTCTCTCTCGTTGCTGGAGCATCTGAAGGCTTACGAGTCACGTACTTCACAATTGTCACTATGTGGCCAGGATTGTCTGAAGTGGCATCTAAGCCGATAAGCTTGCGGTCACTGTCAAGCGGTAGCGCTGTGCTCGTCCAAGCTACAGCCTTCATGACGCCTCCCGTATGTTGTGCGGGTCTTCCAATAGCGGCCGGCGTGCGGAGGCTCTCAGTTTCCGGTCTGTCGGGCCCAGTGTTCAATGCACAGTTTTGCGCTATCAAAACCCCTGCTGTCAATCCTTCAAGACTTCAACGTAGCAATTAGCGCCCAAAGCATTGCTCGAACCCCTCAACATCTCGCGAACAGGGTGCCCACTGGTGCCCTGCTACAGTAAAGACGCAGGCATTGGCGCCGACGCACAAGCCCTTGACTGCCCTGGTCGCATCGAGCATTGCACGCCAGGGAGGGGTCACCACACCACGAAAAGAAACTCGGACTAGAGCGCCTGCGGTGACCTCTGCGAGCGGTGCTTCGCGGCTTTGCCCGAAGTCTTTCACTCTTTGAACGTTGCTGCAGCTGCAATCACAGCTGGCACTGACATCTTGACCATCCTCTCGAGGTTTTAGATGTCGTCTGAATTAGGGTTTCCGTCACTCCACGTGCGCGCGAGTTAGACAGACGCCGCGCCAGTCCGCTCCGCAGGCGAGGATCCATCATTTGCGCTCCATTCAGTTACGATCTGCGGTCAGTAAACACTGTGAAGGAGATACAATCGGTAGGATCGACGACACTCCGCACTCCACGTCGAACCTGTCTGCTGCGACAACTGAACATGCACCACTGGCAAGGTCACCCATCTTCTTCGCGCTCCGGACCAAGCGCGCAACGTCTGAAGCCTCGATATACGGCCATTTGAACCCGGAGGATATCTTGGGCGCTCATTGCGAAGACGATGCGCAGAGAGTCACAGTTGACCGGTCTGCTCTATCTCCGCTCGTCTCGCATCGTGACGCATGGCACCAGGCACAAAGTCTGAAAGCAGCAATGGCGACAGTGCGAAGTCGCCGGGAGGCGAAGATACTGCCGCTGCTGAAGCCACACTGAAGGCGAGGCTTTCGCGAAAGCGAACCAAGACGGGTTGCCTCACTTGTCGCAAGCGACGCATCAAGTGTACAGAGGAACGACCGGTATGCCGCAATTGCATCAAAAGCAAGCGGCATTGCGAAGGCTACAACCAGCGCGTAGTCTTCAAGCCCCCGCAGTTTGACTATCGACCGGCACCCCATGGAGGAGCTCACATCACCTTCCAGGCGGGCCCGGTGCCTGGCCCGTCCATCCCCTACCGCACCGAATACCTGCCACCACAGCCTTCGTTCGGAACGCCCTTGCAGCTACTGCCAAGGCCGTTGGAGACTTTTGTTCCTCCTCCGATTCCGCAACCACACGCCTACGGGCCACAGCACCATTACTCGCGATCTCACCAGTTCCCGCTGGGTGATAAAGCCCAGAATGGCGCTGGGTATGCGCCGCCGTCAACGTCGCCAATTCACACACAACAGCCACTGCAGCCTCATGACTTTGCTGTGCAGCCCCCGACTAGGCTTCACCAGACCTTTCCGACCAACTCTCGCGAACCTCACACCCAGCTGCCGCCTGGGGCTATACCATTCAGGCCGGCAGATCCCTATCCGCCGCAAACGCAGCGACCTACGACATTCATACAGGATCCGTCATCAGCGGCACAGGGTGCGCAGTGGTATCGAGAGCCGCTCATGTTACCGCCAAATCTTGGCGACATGGGGCTCAGAAGCTCACCGGCTGCGCAGAATGAACCAGCTCAGACCAATGGTTATGCCTTGCATGACCACGTCGCACCTAATGTACCACGCGCACACGAAGGGACCCCAGATCTCTTTCGCCCGCTCTCTCAGCCTCCACTAGAGAATGGAGCGCTCTACAACCAAACGGCTTACGTTCCTATGGCGCCTCTCCCGCAGCCGGTTAATGAGCTAACACCAGAGTTCTGGGAACATGAAGCACACCATCCTCCGTCAAATACCACCAACCAATGGCTCAGCGAGGCAGCCGTAGAAGTGCAGGATGACGATTACTACGACGTCAACTCAGACGAAGAGATGGACATTGAAACCAGTGCATTGGTGGCCACCGACCGCGATCGCCAGCGCACCCTTAGCCGAATTCTCCACGGCAATCATATCTCGATTCAGGATATGCAAACTCGACGGTACGATACTTTTTTGTACGATGGCATGCTAGATGTGTACAGAGTCGAAGAGCACGCCAATCCTTTGAAGAATGCTGCGACAGCTCGTGTATTTGCGCACTTCATCTCCGTGACAGGGCCTAGCTTATCGATCTTTGAGCGACATCCCAGGAATACCTCCGTTCTTTTCACTCAAGGACCTATACCATTTTCACAACAAGGCCTCTGGACGTACACTATGCCGCTTGCTGCGTTACATCACCAGGGCCTTCTTCACGCCCTGCTGGCAATCGCAAGTTTGCATATTGCCCGATTGACCGGTGCCTCTGTCACCCCATCAATGCAGCACTACGCCTGGGCGTTGAGAAGAGTGCACCAATGCGTCTGTCATCCGAAGAAGCGGCTCAAGCTCACAACGATTGCAGCTTCGATGTTGCTCGGCTTTTACGAGATCATGACTGCTGATCACCTGAAATGGAATACACACTTGGCGGGCACGAGGCAGCTGTTTGTGGAGACCGATTTCGTGTCGATGACAAGGAAGCTTAGGAGCATGCAGGTAGACCACTTGGCACGTCAGCCAACATCTATGGGAAGGAGAGGCTCTGAGTGCTTCTCAGCTGTGTCACCGGATGGACTGCTTGAACAGATACCTGTGATCGACGAGAATGTGGTAAGTACGCTCGTGGGAAAGGAAGTCCGCTGGAGCGAGCACGGTCATGTCATGACACCTCAATCTGCTCTGCCGCAGGAACTCGATCTTGGGAGGTTCGAGGTTTTAAAGGACCTGTATTGGTGGTACTGCAAGCAGGATGCATACCAGAGCCTCATCAGTGGCAACGAACTTCTGTAAGCGGTCTTTGTTCCCCTCTCTGCTGCTTACCTTGCTGACCCTCTCCAGCATGGACTATGAGCGCTGGGCAGACTGTCCACCAAGAGCGCCTCTGGGCAAGCCAGATGCTGTCTACGGCACCTTCGACCATCTCGTGCTCTTGCTTGGCAGGATCGCTGACTTCTCTTCGCGTGATCGAGCAAGAAAGTTGAAACAGATGGAACAAAATGGTGGGCATTGGAGGCCAGCGCCCAGCATGAAGGTCCCACAACCGCCACAGGGACCATATCCCCCTCCTACTCCCTTATCCGCCAACGGCACGATACCCACTCTCGGCGCTCACTCGGCTCTTCAGTCAGACCAACCACAGGCCCCTCCGCAGCCAATGTTCTACGGCATGGCGCCTCCGCCGCGTCAGAATGTTCAGATGCCATCGTCGTACGTTCCGGTCAACAATGGTTCGCACACACCTCGAAGTGCGTCAGCCCAATTGCCAATCGACCTCCGCCTTGCGACTCAGACTGCTCTGGAAGAGTATGGTAGGATAAGAGCGGCTTTGTTCCACTTTGAGCAACAACTCGGCGAACATTTTCAGGAGCTGTCCTCGGACTATCAGCCACCGTTGGAAACTCCATTCGGCCCAGCAATATTTTTCCGCTCTTACGACATTGGCTGCCTTTGGGCTATCTACTACATGGCAGTCATCATCGCGATTCGGGCACATCCGCACATGCCACCCGCGGCCCACATGGCTGCGGGCATCGCTGCCCAAGAGACTGCCGTCTTTGCGCAAAGAATTGGTCAGATCGTCGCTGGCATTGTTCCTGGATCGCCCGACCAATCGCTGAACCCAAGTCTCGGTGCCGCGCTCTGCGAGACCTGCATGCCGTCGTTCTTTGCGGCTGTACAATACTCTGACCCACGTCAGCGACACGAGACCGTGACTCGAATCTACAGCATCGCGCAGAGAACAGGCTGGGGCAGCGCCGAGCTCATAGCAAACGGTTGCGAAACAGCGTGGGTGAAGGCTGCAGCCGCTGGAAGAGGTCCGCCTTATCAGCGAGTCGTGCGGCGCGAGCAAAGCGACGACCCGCGCTTGAACGGCAGTTGGGAGACGCTAGACCCGAACTCCAAACCCAACGATGGGGACGATGGGGATCGCAGGCTTGTACGAACAGAAGCGAAGGCGCGGCTCAACTGGGCAATTGGGATCATGGGAACAGAGGATGATGTTCTCTAAAAGAATTGAGCGTTCAGCCACGTTATAAACCACCATCGAGACATCGACCTAACTCCCTAATCGTCGGCACCATGTTGTAATGGCTAAGTCTCGACCAAGTGCGCCTTCAGCTTGCGCAGCTCGCCGCGTAGATCCACTAGCTGTTCTTCCTTTATCCCAAGCTGATCAGGCGAGCAGACTTCTCCAGGCTTAAGAGTGTCCCAGTCGTCCCACAATTCACCACTCTGGTATTGCTGAGCCATCTCACGGCCTGCGACGCCCCACAATCTCTCAAAGTTTGCAGGGGAACACTCGACATATTCTGCTTCCTTGCCGGAGACCTCCGACCACACCTTGAGAACGTCCGTGAAGTTCATGCGATCCGTCCGCACGTAGACGTACTTGCCTCGAGCGATGTCTGAATGCTCAAGCGCAGCGCGCACGTAGAGCCCAACATTGACAACGCCACCATTGATCGGCAGGAGGGCGTCTGCCTTAGACGGTTGCATCCACACGTGTTTTGCTGACTGCGGAAGCCTGTCGTAGGTGGAAGGGTCAGAAATGTCTCCAACGTTCGCCAGGGGGTCTGGACATCGCTGCACTTACACAAATGGTCGAATGAGCGGGAAGAACGCCATGTTGGCAGCATACCATCCCAACCAGACGAACGTGGTCTTACGAGCAAGCTCAGGTAGCTCGTTGCGGATACGATCGTCGACTCTCGCCTTGTGGTCCATGTGCGGGACAGGACGTTGGCCCTTGGTGAGTTCCGTGGCGCTAGGCAAGGTACTAAAAACATAGTGCTGCAATGTAGGAATCTTGGACGCCGCAAGCGCGATGTTGAAGGCTTGTGTGGCCTCCTTCTCGCCAGCAGCATCCGCACCCAACGCTAGATGCTCCCAGAAGTTGGTCACCGAGAACACAGCATAGGCACCCTGCCACAGCTGTCAGTCTGGGCGCTGCAGAATACATCGAGCATAACGTACCTGGAACGCTTTGATCAAGGAGCCATGGTCATCAACGTCTGCCTCCACCATCTCTGCTCCTTCAGCCGCAAGAGCCTGAGCACTTTTGCCGTTCACGTTGCGTGTCAAGCCACGAACGTGCCAGCCATCAGCCTCGAGACACGCTCGCGCTACGGCACCGCCTTGTTGGCCGGTTGCTCCAATCACTGCAATCGTGCGAGACATTGCTTGGAAAGTCGGACTGGTATGACCTCGACATAGATGGCACAGCTGGGTTGTTATACGTTACCCAATAAGCCATCACTCAGCAAATATGAACGGCATGAGCTTTGTTACGCAATGCTTGGCAGTCGATCTGAGCTTGAGGATTGGCTCGTTGCAGAGGGATGGGTGCCAGTGAACTCCACGTGCCAATCAGGCTAAGTGGTGTAGAGCTCGGGTTCGTGTTGCTAAAGGCCATCTGATTGGCGTATCAAGATGGCTGCTCGAGCGACATCAAGCTGTTGTCGTCGCTTAATGATGCAAGACCATGCAGTAAGAAGAAGGACCGTACCGAGCGGTAACAATGTAGCTGCCTCTATATGACTCGCGTACATGCCCAGAAAAGCGCCGCAACGAAGAAGCTAGTGAGCCCGACACGAGCAATGACCAGATCAGAGATACGGCATATTCTTGGGCGCCGGCAGAGCGTAGTGCGCAGTTCCCGCATGCGGTGCTGGGAAGCCATCCGACTTATGACCCCAGTACATTGTAGGAGACCTGGTGTAGTGCTTATTAGCTTCTGACATGAGTGGGGGCGGGACGTGGCCGGACTTACCACTCATCGATGAGGTTGGTGAGCGTTTGCAGGTGCCCGTACGCTGCAGGTTGGGGCCCCCGAGGTCTGCGACCGGTGATATATGTTACAAAGGAGGCAGCGACCGCCGCAAGAAGTCCGAGATACACAATCTGAGCTGCGCCGAAATAAACCCTGCCGTTGAGCACCGCAACCGAAAGACCGAACAGCCCTATCTAGAGTCAGTGCCTACGTATTGCATTCTTGAGAACTATATGCTTACAATGCAGAATGGTCTTGAAGGCGGATAAGGTGAGAGACTGCCAAGAAGTGAAAGCGGCCTTGACCGAATCATACTGTTCAAGCTGGCAGCCATTAATGTTTGTTGCCTTCCGCCAGAATGCCTCATCTCTTGATAGATTGACTTGTAGCTCGGCACAGTGGAGGCCGAAGGTCAGCGGTCCCTGCAAGATGGCGAACAGGAAAATGATGAGCAGAGAGTTGATGGTTTGATTGTACTTGGACGGCTCCCAATACAATTGAGCGGTGTTGTCGCTTGGGACAATGCTCCAGCTGCCGAAGCCATCGCTGCCGGGTAGGTAGAACCGGATGAGGTGACTAACAATGCCGGCCCAAGCGAAGCAAAGGATCACCAGTGTCCACAGCAGCACGACGGTGAGCCTGACCTCCCAATGCGCCCTCCAAGCGCTCCCTTGGCGGTCTTGAGGGTATGCCGGTATGGATGGCTCGTGGATGTCGTGCACGCTTCTCATCGAGCGTCCTGCTTGTCTGACGACGTTACCCGCGTGCTGCGCTGCAAGTGTCGTATCCAGTGGGCTTGAGCTCCAGCAGGGTATATCCGTCGCTTTTAGAGCCCACGTGCTCATGGCTGCAAGTGTGAGGAAGCAGAAACCAAGAAGGAGTATGGGGATGCCACCGATAGAGACATTATCAACACCCATGTTGAACATGCTGGTAATGCTGGTGGACTGGTTCGAGTGCCAGAAAGTGAGCGAAGATGAGGCGTAAGCCATGGTGACGGACCCAAGGATGATCATGTTAGAGTACCATTTGTTCGGTCCGGACGTCTTCGAGAAGGTGCACAGGCGAAGATTCGAGTTGAAGTTCAGCCGTCCTTCACGCTGCAATGCCCATCGTAGGGAGGTGGTGTGAATGTAGCCTGTCGCCTCGACCAGTAGGGTCACCAGCAGGTTCGTCGCTAGAGGCACGCTTTCGGCAGCCATGTGCGGGAGGTACCAGTATGTGTCGGCGGCCTGACCGGTATGGACGAAGTAAATCACCCAAGAACCGAAGCCGGTAATAGCGATGCCGGCGGTCCAGCAGAGAACCAGGCCTGCGATGCAGACATATTTCGTCTTCAGGCCGCGTTCATAGGGGAAATCAGACGGCTCGACGCGCCTAATGTGCTTCGTCTGCTTGTACTCTCTGTCCCCACTTGGACTCTGGTAGCCGACCTGCGTTGCAAGCGCTGCGTACGACATGCCAAGTGCGTTCCGGTGTAATGCTTCGTGGTGAGTTCGACTATGTCTGTACGTTTCCTATCCGTCGACAGAGGTGCGGACGGAGGGTCATGATATTACTAGACCGAGGGCATGTTAAGAGCCGCTGTCCGAGAGGCTCAGCCTGAGGTCGCACCCTACCATTCTCAGGCCACTGCAAGCCTCCACAAGGCTTTCACAGACTAGGCTTGCCCATCCCCTAAAGGTGCGGTCCTAAGCCCACACCGGTCTGGGGGGGGTATGGGCGCAGACCGTACCAAGCCTATCGCAGCCAGCTTGGCATGCGGCGCCAGCTCCTCAAAGCTAACCATTCGCTGGCCAAGGAAGCTTCGCTTGTTAAGTCCGCAAGACTCGTCAGGTGATCAAGCCACTGTCTGCGAGCCACGCCGACGAATAGATATAAGCTATGCCGTTTCAAGCACAGCGTAATACGACGAGCTTTCTGGCGGAAGTTTATGCAGGCTCGCTTCTCCGCCTCCACGTGCTATTGGGCGTCGAGTGGGGCGGAGCAACGACTTCATGTTCGCCAGAAACAGTTCCGCTGTAATCCATGGGGAGATCTAACCGTCATTGTTGCGGCACACTTCAGCGCGCTCAGGCGTGCAACCTGTACGTTGTGGCATGCACCACTGACATCAGTCCGAAATTACATAGAACATGGCCTTGACGGAAGGACCATTGCTCGTATCACTACTCCAGGTTAACAGATCCCTTGTAGTGGCCGAAGGCGATATGAAGTAGATACTGGATAGCTCGCCTGCTACGTGCCCAACGTCCTATACGCCAACATGAGATCGAGATGGCTCGCTCATCTCGAATCCTTTGACTGGTCGAGTCTTGCGTAGGAACCATTGCACCAGTAGATGACCTGGAGATTGTTATACAGTGCTGAACCCTCCCATGCGGCTCGATGTCACTTTTCAGCAGCTCTGACCTGATGGAATGTTTCTAAACCACCCCATCCTCGATGGTATATCAAGGCACTCTCGTCCACTACTCTCCTGCTCCTCGATCCAGACTCCTACCAGTCACGAACAGTCCCCCTCCAACGTTCCAGGAGTTCTGGCACTCTCACAATGGCAGTCTACTTACTACGTATTAGTTCCACAGCAAGCATGGTTGCGAGTATCTAAGACCGTAACTCTTGGCTGTCCGCCGCCTCGTCTCTAACCTTTCCACCCTGGGCCCTGGAAGTGCGGGCCTGTTGGTGAAGTATGAGGTGTATATTCACGACGTTCGCGCCCAAGGACTCGAGCAGCCGAACGCCACTTCGAAAGATAACAGCAATTAGGAACCGCGCCTGCTGAATGGCTTCAGCCGGGCTTGGACGCGGCTTTAGTGCTGTTGCACGGCAACGCTGCTGTTTTAGGTGTCGGCTCTTGTCGTCGACTACGCATGGCCAGCCGAGATGCAAGATCGGCAGGGGGTGATCATCTTGCGTGTGGCGATGGCGGTGGCCTTTATTGACATATCAACGGCTTTCGAAGCGATCTGTGAGCTCTGTTCTTCGGGTGCAACGAGTATGATGCCACGCCACGCGAGGTGTGGTGGTTCATTATGCAGCCGAAAGTCTGTGTGACATCCTGGCGGTTCTGTTCGTACAGCCAAAACAGTGATCATGCCTCCAAGGAACCAGCAGACGAGAAGTCCTACGGAACATTTGACATGGCCGTGTAGTAATATCTGAATCTTCAAAACTGTGGTCGAATCTACTGATCTCGTGGCTATGGTCGATCATGTTGGAGTACATGATATTCAATTGATCTGCATTGAGCGCAAGATGTTGATCAGCTAAACAGATACTCCGTCACTTCCTGGAGGGAGTAAAGCTACGCTTTCTTTCATGTCTCGTAACAGCCAATGGCTGTTGCTATGCCACGGCCGGCCGTTAGGTACAACTCCCATGTGTCTTGCTACTCTTCAGTATTATAACTTCGCCAGCTCACCATTGGTGCTCTGTGCGCTTCACGCCATGCCCGCCTTCTTCTTGAAAGCATTAATCAGGCCAGCGGTACTGCTATCATGCTTGTCCGTCTCACCCGACTCATCGAGCTCCTTCTGAATGCCCTTTGCCAGTGCCTTTCCTAGCTCTACGCCCCACTGGTCGAAGCTGTTAATGTTCCACACTGCGCCTTCGGTAAATGTGAGGTGCTCGTAGTACGCAATCAGCGCACCTAATGTGCCTGGCGTGATCTTTTGCGCCAGAATGCTGGTCGTCGGTCGGTTGCCAAGGAAGACCTTGTGCGGCACCAGCTCATCGCTCGCACCTTCTGCCTTGACTTGGTCAGGAGTCTTGCCAATCATTAACGCCTCTGCCTGGGCGAAGAAGTTGGACGCAAGCATCTTTTGGTGGAGGTTGTTCTCAACAGGGTTGTGTGACTCCGCTGCCATGATGAAGTCGGTGGGGATGAGCTTAGTGCCTTGGTGCAGGAGTTGGAAGAAGGAGTGTTGGGCGTTGGTGGCCGGCTCGCCAAAGAGGATGGGGCCGGTCGTGTACTTCACGTAGTCGCCGCTACGAGTGATAGCTTTGCCGTTCGACTCCATGGAGAGCTGTTGCAGGTAGGCGGGGAAGCGGTGCATGTATTGATCGAAGCTAAGGCATTGTCAGTATTTCTTCAATGTAGAGTAAGCGGAGGTGGCAGCCTACGGAGCGACGAGGTGTGTTTGTGCGCCGAAGAAGTCGGAGTACCACACGCTTAGCAGGCCACCAATGACCGGAATGTTCTCCTCGAGGGGTGCGGTGCGGAAGTGGTGGTCCATTGCATTGCCACCAGCAAGGAACTCGTGGAAGTTGTCGTAGCCAATGTACAAGCAGACAGATAGCCCAATGGCGGACCAGACGGAGTACCGGCCGCCGACCCAATCCTGGAAGCCGAACATATTCTTCGAGTCAATACCGAACTTCTCGACCTCCTTGGTGTTGGTAGACAGCGCAACGAAGTGCTTAGCGATATGTGAGTCCTCCTTCGCAGACTTTAGGAACCACTTCTTGGCCGTGTTGGCATTGGTCGTCGTCTCTGCTGTGGTGAACGTCTTGCTGGCTATCAAGAAGAGGGTGGTCTCGGGATCGCTGTGCTTCAACGCCTCGGCGATGTGCGTGCCGTCGATATTGGACACGAAGTGTAAGGTCATACCATCCTTGCCGTACGGCTTAAGCGCCTCGCTAACCATCACGGGACCAAGATCTGAGCCACCGATGCCAATGTTGACGATGGTGTTGATAGCCTTGCCCGAGTAGCCTTTCCACTCACCGCTTCGGACCTGCTCGGAGAACTCCTTCATGTGCTCCAAGACGCTGTTGACGTCTTCGACGACACTCTTGCCATCCACCTGCATGGGCTCATTCTTGACATTTCGCAACGCCATGTGGTAGACCGCACGCTTCTCGGTGAAGTTGATCTTCTCGCCCTTGAACATGTCTTCCCTGAGGTCCTCGAGCTTGGCATCCTGCGCCAGCTTCACGAGCAAGGGGAGCGTCTCGTCGGTGAGGAAGTTCTTGCTGAAGTCGAAGAGGATCTCGCTTCCGTCGGCCTCGTTCTTGAAGGTGCGGGAGAACTTCTGGAAGCGCTTCGGGTCCTTCTCGAACTCAGACTTGAGGACCATGCCGCGACCGAGTTTATCGTGGTGTTCCATTAGTGACTTCCATGCTGGAAGCTCGTTGGCTTGTGCGAAGCCTGGCATGTTGGCGGTGTTTGCTGCAGCGCGTCTCGAGTGAGTATGTTACCGCCTCGTGTTATGGCGCTGGGAGGAGCTTACAATGGGTGTTACAGTGGGAGGAATGGTGTTGTACGGAGCTTGGCGGAAGAAAGTTGCTTGCTCAATGTAGCGGCTAAAGTAATGCGTTGGGGGAAGTCTTCGAGACTTTCCAGCAAACACATTGCCCCACGCGGGGTCATTCTGCGTCTCTAATGACATAATCTGCATATCAGCTGCTCAGCAGCGCTACAGCATGATAGCACGTCCACACTCGCCACCCATGATGGGACGATCATTATTCCACCTCGGACAGGCGTGTACAGATGCGGCATCAGGTCGTCAGAAGGCTCGAAGGATTGCCATGGGCATGTCAGCGGAGGCATGGTAACTCCTAGACTTACTTGATTCACACCAGACGCCACGCTAATCCCACAGCTGCTATCCCCTCACTTGTCAACAACTCAATCCCGTTTCCCAATTCCATAGCCGTAACCATTCGGGATGCCATAGCCCCCCAATCCACCTCCCCTCTCCACACCTCCACCACCTAGACGATCCTTCCCGTGACTCTTCAACCGCCTTGGCAGCTCCACACCTCGGAAGTACGCCAGACAAATCGCCGCTGACGCTCCCGCCGAGATTAAACAATATACCAGTGTGCTGAAGGTCAGGTGCCCTCCCACTCCGGTCCAGCCGGACGGCAGGCTTGTATTTGGGTACCACCGCACACTGAAGCGTAGCGGCAGACTGTCACCGATAACTATTCTTGTGGGCGGCTCCCTCGAGATGCTGTACGCTGTCGCCGCCGCAATCGTACCTTGCGAAATTCGCTTCGGTACCGCATGCACCAGCACATTCAAGCTCGTGCTCACGTGCAGGTGGCTGAGCTGCAGCGTCCCAGTCAAGGCCACGATCATGGGCGTGTAGACCTCTGAGAGCGCTCCTTGTCCTTCTGTGGAGTCCTTTGTGCCGGCTTCGAACTCATCCTTGAGTGCGGCGGGAGGCAGCGGCTTGGTGGGTATGCGGCAGGTCAACGGCGCGTCGTTGTGGACGTAGAACTCGAGTAGATGGAAGAAAGGGTCGTCGATGAAGTCGATGGTGCAGTTGATCTCCTTCTCCACGCCGAAGAGGAGTTCGAGGGGCCGACCCGTCTCATTGCATGTGGGAAAGGGTATGTAGGACAGTTGGCCATGGTCGTCGGTTATATGTTCGCCGGTCTCACTTCGCAGAGCGTTAGCATACCCCCAGGGATAGATTGGGGGCCTCGATTGCGTACGATGTCCGGTTAAGGCAGCTCACGGGTATAGTCTGGCCAACTTTGTAGCCGGGTTGTTGAGCCAGGGGCTCTTGTTGCGCACCTTGTGCGGTTGCGAGCGTGAAGTAGAACGCGCAGAGCAAGCGAAGAAGGAGGGACAGATCTTGTAGCATCTTGGGCTATGTACAACAGTAAGTGGGCAATGAATGCTATGGTATATGTGAGGGTCATGCATCAGAAGGGGGTCGCTTGGTCGCTTGCGCCTGTCCCCAAAACTCCGCGGGAAAGCGTTCTTGGTGAGCTTCAGGCTTCGTCGACCACTGGCCCTCCCTCTCACCATAACACCGCCCACAGTACGACGGCGAGTGCATCTCGATGATACGACGCTGAGAAATCAGCTACAAATTGGCAGTCGATCGTAGTATGGACTAGGCGCCTCTTGGGATCATTCCTGCGATGAAGCTCGCCAGATGACGCTCAAGATGACGCTCAAAGTGACGCTTGACATGACGCTCCTTCTCGCATTGTATACACGAGGTAGATATAAGCTCCAGTGACCGACCAACCACTCCCCCAATCTCTTTCTCCCACTCTGAAACCGGTTCACACCAAAAGATGGCATTGTCCGGTGGTCTTGCAGGAGCGAACAAGATCGACGACTCAAGATGGGTTCATCATCGGGTAGGTTGGTGGCAAACGCAACTCCTGTGCAGACTAACGAACACAGGTCCAAGTCGACGACCTCCCGCTAGAGTCGCCTTCGCCAGAACCGGGCGTAATGATACATTACATCTCCTGCCCGCCATCCGACCCAGCCAAGTCTAAGGGGACCATCCTGCTCATCCACGGCTTTCCTCAGACGTCCTATCAGTTCCGTCGTGTCATCACTCCCATATCGGACGCTGGCTACCACGTCGTAGTGCCGGACTACCGTGGCGCGGGTGAGAGCAGCAAACCATGGACCGGCTACACCAAAGACATCATGGCCCGGGACCTCTACCGTCTTGTAACGGACCACCTGAGCATCAAAGATCCGATCCATGTTGTTGGCCACGATATCGGAGGCATGGTAGCCCACGCGTATGCCGTCCTCTTCCCCGACTCAACCGCCAGCGTCTGCTGGGGCGAATGTCCGCTGCCCGGGTCGCAACCTTACCACGAGGTCAAAAGCACCATGCCATTCTTCCACTTCACCTTTCACTGCGTGCCAGATCTCCCAGAACTGCTGGTCCAAGGTAAGGAGCGGATCTACCTCAAGCATTTCTACGATCGGCACGGCCAGAACCCTAGCGCAATTAGCACGCACGATCTGGACGTCTATGCTACAGCTTATGCAATGCCCGGGTCAATGCGTGGCGGGATGAACACGTACCGTGCGTTTGAGGCGGACGGCGAGATGAACAACAAGTGGGTGAAGGAGAAGGGGAAGTGTAAGGTCAGATGCCTGAATCTGTGGGGCGCGCAGAGCTTCAGCGACGAGAAGACAGCCATGACGATGGCGGAGCCGTATTACGAGGAGGTCGGCTTTGAGATGGTGACAGGGGCTGGGCATTGGATCGCGGAAGAGAGGCCGGCTGAGTTCGTGGAGAAGGTGTTGAAGTGGGTTGAAAGTAAGTGAGATCCAGTTGCGCAACTCTGCTCGGATGGAATGAGACGTCGAGGGTGATCATTGAACCATATTTCAGCGATCCTTGTCAGTTCCATGTGAAGCATCAGTTCATTTTTGCAGTGTCAAGCTCCTGCTCATGGGTCATCTGTCGATGTCAGATGCGCAAGTGGTAGGCATGAACAGCGTCTGGAAGCGGCAGCCGTTGAAAGTTTTACCAGTCAATGATCGGTAAGATCTGTTTGGTGCATGTTACGGTATGAGACCCGGCTCCCGGAAGACTTTCAAGGCTGTGCTAGTCATATCACCAGGATACTCTGGCTTGATTTCTCTCTTCACAACATTATCAATACCGAATGTGGCTACGGCGTAATGCTGCTCATCTACTGTGCGGAAAGCTCTTGCTTCCACTCCCGCGCGGTCCCGAGCGGCGCATCTCACCGCTGGTCAAAAGCATTCCCTTGCACGATACTCCCACCCGCATCGCCCAAGCCCTCAACGGGCCGGTTATAACTCCACCCAGCAAACTGCTGCTGCATCGTTTGGCTCAACATCGGTCCCTCCACATAACTATCCGTCGGCGCCTCGCTCGTGAACTCTTTGTCGAAGTTCGCCGTGTCCAGCTCGTCCATCACGTTGGGTTTGAAGCTAGGCTCGTACTTTCGGTCTAGCAGCTTGCGCCAGTCGATGCTATGGAAGAATGGATGCGCTTTGATCTCCGCAGCGCCGTTCGAGCCGAGACGGCGGCTGGCATCCCGGTCTAGGAGGCGCGTAAGAAGGTCGCGCGCGGCTGGTGGGACGATCTCGGGTCCTGGGAAGTGTAAAGGCTCGGCGAGAATCTTGCGGTACATTTCGTTCGTGTTCTCATCGTAGAAGCTGTTCTCAGGTTGTTAGAGGATGTTACAGGATGAAATCTACACTCCCTGAACTTACGGTGGCAACCCTGTCAACATCTCGTAGAGTAACACGCCCAGCGTCCACCAATCCACCGCCTTAGTATATCCCTGTCCGTGCAGGAGCTCTGGCGCAAGATACTCCGGCGTCCCACAGAACGTGTTGGTCTTATCTTCATCCTTCATGTCTAGCTTGCACAGACCGAAGTCGCAGAGTGCAATATGGCCCACGTAATCTACCAAAATATTCTCGGGCTTGAGATCGCGATAAATGACGCCGAAGCCATGTAGACACTCTAGCGCGCACAGGAGCTCCGCAGCGTAGAATCGCGATCTGTTAATGTCGAAGCGCTGCTCCTTCTGCAAGTGGTGGAACAGCTCGCCGCCATTCACGAATGCCAGGACCAGATACAGCTTCTCCGGCGACTGGAAGGAGAACTTGAGCGGGACGATGAAAGGGTTGTTGATCTGCGCCAACACGGACCGCTCGGCCAGAGTGTGTGCAACTTCAGATCTCGAGATAATGTGCTGTTTCCGGAGCGTCTTCAGGGCGTAGATGCGCTGGGTGTCCTTCTTCTTTACTTGCATCACCTTGCCGAAACTGCCTTTACCGACCACCTTCAGCAGCTCGAAGTCCTCAATTTTGAGTGAACGTTGTCGGTTCTCCACGAACTTGACGCCTATTCGTACTGCACCTGTGCCGTACTGTATATCTTGCCATCGTACTCCGGAGCTGGCGCCGTTGTTCGCTGGTGGAGGAGGCATGGTTTTGTCCTTCTTAGCACTTTTGCCGTCCGCAGACGGCTGTGATTGTGCAGCGCCTGATTGCGCATCTTCGCTGAAGGTCGGCGTTATCCTGCAAGTGCCGATGAAAATGTCGTGCTGTCGCCCGGTGTTGGGCGGTGCGCTCGGGTTGCGGATGTATAGAGAAACGTTCAGTTCAGTTGACCGACTGACGTCGAATTTGTACTGTGTGCTTTCGCCGGCCCACACTGGGTTTTCAGGTGACCCAGAAACGGCGTTGACGAAGACTTGCTGCTTGTCGAAGTCGACAAGCGCGTACGGCAGATATTTGCTGCTGTATCTTCCGTGGCTTGAGGGGACAGCGTTGATGCCGCCTCCCGTCGCTGATCCCGGCCTGTAGCTGCCTTGCGGCATCTGTGCTGAGCCTGGTCGTGCGCTGTTGCCCATGTAGCTTCCGCCAAAGCTGCCGGTGCTCATACTGCCACCGTGCCCAGGTCGTTGAAATGCTGCTTCCGCGCCAGGCGGAAGGCTGAAGCCTCGTCCTTCGTGAAGCGTCAAGATGAGAATGCCAGGTCTGGCTGGCGCTACAGGTGGTGAGATCATCTGTTCGGAAGCAGCAATGCCCTGTGCGTCCGAGCCATTGCTACTCGGTGCAGTGGATGTCTGGCTGGTGGGTGTCTGCGTGCCGGGTGTCGAGCCGGCCGACGATGGCTTTGCGGCAGCATCGGATGTGATGGTAGATTGGGAGGATGATCGGGAGAAGGTGTTGGCAAGAGGTGCGAGATGGGTCTCTTTCAGCTCTACACCGAGTCAGCCATTCCCGTAGCCGTTGGATAGCGAACGCTATTTCGCTTCCTTGACGTACTCTTTGTAAGCTTCCACGACATGTTGCCGGCTGTGACTCAACGTGCAAGATGCCTTGAATTATCGAGCAGCGTGTCGATGGCGCCGGGCGGTCTGTTCCGAAGTAGGTCCCCAGTGAAACTTTCGACGGCGCCCTTGATGTTGCTCGCTGAAACAATGTTGTGCTTCTGTGGCTGCTTGGTAAGCTGCACGATGTCTTTCGCTCGTCAGTCTCGCTCGACGTCCAGCGTCTTGGATGTCGTCGTTTACAGTGAAGGTCTACTTGTCCCAATGGATGCGCAAACAGATTCTCGCTTTGTGAGAGACGTATGCACGGGAATGTTTTGAGTAGAGGCTGTGCTGCGCCCAAACCTGCCCCACAATGCTCTCGTAACACCGAGGCGGGTGTGACGCCAGGGTCTGAAGGTAAAATCAACACGTCCATCTATTTCCGATACGTGGCGTACCTCATGGGATAGCCATGGGCAGTAAGGTATGCTCAAAACCAGGCTATGACCGTGGGATACTGCTATGCGTTTGAGACCGACACCAACGGTGGCACTGTGTATGCTCCTACCAGTATTGAGCTATCTCCGTTGCTCAGTGCCAACAGCGGAGCATCGCCCTCTTGATCGCTCGAACTGTCCAGTTCCGAACACTCTCGCAGAGCACATTCTCAATTCGAGAGCACTCCAATAGCCCAACATGTTCCCATACTTTGGGATGCCCGACAGACCCGAAGCACAACAATCATTTCGCTCAAAGCCACCCGTAGAGTAACATGGATTTTATCAGCTCGGTTTGGCAACCCGGCGCCCGTCCTGCACTGGTCCCGCACACCTCATACTCGTCGGACCACGCTAATAGCGATCCTGTCCAGTGAAGCCGCAGCCGTGTTCGAGCCCGTGTAAAATCGTCCAACAGCCGAGTTTCTGTCAGATCTAATAGCTCAAAGAACGAACCAGTGTCAGGGGAGCAGCCAAGATCAATGAATTCCCGGTAAGGAGATACCGCTCGTGCCGGGAACGATGCATCTAAGCCACGCTACAACGGAAAGCAGGAGTAGGCCAGCGACTGCGGACCAGGTACGAGACGAAGGCTCCGTATCCGTCAGCTGCATGGTATCGTTCTTCGCTATTAGATGGGTCAGTCAGATTGCCATTGACCCTAGCCCCAGCACGATAGACTGTGCCGGATCATCCGGAGGGACAGTCGCGTAGTGCAAGCTGAAAAGAGGTGATCGGGAAGATAGCGAGGCATGATCCGGTAGCTGGCAGTAGATGGACCAGCGGGTTATATAATTGCTCTTAGTGGTGTGACCGGGACAGAGACTTGTTTGATCAAGGTCAAATATCTCTGGCATGCATATAGTTTGAGGACGCGGAGAGTGATGGGTAAATGAGCTTCCGAAGCACTTTGGTTCGTCTTATGAGGATACCTACACTGATGCTCCTCAACTCGAGCAGCCATGCCTGCACGACTATTGCAAACCTAGTACCACAGCTACAATTCGCAGAGGTCGTACTGAATGTAGCGCCTGCACAAGCTGATACACGCCGCGAGTGGCTTGAATAGTGAGCAATTCACCTTAGTGTGGCGTCCAGCTTATCCTCTACCCTTTCAATCTTGTCTCGCGTAGACCTTCTCACAGACCACCCGTCTGGCGAAGCGAATGTCTGTCGGATAAAGCCTTCACTTCTGCGTCAGTCGTTGCCTGAACTGGTGCCAAGCCCTTATGACAATCCGCTGAAAAGCTCGGTATGGCTCCCAGCTAATCATTCGATACACGTAGTAGGGCACTTCTAATCACCGCATTGTATCACGCCTATTTCGCATCTTCTCGTGCGTCAGCTAAGAAATATACGGTAAATCAACGCGAAAGGAAGCACTCTCATATGAGGGGCTGTGTTCTCCGACTACTACGGGCAAGAATCGCTTAGTGTTGAAGTCCGGTACTACATTACGTCGCAAGACCATCAGCGTGCATAGCAGCTCTATAATCTTCACGGCTAGCCTTTCACCAGGAATGCTTGTGTGATGAGATAGTTATTCCCTGGCCGGAGTGGATGGTCAGCAGCGGCCAAAGCGCTGCCAAGGCTGGATTTGCGGAAAGCGTGCCTTCCCCGCGGGTGACCTGCATGAACACTCCATGCGCCACATTCCCTACGACACCGGTCAATACATCGCCGGGAGACACATCTAATGGGACTCATTACTAAGGCCAAAGGCGCGCCACGTGCTTCTGACAGCTCCAGTGGAGGCGTCAAGTACATCTGCAATGTCTGTAGTAACGATATTACGTCTACCGTACGGATACGATGCGCTTCCAAGGTGTGCCCGGACTACGACCTCTGCGTGCCTTGCTTCTCACAAGGCGCGCATAATCTACGACATGATCCACAGACACATCCATTCACGGTCGTAGAGCCACACAGTGTTCCTATCTTCGACGAAGGGTGGGGCGCGGATGAGGAGTTGCTTCTGCTAGAAGGCGCGGAGTCATACGGACTGGGGAGCTGGGCGGATATTGCGGACCACATTGGAGGCTATAGAGAGAAAGATGAAGTCAAGGAACACTACATACAGACGTACATCGACTCCTCAAAGTTCCCACTGCCGGAGAGGGCGAGCCCGAATGACAACTCGCTTTGCGATGCGGTACCGCGAGAGGAGTTTCAAGCGCGTAAGAAGCGGCGGATAGAAGAGCGTAAGGATGCTATTGCAACCTCGTCAGCGACTGTGCCTACTCCAGCAAAGCCGATATCCTCTGTGCCCAGCAACCATGAAGTGGCCGGATTCATGCCTGGACGCTTGGAGTTCGAGAATGAATACTTCAATGAGGCTGAAGAGGCAGTGCAGCATATGGAGTTCTCAGCCGATGAGGGCATCAACCCGCAGACGGGGGAGTTTGAGCCGGAGACACAGCTCAAGATGGTCGTCATGAACATCTACAATGACCGGTTAACCATGCGCACAGATCGCAAGCGCGTCATCTTCAATCACAAGTTGCTTGACTACCGCACAAATATGGCAATAGACAAGAAGCGCACGAAAGAGCAAAGAGAGCAGTACCACAAGCTCAAGCCGTTCGCGCGAATAATGTCGCATCCGGACTTTGTCCAGCTTGCGGAAGACCTGGAGAAGGAGCAGAACCTTCGCCAAGCCATCGCGCAGCTGCAAGAATGGCGACGTATGAAGGTCTGCACTCTAAACGCGGGCGAGAAGTATGAAGGCGAGAAGGCTTCACGTCAAACGCGCAACACTCAGAACCTAGGCGGCCAATTTGATCGAATGACGAACGGTCTCAGCCGCATCGGCAAACCAGCACCACCGCCAGAGATTGCACCCGCCGTCACGGAGTATACCACGAAAGACTTGCCCATCCGCCTTACGCCACCTACTCAGGCTAATGGCCTTCAAACACCGCCCGCCTCCGAAGCTTCACCTAAAAGAGCACCACTACAAGCGATACCAGGCTTGACACCTGCGAAGTTCGACGAGGAGAACGCCGCGTCACTCCAGCTTACAGATCCTGCTATCCGGGATCTATGCAGCAAGCTGCGCCTGCATCCGAAGGCTTTTTACACCATATTAATAACCATCATTCACCAGGGATCCCATGCCGAAGGCAAGCTTAAGAAGAAGCAGGTCAGGGAGCTTTCTAAGATTGATACCACCAAGGGTGGTAGATATTTTGAGTTCCTCGTTGACAGCGGATGGCTGGGTAATGCTGCGAAGCCGTGAGAACGAGAGCAAGGAGCATGATTACGTTATGTTGAGTTGTGCGGTACGGTACTAGTGTTGGCCGTAGTCTCTCACCTAGTGCTCTAATTCGCCATGTATGAGTTTTGTTGGACAGCAAGACACCCCACAGTGTTCCTCGTGTATAGTGTATGCTTGCGATCATTATAGATTTCTTGATGACCTAGAGTCAATGTGACGGATGTGGCGTGACAACAGATCAACAAAGCGTTGGCCCGTGCTGAAGCTGTTATGCCGCTGGTTGCCTTGCGCAGTCCTCTCGGCTGCACCTCTCCCCCGTGAACAATAAACCCAGTAATGCAGTGATTGGGTACATTGGTGGACACTCGCTCAACGCCGTCTTGGATCATAGAGCCCTTCAGATATTGGAGAATTCACGTTCAGCGAGTTCCTGTACTCTGTTCACTCGACCTTTCGGCCTATCGAACCGCATGACCGATGGCATGATGACTTTCGCTTCGCCGGACATGTTCAACCCTGCGACTACGATAGGCAGGAACGCACACCTCTTTCAACCGCCGACATCGCCCATATCGAGCATTGCGACGCCGTCTTACGCTACGGCTCCAGATTATTTCTCGTCACGCTCACGGAAGAGACAACGCCCGGACACAACCCACATTGCAGATAGTAGGCCGACTTGGCAACAGACTCTGAGCTGGGTGAAGTGCCGAACACTGAGCGACGGAAGCTATGCCAACGCCGCAGCGAGCACGTACGGCCAGAATCAGGCCTCAATAAACGAGCGGTATGCGCTGGCGGGAGGCTTTGATACACCAAGTTTGCAGGCTGCGGCAGAGATCGAGGGTCTACAGCTAAGTACTGGCGAAGGACGGAGGTGGCGGGACCGGGCGGATAGTGGAGGCTGCGGCCGTGCTGCAAGCGCACAACTATCCGGACCATTAGCACGTGAGCGGAACGGAGTTGGTCGGTTGATGCTGTCCTTACCGAATGGTATTGCTACGACTAGCTGGACAGGCCTGGCCTTCAATCTGGTCGGCAAAGTCTTCCATTTCGGCTCGGATGTGATTCGCGGCTTCTACGCTGGCGGAGGGAATGGCTTCGATCTCAAACAGCGTGCCCTTCGACGTGGCCTTACCAATCGACCAGGCTGTTGGACGCCACTGCCAGGCTCGTGGGAGGAAGACGAGTTCCTAGGCGACTTCGAGCAGGATAACCCACATTCACCGCCACCAACAGCATCACGACCACCGAACAAGCGAAGACAAACCGACAAGGACAGCTGGGTCGTGGTAGGCACGCCTGATGTTGAAGGTAGCCCGAGGCGCAAAGTATCCAGCAACAGTATCCCTCGAAGTGAACTATCAGCACGTCCGGCGGCCTCCCGAGCATCGAGCAGAAGAAGCCTAGCTCCTCTACCAAGGCGGCAGTCTTCCCAAGCGGCCTACTCAACAGGCAGCCCAATGGCATCTTCAGCCGCAACCAGTCCGGAGAGGCGAGCGTCACTCGTTCCCGCGCGGTCCAACTCACGGCCGACTAGTGGCCACAGCAACGCTGACGAAAACATCAGTATGGCTTATGTTAGCCCAGACGTCGAACGCTTCGTTAAGCGTCGTGCGAAGCAAGATCGGCAGGCTGACGCTGCCATGACAATCATGTCTAAAAAGCTCACGGATCTTATACGGCAGGGACAGGCGGCGCTTGGTACGAAAATCAGTGTCGAGGACGGAGGTGGCGAGTCGACAGACGAAGGCTTTGTGGATGAAGACTGGTGATGCTGCTCTCGTTCTCACTTTCGCAGAACTATCTTATGATGCCGTGGTTTATCTGGGCACCGTTGAGCGGTACTTACTTGCGCGAACAGCGCGCTTTGATACCCACTTGCACATGCAGTTGCCTTGAATACCCGCTTGAACGCAGCATGAAAGCCTAACTGTGCACTTACTGTGCTTTCCTTGAGTCCCTCTCCGCTTTCCGCAAAGCTCGCTTCCTGATGTCTTCATGCATGCTCCGGTTAACATCAATCACTCTGCGATTCATTGGACCAGGCGTCAGGTTGACGATAGCCCAGTGCATCAACGCATGGGCCCAGTACGGCGTACTGGTAGCACTAGTCCCTTGGGCTCCACCATCCCTTCCAATCTTACTCAAAGCCGCTCGCACGAACTGCTTAGGCGTTGGTACTAGGGCGGACGATCGTCTGATCTTGGACATGGCGGACGTGACGAGGTATGATTGCACGATCTGCACTTTCACACCATGTGGTGCAAGCTCAGAGGCTAGAGCGGACGACCATTGTTGCAGGAAGGCCTTGCTGCCAGAGTAGGTAGCCAGTAGCGGAGTGGGCAGGATGCCGCCAAAGGATGCCATCGTCAGAATGAGACCCCGGTGATGTTTGACCATGCCTGGCGCTACAAGCTGCGTGACACGAAGCGTACCGGTGCAGTTGATGGTGACGATGTCACGCATCTCCTGCTCCGGTGTTTCGGCGAACGGTACAGGTATGCTGTGCGAAAGGCCCACGTTGTTGACAAGGATCGCCACATCCAAGCTGTCGATGGTGCTTCTGAGCTTGTCGTAGTCTGAGTCGTTATTGGCGGCGAAGTCCATGGCTAGAGTCTTCGTTTCCACGCGGCATGACTGCTGGATCTCCGATGCCAATGCTTCGAGCTTAGACTGTGTGCGTGACACGAGAAAAATGTTGAAACCCTTTTGGGCGAGCTGCAGCGCATATTCCTTGCCGATGCCGTCGGATGCGCCGGTTACTACTGCCCACGTCCCCTTCTTCCCGAAGGTGGAGAGCTGTTGAGTAAATCAGCATATCGGGATCTTGCCATCCTCAAAAGTTCTCGTATTCTCACCGGTACCCCTGGCAACACGAACAACGAAGCGATCAGTCTCCAGAAGGAGAGCAGCTTGATCGAGACATATAGCAATCCAATGAAAGCGAAGACTTGTGTGGTGGGCGAAGCCCAATAATCCGTCTCTGTGAAAGCGTGAATCGCTTGATCGGCCTGCTCAGCCATACCTTGCGATGTTGCCATGCTTACAATTGCTTCCGGCCGCTCACAGAACTGTTTAACGGGAAAGCGTGGACAAGAAAGGACTGATCTGAACTCGTTCGAGGTTCTTGGTGGAGTTGGCGCAGTAGGAACGGGCCGTTACGATAAAATCTCCGACAACTTCCATCGAACAAGTCAGTCAGCTCCGTCTGAACTCAATGCTCTAACGGATACACTCATGGTGCAAGTAAGAAGACTCCACAACAAGCAGACAGTACCACGATGTCCTCCACCCTGCATACTGTCGGCTCGTACGTACCGGACGGGCTACTGCCAAAATGGCTGCTCTTCGTATGCTTATCTGCTTTTGCCTACTGAGATGTGGTGCCTGGTGCTGACTCTAGCCTTCAGCTCTCAATAGTCTCAATTGGCAACACTGTCCAGAGTTACGTTTCGTTGGCAGGCACTCGTGAGGTGTATGCCGGACCTGCGAGCAGATCTACACCGAGCGTGGCACCGCCGGGCACCGCCTCCAAGCAACATACCTCGCCAGTGACCGAGCTATCTGCGCGGACCTTCGGCACATGGACGGCACTTTCTAGCATCGTCAGACTGTATGCAGCTTACAACATCCACGACCCAGTAGTGTATCAGCTAGCGCTTTGGACGTACGGGCTGGCCTTCGCGCACTTCACTAGTGAATGGCTCATTTTCGGCACCGCTCGATGGGGTAGAGGGTTAGCTGGACCATTGTTTGTTGCTACACTGACGCCATTGTGGATGTTGGCGCAGTACAGTGACTATGTAAGATGACCTTTTCGCATATGCTGCGCCGACTGGCATGCATTGGACAAAGCCTGCAATGTTCTCCATTGAGTACTCAAATCTCTTTGATTCCAGCTTGCACTATTCGCTTGTATGCGTGGCGTATTCGGAGAGACTCCAAATGCTTCGAGCGCCGTATAAGAGGGGCTGCATGCTTTCAGCAGCGCGACACACGGTTGGCGTTTCGGTGTACAGCGCGTGTCGGCCTGCGGATGGTTGCAGTCCTTCCACCAATGACCTCCATCTAGATCTCCACCGTGATCTCTGCCGCTCCACGCGCTGACGAGCAGGCAATTACGGCGAGCGCAGGACAAGAAGGGACCTGCGCCGGGGAAGTATTGGTGAATGCAGTTTCAGGATGGATAAGAGTGTTCCTGCCGCCCATCCCGCAGCTTCAGCACGTTCTAGCCTGCTGCAGCGTGGGCGAATGTCACGTCGGCCAACGACGGCCTTGTCGAGTCATCCAGTCCTATGTCCTCCCCAGGAGGACTCTCCGATCGCAGTGCTGTTGGCATTGAACCGAAATGGGAGGGTCTCTGCCGCGTTTGAAAGATGGTGGAGACGAAAAAGAGCGAAGCTCTCAGAGCTTCTCACCATGACTGCCAACCTCGACAATTTGATCGCAGCCAGGATACGGCGGCACGTCAAATCCATACTTCTCCGCAATTTCCTTTCCTACGAACCTGCCACCCACGAAATGACGTCCATTGAACCACTTAACCAGCGGCTTCGGCGCAGTCAACGAAATGAGAGCGTCCGGATTGTAGTCTTTACCCGGCCCGTCTTTGGGCGGCCCTTCTTCGATGTTCCAGCTCGAAGGCGCATCGACAGCCAGAACGGGCACCTTACTCTCAGCTAGCGCCTTGATGACTCCCGGAAACGGCTCCCTGACCTCGCCACTGAAGGAGAAGCCGAAGATGGCGTCAATGATCCAGTCGCTCTTGCCTAGAGTCCCTGTGAAGTCGTCCGTAAACGGAATCTTCAGCTGCTCTAGTTGCGTCCGCAGCCGCTTATACAGTTCATTCTTGCTCTGCTTAGGGTAGTACATGGTTGGCTTGTATCCGAAGTAGTGAAGATGGCGAGCAGCGACCAGGCCGTCTCCGCCATTGTTACCAGGACCACACGCTACGAGTACATTTGGGGATGTGTGCGGTGGCGAGAGCGTGTACATTGTCTGTGAAACAGCGAGACCGGCTAGTTCCATCAGCTGGTCGACGCTGAAGGCGCCGCTGGACATGAGCTCCTCGTCCAGCGCTGCGGCCGCTTTGGGCCCGAGTGTACGTAGTGCCATATTATGGGCCGTGTATGCACGGTTTACAATAGGTTGTAGGTAGCCGAGACAGTCATGAAGGCAGGAAGGTGAAGTCTGATGGAGCCGTGATGTCAAACCGGAGCTCGGGCCGATGCAAGCCAATGGCGTCGCCATTGGCTTCGCAGACAGAGGCAGCTTAGAGTTCGTTTGTACAGGCACATACGTTAGCATCAAGTGAGCCGGCTTCTGGCAGAGCGTGCGGTCATTGACTGACTCCAACATGATCGGGTTCTCTCGGCAGTAGCGAGTGGTCGCTATTGAAACGCCTCCCTACCTTTCAACCTTCAACCTTTGACCTTCATAATGCCAGGCTCACTACGCCTCGCGCCGGTTGCAACCCTCAGATCCGCACAACTCCTACGCCAGGTCCGACGGCCAGGCTTGGGCCACCTTTCGATATCGTCTCGGCCCACGCACCGCTATCAGTCGACCGCTTCTACCGCGGCGTCAACCGTTTCCCGCTGGATTACCGGCACGGTAGGCGTACTTCTCTTGGGGTTTGGGTATCTGTACATAACAGACACACGGGCAAGCATACATCAGTGGGTGGTTGTACCTACACTTCGCATACTGCACACGGATCCGGAGGAGGCACATCACGCGGGCATTCGCTATATCAAAGGTCTCTATAACTTCAACTTACACCCTCGTGAGCGTGGTGATCATGACCGGCGAAAGGGCGATTTGCAGATCGAGGTGTTCGGATACACACTGGACAATCCAGTAGGCACGTCAGCGGGCATAGACAAGAATGCGGAGATACCTTCCGCGCTGCTGGCGCTTGGTCCAGCGATCGTTGAAGTTGGCGGAGTGACGCCGATGCCGCAAACAGGCAACGACAAGCCACGAGTCTTCAGAATACCTTCACAGAATGCTTTGATCAACCGTTACGGGCTCAACTCGGAAGGCGCCGAGCATGTCGCTATGCAGCTGCGAGAACGTGTTCGGCAATTTGCGTACGACCATGGTCTCGGGCTCGAGCCTGAGTCGGAGCGGATCGTGCTCGACGGCGAAGCAGAGGTGCCACCAGGAAGCCTCGTACCTGGGAAGTTACTTGCCGTGCAGATAGCGAAGAATAAGGCGACGCCGGACAATGATATCAATGCCGTCGCCAACGACTACGTGCAGTGCGTCAACATGCTAGGCAAATACGCAGACATTCTTGTCGTCAACGTCTCGTCACCAAATACACCAGGCCTTCGGGACCTGCAAGCGACCGAACCCTTGACCAAGATCCTCACAGCAGTTGTAGGAGCCGCAAAAGCCACGCCACGGAAAGGAAAGCCAGCGGTTATGGTAAAGGTATCACCGGACGAGGATAGCGATGAACAAATCGGCGGCATCTGCTCCGCCGTTGCAGCAGCTGGCGTAGACGGTGTCATTGTCGGCAACACGACCAAGAAGCGTCCAGATGCAGTACCGGTGGGCTACATCATGCCGGCGCATGAGGAGAAGCTGCTTACCGAGATTGGAGGGTACTCCGGCCCGCAGATGTTCGAGCGAACGCTGAAGCTGGTTAAGCGGTATCGCTCGAAGTTGGAAGACTCGAAAGTACTGTTCGCAACGGGCGGGATTACGAATGGCAAGCAGTGTCTTGAGATATTGAACGCTGGTGCTAGCGTTTGCCAGATGTACACTGCGATGATGTACGGCGGCGTTGGTACGGCTACGAGGTGGAAGCAGGAGATGCGCGAGGCGATGAAGCAGGGAAAGAAGAGCATCCAGTAAGCCGATCAGAGTGCATAGAAATGTACAGTAAGCCGCACTTTGTACGTGTACCCGACGGCGCATTATCATACAGCAATTGTTAATGCAGAGAAGCAACCATCGCAGAACCTTCAATGCATCACAACTCCCTCCATTGTCTACCTTATGACACTACATGACTGGTTCCAAACGCGCTATGAAAGACGTCGCGCGGGTAGTCGGTATTGAGATCCCGGAACTCTCCCCTCAGGCTCTCGATACCGTTCTTCTTCACCTCCTGCACCAATGGCTGGATCTTGGCGGCGATCTTGTCGTTGTCGAAGTTGAAGCGGCCATACACATATTGTCGTGGCAAAGAATGGCCGAAAGTGTGCATCGAGTACCCAGCATCGGCGTACCGTTCCCAGCCGTTGACAGTATATGCTTCGATGATGACGCGCGGTGCGTTGGAGCGATATTGCAGGACTTCACGCTTGTATTCTATCGGTTGCTCCTCGAAGAGACGTTGCGACGGGAAGCTGACGATGCGAGCCTTGATACCGTGCTTGTCCTTCAATACCTTCGCGGCGCCGACTGCGAAGGTCATCTCTGCGCCGACACCGATAAGCGTGACGTCCGCATCTTGCTCCTCGATGAAGACATAGGCTCCCTTCTGCACGCCCTCGCGGCTCGAATACTTCGGGAACTGCTCGACGTTCTGGCGCGCAACGGAGATCATGGAAGGCGTGTTTTTGGCGCCGACAGCGGCAATGAAGGCACCAGCCGCCTCTTCGCCATCACAAGGGCGGATATAGAGGAAGTTTGGCATAGCCCTGTACAGCGCCGCAAGCTCGATGGGCTGATGCGTCGGTCCGTCTTCACCCGTGCCGATGGAGTCGTGGGTAGCAATGTGGATGACCTGCAGACTCTGCAGCGCACCCATCCGCACTCCCGGCGCTGCGTAGATGTAGAACATGAAGAAGCTAGACGTGACCGGCAGGATGCATCCCTTCTTGAACGCCGCCATACCGTTCGACACGGATGCCATGGCGTGCTCGCGGATACCCCAGTGGAGGTAGCGACCAGTGTAGTCGCCATTGATGCCGCAAGCAGTTCGAAGATCTGGATGTTGGAAGTCGACCTTACCCTTCCAAGCCATGTTGACCGAGGGTGTGAGGTCAGCCGTGCCGACCATGAAGTTACCTACGTTCTTCGCCAGCGGGTTGCAGACTGCCCCAGCTGACTTGCGTGATGGTGTCGGCTCAGTGGGGAAGTCCTCCTTCTTCGGGATGTACTTTGTCCAGTCGTCAAGCATCTCTCCATTCATGCGCTTCTTGAGGTCCGCCGCCAGATCTGGGTGCTCTTTACTATACTTAGAAAGCAAGCCATTCCAGTCCTTCTCGAGCTGCTGCCCACGCGGAACGGCCTCCCGGAAGAAGTCATACACTTCTTGCGGCACCTCTAGAATTTTGCTGGAGTCGAGTCCAAAGCTCTCCTTGATGTGAGCTACATCCTCCTTGCCAAGCGGCGCGCCATGAACGTCAGCTATGCCTTGCTTTTTACTGCCGACGCCGATCGTGGTCTTGATATTGATGAACGTTGGCCTCTTCTTGTTAGCCCGGGCAGCCACAAGCGCCTTGACAATGCTTTCGACGTCATGGTTGCCGTCTTCGACCTCGAGCACTTCGAAACCGCTGGCGCGCATTTTCATGTTGACGTCTTCCGCCATGCATATGTCGACTGAGCCGTCACAGGTGATCTGGTTGTTGTCGTAGATCACACAGAGATTGTCGAGTCTCCAATGTCCGGCAAGTTGAATCGCTTCCATGCCGACGCCTTCTTGCAGGCATGCGTCGCCGATCGTAACCCACGTCATGTTGTTGACCATTTCGAAGCCAGGCCGGTTGTAGACAGCGCCAAGATGCTTCGTCGCCATCGCCAGGCCTACAGCGTTGGCGATACCCTGGCCTAGCGGTCCAGTCGTGACTTCGATGCCCTCATGCTCGATCTCCGGGTGGCCAGGCGTGTAGGAGTCCCATCGCTCGCTGTGATAGCTAGATAGTTGCTCAAAGGTCATGGCTTGGTATCCCGTCAAATGTAGGAACGTGTATTGGAACAGGCACGCATGGCCATTGGAAAGGACGAAGCGGTCTCGGTTGAAGAAGTCGGCGTTCTTGGGCGAGTACTTCATCACATACTTCCAGAGCGCTACGCCGATTGCTGCCATACCCATCGCCGAGCTGATATATGGTCAGTCATGACGTTTCGATCCACAATGTAGGATTATAATACCCTGGGTGGCCCATGTTGAATTGCTGGCATAGATCTGCAATTAGTGCGCGGTAGCATCGAACTACGTATTGAGTCCTGTCGTTAGGCTCCATCATCTCCACGTCCTCCACGTGCTTCGCATCGCCATTCGTTCCAGTTTGCGCCCCATTCAGCTTAAGTGGTAGGTGATCGACGTCATTTGTTCCTACTTGTACCGCTGAGGGCGCCATGTCGCAGGCAATGTCGAAGAGAATCCGATGAAGTTGGCTTATTGAGAGTGAATGGTCGACTACAGAACAGAGGGAAGGATGTGTGAGTGAGAGTGCAGGAAGTAACGTAACCTACCTTGAGCCGCCTGTGGCATTGCCTTTTGAGTTCCCTGTGACGAAGAGGTACTCATAGCTGTACCGCAGAGTAGGAGAGGTTGTGTGGCGGAAATAAAGTAGGATTGCTCCTTACGGAAAGCCGGGAGCATGGAAAAGCTGGGGTCGGTCGAAGGGGCATCTGGCTAAGGCGCTTTTCTAAATGCGGGCATGAGGCGAAACTACACATATGGGGAGAGTAGCGTACGAAGTGACAGCAATCCCTTTTCATGGGAAGACGTGGCTCCGATGATTGAGGCCGCACCTGCCGCTCTGGTATCTGTTGTGGTTCCCCGTCTACCATCGGCCGCTGCACGTTTGGCTGAGAGTGTTCGAACAAATTCCTCGCCGCCGTCAAGTCCTGCAATCAGTATGCCGCAATAGCGAAGCTTGTGGATTTCACAGAGCTACCGATCATGCCTACTTAAACTTGTAAGCTTCTTGTCTCTGAGGCTTGCAAAGTGAAATTGTTGCAGTGCCGCTGCGGCCATGGGACAAGGGTAGCCAATCTGCCTGCACTTGTTCACAGCATCCGACAGCTTTCGGCCAACGTCCTCAGCCTCGGGGCAGTCCGCTAGCGTCCAGGAGTCTTTCTCCAGCATACCGGGGATGCATTTTGTGAACATAGCATTCCAGCCAGCGGCTTTCGAAATGATCTCGCACATGAGCTTGCTGTCAATGCCCTTTAGGTGCTGGCAGAAGGCCATGCCCTCAACAGATGCAGCCAAGTGAATGCCACAAAGCAGGTCAGCAACGGTGTCTTTGCTGACTTGATGAGAAGACGCCATCTTCACGTCTGCCTCGGCCATCTTCGAAACGAGATCACCTTGGCTGTCCGGTAGGTAGAGCTGGACAAGTTTGGCGTCATCGTCCTTGAGCATCCCAGCTTGCACGCCTTGAAGGTAAGTATAGTGTGCAGTGTTAGCCAACGGAGCCGGAAATTGCTCGGCTCGAGCAGTATCGGTGACAATGCCAGTATCTTTCAGAATGATACCAAGCGCGGAATAAGGGTGCCAGTCGTTATTGATCATATGTGGTGCCCTGTTGGAAAACATGAAGCTATCGCCGTCCGACTTCTGGACGTGCTCCATGACCGCTTTCGTGTTCAGACCGACGGTCGCAGCCAGACCCATCGCTTCGGAGGCCGTAATGATGTTGGTTGCAGCCAACAGCTGGTGAATCGTCTTCGTCTTCGTGCCGTTGCTGATGCCTCCCATACGGTACAGGTTCCCAGACATGCATTCTAGGACTTCCTTCGCAGCGTCCAAATCACTATCAGGGCCAGAAGAAAAAATGGACAAAGTGCCGTCTGCTGCTCTAAGCGTGCCACCCGAGACCGGGCAGTCCAGGAGCTTGATGTCGGATCTTCCAGCTTCCTCGTCTAACCGTTTCCGGAGCTCGTGGAGGAACGATGGCGGAGTTGTTGAGCAGAGGATGAACGTCTTCCCCTTGCCAAGGCCTTTAGAGACGCAGTCTTCCCCGTCGAAGAGCAAGCTTGCGTTCTGCGCGGCGTTGGCGACCATGGAGACGAAGAAGTCGGCACCGGAAGCTGCATCCTTCGGCGTCTTGGCGGCTTTGCCACCTGCTTGAACGAACTTGTCGACAAGGGGTTGATATACGTCGAAGCCAGTTACTGAAAAGCCATTCTTGACGAGGTTGGTCGCCATACCACCTCCCATTGCTCCTAGGCCTGCGAAGCCGATCGTTGGCTTACTTGAGGCCATCTTCGCGGAACAAAAATACTGATCTTGTCAGACAATCTTTGCAAGCCGTGATGGGAGTTATTTGGTGTCCGTAGCCATTAGGGAAAATATGTGCTTGGAAGGAGCATTCGCTGCACCTGCATGCTTCCCGTCATCAAACACCGAGATCCAACCAAACTCTGTGAGCTCGGCACAAAGAAGGCCGGTCGGCCGGCAAAATGCAGCTTCCCCTCGGGGCATTTCTTCTGCATTTAACCCTCCAGCTTGTCGGCGTTGGGAGATACCCAGGTCTCTCGCATTAAGTTCCTGTACTGCATGCTGTTCCCGTGGAGACTCCGCATAGAAACGATGTGACGGGCCGCATGGCAACATTGCTCTGCGGTGCGCGAGATAGATGACATTGCAGTGCCAAGAGCCACTATCAAGGCTCATGTACATCGGTGACTTTACGCGTTGCGGTCGTTGCCCATATTTAGTGACGCTCGGGATTACAGTTTCGCTGTGGAAAACCAAGCCAGGAAGAACTGATGTATTGTACAGCTATCTTAAAGACCATCTCTGGCACTTACAGTAGCCACCTGCGTGGATCACATATGAACGTACTAAAATCGTGGACTCGCAAAGCCCAGCAGCGATGACCAATGACACTGAGCCTCGAAGACTAAGCAGTTCTGGGAATCTATCGCGAAGGGTTCCACTTCCACCCAATCACTGTCATACGATCCGGCAGGGGGGGCTCGCGTTCGTGCCTGTCGGCCAAGACCCAAGGTTCGCATACAGCTACAGTTGTAGGTGTTGTGGCAGACAGCGCGGCAGGCTGCCAAGGTGCTCGCAGTACGGCTGCTGGAGCTCGCATACAGTTCCACGTAAGGAGTCGCATCTCCTCGCAATGACGACTTGGACGCCTTGGTAGTGCTGTGTATATATTGACGCCTGCTCTCCGGTAGGTAGTCTTTCATCTCTAACACATCACGCCCATACACCGGGATAGCAGCCAACTGTCCTCCAGCGCAAGCGATACTCGTTTACCTCCAAAAGCCCCTGGTCCGGTAACCGCTCCACTTCACAATGGACGTCTTCGCGCATCTAGCAGCGCGTGCAGACCAAAACAGGGGCTGCACGCAAGCAACCTGTCCGGTGATCCAATCAGTATATGGCTACCGACCAAACCTGGGTGCTACAGTCTTCTTCCTGATCTTGTTCGCACTCTCTGCCTGCATCTTTATCTGGCAAGGCGTCCGAACGAAGACGCGATTCTTCACCTGGGCCATGGTTCTCGGTGGCTTTAGCGAGGTGCTAGGCTACGTGGCAAAGCTCTTGCTTTGGAAAGATCCATTCTCCGACGTTGGGTTCAAGATGTCTGTGGTGCTGCTCACGTTCGCCCCGGCGTTTTATGCTGCGGGCGTTTACTACACGCTGAAGCATATCTGGTCAGTTCCCTGAACGATTATTGTCTTACTGCGTCCGCTAATAGCTATACAGCCTGACGTTCGGTGCGGACTTCAGCAGGCTACGCCCAGCGCTGTACACTTACATCTTCATATCGTGCGACTTGTTCTCGATCGTCCTCCAGGCCGTTGGTGGCGCCCTTGCGTCCGTGTCCAGCGACATGAGCTTACTGAACGCGGGTACCAATGTCATGATTGCCGGATTGGTGTTGCAAGTTTTCACATTACTGGTCTTCGGCATGCTCGCAGCAGACTACGCCTTCGCAGTGTTCCGCAACCGCGAAAACCTCAACCCGGCAACAGCAGAGTTACGAAGCTCGCTCCGCTTCAAACTGTTCGTCGGTGGCCTGTGGCTGGCTTGGCTTTGTATCGAGATTAGATGCGCTTACAGGGTTGCTGAGCTTGTCGGAGGTAAGCATGTCCTTTGTGACTGATAAGGACATATGGCTGACAGGACAATAGGCTGGGTCAACAACCCGATCCTTCGCAACGAGTACCTCTTCATCTGTCTCGACAGCCTACCCATCGGTATCGCTGCTTTGGCGCTTAACATCCTGCATCCCGGCTGGTGCTTTCCAAAAGAAAGTCAAGGGCTCGTGAGCACATCGGAGAAGCTTGGTAACAGCAGCGATACGGAAGGCATGAGCTCGGTGTAAGAACGTCAAAATGTATTCATGTTCCGGTGCGGCGGCAGACTATGCCTTTAATGGTTTAAGCTCGTAATGAATGCGGAATTAGGCAGCCGACATACCCTTCAGCAGGATGTACAACCCATAAGCTCCAGGATCTGGCACACCACGTGTCGCGCTTTCATCCAAGTACGTGCTCCTTCCAAGCTTGGCCTCCATCCGTTTCGTGCCTTCCACGCCCTCATGCGCCGCCTGGACAGCCTTCTCGGCATCCTCGCCGTTCACCAGTGTCTTGATAAACGGCAACAGCGCATCCATCATTGTTCGATCGCCAACTCTTGCTCGCGTATACTTCATCAGTTGCTCCGCAGCTGCCTTCAGCGCCTTTGCAACGCTTGTCTCTGTGGCCAGAGCACTGGCTAGAGCGGTCAAATAAATGCAGTATAAGGCGCCGGATGTGCCTCCCATGTTGACTTCCAGCTCGTTCACAAGCTGTCCAACCATCTCCGGGAGCCGCGAGAGATCCTTGCCCTTGATAAACGTCAATACCTGCTTTGCACCATCTCGGAGTGTGTAACCACAGTCACCGTCTCCGACGATAGTGTCGTACTCTGTGATTGTCGGCTCCGCCTCGATGACTGCATTGCAGCCAGCTTCGATTCGCTTCCGAATTGTGCCATCATTAAAAGTCATTTGCGCCTTCGAAGGTGTGAAGTTCTTCTGCAGGCTTGCGTTGTCCTGGGATGGTGATGCTTTGTGCGGTTGTGGTTTAGGCTGTGCGGCCAGGTACTCGCTCGAGACCGGGCAGATCGAGATGCTGAAGCCTCTTGCAGCATTTGAGTGGTCAAGGATGGTTGAATGCGACAGTCGGTATGGTACGTTCTGCGACTCTTCCTCTTGTTAGTTTTCTACCGCACATTGCGAGTTTGACTCATGCATACCAAAGTACTTTGCAACCTCCCCAGCGATGATATAATTCTCCAAGCGGCTGAGTCCGTTGACATCCGAGAAATGCACGCTATACACGACCTGCTCCTCCCGCGAAGCGTGGGCCTTCATAACATGCGTAAGGTCACGCTCTACCGCATGCCTTGCCTTCTCAAAGCCTGCAGGACCGGAGGTATGCAGTACTGATGGGTTGCCTTCTGCCTTCTCAGTATGAAATCGTGAATGGGCAGTGCTTGCTCGCTTTGTGAACTGCTTAAGCAGTTCCGCAACATCGTCGGTTGATGACCTGCACGACTCTTCTGCGTTGGCAAGAAGATGCAAAATATGGTCCAGCTCCAGTTCACTTCCTGCCTCAACCTCGAGGATTTGATCTCCGTGCAATTCGATTTTTCTCTTGTTGCCAGCTCGTAGGACTACGATGCCTTGACTTGAGGAAATGCCCAGAGCTTGCAGATCTTGCTGGAGATTGTGGGCAATAAGCGGTTGGTCTCCAGCATGACCAATAGCAACAGCAGTAACATTGCGCTCGTCCAGAAGCTTGCTCGATAAATTGCCGGCGCCGCTGAGCACGACGACTTTTACAGAGGTGCCCTTTGCATGATCCTGATCGATAAGGATAGCCTGACCTTTACTTGTTCGCTTTGACAATAAGGTCGGCCGAACGAGAGGTAGGAGAGTGTGCCACCGTGACCCATTCTGAAATTCGAGAACGGATTGATCGAAAGGAATAGTTTGCGTAACCACGACCGCCATGTGGAATGAGGGAAGGCTTCTTACTCGCTTTTCAATTGGTCATCTGAGCATACTACCGGAGACTCGTGGTTGCTGTATACTGTGAAGGCTCTCACGCCGCGATATCATGGGAGTCGGCACGTTGTGAACGCGAGGGGAAGAGGATGAGCTGCGGTGAAATAATATTACCGTTTCCGGTATCCCGCCGTCGTTGACGCCTGGACCACGTTGTCGGGGGTTGCAGACCGAGTGCGAGCTCGCAGTGACATTGTGTAGCCCCATTAGAGTGCTCGAGAGGCCTCGAGGTGCTGTTCTCGCAGCGCATTCGCAAGTGAACAATTAATCCGCGTTGTGATATGGTCGGCTTTCTCGGGCTTAAGGATCCGCAATGGGGATATGGAGGGGTTAGCTGGTGGGGTCGCTCTGGCCTTGACTGTTATGGATGCGCTCTGGAATTGGCAGGGGGCGTTGATGTTGTCCAAAGAAGGAGAAACAACAAAGAAAGGACACCAAGCCTACAACTCAGACCGTGTTTGAGGGTTGAAGAAGTACAACCTCCACTTCCTATATATCAATTGTGCAATGGCTGCAGCCGCTCTTCGAGAGAAACAGGCCCCTATCAAAGATCAATATAAGCAGGATCCGTCAAGTGCGGTCGTCACCTTGTCATCTTCGGGCACGCTCGACTCGAGTAGCATTACCTGCAAAATCAATACCGGCAAAGCTGTCCACGACGCCAAGCAGAAGATCGCAGGGCTGCATCAAAAAGCTGGAGGTGACGACCCAGACGTCTCCGGTGAATTATGCTCAGGCGACATGCTGCTGGAAGCCTTGGTGGCATGCGCAGGAGTTACGCTGAAAGCGGTTGCGACTGCGCTCGACATCCCAATCAAGAGTGGTACGGTCAAAGCGGAGGGCGACCTCGACTTCAAGGGGACCATGGGCGTGGATCGCAACGCGCCCGTAGGTTTCAGAGCTATTCGGCTGGAGTTTGATCTGAAGCTTCAGCCTGGCGCTGAGGTACCGGAGGAAAAGATTGAGAAGCTAGGCAAGCTGACGGAGCGGTATGCAATTTATCAAAAGGTTCGGTGTCTTGAGCGAAGCGCTGACGTTGCTCTCAGATACTGCGTCGTCTTGCAGACCATCGCGAAGAAGCCCGAGCTGAGCGTGAGCCTGCACGGCACACAGAATACAGAGGAAGGTATTGATAAGACGTTATCTTGGGGCCAAAAAGGTTGATCAAAGTCCGGAAGGCAATGACCGCTCTATGCACGGGGGCTGTGCCGCAAACCTGGTAGATGGTTACAAGCAGCGAAGACAGATGACCGAGAAAATCTAAAGGCGCGCTCAATAGCAAGTGCGTGGGCTCAACGGCCGGAACACGTTATACGACGGTATCCTTGGGGAGACATCCGTCCGCGACACCGACCGAGTGGCTGCAGAATAGGTGGCTGAGTGTTTTTCGACCGATCTATTGATTCATGTTATTGTTTCGCGAAGACGCGTTGAATCGCCTATCATCATTCACCAAACAAAGCGTAGGCGCCATGTCGGTTGCCAGTGCCGTGCCAATGCCGAGGCGAGATGAGGGAACGCCATCGGGAAGAAGTGTGCATGTCGCTCCGGTCTCCTAACCACCTCGCAAAGAATCTCAACGGCTGGTGTTGTCGTGGGGGCACCGCACTAGCAATGCACATCGAAGACGCGTTGATGTTTGTAAGCTGCCATTTCTGCCGCTTCAGCGCGAAGATCTAAACGAGCCTGCATTTGCCAGAAGCAGCAGAGAGTCAGTGCCATCTTTTGCGAAGCAAGGGCTCGTCGGCCGTGCCGGATGATGCCGCGAATGCATGGCCAACCCTGTAGCACATCAGCCGCCAACGGTTCATTAATCACTGGCGTTTCCATCTGAGCGTGACATGCACCTGGAAAGCAGGCGGGAAATAGGCGGCAGACCGTTGTGCTTGGCTGCAGTTGTCATCGTCAACACCGTGAGAGGTGGGCGCAGGAAGCAAGCTTCACGCACCCTGCTCATCATCGTAACGGCAAACCTTGCCGCAAAGCTCCCGTCGTAAGCGCCTCCCTTATGCGCCGTCGAATGCTTGTTGCGATCATAGGAGGTAGATAGGCTGAAAGGCGTATATGTGATGACGCCAACTAGCATGTATTGTTTGGGAAGAACCGGAAAGGCAGGTTATATGGCGGCCGCCGTTACGCCGTCGTCTACTGCTGGCGCGCATAGGTGTTGGTGAACGGGCCAGTCGCTGTTGATGCCGAGCCCTGCAAAACTCTAAAGTCGCCCAGGTGCTGTCGTCACGGCTGTCACGCTTCGGGGACAGCTTTTTCGCTCTCAACGTCTTCTGCGTCCTTCTCCCATACACATCACCGCAACACCCTTCTTCGACGGACCACCATCGAACGGCGCGGGACCCGCAAACATTACCTGCAGTGCATACGATAGACGCAATCTTCCGCGACGTGCATTGTGTTCCTGGACCCGCGAGCAGTCCCACTGTGCGGATAGCTCCACCTTGCCCACGCACCTTTCGAGGGGACAAACGCCTCGCCGGCGATCTAAACTAAGGCTATTGCGGCATCACCTGCAGACTGCCGAGTGCGATTTGCACACTGACACGCTTTACACGACCCTCGAAGCTCGTGCTGGACGTGTCTGACGAGCCATCACCACTCTCATCATCATCAGGTCATCACTTTCGCCTCACAGCTTGCGACCGCAGGTGACTAAGCGGTTGGGCGGCCTTGGCACACCGAGCAACCTCCGGGATTACCTCGAGATCCGTCCCGCGGCCAAGATTTTCTCGCAGAAGCACAACATCCCCGTCTTACTGCCGCACGCCTGCCTTGTTAACTTCATTTCTTGCGCGTCCGCGCTTGCTGCACGTCTGGCACTGCAGTTTGATAGCTACCCTTGGAGGCGCTCGGCTTCCGTCCTGTCGCTCTAAAAGCATCACGTCATTCTCCGATGAGGCAGAGGGACCAACCACCCAGTACCCTTTCCGTAGTATCCACTCCCCCCGGTCTCCGCACTGCTATCCATAGCATCTAGAGTCATGGACAGCTCGTTCAATCAGTACATGGGGTATGGTCAAGGTCAGCAGTCCCAGCAAGCCGGCGCACAGCAGCAAGGGCTCGGATCCTTCGGCAACCTCTCCGGGTCGACACAGCATACTGATTCGCAGTCGCACCCAACCCTACCACCTCTGCAGAGCCAGAATGGCGGCCAGTTCGGCAACCTGTCGTACATGCATCCAGGTAGTGCGGCGCACACGCCGACAACGCCGCATACCCCGTCAATGACCATGCCGCAAAGTGCGACCAGCTCATACGCTACCATGTCCCCAGCGCATACGCAGGGTGGCATGCTCCCGCCATCATCCTTTGCGCAGCCTTATAATTTGGCGCAGTCGAACATGTATCCATCCTCGACAGGTGCGTCATTACCGTCATCGACCGCTACGCAAGGGCTCCCAAGCTTAAGACCGATGCCTCCAGGTGGTGCCGTAGGTCCAATGAACGGTCTACCGAGTCTTACAGGCGCTACGCAGCTAGGCCAACAATCCTCCTTCGGGCAGCAAGGTGACGATGCGCCCACGCACGTTGTTGGCTCGCAAGGCCGCCGCGGGGTTCTTCCAACCGCTCCTGGCCGTCCTAATCCGCCTGCACAAGGCGCGACTGGAAAGAGCATGATACCGCAGAAGGATGCAGACGGCAAGTTTCCGTGTCCGCATTGCAACAAGACCTATCTGCATGCTAAGCATCTGAAGAGACATCTCCTAAGGCGTAAGTCACGGCCGGTCCTTCACCACAGACTTGATGTGTACTAATGTTGCTATCTCAGATACCGGCGACCGGCCGTACATGTGTCATCTCTGTAAAGATACCTTCTCCCGGAGTGACATCTTGAAGCGCCACTTCCAAAAGTGCTCAATCCGACGCGGCAACCCGACAGGCGCCAATCACCTCGCTCATCAACGTCGCAACAACAATGCTGGTAATCGGCTCTCCATAAGCCAGCAAGAAGGCCCCATCGGACTGGCAGGCCTTCCAGAAGTTGCTGGGTCCGGCCCACCGTATGCGAACGGCATGGTGAGCAGTCCAACAGTGGCAGGTGACATGTCGGGACGGTCTACACGGGCGAACAGCTTGGTGACGCCAAACAACATGAGCCACCGCAATAGTGTGGCTGGACTCGGTATATTGGGCTCGAACGCATCCGGCAACGACCAAATGGGAACTTCTGCCGCGAGTTACCAGCCCAATATGAGTGCTTATGCCATGCACAATGTCTCGAACGGCGGTCAAATGCCTCCAAATTACGCTTACAGCCAGCCGCAGATGAACGGAAGTACATACAACCAGCAGCAGATGTCTTTTTTAGGCCATCCGAGCTCGCGGTACGATACCAGCCACAATAACAACGCTTACCAGCACAGTACGAACGGTGATGGAGGCGGCGGCACCGGTCCGACAGACTGGAGTCGCATGTTCAATCAAGGTGGCCAGGATGGCTTCATGTCGAGCCAGCCTGCGAACGCGAGCTCACACGGAATGATGCACACCAAGACAGATGTGACGAACGACGTGAAACCGAATTTCAACAACATGCATAACGATATGAGTAACGATTCTTTTTTAGGGAGTCTGTACTCGCACCCTAGCGCGTTCGGGAGCGAGTACGGAGTAGACCACGAGAACGGCATATTACCTGGCTTTCCTAACTGGAGCGTGGATGACCCGCTGCAAGCCAAAGTGGACAGCTTGATGCACTACTGCTTTCCCAACGGAGCAGACACGACGCCTGGTGACGACTCGTCTGCCATTGTCAAGGCTTGTCTGACGGCTGAGAATATCAAGCACTTTGCGGAACACTTCAAGTCCTACCAAGGACATTGGCCGGTCTTACACATGCCGACCTTCAAGTTAACGGAAGCAAACAATGCGCTGGTGCTGGCGATGCTGTGTATCGGCGCGGTGTACAGTCCGCAGATGGATGTGAGCAGGGTGCGGCTCATGATGGACTTTGTCAAGATGACGGTGTTCAACAACAGCAGCATATATTCGAGGTACATCAACGGCTCTACTAACGGGCTTGGCGCCGAATCATGGGATGTGGAAGAGCTTCAGGCGCTTCTTATGCTGCAGACTATCTATACGTGGCACGGAGACGCCAACCAGCGCCAGGCAGCGCGCAACGAATTCCCGGCCTTGGTACATCTGGCGAAGGCGATGGGAATGACGCAACAGGCCGAACAAGGCCATTACGCTTACAGTCCGCTGCATTCCAACATGACTACCAGCGTTGACGGGAACAGCTTCAATTGGTATGGGTGGCTGGAACAAGAGAAGCGCAACCGCGTACTGTACATGCTGTTCTTGTCGGACGCAGCCATGGTCATGTTCTTCAACAACACGCCGCAATTCGATCCCTTGGAGGTACGACTCATGCTACCTGCAGATGACGCAGCGTGGGACGCCGGGGATGCACAGGAGTGCGCAAACGCTTTGGGCCTTCACGGCGTACATGCACAAGCCCAGCACATCGCTGGTACGCGTCGACCGAAACAGCCCGGCATGCGGGAGGCCATGCGCACCCTCCTAGACCCGACTGCATCCTTCCAACCGAATGCTACTAATGTGTATTCCAAATTTGTGCTTATACACGCCTTGATCACGAGGTTGATCGCATGTCAGAAGACGTTGATGGCGTCAGATGGGCAGTTTCAAGGCATGAACTTCAACGCAGGCAGCAGTAGCCCGGCGACGCCATTGTCGCAGAATGACTGGCTGGACATGCATGGTGGTCGTAGCGGCAACGTGTCCTCGAGTAATAGTGGCCACGTCACGCCCACCGATGGCATGAACATGCAGCTTGTGGCCGTCCAGCAGGAGAGGACGCGGCTCGGCAAAGCTCTTGATAAGTGGAAGCGGGCTTGGGATCAGGTAGGAGGCCCCACAATGATCGTCAGACTTCACTGAAATGCTGACTGTTTCGCAGGATATGGATCTGCAATACCCGCCAGGCCAGCTCCGCCAAAGACGCTTTGGCTTCAGCCGCGATGGTGTTCACTTCTTTTATCTAGGCCGCAGTTTCTACCAATCCCAGCGCCCTAGCGACTGGACCACTCCGCCAGACAAGCGTTTCCAGCAAACCATGGCGCTGCTCAAACGTATCAAGGGTTTCGTCCTCGGCGACAATGAGCACAAGGGACACGACATCGGCTCCGTCGGCGACATCGACGATCAGTACGGCCTGGACGATCTGACTCTGGATATGAAACTACTATTCAAGCCGTACAACTCGCAGACGGATCGTTCGATCACTGGCGTGCAGACATATCTGTAGCCCATTTCCGGAAGGCCTGCGAGCCTGTTGGCTTACTCCGTTCAACAGCTGCGGCTGTTTCTATTACTTCCATTCTGGCGTTGACACGAGCTGAGGCATTCATAACGACGACATAAGCCATGACGATTATAGATATAGATTAGGGTGGTGCAAAAATGATCGGAACGCTTTTAGGCGCTTTGTAGTTGCGGCAGAACTCGAGGAACGATCCCTTGACGGCTCGGTGGACCCGAAGATCGCACGTGCGCTGATTTTGCGACCTGTCTCGCACTTTTACCTTCCTCGCGACAATGTAACAACTTGCTCCAGTTCACAGGCTGCGGTATTCAATCACAGACGTTTCGGCGGCTTGTGCGGTTACGGAACGTACATTCTGTTCAGATGCGAGACACGGGGATCGAGAGCGCAAGCTCGGTGTTTTGCCGTTTCCTACGTTACGCTTGCGGTTCGATGTACGTAGCGGAAAGTAGCTGAACGTATTGGAATTACGATGCGTTCCACATCCGCCTGCTCGGCAGCCAAAGGTGCCTTCGAGCACACAATTTAGCACATGAAGAAGGCGCCGTAGCACAACCGCACTCGGCTCTCGGCGCCACCAGTCAACTCTTTGTAGAACGATGCGCTGCGTTCACATTACCGCCGTTGCCCTCGCCGATGCTCAACAGCCGTAAAGTCGTTACCACAAACACCACAGCCACTTTCAGCGGCTCCGTCTAACCCATGGAGCAACACTGGCCGCATCACAAATTCAGACACCCATCCACCCATCTCAACCCACCCTTCTCTCCGTGCTGGCGCATTATCTCGTGCCTGACAACAGCAGCGTCCGCACTTCCATCCTTCAGACAAGGCCTTGCATCATCGTCACAGTCCGCAAAGCGTACTCTTTCCAGTCCGCGCAAATGGAGCAAGGCGGCTACGCCGTCTTGCAGCCATATCGGCGCTCCCGGTATCAACAGCCTTGGGTAAGGGTACCTAATGGTAATCGTGCGCAATCTCGGACACGACGCAAGTAGAGAGAACGTAATGCTATCTTCCCTGCTTCGGCAGTAGGTGTCAACAGCTTGCAGTAGATCACGTCCGTTCTTGCCAATGTTTCTCAAAAACATGTAGAGCGTCTTGCAATTGGCGAACTTGAAGGTATGTCCAGTATAGAGCACATCTAACGCCTCATTACGGATCTGAGCACATGTGCGAAGGATGTTCTTCTTGGTACTGTCTCGCGGTCCGCTTTTCCCATGGGCAGCCTTGGTCAAAATGCGAGGTGAATCTCGGTGGAGCTGGACAATCTCCGTGACACGCTCGGACCAGGGTACGTTCGCAGCATTCCCAAGCTGTGGCAGCACCATCGTGTATATCGTCAAGCGAAGCTCCACCGGCAATGCGAAGAATGGGCTGGCCTGACGCTTGGTCGGCGGATCAAAGCTGGACGGTAGCCGATCTTTTCTGCGGTACCATTGTCTCGGTAGCGCCTTAGTCCCTCTGTCACCATAAAAGCCTGGCATCGTTGCCCGAGGCTCCAGAGGCATTCGACATTGCTCCATTGGACATCTTGGATGATGGAAAGTGAAGTTCTTGGAGGAGCTGGCGTGGTAATTCTCCCACAATGTTGTCTCAAACCCCGGCGTGGAACTAAGCGCAACAATGCTGGAATCGCGACGGACAAACTGGCCACAGATGATACATCTGGATCCTTGCTCCAGAGCCTCCAACGGCGGTCGGTCGTACACATGTCCGCTAGCTGCGAGCTGCCGGGCTGTGTCGTCGTCCTCGTCCCAAAAGCCTTGGAAGGTCGCCAGGCGCTCCGTGTAATTCATTCCAGGGTATTGAGACATTATCTGATCGAACTTATGAGCATGACTCAAGCGGGGATAGCCGAAAACAAGCAGTAGCGGCGCGGTCGAGGTTATCTTCGTGTTGTCTCTTGTAAGTTACTTCGAGGAATAATGGGAGGCGAAGCGTGAGGATACGCGGTTGGTGCCTTAGGCACAAAAGCATTCCAGCGACGCTCCAATGGTTGGACTAGAGAAGGGTATGCTCGGCTAACAGTAGAGAATCAGTGGCGTAGGAAGGAAAGTTGGGTATGGCGAGAACTTCTGAAGAACATAACGACGTCTATACGCCGCACTTCTCCATGCGTCCCCACGCATGCATATCCTTATCTTCATCCATGCCTGGCCACAGTATGTTCCCACGCCATACGGCGCGAATATGGGCGACCGCCGTGATCAGCCACATGATTACCAGTAGTAACGTCAGCGCCGTGCACACTCCATTGATTCCAGGGCTTTGAAATGCTCGACCAATTTGGATTGCGGCAAGAGTAAGACCAGCGTTCGGAAACACGAATGCCCACCAGTTCAACGTGAACTTCATCTCCTTGATCCCAGTGACCACAGTTATGGTACTGATGAAGAAGAAGAACAGAGCAAACAGCGCGATGAAGAGCCCCGCGCAGATGCCTAGGACTTTGACAATGTTGCCGTCCGGATAGCCTGAGGTGTTGAAGACGTTGTTAGGGAGGACACTGGGTGCGCGTTGGCCGAGTGAGATTAAGCCGGCTGCTGTGTAGCCTGCACCACAACGTGTTAGCGAATGCAGTCAACACCGCAAGCAGATTCTAGCAGCTGGTACTTACCAGCGGGTCCCACGCTCACGTACATTCCCGGCCTTGTAGGCGGAGCCGGTAACTTGCAAGTCATCAGTCGTTGCGTGTATATCGTATACATCACTAGCGCGACCGTCCACGCAAGTCCTTGAAGCATCACCGCACCCACCCACATCGGATACGCGGAAGACTGCGGCTGACTCGGAATCAGTGTGCCCGCCATCGGTCCCACTACCAACAAAGGGTAGACAGGAAAGATCCAGGCCGGCATTGCCTCCTCGACCTTGAGCTGCTGGAATAGATTGTAGTACTGAACGACCGCAACCAACAGCACGACGGCGCAGTAGAGCCAGAAGATGATCCCCAGAGCCTCAATCAGCCAAGGTCCTACGCTCGACACGCCATAAGCCTGTGTGCAGTTGATCAGGAGCGCGATCGAGACGAAGTAGGCCCCGAAAAAGAGGCCCTCGACTGGGTGTTGGAGGGAGAGCAGGAGTCGGCGTGGAGCTAGCACGAACCGCACAGCCATCGCCGCGGTGAAGAGCACGAGTAGCACTAGGTCGAGAATGAAGAAGACTTTGCCGATGGTCTGTAGGCCGGGGAAACGGTTGGGTGTCTGCGATAGCACCACGGCGATTGCGCCGGTCGACATGGTGCAGGCGAACCATGGCCAAGTAAAATGGGCTATTCGGTCCTTGAGGTTGGCTGCCGCTGGGACCTCCGGCTCACCGTCGCTCGTCGACGCTTCATCTCCCTCCGCGCCGTGACGGTGGAAATGCATAGTTCGCGTGAGGCGTAATCTCCTGCGTGATTCACATATGGTCCTATTAAGCGCAGGCTGTGAACGCCTGGATGCCGTTCTTATCGTGGAAAGAAATGGTAACCCAAGAGAACAGTAGCTGGAGAACACAGACTTACCTACGCTACGCACAAACGCTACAATAAGCTCACATCGTCTACGTATACCAAGCCTGGAACGTTAGAATGTTGTGGCCGCGTGCGTGTCACTTCCGCGGGTTCGAAAAGTCAATGAGTGTGAGCGTGAGCGTAAGGGGAAAAGGTGCAGACGTCAGGCCCAGTGCGCACGGGCCAGTGATACGTTTGAAGTGACTAAACACTGGGGAAGAAAGGTTCAGTACGTGCTGGGAGGAATAGACATAGGTCGTATTCGTTGTAAGGTATCTCGCTAAAGTCCGAAGTCGTCTAACCGTTCATGCAACCGTTCCATCGCCAAAGCGACTAACCATTTTCCCTCGTCCGTCCCACCAAGCCCTACTGGGGCCCACCACCATCATTATTTCCATCACTCCCACCAACCATCCCCGCAGCCCACCCTCTAATAGCGTCCAACCTCCCACTAACCCACTCGAACCACCGATCAATCGCCCCCTTCTCCCCCTCATCAAGTCCATCGTGCACCACCGGCCTCGTTTCCATCGCCTCCCCATCATTCGCCACTGTAGCCGTCCCACCCTCAACGTCCGGCATACTACTCGGCACCGGCACGACCACATCCGGCCGCATCTCCCACTCCGCCTTTGGCTTCCCCTCCTCACCCACATCCACATCCTCCCCCTTCGCCCAAGCACTCGCTTGGGCCTCCAACTCCGCAATCGACGGACTCACATACGGCAGCGCAAGGCTCTCATCATCCTGCGGATCATACGGCATTTCTTCCCCCTCCAACCCAACGAAATCATGCACCCCATCGGTAGGAAGCGGGAGACGTAACGTCCCATTGTTCGCCGCCGGCTCAATCCCCACCGAATCGCAGACGATATTGTACACCTCCGTGTTCTGAAACACCGGGATCGCCGACCCCGGGACGTGTGGGAACGCGGGTCCGCGCGCAACGAAAATGGCGCGCATGAGTGGGTGTTCCGGATCGTAGCCGTGGAGGCCGCGAGGGTGGTAGACGGGCTCTTCTCCTCCAGCAGCAGAGGTGCTAGCGGCGGCAGCGATGTCGAACTCGTCTTTCGTCACTATAGCCCAGCCTGCGGTCGGAACGAGCCAGAGCGGGGCGATGCGGTCATTCTTGCTGAAGTGGTAGCGCTCCGGCATGTTGGTATCGCGAAGGTAGACCTCAAACTTGCCCATGTACTCCACTTGTTGCGATTTCTTCAACAAGCTCAAGTAAAGCGCCTGCAGCCTCTCCGGCGAGTCATTATAAGGGCGAAGTCCATAAAGCGGCCAACCGTCCGTATGCTCAATCAACCCCGTATCAATCAGATCCTCCAGCTGAATCAGTCTCCGCACGGAAGTAGTCGCCATGCCGTGGTCAGACACAACAACCACATTCACTATCCCGCTTAGATTCCTCTCCTCCAACCCCTGCAAAAGCTCCCCCATCATCCCATCGACCTCCGCGATCGTGCTGCGGATGTAGGTACTGTTGGGCCCGTACAAATGCCCGTCCGCATCAACATTGGGGACGTATGCAGCGATCAACTGTGGTCGTTCATCCATACCCAAATCCAGCCACCCCAGAATCCGACCCACTTTATTCCCCAACGCCTCCTTGCCATTATATTGATCCACGTACTCCGCTTTCACCCACCCCTCTCCCCCCTTCCCCTCGACTTCACTCCCAGGCCACATATGCACCCCCGTCCTCACACTCCCCTTCTCCGCCGTCGCCCAAACCGGCTCCGCGCCATCCCACCACTCCGCCTGTAGACTCCTCGCAGGGTCGGTATAGAAGAACTCCTTCTCCACAGTGGGGTCCCAGAAAGTATTTCCAACGATGCCGTGGCTTTCCGGGTACAGGCCTGTGACTAAGGTGTAGTGGTTCGGAAACGTCAGGCTGGGGAAAGAAGGCAGCATGAATTTCGGGCTCACGCCTTCCCGGCGCAACCGGGCGAGGGAGGGCGTGATGTTCCGTCTCAAGAAGTCCGCTCTGAAGCCATCTAACGAGATCAATAGCGTCGTCGGCGCGAAGTCATGCGTGCCGTTCGACAGCGTCTGCGGCACGTATCGCTGCGGTGTCTGCTCGTCGACTACGACCCAATCATCCTCAATATCACCCTCCCCCTCCCCCTCCCCCTCCCCCTCTCCTACATGCTGCACAGCATCTTCATATTTCTGCCGCCGTGTCGCGCTCCACGCCCCAAACAACAACCCCAGAAACGCAAGCGAAATGACAACATGCACGATCGCGAAGCCGCAGCAACTCCACCGCCTCCTCTGCCGGCGCCGCTTGCTGCTGTGGAATAATAGCCGTTCCGCTTCCTCTTGCTCTTCCTCTTCCGCTTCCGCTTCTAGCGTTGCATGGTCACGGTCGAGCGCATCTTCGGATTTCCGGAGGTCGTTGTCGTCGTCGTCGTCGTCCGCGTATGTAACCTGATCGCGGTCGGCGTCGGTCTGGTCGACTTTCTCGTAGACGGGCGCTGCACTTGGTCGCATGATGGCGGCCGGGTTCGTGTGAGATGGGGATGTATGTTATCGGTCCATGCTGCTACTGTTCTACCTTATTATTCGTGCGTAGGGCGGAAGAGGCACGGTCACTCGCAGTTAGAGATGGTGGAATGTCGATCTCCACACACACACGCCGCCCCGACTCAGGCAGCCGAAGCCGCCATTGGCAAGTGGTATGAAGAGTGAAGTACATGTACACATCGCCGTGCGCTTGTCGTCTTTTGGCTCGACAGCACTCATTGTGGCGGTGAATACAACACAGTAATATAGTACAGTACACTATCTGGTACAATCACCCACCTACCCGAACGCCCACTCTGCTGAAACGCCACGCTCCTCCACGCCCATCGTTCCCATCTAGTGATACTGCGCATAATCAATCTCCGTCTAATTATACTGCGCATAAGCCGCCGTAGAATTGAATTTCATCCCGCCCCTAATAACCTTCTCCACCGCGCTCAAAAAATCCTTCTCACTCGCCACCTTCCTCCGCGCGCGAATGGCAAACATCCCCGCCTCCGTAGCCACACTCCTCAACTCCGCCCCGGTAGAATTCGGACACAATCTGCTAATCAACTCCCACCGGATATCCCTCTCCACGGACATACTCTTCGCGTGGATCCGCAGAATATTGGCCCGCCCCTCCATATCGGGGAGGGAAAACTCGATTTTCCGGTCGATTCGCCCGGGACGCATGAGGGCGGGGTCGAGGGTGGAGGGGCGGTTGGTGGCGAACATGACTTTGATGTTGCCGCGCGAATCGAAGCCGTCGAGTTGGGTGATGAGTTCGAGCATGGTTCGTTGGACTTCGTTGTCGCCTCCCGCTCCGTCGTCGAAGCGTGCACCGCCTACTGCGTCGATTTCGTCGAAGAAGATGATGCATGCCTTTTTCGTCCGGGCCATTTCGAACAGCTCGCGTACCATTCGCGCGCCTTCGCCGACGTATTTTTGCACGAGTTCCGAGCCGATGACGCGGATGAAGGTCGCGTCGGTGCGATTGGCGACGGCGCGGGCGCAGAGGGTTTTGCCTGTGCCCGGGGGACCGTAGAGTAAGGCGCCCTTTGGTGGGTCGATGCCCAAACTCACAAACCGCTCGGGAGACAAAAGAGGCATCTCCACTACTTCCCGCAGCTTTTCGATTTGCTCTTTACACCCCCCCACATCGCCGTACGTCACGTCGGGTTTGTCCTCCACCGTCATCATCGTCACACTGGGATCGATCTTCGGCGGTAAAGGCAACATGATTTGGTATTTGTTCCGATCCACACCCACGCGCATGCCTTCCTCGATATCCGTCGGACTCACCCGCTCGCCCAGGTTCACGACGAACTTGGCAATCTGCTTGACGTTGATGACGTACTTGCTCTTCTCCGTGTCCTTCTCATCGGGGATGATCTTCGTACACCGCGCGACTTGGAGTGGTTGTTCCTCGCTCATGCGTTGGCGGTCGGCGGCGATGTCCCATAAGTGGGGCGGGGCGAGACCGGTGTCGGATTCCTTGACGCCGATTTTGTCGTTGACGGAGGTTTGAGTGTCTTTGATGGCCTTTTCCAGCTTCTTGAGGGCGTCGGCGTAGGGGGCGGAGTTGTATGTCTTCAACACTTGGATGTCTTCGTCGGATAAGGGAGTGATCTTCTTTTCTTCTACTTCATCGTCGGCGAACTTCTTTTGGTACTTCTCCCAGCTCTCGCCTTTGGCGGAAGGCATGTTGGCGGTGGAGGGGGAGCCGGAGCTCGAGGGTGCGTGGTGGTGATGGACACGTGCGCTGCGGAAACGGTTTGTGCTGACGGTGAGGCGTGATAGAGGGTGTTGCTGGGGGCTGAAGTGACTGTGGAGCTGTTTTGGCGCGTGGGGGAGTAAAGTGTAGTGTTGTATGGAGAAGTATTGTATGAGGGTGGATGGTGGATGGTGGATGGATGGTAATGCGGCGACGAGGCAGGCACGGAAGGTGACGCTGACCCCCGGCTGCAAACCGCCGGCTGCATGGAGTTGTAATTGGTGCATGCACAAAGCTAGTGACGGCACCTCCCGCCATACGCGAAAGTTGAAGCTTCAAACGCGTCAAGCGGAAAGTTCGACAAGCGGTCACGAGACCAGCACCACCAGCACCACCACCTCCTCCTCTCTCACACACCGCGAACGAGAGATAGAGCGTCGAATATGGCGCAAGGGGCAGGAGCAGCGGGCGGGGGCAACAGCGCCTTCCGCGACAAGGAGAAGCCACAAGCGGTGCGAACAGCCAACATCACCGCCGCCCGCGCAGTCGCCGATGCCATCCGAACCTCGTTGGGCCCGCGCGGGATGGACAAGATGATCCAGACGGGCAAGGGCGAGACGATCATCACCAACGACGGCAACACGATGCTCAAGGACATGAGTGTCATGCACCCGGCGGCCAAGATGCTCGTCGACCTCGCCAACGCCCAAGACATCGAGGCCGGCGACGGCACCACCTCCGTCGTCGTCATCGCCGGCAGTCTCCTGGGAGCGGCAGAGCGATTACTAGCCAAGGGACTCCACCCAACCATCATCTCCGAGTCCTTCCAACGCGCCGCCGCGGAAGCAGTCAGGATATTAGAAGGCATCAGCGTCCCCATCAACCTCTCCGACCGCCCCACCTTACTCAAAGCCGCCTCCACCTCCCTCTCCTCCAAGATCGTGTCGCAGGAGCCCAAGCTGGCACCCATGGCCGTCGATGCCGTCCTCCGCACCCTCCCCAACCCCACCACCGCCACCAATGTCGACCTCCGCAACGTCCGCATCCTCAAGAAACCCGGCGGCGTAATCGACGACAGCGAAATGCTCGACGGTCTCCTCCTCTCTCAATCCGTGGTTAAATCCGCCGGAGGCCCTACCCGAATCGAGAAAGCCCGGATAGCGTTGATTCAATTCCAACTCTCCCCGCCCAAACCGGACATGGAGAACCAGATCGTCGTGAACGATTACAGACAGATGGACAAGATCCTGAAGGAAGAACGAACCTACCTCCTCAACATGTGCAAGAAGATCAAAAAGGCGAAATGCAACGTCCTCCTCATCCAGAAATCCATCCTCCGAGACGCCGTCAACGACCTATCCCTCCATTTCCTCTACAAACTCGGCATCCTCGTCATTAAAGACATCGAGCGCGACGAAATAGAGTTCATCACCAAATCCACCGGCTGCAAACCCATCGCCGACATCGACAGTTTCACCGAAGACAAACTCGCTTCCGCGGAGCTGGTGGAAGAAGTGTCGTCAATGGGCGCCCGCTTCACCAAAATCACCGGCCTCAAACCCACCTCCTCCAGCGATACCACCACCTCCTCCTCCTCCTCCGGAGGCAGCAGTGGGGGTCGCACAGTCTCCATCCTCCTCCGCGGCGCCAACCCCTTGATCCTCGACGAAGCGGCCCGCAGCCTCCACGACGCCATGTGCGTGATCCGGTGTCTCGTCAAGAAGCGCGCACTCCTCCCCGGAGGTGGCGCACCGGAAATGGCGGTGTCGACTTCTTTACTCACGCAGGCGAGTACGAGGAGTTATCCGGACAGTATCTGCTGGAAGGCTTTCGCGGAGGCGTTGGAGGTCGTTCCCGTGACGTTGGCGGAGAATGCCGGGTTGAGTGCTGTGAGGGTTGTGACGGAGTTGAGGGCGAGACATGTGAGGGGGGAGGTCGGGGTGGGGGTTAGTATTAAGAGGGGGGGTGTTGGCGTGATGGGAGGGGGTGGAGGTGGGGATGGTGGGGGCGAGGGCAAGGGGAAGGAGGGTGGTGGTGGTGGTGGTGGTGCGGGGATGGGAGCGGGAGAGGGCGTGATGCAGCCGTTGCTCGTTAGTACGAGTGCGGTTGAGTTGGCCAGTGAGACTGTCAAGATGATTTTGAGGATTGATGATATTGCTTTAAGCAGATAGAAGGCTGTATGTGGGCGCGCGGTTGTGATGCGATCAGGCATGGATACCATCAACCCTGCAGCACGCGGGCGGTTGTATATGTACGCTGAAACGAAGACCCACGCGTCCTGTGCATAAGGCGATCACAGACCCGAACGTAGATTAGTTGAGCGGAACACGCGTCAATAACTCGTGAATACCAGAGTCGAGTCAACAGGGCAAAGTTGCTGACATTGGCCGGTGACTGTAGATGCTTCGGCGGACGTGCACCTCCCTCTCCCCGTCAGCATGACCGACTCAGCGATCTGTCTGATCCAGATCTGGCCTCAGGCTCACCCACTCTCCGGTCCCAGTACCCTATCACGGCATGCTCAGCGGCGCCGAGTATATATACACGAATACCCGGAAAAGTGACGTTTGGACACGAGGCACGTTACCGACCGGAGCATGTGAAAGCGCACTGGGGAGTCATGTCGAGCAGAGCCGAAGAAGATATGAGCGTGCACCGGAAACGCAATAGAGGTGGGGCCGTTCTTGTCATTCATTTAATGATTTCCCACGTGGTAGTGATTTCATGATTTCATGATGGCACGTAATACGCCCTCTCCAACGGCTCCCGCGCGGTCTCCCAAGCAAGCCAATCCGAGCGCGTAGTCCTGCAAACAACACAAAGTCAGTCAGCCAGCCAGTTCGGGTCAAATGGGAATACAATCTGTAGAGTTCGTAACTTACGGCAACAACCCCATCCCATTCACCTTCCACACCCCCAACGCCAGCGCCAACAAATTACACCCCACAAACGCCAACTTCACCAACACCATCTGCTGCCGATTCCCCTCCGTCTCCAGGCGCGAAAAGGTACTGTTGATTCGGAACACGGCTTCGATGGGGCCCTTGAAAAGCATGAATACCATCATGATGCTGAAGATTTGGAGCGAATTGCCCGTCATGTACATCCCGATGGCGTTCATGGGGAGTTGTTTCGCGGGGGCGATGGCGAGTTCCCAGGCCTTCTTCAGTTTGAGCGTGTCCATTTCTTCGGGGGAGGGTTGCTTTCGGGGGGTTTTGTCGGGGGTGGTTGTTTTGGACTTTTGTTTGGAGATGATGGTGCTGGAGGTGGTGTAGCCCGGTGGGTCGGGGAGGGAGGTGGGTTTTTGTTTGGTGAGGGTGGAGGGTGGGGTGGTGAGGTCGGTGAGCCATGATGGCGGTGGCGCTACTGCTGTTGATACTGCCATGGCGACGATTCAAGTACCTGTGTCCGCTTGGTATCACGTCCGTATGTGGTATTGTCAGAGAATGTGGCCGAATGGAGATGTGACGATGGTATCGGCTGCCGGAAGCTTGCACATTCACTTCCGAGTCGGTACGCTAGTGCCAATAAGCTTTGACTCCTTGCGAGCCACCGGTAACTTCCCCAGACGCCGTGATCGATCTACGACTTCGCCATTCACACAGAGCGGCGCTCCTGTGCTACACCTTACCATCTGAGCGAGCTCTGCGCTTCTGGGCCTCGAACAAGCACACCTCGCCCACGCAACTCTCGGCAGCCCCGCACTTTCCCATGAGACTGTATCCTCGCGAAGCATCCATGGCATTGGCTGGCCGGTAGTGGGAGGCTGCGTGCCAGTCTCAGCGTGATCGTGTGACAGCTCTGCCGCCAGGTACTTGTCCAACATGAGTTCGGGTCAGGATGCGAAGCTCTTTGCTAGGGTATGTTCCCTACCATCGTCCACTTGCGCACCTCCCAGCACCCTTCTACGACCTTCCTATGGATGGCACACTACCGCGCTGAAGCCATGTTCCTCGCATATGCCCCCGCCTATCCCACAACTGGCCCTTCCTTCACCCCACCACCATTGGCGTATAGAAGCTTACTGTACCACCGCGCGCAACAGGGCAAAGTCGCCGAGCTGCGCCTCGAGCTTAATCAGTCCGCAGGGAAGAAGGACAAGAATTTCAGCGCGAAGAAGATCGCGATGAAGAAGATCGTGGCGAACATGACGATGAGCAACAACGACATGGTTGCGCTCTTCCCGGATATCATAGGGGTCATGGGTGTGGGAAGCATCGAGGTCAAGAAGATGTGAGCTTCAGTATGCGCCAGAGGGAGTCGAAGTAGTGTTGATGATGATGGTGTAGGTGCTTTCTGTACCTGGTCAACTACGCGCGTGCGAAGCCAGAGGTTGCGCTTAAAGCGCTACCCATCTTACTCAACGTATGTCTATGCGCGGCTGCGGACCTCGCAGCGCTGACTGACCGTCAGAGCAGGACCTGGAAGACTCGAACCCGCTCATGCGTGCGCTCGCGTTGCGCACACTCTCCTACGTTCACGTCCGGCAATTCGTCGAGTCTACCCTCGCCCCGCTGAAGACGCTGCTGAAAGATCCGGACCCGTATGTGCGCAAGACGGCCGCTTTCTGCGTGGCGAAGCTTTACGATCACGACAAACAACTCGTTGAGAGCAGCGATCTTATCGATAGACTGAACTTAATGCTGCGAGATGAGAACCCAACCGTAGTCTCCTCCGCACTCGCAGCGCTAATGGACATCTGGGAGCGAAGCGAAAGTATCAAGCTTACAATCGACTACGCGAATGCCAGCAAGATTGTTCAAATCCTACCGGATTGCTCAGAATGGGGCCAGACGTACATTCTCGAGGCGCTTACTTCTTACGTACCACAAGACACGTCGGAAGCAGCGCTCTTAGCAGACCGAATAACGCCACGCCTATCGCATACCAACTCCGCCGTGGTGTTGACGTGCATACGGGTCATTCTGTATTTGATGAATTACATCGACGATCAGAAAGTCATATCATCACTGTGTAGCAAGCTCAGCCCACCGCTTGTGACGTTACTGAGCAAAGGCCCGGAGATACAATATCTCGCGCTACGAAATGCTCTCTTGATACTGCAACGAAGACCGGACGTACTGCGGAACGACATTAGAGTCTTCTTCTGCAAGTACAACGACCCGATCTACGTCAAAGTCACGAAGTTGGAGTTGATCTTCATGCTGGCATCGGAACGGAACATCCGGGAAGTGTTGACCGAACTGCGAGAGTACGCCACGGAGATCGACGTCCATTTCGTGCGTAAGTCTGTGCGAGCTATTGGCAAGCTGGCCATCAAGATTGAGCCGGCAGCCAAGCTGTGCATCACCACGCTTTTGGAGTTGGTTGCTACAAAGGTGAGCTACATTGTGCAAGAAGCGACGGTGGTCATCAAGAACATCTTCCGAAAGTACCCGAACCAGTACGAGTCCATCATCTCTACCCTCTGCGAGAACCTGGATAGCCTAGATGAGCCGGAAGCGAAGGCGGCGATGATCTGGGTTATCGGGCAGTATGCAGACCGCATCGACAACTCAGAGACCCTCCTCGAAGATTTCCTCGATAGCTGGGCAGACGAGACGCATGAAGTGCAGCTGGCACTTCTAACAGCGACAGTAAAGCTGTTCATTCAGCGGCCAACCAAGGGCCAGGAACTAGTCCCGAAAGTCCTGAAGTGGGCGACGGAAGAAACAGACAACCCAGATCTACGGGATCGAGGTTACATGTACTGGCGCCTCCTCAGCAGCAACCCCACGGCCGCCAAGGGCATCGTGATGGGCGAAAAGCCAGCCATTACCGCCGAAAGCGAGAAACTCGACCCCGTCACCCTGGAGGAAATGTGTCTCGTCGTCGGCACCCTCGCCACAGTGTATCTTAAGCCGGTGCACACGGTCTTCCGCTCCGCGCGGCCTAGGAGATTACAAGAGAGTCCCGCGCTGCAGAAGCATACCCTGCCGAGTTGGCAGGCGGCGCAGCAGGCGAAGCTGTTGACGGATCAGCAAAAGGCTATGATGGTGGCCCAGACCAATGGCGCGGCGAATGGGCATGTGCTTGATGAGGCTGATGCGCTGTTTGCTTCTATGGGTGGGCGTGAGATGATGCAGGATGATTTCGGCCCGTCGTCATCGTCGGCGATGCATGGGGAGCAAGGGTCCATGTATGTTGTCAATCAGGGGCAAGGGTTAGGACAGGTGCAGCCGACGATGCATGTGCAGAATGGGGATGGGGATTTGTTGTCGTTTTAGATAATGTGTCTCCGTTAGTAACGCGATGTCCTAACGATATCCATTCCTCTTGTTGCCACCACACCATGGTGTTCTCGTCTGGTCGTCGTAATACGTTCCGTGCCTCAGGCGGCGAAAACGCTTCTACCGCACCTCCTCTGCCGCCTTGCTCCACACTACACGCCTTGTTGCTGCCAACCATGCCCATCAGACCTTTTCCACTTGCGCTCGGCGTGGGGAACGACATTGCGCATGTACAGCGTTTCAAGGATGTTGTCGCGAAGCATAGGCATGACCCTGAGCTGGCGACCCGCCGATTCCATCGCTTCGTCCGACGGCTGTTCACTTGGCGAGAATTGGAGGACTTTTATCGGCATCCCGCTTACCGGGGCGGTGTTGGTCGGAACAATGGCGCGGTAGTTGACGATAACATCTGGCGTCACCTGGCTGGAAGGTATGTGGTAATTCCTCCTTTCTATATGTCTCATTAACCAGTGTGGCCGCTGCTACGTCTTTCTTTCAACGGGAGCAACAGCTTATACAAATCCCCAGATGGGCGGCGAAGGAGGCAGTCATCAAAGCCGTGCACTGGCGAAGGCTGACGTTCAAACATATCATGGTCTTGAGGAGTCACCGGTCCACTAAGGATGCGACCGGCCCATTGTACGCGCTAATACTGGACAAGCCGGCCGCTTCATGGGACTCTATGTCCATCTCGAGGTGGGCCCGTCATTCTGGTGAGGATCTGCGGGACTCTGAGGAAGGGGCGGATCATGATAGCGATGCATGGCAGTTACCACTGAGCGAGGCCGCTCACGACACTGATCCTGCGCGAGCGAACTCTGAGCGAGATGTCGACGACAACTCTATCCCAGCTGGATTGCAGACGGACGAGCATTTGACTGGTCAGATTGCGAAGATCAGTATCAGTCATGATGGTGGCTTTGCGTCTGCCGTTTGCATAGCCGCTGAGGAGCCGAGAGAAGGTGACGTGGGCGGCGAGGCGGCGGCACGAGAACCATGAACGTACGCATTCAATTACTCAGACGTCTAGCCATACTGCCGCTGCATTCTATCGGCGGTTATGGTGGCGTACATATGTCATGTCGGAACCGCCTACGGATGTAACGTCGATGGTTTCAGCCACGCCAACTCATGCTAGGCGACTGTTTGCACCCTGCGCGGCAGACCTAATGCAGACGGCAGGGTCGCTATCCTGCAGGAACTCTTCACTAACGCACAGCAAAGACCGATCGCAAGAGGAACGCTTCGGATTGAACCAGCGGCACAGACTTCAAGAGATACGGGATGCCGTATCTTCGTCGGTGGGCACTCGTCCTAGCTCCGATCGCAGGCAAAACGACTCAGCGACGAGCGCGCTGTGTCCATCTGAAGGAGGCGTGAGGCTCCCTTAAGACATCGCGCCGCTGCTGCCCTTGTGGGTCGTTCCCAAGCATCTGCCCCACCTTTTCAACTGTGAGCGAAGAGCTTACTGCGAGCCTACTGCGACAAGCGGTATCTCATGTTGTTCAGTCGCTTCGCCGCTAATGGGCATTGCCTCGGGGGCTCACGGAGTCTTGGCGCTACTATGTCACATGCTGTTTGTATTGGTCTGTTCATCACCCTGACACTTCACAAGCGAGATGGTCGCACATGCGATCTGTTCGCCGTGTGCGTTGTTCGCGGGCCTTGTCCTTTCGTTGAGCTGTCAAGGGGCAGTCATCTGAAACAACCGTGGCTTCTCCCGTGCCGCATGCGCGCAGGCGGCGCAGTAGAGCGCTTAGAGGACATCATTGATGCTGACTTGCTGTCAGCGCCGTCTACCTTGGTGAGAGAATACTCCCATGCTTATTCTGAGAATGTCAGACGTGGTAGCCGTGCAGACAAAGCTGCCGCATTCCATGCCTCAAGGAAACCGTATGCAACTCTTCCATGTATTGACTAGAGACGGCTCGCTCCCACCACCAAACAGCACCGCCGAATCGCAGAAGCCTGCTAGAAGGCGATTACTAGGAGTGGCAGTGCATCCTAATCTCATGCTACGGCTCCTCCCCGAAGGCAACGATCTGACAGCACATTGTAGGAACTCTTCCAGCTTCTGCTATGGACCACGGAGCTGCGATGCATGTCATGTATATCAATGCTGCTCCATCATAGAGGTAGTATCAAAGGACATACTTTAGAATCTCCCAACCCAACCTTGACATATCGAAACTGAACCTATGCTCAACCTCGCTGGTTGTACTGTTCAAAGCCATGAATACTCCAAGTTACACTGATGTCTCGACAGCCCTCATAAGCCTCGACCCCGACGATACCTTCTCCGGCGTTGCCGAGGACAAAACGCTTCGTTGTTCGAACGATATCCCGCACTACCGTCTGTGGGAAGCCCGAGCCTTGGTACAGCAAGATTCAAGCGGATACACCCACAGAGAGCACGTTAAGCGTGTCAAAGACATCATTGCACTACTAGTCTGTGAGGAACATCAGTGCAACAAGTCTTACACGTACAAGGACGCAGTCCGGGACAAGTGGCAGTCGGAGTTTCCTGAATTTGATTTCAAACTCCTCACTAGATCTCGGTACTCCTTATCGTCCTCGAGAGGCTCTACTCCAGCCGGCGCAAGTCCGAATACGCCTTTGACAAGGTCACCGTCTTTTCGCAGTACGCCTCCAACGAGCTTGACGCCATCTCGATCCGAGCAGCAGACTCCGGTTTCAGGCTCAAATAGCCGGCAGGTGCCGCTCTCCAGTGACGACCAACAACACTCCGGATCGGGCATGTCGCAGCAGCAGACAAGCGACACAGGCTTACGATTGTTGCCGCCTCCGCGCTTCGCTTTGCCTGTGAGTGTCGGCGAGGGGCCAACTGTGTCGGGGCCCATCCACGATGAACTTCCGCAACAGACGCAGGACGAAATGGTTGGAGTCGAGGCAGAACCAGGTAACAATGCGAATGACGTCTTCCAGCCAACGCCAGTCGATGGGCGAAGCACTGATCCAGTGCCAAGAGTAGAGCAGGAAGTCACGTCCAGCCGCCGCTCGTCGCGAGGAAACAGAGCACCGAGCAGTAGGGGCGTCTTTCGCCCAGGCGACGCATCTTCATGGTCGCCATGGACGATCCGCTCAGAGGTGCGTTCACTGATCCTCGAACCGCTTCCGAAGCCTAGAGACAAAGGCTGTCTTTACATCATCCAGAATGCTAGAAGGACCCACGTCAAGATCGGCTATACCATGCGTCCGTTCCGAACCCGATTACAGGAGATTGCGCGCGACGTTGGCGTGCCGCTCGATCTCGACAACCCATGGCATCTCTCCGGGATACCACACCTTCAACTGCTTCGTCTGGAGGCTCTGGTTCACGCAGACCTGGCATTCTTTCAGCGGGATCTAATTATCGGTATGGGCAGTACGCGCAGAACACGCCGGGAGTGGTTCGAGGTTGAGATGGCAGATGCGCAGAGGACGGTGCGCTTGTGGTGGGACATCATGCGCAAGATCCGTATGGAGCCTGGAGTCGAGATAGATCCTTCGGCATGTGAGGCCTTGACGAGCAGTTCCGCCTTCGATGTCTCAATGTCTGGTGTGGCGGACCAAGCGACTCCATTTGCTGATGTCAACAATGATCATAATGGGAGGATTGAGATGTGGACTCAACTTTTGCTTTCTCGGCGCACCAGCGGCCATTTGCGCACAGAATCGATCCTCAAGTGGCTCGGAGGCTGCGTTCTCGTCCTGGGTTTGCCCACGCTTCTCGGCGTGGACACGGCAGCCGCTAGTACTCTTTCCTTCTTCTTGGTGGCCGTCTGGACCCGACATATGGCTTCGTCGTAGATGATGACTGTTGTTCGAGTTGCGCAGGGATGGTGGCCCGGCTTCGCATACTGCATTGCATGCTACATCGCTATAATTCTCGACTGTACATCTACAGCACTGATGTGGGTGCGCTTTCGGCCCAATGCTTCGTGTTTCCAAGCGCTATGATGCTTCAAGTGCCCTGCCAACAGTCAAGGGCAACTCCGACGCTGAAACCAACATGTGCACTGCTCATTGACAATGCCGGCTCACATGTGCTGCTGTAAAGCAACAATCTTCGCATATAGCTCTTCCGCGAACTGCTGTCTGATCTGTACTCATGATTAGTCGTGTGTGATACTAGGAAGATACGTGCTCCAACATACCTTCAGCTGCAAGGTCTCGAGCCCGGGTTTGCCGTCAATGGTGCCGGCGAATAGGATTAGCCCTCCTTCGGGTGGCCCTCCCAATTTCCCTCCAAATTTGATCTTCTTCTCGATCGGCGTGTTCAGAACAACTCTGTGCGACCCGTCCGCCCTCATCAGTATGCGCGCCCTTACTTTCTCGTCGCCTTCAGCCTGCTTGACATTCAATCTAAGCACGCCTAGCCCTCGCTCACGCCATTCCTTCTTGCCGTTCTCGGTCTGAGCGTAATGATAGAGCTTGGCACGGCACGAGTACTCCGTCTGCTCTTCCTCCTCGCCTGTCTCGATCTGCTGCTCATGGAATCGCTCATCCTGCTTGTCTTCTTCCTGAGACAGTGCTGGGCTCCTATAACCTGCACCGTCGTCCTCGCCACCATCCTCGCCTTCTTCGTCATCATCTGCTGATGCGCCAAACGGCTTGATGGCTTTCGAACTGCTTGCCAGTGTTGTTGATGGCTTGCCACTCGCGAAAGAGGTGAGCCCACCGCTGCCCGCAGCAATAGCAAATGCACTGCCGCCGCCCGAAGACCCACCAAATGCGCTGCCACTGCCCAAGCTGCCACCAAAGCCGGACGTCGCTCCGGACCCAAGCTTGCCAAAGCCCGATGTGCTCGAGCCGAATCCGCCTGAAGTCGTGGGAGGGGCCGCGAATGCAGACTTCTGGCCTAAAGCGCCACCAAACGTGCTACTCGATGCTTCCTTTGGCTTCTCTTTCTCTTCGTCCGCTTTCTTTATTGGTGGGCTCTTTGGCCCGGAGCCAAAACTTCCGCCAAGCCCAAACCCGCCCGAAGACTTCCCTATCGCGCCGAAGCCTGACGTCGACGAAGCTAGCGCACTGAAGCCAGACGATGCAAATGCAGACTGTGAAGTCTGCGGCTCTGCAGACGGCGACTTGCTGCCGGCTAAAGCGTTGAAGGGTGAGATCGCAGATGTGTTCGCGAAGCCAGTGGCATGTGACGCTGCTTGCGGCTCCGTTTTGGCTTCGGTGTCGCCAGACTTGTGCAGTTTGCTGGCTTCTGACCCGGTCACATCAGGCTTGACTGTGTCTGCTTTAGACTCTTGGGTGGCAGCGGCACCATTCTCCTCGGTTGTCGTGGAGTGCAGCCGGCTTCTCTTAGTCTTCGGACTTGCCATTGCCTCCGCCGCAGCCTCTGCACGCTTCTCCCCCGTCTGACTCGGCGTCCTCGGCCGTTCATCGCTTGCCTTGCCATAATCACCATTGCGAACGGCTGGCTCCAGACTACTAGCAGCACCTCGTGATGACTCACCGGAGGTCTTTCGTACGTTTCTGAGCTCTTCTTCTGTCGCGCTGTCCCGTGATCGCTTCCTCACGTGATGTCTCACAGTATCTGTTGCTAGTTGCGAAGTATCTTCGCCCTCCACCTCCTCAAAGCTTCGCTTTCGGTGCAGTGATACTGGCTCGCCATTCTCTTTCACTGTCTCGCCCTCAGCTCGCACGGCTTCGTTCTTGGCGTGTTCGGGTGCCATCTTCTCCACCACGCCGGCAATGGAGGCCTTCTTCAGCTGTTCTCTGACCGGCCTTTCAGCACCCTCGGTATCTGACAATGGTGCATTCTCGGTGCCACGGTCCATCGCGCCTGGAAGTAGCCGGTATCAGTAGGTGGAATGGATCTGGGGTCCTAAGCACCCGGCTTTGTCCCCGGAGATCGGATTAGTGGTTTCGTGAAAGAGTGTCCGGCCGTGTTGGTCTCATACAAAGGGGAGTACGCAGCCACATGCAGCTGTCTCGCAATTGGCAGCGGCCGCGGACCGCGTGGGTGAACGCTCTGGAAGTCTGGTTGATTCCGTGCAAGTGGGGGTTTTGGCCCGCGGCTTCGGTGCCTAGAGGGTAAATCTAACCCCATCACATGTCTACCACACTCCTACATGTACCGTACTTCTAAGCAAAATGAATAACGTGGAAGGACAGTAATATGTTCTACGAAACGAAAGTCTTGCACCTCTCCGTCCCTCGACTGCTTCTTGACCATGCCACATCGACCATGCCATCTTGGTTGGTGGGTTAGCCATGTGCCCATAATCTTAATCGCGATGAACGGCCGCTTCTTCAGGGAGCCGGCATACACTTCAGGCCTGCTTTGAGGTACGGCCAAGTGGCTAGAGATGTGGGTTGTCGAGGTTCGAAGAGCAGTCAATGGTCAGCCACTCAACGTCCTTCGCGTAACGTGCCTCAGCAGCCGTACAGACGGTCGACTTAACCTTGAGTATGAGACGCTAATCCTCCCTGGCTGGTTTAGTCAGTCTGTTGCTTCCAGTCCGGCGTACAAACGATGGAGGTTGTCGATTGCATCTGTAAAGGCTCAAGCTCGCCACCATTTGGCGGTTATGAGCAGGTTATCGTACGTCGTAAGTCCCCATGCCTTTTCGGACATCCTAGGGGCGCATTCCGGGGTATGTAGTTGAGATACGCATTCGAGATGAGGCGCCGCGTGAACGTCGACAGGCGACGTGTACAAGAGGAGCAACTTTAACACTACGGCCCCTACGCTTCCCTCAACGACCACGCTTACAGCACTCTCTTCCCAGAGTAAGCCAGGTTAGCCGTTGAGATAGTTCCTAATAGCCCCCTGCAACCGCTGCGCGCCATCTCCAAGCATACCCGTCAAGTTCTCCAAATCATCGCCCGCAGTGATGCCGAACTTGCGAATGAGGTCTTTCGCAGTCGTCTCCAGGTCACCGTATTGGCCTTCCGGCTCGTCCTCCTCCGGCCGCCCGAAGTACGCATTGGACGAGATGGACGTCGCGCCCTCGAAACCCTGCAGGCGACCTTTGGCTTCGGCCTGGGCGTTAGCGTCGAATGTGCCGCGGCCGAAGAACTCGTCGGAAGAGATGCCCTTTTGCGTGCCGAACTTTTGGCGGGCGTAGCGTTCGGAGTCGTCTGTACGAATGTGTTAGCGTACGTCAGCATGTGAGAGAAGCAGTATGGATGTACCTTCAACAGGCGCCTTGCTAGTAGACCCAAAACCCATAGCCTTCGGTGCAGCTGCTTTCGCAGTCCCTCCGCCTACCTGCCCAAAGCCTAACTTTCGCACACCCATCCCCAAGCGCTCCATCTCGCCGTCGGTTCTTTGTCTACCGGGACCGCCCGTGCTGCCAAAGCTACTCGCTCGCGCCGGACTAAGCGGCGTCGGCTGATGTATGGTCGTAGTTGCATTATCTGGTTGCGCGGCGGTGATGCGCGCTTCTGAAGGCGCATGCTCCTCATCTGGGTCATAGCCAAGCCTCTCCTTCCGCTCCGCCTCTTCTCGTGCTTTCTTTTCGGCTTCATCGAAATCGAGCGCGCTAGAGTCAATCTTCTTTGCTCCGAGCCCTTTCTTCTTCGCGCCAAGGATGTTGGGCTTCGGTTTGCTTGCAATGCCGCCCGTCTTGCGGATGGCTGATGAGGAGATGGCACGTGATGCTGGAGGCGCGGAAGACGCGCTTTCTGGAGACGTTTCGGTGGCGACGAGTGGAGACTTTGGTCGTGCTGTGCCATTGCCGTTCGCGTTCAAAAAGGGGGAGGCGGTCCGGTTAATGCTGGAGGGTGTGCCAGTGCGTGAAGGTGGGTTTGACGGCCGCTTGATCGCAGGCTTGTCCCACGATGAGAAGAAGTCGTCTGCCGGTTCGCCTGCAGGTGTGTTTGTGCCTGTGCCATCGCTGGCATCTGCAACGTCATCAACACTCACTTCGTTGGGATATCTGCCGCTTTGTCAGCATTCAAGAAGCGTGGTAGCAGTATAAATGCGTCATACTTCTGGACATCAGCCTCCACTCTTCGTGCTAGCTCATCTTTGTACTTCGTCGCAGCATTGCTCGTGTACTTTTGCTTTGGATCCTTGCTCGCCAGCGCAGCGGACCCGCCATGTGATTGGAAATACTTGGTCGCACTCTCGTTGCCGCCCACTTTCATGCGCCGTAACTGCTCCCATTGCCACTCTACACAAACCCGTGTCAGTCTTAGTCCGCGTATCGTGGGTAGACAACCTTACGGTCAAGATTGGTACTTCGGACAAAGGAGATGTGCACGCCCAGATTGCGGTGATTCGCAGAGCAGTCCAAGCATAGATAGATGCCGAACGGTACTGAACTCCATGTCGGGTTCTTGGCGCCGCAGTCAAAGCAGATCTTGTTGGCCTCTTTCCGCTTGAGCTTCTCGAAGATCCGGTGCGACTCCGTCTTCGGTGCCAGAGCCATGATGGAGGACTACGGTGCGGTCACAGTCGACAGAGGAACGTCCGCAGGAGAGTATGTGTTCGCCTGACTGATTTGTGTGGAAGGGAATATTGCCCGGCAATACCACGAAGTTCAAGGTTATTGGCTTTTTGTTACTTGCCAATACTAAGATCGAGGTTGGGGACAAATGGCACCGGCCCGAGTGCTTTGTTATCTGCCTAAGGCCGTCAACTCCACAGGCTAAGGGCAGGTAGCGTTTCGATGCACGCATGGCTCATGAGAGTATGTGGCAAAGACGCGCATAAGACGGAGCATCCTTTCAATCATACACTGCTACATAGGTACAGAATGTGAGCTCCCTCTCACACAGTGCTCTTCAAAGCCAGAGGACGGCAGTGCATGCTGAACACCAGACGCCATGCTTCATGTTAACCCGCCCCCTTAAAAATCGTCCCTCATACCGGCTCAAGGCTAGGCCAAAACATCCTCGCTTTCAAGTTGAGACTGATCTCAAAGATGCCGTCCTCACACGCAGCCCACAACGTCCTGCCATCCGGACTGATAGCGAGCCCTGCCGTCCTGACACCTACCTCTCTCCCACTATACCCTCTCATCTGTGACCTCCGCACCAACGCCTCGTAGCCCTCCGGGAAGCCAGCAATCCTGCGGACCGTCTCCGTGGTAGTCGCCGAAGTTCGGAGCGCGTCCGTGGCGGCAGCTTCGGCTCGCAGACTGCGGAAGCGTTCGCGTTGCCGAGCCAGAGACCTTGCGCGGGCGCGTTCGGCGGCCAGTTCGGCGGCTAATTCTTGCTCTGTGGGACGCGCTGATGCGGGGACTGGCGAGGCGGCTTGTGCGCGGTGGGCAGACTCGAAAAGCGGGCCTCGTGCGAGCGTCATGTGCTCTTCGATTGTTCGCCAGGGGTTCTCGTCTTCGGGTTCAGGTGTAGCTAGGGGGGGAACGCCCGGCCTGAGAGATGCTAGGGTGGATGAAGAGGCCGAACTCGAGTTTGTAGCGGGCGGAGAGAGCACGACGGAAGCGCGACGCCTTGGCAGCCGAGAAGGCTCACTTAGTCGCGTACTGCTGGCACCTGCGTAATAGCCCGCACCATACGGTGGAGGTTGTGCTTGCTCCGTGTAGTGGGAAGATGACGGGCGTGGACTGGCAGCGCTAGTGCGTGACAGTTCGGGGAATGAGTCCGGCACAGAGCTCAAAATCTCGCTGATGGGCCTTGCCGCAGATGTAGACCCAGATGACGCAGGTAGTATTTGCGGAATACCTGGATTAAACGTGCGGCTGCCGCTAAACATCTCCGGCGACGTGTAATTGACCGTCCTGTTAGCTTGCCCAGCCGCGCGAGCTTCTTCTCGCTGTCTGCTCGTTCGCAAGCTTTCCAGTATCTGCTGCTCACGGGCTGTGAGACCCGCTGGATCATCCTCAAGTGCACTCACACCGACAAGATTAGCTTGAGATCGCAATGCAGCCATATCTTGCCTCTGTTGCCGCTGTCGTCTTCGCGCTTCGATGTACTCAGTCGCAAAATTAACGGCACTCGCATTATCCGGCGCTTGTCTATAGCGTCGGATAAAGTCTGCCTCAAGCTCATCCATGTCTCTCGTGTGGACAGGTACATAGGTTGGAACGCGTTCTGCGGGTACATCGTCGAACACCAGCTTGTCCAGTCCCTCTTCTTTCGGCTCAAGGTTCACGATTTGCTTCGTCTTGAGCCCTGTGCGCAGGTCTCCGATGCATATCCGGCCTTGATCTTCAGCCCAGATGAGTAGATCCCATGGGTCGGGCGCAAACAGCATGGAGCGGACAGCACCAGGATGGGGTGGCGGTTGATCTGCTCTCGAACTCGGGATGACCGCTACGACAGCATCCTCGTCGTCGTAATCAGGGCTCATGAGAATGGACATGTCGAAGACAGTAAGGAAGCCGCTTTCCGAACCCACAGCCACCAGCCGCCCGCTTGGTGACCATGCCGTCGTGAAGTAGCCTAGAGTATGCTCGGTGCCGTGAAGACTGACGACACTTGTAAGCGTCCATTCTATACTCGCGCTAGTGAGTCTGTTGTGTGGCTTCGGGATCTGCGGCGGCGTCTCCTGTATCTCTCGCTGGAAGAAGTACGCCTGGTTGAAGTCGCCGACCGCAACCAGCGTATGTCCGTCTGGCGAGATGGTAGCATGGTTCATCGCGAAAGGCAGGTCTAGCACCGTGGTCTCCAGACCCTGCGGCAAGCTGTACACCCGGACAGTCTTGTCGTTGTTCGTAAGCACCGCCACGATATCGTCCAGGTGCGCCTCTTCATCCTGAATCCGGTGGATGGAGATGCTGTTGACGATCTCTTCCCCTATCCGCTCCACCTTGACACTGGCTGCCCTCCTACCAGCACCGTTGCCGACCTGCCGCCAAGGCTCCACGGGTAGCGCCGTGTCAACCTCCATCGCGCCTGCCCTGGAGCCATCCAATTTGATGGCCGCAAAGTGCCCATCATCCTCGCCTCCGACGCAGACATACCCATAGCCAGAAGCTGTGCAGCGGGCTTCGAAGGGCAGCGTAGCAATGTGTTTGCGTTTCTTAGTATTCGTGTTCAGACAGTAGATGTCGTTCGCGCTGGCGTAGTAGAGAAGCTCCGGCTCGGGCGAGGAGATGTAGTGGCGGAGTTGCCAGTGGGACACCGGTATCTTCACAGCGTAGAAACCTTTCTTAGCATGTGCCAGGTCAGTGGCATCGGGGTAACTGTCCAGTCGTCAGCGATACCCAACCTCGCCGTCACCGGTATGCGGCACTCACGGGATGGTGTCAATCGCCATGTTCTGTCTTCGCAATAATGCCGCCACCGAGTCGTTATCACGCCTGACCACGATTAACAATCTATTTGGTATAGACGTTTCGGTTTAGCGCTTGCGAAAGACGGGAGGCGTCAGGCGAAGAGTGTGGGGAAGCAGGCAGTGAACGTAAAGACCAACCTGCTCACGTCACAACGCTGGAGCCCAAGCCTGCAGGTTGCGCCATGGTGTTATCGGTCATTGTTCGATGTTGTTCTTGGTAAGACGGGCGCACTGTAGATTCCTAGGTAACTCATGCGGTTGTAGGGTTATAAAGGGGAGATTCAATGTCTGATTCACATGATGCAGGGTAGCGGCGCAGACATGTGGCTTGGACGAGAAGGCACGCACTGTGCAAGCGCCAGGCCGTTCAGCTGCACAGACAAAGACATATAACCGAGATGCTAGATCAGTCAATGACTTCTGCACACGCTATGCCCGTAGTGACTTGTCATCAACGCCTTCCTAGCTACGCGACCATCCTCGTAGCGTGCCACATGAAGTCATCATATCATTCCATTTCGCATTTTACCGACCCCAATCTCACAGCTTGTAAGCAGTGTCTCGAAACCCTGTTCAGGAGCTCTCCTTCTGCACCTTTTCGACCCTCGCCACTACATCCTTGAATAGTGGGTGGCTTTCCTCCAGGCCAGTGATGTTCTTCGTGGCCTCCTTGGCATCCATCTCCTTCAGCTTCTTCGCCAGCTCGGCAGACTCCTCATCGCCCTCGACGTTCTGGAAGCGCAGCGCCATCTCGATGCCACCAAGCAGATAGTCATACTTCTCGTTCATCTCCGCCAAGTGTGCAGCAGGGCCGATAAAGCGCTCCTTCCGGCTAAGCTTGCGCAGAGGCGCACGGCCGACACGCTCCACATTGTCCTTGAGCTCCGGGTTGCTGATACGCTGGACGATGCTTTGCACGTACTCCTCCTGCTCCTGCTTGTCGATATGGCTGTGCTTCGAGCAGATCAGGTGGGCCGTCTCCTTAAGCGTGTTCTGCACGATGTCGTGGAGCTCTTTGTCCGCGAGCACGTCGTGGACGTACTGCTTGTGCCTGTTGTGGCCGTAGTAAGCAGCGGTGGCGTGGCCGGTGTTGACAGTGAAGAGCTTGCGCTCAATGTACGGCTGCAGATCCTCGACGTAGTGGACGCCCTTGATATCTGGTGGGTTGCCCGGCTTGAACGGCTCGCTCTCCACACACCACTCGTAGAACTTCTCTATGAGTACGTTGAGGCCAGCATCAGCGGGTTGGATTGGCACAATACGGTCAATAGCCGAGTTGGCGAATCTGGCCTTCTCCTTGATGTTCTTCTTCGTGTCCTCCGATAGCTTCTGCTCGATGAAGCCGCGGAGGGTGTCCGTGGCACCAATAGCGTTCTCACATGCAATGACCGCGAGTGGCTCGCTCTTCTTGCGAGCCTCAATACCCTTGGCAATCGGCTCGGCGATGAACTTCAGAATGTTCGGGCCGACCGCGCAGGTCACAGTGTCTGCAGTGGCAATCTCCTCGATCACCTTATCCATCTCGTGCTTGGAGTTGATTGCACGGTAGTTGTCGATGGTGAAAGTCTTCTGCCCTTCTGACGAGATCTCCGTTACGGTGTAGCTTTTGGTCTGTTGCAGCTTCTCGATGATTGCGTCCATGACGTCGATGAAGACGACCTCGTAGCCGGAGTTATGCAAGAACTCTGCAACGAAGCCACGACCAATGTTACCACCACCGAAATGGATACCCTTCTTGCCGGCCATCTTCGTGAGTGATCGGGAGTGTGGATGGTCTGACTTAGGACTTGATTTCTAGTTGTCGTCAGTCAGGCTGCGGACGGTGGACAGAGACGCCAGTGTGACGGATGAACGCTATATCAGTGAAACAACAGTGTCGAAGAGAGTTGATGAGGTCGAGCGTGGTACAAGGTTTAGGTTAATGTGTGAGGTCATAGGTAAAGCAAGTACAATATATAGTGCTTCACCGGCCGAGAGGGCAGTGGAGAAGTGAGTGAGTGAGTGAGCGCTTACCGTTAGGATGTGGTCGTAGCGGCTATGTCGAGTCTCGGTTACTGGTTGTTTGCTAGATCAACAGATCGACAGAGTCAGCTTCTGAAATCAACGTTGAAGCTCAGGCTATGGCAGCGGCGCGGGTGCTTGACGAACCTTGAGACTGGGTGCTGGCTTGAGTGATTTGGTCTAGAACAAGGGAGAGGTTGGACGAGGAGGATGTGAAGGTGAGTTCACAAAATGCAGGCGGTAAAGGTGTCGTGGTACCTCACTGTAATGTCAATGAGCTGGCGCTGCAGCGGCAAGGCGGGGTCAGGTCAAGCCTCAGAACGTTCCCCGCGGCCACAGTCGTCACAGCGGCGCAGCGGTTACGGGCCGATCAGAGAAGCGCAGTGAATGAGAATAATACATTTACTTGGAGATGTCAATTGCTGCTAGGCAGATGAAAGAATGTGAGTGACACATTCGCCAGTGATAGATTACTGCTCGTATGCGAGCTGGAGTAAAAGTAGTTATATAAGTCATGCAGAGAATGTTTCCCAACCCAGGCGAGTACCCAGCCGGCCCGCCCGCCCGTCAATGAATCCTTTATAAGAACAGGGTATCCATCGTAAATGAATCGGAGGCCGCACTATCCCGTCGCTGGGCTTGGTTGCAGCAATTACGCATGTATCGCCTGCTGGACGTGCGGGTACACCTGCACCATCTTCCCATATAGCTCTGGATGCTGCCGCATCAGGACTTCCGGATCCCAGGCGGCGGCAACAAAGAGCGTATCTATTCCGGATGAAAGTGGGACCGTGAAGCAATTGGCGATCTGCAGACCGATAAGGAATGCGAAGGCGACAACGACCGGTGTGAACTGGCCATTCGAGTTGTAAGCTGGATCGGTGAAGACGAGGTAGAGGTACGCTAGTAAGGCGCAAGCGTAGGCGACGAATGTTGCGCCCATGGTGAGTACAGGACCAATAAGACATTCGTTGACGAGAGCATCGATACCACGGTCTGTAGTGAAGAGTCAGTATTGTACAGCTCGACAGTGATGATTATAGCACGCTTACCCTTGATCAACCGCCAGGTATCCTTCGCAGATTCGATGTAGTTTTTGCCGTAAAGAGCCATATAGCTGAACGCATAGCGGTTGATGAACTGTACAGCCCAATCGAGCAGACCGATGATGCACTGCAGGATGCAAAACGCGCAGCTGGCCGCAAAATTGCCACTGTTTGCTTCCTGCTGTTGAGCAATCGAACATGCCTGGCGAAGCATGTTGATGATGGCTACCAGGAGGCTGCCCAGACTGATCGAGCCGAAACTGTAAGTCAACGCTCTCCTGGCGGCACCCCTCGTGGGTCCCTTTGGTGGGTTGTTGGGCGTGAAGTACCACGCTCCATACACACCAGAGATCGTAACGTGGATGGTGTTCTTGAGCCATTCACTGACCCAGTACATGGCAAATGTGATGAACACTACAAGTCCAATAACAGTCGCGGAGCTACAGCCTCCCGTCCCACCAGCAGATGTGTTGCATGCCGGGTTACTTCCAGGCTCAAACTTGACGTAGACGGCGACAAGCGTTACGCTGAACCATGCACCGAAAGCCGCCGCAATTAGTCCACCGAGAAAAGACACTAGATATACATGCCCGAACTTCCTCGAAACATCGATGACCGTCTGCAGCATCAGGACACTGAACGGTATCCGCGGAATCCAGGAGATGAAGCATATGATCGTGAAGATGCTGAAGATGAGGAAGACGATACCGCCGCTCCAGTAGTGTCGGTAAAGCATGTAAAGTGCCGTAACGAGACCCCAGACAATATTGAGAATGCCGGTAATCCAGATGAACTGCTTGGTGAACAGACGCGCGAGGCTGATGTAGGCGTACCCAAGCACCAGCGCAACGCACAAGCAGAAGATGAATAACACAATAGTGTTGGTATCAAGACCGAAGTCGTTCTGCGAGCCGTAAATAGACCCGCCATTGAAGCCTTTGGTTGCAGCGTAGCCTTGGAGACTGATCCCGGAGATCGCGACGAATCCAGCAAACACCAGGATTAGCAGAATGCCAGCCCAAAGGTCGTTCCATTTGGGCTTGTCGATTTTGAATGCTTGTTCGAAGGTTGGCTTCTCCTGCCATTGCCCGAAATTCTGTTGATAATTTGGTGGTGGAGGCATCCATTGCGGCCCACCGTACGGTTGTCCGTTGTTGTAGGGTTGCTGCTGCATGGGGTACTGCTTCGCATTATATGCGCTCGGATCGTTGTAGTAGCCATCTGCTTCGCCGTGTTGCGCCATGGCCGCGAGTCGCTCGTCGCGCCGTGATCGCCCTTAACGCGCGAGAGTAAGGCTGGCGCGCGAGAGTCTTCTGGACGTCAAACAGATCGGCAGAGAGATGTGTTTTAAGATTTGACGGTTGTTGATGATCAGGCCAAGGCCTCTGCCGTGTGTGGCGTCGACATAGCAGACACTAGTCTCAGTGAAGTAAGGCGTGCAGTCTGCCCACTCCGTCACAGCTGGACAAGGGTTCGTAAATCAAGGAGCCAAGACTCCAAGCAATTGGGCGGAGATCTAGATCTTATTTTGGAAATTTGAACATTCACTTGACGTGATACGAACCGCCGGCTCATAGTCGACATCGAAGTCTGTGATACGACTTTCACATTTAATGGCGTATACCATATTCGGTAGCTTAGCTTTCCGCGAATCCAAAATATGTTGTTGGACGACAGGCCGTTCACGATATCCGCTAGTATTACCAGCACTGATGGAAGCTCCGTCGTTACCTCCACCCTCAAAACCCCAGTAGCAATACTCTCCTTGCGGCCATCGTGATGTCTCAACGTCGAAACCTCCCCGCACCTCCAGCTATGCGCTCCTGTTCCGATGACTCTGACCTCGAAGAACTACCAGACAATGACCATGGCAAGCTAAGGCTTGATCCATCTCCGCCTGCCGTTAGTGACGTGACTGAACCTTTGACTAACGTCCCGAAGCGCCGGAGAGGACTTCTACCTGGCTTTGACGACATGCGACGGGTGTCCTAAACTTTGCCGCCCTCGTCCTCATCCTCGAAAAAGCTCAACACAGCGCGAGCGCCTAGGGGTCCTAAACCATGCGGAGGGTAGCAGACTATGATACGAAGTTAGCAGGTCACTTTCAGATGAAGGCTTGGTGTAACTACCATAGATGGGATCTTCCTGCGTATTGAACTTCTGCCGGAACTCCGACTTATTCGTCAAGTGCATGCGCGCCGCGTAGGAGTGGTACGCTTTACTCAACACCTTGACCCTGGTGCCCTTCATGTTGTGGCCCAGCTTGAAAGTGTCCGTCGCACCGCCGCCGAATGTACAGGACGTCGCTCCAGTCGCAGCGGCAGCCTTCAAGGCGTGCATGACAAGAGCCTCGATTGAGCCAGAAGGCGCGCCGGGGAAGTCTAGGGAGAACTTGATTTGCCAGCCATGATCCGGCGACAGCTGCGCAAGGATCACGAGACCTTGGATCTGCCCGTCGGGCGTGGTAGAGTAGTGGTACTGACGATGAGCGACGTCTTGCCATGGGTGCACGTCCGTGAGATGGACCTGCTTGCCTTTACGGCCATGGAGCCAGTCTTGGACGCGCTGGTCGATCTTCTCCTCGATCTCCTTGGGTACGGGTTCGCCGAGCAAGATATCGTGCAGTTTTACACCCTCCTTCTCCGCATGCCGAACCTTGCGTTGCAGGTCGCTGTCATGCATTGCCGGATTGTCGGCTGGGTTCAAGCGTTGTTCAGCGGCGACGGAGAATGTTCGCCAGTCGAACTTTTCGCCTAGCACGGCCTCTCCGGTACTACCGATGAGAAGCCACAGCGGCTTCAGGTGTGCCTCTTTCTTTATGAAACGCAGAAATCCAGCCATTGTTTTCGCATACTGGCTAACATGACACAGTGGGTCGCCGATGGTAATGGCGAAGCCTTGATGCGGCACGTATCCGACAGCGGCACCTGTGTGATGATCGCGCCAAACCTCGAACTTCGGCTCAAGCCACGAGGTATTCGACGCGTCGCCGTAGTTGGCAATGAGCTTCTCGACCGGCTGAAGCTCGATGCCAGCTGCGGCACGGTCTTTGCCCTCCCAAGGAGGGTGCAGAGTACTTGCCTCCGGATGCCGGAGCTGCTTGACGGGGGGCTTGTAAGGAAGTGACTTCGGGTCTCTGTGGAACATTGTCGCGTGCCGAATATCGCCGAGCTGCAATAGCAGCATGAGGATGCGCTCCAGGCCGATACCACCGCCCCCGTGCGGTGGTGCGCCCCACTCAAAACCGCTCATATATTCCTCCATCGTGCTTGGATCCATCTTCATCTTCTCCATCTTCGCAACGAGCGTTGGTGCATCGTGGATGCGCTGGCCGCCAGATAGAATCTCTTGGCCGCGCAAGAAGATGTCGAAAGCGTTTGTCGTTTCAGGGTTGTTTGGGTCAGGCATGGTATAGAAGGGGCGGGCAGACGCAGGAAACTTGTCGAGCACGTAGTAGTCAGTCTTATACTTCTCTTTGATCACGCGACCAAGTGCGATCTCGTCTCTCGTGCCCAGATCTTCGTTCTCTGGTAGCTGCTTGCCGTCTTCGCTTAGATGTCCAGACTCGTTGAGTAAACGGATGGCGTGCGCGAAAGGAATGACGGGCGTCTCTTCGAGCCACACCAAGTCCTCATGTGGGAACTGGTGCTTTACAGCCTCGATCTCCCGCCGGTAGTTGTCGTAGATGTGCTTGAAGATGGCTTTAAAAGTACTGTCCAGGACACGCAAGACCTCATGATAGTGCTCGTCGATCGCCATCTCAAGATCCAAACCAGTGAACTCCGTTAAGTGTCTGTGAGTATTGCTATTCTCAGCACGAAACACAGGGCCGATCTCGAATACTCTTCGCATGTCTGAGGCGATTGCCATTTGCTTGCCGAGCTGTGGTGACTGGGCCAGGAACGCTGGCCGGCCGAAGTAGTCGACCTTGAACACGCTTGCGCCAGACTCTGAAGCAGCTCCCCAGAGCTTCGGAGTGTGGATCTCGATGAAACCTAGCGAAGTCAGGTTGCTGCGGAACGCGTGACAGATTGCTGACTGGACACGGAAGATGCCCTGAGCGGTGGTAGTACGGAGGTCAATGATGCGATTAGCCTGGCGCGCAGGGTCCGATACACGGTGACGAGTATCGCCCTCTTGCTCGGTCTCGGCCTTTGATATCTCAGCCTCGTGCACCGTAAACGGTAATGGCTCGCTTGGTTGAGCCTCCACATGCATCTCGTGGATGTGGATCTCAATATCATGAATAGTGACGCCAAGGACCTCGCCTTGTTGCGCCTTCGGTTCCTGAATGACGCCGCGAACACGGACAACAGTCTCGACATGCAGATGCTCCGCCCAGTACAGGAAGTGGGCGGACACAGAGCCGTGCTCGTGCAGCACACCTTGTATCGTAGCAGTCTGCTGTCGAAGCTCCACGAACATGAGATGTGCGCTGAGCTTGCGGATGTTGTGCAAGCGAGCACGGAAGAGGACGACATCGCCAACGTGGCTCGCCTTGAGGTTGCGAATGTCTGCCCAAGTTTCGCTGCGTTCCTTGCCGGCGTAGTTGTTGATGGGGAGCACGCCGTACTTCGACCTCTGATCGTCCGTCTCCTCCAACTTGGCCTTAGCCTCCATCTCCTCCTTGCGCTTGCGGTCCGCTTCCCTCCGATCTGCGGCCTCCTTCTTGTGCAGTTCACGTGCGAGTTGCTTGGCATGCTTGTGGGTCTGCCCGCGACTGGTGTGGTCCTCCTCACCGTTGAGCCCTATATCTTCGGTGGAGGAGAAAGAGTCTTCTGACTGTGTTCGCTTTCTCCGCCTGAAGATGCCGAGGGGCGTGCTTGTGCCCGTTCGAGCATGGTGGTCAACGGACCGGCGTGGCGTCCTGCCCTGTGAGTCGACACTTTTGCGGTGCAGGCCTGCCAGACTACCGTTGGAGAGCGACGATAAGCCAGTACCGTGGCGGGAAGGGTTCTCAGACGCCTTCTCAGTGTCACTGGCATTCCCTGAGTTGCTGCCACTGCGAGGTTTGGTAAGACCTGTCAAGGCCTTCTTGAGCGAAGACATGCTGGCACGTTATCACAGTGAGCCGCAACGTGGCCCAGGGACGGTGAAATTGTCCACCGGGGAAGATATCTACAGTAAGCGAGCAGGCACAGCTTCGGAGAGTAGCCGGGTAGCTGCGGAAAGAGCTTGCTTGCTGCCAACAGCTCTGCTGAGTCAACGCTCGCGCAAGAAATAGCAGGCAATTACGAGGGTGTTGTAAAGACGAAGGACCGACGCGTCGTAGCGTGTGACGCTTGTAGGTGAAAGCAGGCTATCTCGTCAACCTATCTGCATCTGCCAAGTTGATAACTTGGAGGCGCCGACACCTTTCACCTTTCAAGGAAGACCAAGCTTTGCAACGCCAAGCCATCCGATTCATGACAGCTTTCTGACGTCCATTCACTCCGTCTACTGTCTCTGATCCGTCCTCGCCGCGGATGTACTCGGAACACCTAGTACGCGAGCCGAGGTACTCCTATAAAGCAGCTGGCAGCATGGTGGAGGTTTCCATGCTGCCATGCTGCAAAGTCCGCACTCCGCTGCTCAGTGGTCCAGATTGCCCGCTCGCGTCGGATACAGATCGTCAACACTATGCGAACGCGAACAGGAGCGCCAGCGTAGCAACGTGGGCGCCACTGTTGCCAGTACCTTGGATTCGCTGAAAGCCTGTGAGAGATGGACACTCTAGGTAGCGTCCCGCAATGACTTGCACGGCCCTTCATCGCCGGCGGCTAAGTGGGCGCTTCGCGCTTCTGCCGCGTGAATGTCTACTGGACAGGAGTTGTACGCGACACAGAGCCAAACCCACGGTGAAACCGTGGCTTTGTGTTCACATCATCGTGTACAGCATCCCTATGGCTACCATGGCGCAAGCGGTTGCTGCCACTTAGTACAGGCCAGCAATCAGACGGCTTCGCGGACTCTGCGTTGACTGGAACGACAATCGTAGCTCGAGGCGAACCTGAGGGTATGGATATTTTCGGTATACTTCCATCTCATCTTTGTGTACGAGCAACTCCCCATCTCGCTTTATCCTTCTCCACTGTCTTGCTTTGGTGGCGCTCTATCTCGATCTGATTTTCTTCGCTTCTAACATTACATCGGCGCCGGCGCTCTTTCGTCACTCCATCTTTTGAGATCGAGCTGAGCTAAGCACGACTATGCACAACCAAACCGCGATGCAGCGACGCAGTCCATCGCAGCCGGGCAGTAAGCACCAAGCCAGCCCAGCGGGCATACCGATCAAACCTGGCCTAGCCGTTGATACCAACTTCTCGCGCCATCAAGGGCAGGCGCCACAGCAGATCTTTCCTCATGAGTCAACACAGCAACACCAGCCACCTTACAGCGGTAATGCTGTCGGTCCTGCGAGTACGAGGCAAAAGCGCGTCTTGTGGTTTCGGGAAGCCGGCAATCTATGCCCAGCGAGAGGCGTGCATTACGACAAGCAAGCGCCACTTGACCTCGTGTCGTCCAGAGTCCGTGAATTTCTGGTACCATCAGGCAACGCTGCTCGACCGCTCCATAACCGTATCAAAGGATTGCGCCCACCGAATCTTAGCCTCGCTCACGACGTATCGCCAGCGGATCGCGCCATAACGATCGGCATAGCCGTTCCATCTAGGGACATATTCCAACATACGGCAAGCCCACATTCGACTGCTCAAGTCTTGCCGTCTTCATCCTCTCGTGAAAAGGTACAGACGCCAACCATCGTTGTAACGCCAGCCAGAGAGGACTTCTGTCTGTCTGCTTCACCACAAGACGTACCTCGACTGGATGACTCCCGACCAGCCTCAAGCGTGTACTCCAGACATACCAATGGCGCAGTCCCGTGTTCTAGCTTGGGCGACACGCCGCCAGTACCACCTCTGCCGCTGTTCGCACGAAACGGAGGCGTGAGAGAGTCCGCCCATACAGCGTTTGAGGAAGATTTTATTCGAGAGAAGCCGCTGTCCGTATGTACCGCTTTCGAGGGAGATGGCGTCGGCCATCTCCATTCCGACTCTGCGGAACCTCTCACCGCGCAATCACACCTCCCAACACCACGGCGAAGTCGAGGTTGGTGGAATCTAGTCACATCGCCCTTTACGACGAGCGCAAGTTCGCAAAGACATTTCTGGCGATCACCTACTCTTCCCCGCGAGGATGAGGATCTGCAGCGTATACTTGACAACGTGGCAGTCACACGATGTGATGATCTGCACGCTGGACCGACCTTCACCGAGAGAGCCGTCGACGACATAGAGGTACGCTCAGCAATGGATTCCGAGCTCGGGTGTGATCGACCGCATCTTCCGAGCCGATCTGATACTGCACCGGGTGTGCTTGTCTCGGCAACAGGGTGCATCAATATCTATCGCATACCCAGTCAAGGCCTGGCGGCGGCGTATTATGATCCTGACCAACGCTTCTCGACTCCGATTGTGACTAAAGATGTAGAAGTCCGAACGTCACTGGTGGGCTGGAGCCCGTCACACAGCGTATTTCGTCCAGAGAGTCTGCAGGGTCCAAGCAATACATGTAGCACAACAGCAGGAGAGGTGATCGATGCTGGTACGACACAGCGTGTGACTGAAGATGAGGTCGCCGGCGCCGTTGGAGACGGTACAACCCGCAGTCCACTCAACGGTGCGGACGAGACTAGTGAGCCCATAAGAGCTCCCATTGTACCGCATGACTTCACAACACCATCCACGGTCGGACTTACGGGTACTAATCCAACGCGCCCAATGCAGGAGCGTAGCGAGACACAAGCAACCCTGACCTCCCTGTTTTCGCCCATGTCAGCCACACCAACCATCAAGCAAGCCCACATCGCGACATACATGGGACCGGACTCCTCCAATGGCGAGCCCCGGGAGGTAGATGTATCTGCTTCAGACACGACAAGTCCACCTATACCAGGACTGGGCGTCGCCACTATGGCTTCCCGGCCGATAACGAACCCTTCTCAGGAGAGAAAAGGAATTGAGGTTGTTGAGAAGGCACCGTGGCGACTAGCGTTCCACGCAAGGAACGACTCATCAGGCTCTCTAGGGCTTGGTATTCGAGATGGCGAGAAGGAGCTCTTGCCTCCTTCTCCAGCCCGCATCGAACCATTGCATTCGGTCCGTGACCACTTTAACCAAGACAGAGGAGGGCAGTTGATTGTCATTGAGCCGAAGGTCCCCTGGCACCGTCGCTTCTTCTGGCTGCTAGTGTCTACTGTCGCTGCTTCTCTTCTGGCGTTGGTGGTATTGCTTGTCCTTTTCGTGCCGCAAGCACGAAACGACATGGCTGTGGAGGCGGAATGGGTGAACCTTACAGGCTATCCAGCTCTGCCTACGGGCGTTGCCACTATCATCAAGGCGAACGCCGTGAAGGAGATAAATGGGTGCATAAGCCCACAGAGCCTATGGAGCTGCGCTACACCACCCACCCAACAATCCGGCCAGTCCACAATCATAAACCAGCCGAGCTTCCGACTCCAGATAAGGTTCAGAAATGATACAGTGCCAGGCAATAAGACACAGCTCGTGAAACGATCTGGACATGCTGCCAACGCCCAAGCGCTGTTTCGCAGAGATATTTGGAGCGACTCGTTATATGCTGCTAACCCAGCACCACCGTCGACGCAAGATCAGTCATTCTTAGGCCAGTTCACGGACAATGTCAGTATGCCCTATGAAGGCGAGCAGACACCATTCTCAATGTCACTGCTGGATGCGGAGACACTGGTGAGTCCGGTCGAGACTTTGGGTAAGCGCCAAAGCAACCCATATCCGTACCCGACACCGAACGACTCCACAACAGTCATGGGCGCATCGACGGCGGCATCGAGCAGCATACCACGGCCCGCACTCCTTCCTAATGGCAAGCCAGCAGACTCCCGAAGCTACCCGCTAGTCGAAGCTCAGCCTCTGCGTCTATACGACCGCGGAAAGCCCAGCGAACATTACGGCTTCTATACTTATTTCGACCGCTCTCTGCTCGTCTCGAACACGTCCTCAAGCACTGCGAACCCATTCGCACTAGGTGCCGGCAACGTTGCACTCGATAACGCCACAGCGGTCTGCACTTGGTCACAGACGCGCCTTCATGTTCAGATGTGGACACGTAAGGGCGGCGTCGCAAGTTTGGACCATCCGATCCCTCTGAACGGGCTGCCGGCGGTGGACTCGACAGCGAATAATATGTCGGCACCTGGCTCCTTTCCGTATCCTGTCACTGTGACTGTGGACCGGCACGGCGGACAGGCGAATAAGAAGGGAGTGTATTGTTACGGTCTAGATGCCGATCACCATGTAATGGTTAATGCTGATACTTGGATGGATGAGGACCGTGCCTATGTTGGTAGGCTTGTTAACGCTGCACAGATGCCAGGTATTAATGGGACGAAGTCCGCAAAGAGAGATGCCGGGTCAGTACATGACGGTGTTGACGGCGGTAATGGTGGTTGCTTGTGCCAGTGGCAGAATTATTAGAGCATAGAATATACACCAGATCAGCTGTAATTCAGCGTGCCTAGGTCACTCCACGGCAAGCCTTTCACAAGTTGCTGGCGTAACAACTCCAGCCGCTCTCCCTTCTCCACCCACCGGTCTTCCAGCCACCTGGCCAACTTCTCGTCCGTCGATGGAAGGTCTGACAGCGTATACCTATCCACATGGACAAAAAACCTCCATTCCTTGTCAAGGTCAGGTATCGTCACAGTTTCTTGGAACAGCGGAGGCTGCTGGAACACTTTCTCGTGCTTCGCATATGCAATCGTCACATCGTAGACAGCCTTCACATGGGGCGCTTTACGTAGGTTGTGTACGCAGGCCAGGAAACCTTTGGTCCGCGGGTAAAGTACGTGCTTGCCTAGTCGCTTATCGTGACTGCGACACCAGGCCTCGGCTTCGTCGCGTCTCCAGTTAGTGTAGCGAGAGCCTTCACTGTAGGCGATCAACCCTTTGGCACGGAGATAGTCAGGTTTATGTAAGCTCGAACCATGGAAATGGTATTTTCAACATACAAATTGGCCAGTGCTTCTGCACGACGCCAGAGAACACCCTGTCCATCTCCTTCTGGTCCTCTGTCCAGTTCCTACTGATCAGGGGCATGCCCATAGCCCACAACCCCCAGCCGAGGAAAGGGACCCACTTCAACTGCTGCTTTGCAAACCACCGACATCGGTTAAGCATACCCGCCCGTTGAGCCAGCTCCTGGATCATGTAGAAGTCGGTCCATTCCACGTGATTTGCTATCACAATCGCACTCTCACCCTTAGGCAGCTTGTCCACGCCGGAGACTACAATCTGGGCGTGATTGCTAACGGTGAAGATGCGCTGGATGCCAGCCCATACCGACTCTGCTATTGCTGACGAGATGTCGTAGCAGAGGTCCGGCAAGAAGGCGGATATTGGTAGTAAAGCGGAGAGGATTATGTCGGCCACCAGGAGATGGAGTAGCCATGGTACCATTAACAGCGCGCATCTTGCGTTACGGTACAGCTTTTGCAACGGCGACTGCCCATCACTCCCACCTTTGGCGTCCATACCACTCTCTCTCAACCTGTTCTTCAATGTTCAGACAGACAGACTTCAGCTGATACTCCAGCAATGAGTGTAGTCGTCATTTCGACGGCGGGAGATTCCGTGTTCCGTCCAGAACATCTCGACGCGCTTCACTCATCAGCATCCCGCCCCAAACTTCACACCATGTGCAAGGCAGCTAATGCCACCGCTCCGGCGCACTGCTACTGTAAGAGGGTCAAGGACGAAATACGATCACTATGTACCGCTCTGTAAGGTATCCGACAGTTCCATATGGCCAAGGCGATGATGTCAGTCAGGAAATGTCCGGACCGGAGTCAGCAGCGCCCTCCGCTGTGATCCGCGTCTTCATAATCAGAAAGTGTAGGTTGTGGTGAGTATTATAGCGTACGTTCCTATAGTCCGCTCTCTCTCTTTACCATACCGTTGCAGTCCGTGGCCGCTCTTCTCTGTTCAGCTGTGGCGCACACACTCCGGCAATGGGCGACCTATTCGCACCGGATCCCAACAGCTGGCCAGCGAAGCTCGTGGTCCGCGTAGGCAAGACGTTTCGCTCAAACAAATCATTTACCCAGGCTGCCATCGAGCAAAACAAGGCTCGCGACGAAGAGCGGCGGCGGAAGCGGAGGGAAGCTCATGCTGCAAAGAACCACTACAAGCTTCGCGACTCCCACGATACAGCCCGTTCGGGCGACGATCTCAATGAGCTTGGCGAACGGGACTACACTGCCTTCAGCGATGCGTCGACTCTTGTCGACCATCGCGACAACACTGACATGCTTCACCGGCTGGCTCACCATGACTCTTTCGACTCCTTGGTGGACAGTGCGGTGGAGTCGAGGAAGCTTGGTGGTGGCGAGACGAACGAGCCTCATCTTGACAAGCTTACCCACGTCTCGACTAGGTACCTGCGCATGGTAGAGAGCCTTCCGGGAGACCTTTGGCAACGGGTCGCTGGATTCCTGAACCCTACCGATGCCGCTCTCCTCGCGCTATCGAGCCATGCGATACGGCAGAAGCTCGGTCCTGCGCCATTCCAAGCCTTGAACCTGCCACAGAACAAACATTATCGCATTGCATTCCTGCATAGTATGGATCATCAACTACCAGATCACCTGCTGTGCTTCCCGTGCGGACGTTATCATCGCCGCTCGCTGCCCGGCAGAGAGTCTCTCAAGGCCGACTACGTCAACCATCCTGTGATTCCTTGTCCACAGGTCAAGACTTCTGTACTACCACGCATGCGCTTGTGCCATGCTCGCGAGCTGCCGTACGCCTTTGTACAGTTGGCACTCAGGCAGCGGCATGGCAAAACGCATGGGATCCCGCACGAGGCTCTCGATAGGCGTTGGAGTCATGCTGAAAGCGGGTGGTCGTTTCGCTCACGTTACATGATGCACGACAACCGGCTTCTTCTTCGAGTCGTGAGCCAAAGAGTCGTACCGCCTGCCAGAATGCTGACGAAGACGGTGGAAAGACACATCCTCTATGACCGCGAAGAATACACGCCATACTTCTCCGTTTGCGCTCACTGGCGAGACGGTGACCTGATGGACCTTTGCAAGTGCGCCCTTTCGCATGTTCCGGCACCACCAGAAAGCTATTTCCAGCAATTGAAAAAAGCGCCCAAGATCAGTCGCGCAGCAGCTCATCCTTGTTTCCTCGTCCGCGGCTGTGATTGGTGCAGACCGGCTCGCCGGTGTCCGGAATGCCCGACAGAGTATCTGATTCACATACAGATGGTAGAGGACAAGCACGACCCTGCTCAACCGTTCAAGCATGCCATCGTTGTGACGAGATGGAGTGACCTCGGAGATGGCAGTAGCCCGTACACGTCACCTGAGTGGGCGGCAATCAACGGCATCACTATACCAGCCGAAGAAGGTGGACACGAGTACGAAAGCTTCAGCCACATTGGCAGGCGAGCTGTCAGTGGCATCGTCGAGTCTAAGGTCAGCGGAAGCATACCTGGAGAGCGAATGCTGAGTCTCAATCCGAAGAACAAGAAGCTTGGAGAAGAAGGGCATGGCTGGTACTGAAAGGCCGGTAGGCGAGCTGTTTGTTACATCGTTCTAATTCAAACATTGTCTGCACGCGTTGCGGCGTCGTCTCTGGCATCAAGATCGTTCAGTCATTGTCGTCTCATGCCTTGTGCTGCTCAGTACGATGGCTCTTCAACATACTTGTCCCGCGAAGAGTGACGCCTTCCTCCAGCAATGCAATCCAAACACCAGACGATGCTGGCCACAAACAGCGACGCGGTTGCACACCACGTCAAAATCAGGAACCTGGTGCCTCTTACTGCACTGATGCCGAAGTCATCGCCGTAATGGTTGATCAGGTCCACCGCTTTGACAGCGATTGCCGTGGCAATGGCGCTTGCGATTCCAATCACAACAAACGCCAGCCAATCCATCAGCACGTTGAGGAAGGCACTTACGCGGCCTTGGAAGAAGAAGCAGATCAAGGCCAGTATAAGCGCAAGACCTGTCAAGCCAATGCCGACGCAATAGAGTACGAACATTACTTTGGTCGCAACGTTCAGCGCATGAAGGCCAGTGTCGATGGAACCCGGCCACTGCAAGTCCTCGATATTGATGGCGCTATGTCCAGTACTGTTTAGCTCCGCTTGTAATATATACCGCGGATCGAAGGTGTTCATGGCCGTCTCCTGCGAGCAATTGGTAGTGTTCTTATGGATGCTCTGACTTGAGAGCGTCGCGTTCGGCACAGGGCCGGGGACGTAATATCCCTCGCAGTAGTCCAGCAAATGCATACTGTAAAAGTCATGCAATCCAAGCTCTTTGGCGACAAAGTTAAGTTCACTCTTGATCTCAGCCTGGAGGTTTGACGGAAGATTGCCGGTGGCATTTTGCAGGAGTTGGATGAGTGGGTTGCTGGAGGAGCCTTGAGTCTCCTCGAGGAGGTTGACGCCAATGCGAGACGTGTTAAGCTGGACGCCATATCAGTCGGAGCAAAAGGTACTCTAATCGACACTCGATGCGTACCGTCATGATCGCAAAGTCTTCCATGAAGCCTTTCTTGGAGCCCGCGAAGAGACATAGGAGAGACAGGGCCAACGAACCAGCAATCAAGAGTACCGGCACTAGAGCTAACAACCGCATAGTGAAGACTAGTCGTAGTAAATCTTCTACTAAGTGAATGGTATGCTTGGCCACAAAAGCCACGAAGTAGGCTCTCAAGATTGGACGAAGCAAGGGGAAATAGCCCACCTCTTGAGCCGCTATAGCTTTGTGGCTACTGCGTCACGCAGGCTGCTACAGTGACCGTAACGAAACTCACTGTATGCAGAGTAGGGACGCGTCGATGTAGCGTGACGTGTTGGCTGTTTCGCGAGCTTGTTGTTGCCAGGATGTCGACCTTGTTTTGAGCGCACTACTGCCCTTCATGGTGCCAGCACGTTTTAGCCCGCTTCGGAGTAGGAAAAGTAGACAAAGTAATTGTCCTGCCTCTGCCACCCTGGAAATAGACTATGGACAAAGTTGTTGAAAGTAGGAGTGTGGGCCGTATAGAGAGAGGCTCGCCATGTAGATGTTACTGAGATTCAGTTGACACGGACCAGGTTCAGATGGTTTTGGTTCCGTTCCCATTCTCGCAAACTCACCAGTCTGGGCTGCTAGTGGACGTCGGACTATCTCAGGCTGCTAAGTACGTCTTGGGATGAGTTGATGCTGTACACCATATCTCACTACTTGTTCGCTACCTATTGAAGAGCCTTATGAACCACGCACGGCGAACTAGCGGAGGGGACAAATGAACGAACCTGGAAAGGCACTGACTATCGCTGAATCACCCCGACCTCGGTCACTAGCTATGGCTCCAACTCGTTACATACAGACACGCTTCCTTTTCTTCATACCCAACAACCTCACCAAGTAAATTTACCACAGTTATATAACATGCCAGTGATCGTTGATGATAAGTCTGAGCACTGCATCCCGTTTATTATCGACCGTATCAAGCAACACCAACGTCACCATGCCAACAAAGGCGAGAAACCTCCGCCCTTTTTCGTAGGCTTGAACGGTGTGCAGGGTGCCGGGAAAACGACACTGGTAGGTACGGCTATGCTCTAGTCCCATATCGTCTCAAACTTGCAAGCCAGACCCGCCGACTTCACTGATCCACCAGCTCTGGAAAAGGGCGGCGCTGTTCATACCAGACTTATGCGTTGCCAGAGGGTTCCTGTATCTATGACCATGTCCAAGCTGAGGCGTTGAGGTAGGTCACGACGCTCAGCAAGACTCTTTCATCACCACCGCACAATCTTCCCACCGTAGTTCTCTCAATAGATGACTTATACCTACCACACGAAGACCAGGAAAACTTAGCCCACTCTCATCCGAATAACCCTCTGGTCCAGCATCGGGGACAGCCATCAACACATGACATTAAGCTTGGCGTGCAGCTGTTCGACGCTCTGGCATCTCGGCAGACTAACATTAAGATCCCAAGCTACGACAAGTCTGCTTTCTCCGGTGCTGGAGACAGGAGGCCCGAGTCTGAATGGGACACAGTCAACACAGAAGGTCAACGGCCGGTTGAAGTTGTTATATTCGAAGGTTGGTGCGTTGGCTTCCGTCATTTGAACGATGACGAGGTCAGAAGGAAGTGGCAAACGGCGAAGGCAGAGTACGAACGCAAGGCGGATGCGTACAATGGCCAACTCGGGAAGCTCAAATTGGAACATGTGCTTTTCGTGAACGCCAAGCTAAGGGCTTATGATGCATTGACGGACCGTTTCGGTGCCTTCATTCAAATGTCAGTGATGTCGCGCGCATGCCGGTCCAGCGAAGTTACGGTGCTGACAGACCCCACAGAGACGCGGAGGATACACAGTATGTGTATGATTGGCGTTTGCAGCAAGAGGCAGCCTTGAGAGCGGCGAAAGGCACGGGTATGACAGACGATCAAGTTCTGAGCTTTGTCAACGGCTGTAAGCCTTCAATCTCACCCCCGCGGTGTTCCAAGTGCTTTGATCGAAGCTAATTGCTTACCAGACTATCCCGCGTACGAGCTGTATACGGAGGTACTGCGTCGCGGCATCTTTGGGCACGAGAAGGGCAAGCAGCTGCGACTCGTTGTGGGCAAGGACAGACGAGTTAAGCACGTACAAGTGTTGTAGAGAGACCGGAACCTTTGATGCTCAGGTTCCGTGGCTGTTGCTACACCGTCATTGGCGGTCCGAAGGCTTCGTGACGCTAGGGAAAGGAGGAAGAGTTTACCGGTGTTGAGTAGGCATGCTTGTCGGTACTTTCTAGTACCCTTTCGTACTTGCTCCACCAGTTCAGTTCAGCATATCTCTTCTGGCGGAACACAACCGACCAATCGCGGAGCAAGGCGACCATTATACAGTAGATGACCTTCATATTCAATCTATTCAGCGTAGAAAGCCACTCGAGCCAGTCATCTGTGTCTCGTCGTCTATTGACGCAAGCTAATCATGCCAACAATCCAAAGCTCCGTATGAGCATTGGTGACCAGATAGGCATGCGTTAAGCGGAGTAGAGGAAAAAGATTCAATCAATTTGCGAAGCAGAGATGATCGAGTCGGTGCGCTTTAGGCAAGACTTCGCTTAAACCTTCGTCCCCGAGATCGCTTCTCGACTGCCGACCAGCCCTACGTCGTTCACAGCGTTCTGCGGGAAGTCTTGAATCGAAGCGACGGCATTCACCCTCATTACCATCTTCATACCGGAAGACGACCAAAGTGCTGTCGCCGACCATATTCCTCAGCTAACAATCACCCTTACAGGTCTCTAGTACGTTCTCCGGCCTGACACCTAACTGCAAAACACGCAAACTAACGTACCACAGGCCCTGTCTAAAAAACTACCTCCTACTAGGATGTCAACACCGAACGCCCCAAGTGGTATTGGCAAGGCCATAAGACACCTCGACCTGGATTATCACGATCTCCCGCCGTCGCCCGCACCCTCCAGTCCCAGCAACGGGCGCAAATATGCTCTTGCCACGGAGCTAGTCTATACGGAAGGCAGCGACCAATATAACGCGAGTAGTGTCCCGATCTACCAATCTGCGACCTTCAAAGGCGGGCCAGGGCAGGAGTATGACTACACTCGGAGTGGCAATCCTACTCGCACACATCTGGAGCGGCATATGGCGAAGATTATGAACGCCAACCGCGCGCTGGTGGTCAGTTCGGGTATGGGTGCTTGTGATGTCATCACACGAATACTGAAGCCAGGCGACGAGGTTGTCACAGGGGATGATCTTTACGGCGGAACGAACCGATTGTTGACGTATTTGAGGGAGAATGGTGGAATCATTGTCAAGCATGTGGATACTACGAGGCTTGAGAATGTGAAGGCGACCCTGAGCGAAAAGACTACCATGGTTTTGCTCGAGACGCCGACGAACCCTTTGATCAAAATCGTGGATATTGCGGGCATCAGTACGGCCGCGCACGAGGCGAATCCGGAGTGCGTTGTGGCCGTGGACAACACCATGATGAGCCCTTACCTACAAAATCCGCTTGATCTTGGCGCAGATGTTACCTACGAGTCGGGCACGAAGTACCTCTCGGGTCATCACGATGTTATGGCTGGAGTCATTGGCATCAACAGCGTTGCTCTTGGCGACAAGTTCTACTTCATGATCAACTCCACCGGCTGTGGGCTTGCCCCATTCGATTCCTGGCTACTTTTACGAGGTGTTAAGACACTTGCCGTGCGCATGGAAAAGCAACAAGCGAATGCGATGGCCATCGCGCAATTTCTAGAGGGCCATGGTTTTAAGGTGCGATATCCTGGCCTCAAGTCGCACTCGCAGTACGCTCTGCATCAGTCTCAAGCCCGTGGCGCAGGCGCCGTGCTAAGCTTTGAGACGGGTAGCATCCCGCTGTCAGAGCGTATCGTGGAGTGCACGAAGCTATTCGGTATCTCTGTTTCCTTCGGCTGCGTTAATAGCTTGATCAGCATGCCATGTCGCATGAGTCACGCCTCGATTGACCCAGCGACGCGGAAGGAGCGGGCACTGCCTGAAGACATTATACGTCTCTGTGTTGGGATCGAGGATTTGGGTGACCTGGTTGATGACCTTAGCCAGGCGCTTGTGAGGGCTGGCGCGGTACGATTGACGAGCAACGGCTTCCAAGCCTTGAGCGCTGAAGAAACGGCTGGTGAGAGTGGGAGGACAAGGCAAGTTGTTGACGAGCCATAGCAAGGCTTGATGTACTATACAACCTCCATAAAAGCGACGACTGGTATTCAGAGTCAATCGGTCCAGAGTTCCAGAGCAGTAGCCTCTGCAAAAAGCGCATGTGAAGGCGGCCCTGGAGTGAAGCATGTGAAAAGCGGAAGCACATTCGGCGCACCATTCCTTGGTGAAACGATCTTACACCTCACCATCGGATGTGCAAATACCGATGTTAGACCTTGTTAGATGTTATTTGGTCAGCCCGAGGAAACTGTATTGCTCTGGTCGAAAGGTGTGACCGGCAGATTCGTCCATTGCCCGCTGAGGTGAAGCCGACGCTGAAAGCCGCTGCCGGCAAGGTCGATACCTCGGCACATTCGGAGCTCACATGAGGTGCAGCGTTGACGCTTAGCTTTGGACGCTGACCAGCAATCGACCCTCTCTTCCTCCTTTCATCCTCCTCACCGGATCGATCCAGACTCATACCGTCGATCTACTCTGAGACAACAAGCGAAGATGGCCGGCGAACTTCGGTGGGACAATCAGGTTGTGGTGGTCACAGGAGCTGGCGGAGGACTTGGAAAGGCTTACGCTACGTTCTTCGCATCGAGAGGAGCCAACGTCGTTGTCAACGACCTTGGCGGAAGCTTCAAGGGCGAGGGTGGCGGAAGCGCAGTATGTCTACACAGCCGAATTCCATCCAACCGAAGCTGATCGCATGGCAGGCCGCCGACAAGGTCGTCGATGAGATCCGTGCCGCTGGAGGCAAGGCCGTAGCCAACTACGACAGTGTTGAGAATGGCGAGGCGATCATACAGACCGCCATCCAGAACTACGGCCGGATCGATGTGCTGATCAACAATGCCGGAATCTTGCGTGATATCAGCTTCAAGAACATGAAGGACCAAGACTGGGATTTGATCATGAAAGTTCACGTCATTGGCGCATACAAGTGTGCACGCGCGGCATGGCCCTACTTTCGGAAGCAGAAGTACGGTCGTGTCATTAACACGTCGAGTGCGGCAGGCCTCTTTGGCTCCTTCGGACAGTGCAACTATTCCGCAGCGAAGCTCAGTCAAGTTGGTTTCACAGAGACACTGGCGAAAGAAGGTTTGAAGTACAACATTCTCTGCAACGTCATTGCGCCAATCGCGGCGAGCCGAATGACCGCTACTGTCATGCCACCAGAGGTATTGGACAAGCTCAAGCCCGAGTGGGTCGTACCTCTTGTCGCCGTGCTTACTCACTCCTCGAACGAGACTGAGACTGGCTCGATCTTCGAAGCTGGCGGAGGGCACATGGCAAAGCTGAGATGGGAGCGCGCAAAGGGTACGATACTCAGGGCAGACGACACCTTCACGCCCGCGGCGCTCTTGAAGAAGTGGGACGGTGTGAGCAACTTCTCGGAGCCTAGCTATCCTACTGGCCCCGCGAACTTCTTGGAGCTACTTGAGGATGCACAAAAGCTACCTGCAAACCCGCCTGCGGAGCAGATCTCGTTCAACGGCAAGGTTGCGCTTGTGACGGGTGGCGGCGCCGGATTGGGGCGCATCTATTGTTTAGCCTTCGCGAAGTACGGTGCCAAAGTGGTTGTCAACGACTTGGTCAACCCGGACAACGTTGTGGCTGAGATCAAGAAGATGGGTGGCGAGGCTGTTGGTGTCAAGGCCAGCGCTGAGGATGGTGAAACTGTTGTCAAGGGCGCTATCGACGCGTTCGGACGTATCGACATTATTGTCAACAATGCTGGCATTCTGCGAGACAAGGCGTTCACAAACATGGACGACAAGCTGTTCCACCAAGTCCTCGACGTGCATTTGCGGGGTACGTACAAGGTCAGCAAGGCTGCTTGGCCATATATGCTGAAGCAGAAGTACGGCCGCATCGTCAACACCACCTCCACCTCCGGCATCTACGGTAACTTCGGCCAAGCGAACTACGCTGCAGCAAAGTCCGGTATTCTCGGCTTCTCCCGCGCTCTCGCCAGAGAAGGTGCGAAGTACAATATCTACGTCAACACGATTGCGCCCAATGCTGGAACTGCCATGACCGCTACGATCATGCCGGAAGAATTGGTCCAAGCTTTCAAGCCGGACTATGTCGCTCCCGCGGTACTCCTTCTCTGCTCTGATAAGGTTCCTGCTCCCCCAACTGGCCGTCTGTTCGAAGTTGGCTCTGGCTGGGTCGCTGAAACCCGCTGGCAACGCAGTGGTGGAGCACAGTTCCCCGTCGATGTTACGCTTACTCCCGAAGCCGTTAAGTCTAAGTTGCAACAGCTGTTGAACTTTGAGGATGGCCGGGCCGACCATCCTGAGGATCCGTCTGCGGGTACGGAGAAGATCATGGCAAACATCGAGAATCTCAGCCAAAAGCCCGCGAAGAAGTCTCAAGGTGCCTATGGCAAGGTTGATGAGGGTGTACTTGCAGCCATTGAGAAGGCGAAGAGTGCGAAGGCGCAAGGTACTGACTTCATCTACGATGAGAGGGATGTGATTCTTTACAGTAAGCTTTATCCTTCCAACGTCCCTTAAATGACCAAGGCTGACCCATTCGGCAGATCTCGGCGTTGGAGCGAAGCGTACTGACCTTCCGCTCGTGTTCGAGAATGACGAGAACTTCATGGTGCTCCCTACCTTTGGTGTGGTCCCAACATTCAACGCTGTGGCGCCTTTTAGCATGGGTGAAGTCGTGCCAAACTTCTCGCCTATGATGCTTCTGCACGGCGAGCAGTACCTCGAGATCCGAACGTTCCCTATCCCAACCGAAGCCACGACGACTTCATACCCGAAACTTGTCGAAGTGGTGGACAAGGGCAATGCGGGCATTGTGGTTACGGGCAGCACTACCATCGACAAGAAGAGCGGTCGCGAGCTCTTCTACAACGAATCTACCGTCTTTATCCGTGGCTCTGGCGGCTTCGGTGGTGCACCCAAGGGCTCAGACCGCGGCGCAGCGACACGCGTCTACAAGACTCCTTCTCGCGCCCCAGATGCCGTGGTTGAGGAGAAGACGACCGAAGAGCAAGCAGCCATCTATCGTCTCTCCGGCGACCGGAATCCACTGCACATTGACCCAGAGTTCAGCAAGGTCGGCGGCTTCAAGACGCCCATTCTGCACGGACTCTGCTTCTTCGGCATCGCTGGTAAGGCGGTGCTACGGAGTTTCGGCATGTTCAAGAACATCAAGGTTCGGTTTGCGGGCGTTGTCTTGCCGGGGCAGACGCTTGTGACGGAGATGTGGAAGGAGGGCAATGTGGTTATTTTCCAAACAAAGGTCAAGGAGACGGGCAAGCTGTGCATCGCTGGTGCTGGGGCAGAACTCATGAATGGTGCAGCGAAGCCGAAGCTTTGAGGGTTGGGCAGTGACTGTTTGATGGCTTGTGTATAGGCATAATTGGCGTAGTATGTTGTTTCTGAATGGTCACCCAAAGATAATCGTGGAAAGCAGTTACCTCGGTCATACGTGCCGACAGCGCGGCTGAGAGCACACGCAATGCGACCATCTAACTGCCAAATCGTCACCGTTTGGGATCAACCCTTCCCACTGGACAGGCTGCTCGCTCCGCGTAGGTGCAAACAGTATTTGCCATTGATGGCATTACGGCCGATGACGCATTACCACGGCATAGTGCGGCAAGCCGCTCAAAGAGTAATATGTGGACCTTGCACACAACATGCACAGATTCGCCACCACAATTTTTCGTGATGAGATCGAGACAGGTTGTAGGATCATACATGAACGTGTGCCGGTTATAGCTTCTCAGAGAGCTGCCGAAGGTTAGAACATTCACAACGACTATCGTACAACGGATCTAAGCAATTGGGGGCTCCAGCCAGCTGCAACAAGATGACTTTCAAGACCCTCGACTTCAACTGTGCCTTGGTGACTGGCGGTGGCGGTGGCATCGGACGAGCCATCTCCGAGTACTTCCTTTCCATAGGTAAGAAAGTCATCATCTGTGGCCGTACCGAATCGAAGCTGCAGGAAGCCTCCAAGCAGATGAAGGACTGCCCGTACTATGTGTTGGACACTGGCAACATCGCTGGCATAGCGGACTTTGTCACGAAAATCACCAAGGAGCATCCGGACCTTGACTGCCTGGTGAACAACGCGGGTGTGCAGAGGCCACTGGACGTGAACGAAATGAGCGCCGAGGAATTCACTCAGAAGGCTGACAACGAGGTCGCCATCAACATCCAAGGACCACTGCACCTGATCATCCACCTCCTACCTCACTTCAAGCAGAAGTCCGGCGCGGTTATCATGAACGTTTCGTCTGTGCTCGGCTACATTCCCACGTCTGTTATCAACCCAGTAAGAGTCCGTAAGCCCGTGCTCGCTGTTCAGTTGGCTGACGTCTAAAGGTATACAACGGCACCAAGGCGTGGGTTCACTTCTGGTCAATGAACCTCCGGACACAGCTCGAGCAGGCAGGTGCCAATATTCGTGTTATTGAAATTGCTCCTCCAAGCGTCGGTACAGATCTACACCGCGAGCGCAAAGATCCGAATGACAACAAGAAGGACAAGAATCCAGCCGCGCTGTCCGTCGAGGAGTTCATGGAGGATGTGATTGCTCAATTCGAAGCCAACGAAGACCACATCGGCGCGGGTCCGAGCCGGAAGGTGCTCGAACGCTGGTATGGCGAGTTCGGGCCGGACTATCAGAAAGCTACTGGCCACAAGTGAGAACCTCTATACATCGCGGAAGGCTGTGCCGGCATAGCCGTCTTTGTACATTTCAGATGAAACATGACTGAGTCTAAGTCGGCATGTGCTGCGGGGAATGCCGGTTGTCATAGGAGACAATCGCGTGTTTCTATGTTTGGCTTCAGCGCTAGTGCGGCGATCACTTCGATCAATATGGCAAGCTGTGTTCAGCTTGCGACATCATATAACGGCCACGCTGCGACCACAACAACACAAGTAGGCTTTGTCCTTTCATCGCTATCCTAAAGCCAACGCTTGTACGTTCAGCACATATATTGACAGCATGCGCGCTTGAGCACATCTACGCAATTCGTTCTTGATTGCCGCATTCCACTCGCTGCCATGGCGGCGCCGCCGACACCACATGGCTACGGCCCACCTCCAGATTATCCAGCCGACAACGACGACACGCCTGTCGCTAGTCAAGTACACAACGGTTCAACCCTGCGTCTCCTGACGGACGCAGAGGGGAGCCATCAAACAAGTCAACAGTCTCCGACTGATCGGTCACCCTACAACCTTTTCTACGGAGCAAGAACAAGGCTTTCCGGAGAGCGCGACCGAACAGAGCCAGCAGCACCTTCCATCAATGACAGTGATTTAAGCAGCTTACTTCGCGAGGTAGAGAGCGACATCTCACGAAACAGCAGACCCCCGGCGCCGAGAACTAAGACTGCGAAGGTGCGGTTCAAGGCGAAGGAGAAGGACAGCATTATCTCAACCGCCACAGCCGAACGGATACCTAGCCATCTTGAGCGTACATACCATCCATCCGAGGCAGTGCGTCCGCCCTCAAGACCGCCATCGGTGCTTGACAATGCCCCTCAAATGCCGCCACCTATTGCAGAGGTACCACCATATATGCCGTTTAGGCCGGCATCCAGGTCTTCCCAATCACCAACAAGGCCTTTGTCACCACTGCGGATGTCTACGGACTATGCACGACCGCCAGCTTCAAACGTCCCGTATGAGCCCGCAGACATCAACGGACAGCCACGACCAGGAACTCCGGCGTCGCAATATGGCTCACCCAAGCGACCATTACCTCCCCAGCCTCTGTTCGCCGGTGGACGTCCTCCGTCATTTGAGATCCCAAAGGACGGCTCGGAGGTGACAAGCGTTGAGATCAGCGAAGAAGGTGACGACGTTTTCGGCCCAGCGAGCGGACAGACCGAGGACGATGGACCGCAACGGCCTGAGCTCAGACCGCACGACAGCTTTGTTTCAGAGTCCACGTTCGACGATGAGCTGTACGATGAGAAAGCGGAGGGGTTGTACGGCCCGGCTCCGACAGGCAAGCAAGAGCGAAGGGGCGCGCGAGAGCAACAGATGGCCAAGAAGGAGGTGCGCCTGATCAACGGCGAGCTTATCCTTGAGTGCAAGATACCCACGATCTTGTACTCGTTCTTGCCGAGGAGAGACGATGTCGAGTTCACGCACATGCGCTACACGGCCGTAACCTGTGATCCAGACGACTTCGTTGATCGAGGGTACAAATTGAGGCAGAATGTTGGTTTCACTAGTAGAGAGACCGAACTGTTCATCTGCATCACGATGTATAACGAGAACGAGATCGACTTCACGCGGACGATGCACGGCGTCATGCGTAACATCTCACACTTCTGCAGCCGAGCCAAGTCTCGAACCTGGGGAAAGGATGGCTGGCAGAAGATAGTGGTCTGCGTCATGTCGGACGGTCGTGCGAAGGTACATCCCAGGACGCTTGACGCACTAGCAGCAATGGGCTGTTATCAGGCCGGGATCGCGAAGAACATGGTGAACCAGCGAGAGGTGACTGCGCATGTGTACGAATACACCACGCAGGTATCACTGGATGCGGACTTGAAGTTCAAAGGCGCCGAGAAAGGTATCGTCCCGTGCCAGATGATCTTCTGTCTCAAGGAGAAGAATCAGAAGAAGCTGAACAGCCATCGATGGTTCTTCAACGCTTTTGGCCGCGCGCTCAACCCGAACATCTGCATCCTGCTGGACGTAGGCACCAAGCCCGGGGACGACTCGCTGTACCACTTGTGGAAGGCCTTTGACCGAGACTCGACCGTCGCCGGAGCAGCTGGTGAAATCAGAGCGGCCAAGGGCAAGGCCTGGCTACAGCTGCTGAACCCTCTCGTCGCCTCGCAGAACTTCGAATACAAGATGTCGAATATCCTGGACAAGCCGCTAGAGTCCGTCTTCGGGTACATCACTGTATTACCCGGAGCGCTAAGTGCCTACCGATACCATGCACTGCAAAACGATGAGACCGGACACGGACCCCTGAGCCAGTATTTCAAAGGCGAACTTCTCCATGGCCAGGATGCTGACGTGTTCACGGCGAACATGTACCTAGCCGAAGACCGGATCTTGTGCTGGGAGCTGGTCGCCAAACGTAACGAGAGATGGGTGCTGAAGTACGTCAAGAGCGCCACTGGCGAGACCGACGTTCCCGATGCGGTCCCAGAGTTTATCTCTCAGCGCCGGAGATGGCTGAACGGTGCCTTCTTCGCCGCCGTCTACTCACTGCTCCACTTCAAGCAAATCTGGTACACCGACCACACGATTGGCCGCAAAATCCTGCTGCACATCGAGTTCATATACCAGTTCATCTCGCTGCTGTTCACCTTCTTCTCGCTCGGCAACTTCTACCTGACCTTCTACTTCGTGGCTGGCTCGCTCAGCGATCCGAAAACCGATCCTTTCGGCCACCACATCGGGGAGTATGTCTTCGTGCTAATGCGGTATATCTGTGTGCTCCTCATCATGATGCAGTTCGTGCTATCTATGGGTAACCGACCCCAGGGCGCGAAGAAGATGTTCCTGGCGTCCATGATAACCTTCGCCGTCATCATGGCATACACGACATTCGCATCGATCTACATCGTGGTCAAACAGTTGACCAACAAGGACGACCTGCAGTTGGGCAACAATCTGTTCACCAACATGATTGTCAGCTGCCTGTCAACGGTCGGGCTTTACTTTGTAATGTCTTTCCTGTACCTGGACCCTTGGCATATGTTCACCAGCTCGGCGCAGTACTTCGCCCTACTGCCAAGCTACATTTGCACCTTGCAAGTCTACGCGTTCTGCAACGCGCACGACGTGACTTGGGGCACAAAGGGCGACAATGTGATGAAGCGGGACCTGGGCGTTGCAAAGGCCTCGAAGAACGGAACCGTGGAGCTAGAGATGCCGTCAGAGCAACTCGACATCGACTCCGGCTATGACGAAGCGCTGCGCAATCTGCGTGACCGTGTTGAGGTACCAAAGCCAGGCGTTTCCGAGTCGCAGCAGCAGGAGGATTACTACCGTGCCGTACGCACGTACGTCGTCATGGTGTGGCTGACCTGCAACGCGATCCTGGCAATGGCGGTCACGGAGATCTACAGCGACATCCATATCTCGGATAACTTCTACCTGAAGTTCATTCTCTGGTCAGTGGCTGGCGTTGCGCTCTTCCGCGCTATTGGATCCAGCGCTTTTGGCATCATCAATATCATACACTCTATTGCGGAAGGGAAGCTGAAGATGGAGACGAAGCGCAACAACCAGGCAAATTCCGTGAGCGGCAGGAGCAGCAGAAGCTGGGGTAGTAAGATGAGCGTACCGAGCTGGGTCAGCGGTAGTAGTAGCTGGGTCAGCAGCAAAGTCAGCAGCATTGGAAGCACCCTCGGACGATGATATTGGCGTACTGTTTGGCATCGGACACAGTACACGAAGTGTAAGCGGAAACAGACGCTTCATCATGATCGATGTATTATAGGACTAGATATGCAAGTCGTTAAGCATCCCCATTGCGTTCGTTTGCTTGACACCGCTCGATGCATGGGTGAAGTGGTTCTCCCAGAATCTGATGCCGTCGATCGATTGGTCTCGGCAAAGAGAGCCAGTCTCCTCCGCCATCTCAAGCTCTTCGGTCGCTACCCCTACGCTCCAACCAAAGCGTTCGGCGGTCTGCAGTGCGGTCACGCCTCGCCCGAAGCTCTGACACAAGCGATCGTCATGATCCGGTGGAAAGGCATACTGTGGCTCTCGCAGCCATGCTAGCAGTGCGGCGATGGTCTTTTCATCGGTCCGGCTTCGCTCTTGTACTACGAGCAGACCACTCTTGAAGCGGCGTAGGCGGATCGGGAGTCGTAAGTCGTCCCATAGCAGTGCTGCCCTTTCGAAGTCCAAAGGAGATATCAGCTCAATTCCGTTGCGTGTCCGGTTGAATACAGCCCACAAGTCAACAAGAGAGATAATGCCGCCTTCTTTCCGAAGCACGCCTCTTCTGTCGTCAGTCAGGTACTCGGCGAGGTTACGTGACAGCTCATTGATGTACAATGTCTCGGAAGATGAGCCGCCACCAAGCATATCTCTCGTGGTGACTAGACCGAGGGCGGAGGCAGAATCTGCGAGTATGTTTCTTGTCTCTGCGGAGTCATCGTTGCCGTTCTGCTTGGCAAACTGCTCAGCCATGGCAATAACCTCTTTGGCAGATGTCATCAGTGCTTCAAGGTCCTCGAACGCCGTACCGATGACTGTTTGATTGTTCTGTCTCAGTTCGGCGCCTCTGCGCTCGAGTCCGGCAATACCGATAACTCTCTGCTGTGGTGTTCCTGATCGCGCCGGACTATCTGGCGGATTCAGAAGGCCGTACGAGTCTCGCGTTGGTGTCATTGGGGATCTTGGCACGGGCGGTGCACTTTGCAGTAGCCATTTCCGCTGCACCATCGCGCCTTTGAGTCTTTCGAGGAACACCTTTTCACCGCCAGCCCTGAAGGAGAACTTGATGGTTTCGATGCTCTCGTCACCCACGATCGTACTGCCAAGACTTGGTCCGGGAGACTCTGGCCGTTCAGGACTGTCTGCAACAGGCAATGCAGCACTTGCTATTGTTGACAATGATGCGCCACATATCTCACATATCGTAAGCGATGGATGGTTGTGGAATGTGCACCTAGGACAAACATTGTCAGGCAAATTTGACCTTTGTTGAGCGACGTCCTGTAGGTGGTCTAGTCCGCTGGTCTGCCGTAGAGGCTGTGGTACAATTGAAGCGGGTCCAGAAGGTCGATTTGACATGGCAGAGATCGAGGCCTTGATCATGAGCGCCAACGGCGGCTTGATGCCACATGCTTGACATGGCGGGAGAGGCGTGTACTGGTTCGCCGTCGCTGGGTCAAAGTTCGAGGGAACCGTGTTTGACAAGCCGCAAATTGGACAGATCCATGTGGCGTGGATGTCTCTGGCTGGCGCCGGGGACTGCGGGATGGAACGCGGCGGAGAGGCAGCTGGCCGTAACAGTGCATCGCTTGGTGAAGCATATTTGGGGATAGGACTCCGTATGCTTTGAATACCTCGCTTGACAGGCTTAGGGAAGAGAGTGATCTTGGGCGAAGACTTCAGGAAGCCCGCGTAAAACTCGGTTCGTTCGATTTCCTTGAGGTCTACAGCGACAGAATACTTCCTTGGCTCAGCATTGTCAACGTAGCACACTCGGTGCGACGTCAGATAGGCGTAACCATTCTGGTAGTTCGGGATCTTGTACTTCCCTTCGTACAGGCCCACACTATTCTGCACGAAGAGTAGTGTCTCATCGTTATAAAGCGACGGCCGAAGCGCGGTAGTCAAGTCGAGGTGGCGAAGGAACATTCGCAGACATCGAGCTCACTGCGTGATTGTTGATTGTCTGGGAGCTGCCTGCAATCTTCCGGAAATGGTTCGCTTTCTTGGGCTCCAGTGGGGCATCATGCAGACCGATCTGCAGTCTTCCGTTGACTGAGCGTACCTGCAATTACACGGTTGAATTGACCGAAGAAACTGAGCATCCGCGACTGGCTAGCTCATCGAACATCGCCCATGGCTGAATTGGCACCGAATGCTGAGCACTCGTATATCTCCTTATGTCGCCCCTAGACACGTGACTGTGCCACGAAGGTCAGTGCGCGTGCACGAAAGCCAATAACCTGCCGAAGTCACCGCACCTACTTTCCGCTTTCTCCCTCTTTTCACATCCGTCACTTTCTTCGCAGCGGCAAGCGAACTGACGAACCGCACCTCGGTCTCCAGTGTCGTACTTCCATCAACGTGCCTGTAGCACGCTATCAATGAACCTACCGTATGCGGCGTGGCCGCCTCTACCGCCACCCAACGTGCCGGCGTTCGCAGCAATGCAACCGCCAACGCTTGCGTACACCGCTGTGAACGCACGGCAGACTCTACAGCGCCCGGTGCCTGCGGTGCAGCCAATCCAGCAGCCGCAGAAGGTGTCGTGGAACACTGACGTTCGTCACTACGTTTCACGTGCTTTTGACCCGGATAGCGAGATGCCTGGCATCACGTCGGCGATGATGCAGGAGAAGTTGAAGTTTGTGATCACACATGCAGCGGAATCACATCAGCTGGGAGACATAGATTGGGGTACATATCCACTTCCACAGCAATTGATCAAAGAAGAGCTTGAGCGCGCGGCTCTGCAGAGCAACCCCGCTGAAACTGAAGCTAACAGTAATACGTCTACGGTATCAGCCATACATGGCTTCTCTTCACCTTTGAAACGGAAGAACGGCGATGTAGACATGACTGGAGTCGAGGAACTCGAGGTCACGCCACCGTGGAAGAAGAACAATACCAGCAAACTCAGCATGGAGGACCGCATTACCGGCAAAGGCAAGGGCAAGAACGACAAGAAGCAAAAAACTGTGAAAGTCTCACGCTCGAATGCCCTTAGCACCGACCCGGACGTTCTGGAAAAGCGCAAGCAGCGCTTTGGCCATGTGACCCCCGAGCCCTCTCCTTATCTTTCTTCTCATAATGAATCGCCTAAGCCAACCGATGGACCGCTAGTGGGTACATGCCAAACCATCGAGAAAAGCTACTTCCGTCTGACTGCGCCCCCTCCACCGGATGTTGTAAGGCCTCTACCAGTCCTGGAGAAAGCACTGAACCATGTCCGGAGCAAGTGGAAAAGAGAGCACAACTACAGGTATGCGTGCGATCAGCTCAAGTCTTTGCGCCAGGACCTCACAGTGCAACATGTCCGGAATGACTTTACGGTCAAGGTCTACGAGGTCCACGCTCGCATCGCTCTGGAGATGAAGGATCTTGGTGAGTACAACCAGTGCCAGACCCAGCTGAGGGCGCTTTACAAGCTGGGTTTGGGCGGCAATCCTGAAGAGTTTACTGCTTATCGCATTCTCTACATCCTTTATACGTGCAACCGGGCGGACATGAACGATGTGTTGGCCGATCTAACCGCAGCAGATAAGAAGAAGGCAGGTGTGCAGCATGCGCTGCAGGTTAGGGCAGCTTTGGCTTCTGGCAACTACCACAGATTCTTTAGGCTATATCGAGACGCACCCTTCATGAGCCCGTATCTGCTTGACATGATTATTGGACGCGAGCGGCTGGCCAGTATGGCCTCAATATGCAGAGCGTAAGTGTTATATTCGATCTACAACCAAGTACCCTCCCGCTAACGTTTAGCAGGTATAAGCAAGATGTCAACCTACAGTTCATAGTAGACGAGCTGGCTTTCAACGCCGAGGACCCCGACACCGACACCGAACCTGATCCCGCCGTTGGCCGTACCCAATGCATCGCATTCCTGTCGCAAAATGGAGGTGAACCGTTCATCGAGCGCAGAAACGACGGCGAAATACGCTTCCATACCGCAAAGGCCATTGCAACATTCGAGGGTGCCAAGGGTGCCGCATTCCGTTCCGTGGACATCAAAGGCCAGATCTAACAGCCCGCCAGCATTCTTCTCTCCTCATGTCATCCTTCAATTGCATCCCATCTTTTTGTCACCCACCCACGCCTACCTCGCAATACCATTCGTCTCGCGCTACATATACCGCTCAACCAGCTCCCCCATATAGTGGTCGACTGCAGCATCATTACAAAGGGCCCCTAAGCCGCTACACCTCGTCACGGATGGCACCGTCTGGACGCTCACTTCATACTTCACGGTCACCCGTTGACTGTTGGTTAGCACACTAGATACATCATGCTTAGTATGGGCGCTTTGCAGCGCTATCGGTGACGCTGCCGAGATTTACATCACCTCTGTGAGTGACTCGTCACCATCTTCGCTAACAACAGTATTGGGCTGGGCCGGGTGAAGAGCAGTGATTGCTCCGGAGCCTCGGAAGCCTTGGATCGCTCGTGATCTGTCTTTTATGGCAGATGTGATAGCGTGGAAGGCACCGCATCTGTCGCGCTGAGGGGAAGAAGATGATGCCTACTTAGCCGCGTCTTTCGATGCTGCGCTGTAGCTCGTCGCGGAACCGTCTGGAGGGCTTCCCAACACATTAGGCTGCCGGGTCCGCATGAAACGTGGCGAGGGTGGAGGAGATTTGAGCGGCGCATGCGAAGAATCAGTCTACGAGCTATGTGGCTCAAGGAGAGAACGTCCTTTGCTTAGCAGCGTGTTGGAGCCTGCAACAGGCACGCATGGCGCACCTCGAAGCTACGAAAACCAGTCCGAGCCGCTACTGTCTGATTTTCCTTCTTTGTCCTGCGTCTTTGCTAGATTACGTCCATCGTGCAGGAGGCCCACAGCGCAGTACAGTCCGTAGCGTGAGCATAATTGCTTCGCCCTCGCCTTCCCCGTGTCATCGCGCATGCTGTGGGACCGCGGCCTCGGATGCGCTCGCCTCAGTCAGCGGAAACAGTGTGGCTTTGCGCCGCAGACGCCGGAGGCGACGATCACACAGACCCATAAGGCGTTGAATCTCCACGACGCCTTACGCCTGCCACATTTAATTTCCGCTCACTATCACCAGCAGCGCCACCAACGTACCCGGCATATAGCGGGGAGGTGTTGTCGCGACGCGGAACAACAGAAGTAGGAGGAGTCTTGGATTTGCCTTTTGTTCTTGCTTCGGTACTGTGCCCTTTGTGTTTCGGGAGCGGGACAGATACTTCGATTGCATCCATTACAAAAGACACACCACAGGCCAACAACACCGGTCGCAACATTACCTAAGCGAAGGCGACTGGACTGTTTCGTTGCGATCGCATACAAGACATTGACGCGACGCAGTGGCAGACTGGTCTGACGGGCCGCTCAGCGAGGCCTTTGCGCCGCATTGGGCTACGATGAAGGTACGTCTAGGCTTGCGACGTCGGATAGAGACATTGCTGACTGACTTTGTACAGTTCCGACGGTCTATGAAGAGCGACAGCAGCAAGCATGACTCAGCGAAGCCCGTGCAGATATCGATTCCACAGAAGGACGCCATAGCCATCGAGCCACCGAAGAAGGTAGGCATTGTAGCGCAGCCATGCGATTGCGCAATGCTAACTGCGCGCAGGTCATAAAAGCCCTCTACGACTACAATGCGCCCGCCGATCCCGCCATCTACCTCTCCTTCTCCGCTGGTGACTTTTTACATGTCGTAGGTCGGGAAGATGACCAAGACTGGTACGAGGCCTGCAATCCACTGGCGAATACACGCGGTCTGGTGCCGGTGAAGTACTTCGACGAGGTGGGCAAGACAGTGCGGACGAGCGGCGGCTCCTCAAATTCCATGAGCGCGACGCACGACAGTGGGTATGCGGAGAATGCCTCGACGGCGCGCAGCGTAGGGACATCAAGGACGAGCACGATGAATGGCAGCCAGTCGGACATACCGCCTATGCCGGGACATCGGTCCAGTAAGTCCATCAGTAAAGGCATAGGCGGTGTGTATGGCATCGTGTCGTACGACTTCAATGCCGAGCGGCCGGACGAGCTGGATGCGAAGGAGGGCGAGGCTATCATTGTCATTGCTCAGTCGAACCCGGAGTGGTTCGTGGCGAAGCCGATTACGAGGTTAGGAGGGCCCGGGCTCATACCTGTGTCCTTCATTGAGATACGGGACATGACGACTGGCAAGGCGGTGGACGATCCGGTGGCTGCGGTGGCGAAAGCTGGTATTCCGAGGGTTGAAGAGTGGAAGAAGATGGCTGCAGAGTACAAGAACACGAGTATCCCGCTAGGCACAGTTTCCAGCAGTCAGCAAGTGCAAGGCTTGCAGCAAGGTATGGAGCGTATGAGTCTTGGATCGCAACACCAGAATGGGCACGGGGCCGGACATTCACGGCAACCCAGCGCCTACCAATATCAACAGCAACAACAGCAGAATCTTTACGCACCAGAAAGGGCATCCGTGCCTCGATACATATTTGCGGACGACAAGTTTCACTTTATAGTCGAAGCCAGGATGTCGAATGGCACGCATTGGGACTTACAGCGGGTGTACGAGGACTTTTACGAGCTCCAGATCAATTTGATCAACGCTTTTCCGGAGGAGTCTGGCCAGGTTCCCGGAAAGCCGCGAGTACTACCGTACATGCCTGGTCCGGTGAAATTCGTAACAGATGGCATCAGCGAAGGACGAAGGGCGAATCTGGACGAGTACTTACGAGACCTGCTAAGGTTACCGCCGCACATTACATGCTCATCACTAGTACGGACCTTCTTCACGCCAAGAGGACCTGATTATGAGGTAGACCCGAATGCTGTGGACCTGGAGGCGCATGCTCGACCGAAGGAAGCGCATGACAGGTATTCGGCAGCGACACAGGAATCATACGGCAATAACGTATACCAGACACAAAGCCAGATGCGGCAAATTGCAAGCCAGCCAGTACATCAGTATTCACAATCACAAACCTCGAACGGACCGTATGGCCATCAAAGAGGAACGTCGAATCAAAGCCCCTACCACTCACCAACCGAAAACCAACAACATCCAGTCCCAGCCACACGACAGATGACGGATATGTCGAGCGCTTCTGGTACATCCGTGCAATCGACCGGCCCTGTCAAGGTTAAAGCGTGGTTCGATCGCGACACTTGCGTTGTCATTCGGATGCCGCCACGCGGCCAATTCACGTACGAGGAGCTGTATCGCAAGATCGTCGAGCGGAGGAAGCTCGAATACAAGGGTCAGGACCAGAGCGAGGAGGATCTTGATATAGAGTATCGGGATGAGAAGGATGGGGAATACTACCGTTTGGAGGGCGATGAGGATTTGGAGATTGCCGTTGAGAGGAACGAGAAGCTTACGCTGGCTGTGAGGGCGGCGGGGACGTGAAGAGGAGGGTCGTTTGGGTTGATTTGGATGTCCGTTACTTAGGGTGACGGCGCGCTTTGGATGGCTTACGAGCGCTCTGCTCTACTTTACTTCGCTTCATTTGGATACCTACATGATGTTATGCTTCCCACGAAGCGAGGATTGGACGGGATATGGCACGCGGCGATAGGATGGGATTGGTTAACCGCATGGAAACGGTTCGGGAAGGACATTATTGTTCGAGCGCTGGCGCATGGCATACGGTGCATATCATATTAAGATACCGCACGCAATGCACTACTTTTGATGCCGCTTCGAGTCATCTTTCTCAGGTCATATGTCGTCCATGTCTGCAGTGGCAACTCGAAGCAGCAAGCTTCTGGTGCATTCGCCGAGGCCGGGAAGCGGAAGCTTGGGCCAACAGGGAGCGAGCGAAACGAAGATTTTGGCCGCATCGACGCCATCACTTGCGCATACATCCTCCATCCCCCTTCATTGCGCGCCTCTTTACACTCCCGCCTCGTTTTAAGCGATTCTTCACTTCATTGCGCGGTGCTTGTCTGCTACACACAACACCTTCAGGATGCTGTCATCGAGGCTAATGCGAAGCGTATGTTCCCCTTCTTCATCTGGTGATGCATCACACGAGCACTCGCTAACTCGTCTCAGGCCGTCCCGCGAGCCACATCGACCTTCAGATCATCAGCATACAGAGCGCCATTAGCATCCCAGCGGAGATGGGCGACCACAGAGAACACGCAGGAGAGTGGCGAGAGAGTGAAAGGGCAGGTCATCGGTATCGATCTAGGTACTACCAACTCGGCTGTGGCGTTGATGGAGGGCAAGCAGCCTAGGATCATCGAGAACGCCGAAGGTATGACAGCACGTCTTTACTCACAGTGCTACCGGCGAATACTGACGGGCTACAGGTGCACGGACAACTCCATCAGTTGTCGGTTTCACAAAGGAGGGTGAGCGGTTAGTAGGTATCGCCGCGAAGCGCCAGGCCGTCGTCAACCCCGAGAACACCCTCTTCGCCACAAAGCGTCTCATCGGCCGCAAGTTCTCCGACGCGGAGGTACAGCGCGACATCCAGCAAGTCCCTTACAAGATCGTCCAGCACACAAACGGTGACGCATGGCTTGAGGCGCAAGGTCAGCGCTACTCGCCTTCGCAGATCGGTGGTTTCGTGCTTGGCAAGATGAAGGAGACTGCGGAAGCCTTCACCGGCAAGCAGCTGAAGAACGCTGTCGTGACGGTTCCCGCTTACTTCAATGACCAGCAGAGGCAAGCAACCAAGGACGCCGGCCAGATTTCCGGTCTGAACGTATTGCGTGTTGTCAACGAGCCGACTGCTGCCGCGCTCGCCTATGGTCTGGAGAAGGATGCGGATCGTGTTGTTGCCGTCTACGACTTGGGTGGTGGCACTTTCGATATCTCCATTCTCGAGATTTCGAACGGTGTCTTCGAGGTCAAGTCCACCAACGGCGACACGCATCTTGGTGGCGAAGACTTCGACATCACCCTCGTCCGCCACCTCGTCCAGCAATTCAAGAAGGAGCAAGGCATTGATCTCTCCAACGATCGTATGGCTATTCAGCGTATCCGCGAAGCCGCGGAGAAGGCGAAGATCGAGCTTTCCTCCTCGCTACAAACGGACATTAACCTGCCTTTCATCACCGCCGACGCTTCCGGACCAAAGCACATCAACTCCAAGCTCTCTCGTGCCCAACTCGAAGGCCTCGTCGAGCCCCTCGTCAGCCGGACAATCGAGCCGGTGCGGAAGGCGCTTAAGGATGCCAACGTGCAGGCCAAGGATATCCAGGAGGTCATCCTGGTCGGCGGCATGACCCGTATGCCAAAAGTCACCGAGGTGGTCAAGAATCTGTTCGGTCGTGACCCTGTCAAGTCCGTCAACCCTGACGAGGCTGTCGCCATTGGCGCTGCCATTCAGGGCGCCGTTCTCTCTGGCGAAGTCACTGACCTTCTACTCCTCGACGTTACTCCGCTCTCACTAGGTATCGAAACGCTCGGTGGTGTCTTCACTCGTCTGATCAACCGCAACACTACCATCCCTACTAAGAAGTCTCAGACTTTCTCGACTGCCGCCGACTTCCAGTCTGCCGTTGAGATCAAGGTTTACCAGGGCGAGCGCGAGCTTGTCCGTGACAACAAGCTCCTCGGCAACTTCCAGCTCGTCGGTATCCCGCCAGCGCACCGTGGTGTGCCACAGATCGAGGTCACCTTCGACATCGACGCGGACTCGATTGTGCACGTGCACGCCAAGGACAAGTCAACCAACAAGGACCAGTCCATTACCATTGCTTCCGGCTCTGGCCTCAGCGATGCTGAAATCGACAAGATGGTGCAAGACTCGGAGCGATACGCCGAGACCGACAAGGAGCGCAAGGCTGCCATCGAGGCTGCCAACCGGGCCGACAGCGTTGTGAATGATACTGAAAAGGCGCTGAAGGAGTTCGAGGACAAGCTAGACAAGACCGAAGCCGACCAGATCCGGGAGAAGATCACGAGCATGCGCGAGATCATCGCGAAGAACCAGAGCGGCGAGGGCTCGCTCTCCGCCGAGGAGCTGAAGACCAAGACCGACGAGTTGCAGACTGCCTCGCTTACGCTGTTTGACAAGATGCACCGCGCCCGTAGCGAGCAGAGCTCTGAAGGCCAGCAGTCAGGCGAGCAGCAACCGGGTGGACCGGGCAGTGAGGGCGAGAAGAAGCCATGAGCGGCCGACACCTCCGGTGACCGACACATTTAACCTGCCGCTCCGCGCCTTGAGTACAACCTCTTGACCTCGGAGCCGCCGCCACAACAGCATCACCAACACTGTGGGTGGCGACTCTTTGTACAGATACCTCCGCTCTCCACCGCTCACCATTACCCTTGGGCGGCCACGAGGACTTCACTGGCTTTGTCTTATTACCACATACAGCGAGATGCGATGAGGCGCTCTGGCGAGCAAAACACAATGAGGGTTTACAGAAAGCGATGCATTTGCGGCTGTGTGGGAGTATGGAGGCGAAGCGGGCACGCAAAGTTTGTACTGTAACTGAATTCTTGGTTGTGTAATGTGAAGACTCTTCTCCTCTCACATGCTCGCCTTCCCACAATCCTACTAACAACTTCTCGCGGCCGTGCAGGCCGTGTCAAGAGCAGTGCTAGAGCGTGACAAGAGAACGATGTAGTAGACAAAGGCGTTGGTTGATGCTGCTTAGTCATCTCGTTCATCCACCCACTATATGCCTCGAATTTAGATGCTGTACAAAAAGCGAACCACGGAGCGCTAGATGTAACAGAACGCTAGGAACTTGCCAGCAAAATCTATCGCACGATCAATCGGGCCGTAAGCGAAACAATCGTTTCGTATCAGCGTACCGACCACAAGTCGTGACGCTGGCAAGAATATGCTTCCGTGACAGCTCAACGTCGAGATGGAGAGAGTGTGGCATAGGCATGAAGAACGCATCGCCATGCTACAGCTTGGACAACTCCTCGGTCGGCTCGCCGATGATATCAAGGAATGCAGGGTGGACCTGCTCAGTGAGATCCGACGCTTGCAAAGAGCGGCCTTGGGTCATGAAGGCTCGTCGTGAGCACTCGCGCGTAATGGCTGAGCCGCCGTATGCGACGTATGCGAGCAGCTCGTCCGGCTTCATGTCATTCTCGTGGTCCCAGATACGCTCCAGGTATGCCTTGCGGTAGGCTAGCAATGTGGCGAGAGAGCCGGTGAGTGTGTCACCCTGACCACCGGAACGCTTGAAGCCGCCTTCGCCTTCCGAAACGAGCGTCTGTTGGCCGTTGGAGATGTAGTCGACTGCGCCCTTCTGGATGATGGTCACGCCGCCGAAAGCATTGGAGAGCTTCTCGCATAGCTTCGAAGGATCCTCTTTGGCGGTGTCGATGTTCTGTGCCTTCGCTAACCGGCCGAATTCGACCACATTGGGAGTCAGTATGCACTCCTTGTAGCCGTGTACAAGGTCCGGTCGCGTCTGCGCGAGGTACAAGCCATCGGCATCCAGGACGAAAGAGACATTCTTCTTGCGGGCTTCGGTGATGACACGTGCGCAGGTCTCCTGCATCGCAGGGTCACGGCCAAGACCTGGCCCGATAACGACAACGTGTAATCGGTCGAGCATGGCCACGACCTGCTCCGAAATGGAGTCGATTGTCTCGCTCTGGGCAAGGTTCTTCTGCTGTCGCATGTACGGGTGGACCATGATATTGGGAGAGTACGTCTTGATCACTGCAGCGGCGCCGGGCTCGCAAATGACGTGTGACTAGGAAGGTTGGCGATCAGCATGCTGCGCGCAATAGTACTGGGTGAAGACGATAGCAGACTCACCATATCGCACCCCAGCTTCGCGGAGGCCATTGCGGAGAAGTATGGTGCGCCTGTGTAGTCCTCGCTGCCGCCAATGACTGCCACTCGACCAAGCTGTCCCTTGTGGAACTTCTCCAGCATGGGCGGGATCATCTTGTACACCTTCCCCAGAATCTCCTTTCTCGTCATCGTGGATGCCATTCTAATATTGTGTATAAGTCGAACGTGCCTACAGCGTGTGTGGTATGCGAGAATGTTGGAAGTTTATCTCGAGCAGCTCGCGTGTCAATGACCTACCATGACGTCGGCGGGGCGTGGTGGGGACGGGACGGTTCATTTGGAGATGTGTGCCTTCCACATACGTTTTGTTCCAATACAGCAAAATAGCCGAAGCGTTCGACGACAGCAGTACCAACGCCGCACGCTCACAACTTCGACGACCCATAACAGAATCGACTCACAACATCCAGTCACCATGGGCGACGCTCTCAATCCGACCGGCGAGGCTCAGCCGTCGTTGAACCAGGCGTACGAGACCAAGGCTAACCCGGCGTCAAAGGAGCCAGCAGAGCAGAGAACCGCTCAGTCGAATGCAACAAACAACTCGGCGCCAACGTAAGTGCCATTTTCCAGGTCAACTCTAGTGCAGCTGCTAAGACGTGCCGTTGCAGAGACCAAAGGATACCGTCCAAGCAATCCTCCTCCATCGAGGAAGCCACACCCACTTCCGTGGCGTATGGCGTGCGTGGCGCCGGAGAAGGCGAGGAGTCCAAAGGCCTCGACCACGAAGACGTGGGCCGTAACAAAGAGCTCGATGCCGAGCAAATGGCAGCTCCGGGCGAGGACAAGATTGCCAGCACGGTGAAGGGAGCACAGTCAGGTGCGGGAGGCCGAGAGCAGGGCATGGAGACCGACCTAGACCGGAAGAAGGCTGAGCAAGCACCGTTGAGAGAGCAGAAGAAGGAGGAGAAGGCGGAGAACTTCGATGTTGGCGGCGTGCTCGGGCAGAGAGGAGGTCCGGCGAACCCCGTCGACAAGAACAATTACCCCAATACGGACCGGCATTGAGGCCTATTTCCGGCTTCTGTAGCGAAGGAGTTCCCATGCATGTCTCATGGCATAATCTTGGCAGGAACTTCCGTTTCTGCACTCGCTTCTCAGGCAGGGTAAGGTTCCATTTCGCGATGTTGACATCACATTTACCCAGTGTCGCGCTACACGCCCTCCAGAAACGAGAGCACAGTCTTGTTGAAGTCGTCTGGAAACTCCCAACAACACCCATGCCCTCCCTTGGTCGTCAGAAACTGACACCCCTCAATCTTCTCCGCCAGCTCCCTACTCAGCTGCACCGGAATGAGTATATCAACCTTTCCCGCCAACACCATGACATGCCTAGGCTCCAGCCCACCCAACGTCTGCTCGCGCGCATTCAAATTCTCGAGCTCATAGTTCGTATCAAACTGCTGTATCACGTTAAGTTGCGCAAGGTACTCGGGCGTCTTCATGTCCAGGTTCTTCATAGCATCTTCGAACTCCGCCAGCTCGTCTGGTCTTGTACGGAAGAAAGGTACTGTAAAAGCCCACAGAGTGACGTCTCTCATTACGTGTTGGACGGACATGCGCTGTGCCATTTCTGCCCATAGCTCGAACATCCGTGAACAAAACAGAGTTGGTTGTGCATACGTGCAGCACAGGGAAAGGCTTGACATCTTGATGCCGTTCGCTTGTGGCGAACCGTTCGGGAATTTGAGAGCGTAAGCCTGGGCAATCATACCGCCCATGCTTATGCCTAGTAGGTGAAATACCTTTAGATCCAACCCGGAGACCAGGCCATGTAAGTCATTTGCCATCGTTTCTGCCGTGTACGGTCCAGGTGGTCTACTGGATTTGCCGATGCCTCGATTGTCGTAGCGGAGCACTCTGTAGCCCGCATTGAGAAAGGCGGGTACTTGCAGATCCCATGTTGTGAGATCATCTGCAAGACCGTTGATTAGTACAAGGAGCTTGGAGTCTTGATTGCCTTCGAGACGATAATTAATGGTGATTCCGTTTGCGTCCACAGTTGGCATGGTTCCGGCCAGTCAAAGTACGAGCAGCTCCGAAGGGTCTCCAATACCAGAATCCCGAGTCACAATGCTGTTTTATGGACTGGTTTGGTCGAGATGAGTGGAAGAGGTAATATTGAAGGACAAAGCGAACCAATTGAATCGGCAATTCCCACAACTTCCTTCTACAGACTAGCGCAAAGCTTCCGAAGGCAGACAAGGTAAAGTGGCCACTAACGGAGTACTGGAAGTCCGATCCAAGTTGTGAGCTATTGGCGTTACACAAGTACTATCTAAAACACGTAAATAGATCATACAGGGTCATCAAGAACCTCAGCAGGAGCAGCCTTTCGAGCGTCCCCCAAACTATAGAGATGAATCGCGTGCATTGTATGTTCACAGCATCGCTTGCTCTCTCGCCGGGATCTCGTTGAGTATATGCAGCAGCTTTTGCTTCCACACTTCTACCAATGCAAGATCCATCGCTGAGGCGTCGACACTGACACTGACCCCCAAACCATCATCTGAGCCTCCAATCCCGATCAGGAACTCTCCATCTCTGGCTCTCACGTTGGCCGCTGTATCCCTGTAATCGGCCACGAAATCCTTAGACTGATCTCCGAGGTCGTACATGCCAGGTTTCAACGATCTACGACCAACGGAGCTAACACCGCATGTCTGCGTTGTCATGTTGGGCCGCATCGGATATGCGCCTTGCGGGTTGATGCCCGTCCGTAGATGCTCTGGCAGGAGGGCGTCCGCTCGCTCGAGGCTGGAGAGATACTGAGTAGCTAGCACGCGGCCAGCACCACGGCTACCCATGTACTGCAGTGCCACATCCGAAGTTGTTGGGCCGCTTCGCTTCTGATACGCAGCAAGCTGCCGTTGAGCTTGCTTCGCAAGCAGCCTGATTCGTCCATCCAGCGGAAGAGTGGAGGGCAGGAATGGGAGTAAGATTCCGTCGCTGAAAGCAAGCATGCAGCTGTCTGGCTCGTTGTGATGATTGAAGAATGCTCGCGGGTTCAGTGGGAAGCCAGAAATAAAAGGCTTGCGCTCTAGCAGAGGTATCGAGGGTGACACTGCTTCGTACATTTCCATCATTGTGAGAGCTGCCAAAGCGAAGCAACCTGCTCCTATGCTGGTACCAGCTTCGCGGCACAGTCGGTGGAGCTGCTTGGCGTTCGCAGACGGGAGATCAATCGACGCCTTCAGGGTGTTCAGAGGAGGTAATCGGGAGTAGTCCAAGACAGCAGCGTACGTAGGTGACAATGACACAGCGTCGGCGCGTTTTTCACGGAGGAGAGGATTAGCGAAGCCCGCCTGCAGAGGTTTCCTGACATGGCGAAGTATCCTAGTCAGGATCCAATACCACCGTCTGCGAGCAGCCGATCCAGCCACGGACGGGTAGAGCGCCTCTTGGGGCAGCGGCAGCCTGCGCTTTATGCTAGCCGGCTGTGACCATTGCATCATGAGACTCTCCAGTTCTGCAGTAGTCCGATTGAGGTGATGCACCAGGTCTCGCAGCCATGTCGATGTAGTCATGCCGTCCCAAATCTGGTGAGCGCCCACGAATAGAAAGCGTAGCACTGAATGTCCGAGCTGGTCTTCCTTAGGAGGGAAGACAAAGAGCTTCGCTAAAGCTTTGCTCGGATCTACTACTCTGCTACCATTCTGGCAGTGCAGCCAGAAGTCCGCTCGGTCGACACTCTGAAAATGCTCATCGAGAAACACAATGTGGCCCGCAGCGCTTGAGAGAATGCTGTTAAGGCTAGACTCGGCATTGACAACGAAAAAAATCTCCTGCTTGTTATAATCTATGCCCCGGACAGCCTTGGCTTGGAGCAGTAAATGTTGTATCCGTAAGCAAGCCCAGGCATGGAGAATGTGGTGACGAACATCCTCCCTCAGTAGACTTGTCCTTACTGCAACTTCCAAATCGACGTTCAAATCGGCACGGCCTTCGCAGTATCTGCCATCAGAGTCGAAGACCGATTCGACAAGCCCAAGAGGTCTATAAAAGACCTTGCGGCCATGGAGCTCGCTACCCTGCCATTGATAGTGTTCTTCGTTCGCATAAAGATGTAGCCAATGAGGCAACGTCTTGTCGCGCATCAGATGGAGAAGGGTGAATATGTGTTCGCTCACCAAGATTGGGGGAATGGCAGATTCCTGTGAAGTGAAGTGGAGAACATAGCCGTGACATACCAACCGAGGCTTTCAAGTATTAGGGTCAGACTGCGAGAGAGGTGCTGCAACTACATGTACAGACCGCCTGAAGATAGCTTACACAACCTTGGAAGAGACCCATTGATCATCTCGCTATCGGAGTGCAACGCGCAGTGGGTATCTCAAAAGAACAGCTCGCCGGCATATGCACCTTTTGTCGTCCGACAACACCATAGCGGGCCGTACTACTCAAGCCTCAGAGCTCATCATCCATGTACACTTCTGCAGGCGTGTTTACACCTGTAATGGTCCCAAACGACCTGTCCAACGCCCATATCCACTCACTCTTTTCGGCCTCGCTTCGGCAAGCGAACATCCAGCTTCGGTCACTGGCATACACCGCCCAGATGCTCATCCGGAGCTTTTCTCTGTGCAGCAACTTTGCGACTTGCGGCTCGCTGTCAATGCTTGCGTTAGTGAGGCAAATAGCTCCGATTTCGTCGCCTTCAGTGGCGTAGAGATGCATGTAGGGTCGTCTCAACTCGACGAAGCGGCGTACCCACCGAGTAGCGGACGGATCAGGCGACAGTAGCCACCCGGCCTTCAGCACAGCCGGGCTTTTGGGTTGAAAGTCAACTACTGCCGACAGCAAGGTAGGTCGCGAAGTGCCTTTGGTCCTGGAGTTGTCATTGACAGGCGTGCAAGACTGTGACCGTAGAAGCATGATCTCGCTCGCGGATGGGGCTATCTGCCAAAGGTTTAGCACTTTCTCGACAAGTGCTCGCTGTCTGACTTCCGGGTTACACGCTTCAGATGGTGGAATGTCCCCATTCAACGACGCATCAAGGCTGAAGACCCTAGCAGCTTCAAGCTCCTGGGCGCGCCTGCGTTTCTTCCTGAATGCTAGGAAATCGCGGACCAGGCTTAAGCCTCTCGGTGCCCAGCCGCTGAGACTTTCTTCTCCGTTTATTCGAAGTGCGGTGGTGTCCATTCGCCAAAGATCGCCCGCTCTTTTCGCTGCAGCAGGCTTCAGCGTGATCGAGAAATTACCGGCTGTGCTGTTGACAACACGCTGATTATGCCAAAGCTGCGAGAGGAAGGAATTCTGCCGTAGCCATGCTCGCGGTCTTGTTTGCACAATGAAGTCGAACGAAAACGGCATAGGCTGCGTCACCTTCGGCGAGGTGATATACCACTTGAGCGATAGCTGGACGCGATACTTATCGTTTGTTGGTCGGTCAAGCAACACCGAGCCATGTGCACTTGACGCCCACTGCATAGTCAGCTTGACCGTTGTCGTACCGTCTTCGCCGCGTCTCCACACCGGCGGGCTTACAAGCGGCAGAAGGACATTTTCCTGCCGAGTATCTGCATCTTGCAGTCTCCCACTGGCATCAGTCAGTCGAACGTTGCCCGCCTTGAGCTCCGAGATCTCCGCCCACGGCAATGCGTCGCCGGAGCTTTGAGTCAAGCTCAACACAATGCGCCTTTGCAAACCCTGATGTAATTGATACGCCCCTTGATCGAGTGTGCTGCCTTGCACGACTTCTACTGGTGCATACTCGCCTTCCTCATCAATTTCCAGGATTTTGACCGAAACAAAGACCTCATGCCGCTCTTCTTTATAGAACTCAGTCTCTGGCAGCCTGCTGCCAAAGCGTCTAACCTTCGGTCTCTCGAGCCCTGCGTTAGCCGCAGACTCTGCAGACGCATCGCGGATATCGTCCCAACTCAGCAGCTTGTCAAGGTGCATGGCCGTGACCCTAGCAAAAATGTTGACCCTCAGACTCGCCTCGCGAGACGCAGAGAGTGGCAAGCTCATAGAATGCACGCTCTCGAACTTGACGCTGCCTTCACCAAAGCCCGACACCAGGGTAGTCGTAGTCGCGCCTCCCTCTTCGCTTACACCCGGGATGAACAACTGTGCATGAACTTCCGTGCCTTCTCTTTCCGCGAAACCCAGCAGCTCGTGCATTACCACGTTGAACTTCAGAGTCTCGCGCGGTGCTTCGGCACTGCTCGGCTCCAGGCTCAGACGTACGATGCCGATAATATCAAAAGTGTAAGGACTGTACACGTCCAATTTGAAGTCTTGCACCCTACATTCGAAGACGGCGGCTAGTGGTATGTCAGCATCGCCGACACGACTGTACTCTGGCATGCACGCCTCCTCGAAGGGGTTCTCTGGCCGAAAGTGCTGCATGTACTCCGGTCGATCCAGGTACGCGGAAAGCTGGCGCATGACACTGAGTCTCGTATGCAGCTTTTCCAAGCTCCAGAGGCGGACAAGGTTTCTACTGAAGTCAATGACCCTCACACCAATGCAAGGCTTTCGTGCGCCATCAAGAAATAGGTCGCTACCGTCCTCTGCGCCAACACCGTTCAAGACTAGGTCATATGATGAGCCGAAACTGTGACCGACATCGATGACTGCGGCTTGGAAGACGATCTCCCGGTCCATCTGCTGGCTCAAAATTTGCGCTTCCTTCAGAGTGCTTGCGCTACGAAGTATCGCGGCAGCCATGGCGATGTACCTCTGGCTCCGCCAGTGCTCTAGCACGTGCTTGGCAAGGAAGATATCGCGCTCAGTCAGGTTATCGTTGCTAGATTGGTCGGCTTGACTCTTGCAACGCGACTTTGTTCGCTCGGCAGCCTTGAGCTTCTGCACCTCGCTCTCGTGGGCCAGCTTCAGATGAGCTAGTTGCGTTTGCATTTCCTGCTTCAACTTAAGCATACTCGCTTCCATCTCAGCCTTCTCAGCCCTGAGCTGCTCAATCTGCATATTGCCTTCCCAGTCAGCCTTCAGTTGCTGCTCAAACTCTTCTTGCTGGGCATCGAGCTGCTGCTGCATTCCGTCTCTGACCCCTGTCAGTCCATCAGGCTGCAGGCAACGCCCTTCCGTTTGTGGCTCAACGCTTTCTTCAGTTTGCAGCTGTGGCGTCGATGGTATGGTAAGCGCTGTATCAAGACTCAAATTATCCAGCGTGCCACTACTGAAATACTTCTCTCGCGGCGCATGCGATGTAGAACTTTCCGTGTCCGTCACATCCCCACTCGCGAGGCCACCCATGCCCGAAAAGTCAAGAATACGACTTTCAGGTCTGGCTTTCCGCACTGCGCGCACTCTTTGTAGATCTTCGAACAGCACGTCAAGCTCATCATCGGGGAGATTGCTGATCCTCTGATCCGCACCAAGGAGGCTACTGACCGCTTCAAGCCTAGCATAAGCCCAGTCATTATCCCTGCTCCCTCCACGCCACGGCACCGGCGACTGCGTGCCTGGGCTACCCGCGTCACCATCCATCTCGGACATGGCGCGGCTAACAGAGCTGCCGGTTCGTTCATGCCCGTTTAGTGTTGGTCGGTTGGGCATAGGACTTGGCGAGTTCAGGTCATCTGCCGTGACGCTGTACTTCAGCATACTCCCCTGCTGCTCCACAGTCATCCTTTCCTCTCTCGCCTCTTGCGGATGATTGAAACGGAATATATGGAAGTCACCCAGAATTACACGATAGCCTGAGCGTAGACGCTTCGGTGACTCTATGCGGACGCCGTTGACCATCACTGGCGCCCCATCCTTCGGCACTACTGTGACCACGCCATCCACGTTCTCGAAAGTGCAGTGATCATGCAGGATCTTGCTCCCATTAAGACGGATATCGACAGAGCTTCGAGGCACAAGGGTGTTCGCTGTCGTCTCGTCGTCTCTGCGTATCACGGTGGGCGAGGATGGGTTGGTGTCGATATTGCCAACTGTCGTCGTGCCGGGCTTGAGATTGTAAACCAGACACTCTGCCAATAGTGGATCGTCGCTCAGGTTTACGAGATGAGGCATCTTCTTTGGCGTTGATAATCCAACATTGCCCTTCTCGATGCTGATACCTAACTCCTCAAGTGCAGCCTCGCGCTCCTTGTGGATCTCTTCCGTCATCTTCATCTTCTCCTCCCACGTCTGGTTGAGGTCTTTGTACAGCTTCTCGGACTGCGACAATTGTTCGGCAATCTCAGCCTTGGATACTTGCTTGACCGTGCCGTCTGCGGCAGTGATTGACACTATCTGCTTCTCCAGAGGCGTATCGGCTGGATAGTGCTCGCTTCCGGATACGGTGCCGCCAGTGGCAAGCTTGGAGCGGAGTTGCGCCAATTCTTCCTTCAGTTCGCGAATCATGCGTGCGTTCGGATCTTCGTTGACTACGGCGTGGTTTTTGATGCGCTTGGCGGAGTCTGCGTACCGCAATGTTGATAGGGTCTCCTCGAAATTAATGTCGGCAGGCGAGATGGCAGCAATCATAGCAGTCAGACTGTTTCCGCCGAGACTGTCTTTTAACAGCCACGTCAAGACACTGTCTCGGTACGGAACCTGCACTTTGCCCTTTGCCTTACCCGAGCCCATGTCAGCCAGAGCAGCAATGACACGTCCGAGCGTCGACAAGGAGCGGTTGATCTCAGCACCCTCCTTCAACCTGGCACCTGTTGCACCGGTTGACGTGGCTCGCTCAGAACCGGCCAGATCCACAAGGGAAATCTTGGCGACTTTCTCCGTGTCCAGGTTCGTCTCAACATCATGCCGTCTTTGCGTCAGGGTGAGCGTAAAAACGGCGTGCGAACGAGATGATGTCTCATTCATGTTCGTCGCTGCTACCGTCCGTGCCTTGTTGCCTTCATCCATCAGGTGCTCGATCTCCATGAAACTGCTCACGACCAGCTTCGCAAGGTCCTCGACATACGGTCCAGTGCTCGGATGCTCCCTGACTTTCAGATTGCCTTTCGTGCTGGGATTCAGCAGATCGCGTACTCGCTCATTGTAGATCTCCAGGTACGACACCTCAACCGTATTCGTTATGTGGCTGTCTTGCTTTGCTGATGCCTCGATTCGCTCGAACATATTGCGACATATACGGGGGATCACACCTTCCTCTTCGCCATAGCCCATCATACTATAACTCTTGCCTGACCCGGTTTGTCCATAGGCGAAGATGCAGTTGTTGTACCCTTGAAACGCATTGTCCAGTAAAGGCTTCCCTAGATCCAGAAATAGGTTTTCCTGTCCAGCATAGTCGGGATCCGCGCGGTCGAAGGACCAATACGACTGATCGAAAGCAAAGGTCTTGGTCCCCTCCAATGCCGCCTTGATCGGCTTGCTTTTCGACCCTACATCCGGTGGAAGCGGAGTCAACACGGTTTGGGCATCGTGCATGGACACAACGCATTTCGCGTTGCGGTCTCGCTCTCGAGAGTTGAATGGCCGCACGCGCACGACAACCTTGATGTTGCCGGCGTTGACAGGCGGTGCGGCCATGACGGGGGTCGCATGAGCACCGCCCGCGCAATGTGATATCCTACTACGAATGCCCTATATTCATGCTAGAAATACCACCAGGATGGTGGTGTTACGTCCTGTATGCGTACCTAGCCATGCACAGACGCGTGCAATGATCGTCTAAACACTGCGTAGTCAGCAAACCATGTCACGAGTTTATCTGCTGAGTCATCTTTTTCTTGTGCTTCTCCGCTCGAAAACACTCGGAGCCGTCACGCACCGCATTAGATGATTGGCATCTCTTAACTTGAACTCAGTATGGGTAACAACCCACGTAACTTCCGAACATTTCTGTCGCTGTAGTTGTGTCACGATCGAAGTGGGAGAAGCTAGTCCGTCCCTGGAAGGAGAGGCGCCTTTCTCTATGGCCGGGGACATGTTTCGCGCACCTGTCCATCGTGGTATGCGCACCCTAGATCGCTCTGCATTCCACAAGATTGTCCCTCTGAAAGCAGCCAGGGTCTTCGACAATAAGAACATCTTCAGCGTACGATCCCAGCTAGAACGCAGCAAGGATGCCTTACAGCAGGAACGCATAGGCAGTGTGCATGCCGACCCAGATTCAGAGCGTGCGAAAACCGGCAGAAAATGCATTCTGCTAAGGCCCGAGGTCGTAGCTGCCACTCAAGAGGAAGCCTACGGTAACGAAAATCTTGAGATTCATTACACAGATGACACAGCGAGCGCCTGGCCGCATTCAGAAGTTGTCGCAGAACTTGTGAAGCAGCAGCTCATCGCCGTGATCCCTTTCAAGCTCCGTTTAGGCTACAGCTACTGGACATATCACGATATTATCACCTCTATTCTACCGGAGGACGAACAGGGTGAGATTCCCTCCGGCTTCACGCAGGTAGGTCATGTTGCTCATCTGAACCTACGCGATGAATACCTGAAGTACAAGCATCTGATTGCAGAGATACTCATGGACAAGAATCCTGGGGTGAGGACCGTTATCAACAAAGTCGACGATGTTGGCGAAGAGAATGAGTACCGCACATTCCGTTACGAAGTTTTAGCAGGACCTGACAATATGGATGTCACTATCAGTGAGGAGAACTGTACTTTCCGCTTCGACTATAGCAAGGTGTACTGGAACAGTCGATTGCACACCGAGCATCATCGGGTCGTTACGACTTTCAAGGAAGGAGAGGCCGTGTGCGATGTCATGGCCGGCGTGGGACCGTTCGCTGTACCTGCTGGCAAGAAGGGCATCTTCGTCTGGGCTAATGACCTCAATCCGGATAGCTACGCCAGCCTACAGTATGCTGTTACGAAGAACAAAGTCGCCGAGTACGTACGGCCATTCAATGAAGATGGCAGGACGTTCATTAAGAGTGCCGTTGCCGGTCTAGCTAAAACTGATCATACCGTGTCCGTCTTCCAAAAGTCGTCCAGAGACGTGCCTCATACTGCACGACGGCCGGCACGAACGATAGCGCAACCGAAGTTCTTCTCACATTTTGTACTCAACCTCCCTGCAACAGCTCTCACATTTCTGCACTCCTTCGTCGGTCTCTACAGCCAGTCTGTTCGACAACATCTGTCCGTACCTCAGGATGAGATACCCATGCCGCTCGTGCATGTGTACTGTTTCAGCACCAAATCCGACGATAATGTCAAAGAAAGCGCTGAAATCTGCGAAGAAATTACCCGGCAGCTTGATCATAAAATGATCCCAGGTACAGTAAGAGGGCCCACTGCGCTAGACAAGGTTGAAGAAGGAGTTGAGGTGTTTGACGTTCGGGACGTCGCGCCGAAGAAAAGAATGTTCTGTGCAACCTTCAGGCTACCGAGAAGCGTAGCGTTCAGAGAAGTGTGAGCGCCTCACCTCTAAATCGCCTCCGCATTGTAAGCTGTTGAGTGCAGGCAGGGTGTCTTAGTGTTGCGGTGCCAGCAGGCCTTGAACATGGAGTAAGCCTTGCAGGTTCGCAGCAGCGCACCGACGTGGAAGAATGTCCAACCGCTCAAGGAAGGCCAGACAATGTAACATTGGCTTGAACCGCAAAGGACGAAACCGAAAGCGCCAGTTCGCGGTTACTCAGCGAGAAAGAAACTGCATCGGCATCACTGATCATAAGATGACTAAAGTGAACCAGTCGACCTCACATCTGCGGCTAAAATGCTATGTGGTTGACCGAGCAATAAGCCATGTGATTGGAGTACAATTATGCGGATCACTTCTTCCCAACACCAATGAGCGCCACTCCCTTCAGCTTTCCCGGCTCAGAGGACGTCATCCTTCTCATCTCCTCCACCATCACTTCCTTGAACTTGATTACCTCATCCTCGCTCATGTCCTTCGTCAGCGCAATCATGTGCGGCAGCTTCGTGCACAAAAAGTCGGCAAAGCTCTCACGGTTCTGGAATTTCAGCTCAACCAGGACTTGGTGAGTCTCGACCTCTTGAAATCTGGCTCTCATTATCTCTCCTTTCAACCCCGTGGCACTCGTCCAGGCTTCTGGCATTGTCGGCACCTTCTTGTCTGGACGTACTTTCGGCAGAAGGTTCATCAGTTCCAACCATTGCGAGCCTTCCCAGGCGGAAACACTCAACACACCATTGGTTTTGAGGACACGACGGGTCTCCTTTAAGCATTGCATTGGATCTGGGGTCATGAAGTAGACCATGCCGGCTGTGACGTGGCTTTGGCTGTCGGATTCGATTTCGGTCAAGTTCATGGCGTTCTGCACTTTTGCATCGACCTTCTTCCAGAGCGAGTCGGCATTGGCGCTCTCCTTGATGCCCATAACCTGCCTGATCATTCCTTCGCTAAAGTCGGCACAGGTGAGGCTGCACTCCTTGGGTATCACACAGCCGTAGTCATCAATGACGTGGGACATAACAGGCCCCGGCCCGCAGCCATTATCCAGAATTCCGGTTGCGCGAGAGAATGGTGACAAAGCATTCGCGCGTTCGAGCATGAGCTTGATCGGCGCGGTGTTGACTCCAACAACAAGCTTGAGGTATTCTCCCGCCAGTACGTTCCAGTCATCACCTTTCGTCTGCGGAGATGGTCAGTAGGGAAGCGATACGGAGCATGCGGTTTGTGACCTACGTCCTGGAGGTTGACCATGTTGATGTTATCGATATGCATCTGCTATTGGCTGGTTTCACAGCTCGAAATCTGAGCACAAGACGGCACGGCTTGTGAGAATGCTGGATGTGATTGCCAAAGTGCCCTAACCTCTAGACTCACAATCTACCAAGCTATATAAGTTCGCAGCTAGTGACCCAGCCTGTTACTGTATTGTCTCCGAGCCCTATTGGTCTGTGAGCCACACTGCTCGCGCCGGATGGTTTTCGGAGACATGCAAAGCGCCGTTGTGTGAACATATTGACAGCAAGTTTTCATACGTCAGAGCCATAGCCCATTTGCCGACTAGCAGTCAAGATGGTCGATAAAGAGTCCGCAGGCTGTTCGTACAATGATGTCGCTTATAACTGTGTCGAAGATGCTCATAGACTCGAGGCAGTGGATCCCTCCTCGGCATATGCCGTCGTGGCATTTTGCTCACATCGAACCGCATGGCCCGCCAGACACCTTCCTTTCCGGGAATCTCCACACAGAATCTTCCCCTTTGGCGATAGAGCAATACACCCTATGCATGTCGAATGCTCTGTACGCTCTGTATGCGCTGCATTCCCTTCTTGAGTTTGGCAAGTACTACAAAAGCTCTTCTTACTGTTCGGACAACATCTTTCTACCGTTCCTTGGGCCCTTGTAAACGTACTCTGACGAGCAGATCTCGAGGTATGGCCACGGATGGCGCGTCTCCCCTCGCTCAGAATGCGGTAGAGCACGAAGCGAAACATCTTGCAAACGGTCATATCAGCGTCAACAACTGGTCGCAACCGGGACCTGCAGCATTCGACTTCCGCAGTATGTCTTTCAACGTCAACCGACGGCGCGAGCGGGCATTGACTACTTACAGGCGATGTTGTTACGACACCTACGACTCGCATGCTCAACGCAATAGCGTCGACAACTCTACTTGACGATGTGTTCCAGGACGATCCAACCACCAACGATCTGGAGGCGTTTATCGCGGACCTCACAGGCAAAGAAGCGGCATTGCTCGTCTTGAGCGGCACAATGGGCAATCAGGTCTCGATACGAACCCAACTGCTGGCGCCTCCACACAGTGTCGTTACGGATCATAGGTCACACATCCTCGAATGGGAAGCTGGAGGTGTTGCAAGTCTTTGTGGAGCGCTGGTCAAGCCCGTCGTGCCGAAGAACGGCGCATATGTGACACTGGAGGACGTTAAGAAGCATTGCGTAATATCGAGCGACATTCACGCCTGTCCAACCAAGCTGATATCGCTTGAGAATACACTAGCAGGGATTGTTCTGCCATTAGCAGAGTGCCAGAAGATCTCGAAATGGGCTCGCGACAACGGCATATTGATGCATCTGGATGGCGCTCGGTTGTGGGAGGCGGTTGCAGCGGAAGCTGGGTCACTCAAGGACTACTGCGCCTGCTTCGACAGCATATCTTTGTGCTTCTCTAAAGGTCTCGGTGCGCCTATAGGCAGCATCATCGTGGGCACGAAGGTCTTCCGTGAGCGAGCACGGTGGGTCCGAAAAAGCATAGGCGGTGGGCTAAGGCAAGCGGGCGTAGTGACGGCTGCAGCTCGGGTAGCGGTAGAAGATACGTTTCTAGGCGGCAAGCTGAATGCTTGTCACGCCCGAGCGCGGCAGATTGCGCAACTATGGGAGAGCTATGGTGGCCAGACGTCCAATCCAGTCGAGACGAACATGGTGTGGTTCGACTTGGACGCCGCGGGCATCAGCAAGGAGAGTTTCATCGAGGAAGGGCAGAAGGTCGGCTTGCGATTACTGGGCGGGAGACTAGTAGTGCACTACCAGATTGGCGACGAGGCTGTGCAACGGCTTGAACGGCTCATGCAAGCTGTTTTGAAGGGGAGACAAATGAATGGTGCAGTCGAGCACTCTGCGGACAAGATGCAGTTCCCTACAGAATAGACGTGGCTATAGGCTTGGAGGAACGTTGTGGCGTGTTGACAGAAGACTTGAGGTCGTGGAATGCATATCGCCCAGCGTCGACCAGACCACAACCACGGCACCGCCCAGGTTTCAAGCTAGATGCTCGCGTCCGCTTGTGGGCAGGGTGGAACCGCCGCCTTACGGCAAGATTCCATGGACGTACACTTATCTAGTCTGCATTGCGGAACAGCCAACAATCACCACATGCATGTGCATGAAAACACCGTTTCTCGACGGACCGATATGCGCTACGAAGGGCGGCGGGCGACAGAAAGTGGGGAAATGAACATTAGGTAGGACTTCCTATTGGTCACATATCACGGCTTACGGCTGTTGAGCTCTTGAGGCCGCCCTTCGAAGGTTGCCTTCTTTGCAATGCAGACACCGGAGTGGTCTACGTGCTAGGTCACGCTCACTCTACTGCATTCCCGTCTTTCCCCGTGTGTATAGGACGGAGAACTTCGTCACCCTGACCGATGTGCGTCTTGCTTGCGAGCATTGTTTCCTCTCTTCTTGGTGTCGGATCTTTTCCAGGGCTGTTAGGTCGCTACACGGTAACACGTTGATATGCTGCATGTCTACTTCTTTCCACTCTGATGACTATGGCTTGTGGCCTTAATCTCCATCCCGTCTTACAACGATCGTCTTTGTAGATCCACTATCCAGTTGGCGTTGTCCGGAACGACATCGCAATGGACGACACAACATACACCGACGGCAGCACCGCTAAGAAGCCTAGCAATGCGACAAACTCTCACCACACCTTCAGTCCTTTCGTCGACCTACAGCTTGAAGCTCATGGCCAGCCCCAATATCTTACTTCTGCCAATCCCGGCAACGGTGGCAGCTTTGACGTTGATGAAATCAATCGCATGTCATTGTCGCAACATAACCCACCGTTCATGGGACTCCAGCGACATCCACAATTACCGCTCGCTATCTCTTATCAAGGCGCGCCTGGCTATTTAAGCGAACAACATGACCGTTTGCAACAAAGATACAGTGGCAATCAGGCAACGAAGCTCACGGACTCAGCGTATGGTTCATTGAGTGTGACGAGCGGACCCACGCCGTTCCATTCGTCGATTCCGGCACACCAAAGTACATGTTCATCGCATGAGGCAACGGAGGCCGCATATAGACAGCGTTATCATATCGCGAGCTCGGAGAGTGTTGCGAGTGGTTCCGCCAACGGTGGCGGAGCTCAGAAGCGGCCATCTCAAAGAAGTGCCAGAAGCCGGAGTAAACCTGCGATTTCACCATGCCAATGGTGTGGCAAGGAGCTCAAGAACCCGTCAGATGCACAGTGAGTCTGAATGCACAATGACTTTTGATTGTGGACTAATGACATGTAGTAAGCATGAGCTTCAGCATACAAAACCGCACAGGTGTGATGAGCCTGGCTGTGGACGGAGCCATGAAGGGTTCGCAACCCAGAACGATCTTCAGCGCCATCGCAGCTCGGTCCACAAGCGAAGGCCCCTTGTAGGATGCTCCAATGGCTATGTTTGTATCATCTGCATCCACGCTCATCCAAACTCTGGCAAACCCAAGTTCTGGTTACGCCGTGACAATTTCAAGGCTCACGTGAAAAGGAAGCACGCAGATCATGATGCGGATGCCATCGTCAAGAGGTATGTACCTCCAATGTGACGGCAGGAAGTACCTAACCATACGTAGGTCTGCAGCAGAGCGGCCAGAAGATGCCGAGACAGTGGAATCTGGCTACTGCTCACAACCGTCTCAGGTTGATCCCTTCGAACGTCACCTGTTCCGACCCGACATAATCAGTCAACCCATCTGTGAGGATCCTGACCTGGGTATACACAACAGCAATCTGGTGTTCGCTGTTAGCAGCAATGACCCTGGCAACCAACTCGCAGGTGTTGGTGAGGGTGCCGATCGACTTTCGATCATGCCATCAACTCACCAAGACCCGAGCTTTGCTTTCCCAATTCACGACCTCGGAGACGGACTCTCTATGCTCAGCAAGGCAGCGGTCACACTTAGTGATCTGAGCTCACTCGCGGAGTCACTGATGCCAAAACCAAGTCGTCATTTTTCACAAACCTTGCAAAGACCAGTACCTCATTTGCTGCCACAAGTCTCGCCTTTCAACTATGAGCCAAGCGTATGGAAAGCTCAGGCACCCAAGACATCAGAAGCGCAAATTGGCCATCAAAGCGACCCACTGACACCGAGCGATGCTGGGGGAGCCCACAAGTGCGACTACTGCACTAAGACGACAAAGCGTGAGTGTGACCTTCGGTATGTAACGGATTGTGCGGAGCCTCACGACACATATTAACGGATAGCCCAGCAAACATACAAAACGCCATACCCGGCCCTATGGCTGCACCGATCCCTACTGCTTTAAGCCATTTGGAAGCCGAAACGATTGGAAGAGGCACGAAAAGTCACAACATCGGATACGTGAAGCGTGGAGGTGCAATGTGAAAGTTTCGGAGAAGACCTGTGGGAAGTTGGTCTACGCACGGGAGAGAATGCGATCTCATATAAAGCGCCGGCATGCGGAAGTGCGAACGAAGAGTCTAGACGCTCTTTGCAATGGCATGCACCTTGGAGACAATGCTTCCGACCAATTCTGGTGCGGGTTTTGCGAGGACCTTGTTCCATGTAAAGCAGACGTGCAGAAACCGGGAGAATATCGGATGAAGCATATCGGAGACCATTATGATAAAGACGACAAGCACATCAATGATTGGGTGTGCGTTATGGTCAACAAGAGACGAAAGGATTTTATCAATGATGTGGAAATGATGCACCGCCTAAAAGACTGCTCGCGCACCGGGCGCGCTTGGAGCGAGAGTGGCAGTGAATCGGAAGTCACGACGCGTGTGCGGTGTCAGAAAGTCGCAAGATGTCCGTCGTTGCAGGGCGAGTCTCCCCAAAATGTTGGAAGCATGGCGCCCTTGACCAAGAAACGAAAAGTTTCAGCGGAAGTAGAGGTGGACGCAGACGGTGTCAGCGACGACGAGTGGAACGGCGGAGCTACGCTCAAGCCGTATGAACGAATAGCGCCATGGATGTAGTTACATATCAGCTTGTGACAGCGTGGAGCGCAGTATGTGGTCTAGCGGCGCCTCAAGCTCATACCTTTCCATAAAGTCCTTCGACTTTTCGGCTCCTGTTGAGTGCGTAATGCAAAGGCACCCTGAGCGCCAGTGGGATCATCAATGACTCGCAAAGGTGCAAGAGCAAGAGGGTCTGTGTCATCGATACCACAGTCTCTCGTTTCAGGTCTCGGCAAGTCGTGTAAGGACCCGCTAGGAGTGAGGAATCCTGGTCTGCCCGCTGCCCTAGATCCTGGTGCTCTTTCGAGTTTGGAAGCTTGACACTCGAGGCGTGAATCGTCCTTGTCCGGAACGTTGAGCTGCAATGGAAGGCCTATGCCAGAGTCGAAGGATGCAGACTGGATGACAGTGCGCACGGCCATGTCTGTGCTGCTGGCGGGCGTGCTGGGGCTTTCGCTATCAATGGTATCTGCGTCATCATCCACGGAGTCGTCAGGGAAGTCGATCGTTTTTGGTGACACCGGACTTTGAGACGGCAGTGGCATCAAAGTTGGCGGCGGCAGTTTGATCGGCGTAAGCGCCAACGCTCGGCGGGGGGGTTTCCTTGCAGCCACATAGGCCTCTTCGGGCGGGCGTGGCGACGGTGACCGTCTTCGAGCACGTGCAGCTGTAGCGGCGCGGTGGAGTGCGGGAGACAGAAGGTTGTCCGCTGGCGCCTGGAGAGCACCTGAACCCTTATCGGGAGCTTCACCAGCTGATGGCCGTGTCTCTTCAGCCGCTCCTGCTACGTTGATAGTGTCTTCAAATTTGACGGCCTGTCGATGCTGCAAAGCAGGGTGTGTCGCGCCCGCGTTGTTCGCTTGCAAGATCGCTTCGCTTTCGGCATTTAGCAGCGCAGCTTCAGCTTTGGAGAACTGCTGACGACGAGCTCTGTCTGACAAATCCAAGAACCATAGCGCTTGCTCGAACGTGATAATGTGTTGGTGGAAGAGGTCGGGAGTGCCACATCGATCCGAAGACGACGAGAACTTTCGCAGTTCATGCGCAGATTGCGGACGTTTGAGGTCCACGGAAGTTCCAATGCTGAGCCATCTAGGCTTGCGAGAGTGCTTACGCCGCATCTGGGCAGCCCCTTCCTGCGCTATACGGAGTCGTTCTTGTTCGGAAAAGTATTTCTTCCTACAACGATGTCAGTGTCCTTGAAATGGCAATTCAGGGTCAGACAGGGCCGTCCGTTGTGCCAACACTCGCAATTGAGAGAGTAGCGAGTGAGCCAAGAGATATTGTTGTGGGACGCTCAAGCACAAGAAAGGGCAATACTTCATGGGTGCAGTCGACGGCGCTCGCAGGGGATGATGCTATAGTGTCAAGCACTCAGACTTACTGGACAGAGACTGGAAGCCTCGCAAACTCATCGGGAGTGATCATGTCCGGCCTGCTAACGGACAGACTTCGTCGCATCGACTGCTGGCTTCGGGGTCGTATAATGCGGCTGGATGATCGGGTCGGAGTTCGTTGTTGATGGAGGGGGAAGTCTGGGTCTGCAAGTAGGTCGATGGAGACACGAGCTTCATACTGTGGTTCAGCAGCAGGGCGTTTGCTGGTAAACTGCATGGTGGAGTGCCTGCCCGCAGTACGCCTGGTGGAGTTTGGCGTTCGAAATTGCACAGCGTTCCAGCGCCGTGGATGAGTTACTGCATCTGGAGCCGTGCTTGTGTAACCTTCAGTATGAGGTGTGTTTGTTGCGAGAACATATCGAGATGCGAACTAGAGAGAGGACGTTACGCAAAAAGATGCGGCAGAGAGATCGCCACTGACGCTACCATTGCTGTATCGTGGTCTATGCCACGACTGTTACTTACGATATCACTAAGGCTGTCCAGGGAGGATGCGCGAAGGCTAACGGCGTAAGCAGCGAGGGATGCTGAGCTCCACCCAATCGTATGAGTTCCACATGACAATCCCGGAATGATCTTCATGGCCCCAGCATTGTCCGTGTCGGTACGATATCAAGCCCACTGGCAGCACTACTCAGCGTTTTCGGGCGTGCAATCCACCAGCTCCCCTCGCCGTCGAAAGATCGCCTTGCGCCACCAGTTTGCTCCCTCCTCAACCAAGCACGCGCATGTTCAGCAGGCTGTAGGCGTCTAAGCTGTACCACCCTGGCCATCATTCCGTGACGTGGGAAGAATTGATTCACTTCATTCCTTCACCGTGTAAGAGGATGCATTAGTCGAACGGCTACTGTAGGTCCAAGCGTGACCCCGCCTCCTAGCCGTGGGTCAGACCAATCGTGAGCCCTACAACAGAGGCTTCTGAACTCGATGCCCTTGGTTTAGGCACCGCGATCCTGATTTGAGGACGATGAGGCTTGCAACATCCGGGTCATCTTACATAGGGCTATGAAAAGCGCCTAAAATTCGGATTTCTAAGGGATAACGTTCGCATAGGAATGCATACGGAGGCGGCAGGCCATATATTTAGGATGGAAGTGATCGTCGTTGACACGGCAGTGAATGTCGATCTCCATGAGCGCTGATGAAGCACGGGCTCGTCCCTGACGAGGATAACGCTTCGCTTGCTTCTTCAGGGCCACGGGCGTTTGGGTTCAATCTCCAAACACACGGTACCGCGGGGCTCGTACTATGCTGTGTAACATGTCCCGCCTGCAATGGCTCATAAACACGAAATCCATGATTTAATTAATCCCTCTCCACCCTTATGGCCACGGCATGCGGTCCCATAAGGCCTCCACAGGTACGAGTGGTCCACAAGTGATGCAGCGCACCCACACCGCAGTGATCGACGGGGACTAGCATTTTGATCATCCGCGCACGCGACGCCAAGGATTACCATATATCGTTGGCACAAACTTCAATGCATGTGTCTACACGTGTGGGAAAGCAGATAGCGTTGTGTCAGTACTGACAGTAATGGACTTTACACTTTGATCTAGACAATGCAGCTCCAAGCAACCAAAACGGACAGCACCGAGCCCATTATGTGATGCCCATTCCGCACACGTGCGGGCACACCGTGAGCGCAGCTAACAGTCTATCAAACCCTCAGCTCCATCGCGTCCAATATACGCGTCGTACACAACTTTGATCGTATAGGCCAGACAGGTAGAGCTTACCAACCGCGTTCGCACCTGCCTCCAGTGTTGCTGACCGGCGGAAGTTACGAGGCCGGAAATTGATCCACCAAGATTGCCGTGAAGTTGGTGAGACTGTCCGCTCGGTCAGCAGCCCTACTTCTGCACTCACCGTGCATCGCAGCGATACACACATCGCGAGTCATGCCAGCAGCCATATTGTGTAGCAGCAGCGTTTCATATGTGATGTGAAATCGTGCAAACCAAAGAAATGCTCGTACGCGCCCTCGAAGCCGACGAGGGTGTTTTCAGAGTGGCCAATCATTACTGTCAAGACGTAAGGTATTTATAAGTGTATTCTCATTCGAGGAAAGTGATATGCTGCTGACACAAGTGACACACGCAAGCGCTTATCATATGCTAATACTCGTTCCATTGCCCACCCCAACCCAGCCAATCCGGTCCCAATCCAACGCCGGCATCATCTATGCAGCTCGCGAGTCCCTGATGCTGCGAGAACGCCGGAAACCGCAAGAACAAAGAGCATGTTGACAGGCATTTGTATCACGCCTCCGGCATTGCGTAGTAGTAATCATTGTCCAGGCCCTCCCGACTGGGAACTTCTCGAGCTTCGATCTCCACGCCGTTGACTCTCTGATCGAGGGCGTCCCAATCGACGTCTTCCCACCTCAGATTGAGCATGCGTAACCGCACACCCCAGTCAACCATCATGTCAATCAAAGACGTCGTGTCCTTGGTGATGGGTTGCTGGTTTAAGAGCATCAGTAGTCCGTCGAGCCACTCCGAGGCTTCAGATGCGGTCTGCGGGAACAATTCTAGTAGTACGGACTCCTCGGTGTTGGACTTGGATGCGTTGCCCATGACTGTGATCTTCGTCGTAGTCGTACTGCCGACGTGTTGCTGCGAGTCTTTGAGTGTTTCGCTACTGGAATTGTCACCATTCATGAGCGGTTGCTGCTCTTCCGACGCAGACACGTTGCTGTCTACGGAGGTCACAACGTCGAGGTCGATCTTCTCGATCAAATCGGCCAATGCTGGCTCGTTGCTGCCTTTACTGGCATACTCAAGGTGGTGCAGCCAACGCCTATTGTGACTGAGCCGGACGTAGCGCCACGGCCCAGTACGGCCCGCCGTAGCCATGCTGGCTGGGAACCAAGCACCCTTCAATAGGCAGCGAACACGCTGCTCTTTCATAAATTGCAAGCTCTCATGATGCAACTGCTCTCTCACTTGCTGAAGATGAGGCCCCCAAGCGTCCGCGTAGATGTCATCTAAGCCTTCCATTTGCCACTTTCTCGCCGTCTCGAGTGTGACACTTCGAAGCTCTTCTTCCACTTTGCTGACATCAGTCCTACGGCTTGCTGTGCCTACTACACGCTCAACAATGATGCGAACTATCTCGTCGATCTTGTAGAAGTCTTCGAGTTCCGCTCCAGCAACCTTCCAAATGCGCAGGAAGGCGTTCAGGGCGGCAACATGCAGCCTCCCCCATTGTAAAAGCAACGGGCGATAGGCCGTATCGGCGTCGGTAGGACGGCTTCCCATATGCCTAGCTTCAGAGCCAGCGCTCCCAAGCTCGATGGCTTCGTCAATCTGAAAGTGCTCGTATAGAATGACGGTTACACTCAAGCTGGCTCGTGCAATTGGACACCGCTGCTCCTTCGGCTGCACTGACTGCTCCATTAAGACCTTGTGGTAAGCATCCTGGTTACGTTTGGTATAATCTACCACATCCATCATACCAAGATAGCCAGTCTCGTCAAACTCCCACGCCGGACTCTCTGTCTCAAAGCCGAGACGGCGCCATTTCTCAGGGTGGTGTCGTTTTGGTGGCTTGCCATCCGCATCGTCATCTGCCACTGGCGGATTGTACGGCTCGGGTCTGCTGAGTAGATGTATGGTCTTGAGTGCACGCTTATGCTCGGGCAGCTCGACGTTGACACGGACTTCCTTCCACTTCCGTAGTAAAACCTTCGTTAGATTTTGGAACTCCAGGATAGCAGACGCGAGCGGACTGCTTAGGTCACCAGCAGCATCACCACGCATGAGCATGCCTACTCCGCCAATAACACCGAGGTCCTGCAGTCGCCTTACGAACTTTGGCCACTCTTGCTCACCGCCGTTAATGACTGCATCTCGCATGAGAGCATTCACAAGCTGCAAAGCATTTGCACACAAAAGGTGGTCAGAAGCACTCAAGCGTTGGACTAAGCATTCAAGAAACTCCGGGTGACTGTCCAGTGCAGGTTTAATCGCTCTAAAACCGGAAGCCTCATTGCTTTCTCGCCGTGCTCCAGTAAGTGGCCGCGAGACGACTAAGACCAGGAGGGTCAGAGCATTCCGCACGGTGTTAACAAGCGGATGTGACACTGCTAGCGAGACGGCCTTTAGTACATCAGCGGTCCATTCGCCGTAGCCATATCGCCAAGCCTACCTTTTCGATAATGGGACCATCCAAAGCCTCCCAGCCCATGTCCAGCTCCAGTAAGGCGTCGAGACTGCCGAAGGCATATGCTTGAGTGTTTCCCGTGGTCTCCAGGACCGCTTGTCTCAAAGCCAGCAGGCCGTCTCCTTGAATGAACGCATCTGCGAAGGACGGGTCGCTGAGCATACCCTGCAGCTTGAATACTGCATACTTCCGGGCAGCGTCATTCTCCGAGACCAGTCCCGAAACCAGAGACTCTACGTCGGGCGGATCCTCCATCATGCGAGTCACTCTTGAAACACTCCTCACTTCACGCTCGCTGCTCGCTGCTCGGTGTTCCCCTCCTACGTGCAGCTTCCTCCTCGATCCAAAGTCAACCGGCCAACAACAGCACCCAGCCGGTTCCGTGACCTTATATATGAATGTTCCCTTTCTCGCTCAGCACCTGCGATACCTTGCAGATGCAGATGAACAGGAGAATGGAAAAGAGGAATCTGATGTGACGAAACATAGTCGAAGCTGTGATCCGGAAAGGCGTGAGAAGGCCGAGTCCCAGCGCCAATACTCTCTTGCTCTTGGCCCTCTCACGTTACGATGTAGAAATGGGTGTAGGTCATCGGCCAAGTACCGGGGACCAAGTCGCGCCTGCCTTGTCGGTGAAGCGGGGATTTCGAAATGGAGGTGCTGGTGCCGCTGCTGTTGTCTCAGGCTATACGGTTTCAACGTCTCACACTGCTCCCCACACACGAAGAGGAACCTGGAGTAGAGACTGGAAATACACGCAATGATCACTATATGAGAAGGAAAGAGCAGTGCTTGTTCATCTTAACCGCACTGCATCATCCTGAAGGCATGGATGGCCGAGGGCCCCATTGACCGGCGGGTCCGGGCGCCGTACGAACAACTTCTCCACGCGCCATCAGTATCGACGAATCGCGATGCAGAAACACTCGCCCGAATCTCCACCTTGCCGCTCCCGCTCTGCATCGAATCGCGCAAGAACGTCAATCTAGAACGCTGCGTTTGTGCGGAAAGCCCGCTGGACAATTGGCCCGGTGATAGGTTATTCGACCGCGGCAGCTGGGACGAGAGCGAGCTGACTAGCTTAATACTATGATTCTATGTACAAGTCCGAAGATAGCCTGGCGGCTATTAGACGCACGAGTGCCGCCAGCCATGGATACAGAGTCCCTTGTCTATTCCGCCAGCGCCATGCAGTCAAACGATGATAACGATAAGGAAGGCTGCAAGCCATGCCGTGCTTGTGCCTACCAAGGCTTCTGTGCTCGCCTAAGAGATATTGTGTAGCCCCTTTGATCCTCCACAGGCAGTTGTCCACCCACCGATCATTTTCGTTTGAACGCAGCAGCGTCTAATGTTATATGGTCGGGCTTCGCAACCGAGAGTCTGCGTTCCCGAACGATGATCTTGATCGACGTTTATCGAAGCCTGATAGACACCCGACAAGATCGATCCCTTCATTTTCTCCAGCCAACATTCCAAATGACGTGGGCAATGTCTCTGGCGGTGTTGATGGTCTCGCTAACCCTGCCAAACAGGCCAACCGCCATCACTTCCTCTTCCTCATCATCGTACGGCATTAGCATGCCACTACCCGTCCGCCTGAGGTTGCTCTCACTAGGTTCTGGTGCAGGTGTACTACTGCGAGCACGAACGCCGCTGTTCTTGTTTCTCCGCCCTCGGTTGCCAAGCGCCTCGTACTCGTCCTCTGACGACGAAGCTGAAGCACCCAGTGAAGATCTCGGATTGCTGGCTCCGAAAGACCAAGACGAGCTGTTCTCGGCCTCAGCCTCTTTTTCCTCTGGGAGCAGGAAGTTTGCAGATGGATGGCTCGGACGCAACGTCTCTTGTGATGGAGACGGTGAAAGTCGACTGCTGCCCCAAGCTCGCCCAAAAACGTGATGTTGTTGTGCCTCGCTCACGTCGGGGCTGTCGGTCCGATATTTCAACGTTGTGGCGGGTAGTGTCTCGATCGTCTTCCGACTAACCGAACTACTCCTGCTAGTTTTGCTGTTGTTCCTGTTGCCTGGTTTTGCCTTGCGCCGCATCATGATCACACCATCGTCACTACCAGATTCGGGAGAGCCTGGACGCGGGCCATCTTCAATCTCGCTTTCAAGGTCGTCCTCGAGATCCTCTTTGCACTCAACCGCGATGCACTGCTCCACTTTGTCATCGAAGCGGATGTGCCGTTTCTCGTGGCACTCACATGGCGTGCAGTTAGAGCTACTACTCCGGCTAGTGAAGTAGTCCAACTGATCTCGACTCGGTGTTTCCGAAGGTGCGGTGCTGGTCGAGAAGTCCGACTGAGTGCGGTGAAAGGAAGCTTTGCGGGAGTGCTTACCCTGCTGAGCTTGCACGGCAGCTGCAGCCTGCTTCACTAGCGAAGAAGCGGATAGACTCTTCTGCAGCATCACTTCAGACATGCTCCGCTTCTTCAAGATGGGCTTCTTGTGGACGAACGAGTTGCTCTTCGAGATCTGCGACATCGGCTCGGATAGATGTGCGGTGATGGGATGTGAAGTTGCAGGCTTCAGCGGCCCATAAAGCCACGTGACGTCCGACTCTTTCAGCCAGTTCAGGGTCTCCGGCGACACAGTCCGAAGCTTGTACTTGGACTTCGCCCATGTGCGCCACGAAGCGTTCTCTAACCGGGATCTTTGACCGTACACTCTTCGCTGTGATACGATGTGCCGCCAGCTTGACCATATATCCTCTTCTCGCCAGTTGTGGCTCAGATAATCGACGTGCTGCTTCGGTTCTTGTTTTATCGCAGTATCGTCGGCTACGGTGGGAGTGGGTAGTGGCGAGTCAGACGCTGTTGTGTCGGTTGTGGAGCCCACAGGCTCATCGCTCGAATGAGACTCCTCAGAGCCTTCGTGTCGCTCATTGAAACGTACGCCGCCGTAATCCGGAAAGCTGATATCATCGTCGTCGTTGCTGGCTTGAGGTTCTAGTGAGAGTGTCGGAGGGCTTGGCTGGAACGAGAAGTTTGACGTAGATGAATGCGTGGGTGACGCTGCTGATAGCGCATGCTCTTGGTGCTCAGCAGGCTGAATGACAGACGGACTCTTAGCACTCGTAGACAATGCCTCATGACCGAGATGTAGCGACGATGAGGACGGATGCGATCGGCGTAGACCTTGCGAATGATATAATGCTTGGCTGTCCGGCGTTGAAGAGGGGTGCATAACCTCCGCCATGGCGACGGATGCCAGTGTTAAGCGTGCTAGTTCACCGAGTCATGCGTATTGATAGGGTGTGTTCTCGAACAATAGTATAGCCGTCCAGACAATGCTCCGATACGACGCCGCCGTAAGTCGTAGGCTCCCAACCCTCCTGTACTGCCACCGTGTCCCACTCAAGCCTCTCATCAGCGAGGTTACAAAACGGGTGCCAACGCTCGATCCGACAGTGTCGTCAAGTACAGGTTGAGATCCGAGTCCGGAAAGGTAAGATGCTGACGCAGCCTGCGCTATGTGGTATGCGAGTTGCAAAGGGAATGCACAGAAAGAGTGCCAACCAGTTGGTTCGAGGATAGATTCTCGGTCGCTTCGAGACTCGGTTCACGTTCCGCGGCGGAAGGCAAAATGCTCTGGTGCGGGGCGAGGATGGCCGTGCACAGGAGAAGGGACATGCGCAAAGCTGTGGCAAGCGGAGGTGAACGGTGGTGAAAGAAAGCTTGCGATGCAGGTATCGACGGATCGTAACTGCTTCGCGATCGAATGTGTACAGTACTCCGTCTGCACGCTTCTCTGCTCTCTCCTAGGCACAGTGGAGCAGTCGTCCCACACCCGCCTGGGCCACAAAACGCTGCCGATCAGCGTGGAGTAGGATACGGAGATACAAAGCTTAGCTGTTCCGGGACAAGCCTCTCTCATCATCGAGCCCCGAGTACTGAGATATTCTCCTCAACGAGCAAAATCGGCAGAGATTGATTGACGCATTCGTTCATTCGCTCGCTCTTCTGCGGCTGTCGAAGCCTACACTGTTATCCCGGCCGTTGACTTGGAACCCGTTCGTAACCTCTTGCGCGATTACGGGTGATTGATTCATTCCAACAAACTCGGCGCCGTGAAAGCCTTGAGGAGGAAATCGGGTGCTCTTCACAGCCACAAGCCCGGGGACGCGGTCGTTCCCTAATCGCATGAGCATGCTGAGCTACACCTAGGGGAGCACATTCCATAGCTTGACCAGCTTTCTAGCTCTCCGCTTTTCCTCTGTGCCATCTCCTGATAAAGTACGCTCTGCTCATGCAGTCGTGGGCAACCGCAATCGATGCTGCACCAGCGGTAGATCGCCACACCCTGCGTGGCCTTGCAACCACGCTTCTACGGCAACTACAATGAGGCAATCGGCCCGTCAAGATGGAAGCCGTCGGGGATCAGTATGCGGCTGGAGAAGCCTGCAGTAGAGCCTTGCGTGTGCCCCTGGTATCATTGCTCCGAAAGGCAAAGCTGACATAAACGTGCTCTCATCCCAAGTTTCTTAACCTTTTCATTATCAGATGCGTGTATTGACAACGCATGGCAGACGTATGCCTGAGGTGTGCTGCGAGACTGACTTCCTCTCGCCCTCCAACAGCATACTACCTGTTCGCTGTGGACATACTCCACCGCAGTTCACCTCACTGGCTCCACTCTTCCTCCACCAGCATATGCGGTCCCCAACGCTACAGGCGACCACGTAATTGGTGCGTCTGTATGCACGTTACGAACCCCAGCATCCGCAGTCTGGAGAGACCAACGACGAGTAAGGATACTCTTTGCGTGGCCCACTTGTGTAAGAGCTGGCAAGCTTGGCTGTAAATTGGCGCACTCCAACCATGCCATGGCGCGAGGGAGTATGATCACATGCTTGCTGACTAGGCGCATAGCATAGCTTGGCTTGCATGATCATGCATGTTGTGCAGCACTTCACGCCATGACATGGGTGCGATTCCGAGTTGTGCCAACGAGACGGCAACACTGCGCCGAACGTTGATGTGCTATCTGGCACAGCTGGTGCGATCATACGAGTACACACAGCTGGCACAATGGAGTGACTGCACCTCAACAACCGCTTATCAGCAATGCCGCAGAACCAGGTGCTGTGTCAAGGGTACGGCATGCAAGTCTGCAGGTTCCTCTCCAACGGCGAAAGATGTTCGCTGGCGTTGGGACACCTACCACGCCGGCTGCAGCTGACACGGATGTAAAAGTCTAGTACGACGCGCCTTCAATCACTGGCTTAATTGTCGAGCGTGCTTGCCTTCTTCGGTTGTTGATCCTTCTGACGCATGGTGGCAACTGTCATGCTTGTTGTACAATCATCATCACTGCACAGCAATACAACGCTGCACCTGTGGGTACCCTCTCATAGTTGACAGGAGCAAAGCTTCAAAGGTGAAACTTGCGTCGATAGGGAATCCCAGATATGAATAGCAATGTGTTAGAGCATTGATAGGTTAGTCATTCAATCAATCATCATCTATCCCCGGGCTGGGCGGTACTAACAGCCAATTCTCCGACAAGAAATACAAGTGATATAGTAGCTGAGCTCCAACTCGATACACAAGCGCTCGCTTTCCATCAGGATGCCGTGAGGCGTTTAGGAAGACGCACCGCCCTGCTATAGTCGCCCGGTTTTACATACGAAGAGTCTGCTTCGCTGTCATGGAGGAGATAAGGGCTAGACGGTGGTTGAGAGATCAACGGACAGTACGACTCGTGAACCTACAGTCTGCAAGCCTCTTCACTGCGGGTCCCTCAGACGACCCCAAATATACACGGCTTGCATACGTACTGGATGCCTCACGAATAGGAAACGCGTTGGCTATGCTCATCGGGGTAGAGAAGCGCGCGTAAAGATGTCCTGCCAACCCAACCTTATGACCAGGATGTCTTCACTGTTCTGGTCATGTTAGAATCCACGACGAGACTCCTGCTCGGCGAGGAAGGGTAAGCTAGTACTCGCTCGATTTATCATCGGTAGCAGCGCTTCTACATTGCTATTCATACAGTCCTGCCTTAGCAGCTCGCTATCGAGCGTCGACCGTAGCCTCTGTGTAGCATCGACTTTAGGCTTGCGTTTAGGCTTGCTACGAGCTTTCTCGCGCAGAGCACTAATTTTGCCAAGATAGTTTGTTGTGTTGTAGACAATCTCAACACTGTGTCGAGAACTAAAGACGGACTGTGCACTTCAGATTGATCGCACCATGTTGCCATCTTCCGATCATACTACACCGCTGGAGTCTACGATGATTTGTATATCTATTATGATGTGTACGCATGCTTACATCAAGCGGCGTTGGTGGTTTAGTGGTAAAATTGATCGTTGCCATCGATCAGCCCCGGGTTCGATGTGGGTCCTTATCAAACTCTATCTGGTGATACTTTGAATCATTGCTAACCCAATCAAACAGTCCCGGCCGACGCAAATGAAATCTTTTTGGACACCTTTCCTTGTCAAGTGTTTTTGGGCGAAGTATATAAGAGTACCGTCGAGCAGCAGGTTGAACAGCGAGAGTTTGTGTAGTGTTCTGGGAGTTTTACACTGATTACAAGAGATGTGTCGTTGTAGATCGAGAACTGCATTGCGCCATTCCGTATATCACCTATCATGCATATTATCGTCTGCTCGTATAACAGAATGTAGCAAACTCGCTCGTAGGAAGACGAATTAGAGGACACCCCGGTTGCTACAACGATCGAGTATCACTAGTATAACAGATCTGCAATTCATGTAGACGACTTCCTTTAGTAACATCCCTACTCGCAACGTGGTAATGCTAATGTTCCTGCTATCTTAAGCCTGTGAGCCAGATCGATCAAGATTATTCTAGTGCATAGATGATTTAGGATATTTGCTGTAGTAGCGCAAGGAGATGCGTGTGGGGTGAAGTGTGGCACACTGCCCCACTTTTATTTGCGGCGACTCCCGCCAGCTTCTAGGGCAAGAACAGATGCAGCTCTTCTCGCCCCATTGGCCCCAATGAATACGTATCCAAATGGTGTATCCTTCTGACACCCGACACTGTTGGAAGCGTGGTCGGCGGCTACGGAGCTCATATCTCATGCCGTATCCGCCTGCCTGTTACGCTGTAATTAGGACAAGCGGAGTCCGAGCTGGTACGAGGCTACAGCTAAGATATAAGTTCACAGTCCGATCTTCGTTATTGCGGTTTTCGCCCGGTAGTTTTACTGACCGCAGGTCGTTGTCTCGGCACCTTCGGGAACATCTCCTTCGCCTTTTGCAAATGTCTACTTGATTGGTTTACAAGAGCAGCCAGTGGCGCTACGATCTTTGATAACCGCACAACATGCCTGTGGGAGATGCCTTCACGCTCGGCCGCACGCTCATATATGCGGCGAACCTCTCGTATAGTTTGGGTGCCTTTGCCGCGGACTACAACAAGACGCACGTCTACAATCCCCGATGGACGCCACACGCAAAGTTCCACAACGGGCAGACGATGAGCCTCGCAGCAATGCTATCGTCTGCTTCATGCACCCTTGCCTATCAATCAACTGGTGTTGAGCCCGACATAGCCACGACACTCCTATGGTGGGCTGCGGTATTTGGGAGCTTCTACTGCGCTTCAGGATTGAGCGCTATACTGTACCCCGGCACCGACTGGGCGGACGAGGAGTACAAGCGCAAGGACGGGTTAACGCAGCGACCTATCTTCTGTACGGTGATCGCAGTAATGTGGGTTGGGTATCTGCTCGAGGTTCGCAAGTATTGAGATGCAGCGTTGGAGGTGTGAGGTGGACTTGACTCAGACGCTTGGTTCATGCTCATGCATTGCATCTCCGTCGACCACAATCACGCTTAGACTGGACAGCGCGGAACAAACGTATATGCGACAGTGCTCTTAGAGCTGCTGGATTTGGCGTGAAGAGCAGCTTCCATTCTTGGTACAAATCCAGCCAACTCTTGCTGCCATCCATTTGAGCGGCACAGCCTGTTTCTTGGATTGTACCAAATAACATTGTGCGACTGGGTGAATGGCTTCGAGCAACGGCAGGTCAAATTTACTTTAAAGGCGCCACATAGGTGGGCCCCGTCAAGAGATTGAGGTACAGAGCTGCAGGGTTGGGCGATCAAACCAGCCTTTGTGCGAACGCTACAAGTTATGTTTACATCACAGTGTCTCCGGCTTATATGCCACAGCGGCCTTCCGAACTATCCCAAGCGAATGCTCGGGCAGGCACTCCCACGTCACGGATAGCACAAGAGCGTGCTGGAAGGGCGTCGAAGCCCCAGCTCAGTCGAGTGCAATCGAGAAAGCCGTGGGCTTTACCGGCAGTGATGCCTTTACTCAGCCCAGCAGTCTCGGTGCAATGTAGGAGCACGAGTCCCATCAGCTGTCGTGTGCAACAGTAGGGTAAATGTATACCTTCCTGAGCCTACTAGCTGACATCACCCGAGCATTATCTCATCCCAACGTCCCTCCAACGTGAAAGCGTGCAAGAACACTTTCCCAAGACCCACACGCTCCCAGACATGCCTCTCACGGTCTTTCTCGATGAGAAGGACGTAGCACACTTCCCACTTAGCATCCCGACGTTCGCTTGGTATGTAGTAGTTCCAGATCTTCTGCTCCTTGGTAGTAAAGTCCTCGGCCTGTGACAAAGCGATAAAGTCAAAGACGTCTCCTTCTTTAACACTCCGTCCGTGCGAGTCCAAAGCAAGCCAGTCTGTGTTCACCGTCATCGTACCGCACCAATCCCCAGCGGAGTCGCCGACATGGCATTTTGATAGGCCTGTGATCATGTCGCTCTCGTCCAGAAAGATGTGCAATGAGGTACGTATGGTCCAAAACTGTAGGATGGACATATCTGGGAAAAGGAGCGAAGGTTGTGAGTCGTACATGGCCATGTGCACGCCGAAAAGGTTCTCTGGCAGCTCGCACTTAAAACGGTCCATTGGAAATTCATGATCGGGAAAAAGCGCGGTTCCACCTGCGCGGCCCCATGGGTCCATAGGCTCCATCAAGATCAACTCAGGTGTTAAGGGTGGAGGCGGCGGACGTGTCAGGATCCCGTGGTCATCATGCTGCCGTAAGCTGGCCCTGATCGGTGCCCTGTCGTCATAACGCTCATCAACAACACGCCTTGCATCAGATGCTTCGCGTCTCCGCGTTCGTATACGGTCTGCACTGTGTTGTGGTTTCGTGTACCCCACTTCGTCGTGTTCTGGTTGGTAGTAGTACGGCTGATCTATATTGCGTTGAGCGTGCACTGGATGAGTGTGGTGCTGCTGCGGAAGCGGTTCCCTGTAGAGGAACTTCAAATTCTTGTCCTGGCGTTTGCGGCTGTCCTTGAGCCGCGAACGAGGAGCCAGACGCCGAACCGGTTCATCGAGATAGTCTCTTCTCCTATCGGGAGATGCCGATGACTTGGACGTGTAGGTATCGTCGCTATCTTCTTCTGTACTTGAGGCCTGGTCTGATGTTGCTTCTTCCGCGGTCGATTCCTTCCAACCAGGATAGCCTCGCCAGCGCTGTTCAGTACTCAAGTCTTCGGGCGCAAGCCGACTATCCCACAGTGGACGTAAACGACCCTTGCCGTCCCGGATGTGCCATCTAATCCAAGTGTGTTGTTTCAGCCACATATGCACGTTGTCAAGGCATCCTTCAAGGGAGTCGGGATCGTAGCCAATCTCGCCACCTATCCAGCCGCACCATGCCCAGCTCGGGAACTCTTGGCCGGCTAAATCAGCTGACTTGCGTCTCACTCCTGCTGCCAGAGGCTGCCAAAGTAATGCAAGGTCAAAGTGTGAGGTCGGAAGTCCGAAACAGAAGGGCGCTCTCATGTTCTTCTCGAGCAGGGACTCGACGCCTTTGTATGCAGACAGTACATCCTGGAGCCGTGTTAATTCACGCCGGTAATACATCGGGACGGATGTGATGTAGTATGATAGGGCACGATCATTGATCTCGTTCAGTGAACGCAGCGGCCCTGAGATCGACTGTAGAGACCATGCTTTGCCAGTAGCTTCGTTGTGAATGTCTTCGGACATCGAGGTGCGCCTACATTGATAATAGATCCTTCCTTCGGCGAAGATGACGCATCGTCTGGACAACATCCGTTCCTGGAATGTCCAGGCACGGCGATCCCACTTAGTGTCGCTGATGACCATATCCGGCGTTCGGGAAAGCTGTATATGGAAGCCATGTGCTATCTCCGCGCTTGTGTCGTCCGTTTTGTCGGGAGTGTCATACATGGCGATGATTCCGGCGTCGGCGCTCTCTCCATCTGCAGCACAGATGGTGAGGTAAGCATTACCATAGATGGCGTGCATGTGTTGCGCGTTCAGCTTGAAAGATGTACTGCTATCCTGAACAATACATAAACTATCCACCTGATCACCGTATTAGCCAATCGTACTAAGCCACTAGGGTGAAAGGTGGCGCCTTACCCAGAGATACCGGATGCCAAGTTGCTGTACCAGTTTAATGGAATCTTGTATGGCCTTGGGCAGTCGATCCAAATGAGGCTCGAGCCCACCATGCTCTCGGTGATTCGGTGCGTTTCGCCGTACGGTTCTATAGGGCAGCTCACCTTTTCCCCATACGTAAGAGAGTGCTGCATATTTCGCACGGCGCGGCAACGGTTTCAACTGCAAGTCCACCACATCAATCACGCCAAAGTAAGTCTCACCAATCAACTCGTCAAATTCGCGAGGGTGTGCAATGTCCACTTTGCAGACTTCACCATGATGTTTACGACACAGATCCAGCCAACTCTTGATTAGAGCTTGCTTGCGATTGTTCGCCTCAATCTTGCGACCCAGAAATGTTCTGTAAGTCTGAGACTGCGCTGAAGCATCTGAGTTCGGGCTGAACGGAGTACTACCTGCGACCAGGATTAAGAAAGCTTCCCAGACTACTCGTTCGCCAGCTCTCCATACGATCCGTAGCCGGCGGGTCCGCCTCACAGACGCTATCGCTGCACGACGACTTGGGCCCCTGGCATGCTGCCCATCAACCTCCCATCGCGCATAACACACAGCTGAGGAGTCTCCGAGGTTATAAGCCCTACCGGCACGTTTCAGAGCCGCTGAGATCAGTGCGCACAGGGTACAAGCTGATGCTCTGTCTACAACGGTCTGTAAAGTTCCCAGCTCAAACTCCCTGGCTCCAGTCCGCAGAGCATGTCCATCGTTACGGAGGCTGCTGGCTATGTTACGATGCCCGATGCTGCCCAGATCATCCTTGATAAGGAAGCTTTCCGGGGTGATTTGCAGTTCTTCACATCGGCTACAAAGTTTCGTTTGACCGTGCTGAGAGCCCGAAAGTCCTGTCTTTCGAAGCGTAGATTGTTCTGATGTCGAGGGATCTATGTCGTCCCTGGAAGCCTTATGAGGTGTGGTATCCCTATCGCTGATGCCGTTCACCTGAGGTTCGTTGTCATTTGCGCCAGCGTGTGCCTTAGGCTCCTCGTAGGCGGGAGAAAGGCTCATACTAACCACAAACTCGATTTCAAAGCTACATACCTAAACATCGACATTGACCATGACCATGACAATGACCATGGAAGAGTCAACTCTTCGTAGGACAGTGCAGCTGTCGAGAGGAAGTGGACGTGCTCAGCTGCTTGGCTGCATGACTGCTGGCAAGCGGCCCCAATCCTTCCGCGCTAATGACATAGCAATATCCTCAGCTGAAGCGGCAGGCCTGCTGTTGCGCAGACCGTCCCCGTTACTCACGCTGTGGTCTATGCGGGCTATCAGAAGACGGTAAGATGCGAATATGCTTCTGCACGACAGGTGATGTGTCCCAATCATGCTGCATTGTGGATCTACACATCTCAGTGTTCGCGTTAACAGCTTTTGCACGACAACATGGATAATCCAGCTGAAATGCGCGGCTTCATTCTAGCGTGAGAAACCACGCATCGTCCAAGCGCTCGTTCGATTCACCTAGACCTCCTACAATCACAATGCCCTCCGTTCCATCTACCTCAACGACGCCGGCATCGAACCAGCCTCGGGCTTGTGGAACATCTTGAGCAGACTTGACCTCCGCCCACTCCTGTTCCTTGAGTGAGTAGGACCATACATCACTCAGCATCTTGCCCGCACCTTGATGCCCTAGAGAGCTGGGATCGCTTTCACCGAACATGGTAACAAGAACCGTGCTTCCATTCTTCCTTACTGCCTTCAAAGCTGAGACACTACGAGCTCCAGGACCCGACGTGCCGTCAGCCGAATAGGAGGTGGAACTCCAGCTATTGCTGATCGTATCGAAGACGTCCAGACAACCACCTTGCTCCGTTTTGCCGTCGAACCCGTTCATTCGGTAGAGTCTGCCATCCACGAATTCTATTGATGCGCCGCCTCTCGGTGGGCCAGGAGCGGAGGCCAACTGTGTCCACTTCCCCTCCGAAGCGTCAAATGCCCACAGATCGGATAATCTGCCTTTCTCGGGGCAACCTGCATGGAGGTAGATGGTGTCTTTGCCGTCACTGGCCATGCAGTGGTAGCTCCGGGCCTCCGGGAAAGCCATTGACGATGGTGACAAGAAGCTCCATGCTTCCTTAGACGGATCGAACATCCAAAGCCCACCCTTTTCATCCATGGGAGCCATTGCCTCACCTCCACGACCGGAGAACATGTACATTTTGTTGGCTAGTGTTGCAACAGCCGCACCGACGCGCGGTGGCGGAGAGTCCTTGCTGGCAGAGAATGTTTGGACTCTCCTGTCGCTATGGCCTGTAGGATTGCATCAGTAGGAATGTAAGCTTAGCATCGTTGCATGGCCAACTGGTTGTGAACGCGCACTATCAAATTCCACTTACCATCTGCCAAGTTGATCATGTGGACATCGTTGTCCCGAGGTTGTCGAGGCTTCAATTCGCCCCCAAACACATACGCAGCCGATCCAATGGCGCAGACGGAAACGGACGATCGTTGAAGTCTTTCATGGCTCGCAACCTTCGTCCATACAGCATGTTGTGCCATGCTTCTAGTAGGATCAGCAGTGGCCAATGTCAGGTACGAGTCCCAGTCCAGGGTCCCCTAACTTTGGTAGTCGATCAAGTGAACGAGTTGATCAAGGTTACGATGCAGAACGTACTAAGCTTTCGACACGAGCAACCCTGGTGGACCTGGTTGCAGGAAACTTAAAACATTGTGCGAACCGTTTTGAACACTCAACGTAGGGCCTCAGGTGAAATTGTTGGCACTGAACAGCAGCACCACTCTCCCTAGAGGAGGCGAAGTGTTTGTAGTCTCAGTATGCTGGATCTCAAAACGTTCTATTGGCGGTGTTCATCAGGCGTAGAAGGAACGCCCAATGCCTCAACTCTCCACTGTTGTCTCTTCACTATTGGTTGGAATCGACGGAGATGACAGAAGACCGATACGTCGTTAATGCTCATGGATCCGATGATTGCCGGTTGTCTGATGCGTGTTTATGTTGATTTTCATGGGCTTGACTTGATCGTACGGCTGACATGCGGAAGAAAGTTAAGCCGCTCGCCGAGCCCATGGCGTTTGGCGATTGCGTGTACTGTTATTAGACGGCTCTTAACCGTCTCATAGCAAACAACATCCACTACGCCCACGCCCGCGTTCCTCCTCCATCTCGTCTCCCACGAACGAAGCGCCTTTGCACGACACCGCTACCTGTTATCGACTCGCAACACCAGAGGTGCGCCACACCAACACCGCATTGACCGCCCAGCATGCGGCTCCATTTCCTCACCCTCCTCGCCGCCCTCTGCCCGCTCGCGTTCGCGGACGTACAAGTCACATCGCCTGCGGCTGGCGCATCGATACCGGCCGGTGCAGTCACAATCACATGGCAAGACTCGGGTACCGCGCCAGCGCTATCATCACTCACGACATACACCGTGACGCTGATGGTGGGCGGCAATGACGGCAATACTATGCTTCCGCTTACTACTCTAGCCAACGCCGCATTGTTCACCTCAGGGAGCAGTATCACGGCGACTATCGCGCCGGGATTGGCAGGTAATACAGTGAATGGCTTCTTTCTGCAATTCGTATCTGTGGCAACTCAAGGAGGAACCGTGATCAATTACTCCAGCCGCTTCTCGCTCACCGGCATGACGGGCGTCACCCCAGCTGCGCAAGCGAATGCTGTCACTGCTTTGGGAGGCAGTACAGCCGGTCCAGTGACTGTCAACAATGTCAACAATAATGCAGGGGGTGGTGGTGGTGGTGCGGCGGCAGGCGGTGGTGCGGCAGCCGGCGCAGCCCAATGGACCGTGCCATACAACCTCCAGACGGGCTTGACGAAATATGCACCCATGCAGCCGGTGCCGGGAACGAAGATAACCGTGAATCAGTTCACGCCTCTATTCCCGACGAGCGGTTTTACCGTTGCAACAACCTGGATGGGCCCTGCGACCGTGCAGACAACCATCACGCAAGCGCAAACTTTCAGTGTCGTTAGCGTTGAAAACACCGTAAGTGCCGTCTACAATTGGGGCTGCTTGATATGGTATGCTAACTCTCCATAGGCAGCACCTGTTTCGAGTCCAACGGGCGATATGGCGAAGTTTTTGGCGAGGTGGAAGGATTGATTTATAGTTTGTCTTCAGTATACTGTTGGAAGCATGGTCATTTGCATATACGGTGCTGTTGCAGGTCGGCGTTCCGGATATGTACAGCACAGAGCTATGATGGGACGGAACTTCATCAGGCACGGCGGATATTAACGCCAACGGTTTTGCGAGGATGCATAATGCTGTGCTACACGTACACCACGAAAGACCATCTTGACGCTGTGTTGTGCTGAAAGTGCATTGAGTAAGGTCAGCGTCTGAGCGTATTCGCTCCTTCCGATTACAGTCATGCTTTAGCCCCAGTTGTTCGCCCGCGTATCTGCAACTTCCTAACCTCGCGCCTACCAATACCATGAATGCACCCATAGCAAACCCAGATCTGCCTCCTCCACCGTCTGGCAAGTATCCAGCGAAATCGCACGCACGTCGAGTAGCAAAGTGGATTGCCGGCCATGGCGGTCCTACGTCCGGCGTTATCTACCTCGAAGGGCAGTCGACCAAGATGACGGAGGTACACTCTCATGGTTGCTCTCAGTCTCCGCATGTACAGAAGTTGACGGTGGTGCCAGGATGACGATCAAGCTACACACTTTCGGTGATATCACGCGAACGTCCCACTATGAGAAGAGATCATGCAATTGACATGGCTCCAGTCAACGACGCCACTTCTACTACCTAAGCGGTTGCGACCTACCCGACTGCTTCTTCGCCTACGACATAGCGGCCGACAAGAGCACGCTATGGATCCCGCCCGTGGACCCAGAGTATGTCATGTGGGCCGGCATGCCACTCCTGCCCGAGGAAGCCATGGAACGCTACGACATCGACGAAGTTCTTCCCTCCGACGAATTAAAGACCGGCTCAAGCCTTGTCAAGATGCTCGAGAAGCAGCAGACCACGGTCTTCGCGATCCAAGACCGCGCCGATCTCGCCATCTTCCACGCCGAACATCTTCGCCAGTACGACCCGCAGATCGACTACGAATGGACCCGCAAAGCAATAGAAGCCTGCCGTGTCATCAAAGACGAACACGAAATCGCCCTCATCCGACACGCCAACATCGTCTCCTCCTACGCCCACGAGCAGGTCCTCGCGTCCGTCAAACGGGCCAAGAACGAGCGCGAGCTCAACGCCGTCTTCGTCATGCACTGCCATGCCAACGGCTGCAGAGAACAAGCGTATGGCTGTGTCTGCGCTTCTGGAACAAACGCCAGCACGCTGCACTATGTGCATAACGACATGCCGCTCGACAGCCGGCTTAACCTTCTCTTGGACGCAGGATGTGAGTCCAACTGCTACTGCGCGGATATCACGCGTACCTTCCCGCTCAACGGGACTTTCTCCAAAGAAAGTCGGGAGATCTACGAACTAGTCTTGCGCATGCAGACGGAATGCATGACCATGATCCGCGCCGGCGTGAAGTGGGAAGACGTGCACATGCGCGCTCACGCCGTGGCGGCCTCCGGTTTGCGGGACTTGGGCATCCTGCAGAAATCCCTGAGCGTTGATAACATCCTAGATAGCAAAATCACCACCCGCTTCTTCCCACACGGCCTGGGTCACTACCTAGGCATGGACACGCACGACGTAGGTGGGAACGCCAACTACTCCGACCCGAATGAGTTCTTCGCTTATTTGCGCGTTCGAGGCACGTTGCCTGCTGGGGCGGTGATTACGAATGAGCCGGGCATTTACTTCCGTAAGTATCCGTTTGAGCAGGAGCTCAAGGATGGAAGGTGGGATGGTGTGGTTGACCAGGGTGTGCTGGCGAGGTATTGGGAGGTAGGTGGTGTGAGGATTGAGGATGATGTTTTGGTTAAGGAGGATGGGTGTGAAAATCTCACCACGGTGAGCAGTGAACCGGAGTATATTGAGGCGGCGGTAAACGGGCGTGATCAAGATAGTGTGCGCAAGTAGTTATTTGTGCTCCAAGTTATCACAGCGTTATCGCCACCTACATAAGTACAATATAGTACACCATTGCAACATTTCTCCATACCAGCGTCCAAGCATACAATCAACATATCGCGAACAAGAGCCGGAAATACATTAAATCATGTCATCATCAAAATCATCGTAGTCACACTTATCCCTCATAGTTGCAGTAAACCTCCGAATCACCCGAAGTACCGCAATCCGTCTGCGTCTGGCCGTTCTGCTGGACGTCAAAGATAGTAGCGCCTGTAACGCCGTGCGAAGCGCCGTTGGACTGGTAGGAAGCGCCCGTGAAGGTGACGCTGCCGAAGTTGGCGAAGGGAACGAGAGAAGAGCCGATTTGGAAGTCCTGATAGCATCACATGTTAACACAGCAATTTCTACGTAGAAGGGAGCATGATGTTCTTCTCACCTCCACAATCCACTCAGCATTCGTCTCGCAAAGGGTACCGGTGCTGCTTTCATCGCTGAATGTGTGCGACACACTCTGGCCGGTGGACTGATTCTCAAGGGTCGCAACGCCGCTCGTGGTCGAGGTGGCCTGGACAGTGGCGCGGATGACATTGCCGGGCGCAACGTCGAAGTCGGTGAAGGTGTAGCTATAGTCCGGGTACCACTCGTACCATGCGGAGTAGGCGGTCTCAGTACCCTCTACGAGGCACTCTACGCCAGTTTGGAGGATGGCTGTTCGAGTATCCAAGTCAGCCTCGAACACGCCCAGGACATGATAGGCTGAATGTACGTACCAGCACCGCAGGTATCACCATCAATACCCACCCACGCACTCGCACCATACTCTGTGGAATCGCTACCGCCAGCCGGCTCGCTCACACTCGGCACGGTGAAAGTACCCGTGACCTCAGTAATGCCGCTGCTGATGATGACCGCGCCAGCCCAGTTGCTAGAGTAGACAGTCTGCTTAGTGTTGCTGTCGTCGCCGTTGTCATTCCCGGAGATGAAGTCTCCCAGGCCGGTGAGGTTGACGCCCGGGACAAGGTTGGGCGCGAGGGGGCGCAAGCTGTTACCCCTGCGGCCGGCGAGGCGCTTGGCCAGGCGCTCGTGGCGCTTCTCCTCCATCTTCTTGTGGAGGCGGTCCTGGATTGGAGTAGCGAGGGCTGAGCCTGCCAGAAGGGCGGCCGCGAGGGTGATGGTGAACTTCATGTTGGCTGGAATGAGAGGATGTTCTGAAGCGAAAGCGGATTGTGTACGTGAGACAGTAGCCAACACTGAAGTCACCTGGTCTGTATTGTTGCTGCTGCTTGATGGGGAGGAGAGAGTATCAACAACGCGACCAACCCACTTACTTATACTCACCACAGCGCTGAGGTAGTAATGCGACAGAGTACGTCGTCTAAGCAAGCCATCAAGCGAAGAGCAGACGGATTCCGCCGCCGTCGCTGCAAGCGGATGATCCCAAGATTGCCGATCAGTGGGAGCGGATGATCATATTGCGTGCATAGAGAGACCTTGCTATGCCTCATTCCAGCAAAGTTGATGGACAAGATCAACGCTGAGGTCACGGCAAGCGCTCGAGGGGTGAGATGTGGAACCCGGGGTCTTGTCGGCTGCACGTTGCGCTGCAAGTTGGCCAAGGGGCATGGATGACGACCTGAGTCAGGTCGGCAGTATGTTTGCCAACATGCAGGAGTGGTGCGCTTGAAGCGGTGCACGTGTAGGCGTAGGCTTTGCGAAAAGCAGAGCTGGCTTGTTGATCAACGTCAACGGACATTGCAACTGTCGGCGGGCATTTCCGCTCTACGCTGCGAACAAGTGCGCAGTGACCAATGACGTCCGCTGGTTTCACCTCAACCCGGTGGTGATCTACACAGCCGTCGAGTGTAGCGGCGCCATCAGCGTGGCAGCGTTCCAGGGATGCGGCTCTGACGCTTTGACCATCAATTTTGTGTCAGTTTTAAAGTCTTCGCTATGAGCTGTAGCTTCCACCACAAGCTGTCTGCGAGTGCAGATGCAGGTAAGTCAGGTACATCAGCGTGCATGCAGTCAAGCTTTAGGGGTTGTCAAACCTAACTTATCAGCGAAGGCCGTCGCGTTCATGGCGCATTCTTCACCAGCTGAGTCATCTGCAGGGGAGCTTGCAGCCGAGAGGACCGCAGGAGGATAGTGCCGGTGGCGCTCGATTGCGGTACCTCCATTCAAGCAGGTCAAAGGAGGTGAGACAAAGCTGTGGTAGACGTGACGTCTGCGAAGCAATTCCCAAGACCGAGGCAGACTCCCCACATCACTTCCTGCATCAACGTGAACTCTCTGCTCTCAATGATGCGCAAGAGCTCAGGCGAGCGAAATCGCTCATGCAAGACAGTGAGATGGCCGCGCAAGCTGCTCATCAATCTATGGTAGAACCTTGAGATTGTGTTGATCCCGTACCATACTCCTGGCATTCCGGGTACATTCGCGCGGGAGGCTTCAAAGAAGTAAGATAGCGCATGCAGGCACTACACACGGGCGGCGTGGGAAAAGGCCGACTGGTCAAAGCTCAGGAACTGCTTGGAATGCACGGCTCATGGCGCTGTGTCAAGCTGGGGGTGCCTGTAGTTGACGGCCACTCACGATGTATCTGTCTTCGATGATTTTTTAGCAGCTCATGGGTAGTCGGCCTTGAGCGGGGTGTATGGTGTGTGAGGGTGCTTGAAAGACGTCCCGGCTTACCGAGGAGATCTTGTTAGTCACGTTAGTCGCAGCGATGGATCTCCGAATACTCTTGGCGCTTCCTGCTCGGTTGTCGCCGATCAACCGGCTCCTCTGGCTGTGTCTGTGATGCGTCCGCACGCCTTGCCACACAACAGAGATCAAATACCACAACGACGGCGACGTAGCAAAACTGTCCCCGCAGAAGGAAGAGGTGAGGTTAAGCGTGCATGTCGAGGCAATCGTCTTGTGCCACCAACCACATCTGCTGGGGTCAAAAAGTTAGCGCCAAAGCAGTTAGTGGCTTCTTGGCGACATTCTTCCATTGCTCGCGTGCCTTCCCCTTTCGTAATTCTGTCTGTAGGTGTGCAGTGAAGTTCAAGTGCAGCGACACAGCATGTCCAAAGCAGCCACCTCCCCCACAGCTCGCCTGCTCCAACACTCCCGCCTCTTCTCCCTACCTCGCCCACTACCCCCGGCCTCCCTAGAAAGCATCTCCTCCACAGGCGTGTATCGCGCCTCCGAGACCGCCACCCTCCCCTACCCAACCCACCAAGCCATCACCACCCCGGCCTCCTCCCACCACCGCGGCGACTGGGGCCTCAAGCGTCCCCTCCCCCGCCGGGCCACCGCGAGCTCAACGCCACACATCCGCGTCTCCGCGCAGGACAACTTCCAACACATCACCGACTTCGGCAGTGCAGCCGACCACACGCAGACGCGGGCGAAATGGGAAGAAATGGGGGTGCCAATCATGATGCCCCAGTTCGGCCGCGAGAAGAAACCACCACGGAGCGTATACGACACCGATGACATTACGACCCCCAACCGCCAAGCCGGCAGCAACACCCACACCGGCAGATGGAAGTACGCCGGTCCCTCTCTAGCGGGCATGCAACCGGGCGAATTCAACGCCTTCATCTCCAACCTCCTCACCCGTCGCAACCCCTCCTCCGGCGCAAAAGACATCACCGGCTCCTCCCACCTCCCCTCCTTCCGCGAACACCTGCGCACCCGCCTCCACACCCGCGCCATCGCCGACGCCCGCCGCACCGCGCAAGAAGCAGGCGAAACCCTGCACCCCTCCGACCTAGCCTCCCTCCGCCCCACCGATGCGGAATTAGACGCCCACATCAAACAGCTCCGCGACGAGCACGTAGAACAAAAACTCTACTCCCAGCTCTCCGCCTCAATCTCCGAATTTCTGGATCTACCCTCCGTCCTCCCCTCCGAAGCGCAGGCGGAACTAGACGCCTACGCGCAGACATCGGAACTCAAACGCGCCATCTTCGCCAACCTGGACAACCCCTCCGACGACGGCAGCGGGGACGGCAACGCCACCCCTTCCACCCACCCGGCCGTAGGATTATCGTATCTGCGCACGAACGCGGTCATGGAAAACCACCCCCTCCACGGCCCGCAAGCCCAGCGCGCCCCCGTCCTCGCACGGGTCGTCCGTTTCCGCACGTCGTCCATGGGAACGGAATACAAAGCCAAACTTGGCGTCGGAGGGGTGGTGGCGGAGGATCCGATCAGCAATACCTACAACCCCGACCGCAGCCCGGGACCGCGCGGGCCGGGGCAGGAGGGGAAATACGACCCGCACGCGCTCGTGCACGCGATGGATCCGGCGGCGGAGACGGGGAGTAAAATCTGGGTGCACCCGCGACAGGCGTGGATTGATGAGAGGGGCCGGATACGGTTGGAGGTGGCCCGCGCGGAGGGGGAGGCGATTGCGGTCAAGACGGGGGAGGTGCAGGCTATACATGATGAGCGGGAGAGGATACGGAATGGGTATCGGAGGGGTGGTGGTGCTGGGGCTGGGATGGGAATTGGAGGTGGGGGGAGGATGGCGCCGCCGGGGACGGCGGGGAATGCGAATTTTGGCTTTGCGTTGCCGGATTTGGGGGCGTTGAGGGCGCAGCAGCAACAGCAGCAGCAGAGGCGGGCGGGGTGGTCGGCTAAGAATAATGCTGTGGCGCGGCCTTTGCGCGTGCAGGGGTTTGACAGGGAGGGTGCTGCGAGGGGTCAGCAGCAGCAGCAGCAGCGGAGGGGTGGGGATCCGGTGACCCAGTTGACGGAGTTATTGAGGTCGGGGAGGGATCAGAGGCAGTGAATGTGCGATGGGGGAAGATCCAGATGTGGATTTGTATAGATTGTACAATATATCCCGCCCGAGGTTGTACGCAGAAGTTGTACGGCCTAGCTGGTCAGCGCTCTCCCCAATCACCATTTCCATATTCTTCTCTTAACTCCCATCATCCGGCCGCCCCGCTCCAAACACCACCGATTCACACATCGTCGCCACCCACCACCCCGCTCCCGGCGGCAAGGGGTGATCAGGTCCCGCACCATACAACGCAGTCATCCCCTCCCCACAGGTCAAATCCCCCGTATACACGTCAACGGGAAATTCCAACTTACATACACCTGTACGGATATCCCAAGCACTAGCCGCGCAGTACGAAGCTTCCGCGCAGAGTTGACAGCAAGTCGAGCCGTCGGTGGTATTGGTTGTGAAATGTGCGCCACCGGTTGGAGTGTCGGCGATGTATTCCAACCCGTAGCCGTTGTAGGCGCTCGTCAAAGCGGTCGGGGCGCAACGGACGTCGTGGGTTGTAATTGTTGTTGTTGTTGGAGTTGAGGCGTTGACGGTGGCGGACCCGCAGAGAGATGGGGTCGTTGTGGCGGTTGCGGTGGCGATGGTGTAGGCTGTTCCGCCCGGGACGGTGAGAGTGGTGGTGGCGAGGGTGAAGGCGGTGTAGTCTGTGAATGTGGTGGTTTGGTTAGGGACGGCGACGAAGGTGAAGGTGAAGCCGTAGGTTGTTGTCCAGGTGGTGGTTACGGTGCAGGCGAAGTTGGTTTGGCGAGGATGGAGGCCTAGGGGGCGTGCGGTGGGTTGGATGGTTGGGGTGAGAACTTCAGTACATGTGTCTGATGTTGGATCGGGTGAGGCAGTTGGGAGAGGGTCTGTTGTGTGGCTTCCAGCAGTGGTGTAGACGGTCCGGGTAAGATCCCGGTTGATGATGGTCCCATACGCCGTACAAACGGCACTCGTCGTCGTGAGCGTCATCAGCGTCTTGGTCGAGCTTTCCGTCGTGACCAGCGTAAACGTGCCCAGATCGTCGGCGGTGGTGGCGTGGATTGTCGTCACATGGGTGGATGTGTAGGTGTGCTGGACGATGTGTGAGATTGCCATATATATGAGAGACACAGCTGGAGAGGGGGGTGTGTGTGTGAGTATGTGTGTGTATGTGTGTGTGTGCCTGTCTGTGTCTGTGTGTGTGCTTACAGTGGAAGTGGGCACGATGACCTCGTGGGTGACGGTCACGCAGTTGCTAGTATCTTGCGGGAGGGCGAATGCAATGCTGACCAGCAGCAGCGATAGAAGGCGTGTTTGCATCTTCCCGCTCGAAGAGTGAGAGTGAGAGTGATTCAGTCCATCAAGGAGACTTGGCACACAACGACCGACCGACCGAACGGACGAAATGGTGGTTGATGCGACGCCACTCGAGCTTTCTGCGAAGGGAAGGAGCACTGGTAGACAAATGCCTGTAGGAAATGGAACTGGAAGGCGCAAACCTACATCTCAGACCACGGTGGGATATGCCTGCGTTTACGTCGCATGAGCGGACAAGCAACAAAGAAGCGAGACCTGCACACGAGTGATGCGTTGTGGTCGGTGACCTACGAGTGGACGAGCGACGCCCGGGGCAAATTTCCCGATAAGTAGTGCAGTACCTCCCTCCCTCTTTCGCGCAGCACAAACACTGATCGTGGGGGTGACAGAGCATCACCGCAGTTCGAGAAGGCTTCCTGCGGGAGGCTATAACTCTGGTATAGATGGGACGGTGTACAGTGCAGCATGTAGGACTTGTTCGCACACGAAGCTGCTGAAGGGAATGCAGGAAGTCAAAAGTGGAATAGTAGTCGTATGTACGACCCCATCATGCAGCCAGCCGCTAGCGCCGGGGGGGTACAAACGTCCCGTTAGCGACAGAACAGGCAGATGGCTCTTATTGTCGCCACGACTGGCAAAATCACTGCGGGCATACAGTACACGTAGTTGGGATTCGCCGTCGCAACCATATCATGATAACATACGTGCGTAATCATCAACGCTCACCCACCATCCAACAAACAAACGGGGGTGGGTCAAACTGGCACATTGTAGAAACAGAAATCGCAACACACCACGAAGAAAAGCGTTCATCAAGCATATACCCACATTGTCGAGGGCTACGTCAACCCTACCACTCCAACGGCTCCGTCTTCTCCTCCCCCCGATTCGTCCTCGGCACGGGCGCGGCATCGACCTTCACCGCCTCCTTCCGCTCCCCCCTATTCAAATACCCACTCCCATCCAACCAAGGCGTCTCCTCCGTCCGCCGGCGCTCAAACCTACTGATCTTGTCGTCCATCTGCAACGTGAGCCCAATCTCATCCAGGCCCTCCACCAAACACTTCCTTCTAAACCCATCCGTCTCGAACTCCGCGAGGACCTTACCGTCCGCGGTCTTGACTTGTTGCGCTTCGAGGTCGACCTCGATTCCCCGCCCCGCCTTGGCTTCGTCCGCGATCGCGTTCAAGGCGGCGGAGTCGTCGATGACGAGCGGCAACATGCCGTTCTTGAAGGTGTTGTTGAAGAAGATGTCGCCAAAGGAGGGCGCGATGATGCATTTGATCCCGAAGTCCAGCAGAGCCCAGGGCGCATGCTCGCGTGAACTGCCGCAGCCAAAGTTGGGGCCCGTAACTACCAGGATTTTGGCCTTGGTGTACGGCTCCTTGTTGAGGACGAAGTCCGGGTTGGGACTGCCGTCCTGCTTCCAGCGGTAAGCGTAGAACAATCCTTTGGATAGACCGGCCCGTTTGATGGTCTTGAGGAATTGTTTCGGAATGATGGCGTCTGTGTCCACGTTCGCACGGTCCATGGGCGCGGCGATACCGCGGAGTTGGGTGAATTTGGGCATGCCGGCTGTGCTAGAGGGTGCTTTGGTGGAGACGGTGTTGCCCTGGCTGTCTTCGTTCAGGTCGAGGATTTTGTCCAGGTCGGCGTCGGAGTCCGGTTCGTCGACGTGAGGAGCTTGTTGCGACACGTTCTTGGATGCTTTCTTCGAGTTCGGCAGGGCATGTTCGTAGCCAGATAGATGGCGGACGTCGGCGAGTTTGCCTGCCAGAGCGGCGGCGGCGACCATGGCGGGACTCATCAAGTGCGTTCGCGCGCCCGCGCCTTGTCGACCCTCGAAGTTGCGGTTGCTGGTGCTGGCGCAGCGTTCCTGCGGCGCGCAGATATCCGGGTTCATGCCGAGGCACATGGAGCAACCTGCCTCTCTCCATTCGAATCCGGCGTCTTCGAAGATCTTGTCGAGGCCTTCTTCTTCCGCTTGTCGTTTGACCAGCCCGGAACCGGGAACGACCATGGCGCGCTTGAGGTTGGGCGCGATCTTCTTGCCTTTGACGATGTGCGCTGCGGTGCGGAGGTCTTCTATCCGCGAGTTGGTGCAGGAGCCGAGGAAGACTTTGTCGAGGACGATGTCGGTCATCTTCGTGCCGGCGGTGAGACCCATGTACTCCAATGCGCGGACGCAGGCGTCACGCTTGTTTTGGTCTTTGAAGTCGTCGGGACCTGGCACGACGCCGGTGATTGGGATGACATCTTGCGGACTCGTACCCCATGAGACCGTAGGCTCGATGTCTTTGGCGTCGATAAAAACATCGATGTCGAACTTGGCATCGTCGTCTGTCCGTAGGCTCTCCCAGTATTTGACCGCTTTCCTCCACTCGGCACTGTCCACTTTCGGTGCTAGAGGTCGGCCCTTGAGGTACTCAAAGGTGGTCTCGTCCGGCGCGACCATGCCTGCTCTTGCGCCGCCCTCGATCGACATGTTGCAAATTGACATCCTGGCCTCCATGCTCAACGACCGAATGGCCGACCCGCAGAACTCGATGACATGTCCCGTGCCGCCGGCGGTACCGATCTTGCCAATCACGTAAAGGATGATATCCTTGCTGCTCACGCCCGGTGGCAGCTCACCGTCGACCTGCACCCGCATGTTCTTACTTCGTCGCGTGAGTAGTGTCTGTGTGGCGAGGACATGCTCGACCTCACTCGTGCCGATGCCGAAAGCCAAGGCACCGAACGCGCCGTGTGTGCTCGTGTGCGAGTCACCGCATACCACGGTCGTGCCTGGAAGGGTGAAACCCTGCTCCGGACCTATGATGTGCACGATCCCCTGCCGCTTATCACCAAGTCCAAAGTACGTCAGCTTAAAGTCCTTGACGTTCTGCTCCAGCGTCTCGCACTGCAGCCGCGAGTCATCTTCTTCCACGAACTGGGTAACGTTCTTGAAATTCTTGCGCGTGGTGGTGGGGATGTTGTGGTCGGTGGTTGCGAGCGTGCAGTCCGGTCTTCGCACTTTACGACCGGCGTTCCTCAGACCCTCGAAGGCTTGCGGGGAGGTGACCTCGTGGGTGAGGTGGCGGTCGATGTAGAGGAGGATGGTGCCATCGTCTTGCTCGTTGACGATGTGGGAGGTGAAGACCTTGTCGTAGAGGGTTTGCGGGCCGGATACTGCGCCCGGCATGGTGATGACGGTCTGCTGTGGCTCGAATGTAGGTGTTTGGTAGGTGGAAGGGAGACAGAGTGTGTGAGAGGGACAGCTTCATCGTCGAACAGCATATTCGACATCGAAAAGCGAGCCGATATCGGAGGCGGCCAATCTTGAGGCTTTGGGCCAAACCCCGCCATCTCGGCACCGTCGGCGTGGCTGGAGAGAGTCTGATGTGGCTGATCTCATTGCTCGCGTGCATGTGAGCTCGTGCTCGTCAAGGCAACAGCTTCCACCACTTCCCAAATCGATCGCTTCTTGCATTCACTTTCGTATCCCCTTCATTACTGGCAAAATGAAGACCATCACTTTGGGAGCGCTCGTGGGCGCGGCATCATTAGCGACAGCCCTCTCCATCCCCTCCACCTTACGACAAGCCGTCAGCCAACTCGCCAGCGGGCAGAACCCCCTCGCCAGCGCTGAACGATACCTGATCGAACTCGCGCCCAGCCAAACGCAATGGGTGACGGAAGAAGAGAAGTGGCAACTCCGCCGGCAAAACATCAACTTCTTCGACATCACCGAAACGCCCGACCTCGCCACGACAACCTCGAGGTCGACCGTCCGCTTCCCCTCCAAGACCGCCCACAATGAATCCATCACCCCGTTATTGAAGACGTTGGACAAACAACACATGATCTCCGACCTCACAACCTTCACCGCCTTCCACACCCGCTACTACCGCTCCGATTACGGCCGGCAATCCTCCGAATGGCTGTTGGCGCAAGTAAACCACACCCTCTCCTCCGCCTCCAAAAACACCTCCACCTCCACCTCTACCTCTTCCAACTTCACCGGCCACGTCCGTCCCTTCCCCCACTCCTGGGGCCAGGCCAGCATCATCGCCACCCTCCCCGGCAAATCTGCAAACACAATCGTCATCGGCGCCCACCAGGACAGCACAAATCTCTTCCTCCCCTCCCTCCTCGCCGCCCCCGGCGCGGACGACGACGGGAGTGGCACTGTCACCATCCTCGAGGCGCTGAGAGTGTTACTGCACGATCCGAAGATTTTGGCCGGGGAGCAGGAGAACACGGTGGAATTTCATTGGTACTCTGCGGAAGAAGGCGGACTGTTGGGCTCGCAGGCCATCTTTTCCGCGTACCAGAAGAGCGGGAGGAGTGTGAAGGCGATGTTGCAGCAGGATATGACGGGCTACACCCACGCAACTCTTGCGGCGGGCGAGCCGGAGAGTGTGGGCGTGATCACGGATTATGTCGACCCGGGCTTGACGTCTTTTATCAAGGAAGTCGTGACGGAGTATTGTACTATTCCGTTCATCGAGACGAAGTGCGGCTATGCGTGTTCGGACCACGCGAGCGCGAGTAAAGCGGGTTACCCGAGCGCGTTTGTGATTGAGAGTGATTTTAAATACAGTGATAAGAAGATCCATACCACGGACGACAAGCTGGAGTACTTGGATTTCGACCATATGTTGCAGCATGCGCGGTTGACGTTGGGGTTGGCTTATGAGTTGGCGTTTGCTAAATTCGAATGAATCGAGTTGTGATACGGGGGGGTGGTTATTGGGCATTCAATGTGTAATATACAGTGAGGAGTGAGAGGTGTAGAGTATGTAACTACCAACGCATCTGCAGCACTGATGTAGGCGCAAAGCGCAGTGGTTTCAGGCCCTCACCTCTTAACTCAACGCTGCGGTTGTTGTAATCGAGTCAGTAGTCAATTCATCGTTGAGCCTCTCATGCGCCACTAGTGTTGGTCGGCCCGTGACAGTAGGTCTGCTTGGGACTTTTTTTGGTCGATCTTTCTGACGACTGCTTGGCGACAGTGGTTGCCGTCGCTGGCCATAGACTACGCCTTTCGAATCATCTGCTGATGTCGGGAATGTGGTTCCAGACAGAGTAATCAAGGTCAAGCGTGAGGTGTTGTGAGACATCACCTTTCGTCCGGTCCCGATGACAGAATGGGTGTCTGCTAGCAACCTGTCCGACACTCTGCTGCTCCACGGCCCGCCTCGCTTTGCCGTACGATTATGCGAGGACAACCGACATTCCAGCGAGACGCGGGAGCACTGTTGGGCTTGGTTGCGGATATAATTGCATATACGAGCTCTTTTCAACCTTTCCGTTTCGTCCGCTTGCTGCTCTTCCCACCACTCTCCACTCCACTCGCCTTCCCCATCACCCCATCACTTCTCTCCCCCGCCGCCTCTACGACCGGCCCTGGAGCAGCCAACTCATCCCGCTCATCCCTCTTCGCATTCTTCAAATCCGCGTCCCCAATCACCTCAATACTACTCGCCAACCACTGCTGGAAAGGTTTCGCGACGAAATACCCGTCCGCCGTCATCCACGTGGTGAAGGGTGCGCGGATCTGCCAGGAGCTCGGACTGTTGCTGCCGGTCGAGGGGTCCGTAACGGAGACGGTGAGGTAGTAGGTTGGGTCGTGTTTGTGGGTTTTACTGGACAGTGAGAACTGCCAATTCAGACACCCTGTTAGCAACTGTCCCCTCTAAACCTGTGAACGTTGTTGATTTGATCACGCACCTTCCTCCCCTCCCTAAGTCCCTCAAACACAATCCCCTGCTCAACCGCCCACATCCAATACGTAAACGCGGCATTCAACAATGCATACGCGATCACCGCCGGTGCTGTATATATTTTTGTTTGCTCCCAGCCTAACTTATAGTCTGCTGCGAACAAGACTCCGGCGATTATCACTGAGATGTAGCCGATCGCTAGTCGGACGTCGAGTTTACTGTTGTCTTGGGTGAAGTGAAGGCCGCGGAGGTAGTTACCCAGGGCGTCGTCGGTGGTGTTCTTGAGGTCCGCCAGGGAGTGGGGGGAAATTTTGGATTCGGCCATGGTGGCGCTGTCTGTACTGGGGCTACTGAGTGCTGTGTCCGGTGGGAAGGTCGAAGTTGTTCACATGGTTAGATGCTATCTTAGAGGAGGATCGAATGCACACTTGGCTGTTTCACGTTCACTTCGCCGTACCTTCCGCTTGGGGAAGCTTGGCAATGCGGGTCCGCTTCTTGCATGTGAACACTTCCAGTCCGTACTTTATCTGCGTCGAGCCGACAAGCAATTGTACGGCTTCGCAACGTACATCATGGCGGGACCAGTGGAACAGCAGATCCACCGAGATCCTGCCCTCTTGTACGCGATAGCAATACTGGATTTCGTGTCCCAACCTTACTAATAATATATCACAGCTATTGGATCCTCCTCCCCATCACCGTAGTCATGATCCTAACCGGCGTCCTGCGCCACTATCTCACCGTCCTGCTCACCTCAACCCCCAAACGGCAACCGCTTGAGAAACTCCGCGAACAGCGCCACCTCGCCCACATCCGCCTCCTCATCGCCAACTCCCCGCAAATTCCCCGCGCGTCCTTCGAAAAGCGACGGGAATGGATCGCGGAGCAGGTGAAGGATGGAGGCTTTTTGGCTGGGGGCCCGGAGAGCAGGGGTAGTGCGAAGCCGAATCCGCTCAGTGATCCGGCGATGATGGAAGGGATGATGGGGATGATGAAGGGGCAGGTTGCTATGATGGTGCCGCAGAGTTTGATCATGGGGTGGATCAATGCGTTCTTTTCGGGTTATGTGATAAGTACGATCCACCCTCTACCCTTGAGGTTTGTTACGGTTGTGGCTGATTGCGCGGTGATTACAGTGAAATTACCCTTCCCTCTAACCCCCCAATTCAAGCAAATGCTCCAAGCAGGCGTCGGCACACGCGATCTGGACGTGCGATGGGTGTCTTCGCTGTCATGGTATTTCCTCACGCTTTTCGGACTACAACCCGTGTACAATTTCATTCTGGGAAGCAACAACGGGGCGAATCAGATGGCGCAGCAGATGCAGATGCAGCAGGCAGGCCAGCAGATGCCGGGTGTCGATGACATGGATAAGATTTTCCAGGCGGAGTTGGAGAATGTGGAGGTGGTGGAGCATTGGTATGTGTTGGATGGGGTGGAGGAGCGGTTGTTGAAGAGGTTGGGTGGGTAGTCTTATATCGCACTGCGCCCTTTTGGAATGAGAGTCATTGCGCTTCAGGTTTCTCTCTCGCACATGCTGAGTTATGATATGACTGCCTGACGCGCCATTTCTGTATAACGACTGCTTGCTACAAGAAGGTGGAGAAATAGCTATATCCTGCCGCCTCTTGAGACGGGCGGATATGGCGGCAGCTTCAGACACTCGGACCCCTGCCTTGGGGTTTTAGGTAGCGTTATAACACTGCCTAGACGTACGCTCATTACCAGAGTGGTGTTTGCTGGTATGCGATGCCCACTACTTCGTCGGCTCATTCCCATCTCCACTACCGTTCTCGCAATCGGCACAAAGATCGACCGGCGTAAGTCACTAACCACTTTTCGTATTTGGGCAACCTCCATCTTCCCTCCGACAACTCGCCAACACAGCATACACTGCGAGACCCATCCCGAGACGGCATCTGTATCTGAGTAGCCTCTCTAAGCATCGAGGATGCCAGATATAGGCTTAGTTGTCGCTCTGCGCAGAGATGTCGTGAAATCAGTCTTTGCTTCATGATAACCTCCTCCCTCTCGTTCCCTTCGTCATAGAAGAAGTTGTTCTATTGATATACATCTTTGCGAGAATGGTCAAGTACGACATTATCCAAGCTCGTGCAACCGCACTCGTCAAGTCCCGCCCTCTCGTCGCCGTCTTCGTAGGCGGCACGAAAGGTATCGGAGAATACACCATCCGCACTCTCGCCCGCACTCATGGATCAGATGGCCAAGGTCTCCGCGTCTACATCGTCGGACGCAATGCAGATGCCGCCAACAAGATCATCACAGAGTGTCAAACGTCCTGTCCGACGGGTGACTTTCGCTTCGTCAAAGCTACCGATCTAAGGCTGCTTCGCGATGTAGATCAATGCTCTAACCGCATTACGCAGATGGAGAGGGATGGAGAAGGGCTAGCTGGCGAGCCAGCGCGTATAGATCTGCTATATCTGTCACAAGACTTGGTGAAGTTCGGTGACCCAGAGTGTAAGTCATCCCACACCGTCACTCACTACGGGCAGCCAAATCCTGACAAGGTAAATATTCAGACACATCCGAAGGCCTCGAAGTCTCCATGTCCCTCCTCTACTACTCCCGCATCCGCTTCATCACAAACCTCATGCCACTGCTCCTCGCCTCCTCGCAGCCCGCACACGTCATCTCCATCTACGCCGCCGGCCTGGAGACGTGGGGCACACTCTTCCGGAACGACCTCGCTCTAACCAAGGATCCAAAACAGCACTACAGCTTCCTCAACTGCCGCACCCACGTCATCCGCATGAAGACCATGTATTTCGAGCGCCTGGCCGAACAGCATGCGGGAAAGCTCAGTTTGGTGCACGTCTTCCCTGGATTGGTGATAGGACCGAGCTTCCAGAACCCTTCGTTTCCGCTGTGGTTCAAGATTCTTTGGTTTCTTCTGGAGCCGATAGCGAGGTTACTGATGAATACGGCGCCGGAGGTGAGTGGAATGCGGCATTTGTTTCTGGCTACTTCCCGCTATCCGGCGCGAGGGCAAGTGGCGCAGACGGAGGGGGATACGGATTTAGATGTGGCAGTGGCGACGGACGGGGTGCGAGGTGGTGGCGCGTACTCTTGTGGTCAGACTGGTGAGATCAATAATATACAGCAGGCTTATGTTGAGCTGCGGAAAAAGGACTTCGCAGATCAAGTGTGGGAGCATACGCATCGAGTGTTTAGCGTGATTGAGGCAGGGAAGAAGTTTGAGGAATGAGCGTGCATGGTAGCTGATTTGCAGCATGCTGACAAGCGCATTGCGACTGCCCTCTGCCCGATTGACACAAAATCTCTCATTCGATGTTGTTGCTATCGGTTAGGGCTGGGATCATGTGCTCCAACACGCGACAATCAAACTCAGAGCTTCCGTCATCCTCCTTACGCGATCAAACTCATCGTGGAGACCATATGGCAGTGGCGTGGCACCATCATCTCTGAAAGAGGAAAGGGCACGATGGCAGATTTGCTGAGCGCTCCGGCACAGTCGTGGTGATCCAGATTGACTCGGCTCGGATCTTAGATTCGGGGCCATTGACTCGGTCAATGAACGCTTTCCACTTCGCATACTCTTCGTTCGAATTTATGGATGTCTGTCGTTTGGTTTCCTCCATTCGTGTACGCAGACTGTCGAGGCCGTCGACGATGTTTTCCTGCACGCTGGCTATCGCTATGCTGACTTCTGCGAGCGATTGGTCCATACACTGCAGTGTCTGGGCCTGTGAGACCCAGGCATCTATTAAGTCTGCGGATCTTTGGGCTCATCCACCTCCGCGGCCTTGACGTGGATTTCTTCTGGAGAGCAGTCGGAGTGTTCTAGCTTGATCGTCAAACGACCTTGAACATCGTCCCGACCTACACCTATGCCGGTGTTGAACTGTTTCTCCACATCGGACCAGAACTTCTGCAGGGCTATGGTCAAAGGTATCGGTTCCTTACCGTCCGCCGTCTCCTTGAGCTCGGCCGTCGATATGTCAACTTCCTGCTCTTGGACTGGTTCTGCTCCAAAATAATGGAAATCCAGACCCTCAGCGGCATGCAACCTACTCCGATCAGGGCTAATCGACCGCTCTTGAGCATCCACATCCACGCGCGTCAGTCCTTGAGCGTGGTGAACACGCGATATAATGCTTTCCATCGCCTTCTTCACGGCAGAAGCCATGCCGGCGGCAATCCTGCGGCTGTCTTCGGCAGTGTACGTTGCCGAACGAGGGCCTCTGTGTGTATCCGCGAGCAAGTTCGTCCTCTCGCCGTCAGTAAATGTCGCCAATGCACTCTGCAGCGCCGGCATGGCTTCCGCAGGAGATTTCCGGATCTTTTCATCCGCCAGAGGCATCTCGGACAGGTCGCCTATCGGTAAAGGGGGATTCACCGCAAACCCCAGGAACTTCCTAATTTCCTTCACCATTTCCTCTACGGTTCGTAAATATCCCGCAATCTCGAGACGCTCCCTCTCCCAAACAACGGTCCTCGTGCCCAAAACTGGCGATCCCCTGCGCGCAATCTGAACACCTCCTGCCGTCGACTCATTGACGGAGTCGTCGACAGCCTCATAGATCCAACGGGAGGCCTCTTGAGGTACACTTCGAATCAAGGGTACGCCTTGGCCTGCATCCTCAGCCGCGACGAGAGACCGTGTCGCCTTCGATTCCGCGTGCCACTTCGCGCGTAACTCGTCGACTACTTCTCCGACTGCAGGGTCCTTATAGAAGCACCGTACCCTGTTGATTGCCAACCCAATACTGGTCTGTAGAAGGAGGTGATGACTTACCACAACCTTTCGCAAAGGCAGTAGCAAGGAAAGCAGTGTCGAAGCCGGCTCATCGTCGACGACGGCATCCTTGATCCGCCTAGCAACCTCTTTGAGCGCCGCGAGCGGCCCAAGCTCCCGCTCGCTCTCGTCTTCCATCCAGTCCACTTCAGGCTTAACGATCGACTCCTCCTAAAAGTCAAACTCGCCCCTCAGCGCATCGAGATTCATATCCGGCCCCACCACATCCGCCAGCTCCCTGCGATTCATCTGCGTGAAGACCCGCCTCAAAGTATCATAAAGGTTCGTGCTCTGATTCTGCTGCAACAACCCTTCAAGCACCACATCACTACATACATCACCCCCAATCCCATCCATCATTAATTCAGCCGCTTTCTGCCGCGTTTCGTGCTCAAGGACGCGGTGCATACTCAGTGCGCCGAGGAGGTGGGAGGCCGCTTGTTCGTATACGCCTAGGTTGATGCAACTCACGCCGAGGTTGTACCGGGCTCGGACGAAGTTGGAACGTAGTTCGAGGGCGCGGGAATAAGCTTCTATAGCTTCTTCGCTGCGTCCGCTGTTCGCTAGCGTAGCTCCCAAACGGTTCCAGAGGAGGTGTTCCTCTCCCTCTCGCTTCATGGCGCCGTTCTCGGCACTGTTGAGCGCGGCGGTAAAGCAGTCAACGGCTTTATCGTAATCTTCGCTGCCGTAGAACAACACGCCCAATCCGACTTGCACGTCGACGTCGAGATCGCTGCCTTCTGGATGCATCTGCGCCGCCTCGAGGAACAGATTCGTCACTTTGTCGTGCAGTTGATGGCGATCGGTGAAACCTAGTTCCTCTTCCGCGCTGAGATCGTGCGGCGCGACGCCGAGTTGTGGGTACTTGACCCCGACCCAGCGCTCGAGGGTGCGGTAGGCGAGGGAGTCGTAGCCTTCATTCGTGTAACTCACGCTCAGGCCCATCAGCGCATCCAGATTGTCTGGGTCGATTTTGAGCGCCTGTTCGAGTGCGCGGATGGCGGGAGCTTCTTTCTCGTTCTGAGCTTGCGCGGAGCCTAGCGCCACCCATGCGTCGACGAACTCGGCGTCTCTTTGCACAGCCGCCTCGAAAGCGAGAGCGGCAAGGGATAGGTTGCCGCCCTCACGCATGATCTTCATGCCTTCTTCGAACGCATTCGGCACGTCTTTGAAGATGTTGTTCTCCTCGAACAGGTAATTGCCGAGCTCCGGTCTCCGGTTGTCATGCGTGCGAAGTCCGTCGAACTCACCCGTACCCATGCCATCAAAGCCTTCCCACTGGTCGAATTCATCGCCGAGATGTTCTGCAAGATCGTCTTGTTGGGCAAGCATGTTCCTGGCAGTGTCAGTTCGTGCTTGTATACCACGCCAGATCTCCTCGAAGTCCCCGAAACCGGTCTCTGACCTGCATTCCCCTCCATTACCACCCACAATTACGCGCGCAAGAAGCATATCAAAAGTCGACTCACCTGTCCATCTGATCCAACTCCGCCTCCATCGCCTTCTCCGCCTCCCGGTCCAACGCATCCATATCCGCCTCCTTGTCCGCCGTACTGAGCTCCTCGAACTGCTTCTCCCAATCGGTATCGCTGAGCTCCTGCACCCGACCCTTACCCTTACCCTCATACTGCTCCTGCTGCGGTTGCTGACCCCACATCGACTGCTGCTGCGATTGAAACATCATCGGTCTCTGCATCCCGCCGAATCCGCCGTAGTCGTTGCCATACATCGGCGGCCGCTGAAAGGAAGATTGCTGCTGGTAGCTCGGACTTTGTGATGCGTTGCGATGAATGGGCGAGAGCTGACGTTGGCGGAATTGCGCAAAGTCTTGGGCGTTGAAGCCGTTCCGGTCGATGTGGGGTTGCTGGTGCTGGTGCTGCGGTGCGAAGGGTTGCTGAGCAAATTCACCCGCCCAACCGTTGCCTTCGAGGTTCGCACCATGCAGCTCTTGCCGCCGGTGGAGCTGCTCGAGGTACGCTGATGAGTCGATTGGAAGCTGTTCTCCCAGTACTGGCCCGGCGTTCTGGAACTCTTGGAAGGCCGCCTCTTCGGCGAGATTGGGCTGCTTGCTGCGGAAGCCACCCAGTGATTGCTGACTGCTTCCTGTAAGACGATCGCGTTGTAATGAAGTGTCCGCTGATGTCTGCTTTTGGAACTGTGCCAGCGGGTTTGCACCCGTCGAGCACTCCGGTCCGCTGAGGAAGCTCATGGTGGCGGCGGTGGTGGATGGACCAGCGATGGGGCGGGTTATACGCGGTGGCAAGTGAGCGGGTGTATTCAGGATTGTGTGCAGTCAGCGAGCCTAGGGTGGTGCGATCAAGAGTTAGATGTCGAAGCGAAGTGTTGTCGTGTGCATCGGCTACAGTCCTCGGTGACAGCGCGGCGAAGTGAATGATGAAGCCGAGGTCCGGCATCTGGCTTCTGCCAAGCCACGAATTATTTCAAAGCATTCACATGCAAGGCCGCAGTCACGCGACCAGTACACAATCGTGAACAGATGGATTGAACGTGCCCTGAGGAGTACAAGGAGGTTCGAGCGGAGAACGTCCTCTGCATCTGCTTCACCGCCTGCAGGCGCCGCTGTCTGTTATAATACACTCACATACATACACAGAATGCCATCCTCACACTTACTCTCCGTCGCCAACAGTAGCCTCAGCTTCCTCCGCCTCGCCATGCATCCCATAGTTAACCTTCCACGCCAGGGCACGCGAACCCTACCGTGACGAAGCGCTCACGATCGGCCATCTCCGTCAACAGTTTCAGCTCCTGGATTTGGTCGTTGTGGCATGCTGGTTGATACCATGCCATCCATTTGCCGCAATACAGTGCGTAGTCGAAGTGCTTACGACTCCTCCCTCGTCGTCGAGCTCGTGCCGGAAGACGAAAAGTCAATCTTCAACTGTCGTCCATAAATAACCTTCTTCTCCAAATGCTCCTTCGCCCGCTCTGCGGACTGGACATCGATGAAGTCTGCATGCGCAAAGCCTCGAGGTTGCCCCGATCGGCGATCGATGGCTACGCGCACGTCCAGGACGTTTTTGATCTCGCGGAAGAGGTCTAGTAAATCATATCGTCAGCGCACCTGTTCGTCTGTGTAGAGGTAATGGGGTGGCTTCGCTGCTCACCGTTTAGATCCCGATCACTCATCTGATAAGACATATTCCCAATAAACAGCGTCTTACTCGGCGGGTTAACAGCCCTATGCGGCCTCCCCGTCGTCGGCGCCCTCGGCTCGCGTCGCACATGATACTGCACCGCCATTCTCCGGCCCTGGAAGACCTTCTGGTCATTCGCCTGCACAGCCTGATCGGCGGCTTGCTGCGTGGAGAACTCAATGTACGCGAAACCCTTGCTCAGACCGCGGCTGTCGGTGACGATACGGGAGTTGGTGATGTCGCCGAATTGCTTGAACTCGGCTTCCAGTTGTGGAGCGGTGACCTCGAAGAAGAGGTTGCCGATGTAGAGGATGCGGGAGGGAGGGTTGGAGGTTCGGCCCAGACCTGCGGAGGCGGCTCCACCGGGTGCCATTGCAGCGGGCGCACGAGGGGCGAAGTCTTGGGAGTGCTGCTGGCTCTGCTGGGATCCGAAGGCGTTGCGGGCGGCTTGTGTGGCGGATGAGACGGCGGATTGGGCGGTCTGGGCGGCGGAGGAGGCGAACTCCTGTGCTTGACCAATGACAGACTCCTGCCGACGCGAGGATCGCTGGGGCTGTGCTTCAGACGAGCCGACTGGCGCGGAGGTCGTGCCCGAAGACTCTGACACGGCATCCTGAGCTGTGGAGGGCTGCTCGTAGCTGGTCTGGTGGGCCGCATCTGCGACGTCGGATGTGGCAATGCTCTCCTCCCTGACTTCGTTGCTCTCCAGCTGTCGGTCTGCTTCTACCGCATCAGTCCTCGCAGTATCTCCCGTCGTCACCGTCTCCCCGGACGTCTGCGCATCGGCGGGAGATGCCTCCTCGACCCTCTTGGCGTCGCCTTCGGCCAGCCATAATTGCGACTGGTGGAATGATCGCGATGTGATGGGCTGGATGTAGGTCACGCGAGCAGTCGTCGACTTGATGGGTGCAAGTTGCCGCAGGGGTTGTTGGGTGAAGACGCCTGATGCGACGCGACGGAGAAGATACCTGGACCGCTGATTAATTTTCGCTATTCATGATGATGGTACGACTGAAGGCATGTACGTACATCTTGCCTCCCTCCTCTCCTTATACCACTTTTGTTCCTGGTAATCCGGCAGTACCTAGGGAAGCCGCTTTCTGGACAATGCTAAGCGTTGAGTAGTATCAAGATGTTGACAGCGATGCGGGTATGCAGTATAGCAATTGTGTTGTTATTTCAATGATGCTCGCATACTCTTTCGCCAACTCCGCGAAATCTTGCGGAAGTGAGCTCGGACCATATTCGCGATCAATGCCAAGAGATGGAGCTCCATTAGGACACCTTCCCCCATCAGCGCTGCATGTGTCTTTGGTGGAGGTAGAGGGGAAGGCCCATTGTCACATTCCACCCCTTCCGCCGCTCCTTCGACACCCACTCACAATGGCCGCCGCCACCACGGAGAAGACGACGACCGGCTTCTTCTTCGAGGGCGAGACGGGCCGTAACACTCGTGGTCTCCTCCGTCTGATCATCTTGTGCACCATTGCTGCCGCCGCCATTGCCAGTCGCTTGTTCTCCGTCATTCGGTTTGAGAGCATCATCCATGAGTGTATGTCTGCTATCTTGCACAACGAATCGTTCTTGTACAGAGGACCAATGGCTGACTGAATTGCCAGTCGATCCCTGGTTCAACTTCCGCGCAACCAAGTACCTCGTCCAACATGGCTTCTACCCCTTCTGGAATTGGTTTGACGACCGTATGTCGGATCTTGAGGCAAAGAGAGTGTCTCCGTCAAGAGACATGCATTGCTAACATGGTATATTACTAGGAACATGGCACCCTCTCGGCCGTGTCACAGGCGGTACCCTCTACCCTGGCCTCATGGTCACCTCCGGCGTCATCTGGAAACTCCTCCGCTTCCTCACCCTCCCCGTCGACATCCGCGACATCTGCGTCTTCATGGCCCCCGCCTTCTCCGGCCTAACAGCCTTCGCATCCTACCTCTTCACCTCCGAGATGTCCGACTCCCCCTCCGCCGGCCTACTCGCCGCCATCTTCATGGGCATTGCTCCGGGATACATCTCGCGTAGTGTGGCCGGCAGCTACGACAACGAAGCCATTGCCATCTTTTTGCTCGTCTTCACCTTCTACCTTTGGATCAAGGCTGTGAAAGAGGGGAGCATCATGTGGGGTGCCCTGACGGCGCTGTTCTATGGCTACATGGTGTCGGCGTGGGGTGGATATGTCTTCATCACCAACTTGCTGCCGCTGCATGCGTTCGTGCTCATCTGCATGGGACGTTTCAGCCCGAGGTTGTACGTCAGCTATACGACGTGGTACGCGCTAGGGACATTGGCGAGCATGCAGATTCCTTTCGTCGGATTCTTGCCAATCAGGAGTAGCGACCATATGGCCGCTCTTGGTATGTCATGCGAAGCGGATCTTCACTCGCATTCGCTAACGAGATTTGGTAGGTGTCTTCGGCCTCATCCAGTTGGTTGGCTTCGCCGAGTACGTCCGAGCCCAGATGCCCAGCAAGCAATTTCAAACGCTTCTACGTGCGATGGTTCTCGTCGTCTTCGCTCTCGCCTTTGGATTCCTTGTCCTGCTCACCGTCTCCGGCACCATCGCTCCCTGGTCTGGCCGCTTCTACTCGCTATGGGATACCGGCTACGCCAAGATCCACATCCCCATCATCGCCTCCGTGTCCGAGCATCAGCCCACCGCGTGGCCGGCTTTCTTCTTCGATCTCAACATGCTGATCTGGCTGTTCCCGGCCGGTGTGTACATGTGCTTCCGCAGTTTGAAGGACGAGCAGGTCTTCGTCGTCATCTACGCGGTGCTGGCCAGCTACTTCGCAGGCGTCATGGTTCGGCTGATGTTGACTTTGACCCCGGTCGTGTGTGTGGCGGCTGCTATGGCGTTGAGCCAGATTCTGGATACGTTCCTCGTCGCCTCAACGCCGGATGAGGGTGACGCGAACAAGAAGCCGCAGGCAAATGGGACGCCCGCGGGAGCGAACGGGTCGGTGGACATCAAGCAACAGTTTGCCAATCTCGCGGATGGCCTTCGCTCGACCAAGGCGCCGCTGGTCGGCATCTACAGCTACCTTTCCAAGTCTATGATAACAGGTGCTATCACTGCTTACCTCCTGCTCTTCGTGCTGCACTGTACGTGGGTGACGTCGAACGCGTATTCCTCGCCTTCGGTTGTTTTGGCTTCGCGACTTCCAGACGGTAGCCAGCACATTATCGATGACTACCGAGAAGCGTACTACTGGCTTCGACAAAACACTGCGCCTAATGCGAAGGTCATGTCGTGGTGGGATTACGGGTATCAGATTGGTGGCATGGCGGATAGACCGACGCTGGTTGACAACAACACATGGAACAACACGCATATTGCAACAGTTGGCAAGGCCATGTCGAGTCGGGAGGAAGTGAGCTACCCCATTATGAGACAGCACGAGGTCGACTATGTGCTGGTTGTATTCGGTGCTCTGCTCGGCTACTCGGGTGACGACATCAACAAGTTCTTATGGATGGTTCGAATTGCAGAAGGTGAGCAAACCAAACAAATCACCAAGACCCCCTTTGAACACTACTAAAATTCTCCATCTAGGCATCTGGCCCGACGAAGTGAAAGAACGCGATTACTTCACCTCGCGCGGCGAATACCGCGTCGACGACGAAGCGACACCGACCATGCGCAACAGCCTCATGTACAAAATGTCCTACTACAAATACAACGACCTCTTCCCCGCCGGGCAAGCGCAGGACCGCGTCCGCGGCAGTCGCTTACCCGCCGCGGGTCCCGAACTGAGTACGCTGGAGGAGGCGTTTACCAGCGAGAATTGGATCATTAGGATTTACAAGGTTAAGGATTTGGATAATTTGGGTCGGTCGCATCAGGAGGCTGTGGCGTTTGAGAAGGGGAATAAGAGGAAGAAGGGTGGGGCGGGGAAGAGGAGGGGGCCGAGGGTGCTGAGGGTGGATTGATGAGTGATCTGCCCTCTGTGGTGTTTGAGGAAAAGTTAGTGTAGTATAGATGATTGTAAAAAAGAAAAGGTGAAAGTGATGTGTATCGATTCCAGTGATCTTGCTGGTTGTCGTCAAGGTCTTAAGATCGCCATGGAGGCCCGTGCGTAAGACTTTCATTTTGGGAAGCTGCCATCGAACTGCATCTCTTGTCCAAACCTCGACTTTCGGGCGCCCCTATAACATACCACAGTCCCCGATGAAGGCAGTAGATGGTTGCCTGCTGTGATGGCCGAAGTGTCTGCATCGAAATCTACAGCTGCGTCCAGATTGCAATCACCAAAGCACAAGAACGCCGCATCTGACCGGAATTATGCAACATTTGAGCCACATCCCGAGGGCGAGGACGGAAATGGAAACGAAAGCGAAGATGAAGCCACAATCAAGCATGACGCTTCCTTAGAGCGCCGCCTCCGTCTCAAAGTCGACCTCCGTCTCTGCACCATAGCCGGCATCCTCTGCTCCCTCAACCTCCTTGACTCGGGTGTCATCAGCTCCGCCTCCGTCACCTCCATGCTCTCCGACCTAGATCTTACCGGAAACCGGTTCTCCACAAGCATCTTCATCTTCACGATCGCAAGTATAGCGTTCCAACTCCCCTCCACCATTGCCGTGCGGACGTTCGGTCCGAGGAGATGGTTCGCGTTCATTACGTTGTGTTTTGGTCTCGTCACGATGTGTACGGCTTTCATCCGCAGTTGGAAGGAAATGATTGCTCTACGAGTGCTGCTTGGGATGGCTATGAGTGGGGTTTATCCCGGGTTGAGCTATCTCATTGCGAGTTGGTATGTTAGACGGGAGCAGCAATTGCGGTTTGCTTTCATGCAGACCGGTGAGGTTGTTGTGTTGGCTACTGGCAGCATCGTTAACTTCGGGCTCAACAAGCTGGACGGGAGAAGTGGATTGGCTGGGTGGAGATGGATGTTTCTCGTGCAGGGACTCATCACGATCGTTCTGGGCTGTCTGACGTACTTCTGGATTGTTGACTTCCCTGAGCATGCGCACGAGACGCGATATTTTCTCACTACCGAAGAGCAAGAGCTTGCAGTGGCTCGCATACAGGAGGACCGCAAAGACGTGCAAGCCGACCCATTCGCATGGCGGAAAGTGCTCGTCCACGCAACGGACCCCAAGGTCTACGGCTTCGCCTGCATGTTCTTCTTACTCAACCTAGTGTCGACCGCCCTATCCTACTTCCTCCCCATGATACTGCAATCCGGAATGGGCTTCGGAGAGAACGCGAGCATCCTCTTGTCCGCTCCTCCATACTACTACGCCGTTATTCCAGTTATCCTCTCCTCCGTTATCGGCGACCGACTCAAGATGCGCGGTCCCATCATCGTCTTCAACAGCCTCTGCCTCATCGCGGGTTTCTGCATGCTCGGGTTCGTCCGTCAAGTCACCGTCCGCTACATCGGCGCCTTTCTCGCCACCGGCGCGTACGTTAGCAATTGGGCGGCGCTCACAGCGTACTACTCGAACAACATTGCAGGGCAATGGAAGCGTGCCTTCACTGCCGCCGTCGTGACGGCATTCAATGGCGCGGGCGGCATTGCAGGGAGTTTCATCGTGAGGCAGGAGGAAGCACCGTGGTATCCCACTGCCGTTTGGGTGAGTATTGGCAGTCATGTGGCGATAGTCTGCTTTGTGGCGGCCTTTACGACGTGGTTTGCGGTGGCCAACAAGCGGCAGAGGGAAGGTAGAGCAGTAATTGAGCGGACGGAAGGGTTCAGGTACATGATGTGATTGAGGAGCATCGACCCTGAGCCTCACACAATGTCAAAATATTTGGCGGTGCGCTGTTTGTGCCACTGTCCCTCCATTACAGCCCATATAACCGCATCACCGACCAGCTGATAGCGAAGACCGTGCTCGTTCGGTGAAATCTCTCGGAGGATGAGTGGGCGACTGGAGCCGAATGGTACAACGATGTGGTCACCAACCTCGAGAGTCGCGGGACCCAGGCCGAAGAAGCCTTGTGACGTGCGGAAGAAGTCTCGTTCCCGGCTTTTAGCCGACCACTCGTGTATCTCCACAACGTCACTGGAGTATGGGCGTTGAGTCTTGAGCTTGTTGACCTCGGCTGGGGTCCGGCATTCGAGGACATCCTTACTCATCGGCACATCATACTTGTCGCCAAAGAAGTGATAGCGACCCATTGTTTTCCGCGCATACAGGAACAGGTTTTCGAAGTCGAAAGCAATCTGGAGATAGGTTCGATCACCACCCGCTGATTCTAGTAGCTGTTTCCAAGGAGCCTTCTCGAAATCAACGATCCTGGTTATGTCGACCTCGTCTTGGTCAGAATCCAGGTGATCGAGCTTCTGGTCCCAGAATTGGTCAACGAAGTCCCAATCTGCTTCGCCGAGCTTCTTGCGCCTGATGTAGTCCATATCTTTGGCCTTCTGTTCCTCATACATGTCTTCTAGACTCGTGCTAGATGGCCTGGTTCGATTGTCAAATTCATCGGTGATCTTGCGGCGGCCTTCAAACAAGTAGTCCAGCATGAGTAAGCCTATCAAAGGAGTGCGAATCAGTCCGAATTCCTCGCTTGGCCGGAATCGCTCGAATTGTGGATCATGCAACTGCTGGAGAATGTTCTCAACAAGCGCCCCGGGTTTACGAAGGCTGTGGTAGATGAGGTTACCGGAGGGCGAAGCCTCGTGCGAGGGTAGCATGTGAGGTGAGGTGCGGCTTTTGATCGTATCGAATTCTGCAGCAAGTATGCTGAGTGCCGATGGGCCGGAGTCGTTTGCTTGACGCACCAAGTCGAAGATCGGACGGCCACGCCCTGCATGGTACTCGTTGGTGCTCAATGTTTCCGCGATCGGTAAGAGGCAGGTGAAATCTGGAAGCCACGTAGAGACTCTACCACGACCGTAAGCATCATTGGATGAGCGATCGAGCCTCCCGTCCATCAGAACGTCAAGCGATCCGGCTTCGTTGATCATGAATTCTGCAGCCTCCTCGAAAACATCGCGAACCGACTTCTGGTAATCCGGCTTTATGTTTCTCAATGCGGCCGGACACATACCCAGGAGACTATAAATTCGATCATGGCGGTCTCCACACTTGAGACCTCCAGTCTGTCGTAGCAGCTCGTGGAGAGTAAAATTGGGAGTCGACTGTGCATCGCCTCGGGAAAGCTCGCGGAACAGAGCAAGCGCCGAGCTGTCACTGGTAGATGCAGTCATCAGGTCGACGAATTGGTCCCATCGCAACGCATGCTGAGCGATGTACACGGATTGCTGTCTCTGGGAGAAGAAGAATTCTTGCACACACCACAGTCTTTTCCACCAGACTTTGCCTGAGTGGGTCTGCTCTTCATTGGCAATGAACGGTTTCATACATTGTAGCAAGTCGAAGAAATTCCCATGCTCGATTGCCGCCAGGCGGGACGGTGCGCACAAAGTCGGCTCACCGTCATCCTCGTCGTCGGCTGTGTGGGTTCGCTTGCAGGTTGGCTTCTCGGGTGTTGCGTCGAACTCGGAGATCCAGATAATGGTACGGCGTGCTTGTTGGTAGATTGCTCCCATGAGTGGAATCTGATGACTCTTCTCTTGTTCGTCCTTCTGGTTGATGCAAATTGCGTCTATCCAGATGAAGCGCTCGCTGTTGCGGGAGCGTAAGCGCCTCAATGCGTGCCATAAATGTTTAGACAGAACAAATCGGGCAACACCGTTCACAGTAATGGCATCCTGCGCATCGTCTTGCCAAGAGTACGACAAAGCCTCGTACGTTGGGGCATCGTGGAGACCATACACCGCTAGCTTGACGCTAATGGGATCGAGATGTCCACTACCAGGCTGGATTTGCAGAAGTCTGATGTTGTCGTTTCCGAATAGCTGCAGACCCTTGTAAAAACTTGCGTTCTGCTCAAGTTCGGAGCGTGGACGCTCTTTCCATGGATCGGTTGTGGACCTGCCCTTGCCCGCAAAATAGTCAAGAGGACCGACCGGCTTCCGCCTGATTTTCGCAGCGGTCGACGTTTGGTTCGCAGCGGTCGTCGTTTGGTTTGTGGCGATCATCGTTTGGTTCGTGGTCCAGATTGGCGATGGAATTTGCGATAGGGCGGGGACGTCCTCGCCAGCGCCAGGCGTTGTATCAGCAATAGTCACCGGCGACTGCACGAGGGGCTGGTCATCCTGCATCGCAGTAGGCCCGTTCGTTACCACGGTCATGTCGAGCGGCTGAGAGAGCGGGCTTGGATTGCCAGGTCTGTGGTCTTTAGGAGTCGTCTGATGAGATGATCCGCTCCCAATTCTGCGGTGACCGCTTTGACTGCTGTGACTACTTGGACTGCCTGGAGGCGTCTGCGCAATTTCTAACCCAAGGAAGGTCGAGATCTTGCGGCACTCTGCCGGAGGGTCAGTGCATGCTGTGCTGTGCATTTCGTGCTTGCATGCAATTACGTACCGAAGTCGTCACGAAACTCGATTGTGAGTTGGTCAAACGGCGCTCGAAGTCTCGCAAGTGCCTCTGGCTCGTCATGCAGATTGGTGAAAGTCTCGGTAGGAGGTGCAGTGACACTCACGGACTCCTCAAAAGTCGCCGTGTTCGCGATAGTAGGACCTCGCATCCTCGGGTGTCCGAATGGTAGGCTGACTGTGTATGCCAGATTGTCAACACTGGCATAGCGCTAAGCGTGCTGGCTCCGAGGTCGGTTACTTACTTGATTTCCTTGTTGAGTGTCGCGCCGGCGTACTCTTCCGGCGACTAAGCTCTAGACGAAGCTGCTTCTGACCTAGCGACTGCACCGTGACCCAGCTCTGGTATATCTCGAACAGGCGAGGACCAGCGTTAGTCTGAATCTGCATAGTCAATGACTTCTGTGCTGGTTCCGAAGAGGTTGACCACATTTTAATGTACTCTGACATGACCTTCATAGGAACTCCAGAACGTCCAGAGCGGGCAGTGATCGCTGCCGTGGCTGCTTCGTCATTGAACTGTCTGCCTCGCAGTTTGCTTTGGAAGTTGTTGTAGCTCTCTTTATCATCGAAAGTGTACCTTGGCCTCGACATATATGGAGTGTCTTTATAGTAGACTTTGTGCTCGTCGTGGAAAGCTACAATCTACAGAATAATGACCGTAAATGTCAGTGAGGGTGCATCGGCAGCCTTGGCCCATCATGTCGCACCAATTGCGAGCTGCTCGGCGGCCTTATTGGAATGTGTTCGGCTTCATAGTTAATGCGATGTTCGAAGACTCTCTTCTCATCCCTGTCATAGAACTCACACCTGTCCGGAAGGATGGTGAAGTACTTCGCTGTTATCTTGCCTCCAACGATCCGAGGGCCGGGCTCGATCTCTTTGATCTGGAAGATTGAAGTTCCCATGCTGAATGCCGAAGCCTCGCAGTCATACCAGGAGAACCAGTTACCGCAGACAACCAAGCGATTGGGGGAGATGCTGAGAGGACGGACGGCTCAGCGAATGCCAGTGTACTAAGGCTACGATCATGATATCTGTGTCAGTCTATGACTCGTTAAGACACGCGAGCACGATGCGGCCTCACTGGCCGTGAGTACATGTAGACCGGTCAGGCTGCGCCTCAATAGCAGCTGCGCATGAAGTGGAGCAGTTCATGCAGGTCGCGATGAACGTGAACGGAAGCAGAGAGCCGGACAGTCGCGTTGGCCTCCGTCTCGGCCCGGCATCCACAACGTCAGGTCGTTCCGTTCCCACACATTGCTCTTCCATCATCTCTACACAACAGACCGCCGGCCCGATGAGACGCACTGACCTGCGAGTAGCGGCATGTAACGTGATGAACAGCCCCGATGCGTCACCTGCAGAATTACACAAGCTGAGTAAAAGCTGGGCATTCCATCTCCTGCCAACATGGTCTGAGGGAGCCCCTCCATGCATGAAGGATGCAGCCTAGGCGCTTAGGGACGCCTTGATGGCCTCGTGGCGTGTTCCACATATGCGGTATCCCAGCTACCCCTCGTACCTGCCGGCGTCTCTGATCTATCTTAAATACCACCTGGGCATGCTTCGCAGTCGCTTCCTGTATTGATACGACAGTGTACACGGATACTCCACGATGAGTGCCAAGATCCGCCATAGTCTCTGATCGACTCCGCGGCTATGGCCACCAACGCGAGCATCCCACTTAGACCTCGCAATTACTGGGCTCGTCTGCTGTGGCCGGAGGACCAGCACGAGAGGTACCGCTCGCTTTACGATCGCGTCTCCGACTACGCAGAGGCGGTCGATGCAATCGTGAACGGCGTCGATAATGTAGACCCCAGAGACACGGAAGGCATTCGGAAACCAGAGTTCAAGTGGGAGGTGTTCTGGGTTGCAGCTCTTGGCTTCTTAACTGAGTCTTATTGTCTGTTCGAGTCAAATGTCATTTTGCCTCCCATTTCCTTCGTGTGGTGGCCAGGGCACGGTCACCGCCTCGAAGCGGCATTCAACCTCGCTACCCTTGGCTGTTCCATTGTTGGACAACTGGCTTTCGGTGTCGCTGTCGATATATATGGCAGACGAACGCTCTACGGTGTTGAGCTCATCATTGTTGTAATCAGTACCCTTGGCCTGCTTCAATGCAGTAACGGCTTCACCGATCCCGTGACGGGCAGATCAACGTGGACTATAACCCCATGGCTCATATTCTGGCGAAGCATCATGGGTATCGGCGTTGGTGCTGAGTATCCATTATCTGCTGTACGCCTGGTCCTTTCCATGCACGTCTCAGCTGCGAATCCACTGACATTCTATCAGGTGATTGCGTCCGAGTGGTCACCCACAGCCTCGCGAGCGAGACTCATGGCCTCGGTATTCCTCATGCAACCTGTTGGCCAACTATTCGCATACGCCGTTGGTCTCTTGTGCCTTGCCAGTTCGCCCACCGGCGGGGTGAGCCAGGTAAGCGTGGACAAGATGTGGCGTACTGTCGTTGGCTCCGGCGCTGCTCCTGCGATGTTGGCCGTGTTCTTTCGCCGCAGTATTCCGGAGTCATGGCGATTCGACTACTTCGTCACGTTAAACCCGACGAAGGCATCTCACGATCTAATCTATGTGTTTGGCTGGGCGCGACGATCACCCTCTGATAACGCTGCCATCGCGGACACGCAAGCGCGTTCCACACAGGCCGTGGAGGGATCCGGAAGCTCTTCAAGGGATATTAATGATGAGAAGGCACCTGCAGTCGACGAATCTCGAACAGGTGCTCAAGCTACTGGTATATTCAAGCCCGATGGCACAAAACGGCGGGTATCCACACTTCCGAAGCAAAGCGACTTCCTTGCAAGTGCTCAGCCTCCCCGTCCATTTGAGCCACCACCTGGAGTAGTAAATGTGCTGCGATCCGAGGATCCTCCCAAGGCGGGATGGCAGTTCAAGTGGTCTATCTTCTGGCAGTACATACTGTACACCGAAGCCCACGTTCACGACAAAGCCTGGTGCAAGCCGTTCTTCAGATGCTTCTTCCATGACAGGAAGAACCTAAAAGTACTGGTAGGAACTTCGAGCGCATGGTTCTTTCTTGACTTCGCCTTGTGAGACACCTCTACCCACACGTATCTCAGTAACAGTCATTGTACGCTGACGTCTTTAACAAGCTACGGCATGGGATTCAACAGCCCAGGCACACTTGCGCAGATATGGGCACCATCTCTGATACGACACAGCGCCACAGCGCCCTGGTGGCAAACAAATTCCGACGTCTTCAACACAACGGTCTGGGGATACAATAGCACCAACGGGATGTACGAGAGTCTGGAGGTCATCAAGGGCATGTACCAGAACGGCACCATAGCCACCGCCACGATTCACCATGTCCTGAGAGACAATATGGAGCATGGAATGTACTCGGTGACGTTTTCGGCCATCGCTGGTGTGGTCGCTTACATCGTGCTCGCTGAACGCTTGAACAGAAAGCACATGCTCGTGTGGACATTTCTCACTCTTGCCCTGCTATTGTTTATTTTGTTTGGAGTGTTCAAGGCTGGGCTACACCGTGGGCCCCAGTGGTCTGGCGCGCTCGTCTTTCTCTGGATACTCATCCAGTTCCTGTTCAGCTTTGGTCCTAATACGCTTACCTTCATCGTGTGTCACCATAGCAACTTGTATGGCGTTTGGTACACGCACGCTTACTGGGAAACAGATCCCTGCGGAAGTCTTTCCAGCACGCTATCGCTGCACTTTTGTACGTCCGCATACTGAGCGACGCCTGTTACTGGCTGTTGGCTGACAGTGAGTTTGTCTTCCAGTATGGTATCTCCGCCGCCAGCGGCAAAGTGGGCGCTGTTGTTGCACAAGGAGTCGTCCTTGCCGCCCCAGATATTAGCGACGTCAACTCTGCCTCTCTTCGCTGGCTGTTGTTGGGCTTTGCATTCTCAATGTTATGCGGAGCGTCAGTGGCAGCGGCATGTATACCGGACGTACAGAACCTGGCTAAACCGGCACAAAACGCGGAAGTCACCGGCTCTCGGAGCGCGTTCGCCTCAATCAAGACCTATTTCGCAGATCTGCGGCAATTGTTCAGGTTCGCACTGCTGGAAAGCTACACTCTGGAAGAGCTTTCAGATGACGGTGATATCAAGCGAACATTTAAAGAGCAGGTACAGAGTGGACAGCTTGTCAACCCTGATGGAACCACGGCAGCGAAGTAGAATCGGTCTCATCTGCTGACAGCAAATCATCGATAGTCCATTATCACTGTCGCAATACCATGATCGATTTGCTTTCTCTTTTCAATCACATCCCAAATCGCCCGCACTGCCAGTTGGACGCTTCATTGGGATCTCCGAGGCCCAGATACACCGCTTGCTGTGGGTACGGACATAGCGGTCGCTGTCTGAGAACAGTGTTAGTGATTGTATCATTGATCCACTTCGTCGCAATGATGCTATCTGGCGCCATTCCATTCTCAACCCAGGCCATGAGCGCAAGAAGTGCGTCATGTTTCGCATCCGTAAAGCCTGGAACTGAGTAGACCGAACCAGGATTTGTACCGATCGAGCCTGCCTGATTGGCACCGGCAAAGTACCATGGCGCATTGATATTTGCTGGAGTCCCAGAGCAATGCTGCATCCCGGGGACAAGGAAGAACCTATACCAGCTGTCTAAGGTAATGCCTTTCGGGAGAAGAGTTTTGAGCACCTCTTTGTAGAAGTAGACGCTGCTCCCGGGCGCGATCAATGCATCAGCAAGACCGTGGTACTGCAGCAATTTGCCGCCACGTGTGTGAAACGCCGTTAGGTCAAAGTCATAAGCAGTGGCGTTCCCAGGCTGGATTTGATCCGCCAGCTGTACGATACTGTAGTTGAAGTCGTAGAAGGACCAGTTTGTGTCGTTCAGCACGAGATCTTGCACATATTGGTAGCCGAGAGTGCTTGGTGCCGATCCACCGAGCAACACTGGCCACTGAGCTTCGCTTCCGAGTTCCAGATGCGGGAAAACGAGTGTCTGGTTCGTCTCCACGTAGTCATTGTAGATCTGATACAGCGTCCCTATCTGAGCCGCTGTCAAGCAGCCGGCTGCAGTCTGGTTGGTAACATTCGCCGTACATAGCAAGGCTTCTGGGTAGAAGTCACATCGTCGTGGGTCGCTGATGATGGTGTCGACAAGGCCGTCTTGCGGGTCACACTGCCGCAGCACTTCTGCACCAATGGCACTAAATAGCGCTGTAGGGATATGATGAGCGGCAGTGGTAGGTAAGTTGTACAAGCCAAGCTTCACCGTCCACGTCTGTAAATGGCTCGTCCACCACGCAGGAGCACCAGCCAGGACGCCGTCGAAGTCTTCCGGATACAATTGGATGTCGCGGATGCCCTGTCGACCGCCAGTGCTGCAGCCCGAGTAATAGTTGAACTTCGGCGTGGCACTGTAGTACGCTTGAACAACTTGCTTGCTCAACACAACGGAGCCGTGGATGGCTCGATACCCCCAATCGATCTGCTTCTGCGGCTGGTTCAAGGCCCACGATAGGTCTCCTGAGGTCGAATTGTGACCAGTGTCGGTGGAGACGACAGCAAAGCCGTATTGGACGCCGGCAGCCATGTCAAGCCAGTTAATGCCACCAGCAAAGCCGCCATTGCCCACCGCCAGAAAGCGGTTGTTCCAATTGACGGGAAGGAAGAGGCCAAAGCTAAACGCAGATGATGGGCTTGAGGTCACGTTAATTTGTACTGCACATAGAGCTGGCAGTTTCTGTGGGCTGGTAGGGTAGGCAATGTCGTAGCCAACATTGAACGTCGAGCCCGCCGCAAGGGTATAGGCGTAGGCTACACTTGCGTTGGACGGAAGTATGCTCTGGAAAGCCGAGGGTGTACAGTTAAACGCTGCTGCGAGGGGGACGAGAGGCACTAAGTAGGAGACATTGTTGAAGTGCATTGTTGCGGCCTAATTGCAAACATGCAGTCGTGACACTCGCGCGACAATTTTGGGGCCGAGTGTGTGTTCTTATACCATCTTCTCTCCTCTTCCTCAAAGGCCAACCTCCCCACACGTGCATCATTAGACTGCTTATGCCGCATGATGTCGCGGTTAAGTACCCCGAAGCGACCAATTGCCGCTCCACACAGTCACAGTGCGGGGAGACTCTTTACTCCACACTGTCCTCTGAGGACGTCCAGGTACCGAATACTGTTGCCGGCGAGATGACGGTATGGCTTAGGTTATTGTCGCGATAATCCAGCACTTGTCTGAACGGACTGCTTGACAGAATGTGTCGGTTGCTCATGGCTTCAAGCCTTTTCGCTTATGCCAAGACTGCCGGCTTCTTCCCGCCGGCGTCACCCCATGATCAGGCTTCCATGTTCCTATGTCGCTCGGTTGCGTTGCTGCAAGCTTTCTCGACCACTTCCACTTTGAAGGGCACGATTGCAGTATTCGGCTAAGTGGCCGTTACGCCTGAAGTCGCCGCTTCGGCCATACTCCTGATGACCGCCGGCACGGAGTGCAGCTTTCGATAGCCCGACGGCATGCCCGTTTGCGACAACACACAGCTATCTGGCCTTGGACAAGATGCTCACAGCTTGGCCTTGATGGGCCGAGCACCGTCCTGCACTGCCTCTGCGTCTTCAACAGCCACGCAGACGACCACTGCAATGTCGTCTGGCTTACCTCCCTGCCAGCCTTCCTGTGGAAACCTCATATTGACCTCCTTCGCAAAGGGCCCGTCTCTTCTTCGATCCAAGCCAGCGCGCTTCGCTTCGCGCATTACAGCGGTCGCTAGCAAGCCTGGCAAATACTTAGTATGCTGCTCGCTGTCAATCTTCTTCGCAATCGAGCGGACAAGTGACTCATTAAGCATTGTCTCAGCGCCTGCGAAGTTGTGGCTCCTAAACCAGTACCCCTGCTCCACCATGACCTGCGTAACAATGCCGAGCGTGTCTTGAGCGGACAGGTTATCCCAAACGCCATCTGTAGCGAAGAGCACGATGTCACCGTGCTTCAGTCGATGCGTTTCCACATCTGCTTGACTAGGCGTTTCGGCGAAATGTGCTTGGCCGCCGAAGATGGCGTGCTGAGCGGCCATCTTCGGTGGCACCTTCGAAAGCTGGTATGGCGTATTAAAGGCATGAGTCTGGACTTGTGAGCGATGTACCACCTTCCCAGGTCCGAGCACCAAGAAGCCAGAGTCACCAAGACTTCGCGTGCGTTAGCAGTTGTAGGTGACTGGGGTACGCCTGTCTCTAGACGTACTTGGCTGTTTGCATATTCCCATCGCCGTCAACTACCGCCAAACTCGCCGTGCTGCCGCCGGCCATGATCCGTGGATTGCTTATCACGGCGTCATATGCCATCTGTAGGAGCGCCCTTGGCTCGACATTCTTGCCGTTATCGAGACCCTCATGCATATATGCGGTGCCTCCCATAAGACCGCATAAACCATGACTGAAGTCGGAAGGATCAACACCAGAATCTTGCCATCCTCCAACACCATCAGCTAGCCCGAAGGCTACATGACCCGTGCTCCCGCCTACAGTGGCCGCGAAGAAGGCGTCTTCACCAGAAGCGCTCTTGGTTGAGCGTAGATATGGTGGCGATGCATTCGCTTCGGTCGATGCATATAGCCAAAAGTCCTGCCCAAACTTAGGAAGGCGAGGTGGTGCTCTTTTGGCTGACGATGCAGCGGCCAGCCTGTAGGTGAACCGGTTCGTCGAAGCCACGATGTCTGAGAGTGGCCGAGATTGCCGTAGCGGCATTAGGCATCGACGTCCAACAGGGTTTGCATGCTTGCATGTAACGAGAAGCGCATTCCTCAATTTAATGGATGATGAGATAAGAGATGTTGACATGGCAGCCGGGGACTGTCGCGACAGTTGTAGCTGCGCTCGGCACTATCCATCATCGGCGCATCGCAGGCGAAGAACGAAAGGTAGGATTCTGGACCAGATCCACGCAGCGCGACGTATACGAAGTCTCCAGCAGCGACAGAACAAATCCACAGAGTCGGCCCATTGAAACTGGATAGATTGATCGGGAAGGCTAGAATTTGATGCCTTAGGCTGTCACTCCAGGCTCGAAGTGTTCGTTTGCGCCTACCATCGGTACTTCACGTACGGAATTTGGTATACCATAGCAAGGCCAGATATTCGAGGACGGAACGACGGTGAATCACTGGCAACATCGCTGTGACACTGTCCGTCGGTTGAAGAACGGGCCTCCGAACGTCCCATTTCCTGACTATCCAGCGACGTCCTCCTTCTAGGAAGGTGCTGCAGGCGAGCACACGGGAGGTGATGGCAAACATCGAGACGCAATTATCAGAGCCCGGGACCGACGTACTGACAGCACCCGACGATTTGGCAGATTCAGAGCCGAGTCGGAAGCGTCCAAAGACGACTCAGTACGAGCACTACATGAATGCAGAATCATGTCGAAAGCGAGCAAATGCTTGCCTGGATAAGCTCGCATGTTGCGATAATGGGAAGCAGGACCTTGTTTGCGCTGCGCAGGACGAGCTAGAAAACCAACGTCGCGCCTTGGATGGTTTACTCGCGCATATCTCACCTCAAGCTCGCCACTCCCCAGAGAGCGCTGTGCTCATGGAGAAAGTGTTTAACACACCGGAACTACTTGAACACATCCTCTACCAGCTATCAAACTTCGAGCTCATGGTGGCCATGCAAGTGAATAAGGTCTTTTTCAACGCAATCGAAGGCTCGGTAAAGCTACAGCGACAACTTGGGCTTAAGGACGACCCAGACTCACTGATCTACTTTCCTACTCACGATTTCTGGTTCTCTGATCTGTTCTGCTCCACCCACGCTGTCGAGCGCGTCGCAGGCGAGCCAATACACAACCTTCTGCGCGTCCATTGTGCCGTGGATAGCTTCGCGGGAGATATGCGCGTTGGTGATCGAGCGCGAAGTATGCTTATCTGCCAGCCGCCGCTCAAAATCGTTGAAGCGTACTGCAGCTGTTGCTCCGGACCGAGGGTATGGAGACATTCACGTCTTCGTACTAGCAACAGTCACCCGCCTGCTGCTGTCTTCCGATCGAGTCGTGGCGCCACTGTCGGAGATATTCTCGATCTTACCAAACGGCTCAAAGAAGAGCACAAGATGTGTCCAGATGCTTCCAGCTTCGATCACAACCAGCAAGGCTTCGTCAACGTCCATGTCTGCTTCGAGGCCCTTGTAGAGGCGAAGGAGAATGATCCGCTATTCGTACGAGAGAGGGACAGATTCGAGGAAGAGCGAAAGAAGCATACTGAACGTTTAGCAAGGCAACGGCATATCGATGCATATGCCGCCGCCAAGCGTAACGGTAGGCGACACCCTCAGACCCTGTTGCTCAAACAGTATGCTGACTTACGTGTAGCTCGAGATTCTGGCCAGCCGATTCCCACGTTGGCTGAGTTCGAGGCCGCTAACGCCACAAATGCAACTTGAGACATTCTGACAGATTTGGGCTTTCTAGGTGGAGACATACAATCGACTGTCTGAAGTTGATATCGGCCTGCTAGCGAAAGTTTAAATCTGATACAAGCTGCAGATCGATCAACTCGCCGGTTCAAGAATCGTTTTCAGTGGGCTAAAAAAACCGGCTAATAATCTGGATGACTCGACACCAAAGCATACCCGTAGGCCGTGAGGCCAACCAGATGACGTACGAAACAAGACTGAGGTGTTTCTACGCTCAGACGCATGATGATCTGCCGACGTTGGTAAGGCGGAAGATCCAGGCAGTTCGAAGCGTCACGCCTACAGATGCCCGACACAAATGCAGGAGGGATGACAGAGACTCGCAGCTGTGTCTCATTGTTAAGGTAATGCGAAAATGAGTGTGGGCATCAAAGGTTACACAAGAGAAGTGTTTCAGCGACATATTCCATACATGCATGCTGCAGCTAGCGAACGGCGAGGCAGCAAATGCTTCTGGAAAGCCGCCTGCCGTACCTACGGGTAGTTTTACATTAGCGCTGGATGCGCAAACGTGGGGCTTTCAGAGCGATGCCCAAAACATGGAGTCGACTTCGGCTGGAAAGGCGAGTACCTAGACACTCTACGACTGCATGAGGCGACATCTCCAGATGTCTGCACCGACGTCATGGAGCAATGGTCAGCTGCTGAAGCATTAGCAATCCGAATTTTGTGAAGCGGGCTCAAGGTTGCAAGCGCTTTCTGCGGAAAGCGGTGATATACCGCCTTGCGAGGTTTGCGGCATATCTCCGTCTTCCCTGTCCCCAGATGCCGCGTTTGTCTGGACGCTTTGCACGAGAGCGGTGAGCTACCGTCATTCGCTGCCGCCTGCTACGGAGAGCGACGATGGACTGTCAGAGAACGCTTTTGGCTGGGTCACACTTCGCTCCGCTAATAAGCATTGTTTGTGGTGCTCATTAACGCAAGCGAGCGGTATCACGTTGAACAATCCTCATGCTACATGTAGACTCCACTGTGAGACTCCTCACGAACCGCAGCGTCTGTTAAAGGTGTTTGGACAGGATCGTGACCTCGTTCTGCGCGCCTAGAATCCTTCTTCAAGTGCGATGATGCTAAATGAGTTTGCGCTTCTTCTTATCCAGGGCGTCGCCTCGTGGGAAGTGGCCCCAGCTCAGCGGCAGGGTCGTGCCGAGTCTGGGAGAGGGAACTGGCGCAACGCCTCGTTCCTAGCCAACCACACTTTCTGTTTGTGAATCTCGTGTGACGACGTCCCAACAATGAGCAAAATGGGTAGGCGAGCAGCCTTCTCCACATCAAACACATCGCAGACCTCACCTGTGACACCAGATGCACTAGCCGCCCTGTCCAAGGAGCACGACCCTGCTGTTGCTGAGGGTGGACAACCACACCACTCCCTTCACACATATCACGATCTAATAACGATGTCGTTCGGGAATGGTGCAACTGGCCGTAGTATCACTGTTTCGGGGCCCGAGAAAGACCTGTTCCAGCATTCAGATCTCTCCGCGGACGAATGGTGGAGGGGTGCTGCAGGCTGCTGCAAGTCTCGGACGCTAGCCCTGCATCGCTACCCGACTCAAGGCACCCTATCACTCCATTTGGGCAACAACTCTCCGCTATTAGGCCTGCTCGCATATCTCTTACCTGCTTCTTATTCTCCCAAAATTATGCCCAAGTAGGTGCGTGGCGAGGCAGCTATCTATAATCGATGACCAGGCGTATGCCTGTCTTTTCGCCACCGTCTACTCTTCTTTCAGCATTGATTGTCACTCCAGACCCTTCAAACTCTCTTCTTCTCTCTACTACCCAAGACGATCGTTCTCTACTCGAACTTTGTCTGCTGCTACCACGAGCCCGAATGTGCATCACAGGCCCAAAGCCAACGCGCATGCAGCGGGTGTTTGCATGAGTAGCGGAACGTGCCGGGTTCAGCCGCCTACACCGCTTCAACCACCTGATCAGAAGACTACATTTCCGCATTCGAACGGTCGCCTGGCATGGCATACGCAGGTCGTATGGCTTATCACGCACACGCTGAGGGCGGCCTACCAGCATACTTTGACGAGGACGCTTCAGGCGCTCTAGACCCTGCTATGCTGGAGGCTGACATGCAGAATCCAGGCAGTATCCCATTCCGCAAAGACTCCTTTGCGAATAGCAACGGCGTGCTGTCTCCTGCTGAGTCACATGGGTGGGACCAACACTACCCGAGCGACCTGCCAATAGAGTCTTCTGTTGCAGCCTCTTATCCATATCGTGAGCAAAACAACGGCTTTTTACGGCACGATGCACCACGCCAGCATCCGCACCCTTCAAACTTCGGCAAGACGCCTCACGGGCAATCATGGGGAGTCGAACATCCCCCGGGCAATTGCACGCCTACCGTAAGAACCGAGCTTATGCCTCCGCCGCCGCCAGTTGAGGAAGTGTCATACCACCAGCCCAGCGGAGAAGCAGCACATGCAAATTATGTGCCGCAACGACAAGGACCCCATGCACCGCAACACTTCCATGCCTCATATGGCGAGCCGGGTTTTCTACCTGCACCGCAAGTGCAAACCCCGATGTCGCCGCACTCGCATGCGGATTGGATGGGCATGGCTCAACAAGAAATGGAGTGTCGACCTCTGCCGAAACGCATGCGGCCGAACAGTCCACAGACCATGGTCGATATTGCGCGACGAGACGGCATCAGAAAGCGCAATGGTCGTATTGACATTCCATCCGAGCGCAACATCAACACCATCGACGAGCTGATCGAGAAAGCCACTGATGAAGACCTAATCAAGGAGCTGAAACAGCAGAAGCGCCTTTTGAGGAACCGAGAAGCTGCGTAGGTTTTGCGTTACAGAATGTCAATCATGCCTTCGCTGACATCGAACACTAGACTTGCGTCACGGCAACGGAAGAAGAAGCATACTGAGGATCTCGAGGTCAAAGAGAAGAGCTTTACGCAACAGATATCTATGCTCGAGCAAGAGGTCAAGGAGTTCGCAATCGAGCAGCATCGTTGCGATGAAGAGCGTCAAGCGCTGATACACCGTCTGAACGACTCGCAGCGGAGGATCGAAGGTTTGCAGGAAGACATCCAGCACCTAAAAATGCAGCACAACGAGGAGACATCATCTCTTCGCCGCAGGATCAATGTACTTACCGATCAACTTGCGGCAGACTCAGCACCTGCGATGTCGGCTGCACCCAGCAGTACCGGCTTTACCGACTTCAATGCAGAGATGGAGGCGCTCAACATGGGCCCGCACGAATGGGATGACTTCCTGTTTGTGGACAACCTTCAGCCTGAGTCGCCGGATGACTTCACGTTCAATCCACGGTCGGAAGCTGTCAAGCAGTCACCGACGCTTCAGAAGCGACCCTCTTCAAGTACCGTGGTGCCAAACCCTCCGAGGCGCTCGCCGGACACCGCCCCGGATCAGCCGATTGCGTCCGGGCTTCTGTTTATGCTACTGCTGTGCGGCGCATTCGTGCTATCTAAGCCAGCGACCTCACGACCATCAGACCTACCGAATATGCCACCGGAGGTGCAGGCTGCCGCGCCCACCGTCTTGAACAATCTCCTCGCTGAAGCTGGCGGCCCAATGTCAACCAGCCAAGTCAGGTCTAATGTCTATCAAGAGCCACAGCCTTCTGTGCCAGCATTTACAACGGCAAGAGCGCATAACAGGCTTGATCGCATGCATCAGAGGCTCACAGCGCCAAGCAAGCAGCAAGAAATCGACCAAGCCTTCTCCCTGACGACAGCACAATATGCGTCCATCGCACAAGCTGATTATCCGGCTTATGATGTGCCGCAACCGCAAGAGGGTGCGCGTCGACCAAGGCGCAATCTTGCCGAAAAATTTGCGAGCATGCAGCAAGCGAATGCGCAATCTAGCAAAGCTGAAGTCTATACACGCAGCCTATTGTGGGACCAGATACCGACAGATGTTGTCAAGCAGTTTAGGGAGATGGTGCGTGATCATGAGGAGATCGAAGCACGTCAGAAGAAGCGAGCTGGTCCGGCTTACAAGGCCGAGCCTTGACCTTGACATATACACAGCGACACACACAGTCATTACCGAAAGCAGTCCTTGAAGTTACGGAACAATGGCTGCATCTCCGATCTTGAACGACAGAAGCATTGGCAAGCTGCTACCACTTTTCGGTTCTCTAACTTATGGCTTATGGGAACATGTTATGACGACTATGATTTAAATGAACCTGGTATGAGCATCGATAATGAAAGATTGAACGACTGGACGATACCCACATCACCGGCACAGCCCAAGCGATAGGAGAACATGACTGCCTTTTCGATCGCGGTACTCGGACCGCTACTACAAAGAATCAACAATGATAATGCGTGGCGTGACCTTGAACGGAACGTGGCGTAGCGCGCACGGAGCAAGGAGGAGCATAACAGCAACGGGTGTTGATATAACCTGCTTGACGATCTCCACGGGTCTATGTTTCACGTGCTGTATTCAGTGTATCTAGTTTGCAATTGTCACTGGTGGACAGTGTAAGTGAGACTTACAGCCGATCAAGTAGCAACAATGGCAGCTCTACTTTGCAGGTCTCGAACTGGATGTACAATATCATGTGTGTGGCTGCCTTGTCATCAAGGTGCGCTCGAAGATATTACACAGAAGTCGTCAGGTTATTGCTAACCGAGCAAAGAAGCCTGCCTACTTCTCGAGTGGCAAACGTTTCGAAGCAAGGAATCATTGGGTGTCGAAGTACTACTTCGGATTGTACTTCTCCTTCCATATCCAAGAATTGCCGACAGCTTTACTGCCCTTCTGCTCGGCAAGGCGAAGGTACTGCGCAGCCTTGAACTTGTCCTTAGCACCTCCAAAGCCTTCAACGTAGCACCATGCAGCTTCCTCCATGGCATCCGTGTCTCCCAGGTTGGCGGCAGTCTCGTAGTAATGTCTCGCAGCAACAGCATCCTTCTTGACACCCCAGCCATGCCTGAAGGAGTTGCCGAGCTCGAAGATAGCAAGAACCAGCTCGCCTTTTGCGGCACCGCCCTTCTTCATGCCCGCTGCGAGGGCCTGCTCCTCGATGGACGCGGAGTTGGCAGCAGCTAATGATAGATAATGCACTGCTTTCTCCGGGTCGGGTCCGATGCCCCAACCATGCCTAAGCGCAAGACCGTAAAGCACTTGGGCAAGAGCGTTGTTTGCGCCTTTGGGCTGCGCTAAACGGCCGAACATCACTGTCGACCTTTCCAAGTCACCCTCTTCGTGCAGGCGGATCGCTTCTTGTATGTTCTCGTCGCCACCTTGATTGGATATGCTAGAACTACGACTGCGAGTGCCACCTGTTGTTTGCGCTGGCCGCTCGTCACCCAGTCGATTACTGTGTGCTAGTATGGTTGCACGCTTCTCCCACTGTGCCTCTCGTTGCTCGAGAACCTCCTTGTTGCCGCCAGATTGCCCATCTACGTCTTCTGCAGGAGTAGCAATCGATATAGGCGCGTCCGGCAAATCGACGGGCAGGTTGTCGCTCGTCTCCGCCGCAGCCGATTTGGACCGATCTCTATGCAAGTGGAACCTTTCAGAGATCTTCCTCTCGCTCTTCGGTCTCACTGCTAGCGACTGTCGATGTCGATCTCCATCCACACCATCCTGCTGAGCTGCCGCTGTTGGATCTTTCGTAATGGCTGCATTTGAAGACTTCCGGAAGCCCACACCATGACGCTTCCTCTCCTTCTTCTCCAGTGACCGCTTACTCGTTGTGCTTGTAGTCTCATCGTCTGGGAAGCTCGGCGGTTCGATGATCTCCTCCGTGTCCGTGGTGCAGCGTACGATAGTCAGCTCCGGTTCCTTCGGCCTCCTTTCCTCGGTTGACGGCGCTGTCTGCGCATCCTGCTTCGAAGTACTACCTTTGCTGATCTTATCCTTCTTATTGAGCAAGCCTTTGAGGCTAGGCATTGTTGCCTTTCACTGACACAGGCTTAATGAACCACCGAACGATAGCGGCCGATGGGGTCTCACTCAATGCACGATTGGGTCAGAGACAAAGAATACTTGCTACGCTTACCGGCGATATGATCATGGCTACGAAGGCGGGAGTTGTAGCGCAAGGCTTTGTACAAGCTTAAGGTAGTCATCTTACGACGTGGTTGAAAGCTAATAATACTCCTCTTCGCCGCCCTTGCTGATCAAGGCGGAGGCTGTGCTGAGCCAAGAGAAACGGACCATTACCCTTCAGGCTGCACGTTGTCCAAGACTTCAAGGAAGGGAGGCAGAGTGAGACACGTTGGAGGACATCGCTGTTTTCATTCTTCATCTTATCAATGTATCGTATCACATAGCTGCCTAATGCAAGCCTTTCCTCGGAGACGCTACCCGCTGATGCAAGCAAGCAACCAAGTAACACCGCTCCTGTAAGAGTCTGGCTCCCTAAGTAAAGATGAAAGCAGGTTGCTACAAGTCGCATTCACGACGTGCGATCTCGTGACGCTCAAGCTAAGCTGACGAAGTCCTGCTGTTGGGTGAGCTCATGGCTGTTCTCGTCCGATCCAGTCATGAAAACATCCTCGGCATCCGAGTCGACGTCTTGCATCTCGCCATTGTCGTGGTCACCTCCTGCTTCGCTCGAGATGTCCGACTCGGCATCAACGCTGATTTTAGCCTGTCGCTCTGCTGCCTTGCGTAGAATGCTGGCGCGATCAGGATGCGGCAGTAAGCATTTTCCGTTCTCGCGATTGGCACAGAACCCGTTATTAGCATAGTCAGGACACTCGTGCACATGACGCTTGTCACAGTCAGGTCCCTTGACGCAGAAGCCAAGGGTGGCGAAAGCACGACAAACAGGAGCGGCAGGAGATACAAAGACGTGAGGATATCGGCATGCATCGTTCGTGCAGTTGCCGCGAAGGAAGTACTGGCAGGCCGGCACGCGATGATATGTCATCTCGTGTGACATGTCGCAACTGTCGCCAAGGGCGCAAGTGCCGGCTTTCAGAAAGTCTTTGCAGATGGCGACTTTGTTCGGATCGTGGGTGAAGCGGCATATCGGGCCGTATGGGCAGGTCCCTGTACAAAGAGTCAGCGGAGCAGGCGAGTACTTACCGGTAAGCCTTGTGCGATGTCAACTCCTCAGAGGTCTCGCTATCTGACGGCTGACCGGCCGAGGGTACAGTATATAGCTACCATGCTTGGTGAAGTTCTCGCATTGCGGTCGTAACGGCGCCGGCCTGTTGTAAGAAGGAAGTGAGTGAAGCCACGCGGGACTGCGTTTCCGGAGTAGGTACCTTGCCGGATCCGCCAGCGCACTGGCACGTATAAGGTTGCCGTTCTTCGTACGGTGAAAGTCGACTCCTGCAATCTTGGTCCTCCGAGGAGTCTCCTTAGCGGAGGAGCCAGGATCTGTCCTGCTTAGCGTGTCTGAAGTAAGCCTTTTTGACCGAGATACGCGCTTACCAGAGACGCGCGTGAGCTTGCTGCCTTGGGCGTTGAGTTGGAAGCGCAAGCCGTCGATTACCATCTCGCGGCCGATATAATCAGTGGACGAGTCAAGATGGCGTAGTATTCTAGACTGCTCGATAACACTGCGCTTCCGTCTCTTCGCGGCTCGCTTCTGCTCTTCATCCTCCCCTCTCTGCTGCTGCTCTCGCTGGTATGTCTCCTTCGTCATGACTGTTCTATTGGTGCTCGAGATACTGACCAGTGCGGCGGGTGAAGGTGTACCAGTAGTTTCCGTGAAGCCCATGGGTTCCTTGGCCGGAGAAGGCGACTTGCCGTTGAGGATGAGAGTCCGGTTTCGAACCGGTGGGATATAGCCATGACGGCCTCCACGACCGTAAGGTGTCCAGCGACCATAGCCTTGGTACGGTTGTGGTGAGTACCGCTGGCTGTAGCCGTGTTGTGGTGATTGCTGCTGCTGCTGTTTGTGGAGGTTGATCTTGCCGGTAACGGCGTCGATCTTTGCCTGTATCTCTGCGTTCTCGCTCATACTGCACGCGTTAGTAATCTGCGTACAGGAGCTGCAACAACAACATCACTGCCGCAGGTTGAGTGTGTTGATGTTGGTGTCAGAAGTTTTACAGAAGTTGCAAAAATGTGAAGGTTCAAGTGGCAGGCGTTGATATACGTGACTAATCATTCACAGCTGCCGTTTTGGGACATGGTCATAGCTTGCACATGTGACAGGCGTAGACATCATGAATCGTACCGTGTAAAGTTTGGGAGCGCACTGGCAGCTGCATTTGCGCTGCTGCTGCCTAGGGCCACCGATGTTGGTTTTGTCGCATACATGGCATGTGCGGATGGTGAGGGCAACACACTGTGTTTTGAATAGCAGGCATGGATTTTGTGTGCATGGTAAGTGGGGGATGCGGCAACCGCGAGTAATACGTTCATATACCCTCCATATCATCCCTGGCCCACAACTTCACGGTCCGATCTCGCCCACAGCTAGCGATCCAACGCGCATCCGCCGTGATATCTGTCGCCACCACCACCCCATCGTGTCCTGTCAAGGACTTACACAGCGCCCAATCATCGGCGGAGAAGATATTGACCGTTTTGTCGAAGCCACTGCTGACGAAGAACGTGCCTGCCCTTTTCGGAGTCGGTACGGCCTCAACTTCGTCACTTCCGCCATGCTCCTCTCCATTGGTAATTGTGACATCCTTGCTTTCCACCCGCGGCGATCGATCTGAGAGCGGGCCGTCTGTCCCTTTGAACCATCGCAGATCCGTCACCCCACCACGGTGCGCTCCAATGCTCGCCGTCTCGCGAACGGCACGCAGGTCCCAGCATTTCGCGAAGCCATCTTGACTACCCGTCATTACCCTGATGCTATCGCTACCCCAGTCTGCCGCATGAATAGGCTTGATATGGCCCTCCAGAAGCATCACCGTCCTGCCTGTCCGCAAGTCCCAAATCCGGCCGATACTGTCAAGGCCTGCTGAAGCGACCAAGCTGCCGTCTTCGTTGAAGGTTACTGTATAGACTTCCTTGCTATGACCCTCCTGAAGTAGCAACTCCGTGGTGGTGGCAATATCCCACAGCCGCCAAGTCGTGTCGTAAGAGGCCGATGCGAGGTACTTGCCTGAAGGATGAAAGTCGGTCCTGCAGACCCTTGCGCTGTGTCCGGAAAGTGTTGCGATCGGAGTGTCTTGGTTGAGTGCCCAGAGATGAATTTCGCCTTCGCCACCGGAAGATGCAAGGTTAACAGCCTCATCGCTGATGCCGGATTGCGGAAGTGTAGCACCCGGATACCACGATATGCCGCCTATTAGCTGCTTGTGACCGCGTAGAACCGCTCTCGTTTCAAGGTTAGGTACGTCTAGCAGCTTAATGCTCCCAGCCCAATCACCGCATGCCACTAGCTGTCCGTTTGGTGCGAAGCGTACGATGCCCATCGGCCGCTCACTGGCGATTTGACTGCCGAACAACTCGAAGCCACCGAGCCGCTCTTTGATCGCCTTCCGGTGCTTGACATGTGTCTGGACTGGGATCGTACTTTCAAGCCGTTGATGGGCTATGCGCCGCTTCGCTCTTGGCAAGCTATACCGCGCAATCTCCTTTCGTGATTCAACCAGAGTATCACTGCCTTGCGTGTAGAACTCACCTTCTTCCTCATCGTCCTCGTGTACGGGCTGCTCGTTGGCATCAAGCATGGCTGTATCCTCGCCGGCGCCGCTTTCCTGCTCGCGATACAAGAGCTCTCGTAGCCTTTCTCGCCGATCCTCTGGCCGCTCACCGAAGAGAGTTATGGGCTCACCTCTGCTGCGGAGTTCGAGGCGCACGCGCTTGTCATCGGTGGGCACTGCTAGGGACGCTGCCTTTCGCTTGCGCGCCATGTCGTCGTATATCTGCTGGGACTGTAGTCCAGCTGCAGAGAAGGAAGTCGCATGGTTGCGGTCGATTGCTGGTAGGAAAAATCAGTTCAAGATCGCAGTCACGATTGGTTGGAGGTTTCCTCACGTATGTTACTAAGACTGATACTGGCATCTGCTTCCTGCGTGGAGTCTGATCAGTCATTCTTTTCACTCCTGACGTCCCAGCAGAGTCCGGGAAGCGCTCGCTATAAGCAATTGTGTGAACATGGATCGCTTCAGGAAAAGTGTAGAAGGGTGCTTACCTCGTCATCTTCCACCTGCGCCTGCCTCGATGGATGGATCGACATCTTGCCTTGGGTAGCCTGACAAGTTGTACTAGAAGCTCATACAAGAGAGAAGTTCGTCACATCCAGTGCGATTCAAGGTCAACAACAGCGAAGTAAGTTGTAGAGGCAGACTTTATGCCTAAGGCGAACATGGGCTAGATCGAATGACGATGAACACATTGTATCGTACATTACCGGGGTGACAAATCGTAGCGCGAATCTCAATGACAGCTGTAGCACGATATTTCTACTACCAACATGCGCTCCGGCCACGCTCCGGCCACGCTCTAGCCAAGATCCGACCTGAACGATCGAAGCAAGCCCAAAAAGTTGTGCAAGGCGTCGAAGACGCGCGATGAGCTGTCAAACTCCGTCAACCGAAGCTAACCTCTCGACACCTCCTGCTAGCTCCTGTGTAGTGCCGAGTAAACGTGGGGGTACAGCCGCAGACAGACCGTACTCGCCTGTAGCGTTGCATGGCGCCAATGCCGGTCATGAGAAACTTGCGTCTGGAGCGACAATGCTACTCATCATCCTCCTCGTCCATACTATTGCTGTCTGCCCCTGCCGCTTGACCATCATTCCCTGGCGCCTGTGCTTCGAAATCTGCAAGTGTAGGGATTTTCGACCCGGCTTGGAGCGCTACACATCGGTCAGTAAGCACAGAGTCAACACGGAGTGCATCGATTGTGCCCACCCGCAGTTTTCGCGGCCAGGTACGCTCTCAAACGCTTCCTCCGCGCCTGTCTAGCACGAGGGTGCGCCTGTTCGCTGGCTATCTCGATGTGATACTCCGCGACGATCGGGTCTCTCTGTTCGAGTACAGTGAATCCATGGATGTCGATGTTGAACTTTATAGATCCGTCTTCCTTGTGCGATGCTACGAGTGCGGAAGGACATGTGTCATGGTATTGTCTTGTCTGCTCCACGAGATCATAAAGTTGGCCGTAAGTGATGCCATCTTTAGCGTGAAGCGAGCGAGGAGGGGCAAGGTCTGGCAAATCATCATCTTCGCAGCTCGAAGTCCATATTGAAAGGTGCTTGACTGGAGGCTGGATGATAAGTAGAGATTTGACTCTGGTGCCAGGCTTCGGAGTCTTCCCCCCCAAGGAAGACCCTGAACGAGACGCTTAGGGATGAAACTTCGCGGTCAACGCTGCAATGTAGCAGGTGGAGGCCCGGGAGACCGATGACCCGGAAATGGCTCGTTAGGCCCGCTAGTAAGCCGATGTGACGCTGAAGCTTGATCGAAGCGTTGATGTTCCCGAGGAATAGGCGATTGACCTGCTGTACTTGAGCAAATCCAATGCATCGAGAAAGAGCAGGATGCGTTCCAGGAGCTCTGGAATCTCAAATACAGTTTGCACCACCTCTACAGACGCGGCTGGCGGCCAAGGTCGTGGTGGCGGTAGTGTAGCGAGCAGTCGTTTCATGCCCTCTTGGTAGCCGTGCAGGTGGTCGATTGCGGCATTGATACATCGCAGAGCCTCAGCGCTGAGGAGTCGAGCATGATACCCTTGCTTGAGTTGGCTCGATTGCGAAATCGTGACATTCACTCCGATAAGGTCGTGGTGAGCAGCGCGTATGTTCTCCGCGGGTGCGCTTCTGGCCCGATCCATCCTGCAATGTCACCATCAAAACAGATCGGACTTGGCGTCTCTGCTGATGTCTGTTCGCTTGTGCGTTCAGCACGCATGTCTTTGGAGCATCTGAAGCGGGGACAGCCGCTGCTTGCGGATGTCGCGCTAATGCAAGCCCCACACAAGCGGTTGCGAAAGGGCAGGCACGACCTGTGAGGTGGGAAGTATGACTACGAAACTGATGTGCGCTCTACGAAGCCTGCACCTACATAGCATGGAACTCAGCTTAAGAATAGTAACCTTGAAGATCTGTCGTGCACATGAAGAATCATCGTGCCGGGCACCAAGTGGTGCACTTTACGTGTCATCAAACTCATCTGACGAGATCTGTTCGGGCCACGTCGTTTCTCTTGCTTGTCCCGACTCAGCGTGGCTTAATTTGCGGCGGTATCGGCATCTGGAGCCTTGGACATGTGCTGCTATCCGTTAGAGCTATTCGTAGTTTGCAATTTGAGGGCACAGCTTACTTGCGAGCTTCGCGGCCATGTACGCTTCCGTCTTTCGCCGCTTCACCGCCTTATCCTGCTTTTGCCGCTTGCGCTCCGCTTTCAGTTGACGAGTGCAACGACGAAAGGATCCGAACGGCGCAGAGTGAGAGTTGCCTTTCCGTCTGGGAGGACCTTATTCTGACCATCCTTGTCAAGCATTGCCACTGGCGCCACAGGGCAACTGCGATGATCCTCAATGAGTTGTAAAGCCATGTATTCAAGGAGCCCTAGCGTGATTCCGCCATAGACGCTAAGTGTTCGGGTCGATGGATCCTCCCTTGGAACAGCGCTAGTCGTCGCAACAGTCAAGCCAGAGTTGGAGGTGAGTGACTGGACGCTGGCGTATTAGGAGGGAATTGATCCTGCTGCCGATTTTTCATCGTCGGTCTAAGTGCGCCGTTGATACGGAAGTCAAGGTTACATTGGACGCTGTTATCCTAGAGTGTCTCCGAGTTAATGCCGACACTGAACCAGGGATCGCACATGATTAATCACATCTGCTTGAAGTTGGTGTTCAGGTCGGGTAGTGCTCCCATACGACGCTGAAGCCTGATCGACCCCCTCAACATCTCGCGAAAAGTGCGATTGACACACATTGCTCTTGTGAGGTTCAATGCGTTGAGCTCCAGCAGAATGAACTCTAGGACCTCCGGAATGTCGAACATTTTCTAGGCCAGCCGCGTAGTTATCCTTGAAACCTCTAGCGCCACGAACCGTGGCAGCGCACCGTTTGCGGCCTGGAGCAGCCTCGTTATTCCACCATTATAGTGCCCATCTCCTCTGCGCGGCAATCGCATGGCGTGCTCGTAGGGCAGCATCACAACCCATCGTTACTTGAGAAACAATAACCTCTCGATTCGATGGCGCCCCTTACACCAGAAGCACGGCATTCAAGCACCCATCATTCTCCGGGTTGTTCGTCACCTGCGCCCACCGTCCCCAAACAACCTTACCACCTGCCGTCACCAAGCCCAACTCACTCACGTTCACTTCCACGATCGTGCCTTTCGTCAAAACGCCCAACTGCGTGTACATCGGACTTTGCGGGTTCTTCTTCACACTGATAATCGGTAGCTGCACGGTCACACCCAACTCCGGATGCGTCACGTTTGCCTTCTTATATCGCAGACCCATCGGTCGTATGAAGCGCTCGTACTTTACAGGCCGCCGCGTAAAGTCCGGGCCGACGAATGTTGGCTTGGTGATCATGCGTTTCCAGCTCTTCTTCGCCGTCTTCTTGCCCGTCTTCACCACCTTGAACATCTCCGCCTCGCTGATGCCTCTCACCTTCGGCAATGGCACGGAGAACTTGGCTGCCTTCTCTGCGCGCTTGTTCTTGATCGCCGAACTCAGCGCTTTCGCATTGGTAGCGTTACTCCGGTCGAGCAGGTAGGACGGTAATGGCGTCTTGCCGGGTCCGGTATCTTCGGAACCCTTGACATTCTTCTCCTCTTGTTGCCGGATTTGCTTCTTCATCTGAATCTTCTCCTTGTGCCGTTTCTGCTGGTGTAGCTTAGCCCGCAGGCCTCGCAGGTTCTGCGCCTTCTCCGAAACATGTTTGGTTTCTCGTGCGGCGCGCTTGCGGACCCGCTCGTCATGGTCGAGACGCTTGCCGTGCTGCTTTTGGAAGCGCTCGATGTACTCGTTTTGGGGCATCCTGGCGGCTTGTATACGCAGCTGATGGAGCGAGGTTGGTCGGCGGCGAATGAGTGAAATCTACCTCGAAATCTTGGCGGAGGAAGCGTGCCGAAGATCCGCCGGACTGCTTCTCCTGCGGACTTCGAGCAGGAACACCGTCACACGCGATCATCCCTTGCCATCCGTTCATCCCCACGATGCTCACCAAAAGCTTGAAGCGAGCTCTGCTCGACTCACGATGGCCAATGCCACCCACATTCCTCCTCCCCTGGGCGGCAGGACTTACGACAGTCTCGCACTCGACAGCAGCTAGCAACCTCCCTCCTCCGCTCGTTAGTGGCGTATCAAATATCTCAAGACAGCGGGAAGCACTACAGCAGGATCAACGAGCACCGCCGCGGGCATCATCAGGACCTTTAGCTTCGCTACCGGAACTGCCTGCGGCGAATGCGACGTCTTCCCCACCTGCTCTCTCACAGTCCGTCCGTGAGCTGCTGCCAGTCTTACAGGCGCAAGGGCCGCACTACATTGTCGCCCATCTGTACGACAGACCCTACCTTCTCACTCAAGGCGACACACTACGACTGCCCTTTCACATGAAGGACGTTGAACCCGGCGACATACTTCGCTTGGACCGAGCCAGCATCATCGGCAGCAGAGATTACACTCTCAAGGCTGCCACGGCTCCACCGGCACTGAAGTCGCCCACCACATCGACAATCACGATCCTGGACCCAACCACGGGCAATCTGGCGAGTCAGTCAACAGTTATGCCTGAGCCCGGCACGGCGTTAGCGGGAGGTGCGAAGATGATAGCGCCGCACTTCGTGCCGCATCTTGCGAAGGGCAAGGTATCTTATGTGGACGATCGACTGTTTGTGTGTAGGGCTGTGGTAATGGGTGTGGAGAGTGACCCTTTGGTAAGCGCAGCGATCTTAGCGCCGTCCGCAATGTCTGAGACACAGCTGACACTGATGCCCATCGTTGCTAGCATGTTGAAGAGAAAACGAAGAGAAGGCAGAGAAAAGTAAAGAGGGTGAAAAGCAAGCATCGGCACACGATTCTGCGGATCAAGGAGGTGAGGGTGCGAGGGCTGGAGGAGGTTGAGGAAGGCGTGGAGGAGTAGCGAGCGTATTGTTGTGATACGGGACTGTCGATCTCAACAGTACATGCTGTGTGGTGCGCGTCGTACTTCCGTCGCCATCAGCTGCGTGCGGAAGGCGCGAAACGAGCCGCTGCTGCCTCAGGAAATTCCACCTTAGCTCGCCATTGTTTTGAGTGCTTTACGTTCTTTGCTTTGCTGGACTTTCGATACCGCTTTCAGGCCGACAGGAGATGTCACAGCGGCATCAGCATGGTGGCTCAATCGGATGCATTGCAGCAGAAGCTGGAGGAGGCCCCCCACAGTTCGAAACTTACGACAGCTTCAGACCGCCGCTCTTGAGGATCCGAAAACACAGCAGCTGCTCGGCGCCATCACACTTGAGCTGAGCCAAATGGGTTTGACGGCAAGCCGCAATAAATAGACCTCGCCACTTGCACAGCGGCGCAGAGTGTCTTCGATGTCCCGGAGCTTGTGGAACCCATCTTGGTCAGCCTCACCGCCTACGAGCTTCTTAGCGCGAATTGTAACAACAAGACTGCGGTTGACTTGTTGAATGCGTCACCGTCGTTGGGACGCATCATGTGTTTCTGTGTTGCGGTCAAAGGCTGAACGGTCTACGCCAGTCCTTTCGCGAACGAGGACGCTGCACCTATGTGCGGCAGTCAGTTTCCTGGCTTCCGATACCAACAATGGAAGAGTCTATTTGCTGTCAACGGCAGAGGCACCATGAACAAGATTGTCGACAACGGAGTCGGCGGGATCTGCGGTCCCGTGCCTCTGGTCGGTCTAAGAGGGCGGTCAATGCTGATCTGCGTAACCCCTGTGGAACTCGCCTCAATCTCCATTGAGTGTTGCGATTTCGCACCTGGTATCCCTTCGAGTGAGCCCCACCACACTCGGCCGTCGCCTGCAAGACCAGAGCCCGCCCGGTCGCCAACGGGACTTACAGTCGCTGACTGGTTGGTCGTTGCCGCTAACCTCTGCCGAGAGCATCTACTGTGGCCTTACGCAAGCTGTGGCCTGCTCAACAAGTCCGGCTACGTAAGGACGAATGTGGAACTCACTCTGGGGTTGAAGCTCAGGCACGATGATCTTGGGTGGAACCTGGTGCAGCAACACGAATTTTGCGAGTGCCGGGCAGTGCACCAAATGTAAAAGCTGAGACGGATGTCGCAAGAACAGCAGAGAGCATCTGCAGATCCGTGTGAGCCGAGCACGGGAGTACCTAAAAACAGTCAGAGACAGTCTCAACGAGTGCTTCAAGCACAGAGAGCTGGTGTAGCGGCCGACCGTCCAGTCAGCAGCGAAGGCTCAGGAAGTGTTCGGGATTCTGGAGCTTCTGGCAGAAATACTTGGCTATCTGTCTCTGGAAGAGCTGCTCGAGGTATCTCCGACTCGTAAAAGCTTAGCTTTTGGCGTGCGGACCGTACTTACCGATGCTATGCCGCAGTTCGGGCCGATATGCAGACTCCGAATGGACGACATTCTCTGATTGGGAGCATTGGAATGAAGTTGTAGGCAAGCTTAGCCTTTCTTGTATAGACATCAATAGTCCAGAAAGGGAGTGGCGTAGTAAGGGCCGCGGCGAGCCTTCCCTACTTTGGTATGCTGTTAAGATCAGTGTCCATTCCGAAAGCGACAAGCTGCCCCAAATTGGAACTCGGTGCAGAATGCTTCCCCAATGCTCCCTGGCACCGAAGCAGATGAGCATTCGTTTGTGCTGTTACCATGACGAGCAACAGCGCAGGAAGCCAGAAACTTATCAAGTACAGCTCCCTGAACCTCAAGATTACCCTAAGCCACTCACGAACGGTAACGGCATTACCGTCGGAGACCTATTTGAAGCCACGTTAAGACTACGTGCAGGACATCGCATGTGCCCGTATGAGAGCCATTCTTGTTCAACCATCAACGACCATGGCTTCGTCGCTGTTCGAGTCTACTTTGAAGCCGAGGTGCATTTGAGCGAACAGAGTCTGACAAGTATAAGGCATCGTCGAAGGCTTGATGAGGAAAAGCAAAGGTTCGAAGCTCGATCTTTGTTTCGGTCGCGACGTCGTACAAATTCGCAACGTAAGGCAGAGACCAGAGAGGAGAAGTATGAAGAGCGCCGATCGTATGCGAAGGCGAAGAGACTTGGTATGCGACCCACGCTACTTACTTCTGGTTGACGTACGTCCTGACTCCTGTTACAGCGTTCTTGAAAGGCAGGCCAATCCCGACTCTCGCAGAGTACCGATTCGTCAAGGATGGGCACGACAAGCTCGCCAACAAACACTCTCTGATCGCTCAAGAGGACGGTGTCTATGTCGCGAGGCAGCAATAAAGTGGCGCGGAGAGGATAATGCTTGGAGCGGGATCAAAGTCCGCTGCACACGGTATAATGGTGGACGACAAGCGTACGTGATGCTGAGATAATTCTGCCAACCGAAGACCGCAGCGCAGTTGCGGCCATTTGTCGTACTGATCACAGTGGCGTCCACGGGCGACTCATTGCGGTCCAAAATGCACTGAAGTCGGCTGGTTGATTATCTGTGGTAACATTGCGACAGCCAGCGAACAATGTATTGAGTGAAGGGCGTTGGTCCTGTTGGCGAGCTGTCCGAAGCTGCCGTACATGGCAGCTGGGCCGAAAAGCGAAATGTTTGCACATGGCTATCATGACTGCTACTCTACATTGACCATGTCATTCGCTCTTGCCCAAGCCAGCTATGCACAACGCTAACGCAAATCGTCAATGCCATTTGCCAGTCGTAACCGCGCAGGCCGAGTGCAATACTGTCCATACTATTCCGATGCAGCTTACACTTCCTCGTCGCTTTCTTCACCCAGAAGCTCACCCTCATCTTGATCGGTGATCGCATAGTCTCCCCGCGCCCTCTGGAAGCTATTCCTACTCGTGTACGGCCTCGTATATCCGCCGCCACTCCTACCCAACCTCGTGCTGACCGCCTTCCACAGGCTGCCAAGCACCATCGGCATCGCCGCAATCACCGCCACGACCGCACTAAGCGCCATGACAGGGTACTTAATCCACGGCGCCTCACGATCGAAAGCGCTGTAGCCGCCCAAGCCCGGCCCATCGCCACCGAGGCGTATGCGGCCGAACTTGCCGTCCCAATTCCGCCATACCCAGTAACCCACACCCGCCGCAGCGCCGATGGGCAACATGATGGCGAAGAAGAGACCGACAGCGCCGATGCCGTGCCGTCGCTCGTAATCCTCTTCCCAGCCCGGGCATGGGCGCGTCCGAGCCGTGTAGTCGAGCTCCTGTCCGCCTTCGCACGTCGTGAGCGGTATCCTGCGGTAGCCCGTGACATCGTAGTACTCCTTGATATTCTTGTCTGTCTTGCAGATAGCTGCAGCGTCTGGTGGCGGCAAGCCAGGTACAAGTCTACATGAGCCGTCCGACTGCTTTTCGTAGTTGTAGTCGCACTCAAAGTCACGACGTGTGCACGTGCAGTTCTTAGCGATGTTGTGTAGATGCTGAATCTCGCGACCATTGTAGCACTTCGAGTCACGCTTCTTGCGGTGATATTGTGCCACGTGCCCGAAGAGGCAGTTATCGTCGGACAGAGGATGCTTTGGCTCCCAGAGGTAGTAGTCGCTCTGACTGTTGTTTGGATCTTGTTCGTCCAAGACACACATCCTGCTGCGCTCCTCCAAACCACTGAAATCAATGTTGATTGTCGTGAGATCGCCCCTGATCCTGCCCCAGAGAATGAAGTTGCGAGAGGTATCGGACGGTACCGTAGTGAGATCCTCGACCGTCATCGCAGTATCAGAGAACTCATATGGATACCACGTGATGCCCTCATCCAAGCTGTACATGACCTGTGTAGTAGGCTCGCCCTCCTGGACAATGACCACGATCGAGCCCTGGTCGCCATACTCCCACATCCAGGTGCCTGGCAGGATCTGCGTCCAGGTCAGGCCACCGTCACGTGTGGCGAAAGTATCGGCGTCCTTCTTAGAAATCAGGTACTCGCCAACGTTGCCAGTGGCGATCATGAGTCCCACAGCTGACGGGGAAGAGAAGGTATCCCTAGGATCTGATCTCTCGGTGTAGCCGTGGAGATGGAGGCTGCATTTGTCGCTGGTGCCTTTACACTCGAACGGCTTCCCCTTAGGTGGGTCGACAGGTCGTGTGATGAGCGCCCAGTCAGCACCGTCGTTGTGCGTTATGTACGTCTTGAGCTTCTTGGACGAGCCAGCATCGACATCTTCCGCATTCGCAACACGATTGATGACCGCTACGCCCTCCAGCCCAAGCATTTTCTCGAAGTCGACGTACCCAGGTCCGTTGCGGTTTACTTCATTTACAGCCAAAACGTAAGACGTGCCATTGCTGTTCGATTTGATGATGCTGCCATACTCGCTGTCCTCGTGGTTGTTGACGGTGACGTGCAAGAAGACCGCATGTGTCGAGCTGTCGAGCACGGTGTAGGCTTGTTGATGTTGCACCTTGAAGTTACTTGGGAACTGTGCGTCAGCAAAGACCTGGCCATCGATGCTGGTGTCCACCTTTAGGCTTGAGTGATCTTGATCTCGCACCGCCACTACGATGTACTCCGCCATCGTTGCGAAACTGATAACGTCCCTCTTCAGCTCCTTCTTGTGCTCGAAGAAGTCATCCGAACTGAGTAGGTTGATCTTGGCGTCCGAGTCCTGATTCTCGTATTGCTCACAGTAGATCAGCTGGTCGCTTCCAACGCGATCTTCGCGATAAACAAATTGGCACTTCCTGACAGAACGAAGCAACGTCTGCCAGTCGTCACCGCCCTTTGTGGACACATGCGCGATGCTTTGACCTTCTCGACCGCCAGTCCAGATCAACCAATCCTTCTGTGTCGGGTGAAACTGCAGGATCTGGACGCGGTCTTGGCTCGGTCTTTCTGGCGCTTCGAAAGTGTGCCACGTCCCACCACGATTCTGGCTATAATATACCGTCTTCGAGGGCGTCACCAAATACACCGCATCGTTCAAATACTGATGCGGGTAAACGGCAACCACTTCTTCGTCGTCAGTATCGACCGGATACCATTTCTTACCATGATCACGAGATAGATACACCTCGCGGCGATCAGTACGCATGATGATGGTTTCATCCTCGCCACTGCTGCTTTCGCTGCGCTCGAGGTAGTAGTACTCGAGGAATTTGTCCCCCTTAAACGTTGTCACTTCGCTGCTGATACCTGTTACAGCCGGACCACCAGTATCCTTGCAGTCGCGCTCAATAGGATCGTCAAGCGAGACGCCACCCTTCCTGGTGCACGTGTTGCCCGGAATGAGCTTGTAGCCAGACGTGCCCATATACGTGCCTTCGTTATCCTCGCACTTGCCTTCAGGCGCATGCAGAGGACCGCCAGGCACGCATTTCTGGCTCTCGGCATCCCACATGAAGTTCTGCTCATAGTCACATTCGAAATCTTCGATGCTGCACTTGCAGTCTTCCATCACCGGCAGCGGGTCCTTGAACTCTTCGTCAACGAAGCATTCCGAATCGGCCCTACGGCGACGAAACATTTGCGTGTGTCCCATGATACAAGTTGGCTCCCCTTTCTCGTCAACCCGGGCATACCACTTCTCGAAGTCTTTTTCTTTGCACTTAGGAATATCCAGGTTCTCGAAGTCGAGCGAATATATGTAGTGATCCAGTACCGAGCCCCTGCCCTTCGTGGCGGTCATTACGAACTTCAAGCTCGTCGAGTCCGGTGTTGTCGTGAGTGCCGTCGGCTGGATCTTGTCCTTTATGCCGAAGTCCGCAAGCTTGGCCGTCGTCCAGTCCTTGCCGTGGTTGAGGGACCACTTAATCTCGTCGGTCTCCTCGTCTTCAATAGCAACCAAAATGGCTCCTTGGTCCCCAAACTCGTAAAGGTGCGGTCTCTGCAGCGCGAGTCTCCATGTCAGGCCAGCATCGTCCGACACGTATAAGTCCCCTTCCTCGTAAGTCTTGAGGTTCTTTCCAACGTTCCCGACACCCATAACGATGCCTGGCGCAGGGCTGCTGAAGATGCGACCGGCATTGCGCTGCTCTGTGACAGAGTGCAAGTGTAGCTGGTCGCTCTTGCCGACACTGAGCGGCTGCCAAGTGCGACCATCGTCGAAGCTGATCTGCGTAATAACTTCTCTATCCGCCCACCAGCTCTTCTCGATTTCCGCCCAATTCTTGACAGTATTGACCATGACGATACCCTGGATGTTCTGGATCTTCTCGAAGTCCACAAAGCCGCGCATATTGCGATTGGTGTGCTCGATGTTCTTTCTGAAAAAGGTACCGTTGCTATTGCTGGTGAGTAGCACACCCATGGGGCTAGTAGGCTTGGTATTCAATACATCGATCTGCATGCTGTAGTTGGTGCTTTCGAGCAAGGTGTATGCATCTTCCTCGAGCTTGTGTCCTCCAAACTCCGCACGATGCCATGTCAATGTATCGTCCGAGACATACATAGCCAGCTCCGTTGTGCCCTCGCTCTTAGCTGCTGCCACCAGATATGACTTAACTGCAGCCAGGTTAACCACTCCGCTGACCGTCCGTCCATCCGCCATCGCCGGCTCAAGCTCTTCCGTCAGGAAGTAATCTGACGATATCATGAGCCTATACTCAGAAGAGAAAGGCGTGAAGCTGCCTTTTACAACACAGAGCGTTTGATCTGCGTCCAGGTCCTTCTGGCCAGTGGTGAACAGATTGGTGGACTTCGCCCAAATACACATGGTTGCATCGTCGCGCAATAACCGGGCCTCCGTCTCGAAGCCGTTGGTGGTGTAGTAAGCGCTGTCCATGCACTCGAAGCCAAAGCACGTTGCGGTCAACAAAATGATGCGATTCGGATCGCTCGCATGATATACCACCGGCGATCGCGCAAGAGTAGGCTGTTCCGGGACAGTGAACTCAGTCCACGTCTTTCCCTGATCCTTGGTAATCCAATGCACCTTTTCGAAGCCCAGCACGACTGCAACTTGGTTGTTGTATGGATGCCTTGTGATCTCTAGTATGTCGCCCTTCTCTGGTCCATTGAGTGGTTTCCATGTGACACCCGCATCGTCGGATCGGTATGCAGTTCTCGAAGAACTGCCCGTTACGAGAACGACATCGGAATCCTCAAAGTAGAAGAGGTTGGTCGGTAGCGAGTCGAACTTGGTCTCCTCAATGGTTGGTCCATCCTTCGCGGCCAGCACGAAGCTTGTTAATGCAAGCAGCAACCCGAAGAAGCGCCTCATGTTGCCCAGCTGATGCTTATCTCGTCGCCATGAGAGAGAGTAAGTGTTTTGGAGGCTGCGCGATAGTTCGCATAAGGCTATCGCCTTCACTGTACACGTACGCCTCAGCTCGACTAGAGCTCCGGTGACGAAGCGCCACAGCGTCTCCGAGCCACGCGACACTACCGTTATCTGATCCGCTGACAAACAAACGCTCAGACATGGAACGTTGAATGGAAAACCCGGATCGTATACTCAAAGCTACCTAATGTTCCAGCAGGTCATCGCAGCATTGTACTGACAAGCTATCTACAACATTGGGTCCGCGCCACCACCTCTCCTCTCCCATACCGCATGTATGCCCATGTCCAACTCTCCATCGTCCCGGTGTTTGACCATAGGCTCGTTCGAGCCCGGTGGCGGATTAACGAAAACTACGTTCTTTCTTATCCCAAGACTCATATGGATGGCAGGTGGATCTGACGCTGCGTAATCCTCAAGAGGCTCTTTCTTGATCAGGTGCATGATATTTCGGGCTACGAGCGCTGCCTGTCCCATTCCTGGCCGCGCAGCCTTATGTGCACCTGTATCTGCAATGTCGCCAAGAGCGAATACATTCGGGTGATCGTGGTCGCTGATTTGCAAGGTAGGCAGTACTTTGATGAATCTCCTTTCATTGATAGAACTTGGCGATAACGTCCTCAGGATATCAGACTGAGGTATCTGTCCGGTGCAGATGATCGCAAAATCGGCCGGTAATTGTGTCCCGTCTTCTAGGTCAACGGTGAAGCTGCTCCCGTCGGTCGGATATCCTCCCGGAGGCAGTTTCACTCTCGATCCCAGCTTCATAGCAATGCCTAATTCTTCGCAACGTTTGCGTACGATCTCGTGCAGCTGAGGGTGAAAGGCATTCATGACTTGCGTTCTTGAATGCACGAGCGTTACATTCTTGTCGGGATACAGCTCCTTGATGTCGGTGGCCATTTGGACGCCTACCGCACCAGCGCCGATGACGACAATATTGGAGCTGCGAACTATTTGCTGGACATGTTTCTGGAGATAAGTCACGCCATCCTTCTTCGCTGTACCAGGTAGTGTCGAGGGTGGCGAGAGCTTGGTCCCAGTAGCGATGACCTGGCGTCAAGTCAGCGGGCGAGTTGTAATGCTATGGACTATGGATATACGGACAAGGAAGGCATATTGAATTGACCGCCTCGACTCCCCATCTAACAGCACGTCTCTATCGAGCTCGACGGCTTCCGAGGTCAACCTCGTTGCTCGGGCTTGCACGATGCTTCCGGAGCCTTCGGGACTAGCTGCGAAGACGCCGGGTCGTAGTGGGATGAATGCTTTGGCCGTGTCGACGCCAGTAGCTACTGCAAAGCGTGGAAAGGCGAAAAGATGCTGGAAATGCGAATTCGATTCGACGAGAAGAACGTGATGGACTCCATGGAGAGTGCTTGCTAGTTCTTGCGCCGCTTTGATACCTTGACATGGCCATTAGCGTACCGTTCACTTCGTGGAGGGTTGGTTGGAGATACGGAAACTTACCCACATAACTTGCTCCAACTACGACAGCGTACTTGGCCGCCATGTCAAACAGTCTTGGTCTGAAAGAACCTGATAACTTTACTTGGTGCGAGATTTACAGTGTTGAAACTGGAAAAGACCACATGGTTCTACAGGAACTATACGATCTTTGACGGATGAGACGAACGCGAATACTTAGTAATGGGCTTGTGCTGAGCGGAACTCGTGTCGACAGCATGGGCGCGTGCGGTTCGGAAGCGATTCGGAAGCGATGGGCGGATGTGGTTCACTTCAAATCCAAAGGGACCTCCCTCGGCCGAGTTGAGTTCACCGGCAATGGTAGTGCGGCATCTGTACGAGCCTAAACCGACCAGTATCGAGTCGACGACATGAAGCACCTCGACCATCGAACACGGAGTACAGCCTGGATGGTGTTATGGTATATGTAGCAGGTGTTCGAGTTGAGGGAAGACTTCTCCTTTTCCCGTACATAATTCACCGCGCCTGCCCCTGCGCGATGACGATCTCGCTCGCGACACGCTTGTGGCAGTGCAACGCCCTCCAATCGAGACCACTCCTCTCAGCTGCCATCCAACGACCGGCCTCCAGGCTGCGGTTGCGGCGCAGACGTTAGAAGAGCTAATGTGTTCACGCGCGCAGTCCAAAACACTTCCAGAGGTGTCGCTCCCAAACCTCACCATAAAGCGATTTCCATCAAGGTGACATTGCCGTGATAACTGCTTCCAGTGACCGAGGCCTTAAGAGGTCATTGTCCGCTTTTCCGTCTGTCGTGCACGTTCTCAGAAAAGATATCAAAGATATCCAGGATGAATCTCATTGCGACCGCTCTTCTTACCTGTGTCGCTCTATCTACCGCAAGCAACATCGATGTACGCGCAGTCAGCACTACTGTAGTCGCCGTTACAGCCACTACAACCATCACTCAAACGGCGACCAACAGCGCTGGCGCTCAAGGAGCCTGCGATAACTTCTACGGAGCTTGCGTGGTATACATCGGCTATGGCAACCCTTCTTACAGCACCACCTTCTACAACTACGCCCCTTCGACAACGCTCACTACTCGAACGACGACACCATCGCCAACGACGATAGTGACGAGCTATAGCACGCAGGTAGTAGTGCAGACCACGACCGTGAGCAACAGCGGCGAGTGCAACAACTACAATGGCGCTTGTGTGGTATACCAGACTGCTGCTGGGGCGGCTACTACTGTATATCCAGGAAGCAGTGGAAATCACCAGGGCAGCTCACAGGGCGAGATTGGGCTTACGAGCAACAACGGCGGAGATGGCACGATCGGTGCAGCGTCTGGTCTTGATAAGTATGCGAGCATGGGTTTCGCTCTCGTTGCGGCAGGCTTTGGAGCGCTGGCGTTTGCATTTTGAGTATGGTGTAAAGTCAGCGGCCAGAGCATGATACCCTTGCAAGCATGGCGTTTAGGCAGGTTGACAGCACCGTAGATGTACGCCCCTCCATCTTCTGCAACGATCCGTTCAGTACTCCATTGCTGCACGGACTGCTATTCGACTTTCGGACGCACCGACTCCGCCATTGTTTGAGACCAACAGTTATCGCATTCGTGACGCAGGAGCCTGCCGTCAGCGCCGGCGTGCCACGTATCTCCCGGACGAGTTCATTGTTCGCCTTACACCGTGCCTCCCTCGAGCTGTCAGCGATGACATTTCTCTTCCTGATGCATTGTCAACAAAGCAACACACCAGCACTGATTCTCGTTATTTCCCCAAGCCTACGCTTTGTCTCGGCGCGTGAGAGCAGGCAAACAATGGCGCAGTCACTGTCTGGCTTATTGTTGGTTCTTTGTGCCATCAACAGCGCCCGCTCTCTTCCTTTCTAAGCCCTTAATGAAGCATTTCTGCCACTTGCTGCACGTTCTGCGACTTTAACGGTATTGGGACTTATTGAGACAGTCTTCAGCACACTCTCGATATTCGCGGGCTCGAAGATACCCACCTGCACCCCAATCGCACCTTACCAGATATACAGACATGCTACTTCAACCCCTTTCGCTTGGCCGCATGGCTGTCAAGCATCACTCGAAGAAGGAAAAGGTGGCTGCTAAGTCGAGAAAGCCACGAAGCAGGTCTTTCTGGCTTCGCATCCTCGCAATATTCCCGGTTTTCATGATATCCATCGCCTCCCTACTCGCTGTACTTTGCGTTTCCGCGGGCAAGAAGCCAGGCATGATGGACGACTACGCCCTTTTTGCCCTTGACGTCTCAAGGATCGGCGAAGATATGCTACAGAATCTGGACGCCAAGATCAGCTCGGTCAAGTTTAAGAGATCAGTGCCTGTCGACCTCCCAGGCCTAGCAGGGACTGAGAGTACGCCTGCTCCTACTTTCACAGCCGCCCCTACAACGCTGGTTACCTTGGCTGCTCGCGATATTGCTTCTGACTTGAGCTCGCTTAAAAGCCGCGGAAGTAGCAATTTCCACTCTGCTGGCTCTGCGATCGAAAGCCATGCTACATCTGTTGAGTCCGCAGTGGTCAGTGCCGTCACATCTGTTGAGTCTGCAGCGATCAGCGCCGCGTCAAACGCTGTTGGCGTCGTGGAGACCAAGGTCATCCAGGTCGTCAACAACGCTTACCACGGCCTGATCTCTGACCTGCAGCTTAACGACTTTTACGCAATCCATGTCAGCAGCTCTTGCGTCGGCACGTACGTCTACGAGAATGGAACGAACGTCACGGTCGGCGATGGCGGCTTGCCTACGTCAAATGGCAAATACGGCGTGCACAAGCGTGTCGACAGCTGCAGCACACATTCCGCGATTGACCCTATGAGCCTGATCAAGATACTCTACTGGATAGGTATTATCTTTACGGGTGTTGCACTCATATTCGGCATAACAGGCCTAGTGCTGCTACCAACGGGCCGTGGTCGCAAGCTCGCAGTGTTCAACATCATCGCGACTTTGTTTGCGTTCATCTTCATCGGGTTGGCGTCGGCGGTGACACATGGCCTTGCACTCGGTGCTACCAAGTTTATCAACTTCGTTGGTGAGTCCATCGGGATTGCAGGATATCTTGGCAGTCGGTTCATGGCCATGACGTGGGCTACGACGGTCCTACTCTTGATCAACATGCTATTATGGACATTACTGTTTGTTCTGGCGAAGCGACTCGGTGATGCCGATAACGGAAGGCCTCGATCAAGACCCGACAGGACCACTGGAGTTGCGCTGGCCGACATTTCACGTCCTAAACTTGTGCATGACATGCGTGGAAACCAGATGATATGAGTGTAAATGTTACGGTGAGCGTTTCAATCCGATTTTGTATTACATTGTAAGCGGAAAGCGATGCAGCATTGATAGCATGCGTAACGTAACATTCTTCCCAGAACCGTACACCTTGGCATAAAGTGTTGAAACAGTCGTTCAACTGCCATACGTCGATGGACTCAACGGATAACAGTATCTTCTTGCTTCTGCTTCCTGTCCTTAGGCTTGCCAGTAGTCACCTTGTGCTTGAGCATGCGTAAGCCGAAGAGACCGCTAGACGAGTTTGCTGGAGCTTTGCCCATAGCAACGTCAGCGGCGCCTGGGTGGCCACTCTTCAACGCCGCCATGATCTCTGCGGCCCTTTGCCTCGCCGCCTCCGCCTTCTCGCTAGGCATAGTCGTTGGGTCCATAACGTTGGTGCTTGCTGGGAACGCGTACCCGCTGTCATTCCATGGGTTCTGGCCGGAGGCGCCGAGGAATGGGACAGGCTTGGGTTGGGCGCTGTAGGCTGGGAGACCCGATGTGGGTTTTGGCGAGCCTTCTTCCCGTTCGGCTTGGCTAATGGTGGCCTTTTCCATCGTGGAGCAGTCCATTATGTTCGAGGGAGCTACCTCGAGTGTGCTTGATTGGGGAAACACTAATGCCGTTGCGGGTCTGCAATCCAACTCGGTGATGAAGTCGCTGTTCCTCTGCTAGGACAATGAAAGCGCTGTTAATATTTAGATGTGTAGCTATGTTCTCTGGAGAATATCTATCGAGCGTTAAGAGAGAGATGGTTCTATGAAATGTTCGCTACAGGTACCGTCAATCGTGCTTTCATCAATGGCTTGCTGTCGAGCTTCGACCAATGGGCTGTATTGTCGGAAGCATCTCTTGGCTGCGCCGCTTCCTGGAGAAGGCGGAGCAGAAGGTCAGCAGATCGATCATCGGATCGCCTGAGCGATTTGCCAATGCAAGTGTGTCATGTTACCGTCTTGACGGGAGGTATCGTGTCACATCATGGAATGGCTATTGTGGAACACCCGCACCTGCCAGTATAGCCTCCAGCGTGTATGAAGCTGGTAGTGGGGAAGAGATGCTGTCTCAGGAGCGGAGTACAGTACCTGCTAGCCTTAGCGGCACGCTGCAAGATCTGCTCAGTCCAAGCACTTCCACCCGTGTCGACCGTGTACTCGCTAGGCTCCCAGTAAGACGTCCGACGGTGGGGTTTAGACAATTGATTGCGGTTAGGAGAAGCGACGATGTGCTAGGACAAAGTCTACAGGCAGCCGTTTTCTCGCCAACTCCGAACTCCGTACCATAGCTTCCAACTCGTCACTGGCTGCCCACAACAAGGCAGAAACATTGTGAAATGCAAAGACGGGATCTTTAAGCAGGACCTGATGACGAGATGTGCTTGCAATGTACTGTAGCCCTATCCGAGGTGCGAATCTGGCACTTGATAGGCCAGACTTTCATGCCGTCAGCAGCAGGCAGCCACGAAGCGCTGTGCCAAGGAGCCAACTGATGTGGAAGTGTCGCTCGGCACATGAGGTTGAAGCATTGTATACTTCATCTTCATCGGAGTTCACTGGATGAGCCATGGCTGCGGCTTGGGTATAAGTACGGGGGTAATTTGTGCGTATATAGCAACTACTGTACAACAACTTCGATATCCGCTCGCCACAGCCAGTACTAGACTCCTCCCTGCGAGGCAAGATTTACAATATAGCAAGCGCTGCTTCAGGCTATGGCCAAAGTTTTACCCGATCGGTATTCTTCAAATCCATTTATTGGATTCCCAGTCACCATGGCAGAAAGGAAGCAAGCAAGACAAGCAGCGGCATCGTCCGGCTCGCAGACACAAAGACAATCTTCCGACCCTCAGTCAACGTGCTTCATGGGAAACCCGGAGAAGGTTCGACAGAGCGGGACCTCCTTCGCTGGGAGCAAGACCAGTGCAAGATCGATCTCTCCGCAGTCAGCAGCGAACATGCCACAGGGTGATTTGCCGAATGAGCCACGTGAGCGCCGCAAATCGTCTCTCGGACGACTGGTGGACAAGACGGTATTAAAGCTCAATCGAAGGCCAAGCGGAGCAGAAAGTCTTCCAAACGATGAGGATGACTTTCAGCGGCAGAAGGCCAAGGAGGTTGAGCAGCAAAGACGGAAGGAGGAGTACGAGCGATTGGGCCTTGGGGAGAGAACAACTTTGGGTACGCCGGGCGCTGGAGGTTGGCGTGCTGGATGAGTCGCTGGCCGGAAGTGAAACGATGCTGACGTGAGCGTCTTTTGTGTTCATCCCCTTTGGGGGCCGTGTGGCGCGACGCAACACGGCATACACCTTACTATTGCCATGAGAACATTACACGCACACTAAAGGCAGCTAGAGGCTTCTTGGGGGTTCTTTGGAGGAATGATCGTTGTTGCGGCGGCCTTATCGTCACCAGATTAGTGACTGCAAATAGAGTCAAGGTCCAGCTTTCTCGAAGACACGTAGCCTTGTCCCATCAGTCAACTATGCTGTGATATAAGGCCGCCAAAGAGAAGGGTAGATGTCGGTTCGCCTAACAACAGCGTAACAGAGGATATCTGCCGATTTCTTGAAGAACTACTCGGCGGAAGGTAGCGTCCCGCAACGCCACGCCGTATGAAGGGTCTGTAAATATAGATTGGGTCGCCCAACGGGTGTATAACATGTACTACTCTGCATGTTGTTGTTTGATGTTTGATGTTGATATTGATGTTGATCGGAACGACCGCAAGGGTCATTGATGGTTTGGCGCTAGCGGGATGAAACGCGGGAGTGGCATTACCCCACTCGAAGCCTGAACTTTCCTCAGGCCGGCGAGCTGACCGACTTCGACCTCTAAGCCACACGAATACGGCGACCGTCACTCGAGGCCGACGGCGACAGTAAGCCGGCGTCATCCGTCACGCTCTGGGGCCTTGTCAACGCTCTACCCAGTGCTCACCCTCTTTCGATACGGAGCCACGACAGGGCAAGGCACAGTACAATCAGTCCGCGTCAAGGTGTACTTGTCACAACTGGACGTCATGCTAGGCTTGCCGCCGATGAAAGTCTAGCTCGCCTTCGTCGTGCCTACGGGCACGCCGTGTCCCGCCCGGGAAGGCTAGGTCAGGCGTCGGTAACATGGCCAGTGAAGATGGACCGCCTCCGACCTTTCTGGCTCCTCCCGCAGTGACAGCGCTACGAGAGGAGGCGGCCAAGGATGGCGGTGAACGTGGGCATATGGAGCGTACGATCAGTATGGATATACGAGAAGAGCGGGAGGAACTGAAGAAGGCGGCTGAGCAGTCAACAAACGCTATCTTGGAGCTGGCTCTTGATGGCACAGTGCGTTGGGTAAGCCCGTCTTGGCCTGATGTTGCCGGCATAACCGTGGAAGAAACCATAGGCAAACCAATAGCCGAACTGCTGGTTGAGAATTGCAACGTGTTCGGCGAATGCATAGAGGCTATGCGAAGAGATGACTCGAAGAGCCGAACGGTGCGCTTCTCCGTGAAGACTGCGCTCCCGATAGTGCGTGATGATAGCGCCTCCTTCGACGACAAGACGCCTGTCGAGCCGAAGAGCGGATTTGACCCACTACCTCAGGCGCACTCGACCTCTGAGGCTTTGCACATACAAGGCACGGAGCAGTCACAGTCAGCCGAACAGCAAGAAAAGCCACAGCCCCTACAAGCTAGACACTCGGAGTCTGGTGATGTAGTTGACCTTGAGGCTCAAGGGATCATGATTTATGATCGCACAACTGGCGAAGAAAGTCACACCATGTGGATGGTGAAGCCTGCCGTATCCCGTGAAGTCACAATCGACCTACCCGAACTACTCGTAGAGTCTCTTGGCGTTGGCGCTGAGATGCTTGCCAATTACTTGACACTATTAGCAGAAGTCGGCTCAGAGGATCCAGAACACCATCCGCCGCCGATGCCTGTCCTCTGCCGCATCTGCGAGCGCTCGATACAGCCTTGGTGGTTTGAGAAGCACACAGAGCTCTGTTCGCAGGAGCACCGCGCTGAGATGGAGGTGCAGCTGGCTCAAGAAGCACTCAATGAACAGCGTTCAGCCTTGGTCAAAGTGCTGGACGCCTTGGAAGCGCAGACACGACTTACGAGAAGCCTCTCTAACGACAGCAGCTCTCCTACTCCAGCACCCAAAGCGGAATATAAAGGCCTGCCGATTGGCCCAACTTCCACGCCATCTTCCGGACCTTCTTCTGGCCGCTCTTCACCAGCAATGCAGCCAAGCCGGTCGCGTGAGTCTTCCGCGACTGGGCTCAGCCATCACCGGGCTCGTTCATTTGCAGTTCGACGCCCGTTAGCTCGTATTGTTGAACTAGTGCTTGATCTTTGCGATACCGCGATGGAAATAAGCACGCCGTCCATTAAAGAGAACAAAGTGTATGCTTCCTACGAGCTGCGAACACAGTCACCGCAGTCTGAAGGGCGCATACAGCAAGTCTTGCAGTGGCAGTCGCCCAGCCAAGGTACTCTGGAGAACGAACAAGGCCTGGCGCTGCTCTGTGAAGAGACAGCTCAACTTGCTCGCTCCAAGGTTGAAGCTGTCTTCCGACATCGTCGTATTCTTGAGTACTCTGAGCGCATTCGGGTAGAGTTTGACATACTAGTGCACGAGTGCGTCGCCGAGGCAACACTTAAGGCGGCGCGTATCAAAGCTGGCGACATGAGCGACTCTAGCGACGAATCACCGACGTACGAGACTCCGGAAGAGCACGCCGATCCCTCTCAAGAGGAAGCAAGCCAAGAACCCCCTTTGCAAAGTACCGAAGAAATTGCGCCGGAAGAGCCAAGCATCGATGATGAGGTCAACGTGGTGCCGAAACGCTTCACTGGCAGTCCATCGGCCATGGCGATGGCTTTAAGGAGCGCCTCGGAGTTGACTCTTGACAGGCGAGCTTCCTCAACCGGCTCATCTCGGGCGAGCAGTCCTGGGGTTGGAGCAACAACGCCCAAATCCTCGGTTGGGCCACCTGAGCCTTTTGCTTCTTTTGCCCTGCACAAGCGCGGCTCCTTGGCCTTCGAGAGTGATGCTGGTGGCGACAGTGACAGCAGCATGCGATCTTCTCATCACTCCGGCGGCCACCGGCGCGCAGATTCTCCCAATGCCGAAGTCGCTCTCAGCCGGGTTGTAAGCCACAGGTCACGCGAGCGTAAGCGCCAGAGTCTCGTGTTGCCGAGTCTCATCGGTCAAGCTCGACACCCATCTCCAGGCAGGGGACAGGGTACTCCATCTTCGCCATTACGCATGGCCAAGCCCAGAATGCCAAGCAGCGCGGTGGACAGCATACCATCACCCGTCACCTCGCCCACTCTGCCAACGGAAGGATTCACCTCACCCATCATCCGAGCTCAACATCAGAGCCATCACCGTCGCCAATCCTCGAATGCACTGGCTGATGTTCTTGCACGGCCGACTTCGCCTCGCTTGAGCGGAGTGATGGGCAACTCGCAGGCTGGTGCCAGACAAACCTCCATCAAGGACTTTGAGATCATCAAACCCATCAGCAAAGGCGCATTTGGTAGCGTTTACCTTTCCAAAAAGAAGACTACGGGAGATTACTTCGCTATCAAGGTGCTGAAGAAGGCTGACATGATCGCCAAGAATCAGGTCACGAACGTCAAGGCCGAGCGGGCGATCATGATGTGGCAGGGTGAGAGTGACTTCGTAGCTAAGCTGTACTGGACCTTCTCGAGCAAAGACTATCTGTACCTGGTGATGGAGTATCTCAACGGCGGAGACTGCGCCTCCTTAATCAAAGTCCTCGGCGCTTTGCCGGAAGACTGGACGAAGAAGTACATTGGCGAAGTGGTGCTGTGCGTGCAACATCTTCACAGCCGACAAATCGTCCATCGTGACATCAAGCCCGACAACCTTCTCATCGACGCCAAAGGACATTTGAAGCTTACCGACTTCGGCCTGTCACGCATGGGTCTCATAGGTCGACAGAAGCGTGCAATCAACGCGAAGCCTGAAGATGCGCCTCCTGACTTGTTGAAAGCTGGCCCCTTCCGACGAGCGCCCTCAGTCACGTCATCTAGGTCAACGAGCTTCGACTACCATGGTCATCACTCTCCCGCACAGACGCCCGCCATGACTCCTGCATTAGCTGGTGATCTCAGTCAGCCGTCGTACTTCAGCTTGAACAGGGAGGCATCGCGCGAACCATCACGTCGCACGTCCGGCCATCGAAGTAACAGCGGTGACAGCGATGCTTTGGAGTCCATGTTTCGCAGATTCTCGATGGCTGACTCCAGGACACCCATCGAGGAAGAGACTGCAAGCGAAGAAGGTGGCGAGTCTCCAGATCCATACATACTACAGCCAGTGCCTAGTAATGTTGGCCCCCCAAAGACAGAGACGCCACCAGCGCAGAATGCAACCATGCCACCACCAATCATGTCTCTCTTCGACCCAACAGACAGCGACCGGCGTTTTGTTGGCACACCGGATTACCTTGCCCCAGAGACGATCAATGGTGCTGGGCAAGACGAAATGAGCGATTGGTGGTCCCTCGGTTGTGTCTTGTTCGAGTGCTTGTACGGCAGGCCTCCCTTCAATGCCGACACGCCGGAAGGAGTGTTCAAGAATATCCTGGCTCGCAACATACAATGGCCCTGTGATGACGAGGACGTCTACGTTTCCGAAGAGGCGAAGGACCTCATGAACAAGCTGATGTGTTCAGACCCAAAGGAGCGGCTCGGCTCGAACAAGGAAGAGAAGTATGCCGATGGTGGCGAAGAGATCAAGGCTCATCCTTGGTTCTCTGATATCAATTGGGAAACACTACGAGAGGACGAGGCGTCGTTCGTTCCGACTAACGAGAATCCCGAAGACACGGAGTACTTCGATCCTCGAGGAGCATCAATGCAGCATTTCGCTCCTGAGTTCCAGGACGAGCAGAACTCGCCGCTACAGACGCCGGGCGCGGACTATCCGGACCGCCCGCACGATGCACTGTCACGAGTTAGAAGCCAGGTCAATGCTGTCAAGCGGAATCTGATGCCGTTGCACATTCCACCCCACGTACGAGACGCACGTTCGCGGCGACTGAGCGAACCTGTGGTCAACGACGACTTTGGCAGCTTCCAGTTCAAGAACCTGCCGGTGCTCGAGAAGGCAAATAAAGATGTCATTCAGAAGCTGCGCGCTGATGCCATGCAAGCACAGGCGAAGTCTGCACTAGGTCTTGGCACTTCGTCTCCGGCGGTTGTCTCGCCGTCTCCTGCACCCTCACTCGATGCCAGTCCGATCTTACCGATGCCGCTGAAGCGCACCTTGTCGGCGAACAAGGGTCACAATAGGCCACAATCTCCCTCCATGCTGAGCCATCACAGCTCATCTCCGAGCCGAGGCTCGCAGCCTTCGTCGCCCTTGCTGGTGCATTTCAGTGCTGGACAGCGTCCCGAACGTCGCAAAGCATCGAGTGGATCATCCCATCTGTCACAGCAGACGAGCAACACCTCGCTACAGCCCGGCAACTTCTTCGAGCAAGTCCCACGATTTACGGCGAAGAGTCAATCAGCTGCTCCGTCTCCGGTTAGAAGTGCGAAGAACGGGTCAATGCAGCTGCACTTCAACGGGGAGACGGGAGGCAAGCAGCAACGAGCAACGAGCGTCTCCTCGTCTTCGCCACGGCAGAGGTCTCACACGGTTGGTTCTCAAGAAGGCGACCTTGTGCCCGAGTTGGTGCCGGCGCACCACAAGAGGCGAAGCGGCGTATTCGACGTCTCGCCTTTTTCCTCGGATAATGAGGAGTCACGGCAAAAGCCACTGCGCTTCCAGCGGAACCGGCAGAGTTCGAACCGCATGTCGCAGGTTAATCTCACGGATGGTCCAATGTTCCGCACACTCGACGTACTTGTCTGCGAAGACCACCCTGTCTCTCGCTTGGTGATGGAACGGTTACTCGAGAAGCTGCGATGCCGCACTATCATCGCGAACAACGGTGCGGAGGCTGTGCGGTATGCGACGAGTACCGTCAAATTTGACATCATAATGATGGAGTACAAGCTGCCGCAAGTCAACGGTGTTGATGTGGCGCGGATGATACGCGAGACAAAGAACGCCAACTCCAACACGCCCATCGTGGCCGTGACCGGCTATCTGAAGGAGCTCGGCGTAACGCACAACTTCAATGCTCTTATCGAGAAGCCACCCACCAAGGAGAAGCTGGAGAACGTGATGAGTAGTCTTTGTCAATGGAAGCCAGCTCCTGAAGGATGGAAGCCTACGCCGCCGATGCCGGTACCGGCCGCAGTCAGACAAGACTCGATCCCCATCAGCACTACTGACGATAGCCCGACTACCACATCGTCCTTGAGCGGCTTCACTTCGAACACGAACACTGGTCGCGAATGGTCCATCAGCTCCATCGACGGCGCAGAGAGTCATGCTGGCAGCATTGGCAGCATGGGCAGTATTCCGCTCATCGTGAGTCGGCAGCCAACACTGGACGAGGACTATGAACGCAACTTTGGCAGCTCATTGGCTGGTGGTTTGGGTATTACGCAGAAACCGCTGGTCGCTAGTCCCGAGCCGGATGTGTCGAAGCAACTATCTCGCCCCTTTCCGCAGCTCCTGCACGAGTCATCAGCGCCTGCTCGACTCGACACTCCGCCGTCGCCCGTCCTCCGTAGGCAGCCATCTGCGGAAGCTGTAGAGGCTAAGCGGCGTTCTTTGGAGAAGGTACGACACGAGTCCGCAGCCGAGTCCGGCGACGACGAGGACGAAGAGCTAGGCCAGGTCAACGTCTCGCGGCAACGCTCACCCAAGCGCGGGACTGCGAAACGCGCGTCGAAGCTAGGGACGGAAATGCTACGCACGAACAGCCAAGGTAGCGTCATCTCTGTCGACGACGTCGTCGCCGTGCAAAGCGCCGCCCGAGCTTCTGCGGCCGAAACGCCGACAACGCACGCCATTGCCGAAGACCCTGCCGCTGAAGTTGAGGCTATGGGTCACCTCACGCCGCCGGAAATCTTCACGCCTTCTCAGGCTGGAGATCAGACGAAGGAGGTCATGATGGAAATCACCACGCCCATGACCGAGATTCAGCCGGATTTGGAGGCTACGCCGAGACCGCACCATACGCACGAGCCCGACCCGGATCCCACGCCGAGGGCATCGACTTCGCCTACGCACCACGACTGAGCACTGCGGGCACGGTCTTCTTTGCATATATCTCCTCTGTATTATCAAGCGCGAACTGTTTTCATATGTCAGCAATACAGCGGTTTTCGATGCCATTATGCAAATTTTTATTTCGTTATTGGCGAAGCATTTGAGCATGGTGTTGGTGGAGTTTGGCTTTGAGCATATACGGCCGGGAGTGCTATCTGGGTGTGCAGTACAGGGATCATGTTTGCGCACTGGCGTTGGCAGCCAGCGGTCGGGCAGAGGCTTCGAAAGATGGCCGGCTTCGCTGCCCTGGGTGGTTCTAGGCCGAATTGTGCTTGGCCGTCAGGGAGCTTAAACGGTAGACAGGAAGGCGCTACTGTATTTAGCCTTGAGCGATAGCTGTATGACACAGGCCTGTGTGATCATATTCGGTCTTGTGATACCGATCCATATCCCCCGTGCATCTGCGCTTCTGCGATAAACTGTGGAATGCTACGGAGCAATGACCGGCCGTTTCCGGTCAGCATCCGCTATCAACATGAATAACTCCATTGAACGCCTCGCTAAGTTTCATCAATGCAAGCAATCCGCGCATCTTGGTAGGCTTGAAGAGCGCTTCGCCGCATTTTGCCGAAATCTTCGTAGCGGCAAAGTCGGCGTCGCGTGTGCCACCCAACGATGCGGTTATGAGAAGTCGCGCAGTTTCGAAATCTCATCCAGTGCGCGCTGCAGCTCGTCATCATCCAGCTTGCCCTCGAGCGACGGGATCAGGGTCTTCGCCTCTTCAGCCGTGTCGCAGCAAAGTGTAGCTACAACCACCAGCACACACCGTCAGCACAACCATCTATATCCCAGTCATCATTCCTCGCGCTCTCACTCCCATGAGTACTCACCCAACTGCGCCCTCTCAAAGTTCGTCACACCTTCCCCCTTTCCCCTCCCCAAAAGCGCACTGCTAATAGCATCCACCTGCGTCACTGTCTTACTATCCTTGAACCGCGCAAAACTCTCCACATACTCGCGCGTCTTGAGGTAGACGTCGTTGTTCTGCGTCGCGGGACGAGTGTTTCCGCCGCCGCTTTTCTCCGCGAGTCGCGTGAGCAGTTCGTTGCATTCGGCTACGCTGAGGCAAGGGGTGTTGTCGAACTCGCCGAGTTTGAGGAAGGAGGTTGCTTCTTCGTCGCCGGAGGGGAGGGGACGGCGGCGGGAGAGGGGTATGGGGCGGTGGGGTTGGGTTGTTGGGGGCCCGGCCATGATCTGGGTAGTGGGAGAGTGGTGTGGGAGGGGGGAATAGAGATGGTCGCGTGATGTATCGCAAAATGAGGCTCTTGAGGTGGGTCGCTTGCACGCAGGAACGGGTTTGTCAAAAGTTAATGTTAGCGCTAAGGCTTCATTGAATGTTGCTGTTGCGGGAAGGTGTGATGGCGACTCCGTCAATCAATGATCCAATCATTTTTGTTGGACCGCTTCGCTCCAGTATCCAGCAACGGGAGCCAATTTGATTGATTCCACGATTATTCAATGGAAGAATGGGTGTCTATTTCTCGTTGGTAGGGCTGGGTGATGCCTTAGGCACTAGGTTTGGTATGCCTCGACGTTAAGCTACGCTTGATCGGGAGGTGCTTGTATGGAGAAGGGGAGGAGAGGACAGCTCGCGCGACACAAGACGGCCACCGCACACAAGGTACGCAGCGCTGAGGCAAGTCCTGGACTCATTGCACTGCAACGTGGGTTGCATGAACCAACATTCATCTGGAACACACGCCCATTGCGCAGAGCCTCATCCTCGCGCCTCCGCACGCTCCTTCGCGTCTTTGCCGCCAGTCATTAACATTTGCAGCGCGATACCAACACAGTTACGCAGCATCTGCTGGCACTATCTCCGAGCAGTACAAGGTGGAGTGACGCGGAGCCGTCACGCTGCACTTGGATTCTGGTAGGCGCTATTTATATGCTCGGGGCTGCATTGGCGCGTTTCAGGTTCGACGACACAGGGTACAGTGACAGTCGTTAAGGTTGGCGAGAAGCAGAGGGTGGAGTGGACTGTGGATGCCGACGGTACAACGTTACTGTAGTAAATGCGCTCGCGGCATAGGGAACTGTAAAGGAGAGAGTTCGGCGGAAGGGTAGTGAGAGTCAACAACCATGGCGGTCGGGGACGACCGACCGCCGGGTGCATACGAAAACGACCACACCTCAACCCGTAATACTGCACCCATGGCGAATGGACAGACGGACCTCGCCCTTCGCCCACCGCCCGCTTCGGAAACCACATCGCCCACCGACGCTCTGGCAGACCCACGTGACCGGCAACGAGGGCTTGGATCCGGACGAAGACCCAGCGGACAGCAGAGAATATGTGGCAAATGCCAAAGGCATCTGACCGGGCAGTTCGTGCGCGCGCTGGGCGACACGTACCACCTGGAGTGCTTCACGTGCCATGTACGTACAGTCCAACCTCATGCACTGCCGCCGGCTTACTGTTCGCTTATACTGATCTCTCGCGTAGGACTGCGACAAGATCGTCGCTTCCAAGTTCTTTCCCGTCCCTGATCAGCCTCCTAACCAGTACCCTCTCTGCGAAACAGACTACTTCAGGCGACTTGATCTCCTTTGCTATGCTTGCGGAGGCGCGCTCCGTGGCTCCTACATCACAGCACTCGACCGGAAATACCACATAGAGCACTTCACCTGCTCCATCTGCCCTACCGTCTTTGGCGCGCAGGACAGCTACTACGAGCACGAAGGCAACGTCTACTGCCACTACCATTACTCCACCATGTTCGCGCAGAAGTGCAATGGCTGTCAGACCGCCATTCTCAAGCAGTTCGTTGAGATCTTCCGGAACGGTGTCAATCAACACTGGCACCCTGAGTGCTACATGATCCACAAGTACTGGAATGTCCGACTGCATGCGCCACCTCAGAACGGAACAATGGGAGAAGAGGGAGATGTGGAGCGACAACGGCAGCTCGATATCGCTGTACCGCAAAAGGATGCCAGCGAAGAGATGCGCCGGAACGTGAAGAACGAGGAGGAAGCGGTGGAGGCGAAGGTGCACTGGATCTGGCAGACGCTATCCACGTTTGAGGAGAGGAGCGCGCAGTGCATCTCCGATATGCTCTTACACGTAAGCAACGGCGCGTACATGCACGGCGTCGTTGCGGCGAAGAAATTTATTACGCATGTCGACCTCTTGTTCGGTGCAGCGGACGACCTGGACCGTCGGTTGCAAACCCGACCAAACAAGACCGTTGAGAAGGGGGTGCGGACATTCGAGACGATCGTACATCCTGGCCTAAGTTACAGCCGGGAGGCGAAGCTATTGTGCAAGAAGGTTGTGGCCTTTTTCCAGCTGCTGGCTGAAAGCCAAGATACTGGCGTCCGCAGATTGGGTGTCACTCAGGGACTACTGAGTCTTGTTACAGGTCTGGCTCACTATCTGAAGCTAATGATTCGGATATGCCTTTCCGGCGCGCTGAAGCTGGAGCGAGAGACTGGCAGTGCGGAAGGCTTGGAGCTCTTTCTCGAGGACATCAGCAAGCTTGACGAGCGACTGGAAGTCGAAAGCCATCGTGATTCGCGAGCAGATGCCGATGCGTACGTCGACCGCAGCGCAGACACATGCGCGGTGTGTGACAAGGCAGTGGAAGACAAGTGCTTCCGACGAGATAACAAAGTCCTGCACACGCAATGTCTGGTGTGCTGGAAATGCCAACGCGACTTCAGCGACGACTGCGGTGAGGCACGCTGGAGTGACCGGGAGCAGAGAGTCTTCTGTGACATCCACTCACCCACCGATGCACGACAGGGAGGCTTCTACCCAGTGACGCGGTTAAAGCAATATGTACACCTCCTCCGCGTCGCACACGCAAGACTCCTAGCCACCCTACGAACCAGTGGCGCGTTACCTCACACCAGTGACGACCCGAATCTTACGGGCTATGACTCCCGAGAAGGCGTCATGCAGGGTACCGACGCCGAACCGCCTTTACTGCGGTCGAGTACGCGGTCAAGGTCCTATGCGGGGCGCACGCCCAGCACCCGTGAAACCAAAGAGAGTAGTTATGAAGACACGATGGGCGATATTCGCCGTCTGCGAAGCACGAGGATGGATAAGCATCTCTCCAACGCCGGCCGCCATGCACGGAAGTCACGTATCATTGATGGGCCGGAGGCGATGAGGCCTGGGTCTGCGGATGGCAACGAGGATAGCAATCGAAGACGCACGGGCACGTTTCATATTATCGAAGATCGAGATGCGAATGGCGAGTACACGCCTCAGTTGACGTTCGGGAAGCAGGATACCATGACATTGGATGACATTCCACGGATAGTGCAAGCGCAGCAGACGCGGGAGCAACGACCGAATGCTTCCAAGTACGCACGACAACCTATGATACCGCAGGAGCCGAAGCCGAAGTTGATAAACGGACATACGCGTGACTTCTCGGACCAAGACACGAACAACAACTCTATCAATAGATCTGCCGAGCGGGCAGCGGGAACGAAGCGCTACTTCTCTGAGCTCACGGCGCTGGAGTACTTCATCGTACGGCATGTCGCAGTACTAAGTATGGAGCCATTACTGGAAGGACACTTCAACCAGGAGGAACTCCTCGATCTCATCGAGACGAAGCGCACGACGTTCTGGAGTAAGTTCGGCAAAGCATTCCAGCCCAAAGAAAAGAAGCCCAAGGGGAACAAGACGGCCATCTTCGGTGTGCCCCTGGAGCAGCTCCTCGAACGCGATTACGAGGAGAGTACCGACGGTGTAGGGCCGGGGAGTCTGAAGGTGCCGAGTCTGGTCCAAGAAGCGGTCAGTGCAATGAAGACGATGGATATGAGCGTTGAAGGAGTCTTTCGCAAGAACGGAAACATCAAGCGTCTGAACGATGTCAAGGATGAGATCGACGGCAAGGGGGCGGTTGAGGTGGATCTGACCAAGGAGAACCCGGTCCAGGTCGCCGCTCTGCTCAAAAAATTCCTGCGCGAACTCCCCGACCCGCTGCTAACGTACAAACTGCATAAACTCTGGATCACATCGCAACGTATCGATGATCCGGAGAAGAGGCGACGGGTGCTACACCTGACTTGCTGTCTGCTGCCGAAGGCGCATAGGGATACGATGGAAGTGCTCTTCACATTTCTCAACTGGGTTAGCTCGTTCAGCCACGTGGACGAGGAGAGCGGGAGTAAGATGGATATCCATAACCTCGCCACGGTTATTACGCCGAATGTGCTGCACATGGGCGGGAAAGGGGAGGTGCCTCTGGGCGCGACGGCGGGGAAGGAGGCGGTGGATGAGAGCTTCTTGGCGATTGAGGCGGTGTGTAGTTTGATTGAGTGTAATGAGAGTATGTGTGAGGTGAGTCTGAACGCCCGATCTGCCCACGAGGATATCCGGTGGAGTGATTTTGCTGACTGCGGTGTGATTGTGGTTAGGTCCCCGAGGATCTCGCCCTCATCATAAACGACTCTTCCCTCTTCAGCAACAACGCCGAGATCACGACCAAAGAGATCCTAAAGCGCTACGGCGACCGCGCCACCGCCCCTTTACCTGTTCAACGGGCCCGCACCGATCCGTTGGCCGACCCTACCTCGCCAGGAGGTGCGAGATCGTCGCCCACGCCTACGCCAAGGGCTACGAGAGTCGATACCGATCCCAATGTGCCGAATGCCTGGTCGCATGAGACGAGTGTGCGGCATGTAGGGAGTGAGTCTTCTGCAATTGGAGGCGGTGGGGGTGGGTATGGCGGACAAAGCCCTCCAAGCCTGCCGTATGCGAATCCGAGAGATAGTTCAGAGAGTCATGGGAGCCCTAATAGGGCTAGTATGCGCGCGGGGGTGCATGATAAGCAGCGTGCTCCTACTGGGATGGCGTGAGCGGGTGCGGGTTCTGGAGTTGAGGTTGGAGTTGACCCGCGCTTGGCTTAGCTTCACCGGCCTTGGTGAAATCTTGACTTGCAGGAACTGGAGTCTACGACGACGCATTTTCGCGTTTCATGGATGAGGATCTGCGCATGGTAGCGGTGTTTGTAATTGAGCAGGCGAAGAATGAGAGGAGGCGTGGCCTTGGGTACTCTTCTGATGATTGATGCGCCGTCAAGAAACCGCAGCTCGCATATATGAGATACTTAGCCCTGACGAGGAGCGTGATGCTCCAGCGAACGAAGCTGCCGAGCCATATCTCAAGTTTTGCACGTGATATGAGACCCAGTGTGGTCCGTGCTGCGTAAACTTGGCTGTGAACCTCAGATCTCGCTACCGTCCTATTAATCACTCCAATATCATCGTAGGGCGAATAGTTGCTTGTCTTCCAGCAGCATGCGTTGTAGGGTACGCCGCATGTGCATGAACAATCCGTCAATGTCCAAGCTTTGGGCTGGCAGCATACGAGTCGGTTGCAGCGACGTCTCACGACAGCTCACGGCCGCTCTGTATGCGGTTCGGCGTACTATAAGAGGGGTGCAGCTTTCACAAACGCGTGACCATGGTTCGGAAAGTTCCATTGCTCCAACTTTCTAATTGGCACCGGTTGCTCGGGACATTCTTCACGTGGAAGAGGATGCGTAAAACACGCCCCGCACGATCCTGACTCCTCTTCGAGCTTGTACGACAAAGCCGAGTGCTTAAGTATGCCGGATGCTTGAGTATGCCGCGTCCGTTTGACCTGAGCGCTCGCGAGGTAGGTATCGCAGAAAGCGTGTAACGATGAAGGCTTTCAGTATTTCTATTACTTTTCTTCCGGTTCTTGCCTCCAGGGTGCTTGCCCAAGCAACCCAGCCTATTCCCAGTCCCAATGGCAGCGCACCTACTGCTGACTTGGGCTATGTGAAGTATCAAGGCTACACGAACAGCACGATTGGCATCAACTACTTCCGTGGCATACCGTGCGTCTAGCTAGGCTGGCTGACCCTTTCACAGACCGCCAGCTGACAATATATAGCTACGCTGCTCCGCCGCTGGGACCGCTCCGATGGCAAAAGCCTCGCGCGGTTGAGTCCAACAACGCGTACGACACCAGCAGAGTCTATAATGCCACACAAATCGCTCCGGCATGCTACCCATCCTCGCCGTACTCAACCTACAGCGATCCCACTGTGGGCTTTTCGGGGAATCCAGCGGGCTTCTCCGAAGACTGCTTGATCCTGGACGTGCTCGTCCCAACGCATCCAGTATCTTCCCGTCTCCCAGTACTGCTCATGATCCATGGGGGAGGCTACACCTTAGGTAACGCGCAGTCCGTACCAGGAGACGGTTTGGTAAACGCCGCGAATGGCAGCATCATCTATGTGAGCATTCAATACCGGCTCGGTCTCTTCGGCTTCTTAGGGGGCAGCCAGATTGCGCAAAACGGAGCTCTTAATGCTGGACTGTTGGACCAGCGAGCTGCGATAGAGTGGGTGCAGCGAAATATCCACGCATTCGGTGGCGACCCAGGCAGAGTCACTATCTACGGAGGCAGCGCTGGAGGAGGCAGTGTTACGTACCAGCTAATTGCCGGTGGCGCATACGATCAGCCTCCGTTCAGTGCAGCGATCCCCGAGTACCCATGGTAGGTATACGCTAACGGCGTACTTATACCAGCCGAGACGATGCACTGATCTCACTCGGTAGGTGGCAGCCTTTGCTGAACCAGTCGGAGCAGGACTTGCAATTCAACACTGCGCTGAGACTCTCGAACTGCTCATCGGTATCGTGCTTGCGGTCTCTCTCATCAGCTACCCTGGCTACGCTTAACCAAGCGGTTGAGAACGCTTCGTACCCAACGGCCGGCGATGCGTTCGGTGTCTACTACTTTGGACCTGTTGTTGATGGCAAAGTGAGCTTCGTCGCCTTCGGTGAGAGAGGGAAATCTGCTGATAGGGTTTAGTTCGTTCGCGAGTTGCCTGACGTGGCCTTCAAGCGTGGGCATTTCTACGACGTACCTCTTCTCGTTGACCACGACGCGTAAGGCGTGGACAGCTTCGTTCAATGTCTGAAAGCACTTACTGACAACCAAATTAGATACGAAGGCTACGCCTTTAGCAACATTTCGCAGACTACGCAAGTCGCCGAGACTGCGGATGCCCAGCTACTGTTTCCCTTTGCCGGTCCCGCATTCTTCTCACGGCTATATCAGCTATACCCAGCGTCTACGTACAATTCGACGTTGTTCCAACGACAGGCATGGTTTGGGGACTTCATAATCAACTGCCCGACATACTACATGGCAACGAACGCCGTAGACCGCAACAGCAATAGCTCCGCCGTCTTCAAGCTTATTTTCGCAGCGGGCAACGAGCTTCACGCAGCCACTTCAGCCTTCCTCCTGAGCAATGTTATTGGCTTCCCTGCAGCAAATAATCAAACGCTTGCAACGATCATGGCTTCGTACTGGATCTCCTTCACCGTGACCCATGATCCAAACCCGTTGAGAGCGGCAAACGCGCCATTCTGGCCGAGCTATATGAGCATGGGCGCTGGTAATGTCTCAAACGGACAGTCAGTCGGCTTCGATACGCTATCCATTACTTACACTACGATCTCGCCCGAGACGGACCCGGATGCTTCCGCTCAGTGCGACTTCTTCGGGAACCATGGGTGGGTCTCCTTTGAACGACGTGATACGAGATGCTTACTGACTGGCTTCTGCAGATATCAAGTACAGAATTAGGCTCCCAAGGGTGCTTCAGAGAGTTGTTGGTAGGGGGTGGGGAGGGGGTGGGGGGTAAAGCTGACTACCAGATAGCCTGTTCGCTCGGAAAGAGTGCCTCAGACGTGGATCGCTACGATCTGAACGGATATGGTGTTGTCGCACGTCCATGAAAGCAGCAGCGCAGGCCATTGGTCCCCATCAATCTTCAGTACCCAGAAGTGCTACCGGCCGACAGTTTGCAATCCAAGTGCAGCTGCTAATGATAGCACTGCCCGGCGAAGGGCTTGATCACGCGAGCCCGCAGGTTCGCGTAGGCTACGTGGTTTGACTGGCTGCAAGCTTGTAACGTTTGTGGTTTGCGTGCATTCCTCCATCTCTGCCTCATCACAACACAATCTCATTCTTGCGCACGTCATGCTTCTTGTGCACGCTTTCTCAACAGAGCCTTTCGCGCGTCTAACTTTCATCATCTACTCAACAGCATACATCGCAGCGAAGCGTGTCTACGTTACACTTCCAAGTACAAGACAGCACTAATTCCGGCATGTTCGCCAAAGCATTGCTCGCAGGCGCCTTTGCCGCACTTGCAGCTGCGCAGTCGACTGTACTCACCTTTACATACGGTGAGTGTTGGATCGAGTCCGGTGATTGTGCCACAGCGAGCGAATCTAACGTGCAATATCAGTCCCAAATCCTATGACAGACGGCCAGCCGCAAGCCTTGACTTATACGACCAACGATTCGTTTACGGTCAGCAAGCTTTACGCCGCCTTGTCGGGTTCGCGCTGACAGCAGAGGCAGCCTGTGACCATCCTCCTTCGTCAGGGCTTGCCCAGAAACCTGGAGACAATCATGACTTTGACCACCACGGCCACTGGCGGGCAATTGTAAGTTGAATGCGCAGTCCGATGTTGAGGCATGGTTTAACTATGCCTACAGTATCTGGACTCCGCCGACTTCGCTGCCTGATGGAAGCGATTATGCGCTTGAGATCATGCAAGTGAATGAAGTGAATTACTTCGGTCCGTTCGTCATCCAGGGTGCCGATCCGAACATAACTGCGTATGGGGCTGCCCCGGTGTCCGCCAGCACTTCCACCGCTATGGCGAGCAGCACCCTTATGTATGGCGGCGACAACAGCACAACCTCGACGACGGTCCCGAACAATTCAAGCACTTGGGGGTCGATGAGTGGCACCAGCACCGTGCTACCTCGCAACACAACCATGAGCATGGCTACCTTGACTACTCCGAGCGCTTCGACTACTGCTTTCATTCCCTCTACGGACACGGCCAGCTCGACGATCGCGACCAGCACAGCCTCGAGCTCTACTTCTGCGCCTCCGTCAATGACAACAACGAACAGCGCATCCGGTCTGCATTTGGTCGGTGTTGTTTCGCTTCTACTTGGTGTCGCTGGTGTGGCGTTTTGCCTGTAACAGACAGTGACGGTCCTATCACAAGATTGCGCTCGAGGCGTTGTTATAGGCTATACCTTAGTCTCGCTCTTGTTGTTGAATTCCCTTCGCACAGCATAAGGATCCGGAAATGCATGTCTTTCTCATCAAAGTCTCCTTCACGTGCATCGATCCCTCTGTTGCCACAAGGGTCTTAAGGTGATGTTCATCATCGGTGAAGACCACCGGTTAACGGTTTGTCTGCATGACCGGTGTCCCTTACTGTTTTTACGTTAGCCCATTCGGATAGCGTGCCTATAGCGCGCCGCGGAGAACCTTGTGATCCTCCTCATCTGCATTTGCCCGTTGCGTTCTGCACCATGTGAACCCGCTCACGTACATTCCCGTCAACAGACCGGGAAGAAGCCACTGTACATTGTGAGACGGATCGGGCAGGCCGAGAGTGCGCAACCTTGCCGCCGTGAGGGTCTTCTAGATCCCGGTAAGCACCGGTCGAAGCCGCATTGTCAATAAGCAGCAGATACTAGCGCGCCCCTTGAACTTTATATGCTCCCCTCTCTGCCTATTGAGTGGATTTGCCATCTAGTGCACGCCATAGCTAAGCTTCGCCCTCGGTATAGGGGCGGCACGGCGTACGCATATATTGCTTGGTCCTGCCGCACGGTAGGTTGTAGTCTCGGCCGCCTTGACGCTTCTTCCAGCAGTCTCCATCTTCCTTCCACTACAACTATATTTGTATTCTCGGGAAAGATGAAGTTCGTGCACTCATTGTTGTTGGCGCTAAGCAGCGCAGCTTCTCTTGTCTCGGCCCAAAGCAACCCTTTCAAGGTCCCACCAGGGAATTACGTGGCGACTGCGGGACAGCCGCTAAACTTGACATGGACGCCTACCACGCAAGGCACGGTCACCTTGGTGTTGAGGAGTGGTAGCAGCGCAAACTTGTTCGCTGGCACCGTCATCGCATGTACGCAGTGGTCCGCCAACTAGAGTGGAAGAACAGCACTGACAAGCCGTAGCGAGCATCCCAAACAGCGGCACCTACATCTGGACCCCTGCCACCATGCTCACGCGCGGCTCCGACTACACCATCGAAATCGTTGACGATGCAGACCCATCGCAGACGAACTACACGCCATACTTCGTCTTGAACAGTGACAATACGGTGGCATACAGCACCTCGGAGGTGACACTCGGCGCGTCATCCGTACCAGCCTCGTCAGGCTCTCGCGCCGCTAGCTCTGGCAGCGTCGTTGCCAGCTCGACCGCAGCTGCATCTGCGTCTGCCGCTCGGTCGAGTGGTTCTTCTGGCGCAGCAGCAGCAGCAGCATCTTCCACACTCGCTTCATCAGGCGCTGCAGCTACCACCTCAGGCGCAAGCGCTTCGGCCAGTCGTGCTGCAAGCTCCGGTGCTTCGGCGGCTGGTGCCTCGGGCTCAGGAGCTTCTGCAGCAGCTTCTACGACAGGCTCTGCGACGACTTCGGGCGCCGGATTCGCAACGTCTACTCGCGCGTCAAGCTCCGCCACCGCGGCTGCTCAGTCGACTGCTGGTGCTCCGAGGGCGACGGTGCTCGCTGGTATGGTCGGAATGGCGGCACTCGGTGCGCTGGCGGTCTTCTAAGCCAACAATATTATTGGCAAAGTGATTCATTCTGCATAGCGTTTGGATTAGTCGGTATCTCGTCGTCCTCTCACAAATCGTCTTCGTGAATTAGCAACTCATGCGGTACTCCAGGCGCATGATCGTGACCCGACGCCGAACATGCGAAAGTCGCCGCCTCATGTCTCTAAACGGATCACTTGATTTCCGATTCCACAAACTGTTACAGTCGACATAACAATAAGATCGGAACTACCAAGGCTCTTTCAACTTCCGTCGCGTGGCATAACGCATGAACAATTCATCTCAACGAAGAGTTGGTGAGATGTGCACATACGATTAGCGAGATTGTTCGCAAGACAGATTATCGACCGAATCGCATCTCCGCCTTAGCATAGCGATAGAGAGCGCGTAAGAACACGCTGTAACCGACGCCGGCATTGTTGTCTTGCACGCCATAGATCTCCGTAAGTCGGACTTGCCACGGTGGATATCCATCCAACCTTACTCCCTCGCCAAATACGACGAGTAAGTCCGGCTCGCCCATGACGCTTTCGCTGATTTCGGCATCGATCAGCTCCTGGCTGATGTCCGAGGGCGCAAGCTTGCGGTCCTGCGCCATTGATGCTAACGTCCGGGTGAGATCGACGAGCGTCTGACGTCCATCAGCAGCATCGATCAGGAGTACGGTCAGATGAGGATGTTGAGCCGCTACCATGTCGCCATGTACAGCAGGCTCTGGCGAATGCGGTGGGCTGTAAGTGGCCAGGTGTGGCGCCCGCAGAGAAAGCGTAGGTTTCAAGGGCGAGTTGCCATAGTAAGACGTCAGTGTCTTCGATATGCGGCGATGCAGACTTGGCAAAGACGACTTGAGGATGCCTAAGAAATTCATCAACGTGGCATATAGCGTAGCAGAGAGACTGTCATAATACCGGTCCGCTCATAGATCGAGAGCATGGGCACGCCCGCACATGCACTCCATGCTGCGACCTCACACGCATCCACAATCAACGCCTCAAGCCGGTCCCTCTTCCCGCCTTCTGGTGGAAGCTCCAATATGACGCTCAGATGTTGTGGGACCTTGCTCAACCGTCTTACATCTCGCTTGATCAATTCTGGCGTCCTGAAATGATAATGCAGGATTGCCAACAGTCTCCCCACGATCGCATGATAGACCTGTCGAAAGCGGATGTAGATGCTGAAGATGGCGTGTAGGAGCGTAAAAAGAGTGTAGTGGAGAAGGTGTAAGAGAGCCGGGCGTATCCGTGGCTGGTGTTGGAGGTGTCTCGGTCGGCTGCTGGGCGGTCGATTATCGCCCTTCTCTTGCTTCGCAGGTCTCGGTGGTAGGTATGGCTTGAGCAACTGCTCGCGCTCGCTGACACTGAGCGGATTCCCTCTGTGATCGAGGTCTGTGTGGAAAGCATTGGTCTGGCGTAGACCGGGCATCATAAATGCAAGGCGGATTACGTCCAGAGGATGTAAGCTCGCTGGCTACAATAACGTGGGATATTCCGTCGTAGATTCATTAGCGAACCGTCATCGTGGCCAGGAGATCTTACCGCGCGACAGGATGAGAAAATGCATGCCGGCCAACAATGTCAAACGTTCAGAGCTCGGCAGTGACTGGCATTCGCGGCTCGGGCCACGGAGTCAGTGCGTGCCTTCCGCATTTGTCCGGCATGTCAAGTCTTACTACAGAGCTAGCGCGAAGGGAAGTTCACGTAATGTGGACAATGTACCTACATGCCAAAATTCCAAGGCTACGCATTGGTATGCAAGAGTAAGCCGCTGATGTTTCCTAGCGTGACAACAGACATTGCAGTGGATATGGCTCGATACCTGCTGTATCAACAAAGGTAGTGCTAAGGTGATCAGTACGACACTCAACTGATGTTTGAGTGGTACCGTCAAGTAACAGTATGCTACGCCTACATGTACGACGTCGTGGCTCACGGCCATGACGCGGCAGGATCGACGATATTTGCAAGCACTGCGAACGAGTTTAAAAGCAGCCCTTCGAAATGGTTCTCTCGTGACTGGCTGAGGTTCTCGAGTGCTACGACTGCGTCTGAACATATGTAGGAAAGCGACATCAGCTCGTAAGGCCACTACAAGACGTCACTGGGATCGATTTAGCCTACCTAACCGGCGTGAGGGACTCCCGAAACGCAAAGACTGCGACGAAGATGTCCTTGATGGTTGGACGCGGGCGCGGGCTAGTGGAACACTTGGTCTACAGCCTTTTTGGGCTGTTCGATGTCAACATGTCTTGACAGTATGGCGATGGCAGGAAAGCTTTCATAAGACCAGAGGTGGAGATAGTACGTAAGAATGAATGAGTCGCTGTATGCTTGGACCGCTCCTTCCAAAGGTCTACACGCACCGGCGCCTCTGCACGGAATCGCTTGGGATTCGGATGAATTGGGCTTGCTGGGCCCCATGTTAGACTGCTCGTAGACTGCAAAGATATCGGTACTACAGAGCAGCTCGTAGAAACCAGAGCACCTCCAGGGTTCCAAGTCACTCAACAGGGCTTGCAATCCCCTCTACCGTACGATAAAATCAAGAGTAAGGCATTCACATACATGCCTTTCGTTAGCATGGTCAAGTCGAGGCGCATGCAATACACGAATCGTAATATCTTCACGGTGAGAGGCTGGAAGCAAGCAGAGCCGAAGGACAGGGGAAAAGCTGTGTAGTCGTACATGGTCAAGGTTGGTCCTCGCGGTGATGGCAGCTGGAAAAGGGTCCAATATAGTGAGCTGACTCTTACGAGTGGAGATGTTGAGAGAGCTTCTCGTCATCCAAGAAGGGCATATCTCGGGGCATGGTTCGATAGACGGTTGTCCGGCAATCTGAGATTGACTCATAACTGGGAGAAGTGTCGTCACTCGCACTCTAGCTGTTCTACTTTTGACGAAATTGGCAGGCCTCTATCGCGCGCCTCCCCCGCATCTACCACAATCTCTACGCCATTCACCACAGCTCGAACCGCCCGTGGCTTGGAATGTCGGTCTGCGGCTTGCATGTCGATGTATTGCAACACTGTGGACTTGGTCTCTTGCCATGCCTCCCCATCTAGACGGTACAGCGATCGGGCCAAGTGTGCATTGTACCACGACTTTTGCTGCACTGTCCTCGAGGCCGCAAGTGCTGTAAGTAGTCTACACAGCGTGTCAGTCGCCTACTTCAGGTATCTCCGAGTATGACTCACATCCGCGTGTGGGCCTTGCTGTGTTCTTCCCACGCATGCTCCGGGCATTGGCGAATGGCTAGGAAGAGACCGTCAAGCAAGCCTTCTAGTCGTATCCGTGGTTGCGCTATAAAGCTGGTGAAGGCCAGATGCAACGCAGCTGCCAGTTTACATACACCCGCTGCATCGCTTTCGCCGGCAGCAGCCAGAATAGCTGCGTCACTCTCAAGATCATCGTAGTACTGTTGTACCATATCGTCAAAGCTTGCGGGAGCTGCTGTGGCTTCTTCGGATGAAATGGTAGAATAAACCTCCGTATCTGCTTCTATTTCCGTGAGATCCTGTAAGTCCAGGAACAAGTTGGCAACCTCCTCGAAAGCAGCACTGTCAAGCGTTGAGTTGATATCAGGTCCAGTCGGAAGTTCGGCTGTGTCCGTAGGCGAGGTATATACTAGTCTCTTGCTGAAGTATACAGCATGGCATATATCAAGTCTACGGTGCGGTCAGTTCTGTGTGTATGGACACCACAGCATCTTTGCTCACATCTCCAAAAGCATCGCTAAGCGTCGTGGCCGTATCTGTTTAATTCCACCACGCAGCTCTATGATCTGTGCTATGCCGAGTAAGTGTAACATAGATTCAGTTGAGCCCCGCGAGATCTGCTTTGGCAAGGTTAGAATCTATCACAGCTTGGCCCACATATAGTGTCAGGGCCAAATACCACGCACCTCATAGCTCGCCAGACTTCCCAAAGCGCTTGTTGTATCGTCGTCTAATCCGCTGACATGGTCTGCAAGACGTTGGTTGACAAGCATCAGGACGTTCGTCTTGAGCAACCTGGCGTCGAAGTCCATGGGCTGCATGTTGATAGCCTCAAGATGCCCTTGCGCCATCAAGCACGAGCCCAGCAGTAGCATCCGGCTTGTAGCGTCCTGACTTATGCCGGGGGTTCGAAATGGTCGTGGGATGGTGCTGCTACCGAGCAGCCACTCATAGTATTGCTCGCAAACAGTAAGTACAACTGACAGCCGCCGTCCCCTCTCGGTTCGTTGAGTTCCTGATGTCTCTGCCCTTGCTTCGCGAGCAGAACGAGGCACCTCAATCGAGAAGGTGCCGAAGGTGCCGTACTGAGGTGCAATGTCGGCCGGGCTTAACCGCTATCAGCACTGTACGACCCAACAACGACGGGGCGCGATCAAGCAGCAAAGTGCCTTGCAACTCCTTCGTCGCAAAGTACTCTTCCCTCGATCGCGACAACCTGTGGTGTGAGACACTCACCGTATTCTCGCCTGAGCTGTTGCCGTCGTTGGATTCCTTCCAGGCCGCTGCTGGCGGTTTTGATCACGGGTGGGCGCCGTACAAACGGATACTCGCCGCCCTGGAGAAGTGCGTCCTTCCGCTAACTGGCGACGGCGGAAGTCTCTCATAACCTGACTTCTGATTGCTCGTCTCGCCGTCTCGTTTGGATTCGGGTTGTCCGTCGACATATTGATGAAAGAGAACGACATGATGAGAACCCGAATCTCAAGTCGTGAGACTCCAGGTGAACGACTCTTGACGATGCAAGTGCGTTGATATTTGCGTGTATTAATTTCCCAGTATGTCGACAAAAGATCGGAAAGAGAAAGTCCGGGCTTGACAACGCACTCACCGCCGAAATCTACGGAATGTGTGAAGCCAACAATGATAGTATGAACTGCACCAGTGGAACTGAAGCTGATCGACACCCAAATTTTGCAGAATCCGCAGCCAAGGCGCAGACAAACTGTCTACCCATGTATGGATTTAGAACAGTGCCATTCATAACCTACAGTCAGCCAGCTGGCTGAACCGGGCCTACTGTGCCCCACACCCGAACAACATGATACCGAGATCATTATTAGAGCGGAGCGTAGAACAACCGGCATAGGTCGAGGTGGTTGCGTTGTCCGACTGCGCATCTTGACGGGATGGAGGCTGAGTTCCCAGTATCTGAACGAGGGCTGGTCGCGCAATCGAGTGGGCAACCCTGCCGCTGCTCAGTGGGTTCTACAGACCTCCAGAACGAAGATGGTGGATGTGTCGGTGCCGACGAAGAGGGATAGTGGGTCCAATAGTCCTATTCGAGTGATGGCTTCCACCAATGAAGGGATGGACTCCCCCGGTTCTCAACAATTGAGGTCCTGGCTACCGAGGGTTTGAGTGCGGTGCAGTGCAGAGTGCAAGCCGCGGCTGAGCTGATGAAATGCTTCATTCAATGCTGAACTGCCTGCAGTGAGGCGCGTCTCGAATCATACCTTGAAGCGGCTGGCCCGCTCACAGGCAAGAGGCTCAAACGTAGAACGAACACTCACGACAACGGCCAGTACTAAGGATCGCCACGGTAGCAACTTCGCCGTGACAATCTACGGCGGTGAACACTCTCGAAGCATCGGGACAAGGAAGCCTCCGAGACCGTCTCGGTAGTTGTGTAGCGACTAGGGGCTGCCGACCCGTTCCCATTGGCCATCTTGTAGGTGCTGAAAATGCCTATCGTATGACAGCCACGTGAACTCGCGTGGTACCAACACGACTGCGATGGAGGGTCGGAGGACTCTGCAGTGTGCGGTGTAAGCACGAGGGGTGCGGTCACGAACGGGGCGAAGCTTCGGCAAAGAATGATTCCATAGGGTTGCGCTTTGACCGCGGTTGGCTGCACGGTCATGGTCAACCACACTAGGACGGAACTATAATCCTTCCCCAGGGGTGTCCCTTAGGGTTGAAGGCTCTACAAGCAGACTATGCCCTAAGATCATCATAAAGTACCGTCACGATCCCGTGGGCTCGGACATTAGCTTGACTCCGGACCGTGTCCTTGTTAAGCTGCTACCACTTGGTGACAATTAAGTGCACAACCGCCTTATCGAGTGAGAGAGCTAGGCGGTAAGTCTTATTGATTAATGACCCTCCCGGAAACAGCATCTTGATCCCTTGTTATGCTGGACTGCTTGGTATACCTAGAAGACCTACGCATAACGCCAGAAAGGCCGGCGTGACGCCTACGCCACCGTTGAAACCGTCAGACATTGCTCGTGTGCTCGTATGAAATTCGACCAGCTAAACCTGCACCGCACTCCTTGCCAAGCTCCTCTTCAGACCCAAACTCGTCCGACTCGCCTCCCGCGCACAACTCCGAATCTGCTCGTCCCCTGCAAACCCACCCGTCTCCACGCGCCCGGCTTCCTTGCCAAGACTGTAGCCCGCACTGAAGCTGAGCGCGCTCAGAAACACAACGACTCCAGCAGAGACAACCCATGTCAGTAGCGTAGGCGTGATATAGAGATCTTCGCTCGAAGCCGAGCGTCGTGCCTTCTTCAATGCTCGCCGCTCACGGCTCGAACTTCGGCCGCCGGCGCCTGCCTTGCGTTTGTGCTCTTTCAGCTGCTCGGAAGATGCTGACGTTGAAGTGGACGTGCGACGGATTGTGGGCTGGAATGTCGGCTCTTGAAATGGTGGTGATGCTACTGGGACTGCTGACTCTGGCACTAGACGGAACGAAATCGGCTCCACGCGGTTGCTGCGCACCTGGGTGGCAGTCGTTGCTGTCTGTGGCTGCTTTGTGTCGGCCTTGGACAGGCCTCGCGCGGCAGCTGCGCACGATAGGAGAGTAGACAAGCTTGCCCGTAGAGCCTCGTCATGCTGTGCTGCCGCATTGTAGGATGGTGACAGTATGTTCTGAGGCAGATGACTCTGACGCTCCTGCTGCGCGAAAGCAGGCTGTCTTGGTGTCGGTCGCAATGACTGTCGCTGGGCTGGGAAGTATGAGCCTGGCACGGGCGCACTAGCGTGCCTCATCTGCTCGCTGGTGGGCGGATGGGAGAAAGCGTTCGGTTGGGGAGTGAAGCAGGTGTCGTTGTTGACGGGGCAGTTGATCGCCGTCCGGTTCTCGTCATCATCGTCATCGGTCTGAGGCGCACTCGCAGGGCTGAAGCTTGCAGGAAGCGAAAGCCCACGAATATGTGGACCTTCGCCAGAGGACGTCATGACCCTGTCCGACTCACTCTCGCTCTCCTCGTACTCCTCTTGGCTGCTTGTGCTGCCAGCGCTAAGCGGAGGATGCGAGATATGAAGGTGTGAAGGAGCGCCAGGCCGGATTGTCCGGCGGCGCTTCGCCCTAGTATCGTGTTGCACCCGTAGACCAGCGGTTTGTATCTCATCGTTGATCGAAGATAAACTCGACGACGACGGTTGCGATGAGATCTCGACCCAGGAGTCTAAATCGTCGAAGTCAGTATAGTCGTTGTAATGGCTATAGTACCAGGGCATCGCGGCACCGTATACGAAACGTGCAGATACAAGCGGTTCCCCTCAACCACGCAAGGCGAAGTGCAATGTCTATCACAGGTATCAGGAACCACATGACTCACCATCGGAGCGTGTGCGTCTATCGAATGACGCCGAGCGTGATGCCATATCCGTGGGCGCGTGACCCTGTGGTTGTCGCCTGGACATTTGCTCGCTTGAGCGCGAGGGATGTTGATTCTGATGCTGCATCTTCGCAACGTCTGGGACTCCCCAGTACGGTATCCGCGATTACCTGCGTCCTTAGTGGTGCAAGCAAGACAACTCTTTCTGAGGCCAGCCAGATGTCCGATAAGCCGCTCAGTGAGGCCTCCAACTCGAGTAGTGTGACCGGCGCAGATAGTCGACAACGTGCGCGCGGACAGTGACTTCCAAGATAATGGCCACCTGCGCCTAACGATATCATGAGAAACGAACAGTACAAGTAAGCAGGTCCGGGTGTTCCTTTGGGCTTTGTTTGTCGGCGTAATCAAGCGGGATGGCGGGGCTGAGGATTGGGTGCTTGCGATATCGCAGCTACAAAGCCAAGTCCGTTGCTCGTACAGCCACTAACGCGGCTGCGAGTACCAAGAGGTGATGGTGGGAGTGCAGGTTGGATTGCGGTCGAGATAGCCGGCTTTGGTGACGAAAGCAGGGCGACCTTGCGTGCGGCTAAATCGAGGTCGTTGGGTCATGCAGCTAACTCGAATGCAGCCAGTGCGCCTGGACCAAGTTACAGCGGGGTGACACGTGAGTAGTGATGGTTTGGTGAAGAGCAAGCAAGTACATGTAACCCATCGCAGTATAGACAGTATGATATGAAGGAAACATGTGTGTGTACAACCCTTCCACGCCGGCGCCGTTGCAATGCTCCTACTGCCCTTTCAAGAAACAATAATACCCTAAGGCAAGCGAGTGTTGTAGCCGATAGCATCTTGCGCAAAACACCGCATCCGCGCAACGAGCCCAGCAGACGCCCGCAAAGTACCAGCACTTCCACTCATACATACCTTTGACTTGCGCGTGAGCTTCGCCGCTTTTGTTCCCATCGCACTCTCTCCTTTATCGCCCACGAGGGTCTGCCAACCGTCTCGCGAAGCACGCTTCGTACACTTGGTCTTGTTTCGATCATTCTCCAGGTTGTCGTGCTTCGCGATCTCGCTCGAAGACTCGCCAACCTAGAAGCTGGTCTTTTTGCCACTGAAGTCGCCGAAGCCACCACGGTTGGTAGACCCACCGCCCCTGCCACGTCCGCGACCACCGAAGCCGCCACGACCGCCACCGCGTCCGCCACGGTCATTGAAGCCACCGCGGCCACCGCGGCCACCGCCACGTCCACCGCCGAAACCACCACGGCCACCAGGAGAGTCGTTGGCTGGCTTGGGAGTACTGTAGTCAAGCCTGATAGAGCGACCAGCGATCTCGGCGCCCTGGAGAGCCTCAAAGGCCACCTTGGCATCATCGATCGAAAACATCTCAACGTAGCCGAAACCCTTCAGTGCGCCGGTGTCGCGATCGGTCGGGAGACGGACGGCCTTGATGCTGCCGTACTCGCTGAAGACTTCCGTGACCATGTCCTCATTGGCGTCGAAGCTAACGTTACCAACGAACAAGGTCGAGCTTGGCTCCTTTGGCACGTCGCCGAACTTACCCGCACGGTCGGAGGAGCGCTGCTGTGGCGTGCGCTGGTTGTTCTGGCTGCGGCCTTCGGTGAAATCAAGGCGGACATTACGACCGTCGATCTCGCCACCTTGCTTGCCTTCAACAGCCTTGATGGCACCATCCACACTCTTGAACTCGACAAAGCCGAAGCCCTTGCTCTTTCCAGTCTCCCTGTCGGTCATGATACGAGTGCTTGCAAGCTCACCGAACTCTTCGAACTCACGCATCAGCCACTCCTCGTCGACATTCCAGCTCAGGCCGCCGACGAAGAGCGTGGAAGTTGGCTCCTTCCACTCGCCGTTGACATTAACCTTGCTGCGCTTCTGACCCTGCTCAGCATCACCATCAGCCTCAGCCTTGCGCTTAGTGCCAGTCTTGGCAGCCGGCGTGGCGACTGGCTTCTGGACCTCCTCTTCGTCCTCCTCATCCGAGTCGTCCTCGTCGTCATCGTCATCCGAGTCGTCATCATCCTTGGCATGGTCAGCATTGAGCTCACAGGTACAGTGCCCATGGGGACCTACATCCTCAGCTTCGCCCGTCGGCTTAAGCTTAGCGGCAGCCTTATCAGCCTCTTCGTCTTCCTCGTCCTCCTCGTCATCATCTTCTTCATCGTCGTCGTCGGCGGCCGGCTTGGCCGCTGGCTTGGCGGCGGCGGCGGCAGTAGGCTTTGCTGGGACTTCGTCGTCCTCCTCATCATCATCTGAATCATCATCATCATCGTCGTCGTCATCCTCTGCAGCGCCAGCTTTGGCGTTGCCGTTGGTGACAGCCGCAGCTGGCTTGACTGGCTCGTCCTCGTCGTCGGAGGCGTCGCTGCTATCATCAGCCGCAGCCGTGCCGTTTGTACCATTCGTCTTTGGTGCGGCCTTGGCAGGGACAACTTCTTCCTCATCATCGTCCTCATCGTCATCGCTGCTCTCGGAGCTCTCACTGGTCTCATCGTCAGATGGCTCAGGAGTCGGCTCCTTGACCTTCTTCTTCTTCCCATCCTTCCCAACTTTCTTAGCAACAGTGGTCGCAGAAGCCTTGGCAGTGCTCTTCGGCGCCTCAGCAGGCTTGGTCACACGACCAGCCTTGACCTTCTTGCTCGCCTCCACGGCAGGCGTTGGCGCAGCGGCCGCTGCAGCCTTGCTTGACTTCTTGTCCTTGGCCATTGCTGGAAATTTATGACAAGCTGTAGTCTCTGCGTCAAAGTCAGTGGAAACAGCCCCTCAAAGTGAATGTAGCTCGCATTGGTCTCTCTCTCGTCTCAAACACCCAGCAAAAAGGACGTCAAGCGGTCAAGTTCGGACGGCAGCAAAGACAAAGCAGCAATAGCCCACAAGCGACGGCAGTCGCAGTTCAAGCCCTCTGAAGCCCACGTACGGTCGCTAATAGCAACCTTCAAGCCCACGAGTGAAACGCCCCCCAAGGATGCCGTCTCTATGCCAGCCAGCGATGACCGCTGCTCTTGCCCACTGATCGGCGGCAACGTCAAGGCGATGTGTTCCCACAAGGTGCCAACACGAAGCGCGCGATGTAATAATTGCCCACAAACCAACAGAGTGTGAAGACTCGGTCACGCCAGTAGCGTGTTGAGTGTGTAGGGAGCCAACGAACCAAATGTATCTGCGTACGCACTTAAAGATCCCTCGAACAATCCCTCAGTAAATGATTCACAATGGCGATTGTAGTGGTGCAACAACTATTGGCAATTGCTTGCGGTGGATGTGTGGAAGAGAATATGTCGATTGACTCGGAAAGAAGTTTTGTGCACTAGCTTTTCCTGTGCGCTAGTGGAAGTGGGTCTCGAACGCTACTGCCGCTACAGTACCGCAGCTTAGCGAACAACCAGTCGCGTGACGGGCTTCACATTGCCACATGGTCGAGAAAGAACATCGCTCGCCGCCCGCCGTCCGTCAGACTTCGCTTTGCAAGGGAGCCGATTTATACGGAGCATTACTACCAAGCACATCTTGGCATAGACAAGAGACGTCTCGTTGAACAACACGGTCGACCGAGCATAACACTACTTTAGAGATAAGGGACGGTAAGCTGATAATGGAATCTTCTTGCTCAAAACTTCACACTCGTTCAGATAGTATGTCAGGTACCAGACTTCGATGGACACACCGCTTGCGTTCAGGCTTGATACCAGCCTGCGCCATTCCGGACCTTTCCCAGTTTCAGCAGCACAGAATGTGGTGGTATGGTTACAACATCTCCGGTAAGCTCGAAAAATTGGGCAACTGCCTCAAATGCTCGCCGCTGCATACAACAACTATATAGAGCAGAACTTTTTCCTCCCCGTCACCTGAACACCCAAGTGTTAGAGTGATCGCAGGTTGCAGCGGGTGCAGGATCTTTCAATAGCTCTCTTTGTGTTACATTCCTACATGTGATTTCGGCCGTCCTTGTGCCTTCCCGCATCATCAGAGATAATTGCAGTCTCGATCTTCCGTACCGAACCCTCTAAAGATCATGGCTCAGGCCGTCGACAATGGTCTGCTCGCCTTCGTCGACATGTAAGACTGTCCTTGCTTTGTCGCCATAACCCGGATAGTAGCCCTGCGCATACTCGTCGTACTCGCCGAGATTGGGAAACCAGGTGCCGTTCCATTTGTGGGAAAATACGGTACCAGTGCCGAACTCACTGTTGCTCAAACCAGCCGTGAGTGCGGAGAACACGTGAAGGTGCTTGGGCGACACATAGGCGAGGATTGGCGCATCCACGTAGTAATTGATGATGGGACGGCCCAGAATCTGCCAGTCAGTCCACAGTTTGCCATTGAACGAACTGTACGTCAATGGCGCCGCTTGCTCGCTGACGTTCCGACCGGCAAGATGAATGACACCATTGTCGGCATGAACGACCCCTGGCAACTCTGGGAACTCTCCCAGCCCTTCCCAGGCACTCCAACCACTTCCAGTCGATGCTGCGTGCCAGAAGCGGGTTTCGAAATCAAGGCCCCAGAGATGGGTTTGCTTAGTATCTGAGTCGAATGTGACTCACATTGCCATGAAGCCGTCCTCGCTGGTACCATTTATGTGGTCCCAAGCTGTGCCTGGTGGGTTGTACTTGGAGCCATCCCACGATTTGCGAGCAATGGTACCATTGTAACGAAGACCAAAGTAGTCCGTGCCCTTGCCGGTGCTGACCGCCAAAGGTTCGTTGCTCGTAATGAACCCGCCTTCCTCCTCATCGTCAGGAACAGTCTGCCATCCCGACCAATCCGAACCACTGTAGGTAGTACGACTCATATAGGCGGAGGCATTATAAGCGACGAGCTGGACCTGACTGGTGGATGAACCGGTCTGCGCCACGTTGAATGATTGGAACAGTTGGTCGTGACCAAAGCTGCTGATATTCTTGAACGCCGACCAGGTCTGACCATCCCAGGTTGAGTGGAGCACTTCTAAGAAATAATCGCCAATCCTTGGAGCGGCAGCGACGAAGACATCGAGCTTGCCAGATCCACGGGAAGCGAGTTTTGGCTGGCCGCGAAGTGGCCTACCAGTGTTGCTTACAAGTCGCATTCCATCGTAGTCTTCGTTGGACACTGCAGAGTCGGGTGACCATAGGTCGGGAGGGGTCCAAGATGCATGATAAACACAGCCTTTCGCAACGTTAACCGTGGCAGTGACCATATCCAGCCTACCGCTGCTAGACCAGAAACGAAGGGGATATCGCTTGACATCATACTGTGCCGCGGCCTATCAGACTGTCAGCGAGTCCCGTTAAGTCGGTCACGTAGTATTTCAGGCTCAAGACCTGACCGCAGCTACCAGCACGCTGATCAGCAGACGGGACGCTAGCATTTTGGCAGAACTGAAGCTCGGCGTAGATCAGAAAAGGAGAACAAAGACTGAGCTGTCGGGAAGAAGGTGGAGAGAAGGATTTATACCGAGCTGCAATGATCTCAGGGCATAGATCGTACGATCGGAGATGTGCCACCATGTAAGCGAGGATAGCTTCTTCACCGGAGCTGGAGGAGAGGTAGCTTTCTGACTAGAACTTAGTGTTGGACCTTTCTTGACCGAACCAAAGAGCGTGCTACTCCCTGTGTACAACCGTAGCGCACTTCTGCGCCATAGCTACAGTACGCTATTGAGCTGCAGCCTCTTGAGTGAGACGCCTTTCCCAGTAGAGCATAGCCTCGACGAGACTACGCGGTCACACTCGGGCTGCCCAAGAAGAGTCCAATATCCTAGAAGCATGATTCATGACGTATCTGTAGCAGAAGTGCTGCACCTTATGCGAAAGCAAGGCAGGTGGTGACTCTTCACCACATGGCTTCGCTGGACGCAGAAACCCAGTGATGCGCAGGCTCGCTGATGTACTGCGCGCAAGTGTTGCAGCCAATATGCATCTGGCCGTCAAGGCCAAGTTCAGGGACGGCATCAGTAAACGCAAATGCAGGTCGAGCTTCACTGCCTCGTTGCGGGCCAATACAAGTTGTAATTCATCGTTCCAGGAACTTGCGCAGTGCATGCTGATGCATCGCACGACCCACCAGAATGATGCGTTAGCTGTACAAGTGTTAGTTTTCTTCACGCTCAAGGCCTTCCTTAGCACACCAAGCCATATTTGCGGACATTACAAGGTGAATGTGGTAGGCCCATAGCAGACGAAATGTGTTGATGAACATGAGAGTGTCGCGCTTTAAATGCTGCTAGCTCGCGTAGTGATTCTATGAGCTCGTCGAGCATGCGCTGATCGACGTTGATCACTTCACAGCCTAATGTTCGTCTAGACACAAGTCCCAGCATCAAAGTTCATTGCCGCTTGAATCCTGAACGCAAAATAACCGGTCTCCAGCACCGTACTTCGAAATGCATAGCAAGTGTCTTTGGAGGTCGAGATGGACGAATAGCCGATGTATGTCATTGATGGTCATCCTCAGCTGATGGCGTGTACAAGAACAAGCCATGTGCTTCTAGCATATTATAGCGATTTGGGGGAGGCGAATTGTCGGCGCCGAAATCGAGCCTATTGATTCACTAGAGTAACACGAAGTTCGAGTGTGAAAAGGAAGCTCATCCTGGTATTTCGTTCGGCAATAGCGCATGGCTCGCTCCGAGGTACCGTCCGCATGACGCCATCCAGAGCTAGAACGTGTACGCGCAGAGGTTGCAGTGGTGTGCCTATTGTGTGAGATCCGTCACTTGCGAGTGCTCCCGATGCTGAGCCAGAGGTGACAGCGCTGACGGGGCAGCCACTTCCAGGGGAGGCTACCACGTTCTGGTGCTCCACGCATTCCGAGAGTATACAATGAATCGAAGTGTTGCGGGAATGCCCGGCGGTCCAACGGCACGCTCCGTAACCGTATTGTAATTGGCTGGTGAGACCACAGACGTGCCCCAGAAAGATTCGGGGCGTAAAGGTCAAGACACAATCTGAACGACGTGCCTCCGTACTGGACGCCACTAACACATCTTACTGAAGGCAAGTGAGGTGGCAACAGTAAGACTTGGCGAGTTACGTCGGCCAAACCAACGGACAGCTCGGTCGTTCGATCAGCATGTCCCGGTAGTCCACCATGTCGCCTCAGCCATCATCACATCGGCCACGGAGGAGACGGCCCGCTGAGGCAGGAAGTTCCAACGGTGCCATCACCACAACCTCTGCCGCACAACATGAACGACCAGCCTTCCCCCTGGTCGCCTTCTTCTGGCCCATCAAAGGCGCCAACATCACGCAATGGGTCACTCTCCCCTGCATCCTCATGATCGCCTTCCTCTTCCGGTGGTGCACTGCCCTCTGGCCCTACTCCGGCTATCGAAAGCCGCCTATGCATGGCGACTTCGAAGCGCAGCGGCACTGGATGGAGCTTACCATCAGCCTCCCAGTCACGCATTGGTACTTCCATGACCTTGAATGGTGGGGGCTGGATTACCCGCCCTTGACTGCCTATCATTCTTGGCTGTTGGGTCAGGTTGGTTCGTTTCTGAATCCGAGTTGGTTCCGACTGTACCTCAGCCGCGGACTGGACGATCAAGGGCTCAAAGTGTTCATGCGTGCCACTGTGGCTGCGTCGGAATATCTGGTTTACGTTCCTGCAGCTGTGTTGTGCGTGCGGCAGTTGGCACGACAGTCGAACATCAATATCTGGGAGGCCTCGATTGCATTGACGGCGATATTGATGCAGCCTGCGACTGTCTTAATTGACCATGGTCACTTCCAGTATAACACCGTCATGCTAGGCTTCATGCTCACTACTATTGCTAGTATGCTTGCCGGACGGCCGCTATGGAGTTGTGTCTTCTTCGTCGGAGCGCTGGGCTTCAAGCAGATGGCTCTCTTCTATGCGCCAGCCGTCGCTGCGTATCTCGCCGGCATCTGCTTCTTCCCGAAATTGGACATACCGCGCTTTGTGGGGATTGCTGTAATCACACTGGCTTCCTTTGCAGTGCTCTTTCTTCCTCTGCTGCTCGGCACGGCATATGATACGTACCGCAACGCACCGTTACCCGCAGACGCCGTGACACCGCCTCTACTCTCAGCAATACCCTTCTCACTATCGGAGAAGGTGTGGTACTACCCATACATTTTCCAGCTTACGCAAGCCATTCACCGCATCTTCCCATTCGCCCGAGGACTCTTCGAGGACAAAGTAGCGAATCTTTGGTGTGCTGTCCACAGCTCCGGCATCCACAAGCTACACAACTACGACTCTGCGCTACTCAGCCGGGCTGCCCTAGGCCTCACTCTAGCCTCCATCCTACCACCGTGCGCTCTGATCTTCTTCAAACCACGAAAAGAATTAATATTGTATGCCTTCGCCGCAACATCCTGGGGCTTCTTCCTCTGTTCATACCAAGTGCACGAGAAGAACGTGCTGCTTCCGCTACTGCCTATGACGCTGCTGCTAGCGACAGAAGGCGGCATGAAGCCCTCCACTCGAGCTTGGGTCGGCTTCGCTAATATCCTCGCTTGCTGGACGCTGTTTCCACTGCTCGTAAAGGATGAGTTGCGGATACCCTACTTCGTACTCACGGGTCTCTGGGCGTACTTGATGGGCCTTCCGCCTGTCGATATTAGTGCGTATAAGTTATCACGCAGTGAAGGCGGGTTACACATTATCAGCAAGGTCATCCATTTTGGCATCTATGCTGTTATGGTAGCATGGCATGTCGCGGAAGCGGCGCTTGCACCACCCGAAAACAAGCCGGATCTTTGGGTCGTCGCCAATGTCTGTTTTGGTGCTGCTGGATTCGGAATCTGCTACTTTTGGTGCTTGTGGCGCCTGGTTGAGGAGAGTGGGATATTGTATGATATGAGACTGCTGAAGAGAAAGGCCCAGGAAGGGAAGAAGATGCAGTAATCGTTCTCATTCGAATAGTGGACATGTTATTGCATAGCATGGAGCGCGGAGAGCTGCTGACCTTATATGTACAAATAGTGTACAGTACTCGACAGTCTTGCCACCATCTATTTCGGGTCATCCGGAACATGCGCCAGTCGCCATCGCTATGCATCAAATCCCAGGACGACGATATCCTCTCATACTAAACCTCATGCAAGATTGAACCCATAAGTCTTCATGCAACTCCGATACTGTCCAACCAAGTCCTTGCACGCATCTTGCGGATCCGCGGCATTGCTGAAGAGCATGCACTCATCGCGCGCAGACTTCTCGTCTTTGCATACGCAGCACGGCTGGTTTCGGGTGTTAGAGCGGTGTATGTGTGGAATACATGGTCGTGAATGAGCAAAATTGCGCACCTTGACTTTGGCCGTTGCCTCTCCGCCTTGCGGCTTCACGTCCGCTGCGAGGTTGTTCACGCGCATTTGAGATGCTACGGCGGTGTTAGAGCCGTTTGGTAAGGTCGGGGTGGGATTACTGACTATTGACTGCTGTCGCCGACATCTTTGCTACCGCGGGATGGTTCTATCCTTGACCAAGTCGAGAAGAAGATGGATGCGAAGAGTTGATTATTCGTCGCATGGCGTCAACGAAGCATTAATCAGCGATACGACCCTGGATCCGCGTGGGGCGCACATGGCGTGAAAGCTTATTGCGGAGCCTCAAAACACATGTCAACACTGCCGGTTTCTACCAAATAGCATCTCTTGCTGGCACATACACCAGAACTGCGATCAATCAGGTATTTGCAGGATGTCCCCAAAGACATTCAGTCTCCGAGGACAAGCTCTCAAACTCAACACCGCCGAAGACATTAAGAAACACGCGCAACCCCTCGGCGAAGCCATAGACTTCGAGATCGTTCATCTAGAAGGCAACACAATCGGCGTGGAGGCCGCAGAAGCACTAGCCAGCCTCTTGTCAAAGCAACAAGACCTCCAAGAAGCGAACTTAGCAGACATCTTTACCGGCAGACTGTTATCAGAAATACCTTCAGCGCTTGACAGTCTACTGAAAGCCCTCCTCAGGTGTCCCAAACTACATACGGTGAACCTGAACGACAATGCCTTTGGCCTGAACACCGTGGAACCTCTCCGCCCGTTTCTGAGCCAGCATACCCCGCTACAGCATCTCTACCTCAACAACAACGGGCTAGGACCTGCAGCGGGCACGCTTGTAGCAGACGCACTTGCGCAGCTTGCGGAGAAGAAGGCGCAGGCGCGGAAGACGCAGGGTGAAAGTGCCGTGCCTGATTTGGAGACGGTGGTGTGTGGGCGGAACAGGCTGGAGAATGGGTCTATGGCAGCGTGGGTGAAGGCTTACACGGCTAATGACAAGGTGAAGACGGTGAAGATGGTGCAGAATGGGATTAGGCAGGAGGGGATTGCGGCGTTGTTGCAGAAAGGGTTGTCAAAGTGTAAGGAGTTGAAGGTACTGGATTTGCAGGTGAGTCTTCATCAGTTGAGCGATCCCAATGCGTAAACTGCTGGGTTGCCAATACTTGTCAACATGCTAATCCGTGACAACAGGATAACACCTTCACTTCCCGCGCCGCCAAAACCCTCGCCACCGTGCTCCCCAGCTGGCCCTTTCTCCGCGACCTGGGTGTCGGTGACTGCCTCCTCAGCGCGCGGGGAGGCGTGTTACTTGGCGAAGCCCTCTCCCAATTCCACAACAAGCAGCTTGAGGTACTACGGTTACAATTTAATGAGATCGATGTCAAGGGTCTTAAAGCCATCACCGATGCCGCAACGTCTCAGAATGCGCTACCGCGGTTACGTAGGGTGGAACTGAATGGGAATAAATTTAGTGAGGAGGATCCGAACGTCAAGAAATTGCAGACGCTGCTGAGCGAGCGGAAGGAGAAGGATGGGAGCGAGTATCCGGACGTTGATGAGGATGATGAGGACGCGTGGGGCTTGGATGAGTTGGATGAGCTTGAAGATGAAGACGAGGAGGAGGAGGAAGAGGCGGAGCAGGAAGATGAGGTTGAGGACGAAGCGGAGAAGGTGGTGGAGGAGGCCGAGGTGGCGGAAGACGAGCCGGTTGCGCAAGAGAAGGATAAGGAGGTTGATGAGCTGGCTGATGCGCTTAGTAAAACGGAGCTGAAGTAGGCTTCGTGGTCTGCTGGGTTGGGCATAGCGTTGGCTTGCGTGGTGGGAAAGGATGCATGGACGGCAGGTTACTTTGGTTGATGTTGCTTGTGATACCACTACGCGATACCCATAGCCACAACGACGGGCTACGGCCAAGTTCAGCGAAGACACTCGCCGAAGTGAAAGCTGAAAATGCCGTTTCCTGAGGTGCGCGTCAACACCATTTGCGCCACTACCTACTCCAAACGGCTGCTGGCTCACATACCTTTTTTCCCACCCTTCTACTTCTTCAGCTTACGCTCCTGCTCTTCGCGCTCCTGCCCCTCATCGTCCTCATCGTCCGTGGGTCGCTTACGTGATTCCTGGGCAAGTGGATGCTGGCTACGCAGCTGCGCCTGCCCAGTGAGCGTCGCTGACACGTTTGCCGCCGTCCCACTGACGCTCGATCGAGGCGTAGCCGCACGAGAAAAGGGCTGAGGCGGAGCAATCTGTGGCCGCTGCTTCACCTTCTCACGCTGCACCGCCGCATGCTGCGTTTGCTCCGAACGGCTATTTGTCCTGGGCTGTGCCACTTTGTGACCAGCTGGCCTAACCTCGGGCTCGTGGAAGGTGTAAGCTGAGCTCTTCCGTTTCACATCGGGTCTCGGTGGGCCGGTATGGTCATCAGGGTCTTCGTGGTCTTCTCTGTCTTCGTGCTTCACTGCAGAATGCTTGCGCTCGATGGGCTCAAGGTCCTCGCCATCACCAGGCAGATTCGGGAATGTTATTACGGTCGCTCGGTTAGCTCCCTTGGCGTTTGATGGCTTTCGTGCCGGCTTGCGTACTGGTCGCACCACCGCCGCCTGCAGTCTCTTCGGCGCGGTGGTATCTGCTACGCCACCGGCCTTCCAGGAAATCACCGACTTAGCACGTGTCATGCGTCCTTGATCGGAGGGCCCTGGAATGATGTTGGCGGTGTTGCCTTCCACTCTCTGGTCGAGGTACATCGTCCTGTCGGTCGACGGTCCTCGCTCCACAGTCTGCCAGGTACTGCCCCTTCCACGATAGAGTTTGCCTATCTGATCCGACTGGAGCTTATCTGGTGGATTTGCATCGCTGTCGACATATGCGCGTTGAGTGGGCACCACAATTGGCTCCGAGTCGTATTCCGATGTTGACCTACGCTCACGGCTTGTGGCATCCTGATTGAGTTTAGCTTGAGAAGGCTGGTCCGGCTCCGGCTCCGGCTTCGGTGGACTGCTGTCGTGCTCATTATCGGGCTGACGGCCCTCCTGAGCATTGAGGTCGTGGACATCGTCCGAAGTGCCCAGTGGTACAACCTTCGACCCGTGATTCTCCAGCTCCGGTGAGGTGCTGTTACGCTGAGCATCGGGTTCATGGTCCCCCTCATCATTGACATCATCGAGCTCATCACGGCTCACTGGTGAGACAACCTCCCATTCGTGCTCTGCTGTTTCGAGCTGATCATTGTGCTGACCAGTAGATGTGACGGCTAGTTTGTCGGCAGGGATCGGGGTGGGCTGCGTTGGTTTGGGGCTCCGTCTTGAGCCGGCGAGCCGTCCACGATGCCGAAGTACTGCCTCAAGCCGGTCAAGCGTCCGTTCAGAAATCTTCGAACTTGTTGCGACGTCCGCCAACTTCTCTGCTGCAATGATTGAAGGGAAGGTGGCCACTACAGCATCAATGTCGGTATCAGTCGGTCCGCCAGTGAGAGTGGTAGTTGATGGAGGCTGCGGCTGCTGGAGATTCTCATTTCGGTTGCCTGATGTCCGACGTGCGTGGCGGTTATTGGTGTTGTGTGTGCTATCGGGTGTCTGCACAGTCTGGCCGTCGGAAGATTGAGGTCGGTAGTGGATGGTCACGTCGCCAAGACGTACCTTCCGCGTTCCGTTCGGCCACACGTCGATTTCCAGACCGCCGACGCCAACAACGTTTTCCACCTTGTGCCGCTCTGGCGGTGACTGCTGTTTTAGTCGCTGCTCGACTCTATCAAGGCGAATCCGAACATGACGGTGCGCCTCCCACAGCCGCGTTTGACTGTCCAGCACACGTCCTTGATTTGCTTCAACATCCTCGAGTATGGAAGCAAGACTTCGTTGATGTCCATCCGCCATGACAAGGAATCGCTGTGCTGAGTAGCTTGCGTAGGACGGGACTGTTAGCGTTTCTAGGTGCTTATAAGTGATCCGGATACTGATCGGACCGTCGCTTGCAGCGATGCCGTTTGCTCGTGTCCATTGTCGGAGAGATTAGCTCTACGTTCCAGAGAAAGAAGGCCACCACATCGGTCATTGTGTCAGACAAAACAAAGTTGGAGATGCAAGACACACAGCGGGCTTGTCATGTCTAAACAGACGTCGCGCAGAGAGTGTGCTTCGCCCTGCGGTCCAGCGTTCTTCATCGCAATGCTTGCTGGCAATCTAACAGAGTAAGAGCGGAGCTTGCGCTATGGCACATCTGTTGCTCCGTTTGCTGCAACCGGATATCGCAGGGTAGGCCGAACAAAACCGTGCGTTGAATTGCCATGCATTAAGTTGGCCAGTATCCCGGCTACCCTCTAGATATGTCTGGATTCTCCTGTCGTCATATTGGTGGTCATCGTAGTCACTACTTGAGTGGAACGGAAACTATCGTTGCACTCCTCATGCTCATGGTTGGGGGGTTGATGCCCTTGTTCTGTGCTGCACAGTCGCCGGGAAGGCTCACTTCTCCTTGTCCACCACGTAGATCTTCGGCACGGCCTCCTTTAGCCTTTGCTTGTCTGCTTCAGTTGGCGTGAAACCAAAGATCTTCTCTGCCTCATCACTGACGAGAAGGCCCAGACTGGCATATGCAATAATGCCTCCGCCAATAAGGAGTCGGGTACGGCTTGAAAGGTTACGGTATGATTGCCACAACGACATATTGGGCGCCGGTGCAATTGTCAGTGTTGATTAGGGAGTCCTTGAGAGCCTATCGAAGCGAAGATCCCACGTTCGGGAGGTCGCAGTTCTTCGGAGCGAATGCGATGGTGTAGAGGGTCTAGAACCGCCACGACTTTTGCCTGGTTGCGACTAGTTTTGGCTGCAAGAGTCGACTACCTCCTCTACACTTGCCTGATGCTGGACTTCACTCTTCTTGTTGCTCCATTGTAAGATATAATGGTTGGGTCAAGGCCTTTCACCATCCGTTACTGCTCGCCGCAAACACCCATGAGTGGACGCTATGCTTGCATTGCTGTGGGAGCCCACTGTGGAGACCTACCTGCACTAGCTTGACACGACAATGAGCTTGAATTCACATCCTTACCGCGTTCCGTTGCCAATCAACTTCCAAGCCAACATGGCAGCCTCGAATCCTGTAGACTACCTTGCCATCCGAAACACCATTGCTCGTTACTGTATTGCGCTAGATACCAAGGACTTTGGTCTGTTCGACCATGTCTTCACGCAGGACGTTGACACAGTATATCCCTTCTTCGAGGTCAAAGGAATGAAAGATGTTGCCGCCCGCATACAGAAGAGGCATGCTATGTCATGGGAATATGCAGGGACGTTCTGCTGATGTCTTGCAGACTCTCGCCAGTCACGACTCAGCATGCACTAACCACACAGCTTATCGAAATAGCCGCAGATGGCAAGACCGCCAAAGCCACGACATACTTCACCGGCGTCCACTTCGGACAAGGGAAGTGGGAAGGCAAGGAGGTTACTGCGTGGGGAACGTACGCCGACACGCTTACTCTGACTGAAGGCCAGCCGTCTCTGCCAGGGTCGAGCGGGCAGTGGCTCATCAGCAGGCGGGAGGTCTCATTCACGAAGCGGTTAGGTGAGGAGGGTGTCATGGATGGCGAGTAGCTGCATTCGACGCATCGAGTCTCTACCCGGTCTCGCAGAATGGTTTATCGTCCAGACTTCGTGTCCACTTCCGTCGCAGCGCAGTGCGGTCCTCCTTTCCAGAAGCTTTCATTGCGAAGCAGGTCTTGCGGCAGCCTCAGTGGCCTAGACCATCTCCCGTGAGTTTATTGCTGATCACTACTAAACCATCCTGGTTCAAGTGTATGCGTGTTTCAGACAAGCGCCTTCGAACCTGGGCCGAAGCCACGGCGCGTAACAAGCGCGAGCACGCATTCTTTTATACTACCCACTCGCAATTTTTTGATGACAACGTGGCATCAGGACAGACTGTGCGCACAGGTATTTGTGTATTGTGCCTAACCATCCTCACCTAGCTTTCCGCCGCATTGCTCACTAACAACACCCACGTTCTGCGAAGTCAACGATGGCGACGGCGGTGAGGAATGCCTGTCAGTATGGAATTATCCAGGCCTGTGTGTCCACAGCTAATGTATCCTTAAGCAAATTGTCGATCGTCCCAAAGCTATACCAGCGACATCCCTTCAACCTTCAATAGTAATAAAACGACTCTGTGCGGCTTCAGCTACCCCGATCCTACAGGCTTTCGGAACCTGTCTTGTACGTCGTTAGGGGGTATTGAGTCCTCCTCTACGCTAATCAGCTAACCGAGCTTCTGGGCTGTAGCGTGTTGGACAGGGCCAGTCCAAGTCAGCAACGAATGCTTCCAGTATTGCGAAGTCGTTTCCACAGAGTCTGAGACGACGTGGGGATATTGCGTCTCGTTGAACACGCCGAATCTTACCCGACCTATATTGACAACGTGCAATAGCCGCGTTGCATAGAATGGAACGGAGTCACTGGGCAGACGTAGCGGGCTACCTGGCTTACTGGTGCTGCTGATGCTCGCCATCGCCACATTGGGATGACTGCGCGGAGTGAAGACTTGGACTTATAAATGATCATTAAGCAGGCGCCAAGTTCGACCTCCTACTACGCACGGCTCGGCGGGACTGTGGTCACGATGCGCGGGTGTGTGTGAGTGCTCCCATCTGAGACCGACAATATCCTTCGGAGGTGTGCAGATCCGATGCTGAATGTGAACAGCATAAGGGAGACGAGCATTTCCAGACAGCATCAGTGCCACACATAAGCCTGACAGCCAGACGACGCTGACGGAGTATGATCCATGAGGAGGTGGACTTGAGCAGCGTTAATGACAGGTCCTGAAGTGCCCGGGCATTCACGAAGCGATCAGCCATGAGACTGGCGTTTCCTTACTTCTCTGGTACGGTTCGCAGAGCCATGTGGTATGCCAGCTGCTCGGAATCGTTGCTTGCAAGTCTGCGCTGCTGGTCGATATTACGCTCTTATGTCTTGCAGTAGTATGGTACACCGTGGTCTTCACATTATTCGCACCTACCAAGGTCAATACTAGTTCGTTGTTGCTCTTTACGGCTCGTGTGCTCACCATCCAGGCCTCCTCACTTTCCCTCGTCTTTCATGCCACCAGTCCCACCCACGGCCGGTCGGTACGGCACATACCCACCCCACAACTCCGCAGGTTCCTGCTGCTCCACCACCGAGCCAAGCTGTGGCGTCACCGGACTATATCCCGGCGGTCCTGCAAACCCACTGCTCCGGTTCGTCATCATACTGATCGTTGGGCTATGGTTCGACGACCCATCTAGCTCACTCTTCTGACCACCGCTCGCCCGGTTCGTTGCGACAGGGTAGCTGTCCAGCTCCGGCGCCCGACCGTCAGGCGGGACATACCCTACCTGGTGGCCGAACTTCTCGGCCTTGTCACCATCCGAGGATTCATGCGAATGTTGGGTTGGCCTTTTGGCTTTGCGCTGGCGCCGCCAGAGCAGACAGCCTAGCATGCTGGCGATTATGAGCACGACTGGGACGCCGACTGCGATGCCCACAATCATGTCCAAACGTGAGTGCGACGGATCCGAAGCTTCCGCGCTCGGTGACGCAGTCGACGGTAGAGCCGGCGCCGAGACGGTCGAGATGAGCACTATGGTTGTTGCTACGCCATCCGTATTAGTGGCCACTGACTGTGACGATATCACCAAAGCGCTGGATGAGGTTGCGGAGCTCTGCGTAGACGACATAAGCGTAGAGGATGCCGAAATCTGTACGCTAGCTGGTGAGCTTGCTGTTGTAGAAGCTGTCGTCGAACTTGGCCTCGCGGCATAGCCCGTCAGGCTGGAGGTGGTCCGAGCAGTGCTTGGGAAAGACTTGGAGGTGCTCATGGTTGCTGGGACGTTGTCAGCTTGGATGACCAATATGTTGTGCGTCGAGACATACTTGAACTCGAAGCCGCACTGTTCGACGACTTGGAAGATGTCACCGAGCTCGCCGAAGGTATGCTTGAAATAAAGGCTACCTGACTGCCTCGAGGGAGACTGAAGGAGGCGTTGTCACCGTTGGCTACATCGCAGCAATTGAACGAGCGGTTGCCATCGCAGCACCAGCTTCTGTGCAAGCGTCAGCGTACATCTCTTCTGTATGCTTCGACATTGCCCACCCGTCACTGCACTGGAGAAGAGCCTCGTTGCCACCCGCCGTGTTGTTCTGCGTGCAGAACCCCGGACAGCTGCTTGCTTGCCACGTCTGGTCGGTGCAGGTGTACCGCCCGTAGTAATCGGCATTCCCGAGGTAACAGAGTCCATTGCTTTCGCATGCCCAGTTTAGGGGACAGCAGGCTCCGCCATTCGAGGAGCAAGGTGCATCGCCGTGCGCGAGGTCTCCATTTGGGTAGTAGCAGTTCTGCGCCAGTGAGCCATGCGAACGTAGAAGTAAGAGGCTTGACAATGAGGGCAGAGTCTTCAATAGCCGCCGCATCCCTGTTGTTGTCTTGATTTCATGATCGCTTGTGGTTTGAAAATATGATTCTCGGAAGATGGAGTGACGTTGAAGTGGTGGCGCTGAGACGTTCCCGTTGCTGTCATGTGGTCGAGGCTTTTGCGTCCACGGGTGTAACTAAGCTATAAGTTAAACATTTGACACAGAAGGAGCTGTGAAACCTGCCTGCTCCGCACGTGCTGATGTCGATTTTAAGTCATGTAATGAAACGTCCTTAACAGCAACATTCTCGGTGACACCTAAGCAATAGACCTTCTGTCTGTCAGGGACACTATGGCAGCGCACGAGCAGAAATGCTCCCTGCGATGGTCGCTCGTTATGCTGGAGATGAAACACGGACGCCTGCATTGAAGCGGCCAAGTGCATCAATTGCCGCTCAAGCCTAAGTCCTCACGACATTGCATTCCCGTGCGCCACCGAGAAGTACATATTGCCGAAACCGAGGCTGCGTAGGACTGACCGTCCTCAAGCGGTGTCAGCCTGGCCCTCGGGTTTTCACATCATTGAAACATGACACCTGAACCCTGTCGTTCCCTGTTAGCGCGGCTGCCGTGTTGTGACGAGCGCAGAATAGTCGTTTCAGCCGATCATGCCTGAGTGGTGACATCAGATACATGCTTTGCAACATGAGAGGCGCTCCTTCCCAGTAGATTGACTTCCGTTTATGACGCCGTATCGGTGAATACCGCAAATGGGAGCCTTCCGATTCGCTCTGATGATGATCGCGCTAGCGGGATGTCGCATATCTAGTAACTTCTTATCTGGGCAGTATGTTTACCTTCGAAGAAAAACAGTCGTTGTCGATGTCTGCACACATACGTGCTTTCTGTGAGTGGGTAAGTCGATGCCGACAATCCAACCTCTCACAATGCTATATCTCATTAGCATGCTTCTCCAGCAGCTTGTCCACCATGCCTCTGCATATTGGATGGTAGAAATTCTTATTCCGCTCGAATGTCTTCCTGGCTAAAGCCTCATCACACCTGATCAGCTCCCTATACAATGGCCGCACGAACTTCATCCGCCCAACTTTCCCCAGTAACTCTGCCGTTGGCTCGTACAGGCTCTGTGCCCGTGACTGCAGGCCAAGCGTATAGTACCGTGACACCAGTTCGACATTTTTCGAAGACGCGTAGGCGTACCGTTGGCCCATAAGCTCCACCAAATCTGACGATAGTGGCTTTTCCAGGCTCTGCAGCCGCTCAAGAAACACGACGCTTTGGTTTGCGGTGAAGTGCTCGATGTCCTTACCCGAGGGCGCGAATTGCCCGTTCCTGCCCTTGCTCAGGCCTTGCCACTTGTCCGCAAGCTCGTAGCATTGGTCTGCAAGGGTGGTGTCAAAGTTCGGTTTGGGCGGGAAGCCAGGCTTGTAGAACCACTCGTCCCAGTCCACATGCTCAAGCTTCTTCGATGCTTCGGAGTCGGAAGCAAAGAAAGAGATTAGGGTAGCTTTAAACTCATAGCTGTCCACACTCCTTTGCTTGTATGTTGTAAAGTAGTGCGGAATGAACTTGTTCCACTTCTCGATGCCTAGCAGCTTCTCAAGATGGTAGAGGAAGACGAAGCCCTTTTCGTACGGTATCGAGGAAAACGCATCGTCCGGGTCTTCACCTTTCAGATCGGGTATCATCTTTGTGAAGTTGTGGTCTTCGCCGAATTGTGCGATGCTGTCGCTTAGCGCTTTCCACCCAATAATGGCGGAGAAATCACGATACTTATCGCCGCCATGGATTGCAGCTTGAAGTCTTCGCTCAAGGTACGTCGTCCAGCCTTCGTTCAGCCAGAAATGTTCCCATGAGGCGTTGCTTACTAAATTACCGGACCATGAGTGGCTGAGCTCATGAGCAATGACATCAACGTTCTGTCTGTCTCCACTCACAACGGTAGGTGTTGCAAAAGTAAATATTGGATTCTCCATCCCGCCGTACGGGAACGAAGGTGGTAGGACGAGGACATTGTACGTCGTCCAGGCATAAGGGTAGACTATCTTCTCCGCCGCCTGAATGTAAGCTTCAGTGTCATCTTCGAATTCCCACTGGCACGCCGTAAGCGCATCAGGGCTCGTCCAGACGGTACTTCGCGGGCCAATGGATGCACTTGCGAGGTCACCTGAAGCCAAGGCAAACAGGTAAGAAGGCATCGGTATGCTCTGATGGAAAGTGTACAGCAGCGTTCCGGGCTTGCCGTCATGGCCTGGCTGATAGTCCTTTGCACCAGTAGGCAGACCTGACGCTAGAACAGGCAGTGGAGAGCGGATATTGAATGTGTACGTTGACTTGACGTCCGGAGTATCCTGACAAGGGAACAATGACCGAGCATGGATTGCTTGACATTGCGAGAACATGTACGGGTGCTTTTTGTTGCTCGTTTGCGCGGGCGACAGCCACTGAAGTGCGGTACAGTCTTTCGTTGTTGCCACATCGATGCTTACCTTCAGCTCCGTGGCATTGCCGTACTGCTCACCAACAGTGAATGTAAGAGGACTACCATAAGGCTCGATCCGCGAGCTCGCGACCTCGAAATTGACATCCTCTTCATCGACCTTGACTCTTGTGACGTCGAGAAAGCTGCCTTGCGTTAGTCGCGACCAATACTGTTAAACATTCTCTGGCCTACCTAGTATCTAGAACGATCTTACGCTCGTTAGACAACTTACTAAGCGACAACTGAACATCGCCCTTCAGCCTCTTGGCGCCGTAGTCAACCTCGAAGTTAACGGTTGTGTGCTTTGTCCGCCAAGCATTGTAGTTTGCGAGGGTATTCGGATCGCGAGGCTGATGGATGCTGGCGGCAGCAGCCTTCGCCACGGAGTCTGGAGCTGGCCGAATCGCCATGTCTCTGAAGAATCTATATCTGCCTAGATTGCTGATAGTCTGCCGGACAGACTCGGTGCAAATCAGTGGTAGCCAGATGGAGCGCCAGCCGAAGCTCAAGATCATCAAGCGTCAACTGCGTGCACCACAGCAATAGCCCTCAGAGATGGGAAGTGCTGGAGTTTGCATTGAAATCGGTCAGTAGGGCAATGAGAGGTGCAACATTCACTTGAGGGGAGGCATTACGTGCGGTGCAAGAGGTCAAAGCGCTCGTTCCTTCCCCGCGTCGAGACGCGTTCTTGCGTTACCGCAGTCCGTTCACGAATTGTTCTGTTCTATGCAACCTGTGCTACGTCTCGCCCATTCGTTGGGTGTCGAACATGACCACGTTCCCAGTGCTGTCGAGAAGTCTGAAAGCATGAAGAGGTAGTGGACAAGCACATCGCTTTACATCCACAAGCTGCAATGGAGATCGAGCGAGCGGCTAAGCGCAGACGACTGGACAATACCCCCGAGGCGGCGCCTTCGAAAGGAAAAGCATTGGTTACATACAAGAGTAGGACGCCTGGCTTCCAACGTGTGACTGGTGCACAGCAAAAAGTGATCGATCTAAGCGAGAAGTTGTCCGACGCGCAGATAGCATGGGCGGAAGCGAAGTCTAAGAGTCGCCATGGCCTGTTGCAGAGCAGGAAGGGGGAGCATACAGTGTATGATGATGTCGATGACGCTTTGAAATCCACCCCGAAGGAGACTGTAACTGGCCAGAAGCCCGTCTCCACTGCGAAGGCTGCGGAGGCTGCGGAGGCTGCAAAGGCTGTCTCCACTGCCAACACCAAGGCCAAACTTGACCCGCTGCGGAACCAGAAGGCGGACGGCGTGAGCTCACCGGTTGCACGAACACCAACAAAAAGTGCGGCGTCTGTTGGCTTCTTCAAGCAGTTCGCAGCCAAAAGACATGCGCCTTCCCCATCCCTGCAATTTACGGAGCCTGGAGTGCCAGAAACTGACCGCCACGACACGCCACTCGACAGCCCGGGGACAGGGTACAGCGCTATTGTGAACGACGATCCACAGGACATGGAGCAGAGGAGTGCCCAGCCTAGTGATGTTCGGTCGAGCGGGAGGATACGCCGTACACCGAAAAGGTATGAAGTAGCCGCAGAACCTTCATCTCGCAGTGTCACGCCGTCCACGCTCCGCAAATCAAAGACTCTGGAAAATGAAATCAAGGAGCTTGCGGCGTCAGCAGAGAAGGATGCGGCCAATGAAGCCCGACGCGAGACGAGGTCTGAAGCGCTTCTCGAGCAAGCTTTGGATCATCCGTACCGAAAACAGGAGCCGGAACCAGAAGTGCGCGACGCGTCAAAGTCGCAACGCAAAGAAGCCGTTAGGAACATCCCAAAGACTGTGCGTAGGACTACAGTGAAGAAGTCCGATCATGCGGACTCCGAAGTTGCCGTCGAAGCGGACCATGTCGAGGGTGTGGTCGACACAGCAAGCAGCGTGAGGCGCAGAGAGCAGCAGCAGCAGAGTCACGATCCTGTTGATGAAGAGGTGTCTCGTGACGCCATAGTCCCCAAGGTATCTGTGCCAGCCAACCGTACACTCATGGCTGCAGAACTCGTCGACATCCAATTAATCATTCTGGAGAAGCTGACAGGCAAGCGCCCAATACCACTAACGAACTTATCTGATGAATACGTTAAGGTGTCTGCACTTGTCACGCAGACTGTGACAGCGGGAGAGAGCAACAGCATGCTCGTCATCGGCGCCAGAGGCAGCGGCAAGAGTGCTCTTGTGAACCAAATCGTTCGCGAGCAGGCTGCGGAGCATCCGGAAGATTTTCACGTGGTCCGCTTGAATGGCTTCATTCATACGGATGATAAGATTGCGCTCCGCGAGATATGGCGGCAACTGGGACGCGAAATGGATACTGACGAGGATGAGAGTGGAGTGAAGAATTACGCTGACACACTTACGACGTTACTGGCTTTACTCTCCCATCCAGGTGAACAAGGACGAGAGCAACCGAATCAGATCACGAAGAGTGTCATTTTCATCCTGGACGAGTTCGAGCTTTTCGCAAGCCATCCGCGGCAAACGCTACTGTATAACCTCTTCGACATCGCGCAAAGCAAGAAGGCGCCTATTGCTGTGCTAGGCCTCACCACCAAGATCGACGTCTCCGAGAGCTTGGAGAAGCGGGTGAAGAGTCGTTTCAGCCACCGCTACGTGCATCTTGGGTTAGCGAAGAGCTTGACGGCTTACCAAGAAGTGTGTAAAGCTGCCCTATCCCTGCAACCTAGTGACGCTGCGGAAGATGGAATACCGAAGGATGCTAGTAATGTGATGAAGACCTGGAACGCCCTGGTGACGAATCTATTCGCTTCCGAGCCGTTTGTGAACCATCTACGGCGCTCGTTCTACACTACAAAATCTGTGCCAGACTTCATGTCGAGCATGCTTGTGCTCTTAGCTACGCTGCCTGTAGGAGACGACATGGACATAGCTACACTGTTTGAGCATATCACGTCCCCCAACACTTTTGCAATGAGCGCGCCGGACTCGAAACTCACTTTACTTCCCAGCCTAAGCACTCTTCAACTTGCGTTGCTCATATGCGCAGCGCGCTTGACTGTAATCTACAATACGGACCTTGTCACTTTCCCGCTCGCATATGAGGAGTACAAAGTGTTGGCCTCGAAGGCGAAGCTGCAAGCTACTGCATCTGGATCTTTGGCTTCAGGAGCCGGAGCGAGAGTGTCTGGCACCAACGTTGCAAGAGATGCATGGGATGTCCTAATCAAGCGCGGTCTTGTGATGAGCGATGGGCGAAGTGGCAATGCTGGGAGAGTGGATGTTGGCTTGGAAGAAATCGGCTGGAGCGGTGTTGATCTGGGGCAGTGGGGACGGTGGTGTAGAGAGATCTGATATACGTGCATCTATACTATACACCGTGTCCTGGATGCAGCAATTTATATTCACGTGCACAGTTTGCAACACTTCATGCCCTCGGCCGGCGAACCTACGCCGATCCTGCCAAGATCCGGCCTTGGAAGTCCGTATGTCCTCACGCAGACTGCAATTGCGCGCCGTGTTTCACGTTTGGTCATGATAATGGCCAGATAGCCTCGAAGGTAAGCTCTCATCTACGTAGCCATAAGTAGGTCTTCTGCGCCCCGTTTGCATCTTGCGTCTCCCTCATTTCTCGCACCATCGCGATCTTTCCAACTCATGCAACATGGCGAAACATCACATCCTCGTAATCGGCGCAGGCGTTGCGGGACCCGTAACAGCATACTGGCTTGCCAAAGCCGGCTTCCAAGTGACCGTCATTGAGCGTTCGTCGAATATGTTCAAGTATGGTCAAGGTGTTGACATTAACGGGCCGGCTCAGGAGGTAGTGGAGAAGATGGGTCTGCTGGACAAGATCAAGTCCAAGACGACGGGGGAGAAGGGCGTAACTATGGTAGACGACGATGCGAGACCTCTGGCGTCCATCGATGGCGGCGTGACGCAAGAGATTGAGATCATGAGAGGTGATCTTGCTGAGATCCTGACTAAGGCGGCGATGGAGCAAGGCGAGGTGGCGTTCAAATACGATATGACTGTCGAACAAATCAAGCAGGAGCACGACCATGTCAATGTCAAGTTTGGGAAGTCCGGCGAGGGTACTGAAGGTAGCTTCTACGCAGTTATCGGCGCCGATGGCTTCCGTTCGCGCACGCGCGCTCTGGCTTTCGATCCTAAAGACCTCGAAAATTGCTTCAAAGCCAAGGACATCTTCATTGCTTACTTCGACATCAAAGCTGCTGACGACGATGCGCCGTATGCCCGCTTAGAGAATGCGGTAGGCGGACGTACCGTCCTTGTTCGACCTGTTACCAAGGAGCGCTCTTCAGCTTACGTTAGTGTGACGACGAAGTCCGAGAGGCTGGAGCAAGTTGTTCTGGAGGACAAGCAGACGCAGAAGGCTACTCTGGCTGAGATGTTCGAAGATATAGGAGGGCTTGCGCCAAGGGTGATGAAGGAGATGGAGGAGTCTGAGAATTTCTACTTCGAGCGAGTTGCGCAGATCAAGCTACCGAGGTGGTCGAGCGGGCGATGTGTGCTGGTAGGAGATGCTGGTTATGCTACCGGACCAATTACGGGTGAGCATTCTGAGAGTATCAACCATAAGCATCATGCTTACTGACATCCTACTTCACACGCTGTAGGTGAAGGAAGCAATATCGCTATTGTCGGAGGCTACGTCCTCGCCGGAGAGCTTTCCGAGCAGTGCGATAACCCTCCTTCCGCCTTTCGTGCGTATGAGGACCGACTGCGGACGTATGTCGACAAAGCCCAGGAAATCCCGCTGGGCGGCGCTGCACCTCGACTGCTCAACCCCGACACGCGGTGGGGCATCTGGACACTGCGAGCGGCGTTTCGTCTGTTTGCTTGGACAGGCGTGTGGAAGTTGATAGATCCTGGTGAAGCGGAGAAGCTGGACTTACCTGCTTATGCAAAGCTGCATAGCAGTTGAAGTATTTCACCCCATCATTGCTGCCTGAAGAGCAGTTCTTTCAATCTACTCCTCGCAGCTCGTGAGGTCGGTGATCCCTGTCTGGTGGTAGTCGACGTAGGCTATGTAGATTCAAGTCGCATCAGTCCTTCGAGCAGCGTGCTGAACGCCATCTTCTTCAGCTGATGGTATGATGGCAAACGGTGGCAACTCACCGACGGATATAGGGTAATGAAGACGCCTTAGTAGGCATTGATATATACGTAGAGGCAGTACAAAGAGGGCTGACGCTCTCAAACATATTAAGAGCACTGAAAGTGCATTCGGCGGACAGACTTGCTATGCTGACATTGTATACGCACCAGCTCTGCTTGCGACACCCAGTAGGCGTACGCGTGCAGCATGTCGCTGACGGCGCATTTGGTGTCAACTGACTGCAGAGAAGGTTCCATAAAGTGTGCATCGGTGATGGCGTACAGTTACTATAAAGCCTCGATCGTCTCCGCTCGATTTCCAGAACAAATATGCGTTCAGCGTTATGCGGCCCTAACCCGGACGGAGCTGGACTACAATGGACCAGTTCTCAGTCTCGATATCAAAGAACAGGAGCCCTTGATTCCGACCGTTCTAGCATCCACCTTTCACAGCATGGAGCCGGTTCCTACTGATACGGTGATGCTACGCATCTGGTATGGTGCGTCCAAATGAGACGAGGTGGGTGCTATTGTGATGATCGATTGAAGAGCTAGGAATAACCAAGAAGCGTGTCGTGACATATATGGATCGACACTGGCCTATAAGCCAGACGGAGCACTGAGTATCGCCGAGTTGCCGGAACCCTGGGAGTCGGCATGCCGAGAGACCGGTCGAGGCTGATATGCGGGACTGTCGCGTAGCTTGTCAAGAGTGCAGTTTCTGTGGGTTTTGTCATAGTGTCATGCGAGACGGCTTCGAAAACATTATACATTATGGCATTTGCATGCCGCAATGCATGCAGCTTGGTGGAGGTGGGTACAGATACCATCTCCCGCCAACGTAGAGATCGATGAACGGGTCTCGGCACCTTAGCACTGCCTGTAGTAATGTCATTTGATGACGGAAGGCGAAGGCGGACTGGTGGGCGACCGCAATAGTCGGAAGTTTCTAGAGCGAAGGCGCAGATGGTGAATTCTTGGTTCACGCCATGAGCTGTCTGGCGCCCAACGTTGCGGCGAACAGTAACGTGAGGTGAGAACAGACCAGCGCGTCCTCCGTGTGGAGATCGGTGTTTGGTTGACACACCTAGGGTTCCGCAGAACAATCCGTTGTCGGCGAGACTGACCCCATCACTAAAGAACCGGAGAATTTTGCAAGCTTTTCGCTCCCTGTCAAGTGAGAACGTGACGCGCGGTTGGCCCCGTTCACGAGCTGTGGCGTACTGTACAGTATGTCTCAAGCCGTACCCGAAAGTTTGGCGAGCTGGGCGTCTGCTTGTCGCTTTTTGGGTACAACCGTCCGTGCGACGCTGGCGCTGGTGCTTCTGAGCGAAGCTTGGCGGGCCAAAGCAAGTCACCCTCTCGGGCAGCATCACGCTGAACACTGAGCATGCACTTCTTTTGTGTGCATATCTTGACGCGCTCATTGCATGATCCATCAGCCATACGGGAGTAATTCTGCATGCACATGCACATGCAAGACACAGTCTCGGCAGATCTACTGCAGGAGCGGCGGGTACCTGCGTGACCCGAGCGCCATCTTGTCCTAAATCGGGTGACAGCGGGGCCATTTTGGAGACGCCACTTCATCCCTTCAAGAACTCCTTTCCACTGGCCAAGAGCTCGGCGGACACAGACCTTTAGCTGTGAACCCTACGAGGAGCAATCTGGCACAAGGAAGCAGCGATGAAAGCATGACGATGGCTCCACAATCCTCTCTGGCAAAGTGGCTACATGTTACACCAAAACCAGGCCCTTTTTGCAGCTGTTGTGCGGGTGCTACTAAGTTTGGAGCCCACGCGAATGGGTACCAAATCTACCCATGCGCAGATCCGGCTAGCGTTACTCTGCATACTTCAGGTCAGGCCACCGCACAGACACGTCTAGACGACGGAACCCACGCCTCCCTTCTTCTCATGCCATAGCGGCATCCACAAACCTCCTTGTTCGTTAGACCACACCCGAAAATGGCAATGAGCCTCGCCGTTGTGTTCGAGGTATGTAGGTCTCGCAGATCTCTCTCTTGTCCCCTTCTCCCTCGTTCGCCTAATCTCCCATTGGACTGCTACTTGAGGGGTCTGTACTATCCGCCATCGACGTTAGGCGGGTGGTTCATACTCTTTTTTCTACACTTCTAATTGTCCGCATCGCTACTCTTTCGTTTGGAAGCGCGTTGCAGTCACTCGTTTGTACAGTCCTTCGTTTTTCAGACCGCAGCAATCCCCACTCTTTGGATGCTGCTGGTCGCCACTCTCGTTTAATCCAACATGTACCGATACGGTATCTTGGGCCTTGCAGCGGCCGCATCAGCTGCTCTTCAACCTCGCCAGACCGTCACTGCCGGCACCGCGGTCTCGTCGACGAACGCTACAGAAGCAACACTAGTGGCAAACAGCACAGCGACGACTTTCGCACCGGAGACGCACTACACTACATTCGTTACAACTTGTAGGTCTCTGGAAGGAACAGATGAAATCTAGGTCGAGGTTAACAAACTCCGGTACAGGCACGGTCAATGGCACTTCTACAGTGGAAACAGTCTCCGCTCCTATTACTTCTTCAAACAACACTATTAATGCGGCAGTTACAACACTACCAATAGAGACATCTTATACTACATTTGTGACGACTTGCACAGTAAATGGCAGTGCGACGGTAGAGACAGTGTCGGCCCCCGTCACAACCTCCACATCCACCTCGCTCAATAGCACGAACAGCGCCGCGAATGCTGCTGCACTCACTACTTCAGCGATCTCGGAAACCCAGTACACAACTTTCGTAACCACCTGCACTTTCAACGGAACTAGCACAGTTGAGACAGTATCTGCTCCGGTTACGGCCAATACTACAACTTCCGCTAGTGCAACACCGTCTCTGTCAGTCAATGGCACAAACGCGACGCCTGCGAACGCCACGTCTGTCAGCGCAGACCCGACCACAATTGGCCCGATTACGAGTGCACCGATAGAGACCTCGTACACGACTTTCGTTACGACGTGCACTACCAATGGCAGCACGACTGTTGAGACAGTTTCTGCTCCTATCACAACCTCGGCCAGCGCAACGCCTGTGCTATCTGTCAATGGCACCAATGCCACGCCTCTGACCAACTCTTCGGTCAATGCCAACGCTACTACAAGTGCCCCAATCACGACTGCACCGATAGAAACCTCGTACACGACTTTCGTTACGACGTGCACTACCAATGGCAGCACGACGGTGGAGACAGTCTCTGCTCCCATCACGACCACAGCCAGCGCAACGCCTTCGCTATCTGTGAACGGCACAAATGCCACGCCGTTGACGAATTCTTCGGTCAGTGCGGATCCTGCGAACAGCGCGAACGCTACCACGAGCGCACCGATTACCACTCCGGCCAGCGAGACCTCCTACACGACTTTCGTTACTACCTGCACCACAAATGGTAGCGCCATCGTGGAGACCGTCTCGGCTCCAGTTACCGCAAATGCAACGACCACGGCAAGCGCCATACCTGCAATTTCGGCTAACGCCACCGCGATACAAGGTACCGGTGTTGTTGCTGCTGCGAACAGCACATCCACTACGGCCAGCGCGGACCCCACGAACAGCGCCAACCTTACCACTGCAGCTTTCAGCGAGACTTCCTACACGACTTTCGTCACGACGTGCACGACGAATGGTTCTACGACCGTGGAGACCGTGTCTGCCCCAATTACGACGACCACCTCTGCGAGCGGTGTGCCATCTGTGTCTGCCAACGCTACCGCTGACGGCCTGGTCGGCACGGCCTCTTCGACTGTCTCTGCCAGCGCGAACAGCACCGGCGTTTTTGCCACTGCTTCCGCCTCCTCCACGCCATCCAGCAGCGTCAATGCTACTTCGGCTGATCCCGCATCAACTACGTCTGCGACCGTCAGCAATGGAACGACCACGGCTTCGCTCGACCCGACGGCACCGGTCAATGGCAATGTTTCTTCAATTGTCTCAAGCATCACTTCCGGCGTTTCTAGCACTCCATCCGTCAGCGCTAACCTTACATCCGCTGACCCTGCGTCAACCACGTCCACGACTGCCACGAACGGAACAACGACTGACTTGCTCAGCACGGCTACCTCCACTGCGCCGATCAATGGCAACGTGAGCACTGTTGCTACGATTGGAACTGATTCAGGCGTCTCCAGCACACTTGCAGCCAACTTGACCACGTCTACGGCCAACCCTGCCTCGAGCACGCCAAGTGTCAGCGCGAATGGCACAACTTCTGGCCCGCTTGAGTCGGCAACCCCTACTCCATCAGTCAATGGCAATTTGAGCACCACAGCTGTCTTGGACTCAGGCGCATCCAGCACACTCTCAGTCAGCGTTAACGCAACGACTACAGACCCGCTTACCACGCTCGCTCCGACCGCACCCGTCACTGTGGACGCCAATGCCACGACCATTTCCAGCACTGCCACTGGCGTGTCCAGCACGCCTTCGGTCAGTGTGAACGGCACGACGTCCGATCTTCTCAGCAGTGTCACGTCGACCGCACCGACCAACGGCAATGCGAGCACCATTGCGAGCCTGGTTACGGACTCTGGTGCATCCGCCACACCATCTGTCAGCGCCAACTCGACAGACTCTACAACGTCCGACCTGGCTTCTGCCACACCGTCAGTCAGCGCCAACGTCACCGAGGTCGCTCCATCAAGCACTGTCTCTGCGACACCATCGGTCAGCGCGAATGTCACTGAGGCCGCTCCATCAAGCACAGTCTCTGCCACACCGTCAATCAGCTCCAATTCTACTGCGGCAACAACTGCAACTGCCACCCAAGCTTTTGCGAGCAACATTGTGTGCCAGGCTCTCAACGGCCAGTCGTACTCTGATGGTAACACCAGCTACGCAATCAGCTGTGACCAGGCCTACGAAGGCACTGTTCTCAGCACGCTCTCGATATCGAAGAAGCGGTCAGACTCGGTCACGTCATGCATGGCTACTTGCGATGCGGATGCCACCTGCGTTGCCCTGACGCTTACCACGAGTGACTGTCAGCTGTTTAGCGCGGTGACTGGCCTGATCTCCCAAGTTGGATCGACCTCCGCCTTGAAGACTGTCAGCTCCGCAACCAACTCCACGACCGACTCCACTACGTCGGCCAGTGTTGTTAGCACGGTATCTTCGACGCCGTCCATTACGGCCAACTCGTCTAGCGTTGCTGATGCGACAGCTGGCACAACCGCGTCGGTCACGCCCACCATCTCTGCGAACGCTAGCAGTATCCTGTCAACTGGTGACAGCACAGCCTCGTCCACGCCTTCTGTCAGTGTCAATGCCACCGTTGCAGAGCCTACCGCGGGCACCACTTCATCCAGCACCGATTCCGCAAACACGACAGTGTCTGCTACGCCATCCGTGTCAGGCAACTCTACGACGATTGACCCGACTATCGGCACCACTGTCTCAAGCACTCCTACGGTTAACGCCAACTCGAGCATCGTTACGACCAGTGACGATGGTGCTTCAGCTTCCTCTACGCCATCCATTTCGATCAACTCCACGACGGTTGACCCCACTGCCGGCACCACTGTCTCCAGCACTCCTACCGCAAACGCCAATTCGAGCATCGTCACGACTAGTGATGATGCCACCACGGCTTCGTCCACGCCTTCTCCTAGTGCCAATGCAACCGTTGCAGAGCCCACTGCCGGCACCACAACTTCAGCCACTGATAACTCTACCACGCCTACCCTGGGCTCAACAGCCTCCGCATCGATTGTGAACTCAGCTGCTGCCAACTTGTCTACGACAGCCACTTTGTTCACCAGCAGCACGGCCACGACGAGTGAAGCTACCCCAACAAGCACTACCGCTGTGGCCAATGGCACTACCAGCGGTGTCGCCTCCCCAACAGATGCCGGTGCAAGTACGTCGAACACGACATCGATCACTTCAGTCTCCCCAACCGATCCCGCTGTTAGTGTCAACACTACGTCGACTGGCGTTGCATCACCAACTGACGCAAGCGTGTCCAACACGACTGCTAGCGGAGTTGCAGCACCAACAGACTCAACGGCTTCGAACACTACATCGACGGGAGCTGCGGCTGCGACTGAAGCCACGGCTTCGAACACTACGTCTACGGGAGCTGCGGCGCCGACTGAGGTCACTGCTTCGAACACTACGTCTACTGGTGCAGCCGCGCCAACTGACTCCAGCGTAACCAACACGACTTCGATTGGTGTAGCTTCGCCGACAGAGGCTACCTCATCCAACACGACCTCTATTAGTGCAGCCTCGCCGACTGACGCAAGCGTGGCTAACACGACTTCAGCTGGCACAGCTTCTCCCACTGATGCAGTGACGAGCTCGTCAAACGGTACAACAACCATCCCATCGACCGCAACTGTCGACCCGAGCTCGACCACCCCAGTCGTTAATGCAAATGCCACTACCGTTGATGTCGCGTCCACTACCGCGTCGCTATCTGCATCCTCGTCTGCTAATGGCACCTCCACGACCCCGGTCGGCTCAGTTACAACCACGCTGGCGACGACCTCAACTAGCGGCAGCCCGTCCGTTACGGTTATCGACTCAAGCGCCAACAACACCTCGATTACATCCACTACTTCATCGGATCCGAGCGCCTCTACTTCCGTTGCTAATGCGAACGCCACCACCATTGATGTTGCATCCACTACCGCGTCGGTGTCCGTCACTTTGTCCGCTAACGGCACGTCCACCGCCTCTTCGGACCCAACATCAACTAGCGCTGGTACGGCTGATACAGCAGCAAGCACAAGCGTGGCCTCCAGCAGCGCTAATGCTACCTCAACGACGACCGAGAACGGTGTGTCGTCGACTGCTAACCCGGGTATTACATCAACGACCACCTCCGGCACTACTGTCTCCTCGTCGGTCGACCCATCGGCTACCACGAGCACTGGCGCCACGGCGTCAAACACCTTGACCTCAGCGGCAACGTCGTCGACCGCGGGTACTACGGCCGATGGAGCTTCTACCAGCACCACGGCTACCTCTTCGTCTACCAGCAGCGCAGCAGCTAATGGTGAAGCTTCCACTTCGACAACCGAAGATGGGAGTGCCACAACTCCGGCTGCATCGGTAACAAGCGCCCCATACACGAACTCTACCACGGCATCAGCCTCCATTAGCAACTCAATCAACGCCACCACGTCATCTACTGCGTCTTCGACCTCGGGAACTGCGGCATCTACTACCACAACTACTGTGCCGTCCGCAAGCAACATTGTCTGCCCAGGTAGCAATGGCCAGAACTATATCGATGGAAACTCGACCTACACGGTTGGCTGTGACCAGACCTATACTGGAACCATCCTCGAGACCATCCTGAACACCACGTCGACGAAGAAGCGTGATGTCGTCACTGTCAGCTCTTGTATGGCAGAATGCAACGCTCTGGAAGCCTGTGTCGCTGTGACGCTCTCTACGGTGGACTCAAGCTGTAAATTGTTTAGCTCCATTACCGGTCTCAGCGCGGAGACCGGCTCAACCGCTTTACTCAAAGTGGCGACAACTAGCTCTGTCACAAGCTCCACCGCAGGGTCTTCGACAGCCGCTCCTGGCACGTCTGCAAGCTCGGTGGCATCCAGCTCGGCCACTATCACATCCAGCAGCACCACGGTGTCCTCAGGTACTTCAGGAACATCCCCTACAGTCAGCACGAACACCACCGCTCAAGCCACTGCCGGCACCTCCTCCAGCTCATCGACGGCATCCTCCGCGGGTGCCACAGCAAGCGGCGTGTCGAGCGGCTTATCAAGCTCTGTCCCAGCCAGCTCCAGCCCAACAACGACTGTCTCGAGCACGTCCTCTGCATCGGGTAGCGTCAGTGCTTCTGCCACCAACGGTACGGCGCAGGCTACTCCGGCAACCGGAGGCTCAGGTGCCGTGTCGGGTGCATCTTCCGCCGGTGCCGTTTCGTCGTCAGCTGCGCCCTCGTCGTCGGCTATCAGCTCTGGCAGCGCCTCGTCTAGCAGCTCAGACCCATCCACGGCGAGCACTTCCACAGCGTCCACGACTTCAAGCTCCGGCAGCGGCTCGTCAAGCGGATCGCCATCTGTTACCAGCTCATCGGCCGTGTCGTCTGCGGCTGCCTCCAGCCTGACGGTCAGCAGCTCTACGCCATCCACCAGCGTTGCAAATGCCGGAGCATCTGCCTCGAGCAGCCCAGCTGTTAGCAGCTCCGCGCCCTCTAGCAGCGCTGCAAATGCCAGCCCATCGGTTTCGAGCGCTCGTACATCCAGCTCCTCGTCGCTCACCACCACCAGCGCACGCACAACCGCAGCCGACCCAGCTTCAAGCACGGTCGCAACCTCTTCCCCCACTTCGTCCAGCTCCCGCTTGAGTAGCTCGTCTACACCTACCAGCAGCTCTAGCACAGCGAACCCGAGCACTTCATCGGCCTCACAGTCGAGCTCGTCCTCTCCTTCCACAACAAGCACCAGCGCGGCCCTCACGACGTCGTCCAGCACTCACGCTTCGTCGACTCCAGTTCCTACCACAACCAAGCCTGCCTCCACCACATCGTCTCTCGCCTCAAGCACCTTCGCAACGTCAACCAGGACTGCCAGCTCTTCTACGTCATCCGAAGCCGCAGCTACACCTGGCTTCCCCTTCGGTGCCTTTGGAAATCCGTTCGCACACGGAGGCCACAACCCATTCGAGCACGGTTCGTTCGGTCATGGTGGCCCACCTTTTGGTGGAGATCACAGGCCAGAGCAGGGATCTGGACGACCGGGTGAGCACGAAGGCAAGGGTGGCGCCAGCAGCCAGATCAAGGGCCTTGAGAACAAGATCCAGAACCTCATCAGCTCACTTTTCGGCGGCAGGCCTCAGGGTCTCCAAGCAGGCCCAGCAGCTGGTCACGGCGGTCACTAAGTAATGCATACATGGCGATAGATAAGGGCACGGCAAATTTGTCACACCCGGGGCGTTTGTTTTATGAGCCATGTAGTTTTGTTCATCTTCTATGTAACTTGCATGGCGCGAGAAAGCGAATGTTGGCCTCTCCTTCTTGGCCTTTGTCATATGTATAGATTGACAACCATGTACAAATTCTCCTGAACTTTCCATGTCATTAGGATCATGTTGTACGTGTCCTCGCCTGGCGTGGTATCTTTCTCCCATAATCCAGCCTGACGAGACTTTGAAGCACTAATTCTCGTGAAGCGGTCCGAGCGTTAAGACGCGGGTCGCGCTCGATGAAGGCTTCGCTATGCAGCAACACCTCTCCGTTACGCAACACGCAAGACAACCTGAAGATCTCATTGTCACTGCTTGGGCGACGAGGATGGACGTCAAACCCAGCGTCTGCGTTGGAAGCCCGTGCACTGGAGAGTAAATGCACGCAAAACATGCCTCGCCTCGTCCGTCGAACGCCCCTGCTAGAACGTATGAAAGCTTACCTCGACCCATACGACCTTCTGCTGTGGTTTGCGGAGGAGCTGAATGACGATGTGTACGACGAGTGGCTGCAAGCATGGGCAACACCAATCGGCGTTGCTTTCAATATAATCTTCATCCTCGCACGCGGAGCTAGCAAGGCCGGTCAAGTTCGAAGCAGAGACGATGTGTTCGGCGAGGCAGGAAGCAGCGGATGGCTCGCCTGGTTTGTACGATTACGATCTGCTCGATGTAACTGAAAGTGTGTAGGCAACGCTAACTACCGCCAGGCCACCTTCCTTGTGCACTCGCTGACCCTGCTTTGCTGCATCAACACCCTCTTCACGTTCCTGCGAAGGCGCAACTACCGCCTTTTCGAGCAGCCGGTTGACGTTGCTCCTGCGACGCCATCCGCACACCGAGTTCGTGTAGATAGTTCACCAATGAGTTCCTCGCCGTTACGGTATCTGCGCAGCGTCATTGACTCGGTCACGTCAAGAAAACGAGGGTCTCCGGATGCCGAGCGTGAGGTCTGGGAATTGGCCCTTTGGGATCCCAAACCATTCAATCTTACACTATTCACGCTGTTCTCGCCAGGCCATCTCCTGCTTTACTGCTCGCTGTTGCCACCGGCACGCTCGGATACAAGACCGTCGGTCACGGTAGCTACAGCATTGGGATTTGGCGCCCTACTCTCACTACAGCTAATGCTGCTCAAATACTCGTTCAGCCAGCAGTCTAAAGACGCCACTCTTGTTCATGGCGAGGTCATGAACGAGTACGATACGAAGTTTGTTCGACCTTCGCTGAACAGACCGGTGCGTGATGTCGGCACCCAGACGCGCGAGAGCACTACGTCGCCACGCGGTGTGAGGACTCGCGAGGTCGACGTGTACACGCCGACCACCATCGTTAACCGTGGCTTCAGAACAAACCCGAATCCAAACTATGCCCGTCACTTTGACCCGGACAACCAAAGCGCAACTGAAGAACAGCGAACACAAAGAGCGCCCGCGGCATCCTTGCTGGCAACACCGAACAACGGTCCATATGTCAACGGCTCCGTGCAATCATCCTATTTTCGACCTAGCGCATACGCAAGCGCAAGCGACTTCTCATCGCCTTTAAAGCCGCACCATGAGCGCTCACAGCCGAGCCGAGGCGATGGAGGCAGCATGGGCATCTACAGTCATGCAGCCAGTCCAATGCGGAAGGCTGCTGACAGCAATCACTTGCGGCCCGCTACGAACGGTGCGCCTGTGAGACAAGGCAGTCCACTCAAGCGCATGAACACGCCTGGTGGTGCGCTCGGGGCGAATCGTGACAGCGCAGTTCGACGCGATACGGGGCGTTTCTAGTCGTTCGTTCCAGTCACTCCAGCGAAGCGTGCTCTTCAAAGCTGCCGCGGTGATTTATGATGTAAAGGTAGAATAGCTAGTGTACATGCCATGACTGAACTGGAAATCTGTCTCTCGTGCAGTGCCCTGGTGGCAGGCACTTATTCTATGACTCGCAAAAGAACGGGCACATTGACTCGTCCCAGCAGCGTGCCACTAACAATGTGTGTCCTGCAGATATCAAAGCATTACGCCCATATCTTGAGCGCCGTAGCTTGCAGAGGCGCATACTGGAACGTAGGCCTTGGCAGCAGTAGCACCTCTCAATAACACTTTCAGCTTCGAAGTGACGCTTCTATGATGCAGCCACCGACAAAGCCCTCATTATGCGGAGCCCACGCGCACGGTAGCAATACATCCTAGGCTCACACTCGCGTGTCAAGCTCAGCCAGCTTCCTTCGGTGTGTCATCAGTTCCACGCTGCCACAGTAGAAGCTCAAGTCAACACAACGGAGTTGACGATCTGAATGGGATTTCCAGACTGCCATAGGAGCACCGCTCATGGCATTACAGCGGGCGCCGGCGCCAGAGGATCGTATGTGTCCAGAACGGGCCCAAGCGCGAAGTGTCTGCCGCGCTTACGAGCGCCCATCCAGACAGGTATGTCATCCAGAGTGACCGGGCGGGTACTCGGTTGCTGCAGCCACAGATGACGCAAGTTTCTCACGGCGTGAAAATAACCTTGGTGATCTAGAGCTTGGATGATGCGTGTAGCGCCTGGCGTCGAAAGGAAGTCTTCATTAATGATGGCCTTTGGTGCGAGGGCGTGATGGTAAGCTGCGTCGCAAACCTTGGCGAACGCGAAGCTGGTGTGTCAAACCTTTAGATCAGTCTGCGATCCGCGATTGCTCGAAGTACTAAGAATACACACTGATAGTACTCGCGCGTGTACGAGCCTTCTGCAATCAGCTCTTAGATGTGGATGACGCCTATAACGGGCTCGAACCACGAGTAGACGCATTCATCGAAATAGGTATCTCAGAACCGCCGGACTTTCTCGACGCTCAGGTCACAGTAGTCAGTCTCCTCCGGCGGTAAGTCTGCGACGGTCTTGGCCGGCTCATCTATCCAGGGGTACCCGTCGTCGATCGCCTTCGATGGACCTCCAAGCGGGCAATCTGACGGTATGCAAATGTCATAGCGCGGGCTTCAGGAGGCCTGCGGCCGAAGCTGGGCTGATGGTGCCATTCTGATAGACTTCGATCAGAGTAGTCAAGTACGAACGAAACCCGGTTTGGTACTCTTGAAGGTTTTGACGCAGGGCAGCGAGCCACCCGAGACGCTCGGCTTGCTCCGCTTCGCTCTCGTCCGGGACAACCATTGTGAGCTTCTTGATCTCCCGCGCCTGATTGTGCAGTCGAGTAAGGTGTCCCATTTGCACACTCGACCTTCGGTCATACCTAGAGAAAACTCGTCGCTGTCCAGTGAGACAAGTCTTTACAGCTCTACTTCCTTCATGCTGCGCAACTCCTTCAGGTTCATCTTCACGTTGCCAGGACATCAATAGCGTACCTCGTCACTGACATCGAACCCGCACATGAGGATGAGTCGAATCGCCATGCCTTTCATTAAATAAGCGAAAGCGTTCATGCACGTTGTCGCTCTGAGAGCAGCTTACGTATGACCTCGAGGGTGTGGAACTCATCATGAAGCAGACTGTCGGTACTTTAATCGGAAACACCTGCCATACTTCAGGGCACTGCCGCTGCTACTTGCGAGGTAAGCTTTCTGAGATGAAGAGAAGGTAAGACAGCGCAGAAGGGAAAAACAACCCTTGTCTGAGGATCAAAGTATGGGTGAGAGATGGAACCTCTATATCCTTATGAAGATGAGCGTCGATATGGCGTCATGTGATCCTGTGATGCCTCGGTGATGACACGAACGAAGTGCGCCACAGCAAGAAGTGAATCCAGATCCATGGTGAATCCCATCTCCAAGCAGCCCCAGAGAACCTACGTGGCTGGCAACGCAAGCATACCGGCATGTGCTGGGTTCCGACAGAAGGGTTTAAGTGTTGACTTAGATGTCGATGCCGTGAAAGTTGCAGTATTACGGATATGCGGAATATGTTCCAAAGTGGCTGCCAGCCTTAATGATGGGCCGGAACTGCTTACAGCACGGCATGATGCTCTGTCAAGGATCCACTCTGCCGGGAATGCTGGCCGACTCTCCTTTGCAGCCTTGTCTCGACTTAGTAGACAATGTCGGGCGACTGACTAAGCTAGTAGAGGGCGAACGCAGGCAGAGCTTTGCTCGAGCTGTTCTTCTTCGCCACACTTGGCCACCTGCTTCGTGGGTTATCCAATCTCGAGATGCTGCAGGGAATCAACTCATCCCATACACCCTCGCGTGCCGGCAAGATATTATTCGCGGACTTCTGCTCGATCAACAATGGAGTGAACAGAACGTGGCGCGAAGACATCTTATCCGGCGTTCACATCCGGGATCTCCGACCCTTCGCGGCGCGAGCCGCTTGTCGCATTAGCTTTAAACACAATCCCATAGAGGCAGGTATATGAAGCTTGCTTGAAGCTGTATGTCTCAAGTGAAGTGATCATTCGATTGATAGTCATCTCGGGGCAGACTTGGTGATTGTTGCGCAGCTTCAACCTGAGAGGTGTCGTCTAGTTCGAATGGCGGCCATGATGCCCTCATCAGGCGGGGGCGGAGGCGCCCAATCCGCGAATCCATACGAGCACTACGACGCTCCCTCCGTGGAGGACGACTTGATAGATCCGGACGATGGTGAGCATACTGTGACCACAGGATACACAGCAAGATCTGACTGCATACGAAGCTACTCTGGACGACCTCGACGACCCAATCAATCAACCAACCTCCGACCGTGCCCCCTTAACTGGCAACATTTCCTCACATCAAGCACAGCAAAACAACCGCGCGGCCAACAACGCGCAGGGCTACCTCAACTCGGCAATACCTGGCGAAGACCGTCGAGCACCCCTCAACACACTTGATGAGTCTGTGTGGGAGACGCTACGGCGAGATTTGCTTGGGGTATGGGAGAAGATGCGGCAGGTGTTATGGCCAAAGTATCTGTTCGGTGGGTTGATGTCGCGGGACAGAGGTGAGGTTAACGGGATTGCTGGCGGCGTTGAGGCGTTGCGGGGTCTAGTAGGGAGATGGCCGGATGCGGATGTGGTGCTGCAAGGCGGTATGAGCGAAGGATTGAGAGATTGGGACCTATGGTGTGCCAAGACAGTCCAGATCAGGCGCACGCGAAGGTCACTGCTGACAACTGTTCGTGCACAGGGGCCCTCTACTGTTCTGTCTACTTCTATCGTTCCTACTCTCGCTGAACGCGCAAGACGACCAGCGGTCCCTAGTCTTCAGCGGCGTCTTCGCCACCATCTGGGTCGCAGAAGCCATCATAACCATGCAGATCAAGCTTCTGGGCGGCAACATGTACGTTTCACAGTCTGACAAGCCTGCAGTCCAGATCACTAACATCGTACAGTGGCTTCTTCCAGTCCATCTGCATTATAGGATACACCCTCTTCCCCATGGTAATCGCCTCACTGCTGTCGGCACTACACGTCCACTGGATCGTGCGAATACCGGTCTACAGTGTCCTGGGTTTGTGGTCATTGGCCGCTGGTGTCAGCATACTAGGCGGAAGCGGCGTGGTGAAAGGCCGAGTTGCCCTGGCAGTGTATCCGCTGTTCGTTTTTTATGTGGGACTTGATTGCTTGTGCTTTATCTCTTAGCGAGGCGTTGTAGTTTAGACTCTGTTGTACGAGTACGTGTGCAAGCACACTCAGCGAACGGATTCTCACAGATGCAAGGATGTTCGTGCATTGAGCGGGAATAACCTGCCGCATGCTCCACGCTCCAATGCTAATACGAAATGGCAGCTGCGATCGAAGCTGGCTATGCTGCTGTTGGGCGCATTACAACACACTACACACGACACCGCAGAACTATTCGCTAACTGAACGAGACGATGTTCTAACTTCTGGCTATCCTTTCGAACAAAGATGATATATAGCGCGCCTTTATTACTCCACAAGGTTCGCATTTCATTAGCACGCCACCCATACGTGACCGAGGCAACATCCCTACTCCAGGATGGCAAGGTAAGAAGATCTAGTGTCCTGACGCTTACTGATCGTGAGCGCACGATCGTAGAAGGAAACGCGGCAACGTGATTGGCAAGGAGCTCTTCCAGCCACATGCGATGCGGGCTCATGAGTTCTTCTCGACACGATTGGCCTGCAACTACATGGTACTGCAAGACGTTCAGCCGAGACAGGCACGTAGTTAGAGGCGTTCCGCTGGCCACTTGAGGACCCTCAGTCTGGTACCGGAGTCTGCGAAGGTCGAGACGATCAAGATTCGGTGATTCCTGAGTTGGTGTTGGATTATGGAACTGGTTGATACTGTCTTGAGAACCGATAGCGACACCGGGCCTCAAGAACTCAGCATAGTGCGTGAGAGCCCGTGATTAGCATATTCCGCAACATATATCCCATGCTTATACGAGACGACGCTCATTCCAGCGCCATGTGAGAACGGCTATTCCGGTGTTGTGCTTGTACAGTACTCTGCCGTAGGCCTGGGAATCGTTCTCCGGAGCCGGCGACATCCACGCGCCGTCCCCCTCCCTCCCGCGGACCCACTTTGTGGGAGTTCACCTCGTCGCATGTATTTGCGACCAAGGTGATCAGCGAAATATATCCCGTCATTAGGCAAGCCTCTGCGGTTCCGGACAGTGATCTAACATTGTTTGGTGCGTATGGAGGCGAGAATCACGATTGTTCGGTATTCGTCGGTGGGCTAATCTCAGCCTGATGCACTGCTCGCATGAGTGCCGCGCAAGGCTGCAGAGAGGCCGCACCAGACGGAACCCTTTCGGTACGCACCCTCAAGCCATGGCGCATAGCTTTATCAGGCCTAAGCGAGACTGGATGGTTTGTTTGCCTTGATGCTACTGACAGATAGTGGAGAGCTAACTCAAATGATCGAAGAGGCGCCAGGTTTATCTAGACCAACCACAGACGCTGTGCCTCGATGGTGACCGTTCTTTGGTGGCCGCGGCGGTACCTGGCATTGACTCACGCCGGTGCGTCGTCAACTGGGGCCTTTCCCCTCCCTTCGAAAGGCTCTATGCAGAGCCTCTTGTCCTACTTAATCCTCCCGCTTTAGCCTTACTTTACCGTGCTTGACCGGTGGAACATCCTATAGTGATCTATCCGTTCTGCAATCCTCTACCTACCTCAGGCAATCGCAATGGCTAACAGCACGCTGCTGGCGCTAATCAATGACACTCTGGTCCCTGACTCCTGGGAAGTATATTGCATCCAATCGCTGAACGACAACGGCTTTGACTGGACGAGCGGATTGGTAGACTACAATGGGAACGCCGTATCCAGTCTAACGAACCTTACATGGGGCATTACCATCGCAACTTGCTACCAGTTCTGCAAAGCGAACCATATCCCATATGTAAGTATGTTGTCTACTAGTGCATCACATAGCTGCTAACACTCCACAACAGGCTTGGAATTTCCAGTTCAATGACTTCGCGGCCTCTATGACCAACTATCTCTTCCCATGGCTTGCTTTAACGGCACAGCTACCCTTCGAAACGGGCAACGTGTTCAGCAATTTGGTAGGCTTGGGCCGTCGTATTTCTTAGTCTGCCTTGCAACTAATGTTGTTATTTTTAGATGAGCTTCTGCATGGCGCTTGGCAGCCCGGCACTTATCACCTACTCCTTGACAATCACCATCCTGAACCAGTACTGGGCCCAAGCACGCTTTCGGACTCTGCGCGATGATGCTGGGGACGAGCGAGTGGCCAGACGTTTCAGAGGCATTGCCGAGCGTATTCGTGCGGCACTCTACCTACTCCGAGAAGCACAGCAGGTGCCACTCAGGGCATCCCAGGTGGGTGGGTGGCTTGCAAGCCTTATTGTGCTTCCCAAGAACGCTGTTTGGTGGGAGCGCTTAAAGATGCGTCTGCAGGCCACACGGCGAGGCGTGACGGCATCGTTGGTTGCGCAAATGCTATTCGCGGTGACTGCATACCTTTTCACCGTAATCGCAGCGTTCAAAGCGCAGATGGGCGATCCAGAAACGGCGCTGCAAATTGCGTCCGGCAGTCTGTGGATTTGGTTGATCCCGGTCATTTCCGGATGGCTGACAGTTGGTACTCAATCGACGCATCACTCGTATGTGCCATGACTTCCACATGCTGCCATGTTACTAACGTCAGTGTGCCCTACCTCAGGATTGAAGACGCTCTGAAACAAGACCAGGCCGAACGAGGGAGGACGCCACCGTTTCTGACGGCACCAAATGGTAGTTTAACCGAGTCAGCGATTCAGAAAGGCCTCTTCGTGCTTAATGACGAGTCTTCTGGTCTCCCGCCTCAGCCAAGCCAGAATGGGACCGCTGTGGGCGACTTCACGGCTCCTGGCGTGGGTCATACGAAGCGGCTGACTTGGAATGGGTGCAATGTCGGTGGAGACGAGCAACTCAAAGGGCCGATCTACAATTATGCGCGGCTGTTCACGTGGTGTCAGCTCGCTTCGACCCTTCACAGAACTTTCACCATCGCCGTCAATAAGGTCGATCGCGGCATCGCCTGTGGAAGTCTTGACCAATATGTCGCAGGCCAGGCCCCTCCAGCATGGGACGAGCAATTACAGAACCAAGATGAGAATCTCGTTAGCGACAGTTTTGGGACTGGAAGGTACTGCGGCTTTGATCTTGACGAGAACGCAATACGCGCTTACCCCTACTGGACCGGCGACGAGGAGCATAACGGGCTCTCTGCTGCCGTCTACAAACGCATCATCGGTGCTGCATTTGCAGCGCTCTTCGTACAGTGGGGAACGACAGGTGCTTCGGTGCTTATTGCTTACAAGACGCCTACTGTGGGCATTGGGTGTCGTTCGGCGAGCTATTTGTTGTACGGTGGCCTTGGTACCGCTTGCTGGCTTTTCCTGCTAGTATCAATGCTGCTTTCTCATGCGGCTATGCTGGCGTATCAGGAGGTCCACATTCAGCACCCTTCTATCGACCTCCGTAAGCGCCAGCGTGGCCCCGGTCTCTGGCTTCTGTGCGCGCTTGCCGTCACTACGCGGTACATTGGGAAGACACTTGCGGTCGTGAATACGATCTGGCTGATCCTCAGCTCGCTTCTCGAGTTTGTCGGTGCCCTCAACAACTGTTGGTGCAAGGGCGACGCTCTCGGGTTGCACAGCAAAGGTTGGGTTGTGCTCTTCAAAAATTCGACTGACCTTGCGATTGCAGCACAAGACATCTGGGGAGGAGCTTTTGCGATGACTGTTGGTGTCTGCATTGCGTCTTACTTCCTGTTCGCGCTCACCCTCATTAAGGATGAGGATGATTAAGGCAGGCTGCCAGAATCGGTACTAACGCGAGTCGGTCAGCGATCTTTTCAGATAATGGATACAACACTCATCGATGCCTTCCGTGGCTGCAAGGGGAACCAACGTTATGATCCGACGAGACTGTTCTCAGAGGGCTGTGGGCGGGACAGCAACATAGGCTTCACAGCGCCTGCGGATCCAATTCGAGCAACGGATTAGGCATCTTGGATGATTCGATAAATCGCATTCGGTGGCCAATGAACACAGTACACATTGACAAAGTTCAAGCCTCGAAAGTGACACTTAGGCTTGCCTGCAGCTCGGCGGATGATCGATGGCGACTCGCGCACTTGAGCAGCTAACCAGTGTCCTCCTCTTTGCATCTCAAGGTATAAGTGCGAAAATGCTGCTCGACATTACGGTGAATTAACTACGCATACACTTCCGCTTGGGATAATAATGTACGTTCAGGGTGTGACACGAAGTACCCATCGATGAGCGAAGTCGTTCACGTTCGTTGGCGGCTACTATGGACATTGTCGCTCAAGCTCCACGCTGGCGTTTGACATCAGACGCAGCGTGACGATCGTGTGACACAGGTTTTTCCTCACCATCTTTAGACTGCAGATTGTGCCCGAACACTATCGCATTTGCTACGTTTCTGCGCCTGAGGCAGTGCTGGCCAACGAGATATGGTGAGGCTCAAGCCACCAGCTATGCACGAATGCGATGCCGGAAGGTCGCTTTTGCTTCCCACAGGCGGTCCAACAGCTTAGCTGCAGAAGTGATAAAACTCGGCGGGACGTAGTTGATGATTGTGTGAGCTGGTCGACTGTTTTTGGTGGTAGCGGCTATGGTTGCTGCCCAACAAATGTTGGCCGCAACGCCGGTTAGTATCGTTCAATGAGAGTCACGAAGCAGCCTCATAATCACAATGGCTATAGGCCGTTGCTGACGGTGTTCATGCCCGAAAGATTGTTCGCGTGCGCTTATATGGGGCTCTTGCAGGGACACGGCATAAGCACAGCTGGAGCCCACCTTGGACCCGTCGCTAGAGGTCAGCGTCCTTTGTCTACAAATTGATGGCGACCTGTACACGTTGCCTGCGCGAATGATGCGAACGACGCCAGGAGTCGGATGGATGCATTGCTCGCCTTGCGGCCCCTCGTCTTGCCTCGTGCTCATTGGTCGGCAACTGCCACGCGGGGGCTGGAGAGGATTGCCAACCGGAACCCATTGCAACGCTGAAAACACTCACACCGCCGCACAGAAGCATTTACTCGTTCCAACGGTTCCACCTCGTTGCTGAACGGCCTGAGCAGCAGGTGTATAGTAGTATATCACGAATTCACCTTGAACATATTGTTGAGTGATCGGTTGCATTGACTTAGGAGTTACTCCGTCTCATCGACGTAAAGGGATAGCAGCGCGTTACATTCGAGCACCGAACCAGCAGCCTGCAGTTCCGCTCCGACTCTTGTACAACGCACATTACATCGATGGCTACTCGCATGACGATCCGCCGGAAGCTCAATGCTAAGGGCTGCACACGAGCATAACCTAGCTGCAGACGCAAGATCCGACATTACAACCCACCTCGTCCCTTGAGTGGTCACTACAAGCATGCCACACCTCTTCCCATTCGCCAGTCATGGACATGAAACCCCTTCGCAAGAGATGGAGCATGATTCGCCGCATAGTCAGCCCCGACGTCGTCCATCATTGTTGAAAAACCTTGGGAGTCTCCTCAGGAGGCACCATGGAGGTGTTCATGAACCAGACATACCACAGACGGCTCCAACCGAGCAGTGTCCGTTGGAGTCATACTTTCCGCCTCCTGGTGTCCGTCGACGCAGCTTCGAGGATCAACATGCTGCGTCCCGGAAGGCGATCCCGTCTCTGCCCCGACCGCAAACTTTCCGTAGACAGGAGTCGGAACGTCGAGAGAGATTACTGGAAGTCGCGCCAACTGCCGTCGAGAAGCGAGCGTTGAGCGTCGATCGGCGACAACGAGGTATGTGCTGCGGTATGAACCATTCAATTGATGTTTGTAACTGAGTGTTCGTATAGGGTACGTTATCCGAAGTGATTGTCCTATTTGTAATCCAGCTGTCGGCATTGCTGTTCTACTCAACCGTTGAATGTACTAACAACTGGTCCACGCAGTCTCAGCGCAAGTGCTGCCCGAAGACCAAAGTCACCGCAGCCCATTCCCGTACCGTCACTGTCTGCCCAGAATGTCACTTCGCCGTCCGATCAGCTTCCGTCGGGTCTGTTACCGAATGATGCATCAGCACCCAATGAATCGCAAAGACCCTCCAGGGGTCCTCCGTTACAGCTTTCGTTGCGAATTCCTGATAGCCTAGACCCAACAATTGCAGACTTTATTGATGAACGCTCGTCCGACCACGAACTCGTGCAGGAGGAGTACGAGCGATGCTGGATCCTGAACCTCAGCATGCAGTTCCGCGACAAGTCGAGTAGAGAAAAGTTCTTCGTCACGTACGCTGAAAAGCCGAACAGATGGCGTAGGCTAACCGTGTCCTTGGATTACCGGACCGCGCCAGAAGGCTCTCTGGAAGCTGATCTAAGCAGCCTCCCTTATCAAAGAGACAAGAGCTTCCGCATTTTCGAAGCGATTCGAGAGTCATTGCCCGAGATAGAGTACTACGACACCGTCACGAATTTGAAGCTTGAGACGGCACGAGAAGACGGTCAACTGCACGTCCACGTCCGTGAAGACGCCAATGAGATCATCCAATTCCCATCGCTATCATTGTTTCAGCATATCGACGCTCCCTTGTTCCGCGACAGTCACTTAGACTTCATCGGACATCTTTCCGGCTTCGTCTACAAGGTTCTGGCTAACGATAAGGTCGTCATCAAGAAGGACATTCCTGGCCGAGACACGGTCGACGAATTCTTGTACGAGGTAAACGCTCTGGACTCTCTAACCGGATGCAAGAACGTTGTGCAACTCGAAGGCCTTGTGACGGACGACAGTGGCACTGTGGTTAAAGGTGTGTTGATTGCATATGCCTCGAACGGTGCGCTTGTAGACATGCTCTACGACTATGCCCGCAGCCCCGAGTTGCCATGGCACAGGCGCGAGAAATGGGCGAAGCAGATCGTCACTGGTCTTTCGAACATCCATGAGGCAGGCTATGTGCAAGGCGATTTCACATTGTCAAACATTGTCATTGATACCGACGATAATGCCGTCATCATCGACATCAACAGGCGGGGCTGTCCGGTAGGCTGGGAGCCACCTGAGCTCGGTCGGCTCATCGACAGCGGGCAGCGCATAAGCATGTGCATAGGGGTCAAGACTGACCTCTTCCAGCTGGGTATGGTACTCTGGGCGCTTGCGGAAGAAGTCGACGAACCGGAGCGTATCGAGCGGCCTCTACCTGCTCTCCACGAATCGACACCGGAGTACTACCAGAGGGTTGTTGACGCTTGTCTTGACGGGCGTCCGCAAGGTCGGACCAGCGCCAAAGACCTATTGCGTTTCTTCCCACCTTCTGCCGGCAGGCCTCGGTCTGTGGACTTCAACCAGCACGTGCGCCGATCGGATGATAGGATGTCGCCTCATTGCTCGGAGAAGAGATATATTGACCCGGAGATGGCGATGACGCTTGACGAGGTCCGCGGCGGCAGGATCGGCAGCACCGAAGCCGCTGCCGATATTGACGCTGGTGTCACATACCTAGAACCTGGTTCCGGTCCAGCATCTACAGGCTACCAGTTCGGAAGCTCTGGCTCATGGGTTGTTGGCCGTAGAGGCCGCTCTCCTGTCTCCAGTAAGCGGAGAAAGAGCTCGCCGTTTGGGCGCACAGCAACATCAAGCAGGACCTCGGTGTCGCCTGCATCTCCAATGCGGACTTCCAAAGACAAAGACAACAACATGGAGCACGAGCTGCCCTACCCACCTGTACTGAGGGAGGAGGATCTCCATTCTTCATTGGGGACCTTGCTTCAGTCCCGGACGCAACCACCAGCACCTTACCCAAGCGACAAACGCCTCACCAGCGTTCGGGATGATGATGTGACGACGCTCATCCACACAGACTCCGGCTTCGACGAGCAGATGATCGAAGAACTGCAAGTTGAGGATCGTGCAGCGACGGGCAGTAGACACGCGGAGCAAGCTAAAGCAGAAGTACAGCGCGATGGCAGCGCACCACGACAGCAATGACCGCATGCCGGCACACAGGACGGCAGCAGGGTGTAGCATAGTAGCATTGCATTAGCTCATGTGGCATGTGGTATTCAATGCGCCACGGATGCCGCACTCAAGTAGCATTGTCATACAGCTAGTGATCATACTAGCGAATAGCTTTGTTATTGCCTTCCTTCGTTTACTGTAAACTGGTCGCGGCTAGAAGTACAACACTGCTCGCAACATGCGCGCAGACACAGCGAAGTCGTTTCTTCTAAGCGTCATTGGAGTGTAGACCAACAGCTACGAGCCAAATTGCTCGCGCTGCCCATGGAACCTTCTTTGTTGAAGGAACACCACGCGCCTCGCTAAAAGATATTGCACTCAAAACATCGAACAACGGCATTAAGCCTTCAACCCGCCCGCCTCCTCCATTTTGATGTCGTCCTCAACAGCGGAGCCAGCGTCTGCCATCTTCGCCACCTCCGAGGAAGACGAAGGCTGCAACGGTGGCGCCACCGGTCCCGAAACGGCTGAGGCTGGCGAACTATCACGCTCCGGCTTACCAAGCATATCACTCTCTTGACCACCCTTGGCTTTACTTCGCTTCGTGTAATCGCTTAAGCTCATCTTCTTCTTTGCCGGACTAGGCGTGACGGCTGCTGCAACAGAAGGCGAGAACATGGGCAGCAGACTGGTGCCGCTGAAGGCGGCGGGAGATTGTGCAAGCGTGCCGGTGATGCTGTTGGGTGTCGTCAGGGGTTGGGAAGACACGGAGCCAGAGAGGAAAAGGTTGGTGGGCGGCGGTGGCATGTCAAGGTGCATGTTTGGCGCTTTATGATGGACTGTCTCGGTGTTTACGGGCGACGCCAACGATTCGAGTGGTGACTTTGGTGGCCATGCGGATGGCTCGTTCGGCAGTGGTGGAGCTGTGCTCTCGATCGCGTGCTGCAACTCCTCCGTCTCGGCATGAGCTAAGTGACCTTGTGGTAGTGCTGTCGGCGCATGGTCCGATGGTGCTGGAGGAGCGTCGGACATCTGCACATCCTCCGAAGGAAGCTCTTCCAGCGCAGGTACGGTAGAAACGCCGCGAGAATCGGCCCGAAGCTTTGCGGTGAAGGTCATGTCCTCCATCGAAGCATCTGGTGACATTGTCAAGTCGGATCGCGTTGGAGCCATAACTGTAGCTGCTAGCCGATCACCGACTTCTGTAGGGCGAATAGCTTTGCGCTTCACATCGTCTGCCAAACATTGTCGCAGCAAAAACTGCGATGCTGAGACATACTTCTTACGAGGCAACGATGCCCGCTGGACAGCGCGCTGCTGAGCCTCTTCCTCATCCATATTGCATTGCGTCTCGCTCTCAACATATAGCGGTTTCTGCCTCTTCACATTTTTGATGGCGGACTTGACCGGCGTCTTATTTGTGGAAGCGCGGGGACGTTTACCATTGACAGACTTCGCGGAGATCAAGGCAGGTTGCTGCGGTGTGCCTGCGTCCGCAGTCCGAGGTGGCAAAGCATGAAGTCCAAGTTGTTTTGAAGAAGTCACGCTCGGGGTAGTGACGTTTGAGCCTGCACTGTTGCGCTTCTTCTTGCCGATTTTGCCGCTCTTCTCTTCTTCTTGCCGCCTGAACATCTCCTCTTCTTTAGCCAGCTTCTTCCGCTCTCTCTCTGAGATCTTTGGCTCCAAGGTGAGTGAACCGTTGGCAGAGTAGTAGGTGTTGGGCGTGTTGTCACGGCTTGCGGACGCTCTATCGACAGACTCAGATACAGATCGCGAGTCCACAATATCTTCGTCTGGACCAACTTTGCGTGCTTCGCTGCCAGATCGGCTGTTGACGCTGTGGGTGTTGAGCGGCGAGATATGTTGGCCAAGTCGTTTCTTCTTCAATTTGGATGCTTTGACAGGCTGCGGCACATCGTCTTGCTCTTCCAGCATCCGTCTCCGGTCGAAGCGTGACATGGCGCAATCAGGGTAAGACCGCTGACAAGCACACGGCCCACAGTTCGACAAAACACTCGAGACCCAATCCCGCAACTCATCCATGTTAATATCATCGATGGACTCCACCGAGCGTGGTATGGTGCTATCCCGTTGCCTGTGCATCTCGGCTGTGTCCCAGCCAATAGATATCTCCGTACCAGATTCAATGAGCGTAGAGGCCATGAAGCAGAAATGGTAGTCAGTGCCCTTTGTTACCAATACCTGTAACCGTGCATTGGGTTGGCAACTGCGCCGCACGAAGCGGAGATCGGTGCCTTCATGACGAGCATCGATGTATATTGGAAGTGACGGATGGAAAAACACGAAGGGTTCAGGGTGTCGCACTTTCGACCATCGATTGACTGGGTCGCGTTTGTATTCATCCTTCAGTCCTATGCGGCCACGGAGTTCGCCGATATAAGCGCCAGCATGCAGAGCGTCGTGGCTGATGACTGCTTTCCAAGAAGGATTGTTGCCTTCGCTATCGGTGCAGGTGATGTCCGGCTGCTCAACCACCTCTATTTGCGGCTTGCCCGGTATGTCGTCCGGCGTTCCCTTGTCCCATCTGTTAAGCACATTACCCTTCTCAACCTGGATTTCATCGTAGAAGTCCTCGTTCGACAGCTGTAGCCAGCGCGATAGATGATTGGTGACTTGGAGCGCGTCCATCACATTCGCTTCGCTGTACGTCCAGTCGTCTTCCTGATGGGATCGAAGAAACTCCTCGGAATACATAGCCGTCGGACTGTCAGGTGATTGAGATATGCTGCGATGGTGCATGTTGCTGAGGTTACGCTTACGAGGATTGCCTTTAACCGGCGCAAAGGCGTTTGAATCCGAGGTACGGTGACTTGTCTTGGGCCGTTTGGCAGGTGGGGGCTGGTCGCGAGGACTGGCACTGTTGCGATCATGCCTGACCTTGTCCACTGGCCAGCCATTGGTGTAAGGTGCGCTTGGCGACTCTTTCACCTTCTTCTTGTGACTCTTCGCTGGTGGCCGCTTTACGCCGTTGTATGATAGTTGATGGTGCTCGCGTACAGTCCTTTGACGCCCATGCGCGGCGTGCGCATCAACGGGGCGTGGACGGCATTCGACGCAGAAATGTTGGAGGTCAGCAGGTAAGCCTTGACCCTCATATTCCGGGTAGTAGCATATGATGTGTTGCCATCTGCTGCAAACGTCGCACGCGACAGTGTTTCCATCATCGTCACCGAAGCCACAAAAGCAGCTTATCTCACCATCGTCCTCTTGCGCAGTGTCGACTGACGGCGCGCCATGGTGCAGTCGGTCGAGGTGGGCCTGGTGGTTGGCATGCGCTGCGTGCAAGCCGATGTGACCGGTGATAGCCGTTACAGGATAGAACGACTCGGTCATGCTATCACGCCTGTGATAGTATGCTTCGAGGGTGGATTTAGGTGACAGGCGATCCGTCCGGCCTGCGTCGCATGGCGGATATGCCACGTTCTGCCGTGGGTGGTCGGTCAAGGACACCTTCCCGCCGACCTTGGAAGACCTCTAGACTGGGTTCGTGGACTGTCGCTCTCAAACGCCGAACAAAGAAGGCTCTGCAGCGGCAAGTCAGAAGCGGCCAACGCGCGAGGTGAGCCGCCAACAACGCGGTATTCGCATGTGACGATCCCACCGACTCTATGGGACGTATTACGAAGCGTACCGGAAGAGCATATGAGGGTGTGCTGGGGTCCTTGCGGCTGATGAGTGACCCAAACGGCGACCGGGCAGGCTGAAGCGTCTCTGGAATGCGAATCAAGCGGTGCCGCGCCGGGATCAGTGACCTGAATGAATCGCTACCAGGTAAGCGGTCGATGAGGAGTGTTCTGGTGCAGTCAGTGTGGCAGTACGGGTGGGTGTGGGTGGGTGATTGAGGGGACAGGAAAGACTGCAAGAGGAGAGACTCCGAGTAGAGAGTTGCCAAGATTGCCGCACGGGCCCGGGCAACAGCCAGCCAATAAGCTCGCACAACATTTGGGAGCGCTCGCCGCCGCCGCTCACCTACAGGCCTACCTCCGGAGCATCATTCACCGAACGACCTCTTCCACGTGACGCAGTCCGACAATGTCGTACCGAGCCACTGCCGAGGCGAGAGGTGAAGAAACACATCGTCTTTTGACCAAAGCGTTCATCTTGTGGGAAACCAGAGGTCTGATGAGGTCAGTTGCGAAAGAGCGACTTGCATGATAAGGAAGTCAACGGCGGGGTGGGAGAAACTTGTCGCACCAAGTCAAGCGCCAGACCTGGAAAGGTAAGGTGTGGATGCGACTGGCTCATGTAGCGAATGAGAAGCTCGAGTTGATATGGTTAGCGTGGGTGGTGCTTGCGGAGTGGGCACACGTTTGCGTGACCGCTTTGAACACCCGGATGAAGTCTCGTGACTTAATGGAGTGTGCTTAACAAGCACGCTTAATCTGGCGGTCGAACGAAACGTTGTAGTGTCAAGTTTTAAGTGGAAAGTCGATGTCCAGCCGGACAGTGACCAGGCGCTGGACCAGTGCAGTGCGAGGGTGAAGAGGTTTGCAAGTCCAGCAGGCGAAATGGAAAACACGACCCGCGACCTCACACTTCTACTCCAAGAGCTTGTTGTGCAACAGTCAGCAAGCGTAGAACTTGGGTCTAGCATGCTGTATTCGGCCGTTGATGCGTTGCCTCTTGTGCATGTAGCGTTGACCGTGTCTCTCGTCCGCCACACGTAGGCGGCGTTGGGGAACTTCCGCCAGAGTCCAGTGTTCGCAGTTCATTGCTGTTCCCTAGACTCTTCGTCACTAACTGAGAAACCGATCAGCACTCCCTAAACGGCCGGCTAATCATACCCCGCCAGGACGGAAGGCGTAGATTCACTAGCCTGGTTACTCCGCACTCTTCGGCATTTTTGCATGCTTGGTGACGAAGGGTGGACCTCACGTCCAACTCACTACGCCAACCGCAGACCGCTCGACACGACCTCTTAAGCTTTTGCCCTCCGCGTTTGAAATGGCTAAACGGAGAGTGCCTGCATGGAGCCCATGTGGCCGTCGGCTAGTCAGGAACCAGATGGGTACTTGTAGAAGATCATCGCCTTCCGCATGCAGTCGGTAGGTGTCAGTCCTTCTCGTCTCGTTGCTGCCTGTCTTAATCGTAGCTCTGAAACGCTTCTCAACGGCGATCATGGCCACCCGTAACATTCTTAGCCTTCTCGCATTGTCGAGCACCGTTATTGCCCTCCCTCCCGCAGGACCTTGGCAGCATGGACAGCATGGACCGCCTGGACCGCCGGGACCGCCTGGACCTCCATCTTGGCCAGGTTCATGGCCAGAGCAGTCATGGCAGTCGGGCTTCACATCCACTGGCACAACAGCAGCATCGTCCTCTCCAGCAGGTACTACGACAGTAGCGTCATCCTCTCCAGCAGGTCCTATCACGACGAAAGCAGCTTCGCCAACTGTGAGCTCCACGACGCCAGCATCTTCTCCGACCAGGAGTGCGGGAAGCTCAAACGGATCGATTGCAAGCCCAGGAACCGTTGGAAGCGACCTCACCATCATCACGCACAATGACCTGTATGGTGAGTCCGGAAAATCTTGCAGACTCAGTTGTAGAATGGATAGACGTGATGTTCAGCTCCCTTGGTCGTACCTTCCTCGTTCGGCCGTCGGACGACCGCACCTCACATAATTCGATCAAATTCACTTAAGATGCATATCGAACATCAACTGAAAAACCTCACTAGGCAATATGTCCGCTCGCACCGATGCGGCCATCGTGTTGTCCACACCAATGACCGAAGCGCAGGCCCAAGCCGCTTGCGCAGCACTCAACGAACAGCTCTGGTCCCCTACACTAAGCAACGGTAGCTTTCTGAACTACCTAGCATTCGAAGGCAAGAACGGACCCTATTGGATCGCCGGCCAACAGGGGGTAGACTGCAGAGACATCACCGCTACCGGAGTTCAAGGCCTTTCTTCTTGTCTGAACCTACTACCGGCTTTGTGCACGCAGAGCGCACCTCTAGCTAACCTTAGCTACGCCGACAATGCCACTACATGGCAGACCACGGTGAGCACAGGACAGCAGACCTTGACCGGCTTTCGCGATAAGTTTAGCTTCCGCTTTGAGGGCGTGCGGTACGCTGCGGAGCCCCAGAGGTGGACCTACAGTACCGTGTACAACGGGACCGGCCACTCGAATGCTCTGGCGTTCGGTCCTCAGTGCTTGCAGGGTCATGTTAGCGGTTCGACCGACTGCCTCTTCCTCAATATTTGGACTCCCTATCTGCCGAATGGCGTTCCACAGACGAGCCAGCTTAAGCCCGTTATGTTCTGGATACACGGTGCGTTGCCATTACACAATCCTTGCAAATGCGCATGTACTGATACGCGATGTTCTCAGGTGGTGCTTTCACCAGCGGTACTGGCAGTGATCCCACCTTCGACGGTGGTGCACTAGCGAGCAGAGGCGACGTCGTGCTCGTCACAATCAATTACCGACTCGGAACTCTTGGCTTCCTCGCTTTAAACGATGGTGTCACGAATGGCAACTACGGGCTCGCTGATCAGATTACGGCGCTGGATTGGGTGCATCAGAACATCGCAAACTTCGGTGGCGGTCAGTATCCCGGCCCTGTTTTATGCAGACTTTTCAAGCTGACATACCTATGTGTAGATCCGAATAAGATCACTATCTTCGGTCAGTCCGCCGGCGCAGCATCCGTACGAGCACTGCTTGCCAGCCCACGAGCGATTGACAAGTACGCTGCTGCCATCCCGCAAAGCAATCTAGCAGGCAGCAACTATGCCACCACCTACTCGCAGTACTACACTATCCCGCAAGAAGTCGCCGCTGCCGCCAATCCCATTTTAAACGCCACAGGATGCCTCAACGCGACCTCGCAAGTAGCCTGCCTACGCAATGTGAGCCCAGCCGTTTTGGCCAATCTCACCATGATCGCCCGCTTCCTTGTAGTAGACGGCACCTACCTCGTCACCGACGAGCTCGAGGTCAGCGGCCAAGGCCCCGCCGCCAACGTGCCCGTCCTCATGGGCTTCATGCGCGATGATGGCGCAGCATTTATCACCTACCCCACCGCCAATCAAACCGTCTCCACCTTCCTGACGGCCAACGCATTCAACCTCAGCACCATCAGCACGCTGTCCGTCTTTCCCGAACCCAACAGCGCAAACACAACACTAAACGTTTTCAACACCACGGCCTTGATCGCCACGGACTCCGAGTTCCGCTGCCTCGACGAAGCAACAGCCTACTCAGCCGTCCTGCACAACGTCTTCCCGGAAGTCTACTTCTACGAGTTCAACCGCTCGTACCAACTCAGCTTCTACAGCCCCAACCCGCCTGTCTGCCAACCACCCGTCACAGCCGCATTCCCATACGGAGATCCTAGCGGCGAGTACTTCAAGTGCCACTCCGGCGAGCTCTACTACGTCTTCGGCACGGTCATCTTTAACGGCTTGCCGCCACGAGACCAGAACGACATACCAATGTCACAGTTTACGGTGGATACATGGAGTGCCTTCGCACGTACATTCAACCCGAACCCGGACCTTGGGTACTTGCAGGCTCGTGGTTTTACCAATACGACGAGCGAGATACAACGCGCGGGCACGACATGGGCGCCGGTGACGAATGGTAGTCTGACGTTGAGGTTGATGCAGTATCCGAGCGTGCAGGCGCCGTTTGGCATCTACGATGGACAAGATCAATGTCAGGCTTTGGGCTTCCCAATCAATTATTGGGAGAGTCACTTTTGATATGCTCGACGGAGAGTGGCTAGGTGATTGAAGATGTACGTAGGTGGAAGTTTAGATCGTACAGATGGTCAATCAATGTCGTACCCCGACATCATGCTGCGCATACAGTTCGATCGGACGCAAACTGCGCATGTGAAGAGCATACTGCGTCTCCGACACAACTTACCGCCATTGCTGACTAGAGCTGCGGTGCTCATCAACGCCCAAGCTCTCAAATTCCATGTCCCATATGTCAACCTCTGCAAACTTTCGCTTGGCTTCTTCCAGCTCGATACTCTGCACGACATCATGCATGGAGACTTCCGGCAAATCAGTAGCCTCTTCTCCATCAACATCTTCGAAGTCTTTGCCGTCATTCTCTTTGTTTGAAGCCAGGCGAACAGCCTTACCGTACGTTTTGGCCGATCTGTGTGCTGACTGAGTAGTTGCAGACTTGCGCGGTCGCTGCGATGCTTTACCACGACGTTCTTTTGCTTTGATGCAAGGGTTGCTTTCCCGGCTTTCGGCTGTGACACCGGCAACATTGCGCCGCCCTGACTTCGCACGAGGCGTAGCAGCGTCGTTACGACGTTCGAGCTCCGCCGCATCCTCGTTACCCGAATCAGAGCCAAAGTCATACTCGGATTGTCGGTGTCTGGCTCTTGGCGGCTGTCTTCGTTTAGGCAGCAGAGACTGCAACGTAGCAGTAGGTATTGGCTTCGGCTTATCTGCTTTCGATTTCTGCTTGACCGGCTGTGGCGAGAGCTGGGTTACGGGATCCGCAAATTCCTCACTATCGTGCGGTGCAGGCGCTACTTCCAAGGGCGCGGGACTGCTGCTAGTAGGGTCCATCGCCGTCTCGTTGCCTGTATCTTGTAGCACATCGGTTGGCAGGTCCTTGCTGGGTGATTCTGCAGGATTGGTACCCTGCTGCGCCGTAGAAGGCACGATGTAATCCCCGTCTGGGAGGACGGTGTCATTATTGACCAGTGCAGACCCATGAAGTGGATGCGTGGACTGCGATGAACTTATCACCAGCACGTCTTCGGACGTTGCCCGAGCTGCCCGAGGACTATGTGAACACGTGACGCTTGGAGGCCGTCTCATCTCGCCAGCATCGAGTTCACCGTCAGGCGATATTTCACGCTCTAGGGCATGGTCTGGAACGCTTGAGTTCTTCCGCTTAGCCTGAGAAGGGGGTAACGCAGTCGGCTCTTCAGACACATCTGCCGACTTTCGCTTCTTGGACGGTGGCTGAGCGTTCGTTGAACGTTGATTTAACGCTGACCTGGAGGATGCACTCTCTCCCAATCTGCGCTTAGCCTGGCGGAGGTGCTGAGGCGTGCCTTCTGCCTCTGGTGCAAAGTCATCTTCATCCGGATTGCTGTCTTCCAAGTCGTATACGCTTGCATCATAGTCGGCTCTAGCATTCGCAACAGAAGGTCGCGCATCTGCTGTCCGCTGCTGCACCATAGTCAACATGCTGGGTTGCCTAGGTCTCCGCTTGAACTTTCTCAGTACACACGTGTCCATTGCCGGCGTACTCTGTGGTCGTAGCAAAGATGTCGGCGCCACGGACGATGAGCGTTTGGTGGTTGAGGAAAGCTTGCCAGAAGGTGGCGGAGAAGGAGATAAGTCATATCCAGAGCGCTCGAGGGCTGACGCTGAAGTCTGCTCAGGCACCGCAGGCGTTCGCGCGGCAATGGCCAGTGCCGACACTGAAGGGTTGAGAATGCGCTTCGCGGGCAATCGATCCTTCTTGCCGGCTTCCTTTCGCGCCGTCTCCTCCATCCGGCGCTTGAGGCTTTCCAGGACTGTACTCTGGGCTTCACTCCGCAGTGGCTTGCGCGTCATGCGCGGCGGCCTTTTGTTTGCGACTGCATTAGGAAGCGGAGGTGGATCGCTCTTGGCCATCTCGTCTGTGGTCATGAGAGCTGTCTCGCCGGCCGACGCTGTGTCCCGCTGACCTAACCCGCCTGCCATAACGGGCGCATCTTCATGCTTACGCGATCGGCCTCTGCGCACTTTACTATTCTTCACTAAGCCCTCCGTGTTTCCGTCATTGTCGTAGACTGGCGCTTTCGCGCACTCGATATTCGTCTTCTCCCTCAACGCAGGCCGCTCATGCTGCGCCTCTGTACCGACTGAACGATGTGCGATCGGCGCACTACGCAGTCTTGCCATCTCGCACCGATTGCGCTCAGCTTATCACCTATGGCTAGTTGATGTTGTGACGTCCCCCGGTCCCGGCGCGTCTCGAGAGCGCGTTGTTTGAGGCGGAACCGTTCCGTACACACCACCACCAAATCGAGTTACGTATGTCACCTGCAGCAAACACAAGCCTTCGATGGCAAATCCAAGCATGACCAATAGGTAAAGGCGGCGCCCATCGATGGCGAGCAATCGTGAGTTCTCAATCGTGATACATACTAGACACTATGGGCAGGGGGTTATCTCGAAGCATCGCAGCCAACCAAGCCCCGGCATCCCGCTCCTACAATCCTCCGTCCATAAGCCAACCATCCTGCGCGGCTGACAGACGCGTCTCAGCATTGCCTCATCCTGGCAAAATCCCCAATCAACCCAGTATAAAGCAAATGTCGCGCGTCACTGTACCCCAAGGAGATCTAAGGAACTTGAGCGATATAAGCCCATGAAACAGCACATCCTGCCTCCACAAACTCCAGAATGACACGCTGTAGATGGTTTGTTGCTTGTTAACGAGTCGGTCCAGAAACGCCGTCGACATGCTGATCAAACAGATTTGGCAGTACGCCCAGGAGAGAGCGTGTTGAGCACATCCGTGCTGAGTGGATTTATTGCGAAGCAAAGCAAGATGGATGCTGACCAGGAGCACGATGCTTTTGCTGATGCCGCGTGGCGCCGTTCTGTTGCGAAACCAAGATGCTGCTGACGTTGGGGCGACTTGCGGTGATACTGTACAGAAATCACAGCAAAAGAAGATGACGATGACAAATACCCGCTAGATGCCGGACCGGGAGAATCCACGAGGCGTTTGGGTGGGACTGAAAGGATAACATCATTATTTCCCACGGAGGACTCTGATGCTGCTGCTGTTTGCTGAGAGCCTCATAGGCACTAAGCAGCCGAATCATGCGACGTGGCCACCGAACGCGCCGCTTGATTTCTTCCCGCGGATGGGCATCTCAAGCGTAGCACCCTTGGGAATGCCTTGGACAAGCGCCTGGCTGCACGACTTGGCTGAGGGTGTCATGGGAGGTGATAGCAGTCCTGCGGGCTGGCGGTGACCCGCTCGGCTGCTTGACTTAGAGGAGGAAGCGCGTCGGGAGAACGGTGGGGTTGGCAGACCAGCGATGTAACTGACGCCGCGAGAAACAGGACTACTGGCAAAGTAGCCCGAACCGTGCGGTGACTGCTCCCGCGCGTGCGACAACGAGTTCGACAAAGGGTTGCGCAAGCGGGGATCGATCATGTCCGGGTTGAAAGACCCGTACGGCGTAAGAAGCTGATACTCTGTGTAAGACCATGCTTTGGCAGGCGTGCTGGGCCCTGCTGAGACTGGAGCAGATGCCAGGAGTTCAGGCCCTTGACGATAAGAGGTTGAAGGGTGTTGCGAAGGACCCGCAAGCGGTGCCGGTGATGGCGGCGTCAGGGCGGCGCTCGTCTCAAGTCTCGGTCTAACCACTCGCTGGCCAGAAGCACGCCTCGTCACAAGCTGCACTGGCGGCTCAAGGCTCGGCTGAAGTGTCGCTTGAGCCCCTCGCTGGACTATCTGTTGAGCCGTTGGTTGGAGCGTCCCTTGGCCGCTGGAAGGTCCCGCTGGGCATGTGCTCTGACGGAGCGCATTCTGCACGGCGTGCTGAACCGACTGCTGGAGGGCAACTTGCCGTGCCGCATGTTGCTGGCTTTGGTGGCCGGGAGCATGTTGCGGTTCCGGTGCCGGCGTGACGGCCACCGTTGTGGCCTGCGGAGGCACTCGCCTGCAACTCTCCTTCGAGAGCACCACTTCTGCGCCAGGATGCCTCTTTGCCATATGCCTACCGGGACCGACCAGATTCTCATACTTGGTCACCTCGTCGGAGCATACTGGACACTGGTAGGTGACACCCAGATGGCTGGCCTCTCGGTGCGTTACCAGATGGCTCAAATGACGGGTTGAGAAGTGGCACTCGGGCCAGCCACAGCGTTTGTACTTATCAATCTGATGCTGGCGCTGGTGCTTGTTCAGGTCGCCCGGCCGTGTGAAGTGCTGGACGTTGGTGCATCCTTCAACTGCACAGCTCCACGAGCCGTCGCTATTCTGGATGCGCAATGTAGAAGACTCACCCACGGCCCCCTCAACTTCTTCGGCGTCTTGCTGGGCCACAGCAACGCGCTGCGTCTCGGCGACTGTTGTTGGAATGGCCGGGTTGTCGGGCAAGACCGGGCCAGAATGGGCATCACCATGACCGCCATTGCCGATACGTTCAATGCCGTGAATGACAATGGGCGCTGGAATCTGGCCCGTCTCAGCTTGGCACGTTATTGGAGCACGCATTCCTAGCACGCCGGCTTCCCAGTCTGCCATCCGCAACGTCACATTGGTGGTTTGTGATGGTTGAGCAAGCCCGTCTGGAAGAGGCTCGAATATTGCATGGATATCTGGGTCGGGTAATATGAAAACCGGATAAGGCGCGGTCTCCACGGGCATGCCGTTGTGACCTCCGTGGATGTCATCTTCAGGACGCGGATTGTGCCCCTCTATCCAAGCGAGCACTGGCTCTCCTGGATCTATGCCCATGGGACGGTGCTCGCCCATCTCCGTCAGAGCATCTTCCTCGAGTAAGGCGGGCATAGTCGGTACATGGGGTATGGCTGGCGCTGCGACATAGCCGAGAGGTGGGTTGAGGGTGGGAGGAGCTGCAATCATAGGCGGCGGATGTCCGCCCAGCTGGCCAGGAACACCGCCGTGCCATGACTGGGGATGTGTTAGCAGGCGCAAACAATGGTAGCCAGAGAGTGTCTTACTTACGGTAACGCTGGTGCCGTCGTGGAGGTACTCCCTTGAGAACTGATCCACATCGAAGTCTGACTCCTCGCTTCCACTCAAGTCACGATCGCTAATGCGTCTCTTCTCCCCAGCCCGCGTAGCGGGCATGGTGAGTCAATGCGAAGGCGAACAGAATATGCGGACAACAACGAGGCAATGAATGAGTGCCTGAACAATGTCTGGGACAAAACACTTGCAGGATGCCGACCAAAGAGCGGCCAGTCGCAGAGAGTCTCGGGTGAGGGCAGACAAGTACAATAAACACTAACACATCGTGATGTACAATGGAGTCTAAAGATGCTTCGTTGACTGGAGACTGGATAGAATGGAGAATGGTTGTTTGCAAATACCGTTTGATCTTTCATGTTCGGCCTGAGAACAGCTGCACCCCTAGTACGCTGTCTCTCCCTGTGACGCGCCAAGTCAGTCGGGTCACATGTGTGTTGCCTAAATCGTCGGCATGGCTCGGGTGGATGATGCGGGAGCACTTCGGGTGGAAATAACATCGAAATGGTTCTGCCTCCATAGCGAACAAGCTGAGCATGGTAGAGAACAGCAAAGAACACATACAGCTTTGCAGTGAAGTACAGAACAAAGAAACAGCATTTCAAGGCATGCGGGGCCGACTGTCTTCTTAGGAGCGCACCCCTGACTATCGGGCAAAAGCTGTGGCTAGGAGAGGCTTGTCACCATTGGCCTTTGCATGCAGCCATTGCCGTTGCCGGAATGATGTCCGGTCGTTAACCGCTGCGAATGTGTGATGATCACGTTCGTTTCGAGGTATGACCGACATGAGGTTGACCAATGTCATGCAGGTGCTGTTGCATTTTCTGTCCCAGCGTGTTCGGTATGTTGCGGTAGCCTTGGCAGAGCATTGGACCTTCACATCGATGCCGTTGGACAGTGCCTGCTGCAAGTATACATTCTTCGCCAATGGAAAGGTGATATTCGCATCGATTTGCGTCGCCTTACAAGCATTCATCGACTGATAGCACCTGGTAACAACCTGCACGAGCTTCGTCGGCCTCGTTCCAATTCCGAGACTCGCAGCAGTGTTCGTTATGCCAAAACCCATCTTCCGGTTTCACATTGTCAATGAGATCTAGGCTAGGTCTACACCGTTTTCACGAGGAGTCGGAGGAATAGACTATCCTGGCCGCTTAGCTGGGTAGCAGCAATGGATGTCGTAAGGCAGCCATGGCAGCTTACAGTGCGTACTGCGCTATCAGTAGATGCAGCTCCTATGCAGCTCTTCAGCTTGAGACCAATGGGCAGAGAAGGCTTAACGTGAGCAGCTATGGTAGTATGCATAGAGCTGCAGATTGCAGGCGGCAAGGTTGATCGTTGTCAACTGACTCGCATTAAGTTCGAATATACACGCAATGAATGCGAAACCGCACCCCCACTTGATCCACTCCAATGTAAGCGGTCCCTGGAACGGTATTCGTGATTGTTCCAGCTTGGCCGAGCTTGGGGTGAAAGCGTTGACCGACGCTGCTAGGTAGGCTACAGGCGACACTATCTGGTCCTCAGTGTAAAAGCTGCGGTCCTCTCTGGAATTGGGTGTTGCTTTCTGTAACACTAAGCGCTAGCAATCCTAAGGCAGGTCGGAGCATCCTATGCCAATGATCTAGCGATGAATCTAAACTAATGCACCGGACTGATTGGAGGCCTCACAGTCAGATTGGTGCCCGCCGTCATGGCACCCTTGTGTTGAGCGAGTGAATATAAACATAAAGGGTTATCACACTTCACCCTCAGCCCTTTTCCAGACTTTGTCAGAACGCTGCGCTGCAGCGCTGTCGGTGACAGATCATGAATGACAGTGACGCTGCATTCCGTGGATCGGACTAGGCGCCGATGCCAATACATGCTCCCTCGGGCGATGCGGCAACGACAGCTTGGCGGCGCCGTGATGACTTTCCACAGCATTGCTGGTGCGCCTTGACGAGGCGGCCGAGTCTGGCGGCGTGGGCGGCAGCCCTGGCCTTGCCGCTGCGACTTGACTGTACAGCTGGTCTTTCGTCGACGCTCGCGACAATGGTGGCGTCTCCAGAGCGCGTGAAAGACGTTCCGCCGCATGTGAGGATGCACCGAAGCTGTTTCGCACAAACGACCGGTTAGGAGTGGACAATGATGAAGTACGACGTGAGGATGGAGGCGTGACGAGACCGACTGGCGTTCGAACGGCAGCACCTGGGCTTTGATGTTGACCTGAGGAAGGCGTCGACTCGAAGGTGGTTGGTCTCTTCGAAGCCTGCCATTGGGAGAGTCTGGCAAGCTCTGGACCCACAGTCGCCAACGACTGCTGCTGTGCTGGAGTTCCTGAACTCGCTGATGCCTGCCCTGCACTGGTGACCCTTGGGAGTATGCTCTGAGACAATGTCGGTGATGCCGCCGCTTGTACGACTGCCGAAGGTTGCAGTGCGGAGGGTGCTGGACGCGCCTTTCTTGGTTTTCTGGTGGGCGTCGACACAGGCGGATCCATACCTGCTAAGCGCCATGCGGGTGGCTGGGAAGCTTGCTCTTGGCTGGGAATATCCTCGTTAGGATGTTGTGTGTTCACATGGCGCTTGTTCCCGACCAGATTGTCGTACCGATTCACCGTCGTCCAGCAGTATGGGCAATAGAAGACAAGGCGGTCACGATGAGCTCGATCTTTATGCTTCTCCATATGTGAGTTCCAAAGCTCGCGCTCAGTGCAGAGCGTACCATCCTTGCGAAGTTCGCCGCAGGTAAAAGGCCACAGGTCTTTCGGTATGTGGTATCGCTGATGCTTCCTAGTACGCAAATGTCAGCACTATGCCTGCAAGATCGACGCCGAAGACAGTAGACGTACTGAATCTCGTTTTCGGAGTGTTCCCCAAAGTGGTGACCTTTTTTGTTAAACCTGCCGTATACGCGGTTGCATCCTACTACGTCGCAGAACCACCAGCCATCTTGGTGACGCCTTGGAAATCTTTTCGCATACTCGAGGGGATTAAGTTTGGGTCCTGTCAGGCTTGCTGGAGTATCTGAAGGTTCCATCGACGCTCGCAAGCTCGCCTGGCTAGGCGTTGGCGGGCCCATCACGGAAAGGGTGGAAGGTAGTATACGCTGGCTGGGGCGGAGCGATTTCGCAAGCCGAGGTGCAGTTGTGTCGTTTATGTTTCTAAAGCTGGCCGACGCCGGTGAGGACGGCACCATGTTCACCGATGAGCCCATGCCACCCGGCGCGTGTCGTTGCTCTACACGGCGACTACTCCCTGGGCGCAGGCTGCCCAACACCGCGTAGACACTGTCGATCTCGTGTTGTGGACGCGGACCTTGCTGATGCGCGCCATCCAATGTCGCAGACGGCGACACCTCGATCTTTTCACCACTACCACATCCGATGGAAGCGAAAGGATTCGTGCAACCGGAGATCTGGTCAGTGCTGGCGGGATGGTTGGTGATAACCATGGGAGCAGGGCTGGGTGACATCATGCCAACACCATTGTCGGCCTGCAATCGGTCATGGTCAGCGAGCTTGCTCAACACTAACATTCGGGAGTTGGGACGCATTACAGCTTGCATGGTCGACGTATCGAAGAATGTCTGCTGCGTGTTGTCGGTGTACAACGTCACCAGAAATATGGTGTCTTCATGCTGGAATGTCCTCAAGCCCGTCCAGACGGCATATCCATACCAATCTTTAAGCCGAATCAGCTCCCCCTCGGAGGTTGCGTCGTAGCCATAGTACAGGACCATGGGCATGTATTCTGCAGGACAATTGAGGTCATCTTGTCGCGCAGGCAGGGGAGTGGTGTAAATCCTGCTACCGGGTAGGCGGGCAGAATGGAATGGAGCTTGCAAGCGGCGGTCGCCAGGGCTTGTGTGGTGAGCTTGCGATCGGATGTAGTCTTCCTCGCCGTCTTCACACACCCTCTCGCGCTTGCCGTTGTTGTTAATGTTGGCCGCCATAGTGAGCGTTAGGAGCTAGGGCATGCGCGAGGGAAAAATGTTCGCTTGGTAGCAGATCGTAAGCTCAACGTTGATAACGCTTAAGCCGAGGCTCAAGTGGAAGCACAGCACAGCGCAGTACAAAGGATGACAACAACCCTGGCAAGGTGAGATGTAGTAGCTGAGGCAAGCGCAGGACTGTTGGTATGGGATATGACTGTGAGGAGGACAAATAGTAGACAGGGAGACTGGAGTTGCTCTGTTGATGTACTACTCGGAGCAGTAAAGATGGGCGGCATGCTACCAGGAAAGCGAGTTTCGTTCTACCGGACCCTGCCGACTCCGGGGCGCCAATCATTGTCTGGCGGAGCTGCTAGCGGGCGACCGCAGCGTCCAGCCATAAAGCTTGGCGACGCCGAATGACGCAGGGCCCCTGGTGTTCGCCGTTGCAAAGCACCATCACGTCGGTGGTGCGAACAGCTGAGGGCATTGCGTAGGTGAACAGTCCGAGATGCTGGCCGAGCTTTCGGATGATGACGGTGTCGCGTCATTTGATAGCAGAGAGCGACAGCGACTTGTCGTCGAAAGAAGTGAGATGCGAGACGGAGTGAGAGGACAGAAAGTGATAGAGAGTCGGGCGCGATTGACGACTATAAGAAGGTGTTGATAACAACGGCAATGAACGTGATTTTATCGTCATGGCAACACATGCACCATGTATCCTTCGGATGCAACGTTGTCGATATTCGCGCGACTCCACGATTGCCTGTCCTCTCCTGCACGTTTCTTCGTGAAATCGGACGCGTCAATCGGGCGACGACTTCTGTCACCAATGGCGCAGAAACGCCAAAGCCGCCGCATCTGACGCACAGATGCAAGCCAGTGTGGCGTAGCCGTCTGCGGGACATTGCAGCATGACTCCGACAGTGCCGTCAGCACGCGTCTGCCACTCTGCCACGCGAGGTCGAGCATTAAGGACGGACAGAAGTCCGTATACCTTGTATGACGCAGTGATGTCAGGCCAGGTCTAGATCAGCGCATGCTTACGCTTCTGTTTTCTTCCAGACAGTGGATGAGGTAGGTGGTTTATGGGCGGCCACGGATCACCGCGCGCACAGATTGTGTGCATCATGCGGAGAGCCGAGTGTCATCGTGCCAGACGTGAGCGACGAATATCTGCATGTCATTGCAGATCTTGTTTGGTGCTGAACGAGAGCTTGCAACAACATGATCAGGCTCCCTCATTGTAGAGCTTCCCTGACGTTGATGATCTGCAGCGGATATCGAATCTTGAGCTCCTCATGGCCAAGCGTATAATCCAGCCGAAGACTGATCGGACGATGGAATAGCTCCCCTTGCCTCTGCCATACTCATGCCAAGGAGTCCTTCAGTGCATTGTTGACTCCGACGTTCCACCGACTGGCCATTAACCGCATCGCCTACCGATTCCAATTGACGCCGAACATCTTGCCTTGCTTTCTCAAATCCAGTTGCTTCGAGTCCGCATTAACGAGATGATACCTCGCGTGACCTGGTACATCCAGCGCCAGAAGCCTGTACTCGAAGTCTTTCTGACCCGGCAACCTCGTCATGTGCACGCTAACCGTTCCTTTAGCAAGCGGCCCCTCCACATAGAAATGCATATGCAGGTGCTCAATACCAGCCCTGTCCGTCTCGAGTTTGCTCGCAATCGTCCGGTTGCGCGCCCACCTCGACCAGCTTGGCTCACCATAGGCATTGATTTCCCGCTTTGTATGCCTACCGTCACTACCCGCTAAGAGCTCAATGCACTTCGGATCTTTTCGCACGCGATCTGCTGAGCGGTTGAAAACGGCAGTCTTGCTGTCTGTGGAGAAGACTTCAAGGTAGAGTACGTAGGCTACCGTGCCTGTTAGGCCTACGCCCAGCAGGACAAGGCCCAGGTTGAAGGTTTGCTGAGTAGTGCGCGCTGCTTTCTCTCCTATGGACAGATCACTCCATGGTATTCTGCCGGTATCATTAGCGACTGTCACCGCGCGGCGTCGGGACGCTGTAGCATCGTTGGGTGGGGACGTAGTCGTCGCCGTGCGTGCTTGCTTCAAGTGGCTATGGAGAGGCTGAGAAGCTCTGGCAGAGTCTGCTATTCGAAGCCGCACTCCCAATTGCCAAAGCCTCGCCATGTCCACCCATGAGTAGGCAGCAAGGCCCTGTCAATGCGTAAGGCAGAACGAACGATGCGAAGAGCACCGTTACCATGGGAAAGCACGCACACAACTTTAGACACGGTAGCTCTGTGCGGAGAACTCGGACCCCAACTCGGCTCGGGAGGAGCCGGCGTCACCTTGCTCGGTCGTTTTGCAGAGGATATACAAGCACGAGCATGAACTTACCTTGCTGCACGAGTGTAAAAGCCATGAGAATTCCATGCATTCGCATAGACTCCGGACTCAGTAGTCTCGAGGAGCTTTGCGATGACGGCAGGACTACATGGTGCCCGCTTAGGAGGATTGAACCCCTGCGACAGCGTACTCAGACGCCAACGGCAACATGCACTTCGGATCCGAGATGCCAACAGTGCAGCTTGTGACAGTAGCCGAAGGGTGCAGCTGAGCTTGGAAGCGACGCATGCAATCCTACGATAGGCAGGTAACGGTAAGTGCAAGCCTGCAGGACTGAGAGGCTTATTAAAGGGATGTTCCATCGTAATTTCAGCGGAATGCCTTGCAGGTCTTCACCATCCACACCGAAGCTTGATCCCACAGATTCAGTGTAATCAAAATCATTAGCACGCCATGGTCATACCCAACGACGCGGCCAAATCTGTCTACGACCGCCTCCCTATCGACGGTGACCAGCTGCGATTGGTTGGCATACAGCCCGGAAAACCCGATGCTGATGTAGTATGTAGTCTTGATGTTTATACCCCTAAGACGAGCTACAGGACATTGTCGTACTGTTGGGGTGCTGTCCAGAACCTGCGAAAGATTCAGCTTGAGGGAGTCAAGTTCCAGGTAACGCCCTCTTTGTATGATGCGCTGACTCACCTTCGCCACGATACTGAGACCGTCTGGATCTGGATCGATGCAATCTGTATTAATCAAGAGAGTGATGACGAGCGGAGCAGACAAGTGGAGCGCATGGGTGCCATTTTTGGAAACTCCACAAAAACGACAGTCTGGCTCGGTGTTGGCTTCGACGAGCAGCAGAGAGCGGTCAACTTCTTGAACTTCTGCGCTCAAGAGTTCGTCCGTGCCAATGGCGGGCAAGCGGATCGGGTGTGGGAATACTCTGACAGCTCTCTGCGAGTGCCACAACTCCTTCTCCGTAACCTGAAGGCAAAGCTGCTGAGTGCGACCAAAGCTAGTCCCATGCTGAAGATTGATAACTGGAAAGCAGTTGGAAAGCTCGCAGAGCGGCCATGGTGGCGTCGACTATGGGGTACGCGATCCCCCTTTCCGTGCACTCGATCCCAAGACTTACCACTCGCACTACAGTATTGCAAGAGGCTGTTCTTGCGAAAGAGGTTTCTTTCCAATGCGGACATGCTACTATTGACCTCATTTCGCTCGCCATGCTGCATGTTCTCGTTGAGTTCTCCCACCACCTCACATACTGGCCTAATGAAGGCACCGACGGCTCCAAGCTTGACGAACTCGCTGTCCACATCCAACGAGCCTTAGGGTCAAACGAGAAGATCTACGAGATGTTCGTTGCACGGACACAGCACCAACGTTACAAGCATCGCAACTACATGGCTACGTTCGGCGACCCTCTGTTCACAATTGCGCAGCTTTCCTACCGACAGGCGCACGATCCTAGAGATAAACTCTATGCTGTGAAAGGATTAATGAGTCGCTCGGACGTGGTCCACGCAGATTACAAGAAGAGCCTCATCTTCGCCTACCCAGACTTCGCGTCAGATCACGCGAAACACTGGAGGGAACCTTTCCTACGCATCTTGAGCTACGCCGGTATAGGCCATGGACGGCTGCCCGGTACTGTAATGGCCTCCTGGATTCCGGACTGGCGATTGTACGAGATTGGCCATTTGGACCGTGAGATGCCGACGCCGCTCGACAATATCGGGTTCCAGGCCGGCAAGGAGCACGTGATCGACGCTGCAATATTCTCCACAACTCACTTGCTTGTTCAAAAGGGCGTCATCTTCGATCGAGTGACGAAGCGAGCCTCTATGGGTGTACGCACTGCGAATGAACAGCTGTACGGCTTTGATCTGTTGAATTACGGCTCACACAAAGCGGACTCCCCGTATCCAGGCACCGGTACCTGTCGCATGCATGCGCTGCTCAGAACTCTGTTGGCAGACTGTTGGTCAGAAGGTCAGAGCGTTCGCATCGGTAACAAGGCTGACGACCGTACACTACTGTCAGAGTGTATGGCGGGCATGGCGGTCTGGTACCACCTCAACTGCAGACAGCCGGGCACTGTAATCCATCGGAGCCCCGGACTTCCACCGGTTATACCTGTCAGATTCTTGAAGCCCACACCCGGACTAAAGCAACAGCACGATACACCACAAGATTGGTAAAGTATACACTGTCTTCGTGTACACCTAGGCTGTTCCGCTAACTTGTTTGCGTCCGTACTGCAGGGGGGTTGGGTCTCTCTTCCCATGGTCACCTGAAGTGCATCTTAAGCCGGAGACCGCTATGAAGCAATGGCCCAAAGGTGTAAATCTCGAGCGAGCGATGAACAGAGGCTCCAGGTACCTCGAATACGCCTGTGGCAGATACACCAAGCGCCGAACGTTCTTCGGAACGGAGAAAGGCTACTATGGTCTCGGCCCAGCGAACCTCCAGGAAGGTGATATAGTATGCGTTTTCCATGGTTGCAACATACCGCATCTGCTACGTCAGAAGGAGAACATGCGGCCTTACGATGGCCATTGGTGGAAGAAGGAACATGAAGGATATGAGCACGTCGGGGAGGCGTATGTCCATGGTATTATGGATGGCGAGGCGATTGATCAAGCTGCTCAAGGCAACTTGCACGTGCGTGACTTTCTCATTGGAGGATGCCCGCCGAAGAGGTACCCTCATGCGCCATAAAGCTGTAGCGGTCCATTGTTAGCGAATGAGCACATTCATTGAGGCACTGCGTGTATAGACTGACGAAACTCGGTCGCGCCGTGGGTTAGCAAGGATTATTGACACTGACTATCGGCGTGATAAACTACTCTTTCCGAATACATAAAAGCCAATGACATTCAATCTTCTCTCATCTGCGGAATGGTCGCACGACATAGGGAAAGAAGTCATGGTCGTCGACGAATTGGCTCGGTTATTGCGCGTCCTGCGAGACCGCCACATTGACATTGACCATGACGACGTAGCGTGGGCATTCGAGAGCAACGCAACCGGACCGTCCGTACGTACCTGGGTTCGCAATGCTATATGTGATCCATGTCTCCTGTCTGTGGAAGAGCGAATTTTGTAAGTGAACAATTCTGCTGGCAGCAACCGAAATTGTGTGTGACTGGAGTACAGCCACGAGAACGATCCGCAGCCACATGGAAACGGCTTAGAAGAAGCGACTTGTGCGCCATTGGACGACGGAGATCTCGGGACGGCCATCAATGCACTCGAAACCAGCACTGCTTCGATTAACAGACAGTGCCAACTACTGGAAGCACAGAAGCGGGCGCTCCAGGACATCAACGCACATCGTTCCCAGAGCACCTCTGTAAGAAACATCCGCGATCAGCGGCACCATAAGCTTTCGCGAGAGAAGGCGCAACTAGAGTTTCAGGCCAGCGAGCTAGCAGACTTGCTTCAAACAAAATTGCAGGGTTCCCTCGAAGAAACCGACAAAGGTACTACAGGCCTACTCTCAGCTGTTGACCGCATTCTGGAGAAGGATGACCGACTGCTTGACGGGCTGCAGAAGCTCTTACCTAAAACTACCAATACAGATGGTCTCGGAGATCAGACACTCGAAGTCAAGAAGTTGTGTGACGTTTTGGTCGCGCTGAACGTAAAAGACATCCGGATGCGCGTCGACAGTGCATACAGAGCTCATGTTGACGTTGATAGTGAGCTTCACAATGGCACTACTGAGACTCCGTCATCAAGCGAGCAGAAGCCATCCTTGATAGCAGAGCTCAGCGAGCTATCTCAAGAGATAGACAGTCTTGCCGCAATGGCCGTGCAAAACCACTACCGCGAGCCCATATCGCGCGAGCTGAAAGCGGCGCAAGCGGACAACGCTTTGGATCAGGCCCGTTGGAGTGAGTATCTTTTGGCTACTCTGCAGTACCTCACCGCGAGGCTCACGGTCTTGGAAGAGCATTTTGCTCGTCTCCACATCCATCAGCGAAGTGTCCAAAACGTGATGGCAGCACTCGACGGCGTCCTGGCAGAGCCAGCCAATCCTAATTCTGAGTCACAGGATACTGTGCGTACGCCTGTTGCGCCGTCTGCGAGAGGCCTGAAGCCGCTTCGGCTGGTCGAGGCAAAGTTCTCAGAATCGCAGGATCCGACTGCGGCACTCCTGAGAATGCTTAGCGTTCGGACCGACAGGTCTGTGGGCGCCGATCAGCTCGCGGAAACATTGAAGTTTACGCTGAGCGAGCGGGAGTCTGAACTAGCGAGTCTACGCAGCAGCACTGAAGTTGCTATTGCCAACCTGCTTACAGAAACACTAGTCAAGGCACAGACGGACATGCAACACCTTTCTAATGCGGTCTATGCTCCTTCGGGGACGGGTGTGGTCAGGCTGCTGGACCAACAGCTGCAGGCGAATCTGGACAGTTTGGAAACGAAGACGTACGGCTTGGGCGAGCGGATGAGGCAACTCGACGTTGAGAAGCTGGCAGCCTTGGCGAGGAACAAGCAGAAGGTCGAGTTACAGTGATGAAGCAGAGCTGGGCTCCGTAAAGTGGCGAGAGTCCTCAAAATCTCCAATGACCGCACGCCGTTCGAATCGAAACGAACAGCCTTTGAGGAGTTGGTCGCAATCAGTTGATTACATACCCGCCGTCAACCACCATCGCCGAGCCCTGCACGAAGCTCGCTTTCGGGCTCGAGAGAAAGCAAGCACAGTCAGCGATCTCCTGCGCAGTGCCAGGTCGGTTCATGGGCGCTATTGAGATGGCGGGCCCCAGCACGTCAAGATTCGGGCGTACCATTGGCGTGTCAATGACCTGGTTGCATTGTCAATAACAAATCCGGGTTCTGCTCCGGCAGGGATGTACGCACGCCGGGGCAAACACAGTTGATTCGAATGTTGTCCTTGGAGTAGTCGATCGCATCACAGCGAGTCATCGAGATGACTGCTGCCTTTGCACCGCAGTACGCCGCTATGTCCGTAAGCTACTGACACTGCAACTCATCAGCGGTTACAGTGACGAAATACGTACGCGCTGCAGGCCGACCAACAATCCCAAGTTGGGAAGCAATGTTCACAACACTGCCTCTATTGCCTGGACGTCCGTCATGCGTCGGTAACAGATCCTGCTTCAGCATCTGCGTGATCTGTGCTCGAGAGCAGAGCCAACAGCCCTTGTAGTCGATGTTGTTAATCCGGTCAAAGTTTTCAATCGTGAGTTCGTGGGAGCGCTCGTTGTTGCTCAGCACGCCTGTCGCCACTTAGCGCGTCGTCTTCATACCTTTCGGTTGCTCCCTATACCGGCTGCATTGACCGCGTAGTCTATTCGGCCGAAAGCACTAACGGTTTTGGCGATTAGATCTTCGACTGACTGTGCACTCGCAACATCAACTTCCACCATCAAAACATGTGTTGAATCTGCCGTCTGCTTGATCAAGCTTGCAGTCTCGTCGAGTCCTTTCGTGTTGCGGTCAGCGATGACGATCTTTTGGCATCCTTCCTTTGCAAATGTGATTGCAGTAGCTTGACCGATGCCTTCAGAATAGTCAGTGAGGCTATACTCGAAGTCGGCGGAGTCGGTGGGTTCCCACCACTTGCGGCGCCAGTGACGAGCGCAACACCTGGAAATAGTGTCATCTTCTCAAGTCGGCGATGAACCTGAGAAGACCAAGTGTTTACAGAGCGGAAAGAAGGACATGATGAGAGGGCTTCGGTCAGTACACCTTGGCCGCCCAGCCGAAACATGTTCGACTGATAGGCGCCACGGTACCTAGGTGTACAAACAACATCATTGCTTTCGTCGACTCGGCTCGCTTCTTCCGTGAACGTTCCAAGAGTGAATGCAGCGAGAGGGTCGGTAACGGTAATTCAATTGATGCCCGGCAGCTTTATCGTCTCCTTGGGTCTTGAAGATGTTCGCTCGTGCCAATCGCCCATCGGCCACGAGACGAGCCTGACCGACCGAGACGGAGAGTGACGCGCTCACGTGCCATCGCGCCGAAAGAGTTTAGCGTAAGGTCGGAATATGCAGGCTGACGTCTATCGGTTCAGGTACGATCGCGTGCAGCAAATGGATTATATGAACTTCTCCTGCCGGGTGTGGTGTTATTAATGATGGTGGCAGATGTAAATCTTCCACTTGAGCTGATTGATCGGACATACATGGATCGTTGCGGCGATGCCGCCATATGTATCGCGCAAGCGAGCGCGCTCTTCGTCGCCTGTCCCATCGTCACCGTCGAAGGGCAGGAACGTGAAGGCTACGGCGAAACGGGTAAAGACGACGCTTTTCGAAACAATCGACGCTACCCCGAAACGAACAAGGACGGCCGATGAGAACAAGAAGCTTCTTGAAAAGCTCAACGAAGACGACGACGAGTCTTTGAGCGAAGCCGACACCGACGACTTCGAAGATGTAGATGTCCCGCTGGCGAAGAAGCGCAAGGTTGCGCAGAGCAACGACCATGATGTTCCCTCTGAGGTGGACGATGAGATGGATTGGGAGGACGCCATCGCAAATGGTGCCCCATCAGCTCAATCGACCTCTCATGCTGCGAATGACAGTATTGAGCATGATATAGAGGACGTCTCCTTCTCCGTCAAGGAGGATGGCGGGATAGCAGATGAAGGCATTCGCGTGCCAGGTCTTGGTAAGAAAGGTCCATCGAAGCGCGAGAAACATGTTAGGATCCAATCGCACTGTCTGCACGTCCAAGCTTTGATGTGGCACAATACTGTTCGTAATGGTTGGCTGAACGACAAGCCTGTCCAGAAGACGCTCGTAGAAGGACTGACCGAGGGTGTAAAGCGCGAAGTCACGCGGTGGAGGGAGTCGATGGGTACGCTCAGCCATGAGCAGCTAGAAGCGAAGAAGCAAGCAAGAAGTGCCAATGGCAAAGGCAAGCGGGGCCGGAGGTTGAAGGGTAAAGATGGAGGGCGTGAGTGGACGCACGGCGCTCAGCACCTAGAGCAAGGCGTGCCGAACCTTAGCGCAGGCGACCCCCTGCTGAGGCTGCTGAAGGTGCTGGCAGCATACTGGCGTAAGCGCTTCACGATTACTGCGCCTGGTTTACGGAAGCAAGGCTACATGCCCGTCAAGCGTCTCCGAGACGAGATCAAGGACTGGGAGAAGAATAGAGGCGACATGGAGCACCACGGCGAGCGCATTGAAAACATCGAGCATTTCCGCAAGCTCGCGAAAGAGTGCGAAGGATCTCGAGATGTGGGAGCACAGTTGTTCACGGCATTGCTTAGAGGCCTTGGCATAGAGGCACGAATGGTGGTGAACCTGCAGCCAATTGGCTTTGGTTTCAGCAAAGCGGAAGAGGCTGAGCCTAAGAAGTCGAAGAAGGCTGCGAAGGTCGAGTCTGAAACGGATGAGGTTGTTGATACCAAGCAGAGCAAGAAGGCTGCTGGGAGGAAAGCTAGGACCGCTTTGCAAGAAGAGAGGCCTAGCCGCAAGTCAGCTCGTGGTAACAAGAATCAGCCCATTGACTTGGACAACTCGGACAGTCCTCTCAGCGAGGTGCCAGCGGACGTAGAGATCATCGAGGACGACGATGACTTATCAATCATCGACGTCACGCCCTCGACTCCGAAGAAGAAGCCGAACAAGAAGTACGATCGCGACCTCGCGTTTCCGAATTACTGGGTCGAAGCCTGCTCGCCGATCTTACACAAGTACATCCCAGTGGATCCTGTCGTGCTGTCAACGATCGCGAGCAACGAAGAGCTTCTGCAATTATTCGAACCGCGTGGTAAGAAGGCCGAGCAGGCGAAGCAGGTCATGTGCTATACCATCGCCTTCTCCGCCGACGGTACGGCTAAGGATGTTACTGTGCGGTATTTACGCAAGCATCAGCTACCCGGGAAGACAAAAGGCACACGTATGCCGGCCGAAAAGGTGCCAATCCACAACCGCAAGGGTAAGGTCAAGCGATACGAGGAGTATGACTGCTTCCGTACCGTGATGTCGATATACGACCGGCCTGAGAGCAAGCGCACCCTGGCCGACAAGCTCGAGGATCAGAACGATCTCAAGCCTGCCAAGCCGGAGAAGCAGGAGAAGGAAGTCGAGAAGGAGAGTCTGCAGTGGTACAAGCAGTCTGCGGAGTATGTGCTGGAACAGCATTTGCGTCGCGAAGAAGCCATCATTCCTGGCTCCGAGACGGTGAGGACGTTCACTGCTGGCAAAGGCGACAAAGCTAAAGAGCATCCTGTCTACCGCCGTGCGGACGTGGTGACATGCAAGACTGTTGAATCTTGGCACAAAGAAGGTCGTGCCATCAAGATGGGTGAGCAGCCGATGAAGCTCGTGCCGATGCGAGCGGTGACTCTGATCCGTAAGCGTGAGATGGAAGACGCGGAGCGAGAGACAGGAGAGAAGCTCAAGCAAGGTCTCTACAGCATCGACCAAACGGACTGGATCATCCCGCCACCCATCGAGAACGGCGTCATCCCGAAAAACGCATTCGGCAACATGGACGTCTACGTACCTACTATGGTCCCAGCAGGCGCCGTACACCTTCCGCTTAAAGGCACGGCGAAGCTCTGCCGCAAGCTCGAAATCGACTACGCGGAGGCGTGCACAGGTTTTGAGTTCGGCAAACAGCGAGCTGTCCCTGTCTTGACTGGCGTGGTGGTGGCGGAGGAGCATGAGTTGCTGGTCAGAGATGCATGGAGGGCTGAGCAGAAGGAAGCAAAGCGGAAGGAGGATACGAAGAGGACGGCTGCGGCGCTGCAGTGGTGGCGGAAGATGCTGTTGGGGCTGAGGGTGCTTGACCGCATGAGGGTGGAGTATGCGGATGCTGGTGGTACTGAAGAGGAGCTGAATCCTTTTGTGCGAAAGGCGAAGCGAGAGGGCAGGGCTGTTGCTATGAAGGCGCCACAGGCAAGTGCAGAAGCGGATGCAGAGGGCGGGGGTATCTTCTTGCCTGGTCATGATGAGGAAGAGGTCCCGCAGTCGAACGCTAAGCGCGCAAAGATGGAGGATGACTACGAGGACGAGAAGCATGGTGGTTTCTCACTCGAAGACGACGAAGAAGAGAAGGTGCCGGAAGACGGTGGCTTTCTCGTTGAGGACATGCCGGAGGATGAGAGCAAGTCGGCACCACCCAAGAATCATGCGCCGATCACGCCGATGTCTCTACAATCTCTGCACAAGGTTACGGATATGGATGACGACGAGTCGATTGCCGAGGATGGCGATTCTCGTGAGCACGCGGACGTCGAATATGCAAAGCCAGGAGCGCAGGCCAAGCGCCGCTCTCGCAAAGCAGCCGTCAATGACCCAGACGATTCTTCACTGTCCGAGATGGACTCGGCAAGCGATGAAGAAGCTATCAGCGATCAGGCATGGGAAGCACGAGCGTCGCCGAAGGTGGTCGTCACGCCACAAAGCGCTTCGAAAGCTGTGCGCCGCGGTCGCGCAGCGAAGAAGGCTACGCCGCGCAAGAGCCAGTACTTCACTGCTAGCGAAGATGATGGGCATAATGGTTACGAAGAAGATGAGGAGATGTCCACTGACGCGGAGGTCGTGAAGCCACGCAAGACGACTGCGAGAACGCGAGCGAGGGCCGGCTGAGACCGCTCCAAGATGCTGTAACGCGATGCATCGTATATGGAGTACAAATGTATACTAAACATCCTGCAAACTGGAGACATACATATGTGAATGGAACGCTAAGTCGTCCGGATCTTGAAATTGCGATCAGCTTATTCACCTGCCCTAATCCTTCGCCTCCTGGTGCTTTCTTCATCAGTCAGACCTATTTACTTGTGCCTAGGGTTGATGCCATTAACATCCATTTGCAGGCTTGCCAGCAGGCCTGCCAGCAGCGATGATCGCCAGACAATGTAACACAATGCACGATACATCCGGCACGCTCCTAATGAAAGCATCACGTTCTCCCCGGCATGATTGCCTCCTTTGACATGTCCAGACGAACGCTATCTGTCCCAAGCGTGCAGTGCTTACAGCATGACGGCAGCCATACCGCTTGTGCAGTACCTCTTTCGCCGTCTGAAAGAACTTCGTTGCCACAGCTTACACGGTGTACCCGGTGACTTCTTCCTTCGGGCACTGGATCATGTCGATGCAACTGGCCTCCGCTGGGTTGGGAACGCAAACGAAATTTGCGCTGGGTACGCGACAGACGGCTATGCCAGGGCTGGATACCATGCAGTAGCCCGGAGGACCGTCGCTGCTCCTCGAGTGGGCGCCCTCTTCACCACATATGGCGTTGGTGAACTCAGCGCGAGCAACGCCGTTGCGGGGTCCTATGCTGAGAGCATACCACTAGTTCATCTTGTCGGCACGCCGTGCCAGTCAGGCATGGCGGGCGAGGAGCGCGATGCGACCCATTCATCACACGCTGGCAGATGGGAGAATGGGAGTGTATGCGGAGATGGCGAAGCAGATTACGTGCATGCAGACTAACTTCCATGAGTCTGGGGATCATCTCGAGGCCCTGCAGGCTTACGATGAGATGCTTGAGACGTGCGTGCTGCGGTCGAAGCCGGTGTACGCCAGCATACCGTCGGATTTGATGGAAGTGCCGGTGCCAGCGAGCATGCTAGAGAAGCCACTGCGCGTTCAGCCTAGTCCGAATGAAGAAGCGGAAGAGAACGCCGTTGTCGACGATGTAGTTGAGCTACTGAGCGCCGCGGAGAGGCCACTCCTCATCGCGGATGGGCTGTGCTATCCTTTCGACTTCCTCCCCCAAGCCAACGCGCTGGCGCAGCTCTTGCCTACGCGCCGCTTCCTTTCTGTTAAAGGCGTACTCGATGAGTCCAATCTCACAGCGAGCTGGCGCGCCTGAAGTATAAGCAGACCCGCGCCCAACAGACGTCCTCCTCATCCTGGATCCGATGCTCGCCGACACCAACACCGCCGCGTGGACAGCTTTGCCGGACGCGCAGCACACACTACTTTCCAACCTCGACACTATCAAGACTCATCGCGGCCAGGTGACCGACAGCCCAGGCACGTGCAAGCACTTGCGCAGCAAACCCGTGCTCGCCAAGCTCGCGTCGTAACTCGCAAGGAAACTTGTGCAACAACCATTGCGGCAGCTCGAGGTACAGTCTACTGTCCAATCGATATCGACGTGGAATCGAGAGTATCATAGGCGCGTTGCACAAGACTACTTCTGGTCAACCATGTCCTCCTTCCTAAAAACGGACGACACCATCCTCCTCGCCGGGCGGCACAGCACGCGTAGGCCGTATCGACACGAAACTGCCCGCTCGCACGCAAGTCTTTGCTTCAAGCATCTGGTGCTCGATCGGTCAGACACTACCCGCGGCCCAAGGCATGGCATTAGCGAAACGTGGTCACAACCTCCCCGGTCGAACCATTCTGTTCTGAGGGAAACGGCGGCTTCCAGGTCACTTGCCAGGCTGTCTCCGACATTATTCGGAACAAGTTAGACATAGTAATGTTCATTGTGAATAATGCGGGTTATACCAACGGGCGCTGATTGAATGGCATGGAAGCCGAGTACAATGATATACCTATCTGACGATACGGGGAAGCTGCGCGCTTCTTCGGCGCGGCGGCGAATGACGATGCTTACCCTGCGTTCACTGCTCGTGTGGAAAGCGAAGCGGAGCTGGAGAAGTTGCTCGGGGAGACGGCACTGCAGGATGGCAAGGGGTTGACGATTGTGGATGTGGTGATGGCGCCGGAAGACATGCCGGAGAAGGCGAAAGCTGGGCTACTCAAAGCAGGCGAATCTCTACGATGTCAGCAGTGAAAGCGGTGATGTGATGCACAGCCGGCTCGCTTATTGTATCTGCTTTAGGATGCAAGCGCTGGTGCTGTGGCAACCTACCGAGCTGATTCCGAGCTCAGATCTATGTGCTCGCACCCACTGAAGCCAAGCCAATGGCATTTATACCCATAGCCCCATCCGCAATGCCGCCATAACATCATACTGTACCGTTGAACCTCGTTGCCAGTCAGTCTTGTTCTTCATTTCAGGCTCTCCCGATACAGCGGTCCGCCACAGTCACGCAGTCGTTTGGCCGCCTGCTCGGGCGTGATGTCTCGTTGCGGCTCCGCCATCATTTCGTAGCCCACCAGGAACTTGCGTACGGTTGCGCTCCGCAGAAGTGGTGGGTAGAAGTGCATGTGGAAGTGCGAGGCTTCGATCTCCTCGTTCGTGCCGGTCAGTGGGGCTTGGTGGATGCCCATGCCTAGGAAGAGGTCAATATTACTGTATACATTATGCATGGGTTTGGTTGGCGAGACCACGTACTGTAAGGAAAGCTCGTCTCGAACAGGTTATCATATCTCCTTGTAATCTCCGAAATAACTTGCGCAAGGTCGTCCTGGTTCTGCTGGTCCAAGTCCACAAGCGCCCGCTTATGCTTTTTCGCAATCACCATGATCTCGAACGGCCAGGTAGCCCACCACGGACACCCGGCCCAGAAGCTGGCGTTTTCGAAGACTGTCCGCTCACCCTTCTCGCTTTCCAGCGAAGCGTAGTCTTCCAGTAGGTTGGCGCCTCCTTGCTCTCTCCGGTACTGCTGGAGGTTCTGTAACTCGATGCTGGGCTCCTCCGGTAATGACGTGGTCGTCCATATCTGGCCGTGCGGATGCGGGTTTGAGCAGCCCATTGCTTGCCCTTTGTTTTCGAAGATCTGCATATAGCGGTACTGTTGATTGGGCTGAGTGTTGCCATTGGGTGTTGATGCTGGAAGCGTTGTTGACTTCGCTGCTTGGGCAAGCGGCGAGTGTGGGTCGACATGGGAAGTGTAGATCTTGGTCCAGGTATCTATCACCGGCAGTATACTTTCCGCCGGCATGTCTGCGAGGGTGACATTGTGCGCTGGGGCGAAGGTGATGACATAGCATTTGCCGGTCGTGCTTTCCGCTCTCAATAACCGTGTTGCCAATGCTGTCCCTCCCATCAGCTTTGCCATCGTGGACATGCTTACGTCTGCCTTACATCCGTCTTGTACAGGTGGCTCGTACTCCGCTTGTTGCTCCTTGACCGCAGCGAAGTCGTTGACGAAAACGAACGTCTTGTCGTACTTGGGATTTACGTCGCCTTGTGCGCGCTTATTGCCAGGACACAGATAACACTACTACGTCCATCAACCGTTGACTCCAGCACTGACACCTCATGGCATTCATACGCACTGAAGGGTCATATTGCGGCAGCTCGATCTTGCTTGCAGCCTCTTGCTGTCCCTGCCATGGTCGCTTCGTCCGGTGCGGACTGACCAGCACCCATGATCCTCGTAGCGGGTTATAACGTCGATGGGATATGTCGTCGAGGATAGCTTCGGGCATATTATCGGCCTTGGCGGGTGAGGAGGCTGCGAGAAGGGGTGTTAGGAAGGTCGACGTCTCCGTTGCGAAGCTGATGCATACTGACGCGGGAGGTTCTTACATCAAGGATCACCAACGCCTGAGAGCTATGGACGGGTTCATATGTAACTCCGGTCCACCCACGTGCTTCTGACCGAGGAGCCGCAAGTGGATATGGTCAAAGTTTCGGCAGTGAGAGCAACAGTATGGGGGACTATGCTACTGCAGACCGAGGCGGGCCTTGTAGGCTGGTGAGCCCGCGATATCCCGCTACACGCTCAACACGCGCCATAAAAGTAGACGCTCGCAGTGGAGTCCGGGCGAGCGACGCACTTTCTTCCGCCCATCATCATCGTCTTGATTGGATCAAGTCAACATGTGATCGGCATGTGGAGGTGGAGGGGTCAACATCTGGAGGATGCGGACCCCACCGTGTTGTGTGAAACGAGACGATCCCAGCTGCTCGGAAGGTTTACCGGCGTCTTAACATGCGCTCGTCAAGAGCGTCCTTTTCGAAAAATGTTGTAGTCGGGTTCTTAAAGAAAAAGGATTGTTTTCGACCACCATGGGACTCGAACCCACAACCTTCCGCTACCTAAACGTAGGAGGCGGACGCTCTACCATTGAGCCAAGCGGCCTTCGAATCTGCCTCGCAGAGGCAGAAATGATGTCGAGAATCTCGACCTGCTGAAAAGCAGGATTCGAAAATCGCAATGTTTGGAAATGTATATGATGTTCATTGTTTGGAAGCCGAAGATGAGCCGAGACTGTTTTGCGGCTACTCGTTCTTCCTCCTCTCAAGACTGCTTGCAACCGAGCAATAGCACTCTAGACAAAATTGTGAAGCTACTACGCACCATCTCGGCATTCGAGTCAAAGTTACTGTGTAACTATGGCCCTGCGCACCGGTCAACATGAGTACTGTACGGCCAATCAAGCGACTTCTGGCTCCTCCAATGACCTCCTTACATGCTCACATTGCGGGTTATCGAGATGTTTCGTGTCTCTAACAACGGACTGTTACAGCGATGGACTGTTGAAATTCAGATCGAGCTGTACTGGTTGCCAACACGATCCTGTCGAAGCCACGAGGTCGATCCAGGACGACGGCTGTTAGGCCCCCTATAGGGAGCGGCATCTCTTTCCTATGTCCAATAGAACTTACCTGGTGTGGAACTCTCTTCTCTGCTCCTCCTGCGAGGTAGCTTCAGGTCCAGCAGAAAGATGTTTGTTTCATCCCTACAACGCTACTCTGCCAACTCAAGCTGCGTTGTCGTTATTGTTCGCCGCCTATCTCACCATGGCTATTGACGACGTAGGTCTCTCTAACAAACAGCAAGCCTTCAAGCACGAGCACGGCCGTCGCTATCGAGCGAACGACAATGCGTACTTCTTCCCCGCCAACGAAAAGGAGTACAATCGTCTTGACCTCCAGCATCTCTCCCTGCGGATGCTCACCGACAATAAGTCCGCCTTAGCGCCACTACCAGAGGGATCATTGAGGGTGCTTGATCTCGGCATCTGGGCCAAAGAGTTCATCGACGAGTATCCGCAGGCAACAGTTGTCGGAGTTGACCTTTCCTTTCCCGAGGGGCAGGGTTTCGAAGATGAACGCCTTGAACGCAGAGTAGAAAATTCGGAAGCGAATTAGTCTACCCTTCCTCCGGTCGGGTGAGCAGTTCGATTACGTACACGCCCGCATGCTGTGCGCTGCTATCAAGCAGCCCGAACGGCTAATGCAACAAGCGATCGCCTACCTCAAACCTGGAGGCTGGTTTGAGTGGCAAGAAGAGTGCGTGTTCGCGGACTGTAAGGTCTTACTTACTGCTTCACGCTTGGCTAACCAATACGCTTGTTGATGTGTAGATACGGCCAGCTAACCTGCATCTGCCCAAATGGCGCCGGCGACATCGAAACCTGCCAATACCAAGCTTACTGGACACTGCGCATGGAAGATGCGGGCCGGCTTTGCCGCACTCGGCATCAATCTGTGGAAAGGCGGCGAGCTACTTCCACTCTTCGATCGCTCGGGTCTGGCGAGAGTGAAGCAGATCACGCGGTCGATGCCTACTGGACCTTGGCCTGATGATGCTTATGATAAGCAGATTGGGACGCTATGGACGGACATGACAGTCAACGGGCTCGATGCGCTGGCGACAAGGCCGCTGGTTGAGGGGCTTGCGATGGAGGGGTCGGAGGTGGAGAGGTTGATTGGGGAGGCGAGGGTGGAGTTAAGGGAGGGGAGGGCGAGGCATTTCATGAGATTGTAGGTTGTGTGAAGTCAGAGTGATGATTAGCTTGATGGTTTGTGCTGATGTACTTTTAGCATCGTCTATTACGGCCAGAAGCCACTGCGCGCCTGAGGTAACAATCAAGCGGTCTTGTGTAGCATGAGTGAGATGCCTTATCCTGTCCAATCTCGTGACAACGAAGAGCCCACTTAAAGGTGCAGACCATGTACACGGACCATCTCTCGCTGACGGTGCCATAACCCTGCGCGCTTCTGCCCGAGATCCACATTCAGCTCTCGTGAGCTTCAGTCGTCTTTGCTCTGAATAAGGCAAAACCAACGGTCTTCTTATTCGCACAGGACGATGCAGCGCTGTCGGTGCGATGATGGCGCGTAGTTCTCTATTGATGTGAACTGCCGCGCAGTCACCAGCACGAATCGCAGCCGCCTTCGACCATTGATGAATAAGTCGTGAACACAACGTGCGATGCATACCTCCAATGCTTCGGGCATAGGAAGGCCATCATGACGCTCACTACGTCCCCAATAGTGACGCCGTCTGGATTGGTGACGGTGACGCCCATTTGCTCCGGGTCCACATTCCCAAGCTGTCGGCTTTCGGTATAAAGCGAGTACAGAGTGACGGCTTCGATTGGGGGTGTCGTGATATGCATGGCGCGGTATATACCCGGAATGTCGCGCAAGGTCGTTAGCGAAGCCGGCAAGGTGAGCAACCATGTATGTTGCACCTCCGAATTGGCATTGTCGTATTTCGGGTCCAGTGGCCGAGGATATTCGTCGCACCACCACTCATACACCCAGGAACGTGTGTTGATCCGGTCCGGTATGTACGATTGATGACTGGGCAACTGGAACAAAGGGTTAGGCGCGATGACCACCGGCCGCCCGTTGACACGCTCAGAGATAATGGTCGCGCCATCAGGCTCCGACTCTCCTTGCTGCATCCATTCTTTGTCGACTTCCAATACGGCCGTCTCTGACCCGGTGCCGACGTGAAGGATGCGGCGGAGGCGTGGAGCTCTCATGATGACCTCCTGCCATTGCTTGCATACTCCTCGAAGCTTGAGGAGGGTGAGGATACGTGGCGCAGCCCTCTTCTTGGTTGGAGTGTCTTCGACTGTAGCAAGAACGATTTCAAGAACCTTGGGGAGCCGCAGAGCTCTTGTGGTAGCTGGCAATGATTCATCTGCGGTCTGTACCAGGTTACATGTCAGCTTCTGGACTTGCGCTTCGATCTGACACATCAATACGTACGCTGTCTCGCTCGTGACGACAAGTAGGACCACGATATGACTGGTTACCAACCAGCTCCGATATCTCATTCTCCATCCTGCCAATGAGACGGCCAAGCTTCCCGGCGTCGGGTGAACCGGCCATGACCTCCAGCCTTAGCCGCTGGTAGAGCTGGTCCAGCGTGGCGAGATCTTGGGTGATGAGGTGCTGGTGTGCCTGTGCCATCGTCTTGGACTGACCGCTTGGAGGCAATTCCTTGATGGTCTTTGAGGCCACCATGGCAGATGTCTTTGCTTTGCCTGTCATTGTCTCGACGCTGTTCAAATTCTTGTGCGCCGGACAGCTTTCCAACGCTCGAAAATTGCATGATTGGTCTGTGCGAGTGAATGGCCGAAATGGAAGGAACGCGGTCGAGGAAGCTACGCGAGCCCATTCACTCACCTTGAACCCTGCAGTAAACACCCACATTCTCGAAGAGCTGCATCATTCGCACCAAGAACAGCCAGTAGCCTGCTTCGCCAGCGTGCCGCCAATCTCATTTCTTCCTCGCATAGATCCACACAAACATAGTATTGTCCTCGTCCCTCGCCTGCACCGTCTCCACCACCTCGAAACCAACCTCCTCCACCATCCGCACACTCCCGTCCACACCCCAACTACTCCAAAACGCCTTCATTCCCAACCAGTCCTCTTCCACTTCGCCCTCTGTAGCCCGGACAGGCACACAGAACAACAGCACTCCCTTCCCCGCCTTGAGCCAACGGTGCAGTCTCCCAATAAGTTCAGTCTGATCCTCACGTCGCAAGTGAATGATACTGTAAAACGCCACCGCCGCATCGAAGCTTTCTGGTTGTAAGTCGAGGGCCATCATATCGCTTTCGACCACATCCACTTTGGCCGTCACGTCGGCACCCAGTTCCGCGAGGCGGGTACGCAGCATCTCGATCTGCGTGGTAGAAATGTCGTTCGCCACCACGTGCTTGACATCTGGGTTAGAAGCGAGAGAGAGCGTGACGGGGTCGCCAGCGCCACAGCCTAACTCAAGTACCCTAAGCTTCGCCTCACCCTCACCGGAAGCGGGATTGAGGCAAAGGTGATGGTACAGTCTCTGCAGCATCTCCAGTCGCGGATGCTTGTGGGCGTGCAGCCATTCCAGGTAGCGTTCGGCCTGCTGGTTGTAGCCATCGGCGGCGAGGCGCTGGACGTCGAGGTCTTGGTGGGCCATTGCTTCACTCGATGTTACCAGGCTGATGATGGAGTTAAGGTTACGAGGGTAGAGTAGTGACTTGCTTCGTAGATCGGTTTCAGCTAATCAAAGCGATCGAATCGTCCCGTTCTCGCGTTCTGTGGAGACGAGGCTGCTTTGAATGCGGTATTGTATGAGCGAGGAGTCGTGTTGGAGTCACACGGTGTGACTCATTGCCGAAAGCCACATCAATGCTTCAGCTGCTCCATACGCCCTGCTCACTGTGTTCGGCCAAGACGGTCGTCGCACTTCATCTGCTGTGATGGTGGAAGTACCTAGGCGGACACACTCACTCACCACACACACGCGGCGAGGTGGGCTGAAGTGAGAAAACGCCAAGCTGTCATTCTGTAGCCGGCTCGCGGACTCTATCTCTACAACGAGCAAGCAAAAAACAGTCACAATGCGCACCTTTTCCGCCGCCGCCGCCGCCGCCATAAGGCACCCAATGGTACCCCAACTGCGATAAGGCGGTAATATGCGATGCGAGCTTTGCGTTGGTACACTCTCCGTCCATCCCCCGATCCATCCGCACACACGAGTAGGTACTCCGCATTGCGCCGTCTCTCGCCCCTATGCAAGACGCTGGAACGTATTCAATATTGTGCAATCCACTCACCGCCCATCCTCCTCTCCCACACCAGACTACCTCGCCTCCCTCCCCCCATCCTCCCCACCCCCCTCCTTCCCCCTCCCCTCCCACTTCTCCCCCCACCAACTCTGCACCCGATCCCACCACCCCCGGTTCAACTCCGCCGACAGTCTCCGGAAGTTATACATCTCCCCCCAACAATCCCGCCCCCACTCACACCCGGCCATATTCACCACGAAATCCCTTTCCTTCTCCTGATAATGGATCCCCGCCACCCCACACTCGCGCATCTCGTCCCCGATCTGGAGCGCCTTGCACCCGCCCTCCGGCACGCCCTTGTCCTCCCCACACGCGCCGTCGGGGAAGGCGTTGACCATGCGCTGCGGGATGAAGCCGACGTGGGGCCGGATCCAGGGTTGGTTGGTGTAGATGTACTCCAGCGCGTCTTGCTCCTTATGCTCCCACTCCATGTGGCGTTGCTCGTAGAAGACGGGATCCCACCAGATGTCGAGCAAGCGGTCGGTCCAGCTGCTGCGGCGCACGAAGAAGGAGCCGAGGTTGAAGCCGCCGCAGTCCTGGGGGATGACCATGTTGATGCTGCGGGGGTCGTTGTCGCCGACGGGGGAGAGGGTGATGGGGTCGAGGTAGTTGGCGTAGGCGGGCGCGTCCGGGTCGCCGGAGGTGCCGTTGGGGGGGTGGGGGATGTTGAGCGGGTTGTAGATGTTGATGTCGCGGTAGGTGGTGGCGGCGAGGTTGTTGAAGACGTGGGATTGCAGGGAGTAGGAGGGCTCCATGATATAGGTGTTGAGGTCGAGCCACCAGAACCTGCATTCGCATCATCTCGTTAGCCCCGGTCTCCGTTGGAATGAGTGGTGTATGGGCGCTCACCACTCCGCATTCGGATACTTCCTCATCGCATTGCGAATCGTGTCGACCTTCTCCCAGCTCTCCCTCCACTCATGCGCGTATCGCTTCTTCGTCGACATGTCCACGATGTCCAACTCGTAGCCCCAGTTCGCCACATATCGCTTCTTATTCCGTACACTGTCCCGTTCGATCGCCCACTCCCGCGCACCCTTCCATTCCATCACGCCTCCGCCTTGATTCGCGGCGAGGATGACGACGAACTTGCTGCCGCCCCCTAGCCAGGACGTCCTTCGATACCAGTATAGTAGGGCTGTCATCACAGTTAGTTCCACGATCCAGCGGATGATTATGGTGTGGGGGCGAACGTACGCTTCTGAAACACAGCCATCACCGCCAACAACACCACCAACAACAGCGCGACATACTTCCGCTTCCTCGACAGCAGCAACGCCAACCGTCTCGGCAGGTCCAGCAAGTTCATCCCTCCACCACCATCGCCATACGCCTCCCAACTACTCACTCGCCCCCGCCCCAACTTCTCCTTCTCCGCGTACCGCTCTTCCTGCCCGCCATGCGCAAAGTACGGTAACGACTGACTGATCTTCCTATAATGCCGGCCGAAGAAGCCCTGGTTCTGACTCTGGTACGTCGGATACCCGTTCACGCGCGCACTGTTCGCTTTCGCGCTCGCCCAGGTCACTCCGTCCCTTCCTCCTCCTCCTGTTCCGCCATTCGCATCATTGTACCTTCGTCCCGCGGGACTTCGTGCGCGTCCGTTGGTGTCGTCGTAAGGGGTGTTGAGACCGGGCGAGCTCCACCCGCCGCCCCGTTGCGGGCTGGGCGAGCGGTCGAGCGACATGTGCCCGATGCTGTCTTCCACTCCCACCCCTCCTCCTCCGCCGTTGGTAGTCGTACTCGCCTCTTCCGCGATATACGTCGTGATACCGCCGCCGCCGCCGTAGCGAGGCTTGGACGACGCGCGATGGGTGTGCAGTTGACTGGTGATCCCCCTCACGCTATCCGGCACGGCATGGGAGCTCTTGCTCGTGCGTCTCCGATGTTGCGACGTTTCCGCCGTCGGGCCCTCGGCGCCCGTATGTGAGTAAGCCACCTTTTTCGGGGTGTTGTGATTCGTTGGGAGGGCTGATTGGACGGGAAGGGGGATGGAGAAGAGAACACACCAATCTCTGGACGGTATCGGTATCGGTATCGGACAATGGTGTCTCGGTCTGTAATCAGTAAGGCGTTATCGTATCGTGTTCCTTCCTTAGCGCGACCGTTATCCTGGGTGGAACGTTCGTTTGTTGGTTAGGGTGTCGGTGATGCGATGCACATACACGCACACGCACACACACACACACACGCACACGCACGCTCACCTCGTATCGGCGGCGCGTGAAGCGAGCGATGGATACGGGGGGTCCGCTTCGGAAGGGCCGAATCAGATGGGAATAGTGCGACTGTTCCTCCACCTCTTCCTCTTACTATCACTGCACTGCACTGCAATTGCCCTCTGCTTTCCCCGTCAGGCTGAGACACGCTTGCAGCTGTCAAGATGCACGTGGAACACACACCCTTTTCTCTCGCAGATACAGAATAGCACAGTACAGCACAGCACAGTACGGTACAGTCGTGGCATACGAAGAGAGGGATGGGTGGCTCTGCACCCGAATGTTCAATCTCCGAAAATGGTATGGGCAAGATGGTCACGCAGGGCCAAGTGCTTTTAGTGCCACTTTCTCCTGCAACCAATAGTAGGTGTATGCGCGGTGGACATTGACCCGCTGGCCGTAAGTGGGGAGACGGAGGGCTTGATGAGCAGTAGGTAAGGTAAGCCGGGAAGGCAGGAGACAGGGGCTATCATACTGTGTCTCCATGTTCACGGCTACACGTCTATTCCACCGTCCACATATGCCATCGACATCTGCGTATCAACGGCTTCTCTCAACTCAGTCATCTAGGTTTGTCGAAGACGGAGCTTTTCGAAAACTGCCACACCGAAGCAATGGATAGCTACCACGGTAAACCCGTTCTCCAGTCCAAAATCTCTGCAATCAACTGTTCATTGCCAAGCAGACTACCTCTCCTTTCGGACTTGGGTTATCAGTCTTGTGCAACGGCGCGCCGACTCAGGGGGTGTTCATCAATCCTCGGCTCGCGTCTATCTATCTGATCGCCCACTCTGAAACGGAACCACCAACGTCGCACCATCCGTTCGCTGAACCCTCATTATAATAGAACCCCCTTCGGTGGTGGTGCTGCTGCTGCTTCCACGCTGTCAGCCTCCAACGGTGACGGTAGTGATTCGCTGATGACTGTGAGCGCCACAATGGTCGGAAAATAGATCGGTGGCTTGCTGACTTGCTGCTGATGTGCCGAGCCTTCTCCTCTTGGTCTAGCGTGCCTTCTGCTAACTGTACCTTCGTCAGCCCATATGCTCCATTCTGCAACCGCATGTTCTTCGCGTTCGGTCTGCGCTCCGTGTAGAGACGCAAGTACAAGTGCTTGAATAAGGTGAAATAAACCCGACTTCCTGGCGGCCAGGTATTCTGTGCGTCCCAAAATCTGATCATCTCGAACGCCCATCCCCCCATCGCCGCTCGATTTCCGCCGTTTGGTACGCTATGTATGCCGGAGTCGTGAGGAAACCGACGGTGCTGGCGCGTCGAGAGTAGCCACCATCCAGCCGATGTGCCAATGTTCATTCAACTTGGTCCATAATCACACTTTGACCTTAAACGTATTGAAAGTACGGCAGGAGCCTGCAACGCACTATCTTACACACTCGCGTAATGGGTGGCTGATGCTCTTTGATGCACGAGTAGAGGTCTAGGAAGACTTACGATCCGGCGTCAACGACCCCCTTGCCAAATGCACTCCAGATCTTCGGTGAAAGGTCGAGAATTCCTTCGCTCGAGCAACTGTCAGCTATGGCTTTGCGCGTTGACAGAGGAAACCTTGAATGTCGCCCACCTTGTCGCCATAATCATTCACGTCGTGCGGCAAGGGACGCCTTGGCCTTACAGACTTGACAGTGTGACGCAGCGGATGGTTTTGCGTCAAGTCTTGTGGTGGTGGACTTAGCACGAACTCATCGCGGAGGCTACTGAACAATGTTCATATGGTCTGTGCACCGCATTCACAAACGCGGAAGGTACGCTGAATGACAAGCTTGGCAGGTGCGAGAAAAGTCATTGTAGAGAGCACGACGTTCTTCGTCCTTTACTGCTGACACCGATTTCGAGGTAGCAGACGAAAAGCCGCAAGCCGCTATCGTAGCGTCCGCTTCTTGTCGCTCTTGTACCTCGAATGTTGAAACTCTGGACCTCCCACTCTCAGCATCTCCGTACAGGTTGCTGGGCAACTGTCAGCTGGAACATACTTTGTTTGTTCTTTCGTAGTGGAACCGTACCAGTTCAGTGGAAGCTAACGGTATGGACGTAGAGTGGGGGTGGGTCGTCCTCGTCTCCCATGCGCCGTAGCGGCCCACGGTCGAATCCAATCGGCTCTAGACCCTGCTTCAGTACGGCCACTGTACCTTCCAGCACGTCCGGTCGAGGCGCCACCTCAACTCCGGTAAGATGGCGTCGGTTTTAAGGGCCGATGGCTGCAAGCCAGCGGTATTGGAGTTCTGCCGATGGACCCATGTGCCTGAGGAAGAAGCGGACATTGGTAGCGTAGAAGTGTGAGAGGAGCTCGAAGCGGATCTTCTTACAGACTCGGGTGATGGGTGGCTGATGCCATGACTTCTTGAGATCAAGGTGCCATCTTATTCCTGGCCCGGCATCGATGACGAGCTTCCCGATCTCGACCCAAATCTCCGGCGGTAGGGCAAGCAGGTCGAAGGTCGGGGCTGGCTATTCAGTATCAGTAAGTGTGAAACAGACGGCGGGAGTACGGGCACAGGCTGCGCTTACTTCGACCGCCGTTTTGTAGTGTGAAAGGCGTAACGGCCGGTGGGAGACTTTAGGATGCTGTCGAACGGGACAGACTGTGCACGAAATTCAAGCGGTCGGCAAACTTGCGTTCATCGTTGGTGGAGGAAGAAGTGACGTTGTGGGACGAAGTAGTTCGCCTGTGCGGCGCCCACGAGAAAGGAAGGCACGCTAAGCCGCCGACAAGCGCGTCAGACGTCGGCGCTCTTTCCTCGCCTGCAGTGCCGAATAAATGCTTGAGCGCACTTTCCGCATCTCTACGTTTCTTCCAACACGGGACGCGGGTGCACAAAGCTCACATACTGTGATTGTCTCGTGCGAGATAATTTTCGCGAACGCACCATCTCCCGTTGACCCGACGAAACCATTGACACTGTGGAAGATGAAGCAATAAGGTAATAACTTTGACAGCGCCTCTCGCAGAACATCAGCAACGGCCCACGGTACGTGCACAACAGCTCAAGTCGAAAGGTTCGAATGCTGACATGACGCCGATGCAGGTCTCCATGGCGGAGTCAACGGCCGCGTCGCAGGTCTTCGATACTCGTGAGCTCCTAGAGATGATCTTAGCGACCCGTATAGGAGAGCCTTCAAACGGATCAAAGGAGTTGACACGCTTTAACACTCTTCTCCTTCTCAGGAGGTCCTGTAGGCAGTGGCATGCAATCATTGCTAGGTCGCCGGCGCTGCTTCGTACGCTCTTCCTTGAGCCGGTAACCCAACCAGTAATGAGGGTCGACAAGGCATGGGTGCGTCGAGTGCATTGGCCTGCTTTTTACGGGCCACTTCTCTCGCCCTCCGTGAACATGCAGCCCACCACGATTGACTGGAACCCGTTGTTTCCCGAAGAAACCAGCTGGCCATTCGGGCGCTCCCAGCCGTGGACAGTCAGCCGCAGACCGGGCAGTTACAGAGCAGCCAAGCATCCAGAATCGATGGAGTGTCCGGTCTATTTCCTCTACTTGCCCACTAACAGATCCAAATTGCTTCAAGTGCCCGAGGTATTCCGAGCTATGCAGCTCACAAGACCGCCTGTTGAAGCGGCGAGTATTGGTGCGTGGTGTACCAACGCGGCACACCATGGCGCTCATCCAACGTCGTATGGCGTAACGGTTGCGAAACCCGCAGGTGTGACTCTGGGAGATGTCATTCACTACGCGTGCGACATGCTTTGTCCGAGGCACAGCCTTCACAGCCTCTTCGTGAGCTTCGCTATTCGTATGCCATTCAGCGAGTAGACTGCACGAATGGATAGACCATCGAGTACTTAAGATCCGGATGTGAGGCTCAACGGAGAGGAAGAAACGCGCCGAAGAATAAGCAGCTTTACTAGCAGCCGAAGCTTTGCAATCTGCTCCTCTGCTGCGAAGTCTCACTGGCAGGGAGAATAACCGCTTGTCGATGACTGGGTTTGCAAAAAGAGAGCTCTGCGGAAGCAGTGCGAGAGTACGTTGGCTTGACGGCGTGCACTAGTGTCTCGACCTCAATAACGCGGTGAGCGTAGTTGTTATCAGAGTCCCAAACGTTGCGCGCATACAGCCGCCGCAGGATGACTTCAATCATCCCTCAATCACAGCCTCACCAACTCCCATCCTCCGGCAGCTTCCACAACCCACTCTTCCTCTTCTCCTGCGCCCACCGCTCAATCCACCCCTTCATCCTCTCCCTCCCCTTCGCACTTCCCACGTTAACCGTGGGGATAACCTTCTCAATCTTCAACGCGCAACAGAACATCGTCAACTCCCTGAAACTGCTGTGCTCGCTGTACGGCACGCCGAAGCAGCTCGCTCGGCTTGTACTGCCACGTTGCGGGACGAGGTCTTTCATGCTGTAGATACTTTTCCAGTTGTCGCCGTTGAGCACACTTGCGATGGAGGGAGACTCGAGGAAGCGGGACGTAGGCGGGCGGTAGTTCCAGCCTGAGGGACGGAAGCCGACGGCGCGGGTGAAGTGGGGGAAGTAGTCTTTCAGGTAGTCGTCGAGAGTTTCGGCACGGATCTCGAAGAGTGGGGTCATATGGACTTGGGCTGCTCGTGGGTCGCCGGTCATGCGTGCGTTGAGCTCGGGGTCTTCGAGTGCGCTTACTATGCGCATTTTCGACGGCGGAGCGTAGATTTTCGAGTTCAGCGCCTTGGCGATGCCGAGGCAGATGCGCTCTTTGCCAATGCTGTACGTGCCAACTACGACGAGCAGCCGGCCGCGGCCATCCTGCGCAGAGGGTGTGTCCTTCGTGCACAAGACCTGCTGGCTGGCGTCAGGATTGGCGAGGAGCTTCATGCCGTCGGCCTCGGCATCGTCATCCGCTGGCTCCTCTTTGATTTCGGAGTTTGACTCTTTGCGGACGAACTTGACCATGCCTTCACCCGCGCGCCGACGCTTCATCTGCTCCCAGCCGTCACTTTCGTCGACGCTGTGCTTGCTGAGGCTAACGCACATCTCAGCGCATGCCTTGATGACGGTTTGCTGGCTTGGAAAGGCATATTTAGGGTTGAGATAGGTTGTATCGAGGTAGCAGACGTCAATCTTTTGTTCTCTCGTCTTGCCGGAGATTTTGTCTTGCACCTCTGGCATAAGCAGTGGATGCTCGATATGCGCCCGACACGCGCGGAAGTCGCCACAGTGTAGTATGCGTTGCAGTCGTGGCTCGCCGTTGGTCTTCTTACCGACCACCTTCTCGAAAAGGTACAGTGAAGAGCCCGGGCAGTGATTGGCCGGTATCATAGTAACTTTAACGCCTCTCGTACCAGGCACCTCGATAGGCTGCTCAAACTCAAGATCAACCACATACTTCGGGTCCACTCGTAGCTGTTGCCTGACAAGGTTCGCAGTGACATGAGAACAGTAGATCGGTCCATGACTCCAACTGCTTGTCAAGCCGATGTAATGGTCGCTGTGGAAGTGGCTGAGGAAGTACGCTTGACAGCCTTGTACAGCGCCGTAGCGGAAGGCGTCTACGCAGATGAAGAGACCCGGTAAGATTTTGTAAAAGGGACAAGTTCGCTGATACGCAGGCTTGCCGCGCGAGGCGTGCTCTGCAGCCGCTGCTTCTGCCCATGCGGCGTCTTCCGCGTGACCTGACATCAGCTTGTTGAAGGCCGACCCGCCGTTAATGCTAGATTCGCCAAATGCGAAGGGATTGGCTTGGCCAGGCTTAGGCGCTCGAACAGGTCGCCTGAATTGATCGGCTGATGCTGCATACTCGGTCTTGACAATTGCTGTTGGTGGGGATGACGGCTTCTTCCTTTCTGGCAGCGGCGTTGGATTGCCATCGAGACAGTTGTTGACGTGCAGTCCAGCTTCTTGCTCGTCAATACCAGTAAGGCTGACGCTGCAAATCGGACAGCTTGGTGAATTGTCTGCGGGCGGCGTTGGCAGGTCTTCGACTTTGACATTCGGCGTGCCTTCCGCCAATACTGGATCGTAATCCCTCTCATCTCCCTCTGCCTCCAGTCTGGCCTGTTCTTCTTCAAACTTGCGCTCAAGGAACTCGTCGCCTTCCTCGTACAGATCCTCGTCAAAGTCTTCCATGCCTTCAAAGTCCTTGAACTCATCCAGATCGGGACCGTAGCTTGTCTCCTCCTTCACCAGTGGCGGGCGCTCTGGCTGAGTAGACTCTTCAGGCGCTAGTTCTTCCGCTTTCGACTCGCACGGAGCACCAAATCCATTACTTGGAGAATCCCTGATATCATCAGTGGGCGGAGGAGCAATAGCATCGGGCTGCGGAACGTCTTCCTCATCATCAGACTCCTCCACGAAAGGTCCTCGTGGTGGAGCAACCTCTTTTGTTGGAGTGATTGCTGCTGGCGAGCCAACACCACCACCATCTCCGAACAAGTCATCAACCTCTGCCTCCGTTTGCTCAATGCTCGTCCTTCGTCGTTTGACCGAACCACCACTTTCGTTGAATCTAGGTTCACAATCCAAGCTCTCAATATGTGACGAGTCTGGTGTTGGTGGATGGTTCTCGACTTCCACTTCGACCCTCGTAGCGCCTCGCCCTTCATCAACAAACAATCCTAACTCCTCCGCGATGCCATCGGTCTTCTTGAAGAAGCTCAAGATGCTGCCGTTCGCCTTGCCGCTCTGCTTTGCCTTGGCGGCAGAAGCCGTCTTCTTTGCGCTGCCAACAGCACCTTGTCTACCAATGACTGGCAGGGGAGTCTGCTTGGCTCCTTTCGTCTTCACCGCCATCTTCGGAGCGGGTACGCTTGGTGGCACCGCCAGCGTGAACGGCGTCTTTGCCGGAGTCTGCGGTGGCGTTGGTGCCCTGCCGAGCGATGGACATGTACTCCCACTACTCCCCCCTACAGACTCCCGGGCTTTGCGAAACATCACTTGCCATTTCTTTTCCCCAACTGCAATCCTACTAGGAAAGCGGTAAACATGAAGAATATCAGTCGCACAAGGCAGGAGCATTCACGTAGGCAACGCGCCGCACGTGACTATGGTCAATGCAGGGTTCAATGACGACCGTGCCAAGAGACCTTTCCATCGGTTTGATGGCAAACAAATCGCACCGAGATGTTGGACCGTCGAGCCGCATCCTCCATGACTTCCTCGGCCCAGACTGTACACTGCGGCACCGATGACTGTATCAAGACACCCATTGTCGTTGACTGCTCCACCCGTGGCGCCGCTCAGCTCATCTTGGCGCATCCGTCTCGTCAGCACAGTAAGCTCCGTATGCTTCGAATGACCAACGAATTCTTGGAGCAAATCCCGTTGCATAATGTAGGCTACGAAGGTAGGTCGTCGTCTCATTGTATCGCTGGTCTGTTTCGCGCTCGCTACAACCTTTTTCATTTTACGTTCAATGCAGTCTCCGAAGCTGCAAGCGGATACCGCGCCCTTCCGTCTTCTTAATCTTCCAGCAGAAATATGGACGCAAATCATCGCCCTCGCTGTCATCTACAAGGACCCAATAACTATCACCCGCAGTAGCAGAGTCAAAGATCAACAAGAACTTGTCCGACAACCAGCCATAACCCGCACATGCCGCGTGCTCCGCCTTGAAGCGCTTCCACTTTTCTACCGCCACAATACTTTCGAAGGCTGGCATGTTCATCATGTCCAGTGCCCACGGGACTGGCTGGTGGCTATTGGAGATGCTAATCGGAAGGCAATGGGAAGCTTCAGGTTCTGTGCGCAGTTCTCTGCCTCATTCTGGGAGGGCAAGTTTGCGAGAATGGGTGTGAAGGTCGTTGTTGAGGAGTGTGGGAGCTGCACTCAGCCTGTTTGTCAGAAGGAGAAGGATGCGAACTTACATGGCTTGAAGGATATGATTGTCAGGTTTGTCTAATTTTCTATGAACTCTAAATTTCCGCGCCAGAGTTGTTGCTCTACTCGCTTCCAGAACTACTATACTGCTTGACTAGGAAATACTCGCGGCGGTAGTGCTCTTCTTTGCCACTGTTGCCACGCCAGTGGTCTCCCCTCTGTAAGCTCATGCATTGCTTCGGCAGTGATCTTCTGGCCAGTATTCTCCGCAGCCCGCTGTTGCTTCGTCTGCTGTGCTTCGCCAGTGGCTTCCTGAGCCAGCATTAGCCATCGCTAATACAGCCCTTCAAGTTCAAACTGGATGTATCATAAGAGACGCTGCTCAAGGCCCGCCGATTTGGAGGTCGTGTCTCCGACGGTGTATCTTGCAGAAAGCTTGAACCTGGCGATAGAGCTAGAGAGCGGTTGAACGAATGGTCTTTTCCCACTCGTAATGCTGCAGTGAAAATGTCACATCAATCTTACGATGCCCTTCTCGAGTCCCGGTAGCTTTCGCATCCACGATGGGAGGTAGTCATTAGTATCAAGGGTGCTCCTTGGCGGCGCCAGCCAGTCGCCATAGGAATGTATCTCGCGATGTAATTGGGAAGGTCGGACATACAACCTTGTGGTGCTGCAATACTGTGAGAAGGAGTACCTGAAGTGCTTCACGTGAGGATGCAGGCGCGGAGCTACAATTTTGCGCGCTGTGCGCGCAGTGCGTGCCGTGCAGCGTAGAAGGCGTTCTGATTGCTAGGTTCCGTGGTGAATGCAGGTCACCAGGAGTCAATGCGGTAGCTCCTCGGCGATCTGAACGCAAAAAATGAGTAGGTGACGGAAGTGACTAGATCATAAGCAACTGATATTCAACGCTTCCTAGAGTGACTGACTGCCCTATTCACCGTCAACGCCGCGCTAATTACAAAGATAGCTTGGGAGTATAATGCCATTTGCGAGGTAACACAAGCTCACATCATCACCTTGCCGATTTCGCTGGCCCAATCTTTCGCCCGCTCAAAGCCATTCGTATACGTCGAGTAGTCGAACATTGCCTGCCGTACCTGAGTCGGGTCGGTAAGGACGAACGGACCATACTGGATAATCGGCTGGTCAAGTGGTAGGCCCGCAACGAGGATGAACTGCGCCGACTCCTTGGCATCTGCCGGAACACTTGCTATGACTTGGTCGCCCTTTTGCTCAAAAACGGTATTGTGATACTTCGGGACTTGCTGAGTGGTGGCGCCCGTGTCAAACGTCGTTGTGCCTTTCAGAGTATAGGCGAATGCGTTCCAGCCGGCTGGTAGGTTCTGTACGTATTTACCGCCTGGCCTCACCGTGACGTCCAGAAGCCAGACTGGTGTGTAAGCCAGTTCCTGCAAGCTGTCTACACCGTAGCTGCGGCCGGAGATCACTTTGACGGTCACTTTGCCATCGTCTCCGGTTGCCATCGGAATCTCCGAAGCCTTGACGTCCCGGTAACGAGGTTCACAGTTCTTGAGGTCTTTGGGAAGGTCGACCCACAGCTGCATTCCGACGTTCGAGGTGCCTTGACCGTCATCATATGGCATCTCTGCGTGAACGATGCCACGCCCAGCGGTCATAAACTGCAGGTCGCCAGAATTGATCCTGCCTTTATGGCCAGCAAAGTCCTCATGGTCTACCGCACCCTGCAGCAAGTAGGTAATAGTCTCCTGACCGCGGTGCGGATGATCGGGAAAGCCGGCGCCGGGGCTTATACTGAAGTGATCGAGCATTAAGAAAGGGGTGAAGTTCTTGAGTTTAGGTGTGCCGATTGAACGGCGGACAGTGGCCCCCGCGCCCTCAGCTTGCTCGCGTGCCTCGAAGACTTTTTGGATGCCACGCGGCTTCGGTGAAGTAGCGTTGAGTGACGGGTCCTCTGGCGGGATGACTGGCAGTCCAACAAATGTCGAGGATGGTGCCATGGTTGCTTGCGTTCGGGTCGTTGTTGGGTGAGTGAGGGGGCTTCTGATCACGTTCTTGAGTGGACTATTGCGGAGAAACGCTCTCATGAACTCTAGAAGACTTTCTTGCTGGTAGATTGCAATGCTGATCGCTACTATGCACACGAAAGTTGAGAGGAGAAGTCGCATCGGGTGGCAAGCGCGGGGTTATATAGGATCGAAGGCCTTCTAGAAGCCCTGAGATACGGCGGGAAGCAGGAATGAAATGGGCGCTTAGATGATGCTTAGCTCTGACTTACAATATAGAGGTGTATCCGCGACGAGTGTATGGTGTGGCGCTATGAACAGGCATTGGAAATCGTGACAAAGCAAAGAATAAGCGTGATCGAATTCGTCTCGGGCGCGGACCTTTCCGTTCTCTACGTCTTGTCGCCTAAGGCTCGAGCGATCACGGAGAGACTTCGTCCACTGCTTGCCGATCAGGATCCCGAAATCACAGGCATTGGTTATGACCCTCGTAATCCGAACCATGCATCCTCACTACTCGGTTGACGTTCGCTGGTCATTGCAAAATTACATCTACTCTGCAGGATGAAAGGTCCCGGATATCTTGCTGTAGCTATCCAGCCATCGAAGGATACGGACAGTGATGCCTTCCATGAGTGGTATAATACCGAGCATGGACCGCTTCGTCTTCGCCTTCCATTCATCTTAACCGGAGACAGATACAAAGCGGCCGATGGTCTCCGTCCCGAATGGAGTGCTGTCTATGATGTCTCGGACCTTTCTTGGCTGGAGAAGCGCATCTATACCCGTCTTCGTGAAGAGAGATCCAAGCGCGAGCAGAAGGTGATGGGTACGTTTGAATCTCTCGACCGAAAGATTTACAGTACCATCGGTTCTCGTGGTGACTCCAAAGGACCCGCTCCGGTGCAAGTTGCCGTTTCCGTAAGGCTACCTGAAGCGGACGCAGATGAGTTCAACAAGTGGTACGAAGAAGAGCATATTGAAATGCTCTCGAAGGTTCCTGGCTGGCTCCGCACGCGGCGCTTTAAGCTCGAGGTTGGTGGCCTGATGGGTATGCCGCCCGCGGGTCAGGTGGAGCTTCTCGCTGTTCATGACTATGAAGCCAAGAACGGCCTTAATGGGCCAGAGCACAAAGCTGCCGCAGCGACACCGTGGCGGGCGAAGGTCATTGGAAAGGTGACATGGTCCGACCGAAGGACCTGGTCCCACCACTTGCAGTTCGACGCTCTGGAAGAGGCTCCATCCTCTGTCACCACCACAGATGGCGCAGAGCTGAAATTTCAAATGGAGGGCAACCCTAACGACCCAGTAATCGTTTGCGTGAACTCTATACTTACGAGCTTGCACATCTGGGACGACGTCACGCGAGCACTGCTCAATGGTGTCAATGGCAAGACCTATCGTGTGCTCCGTTACAATTCTCGGGGCTACTCGCAACAAGCTGAGCGCAGTAACCCCACTCGATTTGACCTTCTTGCGGACGATCTGGAGTACCTCCTGGAGCGTACCGGGGTCGACAAAGTGCATGCTGTGCTTGGTATAAGTATGGGCGGTGTCACAGCAATCAACTTCGCTATCCGCCACCCAGATATGCTTGAGAAGTTTGTGGCGTGCGATTGCAACGTCGCGGACAGTCCTGCCAACAATAAGGCATGGGGTGAGCGTGTCGAACTGGCGAAGGAGAAAGGCATGGGTGCCCTTGCAGAGGTGACAGTCAAGCGTTGGTTCACCGAACCGAATCACGAGTCGTCCAACGCGAAGAAGGTCCGGCAGATGATTGAGCAGGCAAGCGTACAGGGGTTCGAGCAGAGTACTGGAGCGCTGTGCAACTACAACATCAGAGAACACCTGCCGAAGATCAAGACGCCTGGCTTGTTGATTGCCGGAGAGGGCGACGGCAAGCTTCCAGAAGCGATGCAGAACTTTGGCATTCCGACGGCGACCTTCACATCGATACCGCAAGCAGGCCATTTGCCAATGCTAGAAAACCACGACGCCTTCATGGAGGCCTTGGCAGGGTTTCTGTAAGTCTTGGTTAGCTTTCGGACTCGGCGCGGATGCTGATGCCGTTAACAGAAAGGAAAAGAGTAGGCTGTAACGTATAGTTGGGTCGCCTTGACTGGTTAACGTAATCAACATTTGCTTGAGATAAGCTGGTATCATCCTAGTGCATCAAGCCAAGAACAAATACCTCCAGCATGCCGACTGTTATAGCAGCTTCGTATATGCTCGCTTTAAACATGCAGTGAAGCCACGATCACCACGTTCGGCACAACTCAAAAGACAGGCTCTGACACTTCGCAAGACAACTGCAGTATGTCTTTGATCTCCTCGGGTGGTGTACGCCCCATGCCGCATTCCGTTGCAACGCCGAATGGATAGTCCAAGACGTTCTTGGCAGCCGCAATCATCTTGTCGGTTGCTGCTCGATCTAAGCATGGAGACCGTCAGCGTGCAGTAGATGTGGTAGGGAATGTGTTAGCCTACCGTTGTAGTGGATCACGCCGAGGTAAAGATCGGTGTTGTGCTCCTTGAACTTCGGAATGAGCTGCTTGAGCGGCTCAAGATACTTCTCTAGGTTGTCCATGGCGCTTTTCGGCACCGGCACGTGGAAGCCATCAATGTTGTGGGGTGTCTTCTCAAATATGCGGAGGCCGCGCTCTGTCACTGAAGCTAGAGAAATTGGCTCGATCCAGTGTCGATGCTCCATGTCACCTACACATCGCGTCAGTGGTGGAACCTCACCCTACAGTCTCGAGGCTTGCCATAGCAGTTGTGTATCAGGACGTCAACATCCTTGTCCACCTGGCCAATCATGCGAACGGTGTAGTCCACTATGTACGCCTTGATCTTGTCCATATTGCCATCGCCGAACCATGGCTTGAACCATGGGAAGCCGTCCCAGAACGCCGTATCAACGGCAAGATCGATCTGAATTGCAAGATCTTGATGCGGAATCTTCTCCTGCAACGTGCGCATGCTGCGGTACAATGCATCCTGGTACAGCGGCTCGACTCTCGCTTGAAACGGGGCTTCCACGAAGGGGCTGAGGACGTTTGGCGGTGTCGCCATGGACACCTGGAACCTTGTGTCTTTGGCAATCACACCTTCATCCTTAAGCTTCTTAAAGACACCATAACTCTCGATGCCGACCTTATCATAACCAGTATCAAGCGGTGCGGCTTTTTCTAGCTTCTCTATGCCCTCGTCTACCTGCTGCTGGGAGAATTCGCCAGCAGGTACAGGCCTGTTATACTCGAATTTGACGCATAGCTCCGGGCTGACGTGGAACATCAAAGACTGCCATGTGGTAAACAAGTTGCGGAAGCCCGTCTCGCCATCAGGGATGCGCTTCAATCGATGAGGAAGGGCGGAAGTACATTGGCGGAGTACGGTCTCCGTGTCGGGAAGCGGCACGCTGCCTATGAGGTGACAGCCTCGCACTTGTGACATGCTGCTGCGGTAGTCGGATCCTTATACTCGGGTCGTCTGGTCTGGGCAGTCGTGCGAGTCTTGGAGAGGGTCAACTCCGCTGAGGGCTACAGTTTTCGGTCTGTTGCAGACGAAATGACCTCCTTGCTATTCCGACGGATACACACAGTCGCACTTGAGCCGCGTGGTGTTCTGGCTCGTGTATCCTAAGAAACTCTTGCGTCGCTTGTTGTCACCTACCTCTGGCTTTCTACGCAGCTGTGTCACCTCGTTTGCCCCTCATCGCTCTCACTCGTGCCGCACATATGCAGTGCATGCGAGACCAATGCAAGCTAATGGCCACGTTGAAAGACACAAGCAAGGAAGCTACAAGAGGGCGGCCGAACAAGCAAGTGGATCAGTCAAACGGATGGCTGGCCAATCATTCCGTCTCAACTGAAGTCAGTTGAGCTTGGAAGACGAACTACGGAAAGCTCACCATGCAACAGCCGGGGACCCTTGAACATGGTGGGCGTGTACAGATAGATTGCATTGATTGAATGTCATACCGTGTATACCCACCCAACTTCACTTCGTGATCCGAGTCAGTGGTTCTGAGCTCATAACATGAAGCCTCATTCGTCTCACGCGTACGGGACGATTGTAGTCGTAAGTCGCGTGGGCGAGCTATATCCGGCTCTGCATCGTTACCACTCCGTCGGAATCCGTCCACCGTCGCCATTAGGCTCTTACTTCTCGCTTCGTCAATATGCTGTTTCCTTCCGCACACTTCAAACGCTTCGACGATAGAGATGGAAGCAGACGATGAGTGGGATCATGATAGCACTTTCGGCGGCTCACGGGCTTCGCTGGCCAGTAGCAGCACCTCTTTGCAAACCGCAGTCACACGATATGAGTTCGAGCATGGCAGACGATATCATGCTTGTATGCTCGTTCAAATGCACGTCTCGTGGCGGACACTGACGCCAAAGTGTTAGACCAAGCGGGCAAATACCACTTCCCGAATGACGAGCAAGAGCTGAACAGGATGGACATTGGTACGCAGATGCAGAATGGTCGGACCTACAGGACACTTGTTGACACATACTGCGTTCTCCAAGAGCACTGGAACCAGGTACGAGCAGGCAATGTTGTCGAATGTTGTCTGGATGCTGAACCTCGAAGTAGCGGCTTCAGATGAACGGTGCATTGCATCTTGCTCCGCTTGACGATCCAGAAGAGATCCTAGACTTGGGGACTGGTACAGGTACAGAAATACTGCGGTTTCCGCCCGAGTTATTGACATGACACTAAACCACCCAACCCAGGCATCTGGTGTATCAACATGGCCGATTCCTACCCGAGGGCGCAGGTCCGTCACCGACAACCGACGTTGACTTGACGAATACTGATCCCATATCGGATTAGGTGCTCGGCATCGATCTCAGCCCCATCCAGCCTGACTGGGTGCCACCAAACTGTCGGTTTGAAGTCGATGACTTTGAGCTTGAATGGCAGGTACAGCCGTGCCGAAGCAACGCGAAGCAAGACTAACACCACAAGCGCAGGACCTACGGCGACGAGCGATTTGACTTCATCCACCATCGTCACCTTATCGGCTCTATTTCAGATCACTCACAGTTTTATAAGAGAGCTTACAGTGCACTTAAACCCGGGGGTAAGTACTCACAGCGTCAAGTTGTGAGCGTGGCGTTGGACTAACCACTGTACTGCTCTTGTTTAGGCTGGATTGAGCTTATCGAGCAGGAAGCGTTGACATTTGCAGACGATGACTCTTTGCCAGCAGACTCCGCTCTGGTGCAGTGGGGTAAGCTTGTACACGAAGTCTTCGAGCGGACTGGTCGACCGTTCTTGCCTGTCGAAAAATACAAGGACCTACTAGAGGATGCTGGCTTCGAAAATGTCACGTGGAAGCTGGTCAAGCGGCCTTCAACCGACTGGCCGAAAAACAAGAAGATGAAGGAGATTGGCGCTGTAAGTCTTAGCGTATTTGCGCACGCTCATATCACTGACCGGCGTAGTGGTGCTGTATGAACTTCCTCGAAGGTCTAGAGGGCTGGACAATGGCGCCATTCACGCGTGTCTTGGGCTGGAAACCGGAGGAAGTAACCATTTTCGTGGCGAAAGTGCGCGCAGAGGCTGTGAACAGAAAGATACATGGATGGATGAAATCGTGAGTAGCAGCATCCACCCCTCATTGCCCCAACTGACATGAGACAGATGCGTGTGCTACGGCCAACGCCCACAAGTGAGTGCATCATGAGCAATGAAATCAGACGTGCAAGTTCCGTCCTCAAAGGCGGTGTCTGCTTCGCCAGACTCACGGCTGTACATACCTCGGTAGAGTTCACTCTCTGTACAGGGTGTCCGGTTGAAGTTGGCATTCTACTTGTATGGACCAGTCTCTTTCGGTCAACCATTGAAGTTTAATAGCAGGCTCTCGTCTCGTAGGACCAATTCCAGCAGTGCCCGAAAGTCAAAGTGCCATGTGTTGGAACGCTGCTACCACAAGCAAAGACAATGCAGTGCGTGGATACGACGAGCCACCGAGGATACTTCGGGGTCCACTGGATCGCCAACATAGTCAGCTGAGGTTCCAGCTCATGAACCTCAGCCTTTGCACCGATTGTGATTGGCGCATCGAATTGGTCTCCCCACACCCTCGAACACATCCCAAAATATCGACGGGGGCAGACCTTGGCGTTAATCCTCCTGTCTTGGGGCTTGACTTGACGCAACCCCTGTTATATTTGATGAATGCATCTATTGTCGGCCACTCATGGGCAGATATGGAGTTGTTTGAATGCGATATCTTGCTCGCAACGCATTGGAAGACCCTTGATCGAGACTTGAGAGTTTCGCTTCTAACCTGACTTTTGCCGGTGCTTGAGAATGTCCGAGCGGACACTAGCGAACGATGCGCGTCGTCTATTAACTCTTGGTGCAGACGCCATTAACGGCTAGATGATCCGAGCAGACTTCACACTACGTGGAGATAAGCTCGTCTGGATGCACCACATTTTATATGGTTGCTCTTTCATGGCGTTGACTAGCGGGCGCCGCGTCGTTCAACTACCGTGGTAGCCTCTATACAGGACATAACCTAAAGGCATGGCGACAGCCGCCACAACGACTTCACGGAGTCAAAAGGTTGAGGCGGGCGTAGGTGTGGGTGCGGTTCTCTGATCTCAATCGTTGCATATGTGACTTTGTTCGCAATTTACTTATCCCTACCAATATATCTTTCTGCTGCAACATAATTACGGTTGGGAAAGGGACCAGACCGACTACCAACCATTCAAGACTGCCCGCCAGTATCGCATTGAAGGAAGTTCGAGGCAATGGGTCTCGCAACGTTTTGGGCGTCGTTGACGTCGCCGCGAGTGAGAGAGATCGAGCACAAACATCGACCATTTTCATATGAAGCGCAAGAACCTGTGCCCGCGATGACTTCGATAGAGTCGACCATGTACAAAGCACCGACGAGCGCTGCCTCTATGACTGCGCTGCCTCGTGTAACACCACGGGCTGAGGCCCCAAGGAGTGTACTGAAAGACACCCAGACCAAAACCTCAAAACAGGCACCGGCACCGGAAGTGAAGAGACGACGGAGTAGGTTTGGCAAGCCTCCAGCCGCAGAGGAGACTACCGCCCTACCGCCAATGCCTTCACCCGCCCGGCCAGCTCTAGCTCACGTCAAAAGCCAGCCAAATGTTCGCCCTGTTACGGCCATCACGGCAAACGAACCGCTACCTTGGAGCAAAGCACCAGGCCCCAATGTGGAGGAGCGGAAGAGTCGAAGGAGGTCGCTCGCGGAGGTTCTGAAAGGTTCTCGCAAAAGGAGCAAGTCGTCTGCAACGCAAAGTGGCCTCGAGAGACGGCAGTCAGTACTCGGCGGTCATCGATCGATCATTCCCCCGGTCCCCAGTGTCCCTGCCTCGGCCGCGGAGCTGATCAACCCCACTACGGGCATGGTACCGTCCTTAGAGGAGAATGTGGAGAAGCGCAAGAGTAGGCGGCTATCCTTGAGCAATGCATTGAAGCGCGGTCGTAGCAAGTCGTCGGCCTCCCTCAAGAGCAAACGGGGTTCTTGGTGGCAGAGCAGTAATCCAGACGACGACCACGACGAGCCGCCGCCGCTACCTCCAGTCCCTGCGTTAGTCGATGATGATGGCGTGCGGACGCCGGAGTCTGTTGCCGCCAAAACCGCCAGCCCAGCCAGCATTTACACCCTTGACCACAATATTGCTTCCGATGGTCCCATCCACATGGCAACTCGAGGCTCAGGTACGAGGAGATCGCAACGTTCTGACGTGTGCTTTGCTAACGACCGTCTTCAGATATCAAACAGCCTCGTCCGATTAGCGGTGGAAGTGTGTTGTCCAAGCACCGGACGTACAGTCCGAAGAACGCCGCCAACGGCTTCTTGCGATCGACGAGCGCCAGAAGCCCGTACCGGCATTCCTTACTCGACGATGGTGAAGGAGGTATGATCTGTCTAAGTGACGAGCAGCAAAGAGAGTGGGAGAAGTTACAGCAGCTCATGGATGTTATGGAAGCGAGGCCTGATACTGAAAGTACCATGACGAGGACGACAGAGGACGATAAGAAGGATAAGAAGGGCCTGCCAGCATTCTCGAATGCAGACGCGTTGGCGGCTTTGGAGTTTGGTATGGCGAAGTAGTCGGCTGCTCGCCGTTCAGAACTTTGATCTTTACAGCATCAATGCCATTACGCGCCTTTCCGCGAAGAAGAAGACACAACGCAAGAAACGATAACAATGTAGGTGCCAATGGTCAATCGGCTAGTGGCGTTACCCGATAATTAAGTTGTTTGACGTTAGAAACTTACCGACTCAAACTCTCTCGACGGGATCCGGCCAAGCAACATAAGCGTTTCGTACCTTTCGAATGTACAAGATTCCTCTCGTCACTTGGTCAGCAGCGCACCCGAACTTTGACAGCACCAAAGGTTACCTTATACATTATCGGTGTCTCAAGCTCTGCGACCGCCAATTGCTGGCCGCAGACAAATTCGCATAGGTCCGTCCCAAGCACCACCCTTTCATCCTTTCCCGTTGCGGCCGCCCCGACGAGCCACTCTGTGAATTCTACGACGTGACTTCCTGCATTGTCAGATGAAGTGGCGACTGCATCTGCAGCTGCGATCACTCCAGTGTCTGGGATTGTAGCGCCGTGCTACGCCACAGGACTCAGCTTCGTTTCAGCCTGCGAACGTTCTTGTCGGCAAGGGCGAACCGGCACTTCTGGCAAGGGAGAACATAATGCCAGTGTATCGCCCCCGTTCTTGAAGGAAGCGCCGGGCATGGTGAGCGTCCAGACGCGGTAGTGGCGAGGCAGGTCAGAGGTGGACAAGAGCGCGTGCGCGACCGCAATACACATCGCCAGCTCGTCATGCTCGTACAGCTGATGCACACGGTTGTACGCGCGGCCGAAACTTTGCCTGACCCATGTTATTTTGGACGGAAATGATGGCGGGGCTACTTGGGGCTGGAAGTGAAGGCTTGGGAATTATCCTACAGGTGGAAGATAGTCAAGTCAATCCGGCTTTGCAACGTTGAAACAAGACGTGGTTCAGCATGTGGGCGTCGTTGTATGTAGCCGAGGCGTGGCTACGTGCACACGGAGCGCTCGTTGCATGTAAGGCTGTGGCCTTTTGAGGAGATGAAGCAGAGATGGAGGCTTGATGCGGAACTCTATCACACCCCATTCTCGTTACGCTTTTCGGCACCGTCTCAACACCACACAAGCTCGCACGGGCGGTCATCATGTCGAGATCGTGCGTGGCGCTCAGTCCCGCCACTCGATGTACTATGTACTCATGTAACTGGAGCTGGCATCCTCATGCCAATTCTCACGAGCAGATTACACTTTATCTTGAGGTGGTGGCAATATCCCGCTCCAGATCGGCTATGGTGGTACATTGCGTGGCAAACGTCGCCAATTGCAGAGCTCAATTACTCGCCAATGACATAGGTGCATCCTTCATTGCCTATCCAGACTTCATGCCTTCGGTTTGCCGCAACATCGAGTCTGCTACCGGTCTTGAATGTCTCCTTGGTCGGTGTAGGGTCGTCCGGATACGTGATGGTAAGCTCGCCCTGCAGGATCAGATGCGTGGTTAAACTGTTCTAGTTATTGAACATCCAAAGCTTTGCTTCGGAAAGCTTTGGCTTACCCGGAGTGCCTGGAAGTCAGCGTCACAACCATCAGCGTCGTTTCAGACAGGAGTAAAGTTCCATAGGCGAGATCTACTGGTGTGGCGGGTAGTAAGCCCCAGCGTGGTCTTTCCACTGCATGTATGAGTCCTGGTTAGATAGCTCGGATACTGCAGATGTCGGTTTGCAACGAAATCTACCTTGAATACCCGTGAAAACCCCCAGGACCTGACTTCGCGCTCGGGATCTTGACCCATATTGCACTCGAGTTTCGTGCCTTTGGTTGTACAATGCTATCTTACATCGCTAAGAGGTCCGAATGACGTGCTGTCTTTACTGGAAGACCTAGCCGATAATCTCCCGGAGCGAATCCTTAGAGCGAAGATTTCTGGCCACACGAAATGACACTATCGATCCTTGAGTAACACTCCCTTTATAAAGTCCTAATCTGCCAGGCTGTCGCAATCGACGTGCAGATGTTCTGGTGTAAGCGGCAGATTTTGAACTATTGCTCGGCGCTGTTGAAGTACTTTGCAGTGCGGTCTGCCTCAGCCCTCGTCTGGAAGCAAGCGATGTTATCAAACTACATTACCGCCTGTTTCTTGCTAACTTTCCGGTGTCTGGCACCCGTATGCTACCCATGCTCGGAGAACCATAAGCGCTGGCATTGGCATTACTTACAAGAGGTCTTTATCCACATCGGCTTGGTACTTCAACCATTGCGGTGACCGGCACGACCCCGGCATCATTGCTCAAGCATGACAACCAGAAGCTGCAAGCTGTGCGCCATGCAATCCTCGGCGTCCACAAGCTGCGACGCCGAACTAAGACTTTACCGGCAATAGAAAGTACCAGGCCTGAGCTTACCGGCAGCTTGTAGCACAGACATTCGGCAGATCGAGCATTTGCGATCTGGCGTTACAGTATGTAGAAGATACGTACAGCGACAAATTCTCAAGGTCTTTATGCCACCACGTCGTCCGCTTTTCTCGCTGATAAGCCGTTGTTGCAACTGGGTGGGTCGATCTTAGTTACGGCTGAAGGCGCCCTTTTCCTGCCAGTACTAATACACATCGCATGGATTTGCAACAGGGCCACGTGGTAGTGTGTGCAGCAGATCCAGCTTGTAGGATTTTGGCAAATGCGACCGGCTTCACCGGGCCTAGCACTCCGGCACTTGATGCGAAACTTCCACGCAACGGGCCACGCAACGGCCGTCCCTGGAGAAGACTGAGCGAAGTGGAGCCGCCCATCGAATGTCATGAGTCTTTCGAAGCCTAACGCAGAAGGTGTCTTAGGGGAGTCTTTACCCTTGCTTCCGTAGATGGTCATACATCGGTTCCCTGGTTAGTACAAATCAGATACGGGGTGCACGCCCATCAGAATCCGCCTGCTCTACAACGCTTCTTGAAACATCCGTGATGTCCAAAGCCAAACTAACCTAACTGCCAAGTAAAGGAGGCGATACCAGTCGACGGAGCCTGCGTCGTGAGTTTAGGCTGCCTGTGAAGCTGCAGCATCGGCATATGATGGTTGTTTTCCTGCCGGCGACTGTATGAATGTGCCAGCCTTCGCTTACACCGCTTATGAAGCATATAAGAAGTCAGCACAGACCGCGAGCAGCCCATCCTGGTCACATTCTGGCCTCCAGACATCCCAGATTGCATCTGCAAGCCCATGGTGGCTTACCAGTACCGGTGTTGCCCCATCGAACGCCTAGCGTTGCCATGCCGAGCTAAAAGACTCGATGCGATGCAGGCCTGCATTCCGAGGCACTGCGGTCCATGCCGAAAGCCACTACCTCGCTTGCGCAAATGTCTACAGGTCGCAAAAGTTTACAATCTCATTCAGAAGTCAAACGAACCCAGGCCTCCTGTCGGTCCGCTCAACAACGTAAGATGAGCACGAAGAGGCTACAGCGTCACGCGAATCATCCATGGCGAGCGTCGTTGCTACGGACGCCGGCATATCAAGCTCTAGTATCTGTGCTACATGACAGCTCGTCCGTGACTTCTTCTCGTGTCCATGAACATTGGAAGACGGCTCTGTGCAGCATGCGCGGCTCTTTGTTCCGATGACAGGCCGCCGAGAAGCGCACAATTTCCGCACAGAAGCAGCCTATTTCCAATGCAACTTCCTTGGATCAAGGAACCAACGCCGGACCACCACTCCCGCAGATAGCATGTTGACTCATGTCAAAATGCAGTGCTGCGAGAGTACATCCGCTAGGTGACCTACTCTTTAGAAAGTTCAGGCCCGCTCCTCCGCGGTCCTTGCGGGACCAACACAAGCGTTGACATGTATGAGCTCGACGGGTGTCGTTTGTGCAACGTGTACCGACTTTCGATCCGAGAGATGCTGGACACAACAGATTTCAGTCCCGCCAACTTGGTGCAGGCCACCGCTTGCTTGAGGTCCATTCCCTGTTGATATCGTGTCTCACGCTACACCTGTCACAGAACCGCTTTCTGAGAGCCAGAACACCAAGCTATGCTCTTTCGGTTCAAGGCTCGCACAGAAAGGTTGCTCAAGTGCACGAGCAAAGGCGGTATGACGATGCTATAAGTGCAAGCGTTCCTCCCACCAGTACAAGCATATCTCTTCGTCCGTTTTGTCGTGGGTCATACAGCTCCAGCCTCAATATTTCGGTTCCGTCTCTACTGTCGCTTTTCATCACACAGAACAGATGTCTTTCAGCAAGCGTCGCTACGACAAACTTCGCAGGCTCGGCATCGAGCTGCTACCAGCGATCGTCACCTCACCACTTGACGATGCATCGCTCAGGCGTATGCCCATACCATCAGCCAGCGACTTGCCGGTGCGCATGATGCCAGTAAGTATGAGGCGTATCACACACTGTCTATGCCCCGTTTACAACTGGACAGGTTCCTGGAAGACGGTGCCCTAGATGCTTGGCCAAAGGCCAGACCATCTGGGTGATACCAGGCAAGAAATGCCCTGCATGCGGTACCGAAGTGAACTAAGGAGAGGGTACGCCATCCGAGCGCTCCGTTCGCTCGTCACGTGGAGACGGCGCTTCACCCAAGCTATCGACCTGGACTGACAAGCGGCAGCTAACTGCGGAACTGCAAGCCACGAGACATGGTCTATCTCCGCCCCTCTATGCATATATCAGCTACAGTCTCGATCACTACACCGCAGGAGATAAGGCGCAGACGTTGAGTGGTATGACGAGCGCGTCGTCTGTACGAATAGAGCGGGTCGGTGTCGATATGAGATTTGGAAAGCTGGTTTCATCTATGAACGTTGCATGGCGTTACGGCTATTATCTGATCTATACATGTGAGCATCCGGAAAGATGTTTCAGAACCGGGAGCGTTTGTTGCATTGTCTGACCGACATGCATACGAAGCCATGTATCATTGAACTCCTCGCGGTCTAATGTTTGTCTTGTTACTCGTATCTGTGACATTCCAGGCCTCTGGAGTTAGCACAACATGCAGCTTGTGCGCTCCAAATCAATGGAGCCTGTCAGACATGAGTCCGTTGCCGTCGTGGAGTAACACACGAGGCTTGTACAGCCTCGAATGTTCGCTTGTGGACAACCACCTCATGAGGTATTTGGCTTGTTCCACCCAGAGACCGAACCCCGCATCCACCGCCTGATCGATCCGTCCTTCTCCACAAGCGGGCGAAGAGGCTTGCAGATGTAAGCTCCTACGGCGACCTGCATGGCTTTCAGCTCATGTGACTGCCGCTCATCGGTTGATCGCCACTGCGAGCGGCCAGCAGCTGCAGAGGTGCAAGATTTGCCGCTGATAGCTTAGCGAGTGGTCGCTTCGAGTGGTTGTATACGATCGCTGGGACGGAATATGCCCTCTTGCAGCGATAGCGCTATTTCATAACATCGGGGCAAGGTAGCTCCCGCATCGGCGTTTGGATGCTCCAAATGGAGAACGGGCATTCCATTACCCACCTGGACAGTATACACGGCAAGATCAAGATTGGTAAGATGAATGATACCTGGCCGTCACTCATCCGATCATGAAGCAAGCTCATTCGAGCTTGCATATACAGGTGCGGGCGACCAACCATATGGCCTACCTGCCTACCCTGCAGACACACACGTCTTAATGTACTGAGATTTGCTGTGCTGCCATTGTCCGGCTCAGCAGGGGTACAGCATCCCTCTTGGCGAAGACCCCCTCCAGCGCATCGTGTACCTCGAACTCTTCCAAAACCGCTCCAAAGCTACCCAAGGTCAGTGTGCATACCACTCCAGCCATAGACAGTCAACGTACCCGTAGCACCGAACTTTGGTACTTAGATCACCCTTGATGGTCTCAAAGTCCGCCGCCGTCAGTTGGCCGACCCTCTCATCTCGCAGGATGATGGTGAAGGCCATAATAGGTGTGATCTCTGTATAATGATCGAAGGGCAGCCGATTGCTCAGGTCGAGAAGCTTCGTCAATGTGTCCGTGGCAATTCCGGTTGGCATCTGAAACGGATACTTCTCGTCCGGTTTCTCCATGATGTGACTGTGTGGCGGTGCGGTGGCCATGAGCGCGTGGCCCGACATGTGCTCATGCTCTCCGTCGTCCGCATTCTCCATGGGGTGGTGGAAGGGTTGGTTTTCGGGGTTGTGAGAACGCACGATCAGGTATTGCATGTGGTCCATGCATGGTCGTTCGAGCCTGTGCAAGAAGTAAGTAGTCAGCTACAGAATCCTCTCTGCGCACGCAAAGCATACCGACAAAAGGCAAAGTATCAGTGTGGCGGCGGTGGTGGTGAAGGATAAGGATTGGTGTGGCTTCGCTGGTACATTGGGTTACCGTGGGCATCATACGTTAGCACGAAGTCTATGCCGATTGAGTCATAGTCTAAGCGAGTTGTCGGCAATTGCGCCATACTCTGCATGTGCGGTGCCGCGCCGGTTCTAACAGCGCCATTCCTGGCGGACGGTTGGCCGGGCATTGGCGGAGGGCTGAAATCAGTGCTGTCTGTGCCGCCTGCGTAACTGCCTGACATGCTGTCACTTGAGCTTGGGCCGTAGCTGCTCGGCTCTCGCTGAAACTTGATGGGCGTCGAGTCGAAGTCGTACTTGATGCCGTGCTGCGCGAGAAGCGCCCTGAGGCGAAGATTCTCCTGGGCAACGCGGTCTTGCTCCTTGGTCGTGTTGGCAAACATTTCTTTGAGCCGCAAGACTTCTTGTTCAAGCGCCTTGATGTACATTTCTTTGCGCTCGCGATGCGTTCTGTGCACTGCATCAGCACCCAAACCGCAAGTCACGAGTTAGTGTAATACCGCTGAGCTTGTCGGTTCAATTCCTGCCGTCGAGTAAGCGCAGGCTTGCTATCAGGCTTCGGACCTCTTCGCTTGGGCGTTTGGCCATCTGGTGCACGCATGAGCGGAGACGCCTATGACTCGTCAGATACTCTACCCACCTTTCGTCTGCTTCTTCTCGAGACTCTTCAAGAAGCCAAGCTGACCCAAGGGACTTTTGCTGTCGCTACTCGCCGTCCCGTTGCCTAGTAGAGCGTCAGTCGGTCCACATAATGGCCGATGATAGCACAGCGCTGGCCCGCCAGAGTAACACAACGTACTGTACGGATCAGCCTCCATGGCACACTATCGCGGCGAGGGCAGGGCTGTGTAGTTCCGAATTTCCGCAGTCGGTGGCCAGGGTTCACGGAGCATACAGATTAGGCTTCTGGCTGGCGAACCAGAACACAGCTGTTCGTCCAGGCGTGGCGCGACGTACTATTGGACTTCAAAATAGCGCAAGTAAGGTTGAGGTGCGAAGAGTAGAATTGTAGCGAGGGGAGATACGGAACGGCGTTGAGACCGGTCGAACCGAAACCTTCGTATTGACTCGGACCAAAGATACTCCCACTTTCGAAGTAGTGGATGTATGTGATACAGTATGTCGCGATGAAAGTTACGGCGATTCAGCGTGGCCTAAGCAAGCGTCACGATCAGCGCCCCCACCCTGACCAAGGGTGTCGTGCAGGTTCCTCGGGTCACCATTGCGGCTCCGCTCCACCGCAATGCAGGTGGAAACCGAACCGTGTTAGGGCTTCGGCCCAACGTGCGGTCGATGCCAAGGCGAGATGTCTTGTTTGATCCGACAGCCCTGGAGCAACGATTGGTCCTGGATGCATAACCGCCGACTAGATTAACGTCACGTTGACTCTGCCGCCTCAGCTGAAGCGTCGTACAAAGCAGCCAACGGCTCGTTTACGCGCAGAGAAACAGGCGATCACGCCACCGTGCATTAGTCTACAGCGGCACCCTTGACAGACCGCACACCACTTCTAGAACCTGTGTAACCGCTCGTCAACTCCACACGCTCCCAAGCTTGCAGGCGTCTGAAGAGGTCTCAGCCGCCTGTAAGTTTCGAAAAGGTCCTTTTACTGCATCATATTCGGCGTTGCCGCACCCATGAAGACACCGCCTGGACTTCCAGCAGAGCCCGGCTGCGATGCGCCTTGCCCCGTTTGCTGCTGTGTTTGCTGGCCATCGAATGCGCCGACGTCCAAATTCATCGGCCACAGCTGCATATTCGGGTCGACCATCGAAGTGTTGGCGGTGCCTTGAATGTACTGATCCCATGCACCCTGCCAACTTATCAGCAAACATGTTCGCAGCCGAACGCAGGGCGGAGACGCCACCACTTACCCAATCAATATCCCCGCCTAGACCATCCATCCCCATAAATCCGTTGGCGCCACTGCCCGCGAGCATCTGACTGAATGGACTTGCAGGACCTGCTGCCATGCCGCCCCCAGTCGTACTCTCGGAACCAGAGTATTGCGGCGTCAGTCCGGTGCGCAGTGGCATCGGCTCGTTGAGCAGCGCTGCCATGCTTGCTGGATAGCCAGTCTGCTTTTCTGCATGGCTGCCTCCTCCAACCCCTTGCGAGAAAGCCGCATTCGGCGACATACCGCCACTCGACAGCATCCCTAGCGTCATAGCCGCAGACTGTTCCGGCGGAAGGTCATCCGCGTTGATTCCGCCCACACGGCCGTTCGGGAAGATACCGTAGTTAGGCGCCCGGTGAAGACCTGGCTGCATCATCGGGACTGTGGATGACCCGCTTTGCGATTGCTGCTGCGGAGGTGATTGCTGCTGCTGTTCCATCATGCGCTGATGTTCCTTCAGCTTGTCTACCATGACCCGCAAGGTCAATGAAGCTTTGTACGCTTCCATACTGTCCTCGCGGAGGTACTCCCATATGATGATGCAGTGTTCGACAGCTTTCAGCATTTCTTCTCGCCTGTCTTCCGCGTACAGATCGGTAGAAAGCGGGGACGTCGGTTGTAAAGGCACTCTGCGACCCTTGCGTTCAGCCAACAGCGTATGGTACAGGTCGAGACAAACGAGCATCGCGGCCAGGAGGAAGTCGTGTGTTGTTAGCGAGGAGATGTACCACTTCACACTTCTCAGTCTACCACCCGGTTGGGACTCACGGTGGAGCGTCGCTTGCAGATCCAGCAGCTGCATCGATGCATCGATGCAAGTCCGTCTGGAGTAAGCATACCGCGTGTTCTCTCTGCCTCTCGAGATGAAACGCCTATGCAACACAAAAAGACTTCTTAAGTACACCATTTCTAGCCCAATGCGCTGCATGATCAGGTTCGCTGGGTCACGCGCTGACTCGTGAAAGCTACGCATCTGCAACAGAGGCGGGTGCGTAGATCGTGCTTCCCGCAACTCCTGGTCGAACTTCATCACCTCATCATATGAGGGTGGCTCAGTGATCGACTGACAGCGGTCTACTACCCGTCCAAAGAGCCGGGTCATCGTACCCTTGGCAATCCCGTAGCTCATCGGGGTCGCCTCGAAGGTCGGTCTTGAGGGTGGTAAGCTGGCCATGTCTTCGTAAAGCTCGTCATCGTACAAGTTACGTGGCATCTGCGTATCGCAATGGTCAGGTCGTACCATTGCCGGTAAGCCGAACTGAAAAGAGATGTGAATGTCAGATGAGCGGACAAAGTTCCACACGCGCCTTCTGATCTCGCCGTGGAATGGAGTAATCATTGCGTGTGGGCCTGGATCACGATGGTAGCCCATCCTCATTGCCAGGCGCACGCATAAGCTCACCATGAGCAGCACGCCTGGCTCTGCGTCTCGACTCCTACCATATTCGGCTTGTAAGTGTAATACGAGCGTCTCCAGGACTTGCGCGATGGGCTGCGTGATATCTGCAAGTAGCAGACATTGCGCGGTAAGCTTCCTATAGTTGTGCGACATCTCCATCGCTTTGCCCATGTACTGTGGAGGCTCGTCACCGGCTCGATGATACGACTGCAGCGCGAGTGTCATCATAGCGAAACACAAGCCCATCCACACCACGGGTGTCTCATGCGGAGCCTGCCAGTGCCTGTCGTATTGTTTCTGGAAGGACGGACCATGTATAATGTGCACAGAAGGATCGTAGGCGTTGAAATAGCGCGCAATGAGACGGTCGGCATCCGCTTTCGATGGAAACGCTGCCAGAAGCTCCCCTTTGTTCTTCGCGGGCGGGCCTTGCAACAAGAAGGCTGTTCCAGGGCTTTCGTGCGCTTTGGCTGCTTGCACCTTCTCCATATGCTGCTTATAGTCGTCTTTGTGGTCCTTGAAGTACTGCTTCACTTCGCTGATCTCGCCCAAGATGGCATACCAGTGCTCATCCGAGGCGAAGACAGCCCGGCCATTGTCTATCTTCATGATGCCAATGGTCTTGGAGACCTGATCGACCTCGCTGTCGTCCTCGCCGTGCACGCCATCCGGCTCCTCTCGTATCATGTCCGCGCCTTCCGCATCCAGTCGGTGGTCCGAGCCCGTGCTGAAGCTGTTGCTCCTACTAGAAGTGATGGCTGCCTGGGCCGCAGCTGCCGCTCCTGGCTGCGCGCCACCATTGGTCATCAGCGACAGCACCAGACCCTCCAGTCGGTCGATGCGATTCTGCATGTCGTCCGGCGACGCATTCGCTCCATTTGCGCCACTCCTCTTGCGAGCGCCGGGTGTCGCATAATTACATGCGCCCGTGTCGCCGCGCTTGGTACAGTTGTCGCATGGGTGTCCGCGGTTGCACTTTAGCTTGCGGTGTCTGCATGGCGCGCAAGAGAGCGGTATGCGGTTGCGCTTGCGTACCACGCGAAATGCTTGATTGTCCGGTGATGCACCATTCGATGAGGTTGACGAGGGAGGGGTTGGGCCGCTGTTCGTTCCGGGCATCATGCGCTACCGAATGTCACTAGCAGTGGTGTATCAAGTCTTGCGCCGCGAACAGCACAGCGAGTTCGTTTCGCGTGCCTTCCCTTGCTGGCGGGGCGTGTCTCACGCAAGCGGACCGTTCTTGGTCAGAAAAACACTCGACTTTCCAGCGCACAGTCAAGACCTAGGTAGGTAGAATTGGAAGCGGAACACTCGACAGAAACAGAGCGCAAGAGAGTGCGTGCGAGGGGTCATTGGACTGGAAGTTGGAGTGTCGCGGACGCCAAGCAGCACTCCTGTGGTCTAGCACAACCTTCACTAGCTACTACGCCTCCAACGGACTAGAGCGCGCATCAATATCACAGAAGCAATGAGTCACAGAGTCTACGGAGTGTGCATGAGCTACTGATTGAACCGATCACCTCAGCAAAGAAGGGAGCGGACCTTACACCCTTAACTCCGGCGGCAGCGACGTAATACAGGGCTGAATACGCTGCCTAAATAGAAGAGTCTCGACTCTCCCGTGCTACTATCAAGACGCAGGGTGCCCGGCATTACAGTGTCGAATTCTTTGCTCTCACAAAACAACAACGCCTGCGGCATGGAAAGTCTGACGGGGTTCCCACCCCTAGGCCTAGAGTCTGGGACCTAATGACTTCCATCTCTTCGTCCTCTCCACCCAACTCGTATCCTTCAGCACCAAACTTCTTCGGCCACATTCCAGATGGACTGGTCGCCAGAATGCCGTCAGACCCAAAGCATCCTTAACGTTCTCGTTTACCTTCAGCAGAGCCTGGCTGTTCCAGCCCCACATTCTGGCCACCTGATCTTGGAACAGTGATCTTGGAACAGAAGATGCGTTCTGCGAGCAGCTGTCAGTCATCCTACCACCAAAGCTTACTGCAGTTTCGGAACTCACCTGTACTCTCCATACCCTTCCTTTGCGCAGTCCCAGACGAGCTCTCGTAGCAGGCACACCACCCACCACTTCTGCTCCGCATGTGCACGGTCGAAGATGACGTTCGCGACATGATAGATCTGTGGACATGGCCAAAACTGCCTATGCGAGAATGCAGCGTGCGCAATGCTTTCGGAAACTGACCTCTGCGTGCAATGCAGTTTGTAAGGAGGCGATTGGAGCCGTACTTCTCACGGCCACAAGGGACCACATCATGGATGATCTGCGTATCGTCGCCTGAAGTCGGCGCGCTCGGCGTGAAGATGAAACGTGCCGCATTTGGCATCCAGTTCAGCCAGTCCACTTCGCGCGGGAGATGCCATCGATCTTCAGCCTGTACCTAATTGGGAACAGTTGTCACATCGGATATTGACGGTACCGTCCTTGGCAGACAACCTGTTCGTTGATATGGGAAGTGTCATGTGTGTTTGGAAGCTCGAAGTCCCAATCGTCCACTAACGGCTGGTTGCGGTTGACGTTGTCGTCGGTGCTCACCTTCTGTTGCAACTCTCGCATTCAGGCCGCCAATGCTTCTTCCATTGCACTAGGCGGCAGCAAGCTGGCTTCAGTTATGCCTGGCTTCGTGATACCTGGGAGGTTCGATTGCTGTGCAGCCGTTTTGGTGCGGCTTTTGCTTCCGTTGTAAGACGAGACGGCAAGCCATTGTGTCTTTCAGCCAGAGAAGGTGTCTGTGGCAGGTCAAGATCTGGTATGCCGCCCATCGTTCCTATCTGCCTCAATCTCCATAGGCTCGATACAGATACGGAGTGCTTCCGTCGCACAGCGCAGGACGTGTAAATGGTACACTGACCGTCCACAGACTTGATGTTGCACATACATACATTGTACGTCCCGTAGCCCCAGTCGTATCCCCAGGGCGGCCCACAGTGGGGCGGTTCTGAATGCGGAGGCGCGGTTGTTCCATCTAGGCAAAACATAGGCGCTCCTAATGTGGTGCCCCGGCAGTTCCTGGTAGACGGAAAACCGCCGCATATATGGCTACTCTATATGATCTGTCCATGAGGCGGACACTCTCTGAGCAAGCCGTTTGTTGTGACAATGGTAGCGACACGACCTGCGTATATTGTCAAAAAGTCGCGGTTTAGTCACTGAAGAAAGATCACAAAACGACCGTATAGGACCGCCTGAAGGCCTGAAAGCAATGAGTGGGACAAGTGAGGAGCAGCCACTCAAAGGTACCTCGTACCGAATCTAAACAGCCATTTCGATAACAGCACTAACTTAGACCTGAAGTCATCGTTGTCGGCGCGGGTCTAGGAGGTTGTGCCTGCGCCCTCGCACTGCACGCTCAAGGATTCGAGGTAACCGTCTTCGAGCGCCTTAGAACCTTCCGTAGACTCGGAGATAGTCTCGGACTCGGCGAGAACGCACTGAAGCTCCTGCGGCGATGGGGCGGTCAGGAGCTTTACGACACTCTTTGTTCAATCGGCAATCAAGCGCCTAATATGCAGATCCGACGCTGGCATGACGGCAAGATTCTTGCGCAGCAACCTTTGATGGATATGGCCGGCTATATTGGCCACCGCGGTGACTACCACGAGGTCTTCCTGAAGGCTGTCCGTGATGCTGGTGTTCCAGTCCATATGGACCATGAAGTGGTAGCCTTCGACGAAGAAAAGCCGTCAGTTTTTCTCGCCAACGGCCGAGAGGTCGAGGCAGACGTGATTGTCGGTGCGGACGGCATAAAAAGCAAAGCGAGAGAGCTTGTTCTCGGCTTCAAGGACCATCCCAAATCGAGCGGGTACTCTTGCTTTCGGGCGTACTTTCCAGGCTCTATTGTCAGGGGCGATCCAAAGTGCAGCGATTTCGTCAACGAAGACTGTGTCAACATTTGGATTGGTGAAGATACTCATGTTGTGCAAAATACTCTGCGCAACGGCGAGGAATTCAATTGGATCCTAACGCGTAAGCTCAGCGATGAGAAAGACATGGAGATCACGGAATCCTGGTACCAAGAGGGCGACTTGAATGAGGTCTGGAAGTGCGTTGAAGGCCTCGATGAGCGCATCGTCGCTGCTATCAGAAAGACGCCGAGCTGCCTGGATTGGAAAATCTGTTATCGCGATCCGCTGCAGACATGGACCAGTCGTAGCCACAAGATCGTACTTCTTGGCGACAGTTGCCATCCGCATCTCCCAACGAGTGCACAAGGTGCAAGCCAGGCAACAGAAAGCGCTGCCGTACTCGCTATATGCCTTAAGCTTGCTGGCAAGGAGAATGTACCACTTGCTGTAGGTCTCAGCCGGCGAGCAGATGCAATAAATGCTGATTGATGGTTTTAGACCCGCACGTACGAGAAGCTGCGATTCGCGCGCACAGAACGGTCGCGGCACAACGGCGAAGACCTCCGGGATCGATGGCATAGTGCACTCAGGATGTCTAATGCAGGAGGCGAGATCGACCCCGAGACGATCAAAATGCACAATCGTCCCTTGTATGCTTTCGATGCTGAAGCTGATGCGATGCAGAGATGGCACTCCGTCAGCTCGCAAGTAGCGAACGAGTTGCGGTCTGGTTGTATCTCGCCGCTGTTCGATATGGGAGCCAGAAACGCCATCGATGTTGTGGCACCGGCACCACTTGGCGCCACGGCTACGTGATGATGGCCATTAAAACTGCATTCTCCAATTTATACATTGATAGCGGCGCCTGGATCGGAACGGTATTTGAAGTTGTTGAAAAGGTTGTTGTGGTCTATTACTTGGGCGTGCGGCCTGTAACACAATCTCTCGGTTCACCCAGCCACATGCGTGCGCGAAACATCTTGGATGTTGGTGCAAGGAAGTCCAGACACATCTGCCCACAGAGTGCGAGTTGGTCTAAGTCCTGTGCTCCTCCGTGCGTTGCACAGCCAAATTGTTCATAACTTCATCCGACCTGGGTCAGCGAAGGCTGGGTGACTTGACTTCGTATCGGCCATGCACCGCTCGAAGCCGTGCAGTGGGCTCCACAAGCTTTATATTCATTCGCGCCTGAAGCAGTCGACGCGCCACGTGCGATAACTAGTGTTGGTGCTGATGCGTGTAGTTGTTGCTCGTTTCGCGACTGCGCAGCAGCGGCACCGTCATCTGATGGCTCCCCAAGGACGGTATCGAGCCAAGACGAGTTCCGCCTCGGTGATGATGTTGAGCTGCTGTTGGTTTTCACCATATCTCTAGCTTCCGTCTCGGTACGCGAAAGGGTAGACTGCGAGGGCGACGTAATTCCTGTCACAATGGGAGGCGCTGCTGGCTGAGGCGTCGTCGAGCTCATTGACTGGCTCTTACGGTGAGCGGCGGTTCGCCTGAGGACTGCCTCACGGTCATGATTCTTTCTAGAACGGGAGTCATGACCTCGTCTTGCCGACCGTGCCCTGACTTTCTTTGCTGCTTCCTTAGGGTTACTGACATCGACCCAACAGAGTTGCTTACTGTCCACCATCGACATTGTATTCTGCAGCATAGCGTTTGTGACGTGGCGCTGAGCAGAGCCTGCCATATTCCACTACACCGTGATAGAAGTTGAACAATCCATTGTCAAGTAAGAGAGCAGCGCGTCGCTTATGACCGCACTCCCGTGCCACTGACCGGTCCCGAATGTGGTAGACGTCACGGTAGAGGTGCTCACAGCCCTGCATCGAGCATCGCAACTTCCCGAGTTGGAAAGTGACATTGCAGTGGCTTCAGTCAGAGTTCCGGCAACGTATCAGGCGCCGGGTGGAAACCTAACACACATGGTCGATCTGCGCGCCAAGCGCAGTGTCGTTTTCCATCAACCACTCCGAAACGTGGTTGCGGACGGCAGAGCCACCCTGTGCTCCGTTTCAACCTACCGATCGCCGGCTCCCCAGTAGATCTCCAGCCAACATCGTACGCGCTTACATAAACGGAGGTGCATTGTACGCACGCGACAGACCTTGTAATTATGCCGAGGCTTGATCTTAACGTATCTCACTTGGCCTTCAAGAATGTCCTCGTTTCCCCAGTCTGACATCGGATCATAAGGAGACCAGATGGCACTCTGCGACCGGAGGCGGACCAATGTCCGGTACCTGGTCTTCCGCAGGCGATCATTGACCACCCTTTCCCGGTCGCAACATCGACAGCATGGCTGCTTCGAACTATGTGAAGAAGTTTTGACACGTTGATTCCAGACCACGGAATATATGTTCTTCAATGACTTCGGACCGTTCTCGACGCAGCGGCTGCTGCCGCCTCTACGAAGAGCCGCGCTTCGGCCACTTAGGCTAAAGACTGAACTGACACTGTAAGTACCTTTTCGGCTATAGCTCGAGCTGGAGCTTCGATATATTGTGCCCTTGTGCTCGAGTGCATCATGGAGACAACAACCAGACCCGATTTACGAACGGATTTCGAACAACATGTCGGACCCAAAGCCCATCGTCAGCCATTTGTACACCGCGGACCCGAGCGCACACGCGTTCAATGGCAAACTATACGTCTATCCGTCCCATGACCGCGAGACTGACCAGCCTGACAATGACAATGGCGACCAATACGACATGAACGATTACCATGTCTTCTCCATGGAATCTGTTGGCGGAGAAGTGACCGACCACGGTATTGCTCTGCATGCCAAGGATGTGCCATGGGTCAGCAAGCAATTGTGGGCTCCGGACGCCGCTGAAAAGAACGGCAAGTTCTACCTTTACTTCCCAGCTCGCGACAAGGACGGCATCTTCCGCATTGGTGTTGCCGCGGGCGATAAGCCTGAAGGGCCATTTAAGGCCGACCCCGAACCTATCAAGGGCAGCTACTCTATCGACCCAGCCAGCTTCGTGGATGAGGACGGCCAGGCATATCTGTACTTTGGCGGTATCTGGGGCGGTCAACTTCAGTGCTGGAGGACGGGTAAGTTCGTTCGTGAGGCATATGACGACATGGAGGCTAGTGGCGACGAGCCTGCGCTGTTGCCTCGTGTGGCGAAGCTGACCGATGACATGCGCTCCTTCAGCGGCGACGTGAAGGAGATTGAGATTCTGGATGACGACGGCAAGCTGATTCACGCGAGCAAGCATGACCGCCGCTTTTTCGAAGCTGCCTGGGTGCACAAATACAAGGGCAAGTACTACTTCTCGTACTCAACCGGAGACACACATTATCTTGTGTATGCCATCGGCGACTCTCCGCTTGGACCGTTCAAATTTGCCGGTCGTATTCTGGAGCCCGTCCAAGGCTGGACGACGCATCATTCGATTGTGGAGTTCAAGGGCAAATGGTACCTCTTCTACCACGACACCAGCCTCTCGGGCAAGAACCACTTGCGGTCTGTGAAGATGCGCGAGCTGGTCTACGACAACGAAGGCCACATCAAGCTGGCGGAACCGCAGCCTTGAGGGATCTTCGATTCGCGGTTGCAGGATGCAAGTACGAAGCGAGAGTCCGGCGTTGCGCGCACTGAGGTTGACGACTAGAAAAATGTGGAACCTGCTCATTACGCCTAGCTGAGGTCCACTGTATAAGTAGCGCTGGTAAAAGCATTATCTTATCGCCCAACAACCAGGCAATTAGGCTGCTACAGCGATTTGTCGATCGGTGTGCCATGGTCAGACTTCTTGAGCCCTTCGAGCTTGTTCCACTTCTCCTTTGTGTTCACGCACCGGCATGATGATACGTGTCACAGCCACGATGACGACATGAGGGCCAGATGTGCCAAGGGAGGTTACCATACTATATGCACAGTGTACAACCTCCCTCTTGAAACAGAAGTCCGTGCATTTCATGACCAGAGCTGAGATGAGCTCTGAAAAACAGCATCAAAAGAGTGAAACTGTCACACGTCGTTCTCCTCCGTCTTCTGTTCGGCCTTCTTCGTATCCTTCTTCTCACCAGGCTTATTCTTCACACTGAACCACGGTATAAGCGCACTGCCAACTATACTCAATGCCGCCGTGGCCACAGCAACGTAGAACGTCTACATCAAGTCAGCGCTGAACGACTATCGATACGCCGCAGGACTGCACTAACCTCCGTAATCGCCTTGTTGTACGCCACCCGCAACTGTGGCAGGAAGCTAGGCGGCACCAGCGCAGCGAGTTGGGTCGCGCCTGTACCGAGCAAAGCCGCCGGGTTGACAGGTACGCCGGCTGCGGCGACATTCGCAATCAACTTGTTGTTGAAGATGTTTTGAGCCACACTGATGAAGACGGAGCCACCAAAGGTTTGGATGCTGTATCACCGAGAAGTCAGCTGCGCAGCCCCTATCAACAATGACACCGATGCAAGCAGCTGGCAATGTCTTACAACATGACCTGTCAACAAGTCAGTGATGTGATACGTCTTGCGCATCCCCGAATAAAAGACTCACGATCGCGGTGCCTTCAGAAATCTGCTCTTCAGGCAAGGCAGTCTGGATAGCAATGATTGGAACCTGCAGGCCAATGCCCAACCCCACGCCGTAGAGCGCTTGGTAACCTATCCAGTGCGCAGAGTCCGTATTCGGTCCAAGCGTTGTCAATAGTCCACCACCCTGTTGTTCTAATCAGAATGTGTTGCAGTGGTACGGTCTGCGGACGTACTATCGAAGCGACAACGCTACTAAGCAGCGGCGCCCAGGTGTAGTATCCCACCGCAAAGATTGCACCTCCGGACAACATCGACATGACGACCACCCCAAGCACGACGGGCAAGTTGTGGATACCGCTTTCCGTAGCCGTGTCGCCCTTGATGGCCTGGAACCAGATGGGGATGTAGTAGATCAGGGAGATGAACGATCCAAAAAGGCACAGACTGTACAGCGCCGACGCCCACACCGTCCGCTGTTTGATGACACTAAAAGGCACTGTCGCCCGGTCCTTTTGCCAGATCTGCACGCCGATGAAGACGGTAAGTAGTAAACCGGCGACGACGAACAAGGCGATGATGCGGCCATTGCTCCAGCTGTACGTCGAGCCTCCCCACTGTAGAGCCAATAGGAGGCAGACGATGGTCGGGATGAAGATGAGCAGCCCTATCAGGTCGAACTCCTTCATTTTTTCCTTGAGTGGAAGCGAAGCTTTAGGCGGCTTGGGCATCTTCCGAAGGAAGAAGAGGACGCAGATGGCGCTAATGAGGCCGAATGGTAGGTTGATATAGAAGCACAGTCGCCAGGTTACGTGATCTGTAGGTTCGCTTAGTATATTATGCTACCTTGTTCATGGCCGCAGTCGAACGCACCGGTGAAAGCACCGCCTAGCAATGGGCCAGCAACAGATGCGATTGCAAACATGGCTCCAAAAACGCCATTGAAGATGGGACGTTTGGCGAGGGGGACGGTATTCGCGATGATCAAGATGGCGCCAACGAATACACCCCCTGAGCCTATTCCTGCGACTACCCGACCCATAATCAAGCCAACAGAGTTCGGTGTAGCGCCACAGACGAGGCTGCCCAGCTCGAATATGCCCAAGCATACGAGGAATACCCATTGGATCGGGAAGAGATTGTACAGCTTGCCGTAGGACAGCTGAAAGGCGCAGGTTGTGAGAAGGTAGCCGCTTGCGTACCAGCCCACATCGTCCAGGGAGTCTGTTAGAGAGGTAAGCCAACGACACGCTTCCAGTGTGATGTCAACCCGTTTTGAACCTACTGAACTCATCCGTGATCCGCGGAATAGCGGTCGCGATGATGGTGTTGTCGAGCGCTTGACAGAAGATGGCGAAACATAGCGAGATCACGAGCAGTATGAACTCCACGGTCGACAGCTTAGTTGTTGGTTCGCTGGGTGGCTCTACGACCATCGACGCAGCTGGTTGCGTTTCACTCTCTTTCTCCATGTCGACGGTTCTGACATCTGCTTCACGACCTCTTCCAAAGGCTGAAGATAACTTCATGAGGAATGGGAAGCGAAAGCGAAAGCGTAGAGAGTGGTACCTTGGTATTGTTGGAGCCTAACAGCTACCCGCTGAGCTGATACGGGCCTCTTATGTACAATGTCATATCAAGATCATCGCCAAGCTGCACGGTATATCATCGCCGGGCAGCTTGACGCGCCGAATTATTTCATGACTTGACTTCAGCATCGGGTTGTTGGAACGGTGTCCCATGCGGCACCATTTCGCCGGTCATGTGAGCTTCAGCCGGCGAAAAGTGACCGGTCAAGAGGTTCATGCAGTGAACTGGTCACGCCACGTCGGTTGTCGCTTGGCGATGGCTTGTCATGTGCTCCTCTTCTCACGTTTCGCAGTTTCTCATGCTATTAGCATAAGTGAGTGTCTCCCTGCAATTCCGCAACATTGGTGGTGACAGGGCAAAGCTGTCCTGAACACTGCGCTACCAAACATTATACGTGGGCGCCTGCATGGACTGTGAGATCCAGAACAGCACTATATCATCCGACTAGACATTGACTGAGGACATAGGCGACACTCCGTAATGATCTGGTTCTGCGATGAGACTTGGGGGTTGTTCCCTTGTAGTCATGAAAAGCACGTGGGCAGAATCGGCCACCCGGATCCCGCGCCTTCGTCATCACGCATTTGGCGACCAGCTTTCTTTGCTTCCAGCAGAGCTCTCATCCATTCACAGACATCTCCAGGAACCGTAGAGCTTCCGCATAAGCCGCTGGCAACGTCATGGGTGCCGTGACAATATAACATCTATAGTAGTTTCGAGGTAAGGTCCATCTTCATCCCATTATCCCGTGACATCTTTCTCTATTCAGACCTTCACCAAGACTTCCGTCACATCAGCACAACATGGATCCTAAAGGCTTCCTTCCTGCGCATATGCAGACCAAGATGACCGGTGGCAGCTCTCTCACGCACCCTCTGGCCCATGCGGGCGAAGATCTGAGTAGAACGGGGACCGCGGAAAGCCCTCTGGCAACAACCCAAGGGCAGGACAAGCTTACATCTGGCACGGGACGCGACACGTCAGCGACTGCCGGCAGTGGTATGGGAGGTGAGGCGGCTAAGAACCGTGGCATAACCACCGACAGTCGGGCCGAAGACATCGCCGGTGCACGTCAGGACTACGAGGCCGATCGTAGAGCACCAGCCGCAACTCGAGAAACGTATCCGCCCCAGGCTGCTGCAGCACACCATGATCCGTATCAAAAGGATACCCAGCAAAGCGGATACGGCCGCGACACGACGAAAGCAGCCAATGAGTTGTACGATAAGCGCGACAAACAGCCGACACAGGCGGGTACTGGCGCAGCTATTGCCGTAGAGGATCCGTACGCGAAAAACTCCAAGCAAGGCGAGTATGGTCGGGACACAACACAAGCAGCAAATGAAATATACAACCAGCGCGATACCAAGCCCACGCAAGCCGCTACTGGTGCAGCTATGAGCGCAGCCGATCCCTATGCGAGTCACTCCCAGCGAGGTACACACGGCCGTGACACAACGCAAGCAGCCAACGAACTGTACGACAATCAGCGTGCCGCACCGCCGGCGCAAAGTGCCACGGGCTTAGAAACGCACGATCCTTATAATGCCGCACGTCAAGCCGGCGCGCTACTAAACCGAGACGATATCGCAGAGATCGACCGGGAGACGGAGATGGCTGGTCTCGGAGCTGGTACTGGTGCTGGTGCCGCAGCTGGGATGGGTGCCGGCGCCATCGCGTCTTCGGGTCGCGGCTATGAGCAGCCAACACATGCTGCTGGCTCGTCGGTCGATCCTTCTACCGGAGACCGTCGCTACCAGCAGTCAACGGGCGAAGGCTATGGTTCCGGTGCCGCACCTTTCATCGAAGGTAACCCAGATACCGGCTTCACCGCTGGCGGCGAGCCTGGTTTGGGACGCGGCATGGCGGGGCGCGACGTGGCAGAGATGCCAGGTTCGGGAGCGGGCGTAGGTGCGGGCATGGCGCAGCGTGAGTTGTCAGAAATGTCTGGTTCAGGTGTTGGTGCAGGTGCAGGTGCAGGCTCTGGCATGAGCGGCGTGAGCGGCTACGATCAGTCAAGCGGTGCCCCGATAGGCCAAGCTGTACCAATGACCAGCTCAGGAACCAGCGCGGCGACCGGCTTCGATAAGGCGACAGATGGAGTAGGCGGTCCGGGCGGGCTCATCCACGGTCACCACTCCACCATTACTGGCGAGAGGCTTGATCCGCACCTTGGGCAGTGATGAGCCAGGGTCGCGGCTACTTTATCATAGAAGGGATGAAAAGCAGATAGTCATTGTCATTAGCGTTCATTAGGTATTATGATTATCTGTGCTATACCGCATAGTATGCCCAACCAAATCATATACCCGAGTCTTGTTGCATATACGAGGGATCACTGTCGTAATAGCTGCTCCAAGCATTACATTGATCGTCGAAGTCCGCAGGTATGGAACTGATCGAGCCTGGCGACTCCAAGAATTGCAGGGCGAGACCTTCGCCGGCATGCCAGGCAATGTGACAGTGCTGGACGAGCATTGTCAGTGCATGCATAAAGCACAATATGGTCTTGTAGACGTACCATCAGCCAGGCACCCGGGTTGTCCAGCTGGAATGCTAAAGCGAGCCAGCCACCACTGGGCAGCATGGCTACGTCTCGTCTTGTCGGGTTGTCGTAGTTGAGGTTGTCCGCGTCAGCCGCGGTCCAGGTATCTGTGCCTGTCCCCAAGATGTAGAAGTCTGGCGCAGCTGCAGTTAGCTACTATGAACCCATATGAGACTCGAATCGAGGAACGCACCGTGTCCGTGAAGATGTATAGGGTGCGGAATGGCGACGAAGTAGGGATCTCCGGCTACCTCCTGAATCACCCAGTACACCCATGCGCCCTCCTGTGGGAGCTGTATGAGGTTCAAGTCGCTAGGATAGTTAGTGTTCCCAGTCTGCACATACTGCAGCGTCGGCTGAGCCCAATCCACATTGAACGCCGACCCGTTGACCTTCCAGTACACGTTGAGCGAGCCGTCGCTTTGTGGCACTTGATACTGGGCCGTCGTAAGTTCGGTGAACGTGCCAATCTGGCCGACAGGGACATAGGAGTTCCAATAAGGAGTAAGACCGGTCTCATCCGTGCAGCGCTGCTCGTAGCTGTATGGCGAGCTGATGGGTGTTTCTGACTCATGGCCCTGGTAGGCGAAGATGGACCGAATGTTGCCATTGTTGAAATTACTCCCGCACTGCACGGTGTCTTGCACGTCCGCCCGGAACCAGTAGGCACCAGGCGCTTGGTCTGCGGTGATAATCACATCGTACCGTTGGCCTATTCCTATGAAGAGCGTGTCTGTCGTGTATGGCACGACAGGAACAAAGTCCGTTGCAATAACCTCCAGAGTATGGCCGTCCAAGCTCACAACGAAGTGATTGTCGACGGCCGTGTTGATGAGCCGCACGAGATGCCTTTGGCCGGCAGTAAGCGGCGTCATGTGATAGGAGCCACCAGAGCTGCTCACCATCATGCCGTTGATGAGAGCATTGTCCGCCTCCGGAGGAAGAGCGTTCTCATGCTGTGATTGCGCTGCAAGCATACTGACTCCGCCATAGTACCAGTCGGCGACAAGAAGCGGCCCGAGTTCGATGTCGTAGTTAGCGGTAGCTGGACCATGAATGATGATCGGGCCAAGCACGCCGTCACCATATTGGCACGAGAGATGGGAATGGTACCATGATGTTCCGTATTGCGTGGCCTGGAAGGTATAGGTCCTTGACTGGCCGGGTGCGATGGGGCACTCGGTCACGCCTGGCACACCATCTTGCGAATTGCTCTGAAACTGCCTCAACCCGTGCCAATGGATAGAGGTGCCGTTATCAGGTAGTTGGTTCGCAACAGTGACACTGATTGTATCGCCCCAATTGGCTTCAATCGTCGGTCCTGGATACTGTCCGTTGATTGCCGTCACGGTCCGCGCAAACCCATCTGGTGCTAGGGTGGTGTATGCGATCGTAAGGTCGTAATAAACCGTCACCCCCGTGTTTGGCCAGTTCACATCGAAGTCTGTATTGATGTTGTACCCCTCAGACCAACAGCCTCGCGCAGACGGCTCGTTGACGCATTGCCAAGTGTCACTCTGAATGCTCGCGCAAGCCGAGGGCACTGTATAGCTGTGGTTCGGATCTGCTTCCCATGTGACACTGCCATCCGCTCCGAACTTGACGTACTTGTACTCGAACGTCGTGCCAGGCACGAGATTTAGAGTGGCGGACCATGTTGGATCGCTCGCGGAATACTGGTCAGCACTTAGTGGAACGCCATTGCTGGGATCCCAATTGCCAAGCTCAGGGGTAGAACCAGTGATCGAAATCGATTCTCCCCATTCCGTACTCGCCAGTTCATTGAAAGTGACCGCGACCGGTACAGCATAACTCTCGTTCGGATCCGCATCCCAAGTGACACTGCCGTCTGCACCAAAAACCACGTACTTGTACTCGAAATTCGTGCCAGCTGGTAGGTCGACTGTCGTCGACCATAGTGGATTATCGTCCGTATACTGATCAGCATTAAGTGGCACGCCGCTATTAGGATCCCAATTCCCTAATTCGGGGATGGAACCAGCAATTGAAACCGATTCGCCCCATTGTGTAGTCACCAGCTTGTCGAAGACGACGGCGACCGTCGCGCAATCCTGTCGTGCATGGATGTGTCGACCCTGGTGACCATGCCTGTGTAAGACCGTCGCGGAACCAACACTGAGCAAGCAAGAAACCAGAAAACCAAGAAAAAGATGCATAATGAGCGACAGAGAAAGGTACTAAATGAGCGTATAAATGGATTAAAGAGTGTGTATGCCCTCGAGAGGGAGAAGGTTGGTGTAGAACAGTAGCACAATGACAATGCTGGAGGATCGATGCCGGGATAAGCGGCCAAGCGAACACGAGAAACGTCGAAGCCTCCAAATGATAGATGCACGGACTCAGACACATGTGGCACCTGATCCTAGGCTTATTCAAGTTGTTCCTGATCAACCTCCCCGTGGAGGACCGTTAGGGCGTCCGATAAGCATGATTGATTGTCACACGACAGCAATCTTAGTATCAAGCATGTTGGTGGCAGCAAGTCGAGGTACCACATATTGATGGCCCGATTGGTATTCGTTGGGCTCACAATACGGTATAATCCAGATCTGCTTCGTGGATAGCCATGTTGCTGGGACTGGTTGGCGGACTAGATGCGCGATCCTTGTTGAGACCGAGATGAGAGATTGCAGAAAGGGGTCGAGGCAGCGCAAGCCATTGAAGTGGTTCGGAGTATTAGGCGCGTGAACGGAGCGGGCCGCCTGACGTACCGTCCTTGCTCCTTCCGATTTCGGCACTAGCCAGGAACAAGCGAGTGGCACGATCACTGATATTAGCCGGTATCTACTCACAAAGCTTTGTCCATACACAGGCCGTGCTGAAAGGTCCAATGTGGTCTGGAGGGCCTCGAGATATTGAGGTATCGATTCGGGCAGCACGAGGCACGCAGTCTGAACAATCCTAGGTGACATTTGATTATCAGTCTCCCCATACACCTCGCTATAGGCCCCATTCAGTCTGCGCAATGTTGCCGAATGATCAACAAACCCTTCAGATCCGTAACAGCCTATGCACAGCCTCGGTGGTGATCTCCGTGACATTGTTCGCCGCACTGCTCGTCTCCGTCGCGCTTGGCGGATCAGGATAGTACCACGCGCTCACCGCTATTAATATATACACAAACACGCACAACGCGCCCTCGAGGTAGTCGCTCTTTTCATCTCTAAGGAAATTGCCGACCACGATGATGGCCAGGATCAGCACGACAGCGTCGAACAGCTCGAAGTTGAGACTCATGTCGACTCCCAGTCCCCAGCCCACAAGCACGACTAAGGGCGTGTTGAGCAGGGCGGTCTGGATGCTGGCGCCGAGGACGTGGGAAAGGGCGAAGTTCATTTGGTTGTCGTAGGCTTCGTCGATGGCGGTCAGATGCTCGGATGCCTTCTCCACGATAGGTACGAGGATGAGACCCATGAAGGCGTCCGAGATGTGCCTTTCGTGTACCATGAACTCGATCTCCTGCACGAGGAAGACGGCCATGAAGGAGACAAAGGTAAGTGCGATGACGACAGCGATACAGGCTTCGGTGAATGTGAGTTTCGGCTTCTGCAGGTCTTTGTGTCGGTCGTGGTCCCGCTCTTCATCCGCCTCGAGAATGTCTTCATAGAGGCCGTGGTGGCTTCTAGCCTGGAACCAGATGTACACCAGGAATGCGACGAGCAGAATGATAGCGGCCGCACGTGATATGCGCAACGTCTCCGAGTCATTCTGTTCCGGGGGTAAGCGGCCAGAGAGGGAGTTGTAGAAGATCGTGGGAATGACGAGGCCGACTGTATGCACTAGTTAGCACAACTGTCACGGCGTGAAACTCAGACTAGCCTAACTCACCGGCAGCGACAAGCATAAGATTGCTACCCACTTCGCTGATGGCCTCGTGGAACGTCTGCTGCGGCCAGAAGATGCCTCCAATGAAGAAGCACAAGCCAAGACAGAACAGCAAGTTCGCTAGGATACTTCCCAGTATAGCTGCTCTAATGACTGGGACGTTTTGTACACCTCCTTTGATCAATACTATGAAGAGGATGATCTCCACAATGCTCCCGAAAGTCGTCTCGAGAATGATGCCCGCCACTTTTGGCATCTTCCTCGCCAGCTCTTGACCGCCGAAGCCGACCAAATTCGCGGCTGGCACCATGCCGATGAAAGCAGTGATAAACACCCACAGATGGTGCTCATGCTCGTAGTTGAAGTGCAGCACCAAAGCTGCAAGCGTAAATGGCCAGAGGAAGTTGGTTAGCTTCGATGCGGTACAGGAGGAACGAAAGCAAACACGGAAGAAGTGCCATGGATGAAACCACGAGCGGCCACTCTCGCCGTCCGGATGGATCCACTTGGTGACTACGTGCCCATTGTGATTGATCCGTTGACCTTTCTCGTTGTACTGAGGCTGTTGTTTCTCCCGCACAGCTCCGTCTTCGGGAGACTGTTGGGCTTCGATCTGAGGTTGGATTTCGCCGGCAGGTGTAGGTTTGGAAGCGCCAGACTTGCGGGCGAATACTCGGCCGCCACGGTAGCGTTCACTCGCCATGGCGGTGTGAATGAGTGCGCCGTAGGTCCCTAGGGAAAATAAGAAAGTGACAGGATGCGGCGGCGGTACACGCCTCGGCTTGTTTTGCCAATGGCTCTGCTTGCGCTCTCCTGTTGGACGGAGTAGTGTCAACACGGTGGAATGACCGCGGTGCTCCTGCGGTAGATGTTGCAAAGAGCGAGGGAGGGGAGGACCTTCCTCTGCCCAGGCTAGAGTGCCAACGCAACGCAGTCAAGAAAGAAGTGTCAAAGAGCGTGAGTAAAAGGAACAAACCTGCATGGTGAGGTGTAGCACGGAGATCACTACAGATCCCGGTTGGCTGCGTAGTGCATGCTTATTGCAGCTGGCAACGGCGCCAAACCTTGCCAAGCTGGAGGCCAAGACACGACAGGAGTGAAGGTTGAAGCTGACACGGCGGAAAAGGAAGTTCCAGATCGTTAGGTGGCGCTTGCGGAGCGGCGCAGACCGTCTGGCTCCCGCAAACATACACCAACCCTCTCGATCTTAGATGTAAGAGATATGTGCTCTGGCGATCTCGGATCTGATTCCGCTTGTAACCACAAGCTCACTTGTTAAAGCTACGATCAAAGCCCGGTGATACGTTGACGGTCTTCCATGATGGCATACGGCTGCCCCTTCATGCACCGAGCCGCAGCATCGACGCCTGTCCCAGCTTTCAGCGCTTGGCATACGAGAGCCAAGCACGACACTCTCTGTCAGGGGAGAAACAGGAAACGCAGCCAATGCCACTGCTTGCTACTAGCGAGTAGGACAAACGAAGAAGAAGTCAATGCTGCGCATGTTACGTCTTCACGGTCTGGCAATGGTTCCTTCCCAACATTGTCATCAATAATCTACGATTCGTGGGGACTTCATCCACCTATACAAACAGAGAGTAAAGTATATGCACTCAAGCTTCGTAATGCAAGCCTTCTGCCCTTGAGGAAGAAGGCTTGGCCTCACCTCGCTTATGATCACGGCTTCTCGTTCACAAACGTGGTCTCTCCAGGCTTGTCGCTCTTCGCTTTCTGCTTCTTGCTGAAGTCCCAGTTGTTAAGGTATCCAGCTCCGGCGCATAGATAAGTCGCGAAGCCTAGCCAGCCCAGGTAAGGCACAAGGCACCAGCCGGCGGTCTCATCGACTTGACCCCAGATGTAGGTCAAGTAGCCAGTGATGCCCGTCAGTGCTACGATGTCGATGGTTGCCTCGATGGGTCGTCCAAAGTAGAAGAACAGCGGCATCCAGATGAGGTTGAGGCCTAGCTGGATCGTGTAGAGAGTGGCACCTTGCTGTGAACATCGTCAGCCTGTGGCGCGGAAAGAGATAACTGGCTCAGTCATGCCTACCTTCGCCAAATTAGTCTTGTTGATGTCGAAGCTCGTGATTCCAGTTGTCCACGCCCGATGCGCAGCATAGCCCATCAAGCCGTAGAGGGCCGTCCATACTGGCCCAAAAACCTGAGGTGGCGGTCGCAGAGGTGGTTGTCGGATCTCCATGTACGTCTTCTGGGTTTTCTTGGGCTGAGTGCCGAAGCCGACAAGTGTGCCAGCTGCAACGGGAAGCAAGATGGAGGCGGCGGGTTGCTCGAAGATGAAGGCGGGAAGAGTCATAGATGGAATGTAGGTCGTCATGTTGGGCTCGTATCTCGTCGTCCAAGTCATTCTGTTCCTAGCTCCGGAATTTGGTAGATGGATGGTATCGATGCTGAACTACGCGGTTTCGTCTCTAACTCTACACCTGTATTGCATGCTTCTGCACCTCGGCATTAGCTTGCTTGCCCTGAACCGCGCTAAGACGCGGATGATGCCGCGCGCTGCTCCTCCGCTCCAACACCTCCACTCCCACATCCCCTCCGCTCAGGCACTCCACACTGTGTGAGGGCTACCGCAACCAGATCATTCACTCATTGTTCGTATACCCTCTCTCCTACTTCTACCGGAGCTTCGCGTGCTCCCACCACACCTTCTACCTTCATGCAATGGCTAGATAGAGTGGCTTTCCACGCCGCACGGCGACCTTATGCCTCGATCCTTCTTATTCATATCATACATTGCACTTACCAGCGAGATTCTACTACGTCTTTGCTTGACGTGTTTACTTGCATCGCTTTGAGACCGTTCTAACTTCCGCCGGCATGGCAGACAGTCCGTTATCCTCCGGCAAGCGCCCAGCGAGCCCAGCGTCTCCGGAGCTCCAAGCTTGGAGACTGCTGCAACGGATGGAGCCGCCCTAAGCATAGGCATTCGACTTCTATCTTCCATCTGGTTGGAGACTCTCTGGAGCAATGGCGGAGGTTTACGAGTCCTACGCTAGGTCTCCACCTCCGTCACGTGGCTCGGCCAGAGAACGCGACGAGTACCGCGCACCGGACACTTATCGTGATAGACGAGACACGAGGCGCTCACCTGGTCAACCAAGTCCACATCAAGTGACAAGGGCATATGCTAACTTATTGTAGACCGACGTCGCGATCGTGAACGCGACCGCAGACGCTCGCGCTCGCCAGCTCAGATTGACCGCTACCAACCAGACCGTCTTCCCCGTGACGACTATTACCGGAATCGCGATGACACACATCGTGAGCGCAGGCGCTCGTCTCCGCAGCCAATCGATCGCTACGTGCCTGGTCAGGAGCCGGCAACGCCGCAGCTTTTGGTCAATCCTATGCCGGATCCATTAAGGCTTGAATTCCAGGTTGGCTTCACTTGGTTTGCCGAGTGGTGGCGCACAGAGCAGCGTATCAAGGACGAGAAGGAGCGTCAGCGGGCTGGTAAAGGACCGCCTCGCATCCGTGGTGAGCGCGAGATGCGAGAGGAGAGAGATGCTGAGCGGCCACGTATTCAGGCAGCCTACGATCAGTACAAGGCCAATCTACAGAAACAACAGGCGCAGACTTTCGTGAGGCTACACAAAGACGAGGATTGGTTCCGTGAGCGCTATGTGGCCGAGGTGCAGGTCCCATTCCGCAACAAGCTCATGGATTTCCGCAGGATGCTGTTTACCCAGTGGCAACAAGACCTGGAAGGCGGTATCTTCGATGATTTCACCCTTGAAGGGATCTATAAGTCGGAGTCGAACGGTCTCGGCGGCATCTTGGAGAAGGAGGAGGGCGAAACGACCGCAGCGGCTGAAGTGCTTGGTGTTGGCGATCTTCTGCCTTCGCGTGGAGGAGACCTGAGGGACCAGATAGCATTCCAGCCTACGCTGCTTATTAAGACTATCGCTCCGACAGTGACACGCGAAAAGTTTGAGGCGTTCGCAAAGGAGCATCTTGGAGAGGGCGAGGGTGGCTATATGCACCTGAGTCTGTCCGACCCCAATCCGCTCAAGAAGTGCCATCGCATGGGCTGGATCATGCTAAAGTCTGAGTCCGAGGAGCCGCAACAACAAGAGGAGCAACACTTAGCTGCGGCGGCTGGCGAAGAAGGTGAGGCTGCAGATGGCATGTCTGCTGCACCATCCCGGCCCAAGTCTACAGCCGAGAGAGCGCTAGAAAAGATCAATGCAAAGACGATCGAAGATCCCGAGCGCGGTAACTTCACAGTGCACTGCGGCGTTCATCGTCCGCCTGATGCGCCCCGGAAGAAGGCGCTCTGGGATCTGTTCTCCGCGCCAGAGCGAATAGCGCGCGATCTGGATTTGGCCACTCGTCTAGTGCGTAAGCTTGACAATGAGCTGGGCGACGAGTACTTTGGCGCCGCGAAGATTGAGGAGCGAGTACAGAGTCTTTCCGATCAAGGGTTGCTGCAACCTTCGGTCACCTCCAAGCCACCGAAAGAGGCTAACATGGACGAATTTGTCGAGGATGGTGAGGAAGAAGAAGAAGGCATGGTCGAAGATGAAGATGAGACGGACGATGAGGAGCTCTTGACGAAGAAGAAGAAGCTTGACCTGCTCGTCGAGTACCTTCGACGAGTCTACAGCCTCTGCTTTTTCTGCGTTTTCGAAAGCGATTCCGTACACGAGTTGCAACGCAAGTGTCCAGGAGGCCATCTCCGCCGACCGCGCGCGTCACTGACTTCGACGGCGAAGGAAGTGGCTAAGGCGTCCGCCATGGGCGAGGAGTTCCCGCTGCGCAAGAACGGCTCATCGAAGAATTCATTGGAGCTGACCACCAGCCGTGAAGGCGACGATCTCGAGATGGATGGTGAAGGCAGCCCGGTGGAGGAGCGTAAGATGCAGCTCAAGCCTAGCGCAAGGAACGCGCAGCAGCTACAGCGGGCGTTCAACTGGGTTAAGACGTTCGAGGAGAAGATCTTGCAGTGGTTGGAGCCGGAGAAGGTTAACCTCCGGAAGCTGGGAGGCATGCCGGTGGAGGAGGGCGTTGACGAGGAACTGACCAAGGTAAGCTTACCATTGACTCGTATCGGTGATTGAATCTTCAAGATCGTTGACGCCTCGCAGTTCGCCAAACAGGAAGACACCAACAAATTCCGCTGCAAAGTGCCTGGCCCGGATAACTGCACCAAACTTTTCAAGGGTCCCGACTTCTGGCGCAAGCATGTCGAAAAGCGACACGAAGATTTCTACAACCGCGTCCGCAACGACATCCAGCTCGTCAACACCTATGTTATGGATCCGGCGCATATTGCTCCTAGCCGCAGCGACGCGAATAGTAACGGCCACTTCCCATTGAACAACAACATGCCCACCGGCACGCCGAGAGGCTTTCAGCTCAGTCAGCATATGCCCATGGGCTTCCCAATGGCGGCGGCGGTGCCTGGTCCGATGGCAGGTGGGATGTGGACGCCTGGTCAACCGATGCCGATGGCTGCAGCATTTGGGGCGCCGACCATGGGCTTCCCACATAGCGGAGTCGGCCCAATGCGCAATACTGGCCGCAACACATACACCGGCTTGAACGGCTTCGGTGGCGGCGGAACGCGAGCGCCTGGGCCGTATGGCCGGAATGATGGGAGAGGGCAGCGGATGATGATGGGTGGTGGCGTGGGTGGGTTGCGCGGTGCGTTAGCTCCGGGCATGGCGAATGGGATGGAGGGTGGAACCGGTGCTATGGGCCCGCGAGAGGCGGTAGCGGGGAGGCAGCTGAGGAGCTATGAGGACCTCGACGCGGACCAGTCGGCTGGTACCACAGAGCTCAATTATTGAGGCGCTTATTGAAGCTAAAGATGAGGGCTTGGTGCTGGCGGCTGGCTTATTGGAGATGGTTGAGGCGTACGGTGTTCATTTCGAGGTATTTTGGTCGGAGACTATTGATGTACGTACCATTGCAACGCTGGCTCCTAGTGCGAAGCCTGTTGATTACAGAAAGTTGGATCAATGCTGCACCGTCTCACGCTCGTTGTCGGCTCGATAACATACCGAGGCTCGGTGATAACCTTTCGTCCGCTCAATGTTGCTGCATGTCGGTAGCGATCGGCCTAATATTTGGTTTGCGCACCAATCAATACGTAACAGGCTATTGAACCGTCTGAAAGATATAGAATCCTGGTGTGGAACACACGAGGACTTAGCTTTTAACGAGGTCGTTGCACTTTACCAAGTCCCAGTAACGTTGGTCTGGTAGCCATGGCAGAAGCCCAAGCAACCCTCGGCAACTGGAGAGATGCGCCTCACAGTCAATGGGGCTTCGCGAACGTCGACAAGATCATTTTGACGGAAGCGATCAAAGCGTCCAAACAGCCGAAGGCGTTTGAGGACGAGAAAAAGTCATTCAACGACTTCAAGATCCGTCTGTTGCAGATACCCATATTGTCGCTATCGTCGTACCTGCAACACACCAGCACCGATGGCATTGTTGTGCTGCATAAGGGTACCGTGGGCTACGAGCACTATGACCACGGCAACACGGGGACAACGAAGCACATACTCATGTCAATGTACGTGTCCCGGTTGACACCAATGATAGCCCAGCTGGCTGATACGATTTCAGTACCAAGTCGGTGACAGGGCTCATAACCGGCATACTGTCAGAAAAGGGCGTGATCGACCTGAACGCACCCATCAAGCAATACGTACCGGAAGCCAGCAGCATCTTCGATGACGTGACCGTCCAGCAATGCCTCGACATGAGCTCCGGCATCAAGTACAACGACAACATCCCCGAGTACCGCGGTGCAGCAGGCTGGGCTCCATTACCGCCGGACGCTAAGGCGTTAACCTTGCACCATTTCCTTAGTACGGTCGAGGCCCCTACCACTGGTCCAGGATCGGCCTTCAACTACTGCTCCCTCAACACAGATCTGCTGGGCTGGGCTCTTGAAAGAGCGTCAGGCAGGAAGTTAGCGGAACTGATTACTGAGCTCTTATGGCAGCCACTGGGCGCGGAGAGCGATGCTTTGCTGACGGTTGACTCCGAAGGCAGTCCCAGAAACGCAGGCGGCCTTTGTGCGACCGTGCGTGATCTGGCGCGCCTTGGTCAACTTGTGGCAGAGGGTGGCCGCGGTATCGTCCCTCCCGGATGGATTGATGACATGCTGAATGGTGGCGACAAGGCATTGTGGTCGAAAGGGGCGTTCGCGCCGATGTTTTATGGCAACTACTCCAGCGTCGCTTACCGATCGTGCTGGTACGCGGACAGCGAGACTGCGACGCTGATAGCGATTGGAATCCATGGCCAGCAGCTGATGGTTGACGTGAAGAACAACATTGTGATGGCCAAGACTGCATCGCAAGCTGATCCTGTCAGTGGGATGAACATTGTCGCGAACGTGCTAGCTTTCAAGGAGTTTCGACGGATCTTGTTGGGGTAGCTGTCTGAGCATTCTAATTGCTATGTCTTCCGATCGAGACCTCGGATCTGTTTAGTCAGACAGAGAGGGCTTCTTCGGACCGCCTCACGTCAACGAGCCTCGACCTCAACCCATCCATGGCAGTGTTGCTGTGCTGCTACGCAGAGCGGGTCCAACCTGTTCGTCAAAAAGCTTGAGCCTGGTCGTCGTGTTCACCTCATCAACGGGGTTGAAAACGTTAGATAGGCTTCGGCCTTGGCGTGCCCATCACCGCCCTGACGCCCTACTTCGACGACGGAAGAGTTGTAGCAGCGGCGCCATTGGCGTAGATGTTCTGAAAGTCGTCAGTTTCGCATGAACCGAAGGCAGACTTACACAATTGCTCACCTGCTGCCGAGCCTTTTCTCCGGATCTCTAATAGGGGCTGATTTCAACGGACGTGACCGTCTCTCCGCGCGCGTCTGGTGACCACCTTGTCCGCTTGTGCTGCATCACAGCCGCTGTCAACATACTGCTTGCGGTTTTGTGTGCCGAGATAATGGGTCAAGATGTTGGTAAGTTCCTCTCATGTATGCCGCTCACCGTTGCTTATCCCTATGCACCAGTATAAGTGCCAAATAAGCGATGACCCGGTATATCGCCCCAATCAGAAACAGCAGCCTGTACGAAGTACCACCGGTTAGCGTTGCCGCTCATGATAATGCGGATTTCGGCAATCCGACTCACCCAATATCCAACGAATACTGCCCCAGCGTAAAACCTATCGCACGACTCGCTAAGTCCGTCTGGTACAAATACGCCATCGGGCTCCAATTGTCCGTAACATACGCCTCCGTGAACCAGACACCAGGGCTCAGCCTCCAGAACCACTCCATATGCCAACTCTTCACTTTGCTCAATGGCGGGCTGACACCACCCAGCACCCCAATCACCAAGCTCGCCAGCACAGCCAACAACGGTCCGTCTTCCCGCTTGACGAGCATACTGACGACCGAAGCCAGGCCGTAAATACACCAGAAGTACATGAGGTTCGCGGCGTACATGTGCGAGAAGCTGATGAGTGGGGTGGCGAGGATGCCGAGGAAAACGGTGAAGTGTAGACTACTCAGACCGATGCGGATGAGCGTGCTCAAGAGTTTGCCGACATAATATGCAGAGCGCGAGTGGCCCGAAGCAGTTTCACGGTAGTACATCAATTTCTCCTCGCCGAAAACCCAGAAGCCTGGCGCGCTGGCTGCGAGACCGATGGCCATGGCTCCCAAAAGCGCAAGTTGAGGCGTGCTCGAGTAGTCGACCGCGGAGCTTAGTAGGGTGAAGGGGGGATGGTAGATACCCTGAAAGAGGTGGCCGTTGCTGGCAAAGGCGGAAAGGCCGATGATCAAACCTGCGAGCCCGCCAACGCCGATCTCGAAGAAGAAGGACGTCGCGTTGCGGACTTGCTGCGTCATGGCGCGCTTCCAGCAGTAGAAGGCTTGCGCCGGCCATGTCGCGCCGCGGTTCTTCATTGTCCTGCGAAGTGATTCTTCCTGCTCGACTGTGCTGTTGATGCTTTGATTGCTCGTTCGCCGGTTGCGTCTCGCTTGGTGCCCGTCGAGGCCCACAGATAAGTGCCTAGAATGTGAGCCGTACTGCCCTCGACTCCTCCACTCTTCAATCAGCGTCTTCACATCCGTCTCACGCTTCCCAGCACCCAAAGTGTACTGTGCACCATCGCCCGTGATGATGTCGATCAGGGTATCTGCCGGGTTGGCTCGCTGTGGAAAGGCAAAGCCTAGACCCTCGAAATAGCCTTGCACGTCATCTGTCGGCCCACTGTAGACACTCCGACCTTGAGAGAGCAGGAGCAGTGAATCGAAGCCGTAGAAGATCTGCTCACGAGGCTGATGGATGATCGCGATGGTGGTCACGCCCAGCCTGCTGATCGCTCGCAACAACCGCATAATGGTGGCCGCACTTGTGGCATCCAGACCAGAAGTAGGTTCGTCCAGAAAGATGGCCATCGGTCCACTGGCCAACTCCATGCCAATGTTGACTCTCTTCCTCTGCCCACCCGAGATGACAGGCCTCGTCGCATCTCCAACCCGCGAGTGCTGCACATGCGTGAGTTGCAAACACGCAATCAAAGAGTCAACATGATCCTGTATCGCCTTGTCCCGCCAGCTCGCAGGTAACCGGACTCGTGCAGAATGCAGGATGTTCTCCCGCACGGTAAGCTCCGGAAACACGATATCGTCCTGCGGCACGTATCCGATCAACTTTTTGTACTTGCTCATGTCCTTGGTCCAGCCGTTGATCTTGATAGTGCCGCCCGTCGCGTGCACCTTACCCATGAGCACGTTCAGGAACGTACTCTTGCCAGCTCCCGAGCCTCCCATCACACCCCAACAAGAGCCTCGTGGCATGGTGCCCGTCACATCTTGGAGGATCTTCTTGCCGCTCTTCGTCTGGAAACTTAGGCCTTCGAAATCGAAGCTGAGACCGATCGTTTGTGTCTCGATCGTCCGCGACATGCTCCGGATGAAGCGCTGCATGTCCGGCGAATTGTGCAAGTCGTCTTCGAAAAGAGTGTCATCCTCGTCCAGCTCATCGTCGGAAATATTGCCATCCATATGATCCACTCTCCCACTCGCCCGCCGTGTGTGCGTCGACGTCGGGCGCGGTAACGGAGGCGTCGGCTGAGGCGTAGACACCGACAGCCGCGGAGAGGGCGTCCTACCTAACCCTCCCTGAGCAGCTAACAGCTCGATGTCGTCCTTATCGGCATCGCCCGTATCCAGCGTCGTATACTTCTTCGGCTTACTCTTCCTCCACTTCGAAATCGCAAAGCCAATCGCGACGATAATCGCGAGCGCGAAGTCGATCGCAACCATGACACCCACCGGCACAGTCACCACCTGCCTGACACTGACCGCGGGGCAGATCGCTCCGAAGTCGCAGTCGCGCGGCTTGTAGGAGCCGCTGGGGCAGTATGTGCCCTTGGGACATGGGAGCTCTTGCTTACCGCCGGGTGGACAGTAGTGGCCGTTAGCGCAGATTTTGGGCTCGTAGACACCCTGCGGGTTGCAAGTACCCTTAGTAGCTCGGATGACTTGGCAGATTTCGTAGGGGTGGCAGTATTGTGGTGGATTTTGATCGCTGGATGCCGGGCCTATGCACCATTTCACCAATCAGCATCTTGTTCCTATAGCGTCTCCATCTAACCTAGCGTCGCACGTACAATGGAACCCAAGCGAGCAGGTGTCGTTCTGCGCCAATGCAACCGGAAGCGCGCCAGGTCTGTAACAGCCTGTTTGAGAATAGTTCAGCGAATAAGCCGCTAGATCGAATTGCTTGCTAGACATGTTGCCATATTGTGCCAGATCGGAGAAGGTTATACTGCCTGTTGCGCTCGGAAAGGCGGCCGAGAGGGCTGCCGACTCGCTCGGCGTCAAAGAGATTGCTTCGGGTGTTGTGGTAGACATGTTGAGCTAGAGATGGCACACTCGTGGTGTGCTGTCGATAGGCGTGCGTCTCCACGGTTGGTTTTTGTGGCCAGGCGTTCCAAACGGCCAGACGAATGTTACTAGAGGTAGTCGTGCCCAGCTGAACTGCTCTTGCTCTGCCCTGCTCTTCCTGCTCCCTACGCAGTCCCGTCCCGTCACAGCGAAGCAGTTCAAGAAGCGGAAGAAGGAAAGCGCAATACAGGCAGTAACATAATGTGAATGACAGAACAAATGATCAGGCCATGTCCATCTACGCGACCTACCATGATGAAGGCCAAGCCGGCACGTAGTAGCTGTATAAGAGATTCCAAGGTGAGGTTCTCACAAAGGCTGAGACCACTACCCGCGGACTGCGGCTGCACCTAGCTCGTGAAGGATTGCGCCAGAGAAGCTTGGGCGAAATAAATCTCGTGTTGCACGAGAGCGGCATAGGTGAAGCAGCCATGGCGCCAGTAGTGCAGAGCCGTGGCAGAGATGAGGCGGAGCAGGGCAGGAATCCTACAGCCTTGGCGTTCACGGCAGTGCCGCGGAAGAAGGCACGCTCACGTGGATGAGATATGCACGATCCATAGTGTCTTAACAATGCGATACTTTACTTTGGGACAAGTTCGGAAACGCTTCATGATATCTACACACATCCAACACAGACTCCACACGATGAACAGCTCTCCTCGCCAGTGCTCTCTCCTTCTCCTCCGCCTCCTGAACAGGAGCATTCACCAGATTAGTACTTCCGCGCAAACGGCGGAACAGCCTTACACTCATTCTCATCCAGCGTATTCATCTCCACCGCGCGGTAGCCAATCTCCGTCTTGGCCTGCGCCTCCTTCTGCCAGGTAAGCGTGTGCTTCATCCAGTTCTTGTCGTCGCGGTCTGGGTAATCTTCGCGGGCGTGTGCGCCTGTCATCAAGTTAGTACTCGGTTATTGCTACTGCAGGGGATGGAAGGATGAAGACGCAAGGCATACCTCTCGACTCCTTCCTATTCGCCGCCGCCTCAGCCGTCTGCACGGCACAAGTCAACAGGTTCCGCAGCTCAAGCGTCTCCACAAGATCACTGTTCCAGATCATGCTGCGGTCCTTGGTGCCGACTTGCTTCCACGACGCATCGACGTCGTTGATCCGCTTGACACCCTCGTCCAGCGACTCCTGCGTCCGGAAGACCGACACATCCGTCTGCATCACCTTCTGCATGGCGGAGCGGATATCGTGGGTGCTCTTCGGGCCGTCCGCCGTGCGCACGTGGTCGACGGCGGCGATGGATTCTGCGCCAGCATCTGCCGAGATCTCTGGGTGTGCTTGGCCTGGTGAGAAGCGGTCGCGGATGGTGTGTGAAACGGCACGACCGAAGACGACAAGATCGAGAAGGGAGTTGGCGCCGAGACGGTTGGCGCCGTGCACGGAGACACAGGCGGCTTCACCGCAGGCGAAGAGGCCGGGCACGACGGTGTCCTTGCCCTCCTTGTCTACGGTGATGACTTCGCCAGTGTACTTGGTTGGGATACCGCCCATGTTGTAGTGGACAGTGGGCAGGACGGGAATGGGCTGCTTGCGGACGTCGACACCGGCGAAGATGGAGGCCGTCTCGGAGATACCTGGGAGACGCTCGTGCAGGATCTCGGGAGGCAGGTGGGAGAGTTGCAGGTAGATGTGGTCCTTGTCGGGGCCGACACCACGGCCTTCGCGGATCTCCATAGTCATAGAACGAGAGACGACGTCACGGGAGGCGAGATCCTTGGCTGTGGGAGCGTAGCGCTCCATGAACCGTTCGCCTTCGCTGTTGAGAAGGTAACCACCCTCACCACGCGAGCCTTCGGTAATGAGGCAGCCGGCGCCGTAGATACCGGTAGGGTGGAACTGAACAAACTCCATGTCCTGGTTCGGTAGACCGGCACGAGCGACCATGGCCATACCGTCACCGGTGCAAGTGTGTGCGGAAGTGCAGGAGAAGTAGGCACGGCCGTAACCGCCGGTGGCGAGGACAGTGTTGTGAGCACGGAAACGGTGGAGCGTGCCGTCTTCCTGGTTGTAAGCTACGACACCCTTGCACTCACCGTCCTCCATGATCAGGTCAATGGCGAAGAATTCGATGAAGTAGTTGGTATTGTGCCGTAAGCTTTGACCGTAGAGAGTGTGGAGAAGAGCGTGGCCGGTTCGGTCTGCGGCGGCGCAGCATCGGTATGCCTGGCCGCCATGGCCAAAGTCCTGTGATTGACCACCGAAAGCACGTTGGTAGATGCGTCCGTCCTCTGTTCGTGAGAAGGGGCAGCCGTAGTTCTCGAGCTCAATGACAGACTGCGGCGCCTCTCTCGTCATGTAATGGATGGCATCCTGGTCTCCAAGCCAATCGCTTCCCTTGACCGTATCGTACATGTGCCACCGCCAGTCGTCCGGGTGCATGTTACCGAGAGCGGCATTGATGCCACCCTGAGCGGCGACAGTGTGTGATCGTGTAGGAAAAAGCTTGGATATGCATGCCGTGTTGAAACCCGCCTCCGCCAAACCGAATGCCGCTCGCAGCCCGGATCCACCGGCGCCGACGACGATGGCATCGTACTCATGGTCGATGACAGGGTATTTGTTGGCGATGAAGGGTGACGCCTCCTTCGCTCTTAATGGTCCATTGGGGGTGATGATCTTTTGTGCGGAAGTTGTGCGGGAGAAGCTTCGCTGTTGCTGCAGCTGGCGGGCGAGGGTGCGTGGAGCAGCGAAGCGCCGCATTGTCGACGACAACATGATGGAGTGGTGAGTGGGTGGTATGGACGCCCTGCCGGCAGTGTCTGTGGGAGTGTGAAGACACGGAGGCGAGGCGTTGGAGACAAGAAGTCGATGGCGTAGCGTGGAGCTTCTTCTCGCTGCTAAGTGCTGCATGTGGCCCGCAGATCTGGCTGGGCTGGTCGAGCTGTCATTGGCTCGAATTGGATCTCATACCTCGGCTCTGTTGCCGGCATCGCTCTCTTACTCAAACTTCCTGTCTGTTCCGAGTTCCATGAACACCATCGCCATAACACAATATGCGCCGGACTAACACTTGGCACCAACAACATTGCAGTGCTCGGCGTGCTTCTATCGGTCGTTTGGATCCGCTGCACGATGTGCTGCGTCAGCAAGTCTGAGCTATAGGCAGTTGCTTCCGCGCAGACGGCGTTGCTACTGCTCACTTGTTATGCCGAGCATTGAATCTGACAAGCAGTGCACAAGTTGAGATGGACTGCACTTCCCCGCCGTATCGAAGTAAGGTTCGATACCAGACCACAGCGCCACCAAGCCCAAGTTCTACTTTGGGATCTGTCTCTCATCTACATCCATTACCTCGTCACTTCACCCACGTTGAGCACTCGAATTTCAGCACCGCGTAGCTGATCGCGAACCGAATTGATGGCGCTGCTACCGGAGATCATTGCTGCATTCCTCCCCAGCGGCAAAGCCCCCACATTGGTACATTCCAACAATGTCCCAGGCCACGCAGTATCCCAGGACGATGGCTCGCTTCACACATCAAACTAACAGTGATATCGCGGAGCGATAGTGTAAACATGATGAACGTAAGTCCGAACATGACTGTTGGTCCCGACTCTACTGCAGACTTGAAGGTATCGGTTTACAGGCGCCTAAACCGTACGCGGGCAAGCGTTCGCGACCTCTTGTCGTGCACCTTCTAAAATATGTCTGGTATTTGCCAGACTATATTAAACGGACCTCAATCGTTTTATCATGAGCTCAGCGTTCCTAAGCGCGGATCCGGTTGGCGGAGTGACTGTGTCCGCAGAAAACCACTGCATCGCAGGTCCCGCGTCAATCAATCTCGGGGTCGCGTCAAGAGCCCTTTGCACTGACGTTGATGGGACGGCTGGATGTGTGCTCTGTACCCGAGAACCACTCCATCAAGATGGAACTGCCTGCCTGCTCGCAAGCAATGGCTTCACACTGGTCAGACTGACGTGCTTAGTTCAGTCCGGATCCCTGGATCTGACGGTCCATCCTCATCCTCGACATCAAGCAAGTTCGTTTCGGTGTCAGCCGGCAGGCGCTTCGTCACGCTGGTTTCGACTGCCCCTCCAAACGCTACTACACAACCCTCGCTGTATTTGGACTTGCCTTGGTAGGCGTCACTTTTCCGATGCTTTGAAACGTTGGTCTTCTACGAATGACATGGAATACTGTCTTGTCAACGCGGGTTAGTGATATTGTGCAGTTTTCGCAACGCAGGCAGCTGGCCTTGACGTGGACATGGCGGTGGAGAAGCGTCTTAAGAAGGGCTCCAGCATAAGGGTCATTTTCCTCTTGTAGCCAGAGGAACGCATTCGCTCTATTTGGGTAGACATTCGCAGTCCTGGCGGTCACGTCACAGTCTTTGATCGGCAGCTGCAGTGTCGAAGGGGAAGGTCATCTAGGAAATACACATGAGAAAATACATGTAATCTCAGTGCACCTTGCTCTGGGTTTCGCAACTACTTCCGAGATTCGTATTGACTGCGAGGAGACTATGTTCTTAGATTGTTCTTCCGAAGGAGCTGCCGACACGCACACGTGGGGAACAATGAGTTCATACACATCTTGAATCTAGCCACATATGTCCATTTCAGTATGAGAGCGCTGCCCGTTTGGCATCCGGTGCATATGCTGTTCCGCCAGTGACACGACCTTCATAGGCGAGGTTGCGAATGGGACGACTGAGCAGATGCATTATACCCAGCCCAGGTCTTGGCTCATATGGTCAAACGGTCCAGCGCGACGTTGTTTGGACGTGAAGACCAAGGTGACTGGTCAGTCGCGGGATGAGTGCAAAGACGCTCGCCGGCAGTGTTGGCAGCGGTGACTCTTATCGCCCAGGTTCTTGCTCGAGAGACGCAGTACCGTGACGCTTCAAAAGGGAAGATCCTGCAGGGGGTAGCCGTAGATGAGTAAGAGAGCAAGCTCTGAGTACCTTTGCGTGGTATTCGCAGCTACCTTCCGAACCGATACACCTTGCTATCGCATTGTATTGGTTACGTCCTCCTCTACCGAAGAGCATCCGAGCGGTCTCAGTGGACCGAAACCGTCCGGCAAGTTCAAGCATTGTGAACTCGCTAGTTTCTGCGAAGCCCGCTGCATGTGGTCTCACAATCCTGGGGGAACACATTAGCATCACCGTGACCGTAATATATCGTTACCGCTGGAATACATCGCCCCTCAGCATCCCTGACGGTATCCGCACAATCTCGAACGTAGGACCAGCTGAGCGTAACATTAACCACGTCACGAGAATCATGACAGTGTTGGTGTAGGTCCATGTATCGATCAAAAACCTGCAGCAGGGACAGAGCAAGAGGAATGGAGATCTTCAAGTGTAGCGCTAGTGCTAGCTGCAGGTCCGGAGTCGACTCCGTACTTGTCGTTCCTAACGGACGCCAAGCCACGTGAAAGGGAAGATTGCTATCCACAGCAGCGCCGTCGATTGAACGCGCGAGCAGTGCTTCAAGTGTACCTCTTGGTTCTTATCATACCTATTTCTCTGAGTGAATAGTGTTGGCAGTGGTAATGTGATATCTTTCCAGTTTACCCGAAGAGCCGCCGACCCCATGGACTCCGCTTAGGAGGTAGCGATGAGAATGTTTACCCACTGCGCCTGTCTTGACAACGACGTTCTTAGGCGCCTAACGCTTCAACCCTGCGGGATAAACTCTGTCGGAGCGCATAGACGTCTTTGAGGAACGCAGCAATATCTGTTTGTGAGCTGTTGACTTTGCCGTTATACTATTCGAGACACCGTGGCGGACGGGGGCGGACCACGTTCGCTCTCTTCACAACCCCCGACCGTCTACTACCTCTCCTGAAGTCGCACAATCTCCGACTAACGACAGCAAGCTCGGAGCCTCCCGTCAAAGCGAAGCTGACTGATGTTCGAGCCAGTGAGCGTTTTCCGTTCTCGGTATCAATGACGCACTTAGCGCACCGCAAGAAGAGGATGTTGGGACATTTGTACAGCAAGCGATCCTACTTAGTCAGATCAGAATTGCCACTATCAGTCCGACCACGCAGTTGCCGTCATATTGCAGGCTTTGCAGTTCCCTATGGTCGCGGTTGAGGCTGTACCCGGTTGAACATGCCCGTTCTAGGCTCCCGATGCACGTTACGGCGACTGAGCGTACGCTGGTTACGGCTAGCACGACACCGTATCTCGAATATGCTGCAGACGTGAGAGCAGAGAGCGCTTCGATGACCCCTGCATGACATTTTCTCTGTGGGGAGTATGAGCGCAGAATCATTGTTTAACTCTATGCCCTCTGCTGTCGCTTCTCCTCGTGACTTCCTTGCTGTGCGCCAGCTGACATGACTGTCGTTACCTATCTCCTATTTTGGGCGGCGTTCAGCGCCGCTCAATCTGGTCTCTTTTATAATGTCACATTTACCAATTCCACCAGTGCGGCCGTTTCGTTCAGCAACCATCTCTCCGATAGCAGTAGTTCAGCAATCTCTGTTACCAGCACCAGCACAGAAACCTCCGATTCCAGCACAGCGATCTCTGACACCAGCATAACGGTATCCCGCAGCAGCACCTCCGCAAGCATAGTACCTGGCTCCCAGAATCCGAACGCTTCAGGAGCACCGTCTTTGTCCAACGAGGCGACGTCTTCCACCATCTCAGCTAACTTCGCCGCATCGCCTACATCCAGCACTCCTTCCACGTCAAGCCCCTCATCTTGTCCCGGCACAACTACAGAATCAACCCCAAATCCGTCTACCGGCATCGGAGACTACGTTTTCTTTGGCATTGGGTCTTTGTCGGGTACTGGAAGCTCGCCTGGCAGCTCGACAGAGGGCTCGGTCTCCAGATCAGCCGTGCTTAATAACACGTCCACCACTGCTCCGTCAAGCCTAATGTACAGCTTAGACGTGCTCAATATCACATCCGCCAATGCTCCGGCAAATTCGACCTCCAATGCAACTTCTCCAGTTCCCGCGGCATTCAACTTCAGCGCTGCAGGCAATGGCACCAATGACCTCTTGACGACGAACTCGTCTAATGGCACCTCCGTAAGCGTGACAGTAGTCTCGATAAACACTACTTTTGCAAATGCGACATCTACGTCACCGGGCGCATCCGCAACTGCTCTATCGGCTCCAGAATGCGTCGAAGGAGCATCATACGTCGACGACAATGGGGCAGTCTGGAGCATGCTCTGTAACACGAGTTCGAGTGCAGCTATCTTGAGTGTCTCAGTACACACCAGCAGCGATTTCACGGTATGCTTTGCATTGTGCGACAGCAATCCCGGATGCATCTACTTTGAGTACGGCATCGTCTTCTTGAGCTACTATGGGTGCGTTCTCAAAACGACCATGGGCGACCGGATTCCAAACCCAGGTTTCACGGCGGCGGTGCTCTCATCCGCGCTGTTCCCCGCAACCAACCAAACAATAGTGTCCAATTCTTCCGATATGGTATTGTCTCCTTTCAACACCAGCACATCGTCACTCAACAGCACGTCCACTATTGCGTCTTTGAATTGGTCACTTCCGGCAAATGGCAGCGGAAGCGCGTACGCCAGCGCATGTCAAACTTTGCAAGTTGCTTGGACTTCGCTTCTCAACGCTGTGCCTTGTACGTTACCCAGAAGTACATACTCATTTTTGGGACCCTGCTAATTCGTGACCACTGTAACGCTTAGTTTCGTACGCACCTAGCATTGCGTACTTGACCTACACGAATTGGACGGCACAGACAACGACCCTAGGGGGATGCGACAGCTGGACCCGCCTTGTTGGCGAATTTACTCCGATTGGTAGCGGCTTCACGTCGACCACAATCTGGGAGGCCGTCTCAACGCTTCCTGCTCAACCATCACCACCATGCTCTGTCAACCCATCTGATTGCGGACTTCTATGGAGCAACTACAATAACTATGCCACATCATGGGGGTCGGCACAGAGTGCCGCGGAGACAGTAATAGCCCTGGCTCCATCCGCCACGGCCGTGACCATAGTACGCCCACTCTAGTAGCCGTTCGAGACAGTGCTGATGGGTTAACCTATGCCTCAGGGAGATGCAACAACTTCTTTTGGAACCACACGGCTCACCACGCCACCAGTAATTTCGTTCAATGGGACCGACTACTCTGGGCTCGTAACCAGCTACAGCACCGTTTATGGGTCTCCTGGAACATCCCTCCGCTATCAAACCTACTACGAGCTTCCGCAGGGGAATCTTTTTGAGAATGGAACATTAACATGGTGAGGTGTATTACCCATGCTATTCGACGCATATCCCTAACGATCGCACAGTGCTGCCAGTGTGGTGAGCTGGGCGTCAGATTATTCCAACTACCCTTATTGCAGTGAACCTGCCACAATGTCAGGATGCGGACAATGCACAATCTACGGTGGCACGGTACGCTTTTAGTAGAGAGACTTAGACCAGTTCGTTGCTGACAGGATTCTACAGGTCCAGCTCCTGTACTTCCCAGTCACTACCAATGTGTCCCGCGATATGTGCGCAACCGCTCCACCATCACCAACAACATGTCCTCTTGGGCATACAACTGCACCCTACACCCCTGCACCCTTGAATCGCGGAGGCACCTGTGAGGCCTTGATCCCGTGTCCGTACGCTACAACTAATACGACCACAACCGATAGTGGTGAGCGATGCATGTCAGGCTCTGATATCCGCTCTGACTGACAGTGGACATGAAGGACCCTATATTGTCTCCGAAGGCATGACGTACTATGAGAACAGAGCTTACATCTCCCTCCAGACAGCATATGCTTCCAACTCATGCGGCAGACTTGGCACGGCCCAGAGTGGCCGCATCCTCACGGTCGCTTCGAATCAGGTCTACTCGCTCGAGAGATCGATGTGGTCGTGTGCAGACTATGGTTATGCTTTCTCGTTTGCCGATTTGCTTCCTAACGTTCCTTACAGCGCGTATAATCTTGCCAACCCCGGTCTTCAGCCCTATGACGAATTCGACAACGTCGGCTGTCAACCTCTTAATGATCCTGGGTTTCTCTACCCGAACTGGATGAATCTTGATTTTGTCAACGGCCTCCAGCTCAGGTCCTATCAGCCGTGTGACACGCTCGCTGACCAGGCATACAGACCCACGCTCGTTGTGCCAACCCAGATCCGCGCCCTCGACCCTGCCTGGGCAAGCTGTGCAGTGGCACTTGAAGGTCTTTACGATCCGCCAAAGGCTCTGCAAGAGGCTACAACAGCGGATGGCGTTTCTAACCCTGGCATCCAGAGTAGCACAGCTGCCACGCCAGGGAGTGCCGCAACGTCCGGGCCACAGGCCACTGCAGCAACTATTACGGCAGCCGCCTCCGCGCAAGCGGACAGTGATCCTGTTCCGACAAGCTCCAATACTGGCGAACAAGCAAGTGCCCAAGCATCGCCGTCTATTGGTACCCAACCGACTGCTCAGCCATCTTCACCTGCTGGCACGCAAGCAGTCGCTCAAGGATCTTCATCCCCTGATTCGCAAGCAAGCGCACAAGCGGCGTCGTCGGTGGCAGACAACGATGTAGCGGGCGTTATAGCGTCCCTACTGGCAGGCTCCGCCACGACAGCAGGTGCTGCGGCAAGCCCAGCGAATAGCGACTCAAGCAATTCCGCAGCCAATTCCGCAGGAGGTGCAATCGCTTCACTTCTAGCGAACAGCGGCTCGACATCGACCTCTGAAACTGGGTCCTCGGGTGCGGGTTCCGGGGGCTCTGATGACTCTGGTTCCAGATTGTCAGGCTCGTCACAAATTGGGTCATCACTTCCCGCTGCGTCGAGCGTGGCGTCATCTGGCTCCAATGGGCCAGGCTCTGGTTCAGGAACGTCAGACAGTGGCTCCTCCGGCTCGGGCTCCACGGGCTCAGATTCAGGGTCGTCAGGTTCAGGGTTGTCAGGCTCGGGCTCGTTGGGCTCAGAGTCGTCGGACACAGACTCTGGTGCCGGTTTTACTGACTCGGGCTCGTCTGGGTCTGGGTCCGACTCATCCGCAGCTACGCCGTCTGGCTCAACTTCAGGGAGCGGATCCGCCAGCGGAGACTCTCCAGAGAACCCATCTTCAGCGAACGGACAAGCAACCGTAGTGACTGTCATTGGGTCGAGCACTACAGTCGCCTTGTCTCAAATTGCAGGTTCAAGCAATGTTGTTGTACTTGACGGCACCACCGTTTCCGTGGTGAGCGATCCAACCGCGATCAACAGCATCACGCTGTCGTCCGCGCAGTCATCGGGTGGCACTGCCATCGCAGGAGGCGGAGTGTCCAGTATCGTCCAAGCTGCTTTTGCTCAGCCAACCGTGGGTAACGCTGCCAGCGATTCCGCTGTTACTGGAGCGGTGATCAGTCTCGGCAGCTCCTCCTCACTGAACGCTGTGATCACGGTAGTGAACGGCGCGACCGCAGTCGTTATTGGAGACAGTACGCTAGCGGAAGGAGCCGTGGCTACGATAGGTGTTCAAACGGTGAGCCTAGGCTCCGGCGGCATCGTGGTGGGCGGCACCCAAACCCAAGCAATTAGCGCCGTGGCTGCAACTGCAGCGTCTTCCGGAGCTCTTGTCGCGCTTGACCCGTATACGCTAACCGCCTCCGCAGCCGTCGTAACCGCCCCTGATGGACAAACGTTGGAAGCAGCCGTCATCGGTGGAAGCACTATTATCCAGGGCGGTGTCGCAGCGACCATATCAGGACATGCGGTCAGCTTGGGCACTGGCGGCATTGTAATTGATGCCTCGCAAACACAGGCTATTAGCGGGCTGCCTGCGACCGGCGTAGCATCAGGCGCAATCGTGACGCTAGGATCGTCTACTGTCCAGATCAAGCCAAGTATTGTTGCAGGCAGTAATGTGCAGCCAATCACCGAGGTGGTGGTTAACGGCAACACGGTGATTCAAGGAGGTTCTCCGGTAACCATTGATGGCCATATAATCTCGCTCGGTACGGACGGTGTCGTCGTGGACGGAGGTCAGACATCACGCATCTCCGCGGTGGTCACTCCAGCGAACAATCTGGTCAATGTTGGACAGTCACTGACAGCGTCGGAACTACTTGTAACAGGACAAGATGGAAAAGCCAAAACTGAGGTGGTGGTAGGCGGCAGCACTCTTACTGCCGAAGGCTCACCGGTGACGGTCAGTGGCCACACTGTCTCGCTGGGCCCCAACGGATTGGTCGTAGACGGGACATCCACGGCACAGTTATCTGCGGTCAATGCTGGAGCCACAGGCGCAGTATTAACATTCGGTTCGTCGCTGACAGTGTCCGAGGCACTACTCACGTCAGATGGCATTGTTGTAACGGAAGCTCTTGTCGCTGGTAGTACGCTTGTTCTGGGAGGCTCGGCGGTAACCCTTGCCGGACATACGCTCTCCTTTGGCACCAGCGGCCTAGTAGTGGATGGGCAGCAGACAGTGCCAGTCGCACCCGCCAGTACCGGGGTCAGCGGCGCGGTCTTAACCCTAGGCCCCTCGGCCACGCTCACCGCGTCCCAAGTTCTGGTCACGGGCGTGGACGGCAAGACGACGACCGAAGCTGTAATTGACGGCCGTACTCTTATACAAGGCGGAGCGGCGGTGACGCTTAACGGACATACGCTCTCTCTCGGCGCTAGCGGCGTAGCAATCGATGGGCAGCAGACAGTGCCTATCTCAGCAGTAAGCACTGGGATCAGTGGCGCGATCTTGAGTCTAGGCTCTACTATCACGCTCACCGCGTCCCAATCTCTCGTTACGGGCGCAGATGGTAAGACGACGACCGAAGCTGTAATTGATGGCCGTACTCTGACCCAAGGTGGCTCCGCCGTGGTTGTCGATGAACATACGCTCTCCCTTGGCTCTGCTGGGGTGATCGTAGACGCAACGCTGACGAAGCCGATCTCGAATCTTGCACCCATTACTACCTCTGCACCTGGTCTGTCTCCGGTGACGTTCACCGAGCATGGACAGACGTTCACGGCGACGCCTGTTGCGGGGAAGTCAGGCGTGTACGTTGTCGACGGTCAAACAGTCTCCGTCGGCGGATCAGCAGTTACAGTTGATGGCTTGACGCTTACCGCTCGGTCTTCCGACCTGCTTGTCGACGCGACGCAGACAGTACGCTTTACCAGCACCAGCACTGCGTCAGGCACGGGCTCATTGCACACAAGCATGTCCACTTCCACGACCAAGAAGTCAGGCGCTTCAGGACCAGATCTGGCGTCAGTCTTCGCAGCCGTGGTAGTTGGTATGACAGTGTTCGTCGCTCTGTGGTAGATGGATCTACTCTGGATGGAGGTCGTTCTTCGCAGCTCTGTTAGATTTATGTACTGTAATGACTCCCAGCAAGACATCCAAGGCACGAGAGACGGCGCCGATCGCATTGCACTGCAAGTACGTTTTAGCTTCAACACCGTTACAGTAAGCAAATCGGCTGATCTTTATGTAGTAAGTCGCTTGCCGCGACATGCAACAGGACACGTCGTTAGTGTCGTGCGGCCAGCAGTCTTTGGCCCACAACAAGCAGACATACGAGGACCACTTTAAGCATAGTCGAATCTCAACCTCGAAGCGTTGGCGAAAAGAAGTGAGCGTCATTACTGATCAATTTAGGTTGCAATGGCAGCTCATACAGACATCGCTACGTAGACCGGATCTTGTCTCCTAGTATGCAACAAGATTATATTTGAACGGGCAGAGCATATGGGCTTGTTTTCCTTCGACAGCGTTGGAAGTCGTTACTTTCCCGCGCCTCTCACCAGAGTTACGCGTCGCCTTATACTCTGCTGTACGGCTTGAGTCGTCGTATTGCGAATCTGTCAGTCGAAAATGCGAGTCTTTATTATGATGGAAAGGTCATACGCTCTAAAGTCGCCAGAAGCTGTCTAATCGGTTTGACGATTCGCTACGTATGTTTGTTAGTGGTTGCATCCGAGGTTCAAATTCTACTCACGTGATCGACGCATGTCAGTACGGAGCGTCCCTCTTCCGGTTTAGTAAGCATGCTTTCTGGAAACGCGGTACATATTCTTCTCTTTCTCACCTCTCTAACATAGTAGCAACACCCGCTTCGGACCATGTGTCTCTAGCTTTCCCTCCCGCTTCGGACCACGTGTCCCTAGCTTTCTCCCGCTTCGGATCATGTGTCTCTAGCCTGATGGACATTCGAGTCCACCTGTATGTGGTGTCATCGATGGACCCTCTGCCCTTTCACAGGTCAATTGGGCCAAGAGCGCCTGTGCAGCATCTTTTTCACCGTTCATTTGGCTTCTAGCCGGCTAGCGGAGGCGAGGATAACTGATGCGTGGATGACCCAAAGCAATGATGAGTGCCCACGAGCATGAACGGACGCTAGGATTGATGGACGCGCCAGAAGACTTTGCTGTCATATAAATCTGCGGCGATGGACGCACACACAAAGCGGTATGCGTAGGAGCAGCACCGCTGGTGAAGTGGACATGTGAGCTGGCCAAGTGGCCGTAGTGTACCGGTAAGCTTTATGATTTGGGACATATACCCTCCCTTCTCAACATTGTACAACATCTATTTATCCTCTGCTCCGTCGCCGTCATCCAACCAGGCCGTCGGCACAGCTTCAATGACACTATCATGTCGCGCTGGCGGCCATATCTTGCGTATGGACAGTCCAACAGATCCAAGCAACTCCCGCCACTGGGATTCCGTACGGATCGAGCCGAAGTAACGCATGAGGTTGATGTCCATCATGACACCGTACAAGGAAGCATTTGTTGGTGGCAGCACCACTTCTACAAGAAGTATGCGCGACTTGCCACGTTCCATTGCAGGGATGGTGTTGCGCAGGATGGTGGCGCACTGGCTATCAGACCAGTCGTCGAGAACATGTCGGAACATGTACGCTCGAGCGCCTGTGTTGATAGATTTCATCAGCACAGCTCGGTAGACAGTCTTTGTAGTCTCACCTTTGATCGGCTGCTCGGTGGTGAAGAAGTTGTATGGCACGATATCCACGTTTTCGAGCTTCATGGCATTTTCTACGGTTTTGGGTAAGTCTTCCAACGCCATGCGACCGGTCAACGTTGGGATGTGTTTTCGAATGTCGTCGAGTACATGGCCGTAACCACCACCGCAGTCGACAAGCACTACCTCATCAACTTCAGCCGAGCCACCAAGCTCCTGCTCGAATGGGAACAAGTCCGCAAATCCCTTCTTGTAGTAGGCTCGTTCCACGGCAATGGTAGCGGCCATGGACTCATTGAACGCTTTCAACTGTGCAGGTCGTTGCTGTAACCACTGGAAATGTTCCATATCTGTATTGTTCGCGAACGAGAACATGGTCTTGTCTGAAGGGTCATCTCCCGGATTACGGTATGATATAGACTCGAGATAGTCAGGCAACCTCGCAATGCCGGGTAATACTCGCTGCGCCCTTGAAAGAAGGTTCCAAACTTAGCAGGAATGAATACAGCAAAGTGACAGTACCGGTGACATACATGGGCATAAGGTTACGGTTGAGAGGGTAGATGGATAATGCGTGGGACAGCACATTATGCTCATACGTCTCCTCGCCGGCTTCAGAGAAGATGCCATAGGTGACGAGAGCTCGCATCAACCGAGCCACAAGTCGTTCGTTGACTCCAGTCTCGGAGGCCAGCTGCGAGGAGGTCTTGCAACCCTCCCATGCTTTTAGGAGACCACACTTGTTCGCAGCGCATAGAGAGGCCTGCGATAGCGGCTGTAAGGCGAATCGCAGAGCTTCCTCTTCAGGGTCTGCTGTCGCCTGTGCAAGCTTTCGAGCGGCATGATTGAGCGCTGCACGACCTCCCTCGCTCAGGTCGCTTGCTGCTGTGGCGACTTGCTGGATAAGCTCCACAATGTAAGTTGAGGAAGACATTGTTAGTTGTTCACTGCACGAGTGACCCTGCCTTAGTATGTTGTGAAACAAAGGTCTTGACAACTCTGCGCGTCGCACGAGCGTGTCGGACTTTGTCCCGTGCGCGGAGAGAAACAGCACCCTGCGAAAGCCCCATCGTGGTTCGTAGCCATCACGACGTTACTAGCATCCCACGTGCACGGTCGCAAGCATCCACATGGTAATAGCCTGATCGGATAATACACGCCGATGATTGAAGGATCGAATCCGTGCCACACTTGGGCAGCTTTGAGGCCATATGGAGCAAAGATGGAGACCGGTATCACATTGAGACCAGCCATGTGCCGTATCACGTCGAGCGAAGCAAGCCTAGCGAAGTGCCGGCATCTCCGTTAACGTTAGTGCTACTGCAGTAGAGCTCCAAGAGCTGTGAGGTTGAAAGAGAGGATGCAAGCTTTGGGTAGGCCTACTGCCGGCCCCTGCCTTCCCGCAGGGGTGCCGTACCGAAAGCCATGGCGCAGGCTTAATCTGCTCGGCATTCTCCTGCCGTTGTCCCCGTCCCTTGTCCTCTGGCGGAAACCTTGTCTCCACCAGATTGCTTATCAGTTGACCGGAGCAACTGAATGGAGCTAGACGTGCAACTTATTGCATGTATGGAACCATGGTCTGCAACGCCCTCTCTAAACTCGAGTCAGATTGATGTGGTACGGCAGCCAATAACAAGGGGAAGATGGCACAGCGGCCTGTGGCATTGCTTCTTTGAGACGAGGACCCGCTCGATCGTTCGCGATGGCTATACAACCTTTGCTGTTCCAGAAGCACTTCTGCTCGGCATCCCGGCCGGCAACACGACCCTGTCGAGCCATCCCAAGTTCGCATGGTGGCATTGAGCTGCTGCAGGCGAGATCATCTCGTGGGTTGCGCGTGGAAGTGCGGATGCTGCTTCGGCTGGGCGAGTTCCTGCCACTAGTGGTACTCGGTTAGTCTCACGGACGGCTGCGATCATGTGTGCTCGAGCGGCAGCGTATTCTGACCTACATTTCTTTACTCCCCTCCTTCCTCGATCCGCGTCTCAGCATATCTCCGTACGTTCATTATCGCACTTCAAAATGGGATTCGGCATCGTCGAGCCAAAGTCTATTCGACATGGTCAAGTGCCGGGTACCGCAAGGTTAGTGGACAGAGTTGACACTACCGAAGCTGGACCCGATGGAAGGCCACTCAAGCATGGCAAAGGCAGAAACGCTCACATCGTGTTGGTACCGCAACCGTACGCACACTCTAAGCATTACCTATAACGAGAGTGGCGGCAAAGCTAAGAATCGTATCTACTGTCTTAGGTCAGATTCACCCAATGATCCATTGGTACGTGGACAATTTGCGGGAGGGACGCACAGCATATCTGACTGGGGCATGTAGAACTGGCCGCAATGGAAGAAGGAAATGACCTACCTGGCTATCTGCGTGTCTACAGCTCTAGGCGGTGCATTGGGCCCCATACTCTCACCAGTGCAAGGCGAGATCGCTCATCAGTATCATGTCAGTATTGAGGAGTCTGCATTGCCTGCGGGTTACGCCTTGATGACGGCTGGTAAGTACAGCGATTCGACACCTTACTTGTTCGCGTAAGACACGGCTGATCCGTCCACTTATCGAAATGTAGGTATAATGGCCTATGTTTCGCACGTCTGGGCTCGAAGCCTTGGCAAGCGAGGCATCTACATCATCAGCACTGCCATTCTGCTCGCCACCTCTATCTGGACGACTCAAGTTACAACTTTCAACGGCCTGCTTGCTGCGAGGACTGTCCAGGGTTTGGGCAACGGCGCGTATGAAAGCATTGCGGTTTCAACGATCGGTGACCTGTTCTTCGTATGTATTGCTCTACCATGTATCGATCTGGTGTGCTGATGAAATTCTATAGGTGCATGAGAGAGGCAAGCGCATCGTAATGTTCAATATTGCAACACTTGGTAAGCAGAACAATACTCTTTCCCGTTTGGGATGTCTGGGACACATCTGACCTTCCTACGCATCGTGCTGTAGGCATGGCGAACCTCGCACCAATAGCTGGGGGCGTCATATCGCAGAAATATGGCTGGAAAACGCAGTTCACCATCATCTCGGCCTTCACGGCGGTCGCTCTAGTGCTTATTTTGGTCGCTGTTCCGGAGCACGGCAACTACTACCGCCCATCGATCTTCGAGACCGACACCGCGGCTGGCGGAGATGCCGCAGTTGCTGCAGTCGAGGATGACAAGAAGACGCCAGAAGAGCACACTATGGAAGCTCCAGTTGCAGAAGATGCACGACCGAAAGACGAACATGTAGAGACATACCTGCAGCAGCTGCGGCCGATCACGCTACCGTCGAAGAGGCCGAACCTACTGGCACTGATGCTTCGTCCGTTCATCTGCTTTATGTATCCGGCTGTCTTTTGGGGATTTTCAGTCGGCGGTCTTTGGAGCGCATGGGTAAGTCGGCAGCCAGCTTATCGAAGATTTACAGATACTGACTGTGCACAGACTGTTGGTATGTCCATCGTCGAGGCTCAGATCTTCGCTGGTCCGCCAAATCTGTTCTCACCAGTCAAGCTTGGCTACCTCTTCGGTGAGAGTATACCTGCCGCTCGTGCCAGGCTCCTACTGACAGACAACACGATAGTATTCCCATTCGTCTTCATCGTCATTGGCTGCATTGTCGGCTTCCTACTAAGCGATTGGTTTCCTAAGTGGGCCGCAAAACGCAACAACGGCATTTTCGAGCCTGAGTTCCGTCTTATCCTACTGATTCCGGTTCTACTAGTTGGCATTCCCGGCATCTTCGGTTTCGGAACGTACGCATCAGGACGCCACGTACACTGGGCCGCAGCGAGCGCGCTTCAAGGTCTGATCGGCTTTGCTAGCATCCTCGCGGCTGGTGTCTCCTTCAACTACGTCCTCGACTGCCACCGCGCTCAGAGTGTGGAGGTAACGGTCGCGCTTATCATGCTGCGCAACTTCTTCTGGTTCGGCTCTAGTTACTTCCTTCCAACTTGGCTGGCCAGCGCGGGCGTTTCGACTGTGTGGTACATTGTCGGGGGTCTGCAGTTGGGCATCACTTTGCTTTCGATCTTGGTCTACATCTATGGCAAGGTCATGCGTGAAGCCGTGAACCGATACGCTCCTACCAGCTGAGCTTCGCTTAGGATGACAGTGCGGAGGTAGCGACTTCGGGACGGTAGATTTTAGGCTGATTGAGCACGCTTCGTACATACTCCTAGATAGATTTGGTGGGGCTTCGTCTGCTAAACACGAGAACTTTCAGTCCATAGTCTAGAGTACTCTCGCAAGTCTGCAGGCCATCGTTCTAGCGCAGAAGGCCTTTCGAGCTGACGGAAGTGGTACGGAAGCACATCCGACCTAGCGCATCCTCCACGGACACCGCCATGATTGCACGACTCGCATTGCCTGTTTGGCGCAAATGCTGATATGACCGGTGGGACTGCGATCCCGAAGCCACAGTAGCTTCAATCTAAGCAAGCCTCTCCAAGCTTTGTTTTCCTGGGCATGCCAGCCGTGCTCATGCGTGATTTGCTGATCTCCTGCGTTACACTTATAAAGCAGAACGCCACCAGAGACACGCCGGCTGATAAGCTGCCGCGGAAGTGTGTCGGGTGCCGTTCAAATGCCTGCTAGACCCGCAGCCGATACAATTTTGGCTTCACATGGCTCGTAATGGAGATGTAGCCGATCGCGAGGGCCCCGAGTGTTCGAACAGGGGCGAGAGATTGCCAGAGTCATGTCATGGACTACTGTTCTCACTATCATCTGAGGCCGGACGTGCACGAGCGGCACTTTCCCACCTCCATGTAGACTGTGCGCATCTATCACCTGCAAGGCTGCAACAGATCGTCAGTGCGACGGCTGAGACGAACAGGGACCATGTGTGTCGTCGAAACCTGACGCCGCAATCGTTGCTGTCTCCCCTCGTTCCTGCAGAGGTGCAGTGCCGAACAGATATGTGTGCTCGAACCAGCGGCCTACAGTCCGTGTTGGCAGACTGTATCACTCACTTGTCGATATCGTTTGTTGTAACATTAACTACGAGTCGAGCTCCTTGAAGTCGTTCGTCTCGATACTCAATCTGAACAAAGTCACAAGGCCGTTGCAATGAACAACAACGCTGTCACCAATGTCAACAAAGGTCCGAGTTTTCTGACGTCTCTCTGGGTTTCAAGCGGCATTGCGATCTCGATGGTCATCGCTCGGCTTATCGTGCGAGTACGGTTCCTCCGCTACCATGGTCCCGATGACTACTTCATCGCTGCCTCGCTCGTACGTCGTCGTTGGAGATTGCTTCAGCAGAGACGCTGAAACCGTTGACTGATCGATCAAAAGGTTGTTGGCGTGGTCGGCGTCTGCTTAGACACGGTCTCCGTACGACATGGACTTGGTCGACATGAAGCATTCCTCACGCTCGACCAGATCGTGCAGGCGACGAAGTACAACTTCATAGCCATCCCTTTCAATCTGATGTCCAGCGCGCTAGCGAAGTGCTCCGTCTGCTTCTTCCTGATCCACGTCAACCAGAGCAAGCTGGCAGGGCGTTTACTGCTGGCGGCAAGCATACTGTTGGTCGTGTTCAGCACAGTGACCATCGCAGTCCTCTTTGGCCAATGTACACCACCACAAGCCCTGTGGAACCCCGAGGTACGGGCGACGGGCAATTGCATCAATCCCAGCATCAACGCAGGCGTAGGCTTAGCACAGGCAGGTGAGAGATACGCATGCCAGTTGGGGTGGAAAGGAGATTTCGGCTGACTCACCCGCGCAGCATTTTTCGTCGTCGCTGACCTGTGCTTTGCCTTCTTCCCCCTGACGTTCCTTTGGACTCTGCAAATGAACAGGCGGACCAAGTTTGCTCTTGCGGTGGTACTTAGCCTCGGCGTTATGCAAGTTCCCCTTTCGCCCGTCGCAGTAACGTCTCGCTGACGCCCACAGCAGCGCTGCAGCTTTTGGCATTGTGAGATGCGTCGAACTGCGGGAGATCGCCTCACGGTCGGACATATTGTGTAAGTGGAGCTTCAGAGCCTTAAGGGGCACAGGACCGAAGCTGACGAATATGCGCAGTCAGCACGGTCGACTTAGGGATATGGTCGATGTAAGTCTGCTAGAAGCGTATGGTACGTGCCTAGGAGAGCATCTTCTTTGCTGACTTGCAAATCAGTCTGGAAGGCAACATTACGATCATTGTAAGCGATCAGCACGTCCTTTTGCGATCACCTTGGACATTGCTGACGTCTTACCTATCAACTGCAGGCAGCATGCATCCCACCGCTCTACTCCGTCTTCCGCTGGGCTCTTGGTACCGAGCGAAGTAATGGCTCAGCTCCACGTGCCGCCACCTACCGTGGTTCCGGATATGTCAACTTCGCCTCCAAGAATTTCGGAGACGTCGACAAACTCAATGAACCTGTCCAGCTCTCCACGTTATCACACCCTGACAAGGATCCAAAGACGGCTGAAGTCACGCAGGAAGCCTCACCGGTCGGGGATGAGGAGTCATTGAATCAGACTGGCAGCGAGACGGACCTGTACACCGGTCCAACAGAGGTCGAGAAGCCTCAAGATTCAACTCTGAGCAATCGAATAAAAAGGGTTCGGGGATCTCAGCATGGCATCATGCGGACGACGGAGGTTTCTGTAAGTCATTCGCGGCAGGAGCAGAAGGAGCAAGAGGATGAACGCTTGAGGCTGGAGCGTCGGTTATTCTCCTAGAAGGATGGGAGATGGTGTTCGCCCGGCATCTCTGTACTGGTACAGGAGTTGGTCGGCGCTTGGAGGGTCGAGCGTAAGGTTGGGTTGGGGAGGAGTCCGCGTGTCTCTGCAATGGGTTTGAGGACGGCATTGGGACAAGGTACATCACATGTCCGTAGTGTTCCATGGCCAAATGTCGCCCACACCCAAGGTATTGTGCTGGATAGCCAAACAGCAATTCCCAGCGCACCGATGCCAAGCGAACATCCAAGTCCGAAGGTCTGCTGCAGGCCGTCCAGGGTGCACGCCAAGCCGCCTGGTGTCACCACGGCTACGACATCTGCTAGAGACAAACGATTCGATGGTCCTATGTTCCACCTCCAGGACATAACCTGGTTTTGGAGCCCCAAAAAACCACATCGGTATTCATCCTTAAGGTACCTCAAATTGATCCAGAATTTGGTGCGGAAAAAGCAGGGTAGAAGCTCATTACGCAACACGTGGTAATCACGGGTGACGGCAGGTTGCGGATGAGGTACTCTGAACTTGTCGTCGGTCCAGCTGGCAGTATCTGGAACCTCAGGATACATCGCATAGACCGATTTCTAACCAGTAGCTCCGGCGGCACGTCGAGCAAGGGTTTCATAGCAATCTGCAGTCTTGCTGGATTCCGAGGGCTTCCACGTCTCATCCGAATAGCCTGCCGTGAACTGCTTGCGGAATGTTGAAGTACAGTGCAGTCTTGCTCGATCCGGAGATACCGGGCACTCGGGTGAATTGCCTGCTGCAAAGCATTTTCAAAGGTGTCGACTTGAAGTGTACTTTAACTGTGGATTAAGTATTCAATGTTCGCAGGGCTGGTCGACAATCGGACGTGGGCTGGTGATGGGTTTCACACTACAGTGCGAGCACGCAGTCAGTGAACGTCATATCGTAAGCGTAGAGCAGACACGGAGCGCTTACTAACACGAACTAGCCCCAACCGTAACAGAAAGTCAGCGACACCTGAATACGGCAGGCACGATCAATGCGTGTATGATGCGCATAGGTAACGATACGCAAGTCTGTTGCAGCACTATAGTAAGTAATTGACCGAACCTCGCAGTGTGTGCAGCGAGCGCAAAAGCCGCGAAGGTCGTGAGTATCGTTACCCTTGTTGCCGCATCATGGATCTTCCACCAGAAAGTGATAGTCTCGACGCCAGCAAATGGCAACAGCAGATCCCGGTTCAGACGCCAACGCTTGAAATCATCCTTCACCCTCCCTCCTACCTGCAGTCGCCATGCCGGGTCCGCCGTCCGTCGGGCGCAAAGAGTGGGTATCATATCATGTTCGTGAAGCGAACTGTTACGTCATGTTCAAGCACCGGAACGCTTCCGCATCATCAATTAGCGCTCAGTTCGGCGGGATTGGCGGGAGTGCCATCAGGCGTGGGAGTAGAAGGCTTCTCCTTCTCGTCCACACCCTGGCCTCGGCACAGAGGGCACGAGTTTCGTCCTTGTGTGAGCCACTGCAATACATTGTTAGCTATAAGCTTGTCCGCGGGAGAGGATGTGCTTCGGCTTTGCCACTTACCTGATCAATGCACTCCTTGTGAAACAAATGCTTGCACTTGACCAGCTTGCGGCACACCTCCGCTACCTCGAAGTCGCACAAGCAAACCAGGCAGCGCTGGCCGCTTTCCAGCTTAACGCGGTCGTCGCCTTCTGATGCTACAGCCATAAGCGTGCCTGTTGCGACCTCTTCCGCTACTTTGCTGTCTGCAGATCCAGTACCCGGCACGCCCTCCGCCGGCCTCTTAAAGAGGATGATATTGTAGACACCGCCAGCACTCTCTACATCCTCCTCACTTGCCACCGGCGCTTTCGCAGGGCCAAGCAGTGCCGAAAGCAGCATCATGTCCTCGTACGTCGGGTTTTCCGTGAACAGGCTCGGCGTGGTGAGGATCGGGTGGTTCTCCGGATACGAGCCGCCAAGTACATAGATGATCCAGCTCCGGCTATCACTGTTACTCGGTCGACCTTCCGTGTTGGTGTTCGAAGCTGACGTATCGGTAGCATTTGAGGTGCTTGTTCGTGAGAGTGGTGGCAGATTGTCCGGCTCTACCACACCATTTCGGCGCGGATGGCCAGATGAGAAGCGTGGGTAGTGGATATTTGGCGCTGTGTCGGAGCGTCTGTGTGCGTTGAGGCGAAAGAGACCTGCGTCATCGCCCGCTGAGAGGAGATTGGTGGCTGAATGAGTGGAGTGGAGGGATGATGTCTCCTCAGTATGCGAGCTCAGAGGGCTTGCCGCGGATGCTCGGTGGATTGCGCTATTCCTCCGCGAGTCCACACCGAAGTCACGCACGCTGTTCGCAATGAACGATGCGGGCCGTGAGTGACTCGGCGTGCCTGTCCGGCTCGAGATTCTGCTAAGTTCTGGACTTGGACTGGCTGGCGTTGCCGGCGGTGGCCTCGGCTCGAGATTTGATGAGCTCGCAATGCTCCAAGGTCTCTCCCGTCTCCTATCCGGCGAGCGGTGGTCACGCTGATCGTCCAAGCGGTCGTTGATCCTACTACGGCTCATGCTGAATGCACCCATACTCGCGCGCCTGCGGTGTCTGAACGACGTCCCGTTCTGCGGCGGGCGCAGTATTGAATCGATACTATCATGCGCATGTTCGCCAAGCGCCTCTGCAGGTAGCGGGCTCGGGAAGTTGCCTAGAGCGTCAATGAATGGTGGTAGGTCGTCGGCTGCTGAGCCTGGTCCTGTGCTCGAGTTTGGATTGATGGACCTGATGCCTACTATAATGATGGGTACCATCCGCCCTTCCGAGCCTGCTGCGTCGGCTGCTTCACTCGGGTCGCCTAAGCCGGTGCTTAGTGGTGTCGGGCTATTACTCCCAGCCGGACCGAAGCGGAACATGCGGAAAAAGTTGAGCGGTCCTTCCTGTGTTGGGCTATCACTGTCGTTCTCCCTCCCTTGCCGTAATGCTGACGCTATGCGACCATTCTGTAGCGCTCTGAGGAACCCATCAAAGCTGCCATCTTCTCCGCCACCACCAAGATCACCCATCCCTGCACTGCTTGTAAGACTTCTAGCCTCACTAAGCGCTTGATGGTCATCCCCAATGAGTGTGGCTGCTGTAGCCGCCGCTGCCACTGAAAGTAGGCGACTAAGCATTGCAGCCTGATCTTCGTGTGCTGCTCTTGTCGAACTTGGCGCTGGCGATCTTCGTCGCCGGAATGATGATGTGATGGTTCTTAGTGGTCTGTGCGATCTAAGCGCGTTAAACGAGGCAGCTGCTTGCGCTCGCCGGCTCGAGTTTGAGCGAGCGAGTGGCTCTGGCTGATCTGATGGAATGAAAGCTTCGTCGTCGAATGTGGAGCTGACGTCGATGGGTGGAAGTCGAGGCGGATAATAGTCGGCGCCATCGCGATTCATTCCCGCGCGAACGTACGATGTGCGGTGTTGCAGCAGTCCAAGCGCCGGTCTTGCTTCGCTCATCGGTCTGCGTATGCTATCGTTCCGGGCTAAGAGGTTCCGCACTCGTGTCGCTGTACGTCGTAAGCCGGCAGGCTGGGCGGAGTGGGTAGGCTGAGCGCTGGTCGAGGCTTCTACGCCAGCACGTGATGTTGGTCGGAGTAGCTGGGATAGCCTGTTTGTGCTGTTGGCTCGTACCCGCGGCCGCGGCCTCGCGCTGCCATGCTCTCCTCGCAGTAAGCCGTCCTCTTCCACCGTTGAGTGCCTGATGGACTGGCGCAAGATGGACCTCCTGTTCTCCCTGTTCGCCTCCGAAGTTCGCTCCGGCTGCGATGTACTCTGGCCCATGACTACTAGCTATCACTCGCGAAGGGCAAACAATGTGACCATCTACAGCTTCATGCTTGTTTGATAAACTGGCGGCTACAGTCGGCTGCCCTTGTGCATCGTCATGTCATGCCCAGTGAGTTAGCGTAGAGGTCAACAGTGAAGATGAGTAATGATATCAGCGATGTTGTATCGGGCTGGCTGTGAATGTGAATGCCGCGTGAGGCTAGGTGGTGGTGAGAGATGGAGTGGTCAGATGCGAGTTGTGCGTGAGGCAGCCCGATTCACGTGTGCTCGTGCTTGGTCCACTAGTACAGTTACATGTATGCGCTTGCGGCTACGCTCCCGCCGCTGACCAATGGGTGGCGTTGTCCATCCTCGACATCGAGTTGCTGGATTCACAGACAGACTGTCTGAGACACAGCCTGGTTATGACGCACTGATATTACTATACATAAGACACCGAACAAGACAGAACCTTGGGCTTAACGGTAGGTTGGGGTAAGGCTGGTTGTGCCAGGCCATGTCGATATTTGCGCCCATATTCCGACCTACCAAAAGCCATAAGCCGAGTGTCTCGGAGGCAGTCAAGTCCGCAAGAAAACGTAAGCGGGAGGCTGGCGCCTCGGAAGAGGACGTTGATCAAGATGCGCAGTTGAGTACTGCCTCCTCTCCATCTTTAGAGTCTGCTGCCCATGATGCCAAAACCGCCTTCCAACATCCGGTCAAGCGAACGGACCCGTACTTCGTAGCTGGCCATTCTCGTGAAGAGCCTCTACCGCCCACACCATTCCCTCATGCTGCTGTGAAGAACATTGACACGCAGCAAGCCGTTGCCAGTGATCTGGCCGCACTGAATCCGCCGTTATACGTTCCCGGAGTCACGTCGGATGATCCCAACACGTCTCTGAAACGACGTCACATTGACAATCTGACCACGTTGCTGCATACATGCATGCTCCGTGGTGACTGGGAACGAGCCGCCAGAGCGTGGGGTCTGCTGTTGCGTGTTGAGGTGGATGGTCGTGGTATGGATGTGAGACAGTATGGTCGGTGGGGTATTGGAGCAGAACTCTTATTGCGGCGCGGTGCCAAAGGCCAATCGCTACTATCTAAGCAAGCTGTAGATCATGGCAGCGACACCTCTCCGCTTGCAGACGCAGGTCAACCGGAGTCGGAGACCTCACCCTTCACCAACGAAGGCTTCAGGCTTGCGCGGGACTACTATGAGCGCCTGATACTGCAATACCCGCATACGCCGCGTAACCAGTACGGTATCAATGCACTCACATTCTATCCTGCATTGTTCAGTGTCTGGATCTATGAAGTAGAGGATCGCTCGAGGCGAGCTCGTCAGGCAAATACACCAGACGATCACGCCTCGTTTAATGACATACGCCGAAATGAGCTACAAGAAGCGAAAGCGATTGCGCAACGTCTGGACGACCTTCTTATGACTCCACCGTACGATACGGCAGTTCCACTACTAGAGCTGCGTGGCATGGTTGGCCTGTGGCTGAGTGACTTGCACACGACGCTTGCTGAGCCCTTAGGGGGCGGCGATGAAGACAGCAAAGACGACATTCACAGCGACGATGGAGAAGCACAACGCCAGCGAGAGGAAGCTCAGCATCAGAAGCAAAAGGCACTTCATTACCTCCAGAAGGCGAAAGCTCGCGGTGTCGGGCTCCAAGAGTCTGTGACGAGCCTTCTCAAGCTCCAGGCAGAGACTGAACCAATGGAGCGAGGCTACAACCTGCGGTCACAGGTCGAAGATTACTGAGATGCAGTCAAGCTGCGATGGTCCATGCTGACGTGGCTCACAATTGCAGGCTCGTTACATCCAACAAGCAGCGGCTGACGATCGGAAGCCATACTGTTTGGTTGGCTTCCGTGAATGCATGCACTTTTCTTTGCGACTTGTATGACTATCCCACAGGCTACCTGGCACCAAGCCGCACCAGTATCCTCGGGACGTTGACGGAAAGAGCGGTGCAGAGTGGTAAACGCTTGACCAGCTGTTAATGATGAGTGGTTGGTAGTTCGGCTTGGTTGACCACCTCGCCGTGACATAGCGACGCTGCACGGGAGAGCTTCACAAGCATTTCGTCGGGCTTCAGCGTAGGTACCTTCCACTCTTGTCACATCGAGTCTCCGCTCTCATTCGCCGCATCAACTTACCGGAATTCTTCACATCATAACATACTTCTCTGTGGCACTAATAGATTCCGCACTCTACTTCGAAAGCATACGCGTGCCGTTCGCCGTGTCATTCCTTACACTCATAGTTGACAGATCCGAAAAGAGCTCGATCATTGTGCCAACTGTTGGCAAACTCTTACATACGGGCCACCAACGGAGCAGTCTTCGCTATGGTGTATGATACTCCAACCGGGACGACATGGTGTCATATTTAGAACCCTATCAGCCTATTATACAATAGCTCATGTTATACAACAGCTCAGGACGCGAGTACGTGGTGATCTCGGGTTAGAACTGACTACATTCATCTCTAAAGTAACTTTGTATGAGGTTGATAACTTCAAACAATGCCGCCATAGCTGCACTGAAGCTCGAACTGGCGGGCATCGGCTTGGCTGTACGCACGGGCCTAATCTTCGTACGCCCCCAAATTGCATGCTTACTTTCCATCACTAACTAACCATGACTTGCCTGTTCCTAAGTCTTTCTCCACCATAGCAATGATGGACGTGGCTCGAGTCAGTCATAATGTGAAGCTTGCCACTGAACCTTCTGCGGCATATGGCGCGCCAACGTAGATTTTTGGTATACCTGTGAAGGAGACCACATCTCACGATTGTAATGCGCTCCATGAGAGCGACCTGTTTCCAGCCTGATCATCATGGCTGCGAGGAACACCCTTGCCACCTCAAAGCAGAGATCGAGATCCCAGAGTGGGACGATGCAGCGGTCAACCAAGATCCATCAAGGCCCAGCGTAGACGCGAAACACAAGCTGCCCGAATGGCAAGTCATAGGTAAACGGTCCGTGAACACAAAAGGCTCTGCGCATCGCCGCTACTTGGGCTTGAGCCGGCCCATCTTCTTCACCATACTGCTCGCCATCATGCTGATACTACTCGGACTCACGATCGGCCTTGCGGCTGGCTTGACGCTTCGCTCCAGGTACTCAGGCGCCGCGTGTATAGGGATGCTCCTCGGTACTAACAATGCTGCAGGTCCGATGAAGCCCTAGGCCTCCCTGCTGGCAAAGAGATCTATGACGGCGAGCTAACGTACTATCTGGAAGGCCCAACCAAACTTCTGGGCGCGTGCGGTCAAATGAACGGCGAGAACGACTACATAGTGTCGGTCTCTCACATCATCTTCGACGCGGCCGGCTCGTCATCCGCCACCGGAGGTAACAGCAACAACAACCCGCTGTGTGGGCAGATGGTCAGGGCTACGCGCTGGGATGCGGAGGTCAACGCGGAGAGGAGTGTCGATCTTACGGTGGTCGACAGGTGTACTGGGTGTCAACCGAACGATCTGGACACCAGCACGGGCGTGTTCAAACACATGGCATCGATCGCGGAGGGAAGGGTGAATGTGACGTGGGTATGGCTGACGAGGTGATATGGGCGAGAGGAGCTACACTCTTGTTCAAACGGCGCTGCATCTCATTGCAGTCGCTTGGGTAGGTAGGTGCATGACAGGTGCAAAGACCGGAGAACGGGTTGTTCGTTATTCGTCGTACACGATCACGCGCTGGTAGACTGCGACAACACGATGAAAGCTGCACCTAAGCCTGCCAAGGCTCGATATTGTACACCGGGTCCTTCGCCTCAACTGGGGCAGGATAGTACCCTCGTCGGTCCAAAGCAACATAGCGATCATGCTTGGGATTGCATGGAAATGCTTAGCGGATCGCTTTGACGATGAGAATCGTCCCTTGAGTCCACAACGCTCGAAGATGCTGACCGATCGTGCCTTCCTTAACTGACAGCCTTGGGCGCTTCGACCTCCGATGGCCGGCTGTTGCGCACGTGGCAACGAAACCCAATATTGACGCTGCTTACACCTTCCGCACACTCAGTCGAAAGTGAAGGTCGCCTTGACCAAGATCTGCCTACACAGCCTTCTTGCCGCTGTCACATCGTGCTTGCACGTCTGTAACCACTCACAACATTGTGTGTGACCTCAAGTGATGAACACAGACGTCTCGAAGGCTCTTTAGATCTCGTCGCCTTTATCATAACAGTACTCAGCATCGGGTCACGAACAACTCTGGATGCACCGCTAGCAGTCTCAACACCCCCCCTAAGCTCCTACAACATCTCCCATCATGTCAGCTTTCCATCACCCAGTGCAAGAAGAGAAGAGCTACCGCCGCGCTATCTTCTTGTTCGTATCCCTAGCGGTCGCGGGAATATGCAGCATCTACCCAGGTACTACTCCCTTTCGTACTTGCTGCAGATATGACTGACTGTGCTGCCAGTGATGTGCTTCAAGAATTACAGTGCCAAGGAGAAAGAGAAGCTCAACCACGACGTAGCAAAGATGGAGCGGCGCGCCAAAGACGACATTCGCGCACATCTGCCGAGGATCAGACAGCGATCGCATTCTCCGCCTCAGGTAGCCCACCTGCCTCGAGACCGGCATCATCGCCATCGGCATCACTCGTCCTCACGCCATCGGGATCGGCGCCACGTGGCCTACCTAGACAACGACTCGAACTACCACCCGAGGTCGCACGCTTACGACCAGGATCTGGATCGCGATCGCCAACGCCGCCACCACGGTCATCCGCCACCGAGACGGTACCATCACAGCTCTTAGGAGGGTGTGTTGGGGCCGATGCCGACCTTTTGATGTCAAATGCGCGCCAGTGTACACCGTCCCCATACGCGTATCATCTAGCACGAAAGACGTCAGTAGCTGCACGCCTGCATAACCTTTTAGCATCCCGCCGCTCATCTCAGTAAGTCTTGATCACCTTTATCCAAGGAAGCAGGCTAACGAAAGATTTCATCAGTGTCTCCAGTCTTTCAGGCGATGGACCATCATCGGAACAGGACAAGCAGTCAGAGAAGAACAATCGGGACGGCTCTTCGGCGGACACGCCGCAGTCCGGCAAGTCTCGTGGTACTGGTATTTCTGCAGCGTCAACCATCTCTCGAGCCAGCAGCTTCGCGTACTTCCTGCGTAACAACAGACCAGACTTGCGCTTGTTCAAGAAGCGAAGTCAACCGATTGAGCATCTCCGTGAGCGCCCTGATGTCCCACCGAAGAAGCCACTCACGAGGCGCTCATCTTCCTATTGCAGACCTAGAGTTGTTCAGGATACGGCGATATCCTCTCCTCCACCTACTCTGCCACATCTACGGCAGACGCTTTCGCTAACAGCATTGGCACGTGAGCGGCCTCCCGACTGGGGCCGAACACCAGCTTCTAAAACCACAGTTCCGGCCAGTGACCTGCCAGCACCCTTAGTCAGCCTTAGCGTACAACAGCCGGCAAAGTCAAGCTTGAAGACAGCACCATCTACTTTACCCCGGACGCCCCCAGCAAGGCCTCGCTTACTCAAAACACCCACACTTGACGATCTGTCCAGCTCGCCACGAGCTCGGCAAGTCAGGATCGAGACGCCGGGTAGAGCGCGCTCGAGGAGTAGAGAATCTGGTGATCGCTCACAACGGCGGCCTGGCAGCTTGTTCCTGCAAATGCCTCCCAGAAGCCAACCACATCTAGCAGCACCAACAAGCCACCACGACGTCACTCCTCCAAACGTCGAGCCCAGCTCACCCGACCGCTCGCACTTTCGACATGGCGAATCTTACTTTCGCACATTCGGGGAGGACACCGTGTTCATGAAAGAGTTCACACCAACCATGATACCCAGTGCGGTGCCTTCACCACAGAGCATGCTCACTCTGCCCGAGCCCGTAACACCACTGCAGCCAAGCATGCTGGCACCGTCTCAGCCGCATAGACGCAGGTCTCTTGCCTTTCTTCATGCCTTCCACAGATCCACAGTCGTTCAGGGTACGCATAAAGCACCTCACAGCGGCACTGAGCGAATGCGACCACCTACAGCGCCTGGCATCTCCGTCAGCCCACCAGATGAGTCGCCGCCAACGCACGGGCGGTCATCAATGCAGTCGCTACCTCCCAACATCGCATTACCTGCCTACTTCATGCCGAAGCACGGCAAGCACCGGTCTCAAGATTCCGAGTCGTCAACGGGCACGACTCCAATCAGCCCTCTAGAGCCTATCCCACACCGCCGGCCTGCTTTGCACCGACGGGATATGTCGCAAGCGTCCAGCGACAGCTTAGCCGTATCCCCAATGAACCGCACTCGGTCAAGGCCAAGGCTGAGGCAACGATCGACCGTTGCGGACATTGAGGAGCTTGAACTACCCGCTGTGCTCTCGGGGACAAGTATCGTACCCGCCGTAACGTCTGAAGCTGTCACCAGACCGCAACAGCCATACAGATCAAGTGATGGACAAACGTACTATCAAACGCCACTGACCGGCGCCGGCGTGGTCAAATCAGTGTCTGCTAACCACTCCACCATCCGCCATCCGCCTGAGAAACAACCCGGGGCAAGAGACAGTGGCGTTCGACGCAGCGTCTTCAAGAACTTCTTCCTCGACCTGCGCAAGACTTCCATGGCTGCCCCTGTACTGAGGGAGGCAGAGTCTGCGGAACCGGAACCAATGCACCGTCGTCAAGGCTTGCCGCACAAAGCCTCCACCTCAACGTTCCTTACGACCATGACGAGTCCACCAACGAACAAGCTGCGGAAGAAGTCTTCTGTCGCCATGGTGGCCAAGCCTGCTGCCAAGCCCTCTCCAAAGCTGCAGTACAACACCGAAGTGACCAACTTCTACCAAACGCCGTACAGTCAGCGCGTCGCTAATACGCGGCGTGCCGAACAGCTACTGATACGCTCGTTGGTGGAGGATGCGCTCAACGACTCTGACGCCGACGACGTGCAACTTGGCTACGAACAAGACGTCCCGGACCATCTCCCCAGCAGTCCGCTATGTCCGCTCAGCCCCATGCACAAGAGTGGTGGAAGAGGTATCTGTCCGTTGCATGGGTGGAAGCGAAAAGAGAAACAGAAGCCGACCTTGGCCATGACAAGAACCGGGACGGAGACGGGAATGAGCATGAAGAAGGTGCAGCGGGTGGGGACGAAATTACCAGAGCCGGTGATTGTGTATGAGGGCAAGGTTGAGGAAGTGAAGCGGAACAAGAGTGGTGGAAGTGTCGGGAGGGCGGATGTGAGTGGGCGGAGACAAAGTGGGGATGCGTGGTATGATGATGATGATGAGGAGTGACAAGAAGGCGCTCCCGCCTCGCTCCTTCCTAAGCAAGTGCGTTCAGGGTCACTACATGGTTGCTATGTTATACAAGGGGCTGACTCAGCGCACACGGTTTGTATCTATCTTTTCATTCGAGTCCTCGAGGACATGGTCACATCACATACACAACATTCACAACACAACATTCACAACGACCAATTGCTACCGCTGCTGCTGCTGCTGGATACCATCGTAGTCTTACCGGCGTTGGTATAGCTAACGAGTCAGTGCACAGAGTGTTGGCCCGACCTGTCAGTGAGAAGACTCCACTGTCCTGCACGTTCCCGCCACCGTTTGCGCCTCCGTCACCGTCAAGTCAAGAAGACCGTGTCGCGGCTTCAATATTTGCAAGCTCTCTTCGAGTCATTGAGTTGAATGAAAACGGTACACCGTCAGCTATTCCCCGAAATCCACCCAATATGGGACCCGAAGCTTCCAAAGACCGACCGGCCCATCAAGCGAACAGGGACAGCGACGACGACGACACCCCACTCCATTGGATCTATGCCCCAAATGCCCTCCTCAAAGCCGTTGTGCCCTATGTCCGTGGCGGCAAACAGCTGAATTTCGTCCTCTCAGTTCACGACCAACTGACCACCCTGCTCACCTCCAACTCTTCCCTCGCTCCAGAGTCAGACCTAGGCACCGATGCGGACGGAGCCTACCTCGCACGCACTGACACCGCCTTCCGCCTTCTCGAAGCCGTTGTCAAAGGCATCGAGTACCTAGGTCCAATGACGGAAGAATATCTCACCCGTCTCTTCTCCGTGGGCGAGCAGACTCTGCGCTTCCTCGAGCTGACCATCGGGAAACGCTACGGTGGGCGTGTTGTCGATTTCGCCGCACTGGAGCTGGGGCATGGCAATATGTCTACCACCTCGCAGAAGGATCAACGGCATCTCAGGCGTAATGTCATCAACTCCTGCCTTCGCACGCTTGACGCTCTGGCCATGGGTGACTCGCACAGGGTTAGCGAGGCGAAGGATGTGGTCGCTATGTGCGCAGGGACGGCATTGGAGGTTAGGGTGGCGGGAAACGGGACATGGAATTTACCGGCCATCAACACGAACATCAAGGACAAAGTCAAGGTCAAGGTCAAGGGTAGGCCTAGGGGTAAGGGCAAGCGCCGCGACAGCGCCGAGGCGGAGAAGGAGAAGTGGGACGCGGAGATGTGGTACGATTGTATGTGCGCTTTACGTGCCGCGGCGCAGTGTTTAGGACATCGGTATATGCGCTGGGAGGTGGAGATTCGAGGGCAGATTGTGCCAGGAACGGGGGTGGTGAAGGGGGAGGTGTTGGAGGAGTGGAGGGCGGCGGATCACAATGGTGCTGTGTCACTGACCTGCTGCAGCGATGAGGGCTGATAGAAACAACTGTGAAACAGGGATTGCGTACTCGTGTCTGGTGCTGCTTGGCTTGCTTCTTGTATGTAGGAGCTTGTACAGCACTTCGCGCAGGATTGTAAACGCCATTGCTGAAGATATCCCTTTCCCATACTCACGCAATACGCCTTTCACCGGCCCATAAGCATTCCAAGCCCATCAACGATACTGAGAGTAGTATATGATCAGTCTGACTGCCGCTGAACGATCCCTCTTGCCTTCACACCAACATATATGCTTCATTCGTCCATGACCAGCTCAAGGCCGCCTACGATATTGGGAATCGCACATCGTCACATGGACCATTGCTGATCAACTCCCGTGCCATGCCACTGCAACACGCTCTTCTTGACCCTATGAGCACTACAAGGCTGTCGGCGGCAATGGGAACAGTGCAGTCACACGTAACGTCACTGAACGATTTCCTCGCCGTTAGACGTGCGATGTGCCCCTGTTCGCCTCAGACGCACCTTTTGCTTCGTCGACGGCAACGGGGACGGCGTAAATCTCCACGATGCATTGCCAAAGAACCCCCTTTGTCATTACACATGCCATATGCCTTTCGTCTGCCCATGGCACTGCACGACTGTTTACGAGAGTGGGAACAGCACGATCGCATGGGTGAGTCGGTGCGAAGAGACCATCGTCCCCAGTTTGATGTCCAAAGAGAAGGCTTTTGGGCTTCCCATGAAGCCTTTGGTAGCTGTCCCGTCATTGAGGACAGCCAAGTCCGATCCACGTACCCAACAAGCACCGTCCAACACCGGCTTGAACGCTTAGCAATACCGAGCAGGCAAACATACATTACAATGCATCACCTCTGCTCCCTCCCCCACCCCATCTCCCTCATCCTCCCCTCAATCCCCCTCCACACCTCCTCCACCACCTCCCTATCCCGCCAGCGCTGCCCACCCTTATCAATGCCGACCACCATCACGCCCCTGCCCCACCCCTTGACACTCTCCGGAACCAATTCCCCCTTCCATCCGACGTAGATGCCTAAGGCGTGAGAGAAGAGCTCGGCGGGTTGCGTCCACTTGTAGTTCTTGAACTGCCATGTTTGGCCAGTCGTGAACACAGCGACCAGCCTGTCCCAATAGTCGGGCCGGAATTGGGAGGGGTCGTCAAGCAGGATGAAGCGGATGGGTTTGCTGTTTTGATTGGTGGGGGCGAGGGAGGGGATGCTGCGGGTTAGGTGGAGGATATTGGATGCTGCGCTGCCGGAGTCGGGAGGAGTGTAGATGCCTTCTTCCAAGAAGGATTTAATGTTCGGCATGCGCAGGAGGCTAGAGGCAGAGGGGGAGAGCAGGATGATGGGCTCGGGTCTCCGCCCGGGTTGTGCTGGTTTTACTGGCGGTCGGAGGGCGGGGTTGGCGGTGAGTGGTGGCGCTGGTGCGGAACCCACGGGAGGAAGACCCGGTTTCGACTTGCCGAAGAAGAGGATACTATACTTCTTCCTGACATCGCCGAAGTCTTGCACTTTGACGCCACGGAGCACCACGTTTCGATCGCCCATCTTGCGTTCTGCAGCGTAGATTTCTCGTAACCGCTCTTGTTCTCGCTTCGCCGCCTCGCCGTCCATGAGTCCCGCATCACGCATTTCAACATCCTCGCCGCCTTTCGCAGTCTCTGCCGCGTCTTTCGCTTCAGCGCGGGTTGCCTTGGTAGCGTCCAGACTGCGGATGAACTCGCAATCCTCTTCTCCAATCTCCCCAGCAAGCCATTGGTTGAGGTTGAGTCGTTCAGTAAAGACGAGGTTGACTACTCGCTCCTTCGTCTTGCCTAACGCTCGTAGCTCGTCGTTCAGCGCTTGCGTGGCGGCTATGTAGGTGTTGATGTTCTCGGTCCTGTTCTGCCATGCTACGTAGATGGAGCGGAGGTCGAGTGGTTCGTCGCCGACAGTGGGCGAGATAAAGCGAGTAACCTCGGTAAGGGGGATGGGGGTGTGGTGGCTTTGTTGCGCATCTTGTAGATTGAAAATGAGGTATGCGGCTTGTGCCAGTGACGGACTCGTTTCCGCCGCGGTTGAAGGGTCGGCGTCGATGCTTGGAATGGGAGTACGGCCTTGCGCGATGGAGTGACGGAGGAGTGTGAGTGCGTCGTGAGTGGTGCCGTTGGACGTTGCCATCTTTGCTCTATACTGCGAGTTTCATGCGAACATGATGGAGGGAGAGTAAAGTCGCGAAGGTGCACGCGATTTGTGGGGAAGCACTGAAGTGAAAGCGCATGGGCTTGGCAAGAGTTGGCACGCTTCACGTGAGTTATGCAGACCGCTACGTCTACCATCCTGCCAGCAGCCAAGTAAGTACTCTCCAAGGCACCCTGACAGGCCATAGCAGAGCATTCACCACAGCGAGCAGCGCAGCACACACCCTCCACCCCATTGTCACCACGAGTAGCACCGCTAGAAGCTGCGCCGCTATGACGATGGCATTCCTCGAAAGCGTTCCTTCTGCCTCCCGCTGCACCTTCAGCCCACGTCTCCGGAAGGGTATGTTCTCGCAAAGAGCTGCAAAGATGCTCTTGGCACCGAACCGTCTCGCTTCTGATACGCTGCTGTCGAACAGTCGCCGCTCCTGAAGGCTGTTCGTTCGAGAGGCATCGCTCAGACACTGGTCGCTATCCTCCGCTTTCTGACAGCCCAGGGAGCAGCGTCTGGTCTGCCCAACTTTACGCGTCGCCCTCGTCGCGCCTGGCACTTGTTGTTGAGGCGATGAGCGGGTCCCGTTAACCGCGTCCTTCCAATCTACTGCGCTTCCCAGCATGTCATTCGTAGGCCCCTTACAATATATCACACTCGCCGTATTCGATGCAGTCGCTGAGCCCACAGGCTTGCGACGGATTGGCGCGTAAGTACAAGCTGCTTGTGGCGAGACATCGCGAAAAGCACACGGCATGTGTACGGTCATGAGGGCGGTTTCCTTGACCTTCAACTTGCGTTGCGCAGGAGTACGCGGCGACGAGAAAGGCGCAAAGTTGGTCATGGTTGTTTCTTCAGCCTCGGTACTGAAGGGCTGTGACTGTGAGCGGGGCGACGAGAACACAGGCCTTCTCGTGTCGACGGTACCCTTGGTAGTTGCGGGCGGCTGCACTTGGCCGGTGAAGTAGCCCGTTACTCGCTTTGCTCCTCCTTCAACTGCGTATTCCCGACGGTACGCTTGCGCTGAGGCACGTCCCAGGCACTCGTCAGGCTGCAGCTGGATCTGCTGCGCTGAAAGCCTTCGCATAGCCTGCTCGTATGTCTCACGTACAGCATGCTGGACATTTCCATTCCCATTCCCAAGCTCAGCGCCAGCAACAACGTTCGTCCAACGCGGCGAAGCGATAGGGAGAAGCTCCGACACCCAGCCGTTAGCCTCGGCGCGCCATCTATGCACATTTCCAGCGCTGACACTTCGCATCTCCGTGAGTCGGTCCACCGCCGGTTGTTCAATCACGTCGCGTGAAGGTGACTGCAAGTCCCGCCGTTTACGCATTTGAAGACCGTCTTCCGGAGGAGACTCCGTCGTACTCGAGGCCTGCATCGGTGAAGCGCAAGGACTGCACCCACTTGGTGTAACGACTCCCGTCCTTGGGTTCGGCGCGCGGGCGGTGATGTAGTCGTCTGAGTCTCTCATCCGCATGAAAGCTGGATCTGACGCCGTGGAATCGGTCATAGCCTGATCTTGCTCCTTACGGACGGAGCCTAAAGAACTCTTCTTCGCCAGTAGAGTGTTTAGTCGCGCTCGCTTACTTCTGTGAGCCAGGAGCCTCCAATGCGATGGACACAGCTCCACGCTGCTGGCAAAACGATGATTTGGGGACATCTGCTTGGGAAGAACAGTAAAGGAATACGGTGCTTGTGTCTCTATTGATGGCAGAACTGTGAAAGCTGGACGGTGGAAGGGTCGGAGGTGAAATGATACTCTTGATTGTCTCCCAGGCGAGGAGCTCGTCGCCATGGCATCACGGGGCTCCGTCTCCGGTTATACAAGGAATGTGTATGCATGTCAGATTGTTACAGTAACAACAGAAATGATAGACACCTGAACTCGAGAATCACCTACCCGTACTTGAATTGCAGGTGCGTTTGCTATGCTCGTTCCATTGTCTCATAGCAGGTGCGAATGTAAGACGGAGAAGCAGGCATGAGCGTGGGCGCGTAGAGGAGGAGGGCAGCAGTAGACCGCGATGCACGCGCCCTTGTCGCCGGCTCATGCGCGGATATGAGTGCATTGCGACAGTATATGCGGAAGACATGTGTTTCAGATCAGATCTGATATCGAAGTTGCCGCAGTAATCCGGCGCATATTGTGCGGAAGCTGCGGAACACTTGCACGACGGACGCTTCGGAAGCTGACGCAGCGACGCAAGGGCTGACTTAGCTGCAAGTGGACATCTGGTTTTCTTCCTCTTGCAAGTAGGTGTCGTTGCTACTGCTGTGGCAAGGTATGCTGGAAGTACTGAAAGCTGTGTGCGCAAGTGACTGTTTAGTATCGGTCAATGATCGTCGATACCTTCGGTGCGTCCAATGTTGGGCCTTGCGCCTTGCGGCTTCGGACGAACAGCCATTGCAGTGCTGAAATGTTATCGTCTCCATGTTGACGAATCTTCGTTATTGGGATCATCACACGACAGATTAATGTGCCACGTTGGTAAGCTCTCAGCCGCGTAATACCCAGTAATGTATGTGTTTTGCGAGGTGTTGGCGCCGCGACGGTCAAGCCTTCTGTTTCTCGCCTCGAGGTCTCTCCGGCGGCTTGGATTGCGGCATTTACTGCACTGGCAGGAGAAATCATGCAACCTTGTGGTACAAATCTGTTGGGACATACACCGCTTAGCCGGGCAATTGGGAAATGCCAAACAGCTGCCGTATAATCCGTACTCGAGTGTTCTGTACAGCTGCCACGAAAGAGTAGTGGAGCTCAGACACCGAGCGCGGCGGACGAACAGCGGAGATTCTACATGTAAGCGCTGGGCTTAGCACATGTACCACAACGGCGAGCAAGTCGATGGACACGGAGCAAGCATTAGACTCGACGGTGCGTGCCCTGCAGAAAGGAGGGAATGCAAGGACAGGCGTCTGAAGGTCGTATCAAGACGCCGAATAATGAACAACAAACTTTGAGCGCGCAGAGCGGTTACTATTACTCAATCTTGACAGTGTAGCCAATCTGCGCGGCGAACTTCGGCCCGGCTATTGCCCTGAAGTCTGTGGGCTCTCTCGTGCCCACAGCGTGCCACTATCCGAGCTGGGGCGAGCGTGAGACGATGCCGGAAATGAAAAGCCGATCCACAATGGTCAAAAGTGTTTTTCGTTTATTTAGCCGACGGCCGTTGAGCACGCCAGCCAAGGTTCAAAACAGCGCTGTCGTAGCTGGTGAACGCGACGGGACCGAGATACTGTATCGTGTCCCAATGTACTCGTGTGATGCAGTCCGCAATCTTCGATAGCCCTTCTCCTGCAGCAGCAGGTCGACGTCACTGTTGCGCGGCGGGGAAGGCAGATCCATCGCGCACCTCGCGGGCGCAAAAAGAGGCTGGCAGGTTAGGCTTCGCTCTGATACGCAGGATAAGACCGCTGTCGCTGAAACCCCGCGCATGGACCTATCGCCTTACCGTGATGGGTCTGGCGTTTCCTGCACGCACGGCAAGCGGCACCGCTAGCTGATCGGAGAGTGACGTGAAGACGCTTCATTTTCGGGCCTTTCACGCTGACCACTGAGCGAGCGGTGGAAGGGCCAACAGGAAAGCCTTGGGGCGAGGGCGACGCGAGCGAAAAGTCCGTTAAATCGCTCATGCAGTGACGGCGCACAAGACTCGGCCGTGTGTTTCTGCGGACGCATACGGACTACCTCTTGCCCGCGAGGCGCTGGTGTATTTGGTGCAGTTGGCTTCCTTAGGAGCCGCTGACGAAGCCCGGGAGCAGCCGCGAAGTTCCCACCTTTGCTATCTCGTCATTCTCTTATAAGCTAGAGCTCCGATTCCCTCTCACTCAAAGTGCTCTCCTCCCTCCTACGCTTTGCGACCATCTCCACTCACTGCTCGGCCATCGCCAGCGACCATTTACTTGGGCATCGCTACAGCTGAATGGCTGGACAGCGCGTCAGCTTTTCCGAGAAAAACATGGAAAACGGTTCAGGCCCGGAAGGGCAGGAAAGGTGAGCGCATCTCGGTCCATGGTGATTGCTACTTCTCCGGCAGTAGCATATCCATCGCACTCTCCGCCAGGGAATGTGTTTTGACTGTGTTCAGGTCGCGCAAGTGGTCTCAAGCGCCCGGCAACATCGAGGATCTTGGTATGTTTACACCTCACAACAGCCTCACTAATGCACCCACTAATCATGTATATTACGTCAGACGAGTACACTGCTCTGCAAAAGTACATCTCCACATACAGAGATCCACGCGCTGCCGACTCGGCGGAGAACCAGGCAAAAGATGGCGCCGACGCGCACAAGGACAAGGCTTGGTGGCAGGCATGTGACTTCCGCGGGCTTCCGCACGGCGCGTATCTTACTGACCATTGTGCAGTTTTGGCGATCGGGCACCTCAGCTCAAGCTACAGACAAGGATGCTGGCGTCGTGCCAGAGGAGTGGCTTGATGCCGACATCAAGCAAGGTCTCACCAACGCCCAGGTTGAGGAGCGCCGGAGACGCTTCGGCTGGAACGAGATCACCACCGAGAAGGAGAATCTCTTCATCAAGTTCTTGATGTTCTTCACTGGTCCTATCCTTTATGGTATGTTTTCCTACACCTTCACGCGCAACGTCGGCTTGTTCTCGCGTGTTGCACGCGTGCAATGGCCGTTGGTGGCGCTGTTGTTGCTTTTTGCAAGCTCCGCTCAGCAGCTCCGAGCTCGGGCCATTTTGCCTTTACATTGAGCTGCAGCTAATTCTTGGCAGTCATGGAAGTCGCTGTCGTCCTCGCTGCCGGTCTTCGGGACTGGATCGATCTTGGTGTCATCATTGGTATTCTTTTGCTTAACGCCGCCGTCGGCTGGTACCAAGAGAAGCAGGCTGCAGATGTCGTCGCAAGCTTAAAGGGTGACATTGCCATGAAGGCCATCGCCATTCGCCAAGGTCAAGAACAAGATATCAAGGCTCGCGAGCTCGTTCCTGGTGACATCGTCATCATTGAAGAAGGCCAGACTGTCCCCGCTGATGCCCGCCTTATCTGCGACTACGACACCCCCGAAGATTTCGAGAAGTACAAGGAGTTGAGGGAGCAACATGCCCTTGACCCCGAGGAAGACCCGGCCGGTTCTGAGGAGAAGGAGGGTGAGGAGGGTGAGGGTGTCGCCCACCAAGGTCACTCTATCATCGCGACCGATCAGTCCGCCATCACCGGTGAATCTCTTGCTGTCGACAAGTTCATGGGCGACGTCGTCTACTACACCACCGGCTGCAAGCGTGGCAAGGCCTACGCTGTTTGCTTGACTTCCGCCAAGTTCTCTTTCGTCGGTCGCACTGCTACTCTCGTCCAGGGTGCTAAAGATCAAGGTCACTTCAAGGCTATCATGAACAGCATTGGCACTGCGCTTCTCGTTCTCGTCATGTTCTGGATTTTGGCTGCCTGGATTGGTGGCTTCTTCCGTCACCTGAAGATTGCCACTCCATCGGAGTCCGACAACAACCTCCTCCACTGGACGCTCATCCTGTTCATCATCGGTGTGCCCGTCGGTCTGCCCGTCGTCACCACGACTACCCTGGCTGTCGGCGCTGCGTACCTCGCCAAGCAGAAGGCCATTGTCCAGAAGCTTACCGCCATCGAATCGCTCGCCGGTGTCGACGTGCTGTGCTCTGACAAGACCGGTACCCTCACTGCCAACCAGCTTTCTATCCGTGAGCCGTACGTCTCTGAGGGCGAGGATGTCAACTGGATGATGGCTTGCGCCGCTCTCGCCTCCTCCCACAACATTAAATCGCTTGACCCGATCGACAAGGTCACCATTCTTACCCTCAAGCGCTACCCGAAGGCTCGTGACATCCTCAAGGACGACTGGAAGACCGAAAAGTTCACGCCCTTCGACCCGGTCTCCAAGCGCATTACCACTATCTGCACGCTCCGCGGTGATCGCTTCACCTGTGCCAAGGGTGCGCCCAAGGCCATCCTTAATCTGAGCTCTTGCACCAAGGAGCAAGCCGATCTCTTCAGGGACAAGGCGACCGAATTTGCTCGCCGTGGATTCCGCTCGCTCGGTGTCGCCTATCAGAAGAACAACGAGCCGTGGGTTCTCCTCGGTATGCTTTCCATGTTCGATCCGCCGCGTGAGGACACCGCTCAGACGATTGTTGAGGCTCAGCAGCTCGGTGTTCCCGTCAAGATGCTTACGGGTGACGCCATCGCCATCGCCAAGGAGACTTGCAAGATGCTTGCCCTCGGTACCAAAGTCTACAACTCCCAGAAGCTCATCCATGGTGGTCTCTCCGGCAGCACACAGCACGATCTTGTCGAGCGAGCCGATGGTTTCGCTGAGGTCTTCCCGGAGCACAAGTACCAGGTCGTGGAAATGCTCCAGCAGCGTGGCCATTTGACTGCCATGACTGGTGATGGTAAGCACATGGTGCGTTCTCTGAAGGGTTTAGCATCAGCTAATGATTTCCAGGTGTCAACGACGCTCCATCTCTCAAGAAGGCTGATTGCGGTATTGCTGTCGAAGGTGCCTCCGAGGCTGCCCAGGCCGCCGCCGATATTGTCTTCCTCGCCCCCGGTCTCAGCACCATCGTGTTCGCCATCAAGACTGCCCGTCAAATCTTCCAGCGCATGAAGTCCTACATTCAATACCGCATTGCGCTGTGTCTCCACTTGGAGATTTACTTGGTCTTCTCGATGATCGTCATCCAAGAAACCATCCGCGCCGACTTGATTGTCTTCATCGCCCTCTTTGCCGATTTGGCCACCGTCGCAATTGCGTACGACAACGCTCACTCCGAACAGCGTCCGGTCGAGTGGCAGCTGCCGAAGATCTGGGTGATCTCCGTGGTTCTCGGTATCGAACTCGCTATCGCTACCTGGATCGTCCGTGGCACCCTCTTCCTGCCGAGCGGCGGTATTGTCCAGAACTTCGGTAACATCCAGGAAATCCTTTTCCTGGAGGTCGCGCTTACGGAGAACTGGCTGATTTTCGTCACTCGCGGTGCCAACACCCTTCCATCGTGGCAACTTGTCGGTGCCATCTTCGTCGTCGACGTGCTTGCCACGCTCTTCTGTATCTTCGGATGGCTGTCCGGCGGCATCACCACCGAGCCCCTCCCCAGCCCCATGGGTGCTTTCTACCACAGGCAGACTCCTCACGGCTGGACGGACGTTGTCACCGTTGTGGTCGTCTGGGCTTACTCGATCGGTGTCATCATCTTTGTTGCCATCACCTACTTCCTCCTCAACCAAATTCCAGGTCTTGCCGATCTTGGCCGCAAGAACCGCTCGCTCCACGACACGCAAATGGAGAACATCATCGGCCATCTCAGCAAGCTTGCCATCAAGCACGAGAACGACGAGCATGGTGAGAGTAGGTGGGTGATTGTCGGCAAGTCATCGGAAGAGGCGGAGGATGACTAGAGAATGAGCATGGAGAGAAGTTGGTGTAAAGAAACGTAAAGATACCACGCATTTGATGGATAGCTATCGCTGTTCCATGGGACGATGATACAAGCTGGTGTGTTACTATTACGGTACTCACGGAGGACATCTTAAGGATGTTGCGGCTTTCCCGGTTCACTTTTGGAAAGCGCGCTGTATATAATAACAACGGCGGGTAAACACTTCGTAAATGTGATTGCAAATTGACGGCTGTGTCAGACATGAAACTGTCGATTACTCCTCTGATCTAGCCTGCTGTCTACGACCTATCACTGATTCGCGCTCATCACGATATCGAGAGCTATAGCATTGAAATGCTGGGAACAACAAGTTCAGGCTGCCGGCACATGACTTTGCTTGGGTTGGACTCTCTACGATACGCTCTCACTTCGCCTCTCGTAATCGATGGGTCTTCGTGAAAACACAGTATCTGCGTAGTTTGGGATCAGCTCGTCGCTGACGAACTGTGACCCAGACACCCTACAGCGGCTCGAGCGAGCCCTTTCCCGAGACCTTGAAGTTTGGTATAGCTGAGATGATGGCTCTGAAAACCTCCCACCTTCTCGGAGTCAGATCCACGTACGATGCGTCTGTGCCTTCATATGGGATGGAAGCTGCACGATTGCTACGCCTCGCTCGAAGTCCACGGGTCAATAACGACAACATCGCAGCGCACATTCTGCCGCCCAAGCAAAGCAATATCCCACACGTCGCCTTCGTTAGCGGCCGGACCTAGCGGCAGGAAGATTGGTTCTTGGATTCGAGAATGCTTACTTACATCTCCAGGAGGATTATTCAAGTAGCTCGCGAATTGCAGGTTTGAGGAACTTCCACAAATCCATCACACATCCAATGCGGCCCAACATCTACCGTACAGCAGGTGGCTGTGTTTAGTGCATCACTGACTAACTAATCGAGAGCAAGACTGCGGTGAGAGTTCGGACAATCAAGACATGACCTTGAGGAGTGCTCACGGCAGCGCGGGCATGTTACAACACGCAATACGTGCTACCTTAGCTACTCCGTAGAGGGGGCATCGGAGACACGGGTGTGGTTACAGCTGTTCAGCCGAACGGGGAAAGAGCGTACCAACACGGACATCAAACGCATGCCGCTTGTGCCGCCTTGTGATGAAGAGTCTACACGATGCTTCGCCCACGGTAGCCTTTGAAACGGACATGTTCCCGGTCTGCGCCAAGTGCTGCAACAGTTTAGCGTTGGAAGGAAGCTCGCGGGTGCGGAAGGCCAACTGAGCAGATGACCACTCTTGATGCATCCCACCGGACGGCCGGATATCCAGCCCATGTCTGAGCTGCATACGTCCCCGCGGTGTATGTTCAGATATATGTGCGATCTACAGATGGAGCAGTCTGCCGCAATTCGCCTCAACAAATTCATGTGGTCAGAATGGCAAGCTGGAGCTCCTTCTATCTCCTACTCAGTTGTTGCGCGGCTATCGCTTTGCCAGTGATCCTGCTCAAAGCTCTGCTCAACAAGTACCGCAATGGTCTCAGCGATATTCCGGGGCCAACGTGGGCTGCATACACTGGGCTCTGGCGCCTTCACAACGTCTCCAAAGGGCAAGCCCACTTGACTTCGATCGCTTTGCATCGAAAGTACGGCAAACTCGTGCGGATTGCCCCCAATGTTGTGTCTGTTGGGGATGCCAACGAGGTTGCTCGCATATACACCGTTAAGGGCGACTTCACCAAATCAGCTTTCTACCCCATCCAATGTATTACGTGGCACAAGAAGCCACAAATGAACCTTTTCAGCACGCGTGATGAGACACAGCACAGAGAACAGAAGAAGAAGATTGCCAATGCCTACACACTGGAATCTTTGCTGAAGATGGAACCCGCTATTGACGAATGTTCGAAATTGCTGCTCGACAAGATGCATGAATACGCCGATCGAAAGGAAGCCTTCGATCTGGGCACATGGTTGCAATATTACAGTACGAATATGCCCCAGCACTGTGCTCTCCCGGAAGCCGCTAAGATGTAGGGTAGCATTTGACGTAATAGGTGAGGTGACCTTCGAGAAGAAGCTCGGCTTTCTCGAACTCGGAGGTGATGTGGACGGTATGATCGCAGCAATTGAGGGCCTGCTTCTGTACGCATCCCACTGCGGCCAGGTGCCTGAATGGCATCCTCGATTGTTGGGAAATCCACTTCTGCCCGTCCTGCTACCCCAGATGGAGCAATGGAATGAGGTCTTGAACTTCACCCTCAAAGCGATCAATACGCGGACCGTCATCGCAAAGAATGGGGAGTTGGCGCTTGAAGAAGGACGCGTCGGCAACGACATGCTCTCGAAGTGGGCTGCAGTCAAATCGTTTGACCCCGACAAAATGTCAACCATTGATGTCGTAGTGGCCCTGAGTACGAACGTGAGCAACGCTGGGCACCTCGAAGGATCCAACTGTGATTGATTGGCTGACTTACGACCGTATGTAGGTGTTCGCCGGCAGCGATACAACCGCTATAGCGCTCCGGGCGATTCTCTACTTCCTGATGAAGAATCCTGACAAGATGCAGAAGCTGCAGGCAGAGATTGATGCAGCAGACAAGGCAGGCTTGCTCAGCAACCCAATCAGCGACAAAGAAGCACGGAATCTGCCGTACCTCCTGGCGGTCGAAAAGGAAGCGATGCGTCTCCATTCCTCTGTTGGTCTGCTGCTTGAGCGCCACGTCCCCAAAGGAGGAACATCGATATGCGATCATTTCATACCGGAAGGTACGATAGTCGGCATCAATCCTTGGGTCCTACATTACAATGCCGACGTATTTCCGGACCCTGACGCCTTTCATCCTGAAAGATGGCTCGATGCCGAACCCAGCAAGCTCGCCGTCATGGAAAAGCATTTCTTCAACTTTGGGAGTGGCAGCCGCCAGTGCATTGGCCGCAACATCAGCTTGGTCGAGATGCGGAAGCTGATACCGCAGCTTCTTCGGGAATTCGACGTCAGCTTGCAGAACGGAGAGTGGAAGGTCTCCAATGTGTGGTTTACGCAGCAGAAAATGCCGCTATGTGTGCTCCGAAGACGGCACTGATATGTGCCATTGACTGGACGCTATTCAAACGGAGGTGGATTACAGGTGTGCTGGGCTCGACCTCGGCTGTACAATAGGTGCCGGGACAAACGCGCGAATTGCGCTTATTGCTCGAACGCATACCCATTGATCTCCGAGGTAGCTTCTCCGCGAATCCGCAGAGGCAGAGGACGCAGGCGTAATGTATGTGATGGTTTGACCTTGTTAGTTGAGTCCCATAACTATTCCCGTCAACTCTCGTTAGAACGATCCTGCTTTCGTTGTGACAGGATTGCAGCACGCCTCGGAGACTTCATTCCTTCGGCAACTCTCGATCTCTGATATGACTGAATTCGTCCGGACGAACAACTTCGCTCGACGGTCGAAAGGATGGAGATGAAAGCAAGTGTCGATGGCGAGCACCAGACTGTGCAACAAAATTCCGATGGCGGCCCGATTCACTCGAGCCCCGAGGCTAATGGAAGCGTTGGCTGACGGCCCCAGACCGCTCTTCGTTGACAGCGCGGGTGAAGTTTGAGCTAGCGAAAAGCGATGACATTCGCATCCTTCTCCACTTCGTTGAATGCCTTCTTTTCCCAAGTAAACACTGACAAGCGCTGTTTGCCCACATCGTTGACATCTTTCTCGCTGCTGCTCTCTCCTCACCAACCGCCTATGGCGTTCGTGGCCGAGTATTTTTCCCTATTGCTCAAGGCAATCTTCTAGATATTGGCGCTTGTCGCCTGTGTAAATCAACGAAAGTAAGTATCAGCCAACCGACAGGGCACAGTTCTCAATCAACAGCAAACACTGCTCTCCAAGTGTCGGTCCTTGGTCAATCACCATACGCTATCATGGCGGACATCTTCCCAGACGACAGCAGTGTTCGGACCGCCGACAGTGCAACTTTAGCTTTGCTCGGCAAGAAGCAAGTGCTCAAGCGCCGTTTCGCCTTCGTCTCCATCTTCGCCTTTGCAGTCTGCGAGCTGATTACCTGGGAGACGGTTTTGGCCCTCTTTTCGCAGCCGCTTGAGAATGGCGGACCCGCCGGCGCCATCTACGGCTTCATAATCTCCTGGTTCTCGACCATGTCCGTTTACACCGTCATCTCAGAGCTTGCGAGCCTTGCTCCCATTGCTGGGGGTCAGTATTACTGGGTATACATGCTGGCTCCGCCGCGGTACAAGATCATATTCAGCTACGTGATGGGATGGCTGACGTCTTTGGCTTGGGTTGCTACTGTTGCAACGGAGACGCTGTTCGCCGGCCTGATCCTGCAAGGCATTTTGATCCTCGACTACCCCAGCTACGACGCGCAGATGTATCAGGGTACGCTGCTTACCTGGGCGGTCATTGGTCTCTGCATTTTCATCAACGTGGTGATTCCACAATGGCTACCGCGGTTCGAGGTCTTCATTGTCGTCTTTCACATTGCTGGCTTCATTGCCGTCCTGACGACGCTGCTCGTGATGACGCCTGAGCTGGGTTCAAATGCATCCGTCTGGCTTACTTCACTGAACGAAGGCGGGTGGCCTACGCAAGGGCTATCCTACTGTGTCGGTTTTCTCGGCAATGTTGCAGTGTTTGTTGGTGCCGATGCCAGCGTCCACATGGCTGAAGAAGTCTCCAACGCCGCGCTAAACATACCAAGAGCCATCCTGGGAGCAATGCTGATCAACGGCATGGTTGGTATTGCGATGATGATCACGGTCCTGTACTGTCTTGGCGACGTGGAGACTGTCCTCGAGTCCGCTACCGGCTTCCCATTCATCCAGGTCTTCTTCGATAGCGTGGGAAACATCGCTGGGGCGACCGTCATGGCTGGGGTTGTCCTCGCTCTCACCTGGGCTTGCGCAACCGGCATCATGACTACTGCCTCCCGCATGACTTGGTCCTTCGCGCGTGATAAGGGACTGCCGTTCTCGCGCTTTCTCAGCACGGTCAACCCTAGGACTCAGGTGCCGGCAAATGCGGTCCTAATGGTATCCTTCCTCGCTGCACTGCTCACGCTCATTTACATTGGGTCTTACACGGCATTCAATGATGTCGTCTCGCTCACCATTACCGGCTTCTACGGCTCGTACTTCCTACCAGCTGCCCTCCTACTCTACCGCCGCGTAAAAGGTGAAGTGCTACCGCATCGGACCGAAGTCGACACCGTTGCCCCCAACGCGGTAAACAGCCCTTTCAAGCCGGACCTGCCTCACCAAAAGACCCAACGTCATGACGTTGGCCATGTGCAAGTCGTCAATGCTCGCCTCATCTGGGGTCCGTGGCACCTACCCGGCATCTTAGGTATCATTAACAATGCATATGCCTGCTGCTATATGGTCTTCGTTATCTTCTTCAGCTGCTGGCCACCCGCGACGCCCGTTACCGCCTCGACGATGAACTACAGCGTAGTGGTAACGGGAGGTGTTATGATCTTGAGTGTGATTTGGTACTACGTCAGAGCTAAGGATGTATACAAAGGGCCGTTAATTGACGAAGAGGTTGCGGCGATCATGAGAGTCGGGTCGGTTGTTGCTGTGGAATAGGGACGGGATTGGGTCTGGGTGTTTTGTTACTGATCTGCAGTGCGTGCAGGCTGAGTTTGAGAGAGCCAGATCGACGCAGATATATGAGTATGCGGAACTACGTGTGGGTGTGGAACATCAAACTGGCGCCAAATAGGATGGATATGGAATGTGCGCAGATTAGGGTAAAGAGAAGTTACTTTGGTTTAGCCCATATGCAACAAGCGCTCAACGTGTGGAGCTCGAAATTCTCTCTAAATACTGTAAAGCTGGACATTAAATGTGAGGTGCAATGCCACTTGCGTAGGAAGCTACGTCGATGAGCAGCAAGGGCAGTGTACGCTGGCTCGCCGTCTCAACATCCACTTCCTTATGTCTCGTCCCTCTCTGCAACATCACGTAGGACGCTAACCGTGAAGTCAGCAAGAATGAGTGGTCAGGCACACCATGGGTTGGCACTTGGTGTGGTTGCTCGATTCCGCACGTGAACCTGGTCGCTCATGCGTGCAAAGTGGTACCAGTATCAGCAAGTCGACTGGCGGTTTCGAGAAGACCAACTCCGTGGAATGGTCATCGTGGGCCGTTCCGGCCGACACTCAAGACGATGATACCACGCTAGACACGTGATCTGTTGAGCATGTCCTGGGCTCAAGACATCATCCAGATCTCAAAGCGTACCTTTGTACGCAGAACACAGCTCTCCGGCTTTCCAGACCGCTCTCAGATCGAGCGTGCAATTAATGTCTTCTAACGGGTTCCCTTCAACAAGCACGAGGTCCGCTCTCAGGCCAGGCTTGATCTGGCCACGATCCGAAAAGTTTAACCTCTGGGCACTCAACGACGTCGCAGCTCGGAGTGCTTCGATGGGCGTGAAGCCGCACTCATTGACAAACAGTGCCAACTCATGATGGACTGAAAGTCCCCAAGCCGTCCCTACTGCCGGTGATGCGGCATCAGAACCTCTGCGAAGTGTCAGACTCGGAATCATTAGCAGTACCAATCGCCACTTACACGATTATGGGCACGCCAGCCTTCTTCAGCTGCCGCACACTCTCGAAAGCATTCTCTTGAGTGCCTGTCTCCTTCGCGAATGACATGCACATACACATTCGTCCTCTCTCCTCCTCCCCGATGAGATTCTGCACGCGTGGGTCGTGAGCATACTTTTCTTGGAGCGTCTGGCCTTGAGTCGTAGCGGAAGCCATGCAAGCCAACGTCGGGCAGCAATGTGCGCCGTTCTTCTTGTACGCTTCTATCAGCTCCTGCGTTGGTGGCTTATCAACGAATGTATGCGCGAGACCGTCTATTCCGCAGCTCAGAATCTCCAGGGTATCCGCGAGACAGGTGCAATGTGCCACCGTGATCAAGCCGTGCTTGTGTGCCTCTTCGATGATTGCCTTCTGCAGCTCCAGCGAGGGTTTGTTGAAAGTATGACCAAGTATTGTGCCGCTCTCGTGCATGAGTTTGATGTAGTCAACCTTGTCCTTCAGCCGATCCCGAACATACTGCCGTCCACTGTCTGGCGTAGTAAGCTTCGGCCAAGTCGCTATCTCTTCACGCACCTCTGGCGTGTCGTGATGCATTAGCACAACAGGCATGGGCCAGCCCATGTCGATCGTCGCCGCGAAAGAAGTCGTCTTGATGTCTGCGCAGTCTCCCGCCTCCACCTGCTTTCGGAGCTTCTCAATGTTGTAGCTTTCATTATGCATATCACAAGCTGTCGTTACGCCAAATCGTAGAGATTGCGGTAGAGCTACCGGGTTTGCGCTGTCGGCGTGTATGTGAGCATCTATCAGGCCGGGCAACAGCGTATGCCCAGGCTTCGAGATGATATTGCCATCGTAGTCACTGTCGCCGGCTTCCACCCTGTATATCTTGCCGTCCTCGACAAGTACCGAGCCACATTCTACTGAACGCTCGCCGTCGAAGATACGGACATTCTTGATGAGGAAGCTGGGAGGAGCCATGCTGGACGAGCGGAAACAACGAGTAAGGAAAGATCAAAGCATGCTCACTTGTTGGTACACTTCATACCTGGGGGTCAATTTCCGGAGGATTGGGACGAAGACTCAGTGTGAGGGTTCTGATACTGTACGCGAGGCCGGAACCTCCAGAATCAATGCACTTGAGGTGGAGAGTCGATGACTTTGCCTTGCTTGGCGCCGCCCGAACCTTCAACAGTGGCCGAGTGACTATTGGTGAACATTGCGGTCCACGCTCACCGAGTGATCTCAGGATCTCGAGGCGTACATATAGCGGCTTGTAGCACTTGTGTAGGGTTGCGAGGGTTTGGGGATGGCTTGAGTAAGACACGTGACCATAGGACGACAAGCACAGATAGAAACGGGACGCTGTTACCCATTGCTTGAGCGAAGGGCCAGACAGAAAAGAGCATGGCTACTCCATTGCCACAGAAGATCGACGTGCACTGTGTACATATACACCCATGTCCACCAGGGTGAACGGGGCCGCTTGCTGACGCTCCTTCCAGCATTACCTAACCCCGGCATACCGACAAGCATGCATTGAGAACGGCCATGCCAATCCGGACGGCATGCCATATTTGCCGGAATGGAGTGTAGACGACCATCTCAAGCTTATGAACGACCTGGGCATATCGAAGTCGATTATCTCCGTCTCAAGTCCTGGTACGCATCTGGTAGCCGGGAACGGTGAGCTCGCGGCAAAAGTAGCCCGTGAGGTCAATTCGTATGCTGCAGACCTGAAGAAGAAAATGCCTGATCGGTTTGGCTACTGGGCTAGTTTGCCCATGCCAGACATTGACGTCTGCCTTGAAGAGATCGCTCAAGCGACCGAAGAGGGCTGCGATGGCTTCGTACTCGAGAGCAACAGTCACGGCGAGTATTTGGGAAACGAGTCTCTCAACCCTATATTCGACGAGTTGAACAGGCGACGGGCAACTATCTTCATACACCCCACAACGCCAATATGCCCATGTTCACCGAAAGCTCGAGCTCAAGGCCAGCAACCCGTGAAAGCCGCACCCTTTGCAGGTAAATATCCAAACCCCATGCTCGAGTTTATGTTTGACACTGCGAGAGCGGTGACGAATCTCTTTTTGAGTGGTACGATTAGGCGCTGTCCTAATATCAGGATCATCTTGCCTCATCTTGGTGGCGCTATGCCACCTTTGCTCTCGAGGTGGTCGGCTTATAGTACTTTCGTGCCTGTTCCGTGGGAGGACATCACGGAGGAAGAGGTGCGGGAAGCCTTTAAGACGCAGATATGGTTCGATCTGGCTGGATTTCCGTTTCCGGGTCAAATTGTAGGGTTGATGCAGGGTTGTGGCGTACCGCATTCACGGCTTATGTACGGTTCGGTGAGTCCAGCTTGGTGATCCTGCGGCATATCAATGTGGGAGGTGTTATACTCATTTCTAAATGCAGGACTGGCCTTTCACGAGGAGACCGGGTGTGGACAGGCTGGCTGTCATGCTGGATGACGGCGTCAAGGGTATGTTCAACACTGATGAAATCGAAGACATCTACCACCGCAACGCAGAAAAGTTGCTTGGCTCCACGAAGCCGTAGCCGTGCTGTCGCCATCACAAGGGCCAGAAAGGAACGACTCGCACGAGCTAGCTTGTACCCTGGTCACAGCGACTCAAATGCTCAAGCCAGCCGTCTACGGCAATGTAGCTAGCTGGCCGTATGCCATTGTCCAGGGTCGGTCCCGCGAGCAATACCGCTCGTACCGAAGGGCGACATACAACTTCTAGGCACGCCTCGCTTAACACTTTCTACAGGATTGGTAACAAGCAGAGAACTGCCAGGATGATGGCGCACCGCCAAATTCTCGTGAGTACAGCCCAACAGCCAACAACTTGACCGGCATTGAGATCCTGCATTGTGCTCAGAACATATATGAAACGTATATTCTAGTACAAACCCTCCACAAGCTCCTTCACTTTGTCGTACACCGGCCCGCTCTCCTGCCTTGTCGCCGTCTTGACAATGACAGGAACCTGATCCTTGCCGACACCCTTCTCAGTCAAGGTCGTCTTCAAGTCGAGCCGTTTCACCAGGTCCAAGATGGCATCGCCCACAGCCACCGCATCCCTCCTGTTGTCTCCGGAGGCTTGCAGTCCGATGAAAGATGCCATCCTCGCTAACTGCGCCGCATCCTCCTGCGACGTCTCAGCCTTGAGTTTTACCACATGGCCAAGCGTTAGGCAAGACGTGATGCCATGTGGAATTTGGTATGGAGAGCCAAGGGCATAACCAAGCCCATGCGACAAGCCGAGTCCTCCCTTCACGTTCAGCGCAAGGAAGCCCAGAGAGGCGAACGCCGCCAGCTGCAGCCGGGTGATGACATCCTCATCCTTCGGATTCTCCTTGTACTTGGGCAAATACTTGAACAGCTCGCCTGCCGCGAACAAACACATCCACCTGCACGGCATCTCGGTAGACGTTGGATGGTACATCAACTCCATCGCATGATCCATCGCTCTCATGCCAGTGCTCATCCATAGCCATGGTGGAGTCTCCAGAACAAACTTGGCATCGTACAGGATGACATTGGGTGCAAGTCGAGGGTGCGCAACTCCAGTCTTCATGCCATTCTCATTCGTATAGCCAGCGCCAAGCGTGCACTCTGCAGCACTGATCGTCGTAGGTATCGAAATATGGTGCAGGAATTTGCCCTTCTGCCTCTCGTTGAGGCGGTATGAGATCGCCTTTGCAGAATCGATCGGGCTTCCGCCGCCCACGCTGATGATGGTGTCGATACTCTCGTCTTTCATCACCAGCTCCGTTGCCTCGTCCAGCTGGGCGATCGGTGCATGCTGTCCAATTTTGCTGAAGGTTCCGGCATGGTGCTTGCTACCCAGAAGCTCTTCCACTTGCTTGATCAAGGATGTCTTGTTCGCCAACGACGATCCGGTTACGATGAACGCCTTGGAAGACTCCTGTGGGAGACATGAAAGCAGATGGTTCTTGACAGTCTCCGGTCCATAGTGTAGGCGTTGGAGGTGGGTAGGCTTCCACAGACCGCTAAGCGGATGTTGCGAGGACTCTGTGGCATGCGATTTGTATCGTCTCTGGTGGCGGGATAGTGATGGAGTTACTGACCTACGGAGGACGTCTGGCTGTCGAAGACGTTGGACATGGTGCGAGGGTTGGCTGGTCTGCAATGGTTCAAGACGGCACTGAACCGAACAAAAACGGGAACGTGAAGAGGGAAACAAGTGGAATGGTTGTCTTACAAGACTCACTGCGTTGTTTGAGCGCATTGTTCGAAGCTATACTGAAGTGAAGCACTCACAGGAGCTCGAATGTCGTGTAATACCGAGGCATCTGAATGGGATTAATGGATAATGCGGAAGTACCGTGGGGCTGGAGCATTCGTCACTGGGGAACAAATCGCGCACGGACGCATCGCTTCGTTCGCAGGCTACGTGCCTTCTTTCTTCATTACCTACATATGTTTTTGATCATAGGCCACCTTCCCAGTTTGGGAGACAGACCCAAGCGCCCCGGACTAAAGCAGTCCTCCAGCACCGTCAGGCGCCCCCTTCTGCTTCTTCGACCTTAGTGTGTTTCTAGCCCACCCATGACCTCGGTCAGTATTTCTCGACCTTCTTCTCCTCCGTGCTTTTAAATACAACCTTCGCCTCCGTTGGGCGAGAGGTGTTGCGGCGCGCATGGCGAAGTTCGTCGGTCCGCAGCGCGTTCAACATAGCAGTGTCAGACCTCATATGCTCTGCTTGCAAGGCGGCGCCAACGCCAACACAGCTAATCCCCAACATCGTAGCGAATAGCATGATGCCGGCATCTGCGAATCGGCCAGAGATCCATTGACCTTCCCAGTACCAGTTACCAATCGCAAAGGCGATGTACAATGTCCACTGCATATCACCAACGTCAGTAGCCTTCGCAAAGTTGGGGATCAGTATAGCACAAGGGTACCTACACCGGTGCCACACGCAAGCAAGATTGCTACGAGTATGTCCACGACGTAGATGGTGATGACATGCCATAGCCGGGCTGCCCTGTAGCTACGTGATTGCACCACTAAGCCGAGACTTGCAACAAGGGTACCGAACACGGAGACGCCCATGATAGGGATGTTGATCTGGTTGGCACTGCCCTCCAGATCAGTGCCATTGTATGCGAGAACAATGGCGAGACTGAGGCTGAAGACAGTAATCAACGTGGCGATCTGAATGCTGCGAAGGACGATGTAGGCGACGCGGAGCCGATCTGCCTTGTCTGCAATCATTTTCGTTAAGCGGTGGTGAGTCGATGGCTAAAGTGTTCAAGTTGCAATGCTACTTTGCTTAGATGTGTTTATATTCTAGGATGTGTCCGTCTGATGCTCTATATACATATTAATGGTCTAGTTGTGGCCATTGAGATGTTCTTCAGGCAACCGCTTTCTGTTCCCGTTAGCATTGGAGCTTGAAGAGTGGAGCCGGATAGGCAGCTATATAGGCACAGCTTGCATTGGCCAACATCGCTCTGGGAACGACAGCACGACTCGTGACAGTTTCCAATGGTCTAGCACCTGAAACGTGCGCCGAGGAGGCCAAGCAGCACCTCTCGTAAAGCCTGGAGAAGGCTACCTGGTCTTCCGATAGCTTCTCCGTTGTCCTCTCGCTGACGCGGTCCTTCGAAGTCGCATACTAGGATGCACAATGCCGTCTGTCGTTTCATTGGAAACAGGATCATTGGTACAGCGCCAATCTGTCGTTGATGTGGTCGCCAGGTGTGACATTACAAACGGCCACAACAGAACAATCACAGCAGCGTGGCTAACGACATGCCGAATGCGCGCCTCTTGCGCACCTCACCCCCACCGCGGACTCTGCAATTCGTCCACCCTCAAGTCGTTCAATTTGATAGTTTCAGTCCTCAGCTGTCTCTGCATCAACGCCGCACCAACTCCCACACAAACAAAGCTGGCTGTGAAACCTATCAACAGAAACGCAGCTTGCGCTGCACGATTCGAGTACAGCCAAGACCAGACTGTGTAGTGACTAGAGAATGCGAACCACTAAAGACAAATGATGTTTTAGCAATGATGAATCATTTGCGCAGACATTCTGCTAACGTACCCCTCCCGCAAGACCAACAAGCAGCGCGAGGAATGTGTCTAACCCCCAGACTGTGTGAAGTTGCCACTTCTTCGTGCGGCCTCGCCAGCGCGTTTGCGCGAGGTAACCCAGAGCGCCATTGACCATTAGGCAGATGGCGAAGAAGAGGGTAGGAACATTGATGACAATTGCAGAGGCGGATGCGTCAAAGGCCCCAATCAAGCTCGCCGTTACACAGACTGCAACCAGAAGCGAAATAATCTGTGTGCCGCGTGCGATGCCCAATGCCAGCGTGAGGGTTCCGGCGGACGACGACATCTTCGTGACCTGATTTGTGTGGTTGACACTTCATCCACAGAGAGACAGGCAGGAGACTGTGAAGGAGCTTTGATATTGCTCTTAACGCCGCTGTTGACCAGATGTAAGAAGATGCAACCGGGTGATGTACTGTACGCGCAAGCTTTGCGATCTGCGTAAGGTGTGTGCAACGATCTGCAAATTGCTTACCTGTTCCGTACAATTTGTGCATCCAAGACGGCTGCGGCTGTCCATCATGGCGCTGGCGCGAAGCTTGCACGTGAAGTGCAGATGGCTGCTTGGCGTGATCAGCATGCTACAGCGCGAAGGATGCGATACGAGACCAAAAGTGTATGATTGAACGCAGCTAACTGCTTGGGTTTTGGTCATACGACGTGGAGCAATCTCTTTCGGCGAGCCTACCCGACCTCCTCCACATCGTGTGCCCATTCTACGTTCAGCATGAGTGCAATACGACAGTGCTGTATCCACTGTCATTGCAAGGGAGAAAGCCGGTGCGGTCGGATGGTATCGCTCAAAGCGATGAATACCGTCCGACGTTCGGCGCCTGGCCAAAGGGAAGAATGACGGTTTAACATAGTCGAAGGGTTAGCCTTCCAGCACGGCCGTACATCTCCCGCGCAGCTGTGGGAGTGCCAGTCGGTGAAGGCCGCCCAGAACGATGACATGTACTTGTGCTGATGCTTTGGAGCGAAACCCTTCCGTCCGCGGCTTCTCCCATATCCTACGGCGGGCAGTAGATGTTGCCCGCCGTCTCGTTGATGTATTGACCGGCTGGAGCTGCAACAAAGGCGTTCTCGTCGAGGTACGCATCGTACAGTAGGCAGGCAGATTCAAGTACACCGCCGGCGGTACCGTAGTAGCCAGCAGGCGTAGGAACTTGGTATCTGCGACCAGTGGTGCACACTTAGTAACCGCCGAGCATTTGGAGATGGGACGGTATTCACTTACGCTAATAAAGCACTCTTGCACTGGCCATATCCGTAACATTGTTCCCGGCACTGCTGTATTTGCGCGGATTGATTGAGGTAGCTGTCGAAGTAGGACGAGTATACTAGGTTATCGGAGGTGAAGTCGGCGGATGGCATGTAGCCGGAGATGTTTGTGCTGCCGCTACTGCTACCTGGAAGAGAGTCGTCGATGGTACAGTTCGTAGGTATTGGCACGAAGCCTGGGCTACCCGCTCGTTGCGAAATTGGTTTGGCCATCGCGACCCCGCTCAGGCCGAGCGTAGCGACAAGTGCAACGAGCATGTTGACTGATTGTATGGCAGTTCCGTGGGGTTATCGCAGATGGGTTGAGTCCGTTTCTTGGTTCTATGCCGTAGCTCTACGATCTGTGAGCAGATGAGGAGGCTAGTATCGCACGAGTGCTGTCTAGTTGGGAAAGGTCTGAACAGGAGATATACGAGGCATTTGTACAATATGTGTCTGTCGTGGTAGACACGATCTGCTGGACCAATGCACGCCCAGAGAAGCCTAAGTTATTATAGCATACCCAACGTGCCGCGAAGGCAGTCACCGTGGCGAAGACGTCATGGGCAATCAATTCAGACCAAAAGTTGCCCTACCATCGCACATATTAGCAAAACCGTCCTGCCCAGAAAGGTAGTAAACTAGTCAAACGATGTGGTGTTAGCTTCAGCGGAAGCACGCCAAGCCTTTCAACCTCCTACAAGATCGGCAGGGCGAGAAGAGTGTTCGAAAAGCTGCAATCCACTCATGCAGGCTATTCCGAGGAGCCAGCGTCATCCGTCGCACGGGAAAGCGGCGGGAGCACCGCTCTGCTTTCGAACTTAGTGGTTGGGACTGCACAAGGTAGTCCAGATGCGCATCACCGTGATCCAGGCGGCGGCCCGCCTTCGCCGTTGACTCTTCTTGTGAGTGCTGGATGCATGCATATACATCGACGCGTGACCGTCCGCAGGCCTTGTGGTCCAGGAAACCTTGAAGGTTGCCGGCTCGCGTCCACAGGTTGAGGAAGTGACCATAGTACTCAAAAGCAGCTTGCTAGCGGCCGAGCAGCCTGCACGTTACTGTCCAAAGGATCAACAACTGGGAGGCGGTCTCCGAAAGGAATAGACATATATGTTTCAGCTCGAGGACTGCAAAGTTTTATGCACAAGAGAATTGACGCGTTTAACGGTTTGCGACGCGCTGTTGGCTCGTGCTGTGGTTTCAGACTTCACGTCAGCGTTCCTTTCCTACACTGCATCCTATGCCGCAAGCATGGTTTGCAAAACAACCTCACGCGTGGCTTTGTTGCCATCCCTTGCAACGATGCTGACCAGATTATGCCACTGGTACGGCACATTGTTTGCTGCACAAAGCTTAGCTTTGTTTATGGGGCGATTGCTTTGTGTATATTGTGCTGTTGTTAAGTACTTGACCTATTGAATATACCCGTCCTCAGTGTTCTACGACGCGTTGGTGAATGAAGTCAAGTTAACGCATCTCTCTCTGCACTCTCCGTTCGTATCTGAATTCCTGAAGAAGAAGCACAAGATGCTGTTTCCCATCATGCTCTCCCTCCTATCGCTGTCAGCGCACGCGATCGCCTCACCACTAAAGCGCAGCACCATCTGCGCTGCCGACATTGTTCGAGTCGATCCTAGTACGGCATCTTGCGACAGCGCTCCAGCGGCTGGTGAATGCCGAACCGCCGACCAGGCAGCACCGTACATCGCCATCTCCTATATCAACTACGGCATCCAGTCGTTCGGGGAGCAAGCAGCACTACTAGCCCTTATGCTCTACGAAAGCGGCGACTTCAAATACGCAATCAACCACTATCCCGGCGTTCCCGGCCAAGGCACCCGGAACATGCAGTCACCGGCGTACAACTTGCAGTATGCAGAGTTTCTGGCCAAAGTCTGCACCAATTGCGGAATTACACCTGCAGAGGTGCAGTCTGCGCAGGCGCAAGGGCCGGCTGCGGTGCTTGCGCTTGTGAACACGGATGAATGGAGTTTCGGCTCTGCGGCGTGGTTCTTGGTCACGCAGTGCAGTCCTACGGTAAGGCAAGGGCTTTCGGCCGGCACGCAGGCAGGGTGGGCGGCGTACCTGGCTTGCATCGGAACGGAGGCGAATGAGCAGCGAAATCAGCTGTGGAGTGCTGCGATTGCTTTGGGCCAGTGGTGAGCGAACGATGGTTTCACAACGAAGGATATCTCGGCAAATTGATCATAGCACGTGAATTGGATCTGTTCTCCATCGCGCCGCAATAGGTTCTGTATCTTTTGCACAGCCCAAGCACCCGTCGCCCATCACTCTTCGAGCTTTCGGTGGTGAGTATCCTCTCGCTTGGGAGACACCAAGTCTTTTCTGCTCAGCCGATGCAACTACGGCGCTGGCGGCACGCGCACTGTCTCCCTTCCGAGCCACAGTAGCTGCTGTGATGCCTACACCGGAAACTCAAGCCTCCACGTTGCTCGCTCCGTAACAGAGAAGAGCTTATAGTGATAGCATGGTCGCGTGTGGATCTGGCGGTCAATGCTTGACGTACACAATGTCCAACATCGTCCAAATGTGTTGAACGCGCAACTCGTCCCGCGCATCATAGCCGAGCGGCGCGAGCAGATTGCGAATCCATGAGACGAAGGAGTCTGCTGTACCCAACAGGTGGAACACGACTATGCTTAGACGAGCTATATGCTGCCGGTTAGCTGGTCCGATGCTTGTGAGCCACTGAATTAAGGGTTCCATGTCCCGGGCATCCCTTTTATGCACAAACGCGGGATAGTATGAGAACAGGTTTGAGTAGTAAGTCGGAAGCGTCTCGGCGCGAATCTGTCTGCAGGTACGAGTTATGGCCGGTTGGCGGACGGAATCCTCATTCTTGTGGGGCTCCAAGTGCGCAACCACTGGCGTATCTACCGTGCGAATGACAGCTTCCCTGCAGATGCGGCTCCAGACCTCAGGCGGCATGTCGAGCAAACCACGCTTCGTGGCCTTTGTACGACCGTGTCAGCAGACTTCGTTTGAAGGTGCTTGCAATTCGCCGCCATACCGGTTGTACATTGCCTGCAGTGGGTGTATCCAGAATCCCGGACAAGTTTTGTACTTGTGGTCGACTCCACTTGTTTGGCCATATTCGCTGTGTTGTCGATTGGTCGGTGTTGATAGCTGAGAGACTGAGATTTGTTCGAGCGTTAACACGACTAGCAGAGGCTTGGACATTGAGTGAAGAGAGTTAGTCGGGCGGCATTTACGGCAATCGCCGTGCCGCACCAGTGATTAACTTAATATGAGAAAGAAGGAGCGAGTCGAGACCAGACGGTAACTCGTACCATACAGAAGAGTCGTAAACCAAGGCGAAATCGGCTGTTACGGGCCCGAATGCACGAAGACATAGAACGCAGGTGCCTCCGCTAGACTTCAATGCATAGTCGCCAACGCCTCGCTAAGAACGCTCGATGTGAATACCACCCATAGGTCCTCAACCCAGAAGTCTGCCATCACGCCTCAACCCTCGCCCTCTTCTCCGGCTCAAACACCACCTCATCCTCCTCCGCGCCATCGATGACATCCTCCGCCTCCCTCACCCTCTTTAACCCCTTCATCTTCCTCGTCTGCAACTTCCCCAGATCCTGCTTGCCCAAATGTATCCTCCCCACTTGATCACCAACCATATCCGTCTCGACATTCTTCTTGGTCTTGGCCTCTTGACCCTTCGGCTTCCGCATTGCTTCCTTCCACATGTCCGGATCTGCTTGCTTTATCCTGCCCACTCTGAAATCGATCCTAGGACCCATCTCTTCTACCTCGACTTTGGGTAGGGTGGAGTTGGGTGCCCGCTTGGTCTTGAGGAGGTAGGTGCGCATGTGAATGGGCGGTTTCGGCTGGGTGTCTGTTTCCTCTGCGACGGAGAAGTGGATCATGTACTGCAGGCCTTCTACTTCAATCTCTTTGACGTCAGGTCCCTTGAAGAGGTCTAACAAAAGGCTCGCCGCGAGGGTGTACGCGTTCGCGCTTGGGCTGTCGAAGGCGGAACCGGAGAAAGTAATAAGGGGTTTCAAGCCCACGCCGGGCTTGTCGTTCTTGAACTGGTCTAGTGTTCGCATCGTGTCCGGTTCAACGAGTAACTCCAGCATGTCCAGCACTTTGTACTCGAACGTCCGGGCTAGTGTGAGGCAATGCGGCCGCTTTTTGCTGTGGCTCGCGAAGGCGATGAGACTGGCATCGTTCTTGTCGCTGAGGAACTCGAAGCTTGTCGGGTCCTCAAAGGGGTGGGTGTTGTTTTTGCCGCTGAACTTGATGGCGAGCGGTCGTTTGAGCGCATACAGATCCTTCAAGACGAGACTGAGGACTTCGGAGCAGGAGGTGTATTTGAGGAAGAGTGTGGTTCGTGGGTTCTCGACCGCTTGGGGTCCCTTGTTGTCGAGATACCGCTTCGTCCGAGCGTTCTTGGGCTTGATCTGTCGCAGAGGAAGCGCCATGGCAGCGTAATATCAACAGAGACTGTCCTTGACGCTTCAGGAGCCTTTCGCTTTCGTCCACGACTTTTTGCGCCGGCTACCAATCGATAAGCGCGAAATCTTGGCATCGCGTGGGGGGCGGATATGACGCCAAAGCTTCTCGACTCAAGTTTCTCCGAATGACAAGATAGACGAGCTGCGTTGCTTGTTCGCGTAATCAATCAAAGTGCTTCATCATCCGCCAACACACCCACCTTAACACTCATTCTCAACAACCATCGAAGCCAGCCCTGAACAAGTACTCCAGCCCTGAACAAGTACTCCAGCCCTGAACAAGTACTCCAGCCACGGACAAGTACTCCAGCCCTAGGCAAGATGAACGCCAGTGCGCCACTTAGAGCCGACGAGCCTGGCCCGGCAGCTCAAGACGCATCCGCCACAGCACCAGCGGGCACATGCACAGTCCAAACAATCAGTACAGAGGAAGAGTTCTCGCAGCACACATCGAACCTCCCACCGTCATGCCTAACGGTCATCTACTTCCACGCACCGTGGGCCGAGCCTTGCAAGCAGATGAACACCATCCTCTCAACCCTCGCCTCGACATATGCCTCGACAACTCCGCCAAAGATAGGCTTCTACAGCATCGACGCTGAGGAACTCAGCGACATCAGCGAGCGATACGACGTTACGCAAGTCCCCTTTGTGGCGCTGCAGAAGGATGGGAAGGTACTCGAGACGATCACCGGCACAGACGCGAGCAAAGTACGGAATGCGGTCGAGAAGCACGCAGGGCGCCCAAGCGCTGGAGATCCAGGGAAACTCGGCTTGCCACCGGCACAGAAAGTGACGAAAGCAGCGCCCTCACAACCACTTAACGACCCTTCATCCAAGCCGGAGACGAATGGCTCGAGTAACCTCTCGAAATACGCACCTGAGGCAGGCGACCCGGCGACAGCACCTCAATACAGCAGTGGTGAGGTGAACCCGGCAACGAAAGATGAGCTCAACACACGATTGTCAGAGCTTGTGAAGGCCGCGCCGGTCATGTTGTTCATGAAAGGCACACCATCCGCGCCTCAATGCGGCTTCAGCAGACAGACTGTCAGTCTACTTCGCGACAAGGGCGTCCGGTACGGCTTCTTTAACATTCTCGCGGACGACGAGGTGAGGCAGGGTTTGAAGGAGTATAGTGATTGGCCTACATTCCCGCAGGTGTATGTCAGTGGAGAGCTGGTCGGTGGATTGGATATTGTAAGTGGTTCTTCATCTTTGTGGCCGATGTTGGTACGATGTACTGACTGGTTCTCTGCAGTTGAAGGAGGAGTTCGATAATGACCCAGAGTTCCTGAAGGAGTACTCGGTCCATGCGCAAAAGGGCGGGCCGGCGGCGCCGGAGCAGCAGGCGCAGCCTCAACCTCAGCCGGCGTGAGCAACGCCTAAACAGTATGGCTGCATTCTGAAACGACCACGTAGCATCTGCTGTTATGTACGTCTACAATGTTAGAACGCGGACTGTGTTGAAACGAAAAATATCCACCAACCCTCAGCAACCAATCGTTCAGCTTGTAAACAGGTCATTCCCACGTGATCGTAAACGCCGAGGCATGCTGATCTCGACAACTCTCTTAGACTCAAGACGAAAGTCTGCATCGTTAGCACCCGCCATTGCGGCCATATCAACAAAACGTTCCCGAATGCGAGCTGGCTTAGAAAGCCCGGCGAGCTCGCATTCGTATTTCATGGATGCGAACGTATAAAACAGTACAACACAGCATAGTTCGGTAAAAGTCAGACCGTACCTCCCTCTCTACACGGTGTGCTTGCTGCCATAGAGATATACACTTTCTACCCCGAGCCTACAAGTGGCACCTGAAGCTGGAATTTCGGCACTGTGTGCACAGTGTTGCAAGCCGGTGAACCCGATCGTGGAATACCAACACGGGCGAGCGGCGATGGCATCTCTACTATCATCCCTGGGCCTCCGAGCAACAAACCCGCTCTCACCACTTCCTTCCCACGCAGCAAGCTACCTCATCTTCCACTTCCTCTTCGCCTACGGCGTCCTCTCCTCCCGCACGCTCAAGCAGATCTACGGCCTTGACCACAACGTCAGCCCGCGCGAGGATCTGGGCAAATACGGGCCTGAAGCCGTCAAAAGCGGCAAGATCACCCAGAAGCAGCTCGACATGATGAAACGCACCGAGAGCGCTTCCGCCAACAGTGTGGAGCACTACACGCTTTTCGTGGCGTCGATGCTCTGGGCGCAGATGACGGGATTGCCGAACGCGGAGATCAATGCGAGTGCGCTTGTGTATACGCTGGCGAGGGTGGTGTATGCGGCGGTGTATGTACTGGTTGATCGGCCAGCTTTGAGTCAGATAAGGGGTTTAATGTGGTGGACGAGCAACCTGGTGTGCTTCCGGCTGCTGTGGCTCGGTGGCACGGCGATCAATCGGACGGTCGCATTGAGCTAGACTGCGAGGACGATCACGGCTAGCTGGTTTGATGATGCTGCTGCCGCTATGAGCGATTGCGGTTCGTCAGTCAACATTCTCCGACCGAAAGTGGCTTGCGGCTTTTGGTATCGTAACTGCGGTCAGACAGGCCTTTGATTCATTCCTTCACAGAGCGTAGGATTTCAACAACGTTTCAAATGCAATCATCACATAAGCTTGTCCAACAGGAGTTGTATAGCGTACCTTGAGCGTCATCTGCTTGTTTGCAGCTGTGCAGGCCTGCCACTTCAGCGCTAGCAAGCCATGTCGTTCGTGGAATGGTTGAACACCACATGCTGTGCGTAGAGAAATGAAGAGAAGCCGTGAACAGCAGCCCTTGCCTTGGTTAAAGCTTCCCGTCGCGGCCAGCAGCGCTCATAGCGGCTTCACCATCGACAAGCACGCACCATCCCTCACCACCCCTCGTGCCTTCCGCGAACCCCCCAACCGCCGCACCGGGAAACTCCTTGATGGCATAGTCGAGTTCCTTGTCGGTGAAGCTACCCGGTTGCAGCCATACTGCTCGGATACCAGCGTCTTTGGCTTGCTTGAGAAGCTGGCCGGTCACGGACGGTGGCGTGATGACTGACAAGCTGGTCTTCTCCGGTTCGGCCAAGTCCGGGGGAGAAGACACAGTTTCGTATTGCTTCCTTCTGACGGTTATGGAAGAGCAGCTCGGATTTACAGGCAAAGCATGAAGGTTGTGATCAATGTACCAGGCGAAGATCTTGTGCCCGAATTTGGAAGGGTTGGACGATGCGCCGGCTACGGCGAAGGTGGGCGAGGAGAAGAAGAGCCGGGCTGCGGATTGCATGTCTGGCTCGACGGGCATGTTTGGCGCATGCTGGAGGAGAGGAGCAAGCATCTGTGGCTTGTCGATAATTGCTCACTCGACACAGTCAGCGTGCATGGCGCCGGCCGAGTGCGGCCGCAGATCGACAGACAGCCACACCAACCACCACAAGCTACATGAAGAGCTGTGTGTCTCCCTGCATTCAACTCGGCATTCGGTTGATGCGGTGGATGTGTATCGTGCTGCAAACATAGGCCGATGAGCTCGCAAGCAGCATCAGAGGAGATGTCTGCCCTCCCAGGCCGCATCATCCACTTCGGCAACTTCAACGTAACATCCCAAGTACGCCTATCAGGAACACTTCCTCCACTATATGCTCGACTCAGACTGAGCGCCCAAGGTAGGTCTTTCACATAACCAAACACTCCTTCGCCCTCGTCAATCTCAAGCCACTTCTCCCCGGCCATATCCTCGTCTCACCTCTAGCCGTGAAACCGCACCTCTCCGACCTCACAAAGGACGAGATCTCCGACCTCTTCCTCACTGTCACCCGCATTCAGCGGACGCTCAAACGTCTCTACAAAGCCGATGCCTTCAACATCGCTGTCCAAGACGGAAAAGCGGCGGGCCAAAGTGTGCCGCATGTGCATTGTCATGTGATTCCGAGGACCGACGGGGATCCCGGAGGTGATGACAAGGTGCACCAGTGGTTGGAGGGTGAGGAAGGGGATGTGGGGCGGCATCAGCGTGAGGCTGGTACGGGTGCTCAAGATGGAGGGAGTGGTAAGCAAGATGGGGAGAGGCAAGCGGGGCAGTGGGCTAAGGATGAGGAGAGGAAGCCAAGGGGCAAGGAGGAGATGGAGCGGGAGGCGAGGTGGTTGAGGGAGGAGATAGAAAAGGATGAACAACACGATGCTAACGAGAAGTTGTAGCTGTGAGCGACCTATACCCTCAGGGCTCTGTTGAGGCCATTTCCGACAAGTGGTTGGACTGAAATAAACGAGCTCGTAGGTATGTTCGGAGACTGAAGACCTAGCGAAAACACACCGTCTTTACTATCGAAAACCAAGCATTCAAAAAGGTACGAATGCCAGAGCATGTCGTTGGGCAACTTGCAAAACCGAGCCCTTCTCCGCACTCCCTACCCAGCATGCCGTACGATGACCACCACCCAACCACCACTGGAAATGTAATCCAAGCAGTAAAGCCAAAGTTACTCAACGCCAAGCAATCGCCATATACCCACCCACTCCTGATATTCCGCCCTTTCTCTTGTCCATCCTTCTCCCGCAACCACTTCACTCACATCTCCTTTCTGTAAATCGTACCGCGGAGAGAGCAGAACACAGCCAAGATGCACTCCATGTACCCCATCTTCGCCACCGCCCTTCTGGCCGCCAGCACAACCACGGCCATCCCCCTCTCCCTCTTCGCCCGCAAAGACGACGCCTCCGCCTCCGCCTTCCCCACCCCCCTCCGCCAAGCCAAAGGCCAAGAAGGCATGCTCGCCGTCACCCACACCCTCCTCCCCGTGCCCACGGGCATGGACTGCACGCGCTGGACCCTCGACATCCACCTCCTCGCCACCAACGACTCGCAAGTCTCCGCCTGGGGCGACGTGTGGGACCTGCCCGTCAAGACCGCCACCCCGTCGTGCGCGACGTGGGAGAAGGATCCTCAGGCGGGGGCGGAGAAGTACGATCGGTTGAATCTGACGACGGTGGGGGTGAGGGGGGGTTGGTTCTGTGATAAGTGGCATGTGGAGACGCATGAGGAGCATGTCTTTCCCGCTTGTGGGGAGAGGCATGAGGAGGTTCATGAGAAGAAGGTGAAGAGAGGTGAGGTATGAAGCGTCGTTCTCCCAGTACGGTATGCGTGTCGTTTGTCGCCTTTAGGTGCTTTGGGCGTGTTTGTGACGGAGAAAAGCTGACGAGTCATTTTTGGGCCGCACTTCCAGCTCGTGGGACAGGCCAATAGGTGTCATCACTATTTCCGAGGGCACAGATGCCGCCACGATGAGAGGGAGAAGGAGGAGAGGGAGGCGGAGGAGTGGGAGGAGGAGGAGGAGGAGGAGGAGGAGGAGTAGGGTATGAGTGCTATGCCTCTACATGCGGTCTGATGTCCTCTCTGTTTCTGCTCGTGGTGGTTGCGGCTGCGATGTATTGGACGATAGTGGAGGGTCTGGATAGCAAGATTGAGTGTAATGCAACAGTTCGTGAGGGACATCACAGCACACTGTGTTTGCAGCCAAAAGCAAGTGCTCCATGATGGACTTCCCGTCCGCTTTCATAGCCTGACAACCTGTGCACACCACACGGAAAACGCCGTAAGCTCCTGCGCGTGCGAGTCAATACACTCATGACACCATCCCCCCCATCCCAACCAATTCGCTTCTCGCATACCATCATCTAATTCGCGAGAATCGTCTTCACCATATCTAGTTCACCGTCAGCGTTTCCTTCTTGCCTCTCACACTCAATGCCCCTCTCCACCACTCCGGACATGGTGGACGATACTCACCCATATAGTTCAACTCCCCACTACTCGTATCCACGGCTTTCAACAGCTCATCCACCTCCTCCTCACTCATCTTCTCCCCCAAATTCGTCAAAATATACCGGAACTGCCCCACGCCGATGAAACCCGTGAGCTCCTTGTCGAAGACCTGGAAACCGCGGCAGTACTCTTCGGGCTCGCCTGGGTCTCGGAAGCCGCCGGGTCGGTTGAGGAGGGTTTGGAAGGTGTTGAAGTCGACTGCACGTGCACATTATCCACCATCAGCATGTATGATTGGAGCGGGTTGGGAAGGGGGGGTGGTGGGGGGGGGAAACAAGTGGACGTACAGTCACCGCCGCGCACTTGACCTTTCAGGTCGTTGATCTCCGCCAATGTGGGATTCTGCCCGCATGCGCGTAGTAAGTCGCCGAGACTGTCGCCGTCGACGCGGCCGGTGCCGCGCTTGTCGAAGAGGGAGAAGGCTTCCTTGAAGTTGGTGCTTTGCGCCTGATCCGCCATCGTGTTTGTGTCAGTCTTGTTGTTACGCGGATTCACGTGACGTGCTGTCCGGTTGATATGCTCCAGCGCTGTATGTGTCCTCCCCTGAACTCAGGCGCTGGCGAATGATATGTACTTGCGTGACTTTCTTTGCGATCGCCGAATGCTGTTTGTTGATGCGGTGCATTTCGCGTCCCGCGGTTCTTCCTTCTGGAAGCCGCCGTTTGCAATGCAGGGTCCGCCTTCAGGAACGCGTGGTGAAAGGGAAGGCACGTACCATTGTTTGATCTCCGAGTCTGACTCGTTGTTGAATATGTGATAGTGGAGAGGAGGAGAGTTGGACAGAAGGACGAGGATTGCAGCACTGTAGAGAGTTCCACACACGCTGCGTGGTTACGCGAAAAGATCCCCGTCTGAGACACGGCGGCAGGACCCGCAGTCGGCACAATATACGCCACGGTTGCCAATGGCAACGAGAAAAGGACGTGATGATCAATTCGCGAAGTATCATGTACAGAATGGTTGGGCAGCACTTGGCCACCCTGGGAAGTGATTCGAAATCGCAGCTATGCAGTGTATATGTTAAAGACAGCCCAACCGCCACAGCGCCGACGCTTGCTCTAGAACGCCAACCGGAACCACCAGCGGATGCCTTCATTTCGTCCTATCAGGCGTGCTCGCCATGCCCTCACCCACACCTCGCAGCAGCACAATGGTGTTGCCCGTCCTCACACACTGCCCCAACTTCTCCCCAAACCCCAGCAGTCTCCCCCCCTCCACATGAAACACCCTCAGTTTGTCCTCTTCGCTCTCGGCGCGGTTGTTGACATTCACCACCTGCAGACTCTTCGCCGCCAGGTCCAGTATCCGGCCCACGCTATACTCCGCATGGTAGAAGAAGGTGCCCTTTGGTATTTTCGCGGTGATCGTATCCGAGCTCGCTTCCACGTACAGGTATACACGCTTGTCGAGGGGGATCTTCTCGTCGCCCTTGGCCGCCTTCTTCAGGTTCGCCGTCTCTTGCACTCGTGCCGCCGCCGCTTGCTTGGACGCGGATTGCGGCACTTTGGGCATGGCCGCTTTCTTCGACGCGCCCCATGCGCGCAGTTTCTCCAGCGCTGCGATGCCCTTCTCGCGCTGCGTCGGAGCCTGACCCTGCGGTCGTGCGCCGAGCGGGGTGAGGTTCGCGCAGTTGTGCTCGTAGGTCAAGCGGTGTTTGAGGCAGTAGGAACGATTGCATTTGTCGCAATGCACGCCGGTGACGAGGGGGGTGTTGATGAGGGTCTTGCAGGCCGGATCGGAGCATTGCTGTTCGTGGTTGAGGATGTTGGGTTTGGGCGAAGACGGGTATGCCCGCGGGTTGAAAGCTTCGGTTCGTCGTCGCGCCCATTCGCCGGCTTTGGGACAGGAGTGCGCATCTTCGGTTCTGTGGGGGCCGCAGAAGAGGCTGTGGAGGATTAGTAAGGTACTGGTGGCCTGCGAGATATGTGGTGAGGAGGTGGTGAGACGGACCTACCCTTTGCAGCTTTCGCATTTGAACGGAAGGAAGTCTAGCTGACTGGGACATGACATACGTCAGTACGTGGTTTCCTGCCACTGCGGGAAGGGGAGAATGGACACTTACTGACAGAAAGGCATGTGACATCTCGCGCCGATCGCTTCCACATCGCCTGTCGCCATTTCTGTATACGATGAATCTGCTGATGTTTGCGTGGACGCCATCTTCTACGGAAGGTATCCTCACTTCAACTATTTGTATTAGTACTGCTGTGGCAACACTTTGCTGAGTGAGCAGAGGCAAGAGGCAAGAGGCAGCCTCAGCGACGCCTACACGGCCAGAAGCTTCCAACACTTCTCGCAAGAAGAGAAGGAACGCTTCGGGCAACTCTGCCGAGCGACATGTGACAGGCTTCCAGAAAGGTATAGTGTGGTGCTTATCTGTGGCTAGCGCGTAGTGTGGAGATGGAGATGGAGCTGGACGCGGAGAAGGCGGGGCTTATCGACGCCGACACGTCCCGAGGCAGGCGCGGGTGCAGGCAAGGCAGACAAGGCAGGCAGGCAGGTGACTCCTCGCGCTTCGAGCTTCAGCTCCATTCGGTCCTACATCTATGCCATTGGTCACGCATTGGTAGGAGCTAGGAGAGCAGAGTCACGAGAGCTTACGTTATCCCCGCTCGACCCTCTGGCCCGCTCGTTGCTCCGTTGGCGGCTGCTGCTGCTGCTGCTGCGGGTATTCGTCCTTGTCGTTGTCGTCGTCGTCGTCGTCGTCGTGCTTGATGGAGGCTTGATTGCTGACACGACCACGCCGAGCAACGCAGTCACGCGTCATAGGCTACCGTCACGATGCTCCGCTTCCAGTCAACGAGCAGCACGGCCACCGTTCGACGACACTCGTTGACATCCTTATCCAGCCCACTACCACTACCTTTGACCCTCCATCAACCATCCGTCAGCCAAGCCATCCGTACAAGCGCCGCATTTGCCCAATCTCGGGGCTTCTGGGGCTGGCGGCGACCCAAAGACTACACCTCCCACCTCGATCCACTCTACGCCCGCTTCATCAAGTACCGCACCCTCAAGACACGAGCCAAGCTACTCGAGCGTCTCCGGCGTCGCGGCAAGTTCGATTGGGACCTCGGGCAGAAACCCTTCTTCAGCCCCAAGCACATCCGCTGCGCCTCCCACTTCAACGGCGGCGGTAACGGCCGTGGTCCGCGATGGGCGCGCTACGACCCGGACGAAGTCGACCCGTCGAGGAAGCGGGATGAGGTGGCGGAAGAGGGAGATGGCTACGAGCTCAGCCAGCGGGAGAAGGAGTGGAAGGAGCGGATGGAGCTCATGCGGAAACGCATCGAGAGTGACCCCTACGAAGCCATCTTCGGCAAGAGGTTCGAGCCCTTCTGGAGCCCGTTGGTGCCAAGCTGGATGCGGGAGGAGATGGGTCTGCAGGGCTGGCCGAAGCCGCGGAAGAACTCCCCAACTTCTGCCGAGCCTGAGACGGTCAAGCCCAGGACCGAGAGCGTGGCGGAAGACTTCACGTCTGCATATGAGAAGAAGGCTGTCTCACCTGCAGGCAGTGCTCGGCAAGAAGACAAGCCTGAGCAAGTGGGCGAGTCTTACTCTTCATACTCATCTACATCCTGGGATTCATGGTCGAACAAGGCGACGCGCACCGAGTGGGACTCTGCCTCCGGCAAGACGAAGCACTACGAGTACGACCCAGTATCAAACCGGATGGTGCAGGTTCCGAAACTGAAGGCTGCTGAGAATGCTGAGCCCAAGAAGATCGCGCCTGCCTCGGCCGTGGAGTTGAACAACGCTGCCGTATCCTTGCAACGTAGCAGGGACATGACTTCACTCATCAACTCGCCGGCCAACAGTAAGGCGTTGCGAGTCCAACCGGAATACCCGAAGCCGGTACCCATTATATCGCCTTCTGCATCTATCCCGACCTCGAAGCCCAGCGCACCACCGTCGCCGAAGGCCGTCGACTCACCTTCGCCAACGCCGAAGACTGCTGCGATTGCCGCTGAGAAGGATGTCGACCAACTGACGGCGAACGAGGTTCGCGCCAGAATGGGCAAGGTTACTCATCCTTCGGCCGCTGCGGAGCAGCTCGCCAACACGAAGCTGTCCGAATGGGACAAGGCCGAGGATGAGGTGCTGTCTGAAGCAAACCTGAACCGCGAGATGTTCGCCCTGCAACAGAGGAAGGCCTACCTACTGAGGCACCAGCATGGTCTGTTCCATATCGAGAAGTCGAAGCGTGAGCTCGCCAAGGTGGAGCAGCAGATGCTAGAGCTCGGTAAGCAGCACTCTGGCTCGGCTCCTGCTGCAGAGACGGATCTACGACCGTCATTGGCTGATGAAGCGCGGGCTGCTCAATTCAGTATAGAGCCGAAGGGGGTGCGAGAGCCTGTTGATACCTTGTCCAATCTTGTCGAGCAGTCTCACAAGGTGTCCCAGCGGTTGCAAACATCTCTGGACCGAGCAGCTACTAGCCCGAAGACTGCGCAGAAGGCTACAATGCTGCAACCGGCTGTTGAGCGCATGCAATCGAAGGAGTTGCCCAAGCCGCAAGACCCTGACGATGCCGCAGCACACGAGTCGACCGAGGCCGTCATGTCGCCATCAAGCGTGCCGAGGGAATGGGCCCAGCAAGCCGACTTGCTGCAAGCCAACCGCGTCAAGCGTACAGCGGCCAAGCGGCCGTATCCCATGACACGCTGGGTCGACGACATGGAGGCCCGCAAGGCTGCCTTTGATGCGAAAACGGCACAGACAAAGGCTGTAGATCCAGCGGCAGAAGAGAAGGCTAAGAAGCTGGAAAAGGCCAATGCTCTGCTTGAAGCCGAAGTGAAGGAGCACAAATTCCGCATGCAAGCTCATGAGAACAGGTACGCGCACAAAATCCGCAGTCTGCGGCAGGAGCTTGAGACGGCGTACAAGCAGAGTGCGGTGCACAGTGAAAAGCATGTTGAACGCATTCGGTTCCTGGAGAAGGAGTTGGCGAAGGCACAGAGAGCCGCTGGCGACAGCCTAAAGCTCGTCTCAGCAGTTACGCCGGCGGAGCAGAAAGTGAATGCCATGAAGGAGATGCAGGGTGAAGGCGACTTCAGCCCCAACATCGCCAGTTTCGCCGGCAGCGGGAAGTGGTATAAGCAGCCTACCGCTCCCGGCGCGGCTGCATCAACGAAAGCCGAGATCGAGAAGGTGGAGCAGAAAGCACGCGATCAGGCGCTCGTGAAGGAAGTCCGGGAGATCTATGAGCGCGAGTACGGCGTGATCGATGCAAGCCATCGGCAGCGGGTCTTCACCGGCTCCGAGGCACGAGTCTCTTCCACGAAGCCCAAGCAGGTGGTGGAGTTGGAGAGTGATGTTGACCTTGGCGAGGCGCTGGCGGAGCATGAGCGGAAACAAGGGTATCAATATCAGCAGGATGGGCTGGAGAAGGAGTTGGTTGCTAGAGCGAAGGAGGTTGAGGCGCAGCTGCAGCTGAAGAAGTCGGCGCGGTACGCAGTCAAGAATGACGGGCTGGAGGCGGAGATTGCGAAGCAAGAGCGGGAGGCGCATGAGGCGCTGCGGTTGATGCAGCCGGAGAGCAGTGGGAAGATGAGGAGTGTCATCTTTGATGGCATCAAGAGCGAGTTGCAGAGTGCGAGCACTGTCACCGCAAGCCCATCGGAGCCAGCCATTGTGAGCAACGCGAGTTCGACAGTCGTTCCACCGAGCGAAGCTTCAGTCCTATGGGAGCACCCTCCCATCTACAAAGTCCTCGCCTACGACGCCGGTAACGACATCATCACTAAGGCCACCACAACTGCCAACTTTACCGGCACGGAAACGGCCATCAGCATCCCGCAAGCACTGTCGCAGCTCTACCAGCCTGCTCGCTTCGTCACGCATTTCGCCGAACTGCAGCAAGAAGGGTGGCAAGTCATCTACGCCGCCCGCGATCTGCTCGTCTTCCGCAAGGTACAGATGCACGCTGCTCCGAAGCAAGAGCCGTTGCCGGAAGAGGATTGGCCCGCTTACGGCAAGTTGTGGCAATCTACGGGCATACATGATCATGGCCTCGTCAAGCCGAAGGAGAACGCATTGGCGCAAGAAGCGGCCGAGTACTACGATAAGTATAAGCCGGAGCCCAAGGCCTATGATCCGACGAGCATTGAGAACGGCAAGCTGATGCCCAAGGAGAACGCCATGGCACAGGAGGCGGCGAATGCCTATGATGCTGCACGGATGAGCATTAACCCCATTGATGGCACGTCGGGTAGGGTGACGGAGACGGGATCGAGGCCAGCGACGGGAAACTTTGCGAGTCCGACCGGGTTTGTGAACCACGATCCTGTAGTGGAAGTCTCGTCCACGGTGGAGGAGCAGCAGAGCAAGGTCAAGGACGCCATGAATACGAAGGACTCGCCGTCAACGAGTACTGCGACGGTCGCCTGGCAGGACGAAGACGTTGACTATGTGCACTACCCTCGCGTTCGTAGGCAAGAGCGCGTCTTCTCCGGTACTCGGCCATCGCCGAGGAGATGGAATGAACGCCACGAACGCCATCACCGCCGTGAGGAGCGTGAGCGCGAGCGGAAAGGCAGCGGAGCGTTGAAGTGGGCGATTGGGACTGGGCTGGGGTTCGCCACCGTGGCTTATACGGTTGGTGTACTTGCGGAGAAGACGAGGGAGGAGGAGAGGAAGAGGGTTGGTGAGAACTTGTGGGAGCGGTATGATCAGGAGAAGAGGAATGCCAGGTGGAGGATTGATACTGGGAAGTGGGAGTGAGTAAGAAAGGTGAAGTGAAGCGGTCTGGGTGGAATGAGAAAGAACTGGTCGAAGATGGCTCGTTTGGATGATACTAACGGGTTCTTGCAAAGGCGACATGGCGTTTGGCGTGGTGAACGTTGGCAACGGCGTCTTTGGGCGTTACAGACCGAACTGCTGGGTGGGTGCTTTTTAGATACTCAGCTCAAGTGCTGTAGATGATGGTCAATGAGAGACGAGTTTCCGCTCCTTATCACATCCGACCACTGACTCGTGCTGACGCCGCCAATGCCGCCCTCTTTGCTGTACCAACAACTGATAACATGATAAATACGTGGAGCCCACGCTATGGCGTATACAGCGCCGGCGTGAGAATTGCCCGCGAATTGCCGTCCTCACGATAGCAAGTTCGCTAGCGGAGAGTCTTCCGTCTCTGTAGTCGCGATCACTGCGTATCGGCCGATTCCGGGGATAGGATCAAAAGCCGACGTGCAGGCCTTCCGTCACCACTGGTCGGGCGGACTTATTTCCCCTTGACGCTTTTTGTGGGCACCTCCCACGCGCATCATTCTTTTTGTGGGTACGGCGGAGTCTGGAGGGAAGCATTGTGTCAATGCGTTCCAGCAGCGACCGTATTCTGGGGTTGTTGAGTCAGACATGGGCGGAAGCAGTACGGAAAACGGGGGCGTGCAGAATGTGCAGAGAGTACAGGCGCATTCAGTGCCGGTAATCGATACGCCGCCGCCGCCGGCGTGGACGGGGAGGATCATGACGGCGGTGCCTGTGCGGGTGACGGAGAAGGGGTCGAAGACGAAGACAGAATGGAACACCAAGGCGCTGGGCCAGAGGATGGCGGTGGATGCTGCTTGTGCCGCGACGGCGGGTGGACTCGTGGCGCCAGTCATTAGCATGATAGACAAGTAAGTCGTCCGCACCCGCAAGGAGAAGGCAGTATGACCGCAGGCGGTTGACCAGTCGAGCAGAGCGATCATAGAGAATGCGTCCGGACGAAGACCCATGATGACCTCCCTGAAAGCATCCCTAAACACATTATTACTACGACCGCATCGCTTCTTCACCTCCCGACCCTTCGCCTTGATATTCATGCTGTACAGCGGGACGTACCTCACGGCGAACAGTCTAGACACCTTCAAATCTACTGTAAACGCCAGGCCCGCGTCGTCGACCACATCGGGCCCGTCCAAATTCGCTGCAACGAGCGTCGCGAACCTGAGTCTCTGCCTTTACAAGGACAGCCAGTACACGAAGATGTTCGGTGCCGTCTCTCCTCGTCCAGTGCCACCGGTCACGTACGCGCTCTTCGCCGTGCGAGACTGCCTCACCATCTTCGCGTCCTTCAACCTGCCTCCCGTACTCGCCCCGCATCTGCCGCTTTCGGAGACGGCGGAACAGTACGTGAGCAGGGCGTCTGCCGCGCAGTTCCTGGCGCCGGCGGCAATACAGTTGTTGAGTACGCCCTTCCACCTGCTTGGTCTGGATCTGTATAACCGAAATGGCGGTACGACCTTCAGCGACCGCATGCGCAAAGTCAGGCTAGACTGGTTTAAGAGCAGCATTGCGCGGATGTGCCGCATCGTGCCGGCCTTCGGTTTCGGTGGGATTGTGAATAATGGGCTTCGACAGAAGTTCATGAAGGGCATTGAGTAGGCCCTCGCGACTGCGATCTGGAGAGATGTTGGAAGATATGTGCATCGACCGGCGTTTCGTGGGTGTTTTACGGAGGCGTTCTGAGCGTTACTGCAGCGGTACATGCGAGCTACCATAGATGTTACATTGCTCTAGACGCATGGGAAGGGTTGGGAGAGCCGCGTGTTGCGAGCGTGGCGTTGGTGGCTGTTACAGATCACGGCAGTATCATGTACGAATACTTACGGTCTCCACTATGACACCTCCAAATCCGCGTGCGTGAAGTCATGCAATGAATCGCTCCCTTTACGACTGCTGGGGATCAGTATCCCTTCTAGAGCCGGAACGCTTCCAAGGGTTTATCGGCCATTATCGCAATTCCACACCGTGTTATGTGACGGGGAAGCGGCACAGCCTGGCCGTGGTGTTTGCGTAACGCCCCAAAGCTCTTACATACGATGACGGGAAGTTGTTGAATAAACTTGCCTTATAGCACAACCAAACCTTCACCCAGACTTGAGATCTCGGCGGCTTCGGTAGGGTCGTCCGTGGCATGTGGAAGCGCAGCACAAGAGACCTGCGCATGTGGTTCGGAGAAGCTTACATTTGGCAGGCAATGCACCACAAGGCTGGGAAACATTCAAGCTCAGAGATCATCAGGCCTGTAGATTGCGTCTTCGCTTGATCTGGCTCGGTACCGGTAGCACACAACTTCCTCAGCTGGATAGCACTGGATTTGTAGATCCTTGGTTGCAATCGAGGTTGATCATGCTGCTGCTGAGGCTTGCTGTTGGCTGCTCTCTAGCGCTCCAGCGTCCATCTTGCCGTGGTTCTTGTCTGCTGACATCCCGCGCTCCACCCACTCCTGGCTGCTCATTTCGCTGAGTCGTGATAAGGCGCGCGCGAATGCGAATGCTTCCTCGTCGCCAGTGAAGATGCTGCTCGACTTCAGCGTCTCCATGTTCATGCCTAAATCGTCCATCAAACTCCGCATCGCGTCGTTCACGTTCGCGCCGCCTTCTTTCGCCTTCTTCGCACCAGACACGCCTGCCTTTGAACCGGCATGAAGGGCGTCGCCAATCTCGTCTTTGCTCATGAAGAGCTGCGGGAGCGGTACGGCAGTGGTAAGCACTAGCTTGGCGTGAGCCTCGTACGCAGCGTCAAGGAAGGTGATAAAGCGTCGCGCCAAATCTCGACTGCGAATGTTCATGCTAGGCACGTCCGTGATGATGAAGGCGTCGTAGCTGCGCACAAGCTCGAGGTAGTCGGCAGCGCCGGTTGCTTTGCCCATAAGTTCTTGGAAAGTGAACCGGCAGGCTCGGCCAGACGCTCGCGGTACTTCGATCTGGCGGCCCCATACGGTGTGCGTCGCCGGATGAGGTGGGTCGTCTTTGAAGTCCCCCAGAAAACTGAACCAACGATCCGCATGGTCTTTCGCATTCGCATCAAGAGGGTGATGGTAGACGTTTGACGTTGGTCTTGGCATTTTGCGGTAATCCGTCGTGGAATCCAAGTTGAGGACCCTCAGCTTCTCCAAGAGCAAGTTGATGCAAGGTATGAAGGAGTCCCGCTGGATGCCGTTCTTGTACAACTCCGTCGGATGTCGATTGCTCGTTGTGACTAGCACCGTACCGTGAGCTAGCAAGCTCTCTATCAGCCGCCTCAAAATCATCGCATCTGCCACGTCTGTGCACTGAAACTCGTCAAAACATAAAACGGTCGCTTTCTCTGCAATGTGCGCTGCAACAAAGGGTATCGCGTCTATGTCGTTTCCATGGGTCATCTTCATCTTATGAAGCTCCTTGTGTACTTCTTGCATGAAGTTGTGGAAGTGTATGCGTGTCTTCGATTGGATTGTCTCGGGCAGAGTGTCGTAAAACAAGTCCATGAGCATAGTCTTGCCGCTGCCGACGTCTCCGTACATGTACAGTCCTTTCGGTAAATTGGGCGGCATTGTCAACTGCAGCGTCTCGCCGCTGCTGCCGCCGCCGAAGATGGAGCCGAAAAAGGACTTCTTTGGCGGCTGCAGAGACTCGATTGTCGGCTGCACGACTTTGGGGGGATTGTACTTTAGTAGAGCATCGTGTAGATCTTGCAGAGCTTGCACGAGAGTCCGCTGATGCTCGTCATTCTTCAGCCTTCCGCTTCTTACCCGGCTGTCGTACTCCTCGATGGGGCCATGGGGACGGTATTCCTGTTTGCGGTACTCGGCCATTGTTGCCATCTTGCGTGACCCGCTGCCGCATACATACGTATGTTGCCTCCCCTGCCAGCGCGACCCCTCCACCGTAAACGTGCTGCCGCGCTGCGAGCCATAGCGAGCAAGGCAGTCGGTGCACAGTCTTCTCTTCTGATTTCTCGTACTTATGCGGGTTCTGCTCTGCCTCGACAAGCTTCTGAGGATCAGGATCGCTTCGTTGGATGCCATGTCGAATGCTATCCGTGGGCGGTTCGGGCAGAATATCCGAGCGTCCTAAGTGTATCTTGCAGGTATCATGGTGCGATCGCTGAAGCAGTTAAGACTAGAGGCTGCCGATGCTAGTACACCATCGTAGTCTTTCACGGTCCCATGTGCGGGAACCTTGACGTGTAAATGGAATATCAAACCTCACGCATTGGCGACGAGCTTCTTACGGTTGTCTTGGTTGCACATGTAAACGCGAAGCTTCCAGGTTGAAACCCCACGCACGTGGCTCGGCACGCGGCAGAACGTGCAACGTTTCCGTGATATCCTCAACCTGCCGCGTTGTGCATACATCTGTATACTGCCAGCTTGAGAGGTTAATGTAGAAGGCTAGTTGATAGGGTCGCTTACTATTTAAGGATCTCGAGGAATTGTAGCGCAAGAGGGGACTATAACAGTAATGTCCCGCGGATGAAGATCAACAGCATCAGGCCGTCGACTACTCCGCACGATTTGTTTTCTTACGCATGAAGGCTCAATGGGAAGACATAACGGTGTCATAGAAGACTTCGTTCTCAAGAGAAATACCGGTAAGACGAGCCTCAGATTGAAACCTGCACGACTCGATCAACACGGCTGAGCCACAGGCCATCCGGTACTGAACTCCAGCTTGTTTCATCCAAACTAAGATTGGTCTGCTGAAAGCCAGCACCCGGCTTCATGTAGTGCTATTAGATGACTACGCTTTGCTGCCCTGGGTGGTAGATCACGCCTTGACCGCCAGGTGCATACGTATCGTTTGCATTGTGTCCCGCATCGACTCCACCGCCGTCTCCCTCTAAGCAATAAACACCGTTGCGGTCAGTGAAGCCGTCAGTCGCGCGCTGAGAGCAACAAACCATAATACGATAGGGGTTTCCGCCGTCAGTACTCGGGTTGTTGCAGCAGGTTCCTTCGGAGAAGAAGAGGTAGTAACTAGTAGATTACACGATGAGGTTCGTATACCTCGAATCTACACCTATCCGCTCATGGCGCGTTATCCGTAACCTCCCTCGCTTTAATCTCGTTAGAACCATAGCTCTCCGGAGATGCACAGCAATCTTTGGGCGACCGCGGAGGACCCCGCATAGTATAGTTCTACCTTTGACGTAGACCTCTTGCGTCAAGCGCCCTGCTCATCGACCTCAGAGCTGGTAGCTACCCCGCGAGCGGGTACAGGCGTGAGAGCTGGTCATTGCTGCTGCTTTTCTAGGAGTGATATAATGTAGAGTAGGTACTAAGCTTCTTCCACTTCCGAAGGCGGAAACGACCACACTTTCAGCAACGATCTGACCACCGCACGGAACAGTCACGCATTGGTATGAGCTATGGGATCGCAGGGAAGGAAGAGCATATCGCTGCTCGCGGGCACGACTCATTGCCATATGGCTGATACAGGTACCACGTCTTAACGTGCATGACGGGTGCTCAGCCAGTTGACGCTGGTTGGGCTGAGATCAGACCGTTCGAACCTGAATCAGGGCAATGCCTGCGCAGGGACATGCTTCTTCTCGCGCTTCCTGTGTTGATGACTTACTCGAATATAGCAATACCACCATCATGTCGACCGACAAAATCACGTTCTTGACGAACTGGTGTGGCAACAGCTGACACAGAACAGTGTATGGATGTAATGCTGATGTGGATTAGGCACGCCACGCCGTACCATGCCCCGCTGTACCTTTCTCAGGCGAAGGGATACTTCAAGGACGAGGGTATCAAAGTCGCTCTACTTGAGCCGAACGACCCTAGCGTGAGTGCTGGGCTAGTGAGCGAGTCTCTGGCTGGCTAGTTGAGCCTGACCGATGAACAGGATGTCACCGAGATCATTGGAACCGAGAAAGTGGACTTGGGCTTCAAAGCCATGATCCACACTTTGGCCGTATGTGCGCAGCCGTATAGAAATCGGTGTATGTTGATGAGATATCTAGGCCAAAGCTCGCAACTTCCCGGTCCTTTCAATCGGCTCTCTTTTGGACGAGCCATTCACCGGCGTCGTATACCTGAAAGACTCCGGTATCACCACCGACTTCCGCACTCTCAAGGGCAAGAAGATCGGCTATGTAGGCGAATTTGGCAAGGTAGATCCTCGATCACAGCATCTTGCCGTGGATGCACGCGCTGAACGCTCGCCCAGATCCAGATTGACGAGCTTACCTCTCACTACGGCATGGCTCCGACTGACTACACGGCTGTCCGTTGCGGCATGAATGTCTCCAAGGCTATCATCAAGGGTGAGATCGATGCTGGCATTGGCCTCGAGAACGTCCAGATGGTCGAGCTTGAGGAGTGGCTCACTGCGCAAGGTCGCCCGAAGAGCGACGTTCAGATGCTTCGCATTGACGAGCTGGCCGAGCTGGGTTGCTGCTGCTTCTGCTCCATCCTCTACATCGGCAACGAGAAGTTCATCTCCGAGAACCCGGACAAGGTATGCTGAAGGGTTAATCTTGTAGTTTGTTTGAAACGATCGCTAACCCTTCGACCTATCGTCTTTAGGTCCGTGCCTTTATGCGTGCCGTCAAGAAGGCCACCGACTTCGTGCTTGCAGAGCCGGAAACCGCGTGGGCGGAGTATGTCGACTTCAAGCCAGCCATGGGTACTCCGCTCAACCGCAAGATCTTCGAGCGCAGCTATGCCTACTTCTCGAAGGACCTCAAGAATGTCGAGCGCGACTGGACGAAGGTGACCCGTTACGGCAAGAGGCTGGGCGTGCTGGACGAAAGCTTCACGCCCAACTACACGGTAAGATACTGATGACCAGCAGAGTATGGAAGGTGTGACATGTGCTGACATTCCTACCCATTGATTTGAAGAACGAGTTCTTGGACTGGGCTTCGGAGGGTGAGCAAACTGATCCAACTGGTGATCAGAAGCGCATGGTCGCGTTGCAGCAGGAGGTCGCCGAGAAGGGTGGCTTCAAGAGATTGGACGTAGAGCGTGTCTCTGCTGTGACTGCGTCTGCTTAAGCAACACTGGTGATTACCCCCGAGCTCCCAAAGGCTGTCGGGCTTACTCCGTCTTTGAGCGTGCCAAAATGGCCATGGGAGGGAAGGATATGGCAGCTAGTGTTGACTGAAGCAGGGTCAAGTGTGGCCGTCCCCTCATTTACATGATAGAAACAACAATCAAATTGCTTCATCGAAATTGCTAGAACGCTTCATCACCTCTCCTTGCCGTCACCGAACACCAGGCTGTTCCACCCCTTATGACATTGCATAGCCAAAAACGAGCGTCACCAAAGCTTACAGGTTAGACAGGATCCCTTTTCGTGGGCAGCGGTGCTAGGGCACCGCCAAAACTCGGTGACACCGTCGCCTCGTTCTCGACCTCTTCGTGAGCCCTGCGTATACCACTCATCCCCCGAAAAAGAAGAGGTAGTAAAAATCCGTCGCCGTTGATACCCCACCAGAATTGGCAAGAACCCTCGTTGGGCGCACTTCGGACTGTCGTATTGTACTCCAGACGCGAGATGTTGTTGGTTGCGATCTTTAGTGGAGGCTTCTACATTTTCACTTGGTAGATGTTCTGCGAAAGGGAAGCGAGTGAGAGATAATATGGCGACTTCGGATCATGGCGAAGAGATTCGGATCAATGCTGCTGTAGGATGCGTTTTTCGATGGTATGCCGATGCTGCCGTGATCGGTCCAAGTTCCTACGGCCATGGACGGGCTGCTGGCGACCCCATCGTCGCTGTTCTTCGATCCCAAATGCGAGACGGCGTAGTCAATGTAATATGCCTTCTCTGACGCAATATAGGACACATCCGGTGCCTACGCAGTGCAACCGTGTCAGTAACGTAAGCTCAAGCGATGCTCTACACTCATAGCCAGAGAACCTCGCTGCCTGGCAGATTGTTCAACGATCCATTTGGCAAGGGCGAGCCGTGATCTGTCCACAAGCCTCAGATGCTGGGTGCGGGCGAGATGGCGAGCCTGTCGTCTGTTGTGAACCGATAATAGGTACCGTGTCCGTCAAAGACTGGTTTGGGCTCGTGGTAAAGTCCCTGGCACGCGCCGGTGCATACGCCAGGCTTCGGGTATCTTCGGAGCTTGCGCGCATAACGCATTGACGGAAGCGACCGTGGGTATGCCACGGAGTACTCGCAGAAAAGGGCCACTGTTGTCTAAGGGTAGAAAGTGGAGCGCACGTAGTGGTGTAGGTGTGGCAGTAGGATGGTGTTCAAAAATTCAGAATCTCTTGTAGATGACTGATTGTGTCATCCTACTTCGAGTCAATGCATGGCCGAAGGAGGCCGTGACATAGGGTTTCAGTGGATGCTTGCAGGATCGGGGCTGAGTGGCTCTTCTCGAGGCGAAGCAGCTCATGTTGCCGCATCTTCTCGCCCCAGAAGTGATATCAGCTACTTGTCACGGGCATGATGACTTCGAAGGAACAGACGTCTGCTCCAACACGCGTCTGACCGATCCATCTCTCTTCAAAGTTGGTCTTATGCTTCCTGCAATGGACTGCTTGAGCCTTTCCCAGGGTTGCACACGCGGTCCCAGTTCATGGGAGAGGTGATCCTGCGTTGGTCAGGCTCCATTTCCTGCGAGCTTACAAGCATCGCAGTCTTGTGCGGTGTGCGGTTCAGGTGATTACGTGTGTAGTCTCTGGTAAGAGCATGCTCAAGGTATGGCGAACTGTAATACGCCCGACGTGGTACGCATCTTAGAAGCGAGGGGCGGGTACGCCCGAGTCCAAGCTCGTCACAGTACGCTACCCTTCCTATTCCACACACTGCGTTTGATACAAATCCTTCCACATGGGCGCTTACAAGCGCTCGAGGCGCTACGAAAGTGCACAGGCATATGAACAAATGCTTTGAGCTTATGATGAAGCAGCGTACTTACAAGCTAGCGAAGAACGCAACGCTGCACAGCTGCTCTTGGAGCTCTCCTAGAACTCACTTCTCCGCTCCCATCAATCCGAGGTCGCAAAGGAGCGTCGCAGATCGCTATGTATGAAGAGTAAGTGCTACGGTCGCAGCTGCTATCGTAAGTTGTGTATGTGTCCTCATCCTGTCAACCTTTCCACACCAACATCAAGATACTCTCTTTGCCCAAATGCCACCCAATGGCGCGCACGCCAATGGCTCCCCTGCTGTCAAGACGGTAGGCTACATCGGCCTAGGGAACGCAGGCTTCTCTATGGCCTCCAACCTCCCCAAAGCAGGCTACAGCCTTGTCGTTCACGACATGGATACGGAAAAGGCGAGGAAGGCGGCCTCAGAATGGCACAACACCACGGCTGCCGAGGGGAGACCCGAAGCCTTTGTGGAATGCGAAGTTATTGTCACCATGCTGCCGCAAGGGAAGGTCGTTCGAGAGGTGTTGTTCGGCAAGGACGGTATTGCTCGCGGACTGAAATCTGGTAAGAGACAACCTTACCCAACATTGAGCGGAATCGGCTGACCGCGAAGGCACTATCGTCGTCGACACGAGCTCCTCTTCTCCCTTCGATACCATTGCCCTAGGTAAAGAGCTGGCTCAACACTCCCTCCAGCTCGTCGACTCGCCCATCACACAGACGTACATGCACGCAACCGACGCCGGCGAGTCAACGCTCATGGTTGGTGCTGACGACCCCGCGGCCTTTGCGAAGGTCAAGCCTATCCTGCAGTGCATGGCAGGCTACATCTTCCCCATGGGCAAGCTCGGTAATGGGCACGCGATGAAGACGTTGAACAACTACATTATGGCATCGTCCATCTGCGCGCTGAGCGACAGCCTCGTCACAGGACAAAAGTATGGCCTGGACCCACAGCAGATGATTGATGTGCTGAACGTTGGCACCGGTGTCTGTTTTCCAACGCTTGACACGTTTCGCCGTGACGGCGTGACACGAAGGTACGATAGCGGGTTTGGTCTGGCGCTGTTGGTGAAAGATTTGGGGATCACCGAGGAGTTTATGGAGTACAACGGCTTCGAGACAGAGTTGCCGCATCTGACGAGGAGGTATCTTAGAAACGCGTTGGCGGAGGTGGAGCAAGATGCGGATCATGCGAAGTGTCTCGTAGGATGGGAGAAGAGGGCGGGCGTGAAGATCAAAATGACCGAGAAGGTGCGTAATATCCCGCCAAAGGACTTCGAACATCGGTTGGAGGGTTTGAACCGATCTTAAGGTATAGCGACCTCCGTGAAGTTTAGAATCCTCTCCAGCGCCTTGCAGAAGCAAAGCGATCCGATAAAACAGGGGTGCAACGCACTGTTGTTATCAAGCGTTCGCCGATATAGTCCGCCGTAGCAGAGACAACTAGTAGGCTTAGACTCGTAACAAACTAAGAGGGTCTAAGGCCTCAGCCTACACGCCCGATAGTCAAGTGGATCAAGACATTGTAGTATTTAACGGTCACCTCCTAGTATCCCTAAGATTCTACTATAATTATTTAAAGGTATAACTAAGTTATACTATTAAGGACTAAAAAAGTTAACTTAAAGTTTTAGAAGCTTAGATTTAGCCTAAATAAAGCTAGTAATAGCTTTTATAAACTCTTTTTATAGAATAAAGTATAGAAAAACTAAAAAATATAATAGATTATTAGAGCTACTTTAAAAAAAAATAAAAAAAAATAAATAAAAAACTTTCTTAAGTTTTAATAAGCTAACTAAAGCTTTTATTAATAGTCTTATAGTTTATATAGACTTTATATTCTATAAAAAGCTTAGGAAAACTATAGCTTATATTATAAAAACTTATATAAAGCTTAAAAAACTAAATCTAATAAAGTAGTTTTTAAGAATTAATAAATAAGTCTATATAATATATATACTATAATCTAAAGCTATAAAGAACTTATTTAATAGAATAAAAAGCTAATTTAAATAAATCTATTTAATATAAATCTATATAAGATATAAAAAATTAAATAAATAGATTTTTAAATAGAAAAGTAGTTTTAATATAAGATTAAAAGTTTTTATTAAAGTTCTAATAGTTTTAAGAGATTCTATATATACTAAAAAGTATTAGAAAACCTATAGCTAGTTAATAGAAACTCTATAGTATAATAAGAGACTTAATAAATAAGTTTTTAAATAGAAATAGAGTTTTAATTTTAGACTAGAAGTTTTTACTAAAGTTCTAATAGTTTTAAGAGATATATTATTATAGAGAATAAGAGTAGTATTATAAACGTAATACTATAGGTTAGTCTTAGCTAATTAGTAACGCTATATAGTTATATAACTAACTATTCTACTAAACGACTAGTCGACTAACTAAGTAATCTATTTAACTAAGCTACTACTATAGTAGATAGTCGGTATAAGATATAAATCTCCTTTATATATAATTATAATAGATTTTATAGTTAGGAGTTTATATTTAACTTATATTATAAACCGACTAATTAGAATTAACTTATTATCTTATTCCGATCTTTTATATCGATTATACTTTAACTAAGTAATACTTTACTATTAACTACTAGACTACTCGACGAGTACTAACTCTACTTATAATAACGGAATTACTTAACTTCTATTATATAAATATAATAGTATATAATACTTTAAATACTTTTAAGAATATCTATTACTAGAAGACTTAAGTAGAATATCTCTACTTCTAGTAAAGTAGAAGATACTAATATTATTATATACCGTTATACTTATATAATAGAAGTTAGGTAATTCCGTCGTTATAAGTAGAGTTAGTACTTATTAAGTAGTCTAGTAGTCGATAGCAAAGTATTACTTAGTTAAAGTATAATCGATATAAGAGATCGGAATAAAGTAATAAGTTAATTCTAATTAGTCGGTTTATAATATAAGTTAAATACGAACTTCTAACTACGAAATCTATCGCTTATTATATATAAAGGAGATTTATATCTTATTATAGCTTATATCGAGCTATACTTAATAGTCGCCTTCTACTCGCTATTAAGCTATACTTAATAGTAAGTAGTCGAGCTAATATCTTAAGTACTACTAGCTCGACTTACTAAGAATCGAGTACTAAGGCGTAGCTACGTCTATACTAATTATATTATAATACTATTCCCTCTTTACTTAAAATCGTCTTAATTCTAAATTATTCGACTATATTATAAGATATTATATACTAGCTAAAATAGACTTCGACTAGTATAAGAGATTCTTAACTATAGTTATCCTTCTTCTATTCCTTATAACTAATACTTCTTGTCTAGAAAAGAGTATATTAAGATAGAGTTATTATTACGACTTAAGTACTTAGAGTATATATATATAGGTAAGCTATATATTAATCTCTTATAGGAATCTCTAAATAAGACTTAGGCCTAGCTTTATAAAGAGATCGATAAGGATAAGAAAGAGCTCGCTTATATTATAGTATAGTTAATATATAAGAAGAAGATCTTATAGTAGATAAATAATCGATCTAAGAGGAAAGCATAATACTTAATAGATATAATAGATAGATCGGGCGAGCTAGAAGATAATAAGCCTTCTACTCCTTTAGACTATCTTACTACTACGTCGATAGTTAGTTTATCCCTAGTAGTATAGGAGATATTATAGAATATCGACTAGCTTATCGACTTTAGTAGAACTAGCGTAGAAGTATCTAGTAGTTCTTAAGATTAGTAAGTAGTTCCTAGATATTATCCGAGTCTAGGTAGCCTTTCTATTTAATAAGGTAATTCTAACCTTCTTATTTTAGGATTTTTTCGACTTCCTATTTAGTTGCTTTCTAGTCTTCGTAGTAGAATATAGTTTAATAGAGTATTTCGAGATCTACTAGTTCTAGAAAAGAGATATAGAATACTAGATATATTCTAGTATCTTTCGGAAGTTTAAGTCGGTAGTTTACTAGTAACTATTTCTTAAAGATTATAAAAGGTCCGACCTTAACCTAGTTAAGCTTCTTACTATTTCTCTTAGTCTTAAGGTTCTTTATAAGGAGATAGACCTTATCCCTCTTTTTAAGCTAAAGACCTATAATCGATTTAGATTTTACTACTATCTTTATAGAAGATATATAAATATTATTATAATATAGTTATTATAGCTTAGTAGTATAATCTACGCCTACTTATATATATAGTCTAAGTACTAGTAATATATCTAGTCTTAGAGAATATCCGAAGTTTGCTTTATAAGGTAATACTTTCGTTATATCTAATATATAGCTATTTAGCGCTACTTAGGCTATTAGGAGAAGTAACGACTAATTGTCTTAAGCGTAATTAATATAAGCCTATAGATATACTTCTAATATCTAATTTGTCCGCTTAGTCTACTTATCGGTCTATAGTCGGAAGGCTGTCGATAGTTTATAGCTAATTCCGAGATTAGAGACGAATATTTACTAATAATTAGATCGAAATATTAGCCCTCTATTCGATATAATAACCTTTAAGTATCTATAGTAGCGGAATAGCCTATCTATTATAAGATATACTTACTATTCGGCTATAATTATAGTATTATATATAATAAAGTATATATACTTTATAAGCCTATCGACTATAACGAGTATTAAGTCGTATATTATCTTTATTACTAGATCCTATAATTTCGGTAGTAGTCCTATAAAGTCTATAGTAACTTCTTTCTATAGTCTTTTTAGAGGTAGTTATATTATCGGTTCCCTATATACTATATATCTTACTAACTTATTTATCTAATATTCGACGTATCTTTTAATATAGTTTACTATATACCTTTTTATATACAGGAACGTAAAGCATTATTATACTAGCTTTATAGTTTTTATAACTCCGGGGTATTCTCGTTCTAGTAAGTTATAGTAATATATAATTACCCTACTAATTTGTTTCTCTAATATAACGAACTTCTTTTATTTATTAATTAGGAACTCTTCTTCGTAGTTATCTAGTATCTATATTATTATATTAAATTCCTATATATTAGCGGATAGTATCCTATCCTTATTCGTCTTTAGAATTCGCTACTATTATATAATATATCTTTCTATATAGTCCGACCTTCGACTAAGAGCGTCTACTCTAGTATTATCTTTACCTAGTATATACTAGATTATAAACTTATACTATCTTAAGAGTTCTAACTATTAGGCTTATTATTAGGTTAACTCTTTAGTAGTAGTAAAGTACGTTAAATTCTTATAGTCGGAGAAGATCGTAACTTTTAGTACTCCTTCTATATAGATCCTTTAGTATTATAGGCTTATAATAATAGCTAAGAGTTCCTTATTATAGATATCGTAGTTTGCTTCTACTAGACTTAACTTCCTCGAGTAATAAGCTACTAGATATCTTTATCTATTCTCTTCTTAAGTAAAGTATACTCTAATTATATAGTTAGAGATATCTATCTCTATTTATATAGGTTTAGTAGTATCGAATATCTATAGGACTAGTACTTCGATATATTACTTCTTAATTAATATAAAGACCTTATCTTAGGCCTTAGTCTATTTAAAGGCTTTATCCTTCCTTATTAAGTATATTAATAGTTCTAATATCTTAGAGTATTCTAGTATAAACTTTCTATTATAGTTCGCGAGTTCTAGGAATACTTATATTTCCTTAATAGTCTTCGGCTATAGCTATTCCTATATTAATATAATCTTATCTAGACTAATTTATATACTATAGATTCTAATAATAAATCCTAGGAACTCGACTTCTTTTTTATAGAACTTATACTTCCTTAGTACTATTCTAAAGCTCGTCTTAGAAAGTCGTTAAAAGACTTCCTTAATATTCTAAATATATTACTATAGAGATCCTTCGATATAGATTAGAATATTGTCGATATATACTATAATAGTAATATCGATTAGATCTCTAAGTACTATATTAACTAGTCGTTAGTATATTATAGATAAGTTTATTATTCCTATAGATATTATAAGGAACTCGTAGAGTCCTAGTTTAGTCCGGAATACTATAAGCTATTCTTATCCTTCTTTAACGCGAATATAGTAGAACGCGTCCTTAAGGTCGATTTTAGTAAACTAGTTTACTTTACTAAGTCTATCTCTTAATTCTTCGATATTTAGTAAAAAGTATCGGTCCTTTATTATAATATCGTTAAGCTTCCTATAGTCGACTACTATTCTTAACTTGTCTATATTCTTCTTTAGAACGAATAGAGTTAGCGAACTTACTAGTAACTTAGATAGCCTTATCTATTCTCTTATAAGGTTCTTATCTATCTATTCCTTTTAAATTTTTAATTCCTTTTCTAATATTATATAGATAGGTCCCTATAGTAGCTTCTTGCCTAGTTCGAGCTTAATCTCGTAGTCCTATAGTATATATATAGGCAAGGTAGCTTTGCCTTCCTCTTTCTAAAAGAGCTATATATACTCCTTATACTCTTTAGGGATCTCTAG